AGAGGGATATCATCGAGGGCGAAAATGTCGTCCATAAGGATGTGAAGAACGGAATCGGCTGCGGCCTGAAGCTGAAGACCACTGACAATGTCGTTGTTCTTCCGAACCTCCAGTACCTACTCAAGAACGGTCTTGTCCATTATGTGTCGTATCAGGTCGACTGGACTGCCGGAGAGTGTGCATTTGTCGCCTCGACCATGCGCCACATCAAACCGAATCTTGTCGAAGCCCTTGTCCCACTGTTTGATCGACTGTCTAGAGACGGAGCGGTGTACGAACCGGTGAAAATTGCCGGCTGTAACCTTCACATCAGTCCTCTTGCTGAGGTAGCGAAAGATCTCGACCAACTCCATCCGATGCCTTAGAGTATATCCTGCACCTCTCTCACCTCTATCACGTTTCGGTTCGGCAGGCTTTTGAGGTTGTTGTTCGACGACTTGGCCAGTGCTAGCCCGAGCTTTAGCCAACAGTGAGTAGTACTCCAGCGCCTGCGCTTCATCCGATAGTGCTGAGGTGCCGTTCTTGAGCTGGTTGACCGTAGACGTGATGTCCGAGGGGGGAGCCTCGCGGACGTGTGTTGGTGCTGATACGGGGCCCTTTGTTTTTTGGCATATGGAAAAGTGAGCAAGCATTACATATTGCAAGCATTACAAGTTATTGATACAAATAGAGGAGGATATAAGGTAAGGTCAGCCGTCACAAGCCTGAATAACACCCTTTATATATTTCAATTCAGTGGAAAAAATGCACATTTCACTATGAAAAGTGCATTATTCTGCAAAAAGGACTGTAGTCTATTTTGCCTTTGTGTTCATACACTCCGATCAAAAGGAGGATCCTGCATCACGAACTAGTAAGTGACCAAAGCACACCCTTGCCGAAGTCCTATTCGCGTGGTAACTCCTATTGTAAATAGAACTAATGGTAGAAGTTATAGAGCCCATTAGTAGCCCCCCTACACCGGTGCCATCTTTCTTTTTAACAAAGAGGACTGGCGCTCCGTATGGCGATGTGCTGGGTTTGATGAATCCTTTGGCGAGCAGATCATCCAGCTGCTTCCTGAGTTCGTCCAGCTCAGCAATTGAAAGACGAATAACAGGTCGAACAGGCGGATCAGCAGTGGTGTCAGTGTCAATTTTCATGGCATCTCCACGGTCTAGTGGAAGACCAGCTGGGGGGCCATCGGGAAAGACGTCGGGGAATTCGTTCTCTACAATAGGGCGGATGTCAGGTAGAAGGCGTGGTGCTGTCTTGTTTGCTGTTTCCTGTTTAAGAAGAGCGAGGGAGACATCGCTACCAGGCTGAGCAGCAAGTGTATTAAAATGCATATGGCTCAACAGCAAACCACGAGACTTAGGGGTTACAAAAGAGGGTGCAAACTCTTTGCAGGACCATCGAACGGAAACGCCTTTGTGGTGAAAGTGAAGACTGTTGTCGCGCCAGTTGATAGAAGGATTGATCTGGGTGAGCCAAGGCTTGCCGAGGATGAGGTCGTAGGATTGGAGGTCATAGAGGAATGGTTGAATGGTATCAACGTAGTTGTCACGGGGGAGGGAGATGGAGTCAGTGTGTTGAGTGAGAGATGAGGAACTGTCGGGAAGGATGATTGGGATGGGAGAGCAGGGGACGAGTGGGATGGGATGATGGCGCTGGAAAGTCTTGCTAATAACATTTCCCTCAGTTACACCATCAATAAGAATATGTGCGGAATGTCCACTGACAGAGCTGATAAATGTGAGCAAAGTGCGTTCAGCAACAGCCGTGGTGAACGACTGCAGCTTAATTGCACGCTTACGCTGAAGTTGGGCCTGGCGCTTGCAGAGAGGTGGTGCAAAAGGAGCGAGAGAGGCAAGTGGGTCCAGGTCCACTGTCTCAGACGACCTAGACACCACATGGAAGTGAGGTTGTGGTTGATCCGAGACAGGAGCCGTAGCACCAGGGGTGGGGTGAGTATCTGGGGTTGATATATTTTCATTTCTATTGCAAAGGAGCGAGTGCCAACAGAGATTGAAGACCAAATTTATTTTTTGAAGAATATTGACTTAACTCTGGAAGGGGCTCACTCCTCTTGTCCAGACAAGAGGAGGGAATTTCAGCGACTAGGTCCTGGACTAAACCTGGCCGCTGGAGGCTTTTCCCGAGCCGTCAGCATGGGATGGGCCCTCGGTAAAATTGTTGAAGGCGCGACCGCCGCGCTCGTTCTCGGGACAGTTGGGTGCAATGTGTCCCACCTCGCGGCAGCGGAAACATCTATTTTCACGGATGCAACGTGTACGCTCAGCGGCGTCGAGAGGGGGCTTGTTCCGGGTGTAAGAGCCGGAACGGAACTTGTTCACGGTTTTGCGGAGCGCGTTGATCTCGAGGCGCATGTTGTCAATCTCCATTGCCATGGGATCGACAGCAAGGGAGGCGAGGGTCGCAGCAAGAGCGTGTTAGGTGGCTTGGGTGGGACAGGCAGAGGTAGACGTCGAACGGGCATAGTGGAATACCGTACCGAATTGCTCTGCTGCGTGGCAGAGGTCGTGGATAATAAGGGCGTTCCGGTTGGTGGTTTGCAGACATTAATATCTGCTTGGGTTCCAAGGGAGCTCCCTCGAGAAATGCAGCCTTGACGACATCCTCGAGCACCGAACGAGTTTTCTTGTGCATGTCATGGGTGCAAAGGATGGCCATGTACTTGCGCACGCCCGAAACATACTCGACTTTTTTTTTTTTTTTTTTTTTTTTATTGACGCCAGATCCCCCCAGGCGTGCAGGCGTGCCACAGGCTGCATTGTCCAAGCCTCGGCTTGGACTGTCAGCCGGCCGATAGTTACCTAAAGATAGCTATCAAGAGGCACCCACTAAACTAATGTAAAATGAGGAACCAAATACCTATGGTGCACATTCTGAGTCGTATGGTTTCTAATACTTGAGCCGGGGCCCAAAACCGCTACGCAATCTGTCGGGTCCGATGGGTCCTCTCCTAGTCAAGATCACGGGCCAATATGAATTTTATCCTCCTTCCTCTCTCCATCTCGTTCAACACCACCTTTCCCTGGAGATGGTCCACCAAGCGGCTGTCTGCTCTCCTCCTCGCCGCTGTCGTAACCTCCTCTTGGGGCTGTTGTCTCACAAAGCCCTGGGCCTCACCTCCTACCTGGACCCCGGCTTTCTTCATCCTCGTGCATATGCCCTCGGACTTTTCCCATGCCACTGTGGCACTACATCGCTCCTTCCATAACTCCTCTCGGCCAAAAGCCTCAACTCGTTCTACAAAACGTCCAACCAGGTAAGCCGCGATGCTCCTCGACGTCTTCAAGAGCAGCGCCCAATCCATTGTCAGGGACTTTGGTACGAGCCCGTGATATATGTCTGTCGTTGTCCATAGCCTAGTAGGCGGTGCTGCCTGCTGTACGTTTTCTTGACTGCTCACTCCTTCTCCTTCTTCCTCGTGGACATTCTCTCTGTCCTCGCCACCATTGTCCCTGTCTCGCCGCTCCTCCAGCAGCCTTATCCAGTCATCATCCCGCGTATCCACCATCGTTTCCACTCCTCGGATATCACGCAGACTCCACTAAAGGGTGTCTAACTCGCACGGGGTAAAACTCGGTTCGGTGCGTGTGAATTGTCGACCATCCTTGATTGCCTCCTCCATGTCGCACAACCACTTTTTCCTCGCCTTATCTACCAAGGTGCGTCCAAGACTTAGAACCCCATCAAGTGTCTTTCTCCATTCTTCTTGTCGTCTATTCTGTGTGACTCTGCAGACCCACAGGTGCTGGGCATCCTCCACCATGGTAAGGCACACTTGGCATCTGTCTGTGGTATACAGATTCGGCTTCCACCTGTGCATGTACTGCATGGTTGGCAGCATACCATGGATTTTCTTGATCCTGTGGGACCGATGGTTGCAATCCGCAAGGCTGGTGAAAAAACCCCCTGGCGGATTTTTCTCATGTATTATAGCAAGGCTGGATCGCCACTCCACTTCTTCCCACTGCTGAATAAATTGTTTCGTTCGTTGTTGACAAGTCCATGCATGATGGTTTCTGGCTGCAGACTGATGCTTGATCAATTGGTGAATGTCGTCCTCCGCTGGCTGACCACAGAAGGTCGTATGTGTCTTCATGCTCGTGAAATACTGTGTGTTTAGTTGCCATGGCCGTCGCCCACTGTCGTGTGCGTTGTCCACCAGTTCGTCGGCGGCCTCATTTCCAGTATCGCCACTGTGTCCTTTAACCCACTGAACATCTACTTTGCTGCCCTGCTGCACGTACGCCTCGTAGATCACGGCCCACCAGTTGGCATATGCTGCTCTCAACCGCCGTCGTGGAGTAGCTGTATGTCGATTCTTAACTAACGCCGCAAACTGTTGGACCACTGCTCTATTGTCGATAGGAATAATGGCGTTGCGATCCCGGGGACAGCACAAAATTGTCGCGAGCAGACCCACCAATTCTGCTTTGGTGGATGATGCGTAATCCGTCGTTGTACCACAGATAGCCGTCTGGAATGAGCCGTCGACGCATCTATAGACACTACCGAACGATTGGCTGACTGTGTCCGAGCCAGCGTTCTTCACTGATCCATCCGAATAAAGGACAATTGCTTCCAGCCCAGGCGGAATCCTCCATCGAGTCTCACGGATCGTTTGCCATGTCTCCTGGTCAATATCAACCCATGGGAAATCGATCATTTGTGCTGGCGGAGCCAAGGACGCGAGCGCTGCCGCATCCTGAATGGTAGTTGGCTGTGAATCCATGTCCTTGATGCTGCTTTTTCCATTTCATGTACCTTCTGGTTCTCATCCATGCCATTATATTTTTCACGTCGCTGTCGCTGTCTATATTCCTTGAGTCGGACCGCGATATTGTACGTATGCAAAGCATCCTCAGCAGTACGCCTCGCTTGTCTGTCCTCGGTCTCCGTGAGGGGCCCTATCACCTCTCGCAGGATTTCTTGTTGTGGCGGGGGTACAACTTGGTCAACACAGCGAGAGCAGTCGTGTGCGCATTCGCCTATCCTGCATCGTTCTGCTGCAATCCACTGGCTGATGAAGCTACGCCGGTGATCGTCGCCTATACTTGAAATCATGAAACCATTGTCTGGATGGTCCTTTGACTCGTTGCTGCTTGCGAAGGAAGGACCACGGCCGCACCTCCAATCCTTCATCCATGATCTGATCTGTTGAAAAAAGACCAACACTCGCAAATCCTCGTGCGATTTCTCCTGATGGTTGGGTGCGCCAGTCCATGATGCTCTGTGCTGTCGGAAGGACGCCGAGAGCGTCAGCATTGTTCAGGGTAAATGTGATGTTCCTGTCAGCCATCAAACGACACACGTTGGAGATAAGACAATGACGGTATGGCCCGAAACATACTCGACCTGTCAGACTTTATCTCTGATTGGTAGAGTCATGTGACGCTAGACGCGTCTAAGAAAGGATCAACGTCGCCCTCATCACAGAAAGCTCCATGATCTAAAGATGAGCAAAGACAGCACCGAAACGTCTAGAACCATGGAGTACAAATCAGGACCTTTATTCGTCTGATGTATATAAAGAAAGACAGACTATGTAGTTGAACCTCAGTTCATATACTCACAACAGTCTAGTCAATAAACTATTATCTTCACACATTCGTCTTGGTCGCTCACCTTGTTCACTCGTTTCCCCTCGTTACACCCCCGTTGTTCCTCGTTCACCCACAAGTCTTACACGGCCACTGTGGAGGTCATCTTGATTGAGAACAACAACGCTCGTATGCGCTCATGGAAACCAGCAGGGCGGAACTCCTCGCGGAAAGCCTTTTCGAAGTCGAGCCAGTCGGTGTCCGAACGGTATTGGCCGTCCCACCGTAGGAGGCCAGCTTCACCCAGGTCGGCAATAGCGGTGACAGTGCGGTTTACATCCAGAATTTGTGCACCGCGAAAAAAACGTCGAACCTGGGTGAGCCAAGTCTCGCACGCGAAACCATCGCGCACGCCTGTGAAGGTCGGAGAAGAGGGATATCTGCAGGCGGGGAGGAGAGCGGCGGTAGGGGCGACGACAGCGGTGTCGCCGGCAGCAGGGACTTGGAAGGAGGTAGGTAAAACGGTAGCGCCCATGGTTATAAGGGAGAAGAGATCGGCGAGGGAGTTCACGTCCAGATTGGGGAATGAATTTTAATTTGGGTTTGGAGACCAACCTCCTCGGGAGATCGAAGATCGGCTCTGGTCTAGACTTTCGATCTGTGTAACCATCATGGTTTATTTGTGCCTGCAGGAAGCATGAGCAAGCAGAGCAAAGCAAATTTAAAATAAGCGTTCCTCTCGATTGGTGCAGGGAGAAGTAGAGTGGTTTGTCCATGGGGACAACGGACCTCGGTTTTTTTTTCTTTTTTGCTTCACTTTCTCCAATCTTTTCTCTTCGAACCACCATTCCCCACCACTTCTGCATACACATATTCCATCTTCAACCTCTCTAACACCAATCCAACCTTCGTCTCTTAAACCCATAACCCATTGAACATCGAATCGCAACAAAAAAAGTCCTTAACCAGGGGTTAGGTTGGTGGGTTTTTTCTCAGTCCAATTCGAGACGCCATGCTAATGCAACAATTGCATGAATGGAGGAATGAATGACCATTCATTTTCAGGACCCTGCCCTTTTTTAATTTTTTCTTCAACAGAGATCATGCTGTTCGACTTTGCTTTCAAACCCTCGCTGGCTCCGGGGAAGACTCTAAACTTGGTCGAGCAGGAACTAGGGAGCGCTCGAGAGACCAAAGATGAAGACTCTGAGATTTCCCTCGCGCATTGTGATTATGCCGATCGGTTGCTTTCTTCCCTAAAGGGGAAAGTCAAGCGGTCCCCCGATAGTAATGGTACGATCAAGAAAGGAAGGTTGAGTGATATGACTGAGCAAACCTTGAGAGACCGAATCGCGAATGCGTATTTGGATCATGCAAACTTGGCCGCGGATCTGGGGTTCCCGGACAAGGCCAAGAAGAGTCGTATGAGAGCTGATAAGTGGGGGTAAGTGCATATGGCGCCCAATAGGAACACTTTCAAATGTAGGAGAGGCTTGTCCGGATAGCAGTACTAACGGATGTGTGTTTGGTGTCAATAGCGGACCTGGTCCCAAGAAACCAGCGGCTACTCAATTGAAGTCTGATCGTGCACCAGACGTCGCCACTGTCCCATCTTCCATCTTCCCAGAAGATATCCGACCGCCTGCTGTAGCATGGACGTTTCCAGAACCTGACGGTCGACTCACGGATACACCTCAGCTCGTCTCCTGTCTTGGTCTCCTGAAACAAGGACCTGGGGAACTTCCCGAGGACGTTCTTGAACCAATTGCACGCAAATGGCTCAAAGCGACCTTAGACAATGCAGACGAGAGGACAAGACTCGAGATTATGGCCACGGATCTCATTCGCGCTTTCACTCAAGACGAGATCAAGGATAAAAAGGCCGTGGCCGAGGTCCTCTGTCTCGCTCCTGTACTCGAGGAAGAAGACTTCCGGTTCTTGCTCAAAAAGTTTGTCGACACTATCAATGGCTCGATGATCTTGGATGTCGGAGCACTCAGAGGACTAGCTCAATTGATTCAGAGCGCAGCCTCACAAAGCTATTTGCATGCTCAGGATCTGATCGATATCCTTGGCATGGTCAGTACCCGACTTAAAGGGACGCATGAGCAATCGCCCGATCATATTTTTGAGCTCACAGTGACGGTCTCGAGCGTGCTTAATGCCATGGCGGATACCAAGGTTACCGGATTGAAACGAGTTGAGCTCCATGAACCGCTATTGGCTTTCCTTGGAGGATTGCAAGGGAGCGACGACCCATATCTCAAGTTCTACGCCTCGTACGCCTTTCAAGCGCTTCTCTGCGTTCCAGACGACGAGTCCCCCTGGCAAGCGACCGTGAGAAGAACGACCAAGGTCGTTAAGGGTATTTCTGGTCTCGTTAGCGCGGTCAAGGGGTTGGATCTGAACGGGTTTATGACTGGACTCCAGAATATCCAACAGGGACTCGAGGATATCTCGCAGGTGGTCGATTTGGCTAAGATGGCATACGAGGGTGTCACTTCGGTCTATGAAGGTGAACAGGACATGATGGACAGTCTCAAGGAAGGGTTGACCTACAATCGCAGGCGAGCGTGGTATTCGGCTCTCAGAGGTGCAGATACGTTGATCGAGGGAGGTGAGCTCGCCAAGTTCAAGACGCTTGTTTGCGGTGCTGCCTGTCGACGAGAACTGGCCTTCCAGTGGGGGGTCTGTCAAAGACTGGGTAACCTGGCTGCGAATCCTCTGTGGCCGAAAGAGAGCCGTCAGGGAGCGGTGATGTTCTTGGGTGAGATTTATCGAGATGACCGTGCATGGGGTCATTGGGCGCCCATCAAGGCATATATTTTGGATATCCTCAAGCAACTGTGCATCTTGAGCAACAATCTTCCAGGTATGAATCATTCAAGTGACGTTTTTCCATGGAAGCATTTATTTTTTCCGCGTGTGCTAATCATAGGTTCCATTCTGTCAAACAGGTGCCGCCAAACTGCTCAAGAATCTAGCCACGGACGGCGATGCGACCAAACAGGACATCTACAGGAGCCGTGAGAAGGCTGAACCGAGCCAACATGTCTTGAAGGCCGGCGACCCAGAATTCGCCTCCCCCTCTCTTCTAGATCGCGTGCAGAAGCGAACGGATGTGGAGGCTGATCTCCGCAGGATTGCCAGACTCCGGGTCAAAGAGAGAGGAGGCACCGTCTATGTCCCACCGATGGCAAAAGCCAACATTCTCGCTTCCGATGATGTCTTGTTCCCGCTAATTCCCATGGTCAACAAATTCTTGGCCGGCAGCGACAAGGTCCTTTTGTTGGTCGGTGACTCTGGCGCTGGAAAGACAACCTTCAACCGCGAGCTAGATCACAAGCTCTGGCAGGCATACAAGCCCAAGGTTGGTCGCATCCCTCTCCTGATCAGTTTACCAGCGATTGAACGCCCGGAAAAGGATCTTATCGCCAAACACCTGCGAGTCTGTGAGTTCTCCGAGTCCCAGATCCGAGAACTCAAGAGCCGCGAGTTTGTCATCATCTGCGACGGCTACGACGAGAGTCAGCAGACACACAACCTATACGAGGCAAACGGGTTCAACATCGATGGCAATTGGAAGGCGCAGATGGTGGTCAGCTGTCGCAGTGAGCATCTTGGCCAAGACTATAGGGATCTCTTCCAGCCTTCCAAACCGAACCCGTCCGGTTCTGATTGCTTCCAACAAGCTGTTTTGGTCCCGTTCTCGATGAACCAGGTCAAGGATTATATCAAGGAGTACGTCAAGATCAAGAGGCCACTGTGGGAAGCATCGGATTATGAAGGAGTCCTGAACCAGATCCCCAGTCTGCAGGAACTCGTCAAGAACCCGTTCTTGCTGACGCTGTCCTTGGAGGTTCTACCTCGTCTCACAGATCCAGGTCAACGACTGGCCGCGAACAAGATCACCCGAGTCCTGCTGTATGACGAGTTCATGGCGCAATGGCTGGAGCGGAACAAGAAACGACTCGCTACTCAGGAATTGAGCGACCAGGAAAAGGAGGCCTTTGGGAGTCTGTCTGACGATGGCTTCACCCAACAAGGTCTTAATTATCTCAAGGATCTGTCCGCGGCGGTTTACAAAGAGCAAGGTGGAAACCCCGTCGTCGACTACTCCAAGGCACGCGATATTAAGACCTGGAAGGAGAAATTTTTTGGCCGCAAGGACGATGAGATGCGGCTCTTGCGAAAGGCGATCCCATTGACGCGCAATGGCGGTCGTTTTGGATTTATTCATCGATCGATCCTCGAGTATGGTGTCAGTCGCGCGATCTGCGAGCCACAGAAGGGAGCAGGTATTAAGCTCGAAGCAGTGGATGACAACAAGAAGCGCCGTAAGAGCATTGATTCCTCTTTCAGTTTTGAAATTGAAGAGGCGACAGAGGAAGCAGTGGAAGCTGCTGCTGCCGCACAGGGACCCAATCCAGACTCACCCCTGGTAAAGAGAAGTTTCGTCAAGGACATCTCTGTACTTCAGTTCTTGGCCGAGCGCATTGATCAAGAGCCAGTCTTCAAACAACAGCTTTTGGACTATATCGAGGCTTCAAAGACGAACAAGAAGTGGCGTATTGCGGCTGCGAATGCGATCACGATCTTGGTTCGGGCAAATGTTCGGTTCCTGAACGAGGATTTCAGTGGTATTCAGATCCCTGGTTCGGATTTAAGTCATGGGTTCTTTGACCGGGTCAAGTTGCAAGGTGCGGACCTGCGAAAAACCACTCTCCAGGGCTGCTGGTAAGGTCTTTTTTTTTAATTTTTTTTTTTGAGAATGCACATAGTAGTCATCCTTTTGGTTCCGAAACTATAACTAACCGTTCATGATGATGCCTTTTGCATTTCATAATAGGCTGCGACAATCAGATTTGAGCCATTCTCAAATGACACGCGCAGACTTTGGCGAGTGGCCTCTGCTCAAGGATGAAGTCATGGGCAGTTCGGTCATGTACACGCCAGACGGAAAGACCTTGATCGCGAGCACGGAGTCGGGAAAGATCTATCTGTACAAGACCTCGAACTGGACGCTTTTGAATGTTTTGGAGGGCCATTATACTAGTACTTCGGTCGCGTGTATGATCCTCTCGCAAGATGGGTCCAAGATTGTATCTGCCGGGCATGACCAGTCGATCAAGGTGTGGAATGTCGAGGATGGCAGAAATCTGGCGAGTTGGGAACAACAGTCTTGCTGTCACGAGACCTTAGCACTTGCACCCGCCAGAAAGGGCCACCCAGAACGTTTGCTGGCGTCGGGTGGAGAAGGCTGCTCCGTGCAACTCTGGGATATTGAAACAGGAGAACGAGGTCTGCAGTTAGACGGCCACACTGGTCCTCCTGTCCTTGTCCAGTTCTCACCCGATGAGGGCAGGGTGTTGGCTTCGGGCGGTGAAGACTATACTGTCCGTCTCTGGGATCCAAGGTCGGGTAAATGCCTTCACGTCATCGATACCGAGCAAGAAACCATGTACAGGTTTATCTTTGTCCTGGGTGGGGAACAAATCGTTTGGGGCTACTACAGCGGAATAGTCAAGATGTGGGATGTAGCCACGGGTTCCTGCGTCCGAACTCTGGAGGCACATACAGCGAGGATCAGCTATTTGGCGCTCTCGCCCAACGGACAATATATGGCCACAATGAGTCGAGATGGCACGGCAAAAATATGGGATTCAGCCACGGGTGTTCCCGGTCCGGTACTCAAGAACGCCAATAACACGGTCGGCAGTGATGATAGTGAATTGGTTTTCTCTCCAAATTCTCTCCAAATCGCGACCACGAGCGGGGGCCACATGAGGACGATCCAACTCTGGGACACTAAAACTGGGACTGCAAGGATGGTTTTAAGCGGCCATACTGACAGTATCAACAAGATCGTTTATGCACCCGATGGACAGCAAATTGCCTCTACGAGCGGGGACGGATCGATTCGGCTATGGGCCATGGATGCTCGACGATCAACCAATCGGCAGGAAAAGGAACCGGCTCGACATACCGAGAACGTTAATTATCTGTTCCATCTTCCGCTCCAAGTTGGAAGCGGCAGACAACATCACCGACCGCAGATTATCTCGATGTGCTATAGAAGCATACGATGGTGGGATACCCAGACCGGTGATGCAGGTCTGATCAAGCGACAAGCAGATAGCGGATTGTATGAAATTGCAGTGTCACCCTGTGGAACTCAAATCGCCGTTTCTGTTGAGAGGATGCCAGTTCAACTGTGGGATGCAGTCACGGGTCAGTGTCAGTTCACCTTGGACCAGGGGCACAGCTGGGGCGAGGAAAGGAGCTTCCCCATCCTGCAAGTTGTTTATTCCGCAGATGGCCAGACCCTTGCGGCCTTTACGAATGTCAAGACGATCGACCTTTGGAACTACAAGACCGGGTCCCATATCCGGTCCTTGGAAGCGCATGACTGTGAGGGTGGAACAAAGGCGATCGTGTTTTTACCGGCGAACAAGGGCAACCAGATGGCATCCCTCGGTTATACGGACCAAACTGTCAAGATCTGGGATGTTGGCACTGGTAGTTGTGTTCGAGAACTCAAGCCAGGGATCGAGACAGATCTTCTGGTTGCTGCAGGGGATGGAACCAAGCTTATTACTGCGAGTCAGTGGAAGCGTGTGGTCAATGTCTGGGAGGTCGCTTCGGGATCTTGTCTCTTGAGCTTCGAATTGAACGCTCCTTGTCAACTCGCTATGATTTCGTTCTCACCCTGCGGTTCGTTAGCCGTGATCCCATCCCAGAACCCGAAACGAGACGGAGATTTGATCATTTGGGATCTTGTCACTGGAACAAGACGGTGGAGACTTCGAGCGCATGAAGGGATGCTACGTTTTGTCGGGTTCAGTCCAGATGGGTCAAGACTTGTCACGAATGGGTTGGATGGTACAGTTCGAGTTTGGGATCTCCTGGCGGGGAAACAGATGACCAAAGTGCCCAACTTGGGTTACGGAGATGTTTCTTCGTGTTTGTGGGATCCGTTGGTCGTGATCGAGGGCAAAGAAACAAAGAAGAAGGAATACATGTCGTTTACATTTGGATATAGCAGTGGAGATGTTGCAAAGTGGGAGCTGGTACCCATCGAGGGATACGTTGCTGTCGCAAAGGAAAAACTACCGCCACCACCAGTGGATCCTTCGGATGAGATGGAGGAGCAGCAGGACGAAGGAAATAGCGACGACGATCACACTGACGAATATGACGGAGAGGATGAAGACGATGATGGAGAGGATGAAGAGGATGGAGAAGAGGAGGAGGAGGATGAAGACGAGGATGGAAAAGAGGATGAAGACGATGATGGAGAAGACGATGAAGACGATGAAGACGAGGATGGAGAGGATGAAGTGGATAGTGAGGATGGTGAGGATGAGGACGAGCCAGAATCCGAGATAGAGTACATGGAAAATTACGAGAGCGATGAAGAAACTGAGGAGCAGATTATCGTGGAGGAGTACCAGCGCGATCCGTACGAGGCCGTGTTGAGGTGGACGACCGTTACTGGCAGGTTGATGGCAGATGGAACCATGATCGAGGGCGTCCAAGGGCTGACAAGAGCAAACGCCAAGTTGCTGCAACAGAATGGCACCCAGGGTACACCTGTCCCACCCAAGGGACTGGCGTCGGTGGCCAATAAGGTCATGCACCTGAACTCTGCCATGTCTTTGCTCAGGACTAAGAGTCCTAAGGCTGCGTCGACCGGTGATGGACCGGGTACGAGTATGTACGGTACGAACTCAGGCTTCATGCCAGCACAGCCTTCGACGGGCAAGTTGAAATCGCTCGTGTCGCTGATGAAGGCCAAGAACGGGGCAGGTGATGGAACACAGTCGAGGCCGGGGTTGGGACTTAATGCGGTCGAAGAGTGAGATGAAGTAGATTTTTTAAAAAGATGTTTGATACATGCATGCGAATGAAAGAATTGAAAAACACGAAGGCGGGTTCACCTATGATGGAGGTGAAATCGCTCGACTGATATGCTAAGGAGAGGAGTGGAGGCCTGATACGAAACCGGCGCAACGCGAAACTGACGCGACACAGGACGTGCAAGAAAGAGAAAAAAACATCTCAGAAAAGGTGTAACTTCGAGGTGCGCCATGCATGCTTCTCTTTTATCGCTCTACCCTCGACATTTTGCATAATGCATTCCATGGGCGCATTAACAATTGTCGATCAATTCTCGGCTCATAAGGGAAAGAAAAGAAAGATATGGCTGGTCTCGAACGCACAAGAAAACAGTATGATTTTTTTTTTTTTCGCTGCCGGCCTTTAAGAAGAGGATCCTCGTAGTTATGTTGCCTCGAGCAGGACTCATCAGGACTTTGGCGATCATGATTATGAGCTCTTTCTCAGTGTCGGTTGTGACATCCTGTGAAAACAAAGCGAAAATGTTGGTGTTGGTTACCCCTTGATCTGTATCTGCCAATACTTTTGCCCTGGAAATATTTAGATGAACCCTTGCGCCATCCACCTTGTACCCAGTTCTCTTTTAATCTCTGACTCCCTCATCATTCTGTAGCAATCATAATCAATAGATATGATGAAATGTGGTTTGTTATTCCTCCCAACAAAACATCCCTTAACTTTCAAAGCCTTACACAATGATTCGATCGACAACTTCCTTCATCCTATTCGCAATCACTTTCATTGTCGCTACGCTGTCCATCCAGGGCACCGCCGTAGTCATGGGCGCAAGGTCCACGGTAGTTCTGGCAACGGTCCTTTAGGTGTATCGGGTCTGCGCGAGAGACTCGGGGCTCAGAAGGAGATCAACGCCGCCAGAAAGTTGTACGGTATCCAGACACTCAAGTGGAATGACACCTTGTTCGCTGGAGCAGAAGCCCACGTCAAAACTTGTAACGCCGAGATCAATACTTCTATAAAGGTAATGGCCAATCTTTGCACGCAATGCTTCTAGTCACAACGTGCTGATACAGCCCATCTAATTTGACTATTTTTCCTTGTGTTCAGTTCGGTGAGATCGTCTCTCAAAAGGCGACCTACAAGGACGCCGTTCAGGAATGGCTCATGGCCGAGTCAGCGTATAGGAACCACGATGCAAAGACCATCAATGCTGGAAGTAGGTTTACTCCATGAAAAATGACATGGCTACGGGATTGGTCTTAGAAGAAAACAAAGCGGCATCTCCTCCCTTTTCTAATCGCCCCTTGATTTTTTTTTCTTTGTGATTTTCCAATGCTGCAAAAGACTCGTTCTCTCAGATTGTGGGGAAATCTTCAACGCAGATTGGTTGCGATATTGGCGAGTGTGGGACAGACAAGCACCTCATTGTCTGTCGGTTCTTCCCAGAGAGGAATAAAGAAAATTACTCAGGATCAGACGTAACGAATAAAAGAGAGAGGAATATGAGAACGAAATCAAAGAGTGATTGGGTGGTGGCGTCTCGCATGAACGCGAAACCCACGCGTCTTTTTACCTTATGGTGGCCCACAGCAAGAACCACGCCGACTTGAGATGCTGAGATGGACCTCTCTCTCTAAAAGAGACAATAAGGTTCAGGGACCCTTTTTCCATCATAGTCATCTTCTGATGATAAAAACAACTCGTTACTGCCCCGTCCCATCAGAAAACCCCCTCCCTGTCCATCTGATTCTTGCCCTTGCCGAACTTTTCTCTTTTTCCATATTTTTGTACATCTCTCCTTCTTTCTCTTCTTAAAACCCTCCAATACAACCTTGACACCTTTTCCCCAAGACGGCACACAACTATGACCCGATGTTGGGCATGCTGCTGGCATGATAATCTCCGCAGACTATTTCACTATGGTAAAACGCAATGAAGGATATTGCTCAGCCATCATGGGGCAATGGACCAGTCACCGATCTCCTCATTACTGCTTTCGCCTTCATTGAATGTTCCGGAATCTGCTGCTCCTCCAGTCTTCGCTTATATCCCTTCAACTTGTCGAGGAACTTAACATGTCGATCTGGGAAGGTTTGCGGAAAGTTACGGTCGTCAACGTCGATGGAAACACGCTGGAGGCTCTCCAGCTCTGACTCTGGGTCAGAGCGGACAATCTGGAACCTGACGACCTCTGCAGGATAGGTGATAACTGTGATGTTTTATGTACCTGAGTATGAGTCAAGGAGACAAAAGAGCGTTGTTGTTTATTATGCTCCCGGTAGGGGTTTTTATAGCCCCGACCTGGGGCTTGGAGTATTAGATAGCTTAATAGTCTCATGAATAAAAAAGGAAGTGGCCTAAATGTGAAGGTTCACTCCCAGTACAGTCCCAATTTGGGGTCTGGACGGAACAACTCCCCCCAAGTTTTGATCCCACAAAACCACTGTTGAGATGGGGTTATTCATCGATGTGTGGGAAAAAAAATGATAGTAAAAACTCTGTGATATGAAATGTAATGGAGGAAAAAGTAAACCTCCTAATAGTTCGTCTGAGGAAAGCGAGAAAAACCTCTTTGTGATAATTTAGTTGCGAGAGAAAAAGGTAAAACTCTCTAGTGCGTCAACGTCTGTGCGTTGCAACCTTAAAGTAATGAGTGTGGGGAAAAATGCACAAAACCCCTTTTGATCAGGCCCTGATTTTTCTTCTTCTAGAGAAGACTCAGAGCGTGAAAGCTCTCAGTAAGCATTGTCATGCTCGCTAATTTGCTTTCTTCCTGGAGAGGAGTTCTTCCTTCCTCTTTTTCCCTTACTCGCATCTTTTGAGATTGGTTTTGCTGTGCCGTCTGTTGTCGTAGCGTTTTTTTCTGAACTCTCTTTTCCTTCTCTGCTTGCTTTGCAATGGCATGAGGGTTCTGTTGGTTCAAACGCTTCCAGCACCGTCTGATGATCAGATCTGAATCAAAATTGTCATATTCTAGTTGGGGGTTGTGAGGAGAGTCGTATCCCTTCCACTTGGCAGTGTACCTCACCCCCTCCGCCGTGAGTTCGTGGCCAAGGATGGCTTCGACTTCGTACGACTCATCACTGCGACCATTTAGGTCCTGCATGACAAGTTTGAGCTGGACAGGGGCGTAGTTGCGTTCTAGTTTCTGGTTCGTGGCATCCAACAAAGTGTAAGCTCCATTCTCTGTACGTTCCATGACCTTGTAAGGGTCTTGGTACTTTGGTGCAAGCTTGCCTTCCGGGAGTTGCTCTCTGGCCATGACATAACAGCCAGAAGAGAACCCCATAATATAGTGTGTACGATTGAACTTATTAATTATTTTATGCTGTGTTTCTGCACCGGTTTCTGACACTGCCGGAAAGACTAATTCCGTGAGATATTCCAAGCGTTTCTCAAGTTCTTCTTCTGTCATAAGATGTGATTCTGTTGACGTAAAATCGGTTAGCCCTGCAAATGAGCGTCCGAAGAACAATGAGAACGGTGTAGACTTGTTAGGACTCGCCGAACGCACGTTTAATTGGATTTGGGTCAAAGGAGGATAAGCATCCCAAAGATCAAGACGACCTTCAAGTTGCTTTTGAATATTCTCTTTAAGGGCTCTAACATACCTCTCCGCAACACCGTTGGATCGAGGATGATATGGTGTAGATAATCTGTGATCAATCTGCAGCTTTTGCGACATGAGTTTGGTTACTTCATTTACGAATTCGGTGCCATTGTCGCTTTGGATAATCTTTAGGAAACCAATTGTACAAAATAATTTGAAAAGGATGTCTGCAACTGTCTTGGCTTCCTTATTCGGCAATGGTTCCAGGAAGGCGAATCTAGTGCAGATGTCAACCATTACCAAAGCGAATACGTTGCTTTGCCTGCTAACGTCAAATGTGGCGAGATCAATCGCTACATGCTCTCCAGGTAATTCTGCATGAATGGCATTCAGTGGATGATATCATTTGCGTGCGATATTAAAGTGCTGACAGGGTGTAGCCTTGTTCATAAATGGCCTTAACCATTGCATTACCCCTGAGATGACCAAACTCATGGACTTGTTTGAATATTTGTTTGCGTTCTTCGACGTCTAGAACGGTAGTTTGTCCATGTCGTTCGTCTGCATAACGTGAGTATACGGTGCCTCATGGTCAATAGGTACTGTCGAGAGACGATCTGCTATGTTAACTGAAGAAATAATGATGTTCTCTTCTGTAGGCGAAAGAGTGGCCTTTCGTAGCCCTGACCTAGTCACTGCTGCAACACGATGCTCCTTGCCTTTGGAGTTTGCACTCTCAATAGGCGTCCATAGTTCGTCTGGAAATGCTCGGGATAATGCGTCTGGAATAACATTCAACAGTCCTGGACGATAAACACATTTGAAATCATAATTGAGCAATGTCTCCTTCCAATTCGTAATGATCGGAGGTAGCTCCTTCTGTTCGTGAATGTATGTCAAGGGTCTGTGATCAGTGTACAGCGTGAATCTTCTACCCCACAAATAGTGATGGAATCTCATGAGAGCAAATATAATCCCAAGAGCTCCTTTTTATAAGCGGGATAGTTCTTTTCGTGCTTGTGCAGTGCGCGTGCCTGAAAGGAAACGTAGTTCACTTTAGATTCGTCGCTTTTCCGTTTGGTAACTGGTACAAGACTGCACCGATGCCCACATTAGAGGCGTCAGTGGCGACATAAAAAGGTTCTTTGAAGTTTGGGAATGACAAAACAGGTGCTTGGGCAATCAGATTTCTAATTGCATCAAAACTGCGCCTTTGCAAGTCATTCAACTCAAACGTACCCTTGGCGTTGCGCAACTGATTCAGCGGTGCTGTAATAGTGCTGTAGAGTGGGATATATTCCCTAAAATAATTAAAGAGTCCGAGATATCTCTGGATCATCTTTTTGTTCGTCGGAAGAGCCCACGATTGAACGTTAGCAATCATTTCCGTATTGACACTGCGTCCTTTTTCATTGACGATAAATCCTAGGAGAAGGACCTCAGTGCTTAGAAACCTGCTTTTCTCTCGATTGATGATTAGCTTTACTTCAGTCGATCGATTGACGACCACAGTGATGTGAGCTAGATATTCTTCGATTGAATTCGAATAAACAATAATGTCATCAACATATGTGCTACCATAATGCAGATCACCAAGTAAATGGGACATTCCTCGTTGGAAAATGCTCGTCAGAGGTTTTAGCCCAAATGGTGCTCTTGCAAACATGTATTGCTTACCATTGTAGGTGAAGGCTGTCAATGGTTGACTCGCCTCGTCCACTGGCATGCGGTGATATGCTTGAGAGAGATCGATCGTCGAAAAGTACTTATGTCCTGCCACTTTTTGCTGAATATCTGTTATAAGTGGTAAAGGAAAGTTGTCTGTATCCCCTAGCTGTCTATTCAACGCGCGAGGATCAAGGTATACGCGGTACTTCATGATGTTGCCATCTAGGTCCCTGCGAGCAGCCATTGTCAGAGAATTGTTGTATGGGTTGCCTTTTGGCGCGAGCACAATGACTTCTGTATCCCACCACTTTTGTACTGTTCGATCTACTTCGTCTTTCTCTACCTGTGCGTGAAACGGTCGAGACCGTTCCTGGATTACGCAGTCAGGCTTCACCTTCAACGCGACTTTCATCGAGTCAAGTGTGCAATATGATTTTGGGTCTATGGTTTCGTTAGATTTGAGAAAGGGCTCGAGCGCTCTCATAAAATCTTCTTTTTGCTTGATGAATTCAGGCGTGCGTTCTTTCAGAGGTGTCTCTTTCGGCACTACCGATGGTTTCTCATCGGATGGCACCCATAGAAATTCTTCTTCTTTTGGTGCTGGCATAACCACACCTGTGATAGCAAATCCAAATCTAGGAAAGAGATCCGTTCCTACGATGAAATCGTAGTGATCAATGTCCATGACATGGAGTTGGTACTCGACTGATCTCTTGTTGCACACAAGCTGAACTCTGTCGCAGGTAATGATGCTGTCTGTGCTCGAACCTCTCTGTATCATCGCAATTAATTCATTTGCTACTTTGCCATATCGAATGCCAAAGTCATCAGCTAATTCTCTACTAAGCAGAGATGTTGTCGCTCCAGGATCTAGTAGCGCTGTGCATTGCGCGCCTAATATTCCTATTGGCACTGCTACGCGATTATCACCTGGTGCCGGCCCTTTGTATGCATATACATGCATCAAATGGGCCTGTGGAGAAGATAAATAAGAGGAAAAGAATGATTCTTTATTCAGCTGAATTCCTCCTAGCTGTGCTTCCTCATTAATTTTGGCAAATGCTCCAACCGTCTTCATGGGCTTGTAGCCCTCCCTTGCCGGTTGGTTGCCTTTGTCTACAGACTCCTTTTTCTTCTTCTGGTCGTTTTGCCAATGGAAACACTTGTCCAGCGGGTGCTTGAGCCTTAGCGTCTTACACTTCTCGGAGTACGTACAGACTTTCGAATCTGTCTTGTGTTTCTTTTAGCCTCGTTCTCGACCATGGTCCTCATTCGAGTTCAACCTCTTATTCTGCAGATGAACAGCTGCCTTGTCCTCGTTTTCAGTTCTTGTCTTGCCTTGCGCGCGCTCCGCTGCTTGAGCACCGATCTTGCCGTCATACTTCTTAATGAACCACAATGTGTGGTCAGTCCTGGTTCCGTCTAACGCACCTGGCGTATCAACTAGAAACTTGAGGTATGACTTGATTGACTTGATCTTGTCGAACGAACCGTACTCCTTCACAGTGGCCTGGAAGTCAATGTCCGATAGGTGATTGCACAGTGCCTTAATCAGGAGGGCACAATCATCTTCCGGAAACTCTGCAGCCTCGATTAGTAGTCGTAGACGTTGGGAGAAAGCCAGAAGACTCTCTTCCTTCTTGAGTCTGGTCTTGAAGACCTCATCAGCGAGATGGGCCTCTAGCAGCTCGAACTTGAGGGCCTTGTTGAGACAAGTAACGACCTGACTCTACGTTCTCTCCTGCATAGGAAACTCCATGATGAGATCCGTGTAGTCCTTGGCGAGGCCGCTGACCTTGATCAGAGCGCCAGCCATGCAGTTCCATGCCATCTTGTCAAATAAGACGGCCGTGAGATTCCATTCGTAGAATCGCTCAAAATCATCTCTGAAATTCATGACTCTTGTGGCGATCTCCTTAATCATATCTTCTACAGGCACCTTGGATACATCCAGATCTTGGACAGGAGCGCCAGTGAATGCCTTCTTCTTGACCTTTGAGTAATCAATCTCATCAGAGTCGTCGAGGAGTGAAGAATATGACTGTCCAGAATCAATGAGAACAAAAGAGGGATCTTTAATTACAGCGACCAAGCAATTACTTATTGCTCAGTGGCTTAAGTTAATGTCTGGACTCAATCTAGCTATCGAACAAGACAGCGTGTAGAATGGGCTATATGCCACAAGAAGTGGAATGTTCTCCTCTTTGCAGATACGATGGAGCCCATCGTGCTCTGGAATCGACGGGTTCCACTTGACGGTAATTCGATTGCCCTCTGACTTTTGTACCTTGGCGACCTTGCTCTCAACGTATCCATATGCTGTCTTGAGAACGTCTTCTACTTCATTCATCAAAGCCTTCAACAATGACTTTTTTTGCTCTGTGAGCTTTCGGAGGGCATCATCTTTAATTGGCCTATTAAGCTGAACTCTACGTAGACGCTGCTTAGCATCATTAAACCTCATTAACAGCAGACCCTTCCCACTGGTCTTCTTCACTAAACGATTTTGATAGACCTGGAGAAGCTTGAGGAGACCACCTTTCGTATCGATTTCGGAGACTTGACCGACGTCTTGAGGAACCGGAGACATGCCTTGCTTGGGATCGCCTCGCATGGATGGATGGATGGATGGGTGGATGGTTTCAGAGGATGGATTGTGGTATGGCTCTTGAAAGGCCTTGGTTTTATGTGCACAGTACTCCTGCGACGTAGTAAATATTGCTGACGTACATAACCCGACATCCGACCTTGAGAGACAGCTTTTTTTTGCTGAGCCGTTGCGTAAGCCCCCATACCATCAATCGCTTCAAAAGAGAACAGCTCTCCAGGAAGCTGCTCCAGCTGCCGGTTGTTCACCTTCCTTGCATTTTCAACATGACTGAACAAGTGGAAGAAGTCCGTAGGCTGATCATGAGTGTTGTCCCAGTGACGTTGCCGGAGAAAAGTATTGAAGATCCGCCGCTGGTGGAGATCGTTGCCATCGTATCTTCCCAGCAAAGTCAGAAAGAGGTCGAACTGGTGATCATCTTGCTGTCGCATTGGTGATGTTAGATCGTACCGATCAAGCGCAAGATAGTCATCTGTTGGTGCTTTCCATAAATACGGCACGGGTCCTCGCCTGATGACCGGACCAAGTTGACCAAAGTCTCCAAAGAACAACACAGCGCAGTTCCCATATAGCCGGTTATTGTCCAAAGCATGACGGAGGCCTTGACTCATCAGTTCCAGCAAGCGATACGAAATCATCGAACATTCATCCATGAGAAAACGCGGTCTGCGGCCGTCACTCTTAATCTGCTGAAGACGAAGAGCAAGCCTTACTGGGTCACACTCTGGTAGATCAGAATCCCCTTCCGCGCGTGGGATTCCAAAGAAGCGGTGTATTGTGTGGTGCAATAACAGCAGAGTCAAGGGATCAAGGGCGGTGGTCAAGTAGGAATGCGTAGAAATGAATGCTGTTTAATGTTTATAAGTAGGGTCTATATATACATGTCTGTGGCCCATTGTACAGTGTCGTAACGGTGTTGCCATGGCGCCGGGCTCCATCCTGGTTCTGTGCGTCGTAACCGTGCAGCTTGGTAACTGAGTGGTAATCCTGTTGCAGGAGTGCATTATCTAAGAAGAATGCAGATGCTAGATAACTATAGAACAAGGCTTGGAAACGGCCTTCTATTTATCTAAGTTAGATCCATAGAGATGTGGTCTATCGACTCTATAAGGGACATCAGCAACAAAGATAGTAGGGTTCAAAAAGAGAACTGCGGACACCAGGTGGTCATTGGCAGTCGTTGGTATGCCGTTGCCACCATCCCCTAAAAAGGCACATGCTGAGTGATACTTTGACTCTGATGGAGAATGACTCAGCGCTCGAACTGGCTCGATAGAGCGCACATTGGGACCGATACTTCGGACAAAATGAAGAAAAACTTGATTGTCAGCAAGTGTTGAAGAAAAAGTATAGGAACTGCAGGGTGCTCGACTGTGTTTTGGACAACTGAAAAGGAAACCTCATCCTTTTTGATTTCCATGTCAAACTTTTCGGTCATATTCCAACGAGAAGGGGAGCGGCTGCTAGTCCGTCCAAGATATAGAAACAGACTGGAGAATTGCTGAAAGAGAACCGCACTGTGCCAAGTGTCTGTGTATGTAATGGGTCCATCGCATGTAGAGACAACAATACGGGCGTGCTGAACAATGAATTTGAGCCCAGCAGTCTTCGCGTAGAAATGCAGGAAATGGAAGCTACAGTGTCCATGAGTACGTCAACGGAATGTGGTTGAAAGTGAAAGGACAGGAGGGTAGGAAGCTTAAGGTATTTGGTGTAACATCGTTTAGATGATTGTCAACCACTGTTGTCGCTGTGAATCGAAAAGCTTCTTTGGTGAAGGAGGCACAAGATCGAAGTGTTCCGTTATACGTTCAAACAGCAATGAAGGAGTCTCTTGTCCTTGGCCATAGTAAAAAGGAGCCCATATGGTGGGACGTTTTGACTAGGGAAGCACTTCTGTATGTTTTCTTACGAATTTAAATCTTCCCATGTAGTTGCTGATTGCAGGCACGCGCATTCACGACGCATCAGTTGAAGTCGATCTCATCCTGCGTGAGACTGACGCCCTTGATCACTAGTATGGCGACAGTCAACATAGGATAGGCAGAAGCCGCAACGATGTACCCGCGACCAAAGTAAAGCCTTTTTAGACGCCAAAGGTCGGTTCGAACAAAAACAAAATTGTCATCGCAACGATCTTCATGGGAGAGACAAAGAACATATAATATGTATCAAGCGCTCCAGGCTAGCGCGTTGTCTACATGGTTGACCTGTTATCTGAATGTCCTGTATTAACGATGGTAATCTTCCGGCCCATGTTGCATACAACTTGAAGGCTGGAGGAGTAGAGGCGATACCGATCGAAGAAGAAGCCACCTCAATGCCATTATGCCCGAGCTGGTCAAGTGTAAGCACAAACTGAGGGGCCACTTCTTGTTCCCGATAACTCGTATTCATGAACACTTCGTGTTGAGAGACCAAATGTAGGAGTTTAAGAAAGCTGTCGTGACCCATCCCCAGGAAGGCTCGGCACTACCTCTCACTGAAACCTTTGAATCGCGTAAATATATCTCACCCTCGTAACACGCACGTAAGGTATAATCGCAAGGCTGGAAAAGCTCGAGCTTGGCACCAACTCGTCCATAAAATCCGGCTCCTCATCCTCAAGGTCGTCGTCCGAATCCGAATTAGATGGAGCTTCGCGAGACCCATCCAGACTTTGATGTTCGAAGGACTGCTGCAAGAAGTAATATATCTCTCCCGACATCGATCATGCACGACCCAAGTGTCCGAAAATCCCTAGCAAGATCCTCTGGAGCTTAAGGAGTCGTATAAGGTTTTTTGGTCATACAAATTTTTTCGATTACCTCCGATAGGACGAGACTAAGGAAGAAACTATGCCAAAACGTGTTCATGGCTATTTTTTCCCTTGGTATCATCCCCTCGGCAGGGGTGCGTTATGATGCAATGAACGGATGGCTGGCAATGGTCATCATTGCTGTTGTTGTTGTAGTTGTTGTTGTTGTTGCTGTTGTCGTTGATGCTGCTGCTGTGGTGGTGATGATGGTGGTGGTTGTCGTTGTTGTTGCTGAGTACTGCAGTCGTCTATCGTCAGCATACATCCTGGAGGTGTGCATGGGAGCGTCTCATATTGCCAATTTATTTTATTCGCCTGTGCAACCAAAGAAAGAAAGCGGTATGGTGCCCTTGCGTAGAGGGTTCAGCCTACCGAGGCTAGTGAAGGATACGAAAGACAGGGAAGGAAAAGATCTTCCTCGCCTCTCTTCTTCGCCTAATCTCATTGCCCTCCCTCCTTCATCCCCATCCCCATCCTAATCCTCATCCCCATCCTCATCCCCATCCCCTTCCCCTTTCTCTTCTTTCTTTCTTTCTCAAAACGACTGTCCTCCGCACCTTTCACACACGCTCTTATTTTTGTGTTGTTGAGTGTTCCAGCTGCCGAGCATATCGAAAAATGTCATATCCAACGGCCCGTGCTCGGGAGGGCAAGAGCCCTTGGTCCTCTGTAAACGCTGATGCTGATGCTGTGGCCCAGATACCAGGCGCACCGGACCCACCTGTAATACCAACCATTACAAAGCCAAGCTCAAAGCCTAAACCCACCACAGCAAAACCAACAGCGACCGTGCTACCACCGAAAACCATCACCACAAAAACAGGCGTCATCATTCCAACCACCACGAGTACCAAAGAGCTGCCGACCAACACCACGATTACGACCTCGACCTCAACCCCAGACGCAAATGCCAGCAATGACGGCTCTATCGGGACCAATGACGGCATCACTGGGATCATTATCGGGTCTGTTCTCGGGGTGGTGGTTGTCGCTGCTGTCGTCGTAGGGTTGTTGCTGAGGAGGAAAGGGTCAAAGCGGAGAGGCCATGGACTGCACGAGGCAAAGTTACATAAGCAGCAGCGCATGATCGGAGAGGACATCAGCGTATTCATGGCCCCATCCAGACATCGTCGAACAGGATCCTCGTCGCTCAACGGAGCCTTGGCTGCAAGAGGTAACAAGCCTTTGGGCAGAACTCGTGTTGAAGTCGAGGATACGGACGGACATGGAGAGTACCAACAGCAGCAGAGCTTGCATGAACAGCTACAGGACCAGGAGCACCAGCAGCAACCGGGTTGGTGGAACAAAAAATCACCTCTGGAATACTACCGCCAAGTACCGCCCCTGAAGGAACTTAACAAAACAGCACCCGACAATGACGAGACTCAGCAGGGACGTGTGGAAGTTAGTCAACGAGACATTGCTTCCACAGGGGTACCGGGACAGTTTCCAGGGCATGGTGCGGTCGAGGGCATGGCTGCAAAGAGCCTTACAAACGCTTCTGGTGAAAGACAGCAGCAGCCCTTTGCGCGAGAGTCGATTCCACTCTCCAGCACATCAAACAATGAAGGTACCAGTCGCTCGTCCAACCAAAACAGTGCGCGCAACATGAACCATGATTCTCGACAGCAGATCTCTTCAGGGAACAACCGCCATCTCCCTTCCTCGCCATACGACCCCGCTATCCGACCGCTTCCTCAGCAGCAACGACAGGAGTACCAGCGTAACAATGACAACCCATCAACCACTGGCACTTTACTATCTCCCCTCAGCCCTCTCAGCCCTCTCAGCCCTCTCAGCCCCATGGGACCCGTCTTCACAGAACCATCACCGCCATCAAACTCTGTCACAGGAGCATACCATCCTCCACCGCCAGTCGACATCGCGACCAACCCATACTACCGCCTCCCACCGCGCCCCGTCATCATCCCAGTCACACCCCCTCCAAGGCACTCTCGACAGCTTTCACAGCCATCTGCTGGGTTCTACGACTTTTTGGAGCAGGAGATTGAAAACTCCTCAGCACCCATGACCAAGACCACTGACAGCAATAACAACAGCACCGGCAGTGGTCGTCAACAACCTCCTCCAAGATCGGTCGAGAGAAAGTCAGCCTCGACCACAGCCCCGCCTCCGATCCCTCGCGCTACTCGGCCGATCTCGATCAGTGCCGAGAACATGACAGCTTTGGATGCATCTCCTGGCCCTGTACCCGCCTTACCACCATCTTTGACTCCGTTTCAGCTGAACCAGCAACAGCTACCAAGGAACTGGAGAGCGTCGCCGTGGTCTCCAGTGTCGCCTTCAGGATCGAATAACGATGAGCCACGGATGGGCGGACGGATGCCACGCGTCAAGAGTCAACGAAAGATGGATCATACTACACATACATAAATAAAAGCCCATGTACTATAGACATATACACAGAGATCTGCAAGTTAGCTAAATGTAATAAAATACGAAGGTATTTGAAGTAGTATGCCTGCATTTGTATATTTTTCTACTGTTGGAATCGTGCAAAATGATAATGTTGTTTTTTGGACGTAAAGACAATATATATCCTATCGCTTGCGGGAAGGGAATGAGGAAAGAAGAGTGAAGGGCTATCTACATCTGTCGAGGTGAAGTGGGTGATCCTGGCCCATCGCTGCGATTCCTCCGCATGCCGCCAGGGCTAACAGGAGGGGGCATCATTGGTCCTCCGCCAGGCGAGGGAGGTCCACCGGGGAAGGGCTGTCCACCTGGCGAGAGTGGGCCTCCAGGGCCGGGCTGTTGCCATGCCCCTGGACTTCCAGGACTACCGAGCGAAGTTGGTGCGAACCGTGGTGAGGGTCCACCCATACCCATCAGCGGTCGAGCCTGGTTCCCGGCCAGCGGAGTACTCATGACTTGGCGACCATTGTAATCATGATGGAATTGCTGTGGACCCAAATCGCTCAGCATGTCCGACTCGTTATCGTCCGTGTAAACACTTGGAGCACCAGTGCTGCGTGCATAAGGGGATCCTTGACCGCGCTGACGCTCTGCACGTTCGATACGTTTGACCTGACGGACACGCGCTTTTTCGTAATCGTCCCAGCGCTTGAGCGGTACGCTAGAGGCATCAAAGATGCCGTCGGCGTTTCCGTGGGCCTCACCCTTGGCCTCGCCTTCGACCTTACGGGTCTCTCCCCAGGAGAAGTCGTCAAAGTGCCAGTATGCGTACAGAGGAAGGATAAAGTTCCAGACTGGGAGAGCCATCAGGTAAACAAACATCCAGGCAATATAGATCAGCTTGCGGGTCGTGAGCAGAATCAGGATCGCGGGCAGGACCAGGACAAAGATAAGGAGAACCAGAGGCATGGCCTGGGATACTGTCTCGATCTGCATGTTTGCAAGACTGACGCACAGGACAATCATCAGGATCATGGCCACGGGCAGGACGACCGTTCCAATCAACTCCATAAAAATGACAAACTGCATCGAGAAGCAGAAAGTTCCGCACAGGTTTCGGACGAGGACTAGTTCTAGGAGGTTGTGAACTGTCGAGTTGATCCAGCGACGTCTTTGAGAGAGCAACACATTGAATTCATCAGGGACCACAGTCTTACAGATAGCCTGGGGCATGAACATCATCTTGCGGTTGGGGAAATTACGGAGCATGAGCGTCGTCAAGAAACGATCCTCTCCCAGGAGTAGCAGATTCTTTTGGTGAAGGGTCTCAACAATGTTTTGCGAGTATTCTTGAACGATTTCGGGTTTGGTGATAATCGGGACCCAGTCGTCTCCCTTGCGGGCCTTAAGTCGGTACATGCAGAAACATCCAGGCAGACAGGTCACACCTCCAAAGACGGACTCGAACCCCTTTCCGAGATGGTGAGAGATGTAGTACTCAAAGACCTGAATCGCAGTAACCCATGACTGACGCTTGTTGGCGATCTTGGTCTCGCCGCAAAGTCCCATAATCAGAGGGTCGTTATTCATGCAGTTCATCAGCAGACGCAGTGAGCTTGGGTAGACCTTCGTATCCGCATCCACCATCAACACAATCTCAAACTTGTCCGGGGTAACCTGCATCAAATGCTGGATCTTTCGGAAGAGTTCATAGTCCAGGGGCGTCATGCGATCGTTGTATGTCACGCGCGAGAAAAAGTTCATCAGAATCAGCTGCGAGTCGCGCTTGCCACGGTTTCCGGCCTTGGGCTTGTCCATCTCCTCCTCGTTTCCGCATTTGACGATCAGCGCTGTCGGCACACGCCTGTTCTTCCATCGGAAATATCCTGCATAGACCTTGGCGCGGTTGTGCTGTTTTGATCCAGCGGCGACGGCAATGTACGACTGGGGTGTTGGATCCGAATCAAAGGCGGGGTCAAGCTCAATAAGACTGGAGCAAATGTCAGGGGTCGAGCGGTCGTTGCCGGATCCTGTAATGATACCGTCGCAGATAATAAAGAGCAGCTTCTTATTGTCGGGGTATTCTGTTGCAGCCAAGGATTCGATCGTAGTACGGAGCGAGGATTCTCCCTCGGAATAGCAGGTCACCAGCAAGATAGTGTGAAGCTCCAAGACATTGCCACCGGCAATACTGGCAGTGGTGGGGGTACGGGAGAGTGCCTTTCCTGGAATAGGCGAAGCAGCAATGGTTGTGCCGGAAAGACTTGAACCTGAGGACGCAGCCGAGGCCATGGTGTGGACCTTGGGCTTGACTGGAGGTTTGGCAAGCTTGGCAGAGAGGAACCAATCGAAAATGACGGCCATGGCGAATCGACTCACCACAATGCCGAGGACAACGGTCAGGGATACATACATAAACAGATCTGCGGCAAAGCATCCAGGTGTGGCCTTATCGATGAACCCAGCGCGAAACTTGTCAACGAGACAGTTCACGGTATTCTTGAGCGAGTCACGCCTGAAGAAGAGTTTGGTGACATCACGGCCTCCCTCGGGCATGGGCAAGAACCTCACAGTGCGGAAGATAGCGTCGATCTCGTCTCCGGGGATCGGGTTCTTGTAGGTCCTGTAATATGCGTCCAGGTTCAGTACATTGCCGTCGATGACTATGAAGTTGCTCAGCTCATCCTGAGCCATCTGATTCCAGTCGTATCCTACTCTCAGGTTGTCCTTTGGGAAGATTCTTCTGGCGTCGAGCCAGGCTTTCGAAGCAGTAACGTTATTGACGCAACCGCCGGCATGGGGGTTGCAGTTGTCGAACCGAGCCGCGGCACTATTGAGACCGACGCAGTTAACTGAATCCTTGCCGCGAATCCAGAGGTTGCTGATATCGCCCGCTGGCTTGAAGGCAGTGGTGTTGAATCCCGCTGGCCATTGGGCATTACCCTGGAGACTGTAAATCATGCCTTCGATACCGTAGAGACCGTTAACTAGAAGAGAAGGCGATAGACGATCAAATTAGTTAAAAGTCCGCGTTCTATGGAGTAAAGCACATTACCTCTTCCGCATCCACACAGACACCAATGATGCGACAAAATCTGCCAACCTCTAGCTCATCTCATTATAGATGTACCATGGGTCTTCATCCCCTCAAATTCCAACCACTGTCTGTTTGCTTACATTGAGCATCGCCGTATCTGGCAAAGGTCTGGGCATTTTGTCTCTGTGAGGTTGGGCACAGCAGGAATGTAAAGCCGATGGTCAAGAAGGCAACCATGCCTCCGATGAACATGATAATGACGCACAGCGCCACCTTCTCTCGCCAGGCCTGCTGCACAGCCTTGCCATGGACGCCGCACATGTTCAGGAAGGGCGGAAGTGCCCAGCAGGTTGTGAGACGTGAGAAGATAACCCAGAACGAGGCAGGTTCGTCGTCCTTGCGCTTCTTGAACATGGTTTCGGGCGTTTGGAATCGCTCGGGGCGTGAGAGGGTCTTGCCGCGACTCAGGGTGGCTCCGCGACGGACATCGCCGGGCCGCATCCCTACACCGCTCGGTCTGCCAGACATGTTGCTACTGCTGTTGCCGTTGTGTTGTTGCTGCTGAAAGAGCGGGCGTTGAGTGCCTGTTGTGGTTGATTAGGCTGTTTCAAATTCAAATTCGATTAATATATTTCAGGCACAGACAAAAGGGGCAGGCGCGAGATTGAGTGTGAGATTACGTGAGGGAGTGAGAGAAGGGTATCTTGTGAATGGTCTCTCTGAAGAATTAAAGACTGGAGGGCAGCAGGAAAGAGAAGTGGGGTGCCAACAGATGCCGAAGAGAAGAAGAGGGAGTGGGGGACGACGAGGAAGAGGTACAAGGAAACGGATATATGTGATGGAGCGTAGTCTACGTGAAATACAAAGATGAAATAAAAAAAACGCTTATGGGAGGAGCGCTGGAGGAGGAGATGGGGATGATGAAGATGAAGATGGGATGAGAATGAGAATGAGGAGGGACGGGGGATGAGGATGATGAAGAGAAGGGGAGAGAAAGGAAAGGGGAGGACAGATGATGATGATGATGATGATGATGATGGAGGATTTCGAGTAAGCAAGGGCAGTGTGCAGCTCGGATTGAATTGTGTTCGTTATTCAGGACCATTCAAAAAAATTTAGCGGCGACTTTTTTTTTTTCCGTGCTATAACCACTGGTTGGAAGCCATAGACTGACATTGCTTACCAGACCACCCCACGCCCTCTTTGTCTTCCTGCAATGCTCCAGCTTATCCATTGCTATTGCCGCTGCCATTGCAACTGTTATCCTACTCTTACCGTCTGCCCACAAAATGAAGCGTATGCTTGATGTCGCTCGCATCCGAGTGCTACCACCGTCAACGCATCCCTTCAAGAGAGTAGCGCAGCCCACTCGCTTCTTTCTTTTCCTACACTGCCTTCAAAAGGCGAAGTCAGGTAAGTCGGATGAATGCAGAGATACAAGTCTTAAATGGATAATACATTCCTGTTCCTTGCAAACTAGACTAGACTAACAAGCCGGCTTTTCGAGTTAGAGAGGGCGTGTTTTTTTGGTTTTTTTTTTTGGTTGGAAATCGCAGTGGAAAATAATAGCACATTCTATTTTTAATAGATGGAGCAGCATCGCTAGGCAAACTCTCTTCCTCTTCTCCCGTCTGAGCCCTATCAATTCCATCAATCATCCTAGTCTAAGGATTGATACAGCGGACGAAAAAAAGATATCTCGGTGGATGAGAATGGCCATATCAAGCCATGGTCCTTGAACTAGACGTGTTCTTCGTGTTACAATATTACAATTGGAGCAGTGCCTTCTTCCTTGTGTACGCCCTAGTTTGCATGCTAGTCCACGCTCCCCTATAGCAAATAGGTCCAGCAGAAGCATTCCTTGAATGATGCATCAAAACGCGACCCACGGGCTCTTGCTCATTCCTTTCATTCCAAAACGAGCTCTGTCCCGCTCCAAAAAATTATATTTTTAAACCGTTCCAGCTGCAAATCAATTCAATTATGCATCCGTGCATCGCCCTCCGAACATGTACACTGGAATGACCTTCAACGTAATCAGGATCTCTTTCAGAGGAGAATAAGAAAGGAACAGATGCACATTCATACCGAGAGAATGGGCGTTTTTTCTGTGTACAGTACATAGCCTCAACTCTAGATCTACTACTGTTAAAATACCTGTCATGCCTTTAAGAGGAAAGAAATGAGGTAATATTGTGTAGGAGTTAGTCCTTCAACGACAGCAAAGACGTCTTGAGCATTATAATGAGTTGGCGTGAGCAGTGCACTTGATAATGGCGGGATCGCGTCCATGTCGCGCTCCTGCTCAGCCCTATTGGCCGTCATTTCAAATTTATTTTTATACCTAGGAAGTGATGAGCCTCTACGGGCATGGACATACATTCAGACGATATTTTCTCCCTTCTAAAGGCCATGTCAAAGATGCGGTCGCGTTGTTTTCGCTGGGGGGGGTTTATATTTTTTATTTCACATCTCTTCTCCAGGACTAAACGGCCAGAGTTTTACCCAGATAATCTCCCGAATTGGTATTGGTATTCCTAAAGGCGACGGCATTCCTCACGTCCCAACCTACATTTACTCCGTCGCTCCTTTCCACGCAACCATGGGTGTCGCCGCCAGCTCAACAAGGCCGACCCGTTTTTTCAGCCATCTACCTCAGTAAGAGGCGACCCTGGCCTGCTCAGGGGGCACAATCTGGGTCTCACAGGCAGCGTCGTGGATGATGAACGGCAAGCTCTCGATCTTGGGCTGAAAGATCGTCAGGGGCTCGACCTTCGTCACAGGGCGGATCGTCACCGTCGATCCCAGCGAGACGGACGAGCGAGCGAGGCTCTGGTCCTGGGCTGGAGCGGCATGGATCATTGTTGTCATTTGATCGACCGAGGGCTGGTACGTCGTGTGTGGGATCACCTTCGTCACGGGCTGGATGAAGGTGTTTGAGCCCATGTCTACGTTCTGATGCTTCAGATCAGTGTGCTGGGCCTCAGCGGCGTAGATCTTGGCCTCCTGGGACTTGACGTGGCCTTGGTAGACAGTTGAGGGCAAGACCACGGTCGAAGGCTCGACTTTGACAAGCGATCCCATATCAGCCGTGCTCGTCGCCAGAGTCTGCTCGCAAGACTGAGTGGCAGAGGGAATACACTCGACCTCGGCGCGGCGCTTGAGAAAGCGGTTGAAATCATTGGCGCTGCTAAAGAAAGCGGGGTTGGAGCGGAGGTAGTCCGGACGGTGCAGGTGTGGTTCGGGCGTAAGGGGTACGACGTTCAACAATCGGCTGCGTGCAGAAGGCGCGCACTCGGACTGGACGATCGGCGCATAGGCCTGGACGATGGGTTGGTAGCGAGTGACCGGCACCACCTGGGTCACTGGAACAATATTGGTGATCGAACCGACGCTGGTGGTACCAGTACTGATGTCCTGGCTGCATTCGGCTCCGGAGCAATGTGGGATCAGAGGAACAGCCTGGATAGAGCAGACGAGGGCGACGACGGCCGTGGTGAGCTTGAGAAAGGCGTACATTTTTGTTGTAGAATGAGTGGATGAGAGAGCGGGTGGGTTTGTGCTAGGCAAGTTGTAGTAGATGTGGAGGTTGGGAGATGATGTGCGGATGTGGTCGAGCAATTCAGGCCTGGGCAAGCACGACTCGCGACGCGATTTTAAGCATTCGGTTGTAATCTATCAACCTCTGCTTCCTTCCTTCTTTTCCCTCTCCTCACTTCACACGCATAAATTGGCGCTCCGTAGCGGAAGCAGTAGTCGCGACAAAAGACTCTCTGGCTATATTCCTCGGTAAAGGCCGTTATTGGAAGCTACGCGCTATCACCCGTTAATGCTAGGGGGCACTGATATTTGTTGTTTTTTGCCCCCTTGCTACTTTACAATCTCTTGATCTCCGGAGAAATATCCAGACAGTGCTTCATGATGTCGGGTGCTTTTTTCGTTTATTTCTCCGCGCACTGATTAATCGTCAGGGAACCTGGCTTGCGAGCGTTAATGGACAACGTATGCTTGCGTATTACACTGTCCATGCCCAAAGACATCCCAGCGCCATCACGTTGATCAGTCCCACTGCATCTATCAAGAGTTTGCTGGATTGCGTGTCGAATTGAGGGCTTCCATAGTCTTCAAAGGCGGCCATGTTTATCATTCATCTTTAAGCATCGTTAGTACACCCCTGTTATCTGTGGTTCACCAAGTCCACAATAAAAAGAAAACGCGAACCTGAGCTGCGTATCACTAGGAATGGAATCCGAATACACTACCAAGTTATCATTTTCTCCATCAGATAACGACTCTTTGGACGAGGAGGATGAATATCAGCTGGAGTTGCAAGAAGACGAGAGGCAGCACAGGGGAACTGATGACTTGGAAATCGAAGTAGGCGAGCGTAAGGGCAAGCACGTCAAGGGTCGCACATCATCTTCTACTGTTGATGCGTCTTCAGTCGTCATTTCCCAGTCGTGTTCGCCAAGTCCTATTTATGGTCCCCACGACAAGATCATCAAAGTCGAAGAGCCGCAAGTTCAAGGAGAGGAAGAGGACCAGACTCAACATGGCCCTTCGAATGCCGACGATGATGATGAGGATTGTAAACACGGTCAAAGGCGTGAGCGAGTAAAGGGAGTCGTGAAAGCGTGCAAGGACAATCGGCCTGGGTCTCCTTCATCGTCATCCATCCTCGTCAGCGACACATCGGCTACTGGCAGAAGAGGTAGCGGCAACCGTCCTGTTCGTGACACTCCCAAGACCTTCCGTTACCTCAGTCCATGCGATCGTGGCCATCGATATCATGACCTCGATGCCGAGCCCACGAAGAACAACAGCAAAGATGAAGCCGTCCACAACTTTCAGGACGATTTGTTGTTTATGGCTGGTATCACTGCGCATCCTCGTAGGTTTGGCTCTGAAAGACACGTCGACAGATCCGATGTGAGGGGCCCCAACGCTGACAGCAGCCCGCGCTCAAACCACGTCGGCGATCCACGCGGTATCAAGAGAAGACGTGAATCCCCCCATTCCAACGACAACCACGACAATCGATACTACCAGAGCAGGACCGACCATCTCAACAACGAGAATGAGGGCGCCCTCGGTCGAAATGGTCTCTTCACTGAGCGGTTCTTGCGAACCAGCGACCTTATTAAGAACAGCAGCAATACTACACTCAATCGATTCACGCGGGATGAGAATACATCTCGACGTTCGAGCGGGTACCAGCAAAGGGAGCCCAGCAGCATTAATTGCAGCCAGTATGCAAACAGCTTCGCCGAGCCCTCCGCTTCACTGCTGCCCCACTTAGAACAGCAGCGTCTTGATTTGATGCTACCTCTTGATCCGCCGTTTTCCTCTTCAATGGGATATACCATCTCTCCGAATGTGCTCATCCAGTTCGCAGCCTGGGAAGTTGATTCTCTTTCGAAGCAGCTCTTGGATGAACGTCAGCTCCGTTGGCGTACTGAGGAACAGTTGGACATTACCCAGAGACAGTTGAGCCACTTGACGAGAGGTTATAAGGAGCTCCAGATGCGTTCGGAGCGCGCCCAACGCCAGATCAAGGACAAGGGCGGTGCATGAATCAGGGTCTAGGAGGATGGTTGGGTATTATTCCCGCGCAAGGCCCAACCTCGAGGCAACTCTTTCATAGCAACAAACAGATTTATAATGCAGCTAAAGCTCCGCTATATACAATGAAGATGCCGGCAAGATTGCGCTGTTGTTTATTAACATCGTCAAAGATATAAGAAATCCATCATCTTTAAAAGATATCATCGTCCTCCACATCCCATTTAAGTTGCTGAGGACGTTCAGGCGTCGCTCCACATCTCTGGCGCTCAGCCCAGTAACCGAAACGACCATCGCGCTCCTGGCCACTACCCTTTGGCTGTCCAGGGGGATCACGGCCCACAAAATCCCATCCATCATCCTGCGCATTCCTCTTGAACCACCTTGGCTGATGATCCTTGCCCGGTGGCAGCAGCTTGCGCTTCGCGCGCTGCTTCTCCTCCAAACGCTGCTTCTCAGTGTTCGCAATATCGAACTCTGCGTTCTCCATCGCTCGCTGGTCAGGACGAAGACGCGAATCCGTCGGGCAAAGGTGCTTCTTCAGTTCCTCAGGACAGTCGTTCAGTGTCATAGCGAACGGCGTAAAGTTGAACGGCGTCGGGGTCGAGGGCACAGGATCACGCTTCCAGAGCAATAGCACATGCTTCGGTGAAAGATATCCCGCATGGCCCGCCTTTGGCTTTCCGACGCTCATCGGAGATGCTGAGCGGGCCAGACCACCTTGCTCATCCTCGGCCACATGCACAGCACCAGCTGCAACAGCGTCACTGCCCAGGTCTTCACCATTGCCCTTACCAGTACGACGGGCCACCAGTCGCTCGTTCCATCGTCCCGCAACTTCCCAAACCTCCTTACCCCGAGCGTCCGCGGCGAAACCCCGGATCTCGTACGCATCCTTACCTCTCCAGCCGCGTGCCTTGAACGTCAATTGGCACGTCTCTCCAGTGCGATGGTTCGTGATGATCATGTCTCCATAGTTGTCGATCCAGGGCGTGCCCACGATCAGGTTCTGTACACAGGTCGTCACCTTCTTCCAGGAGTAGTGCTCGATGAACTTGGTCTCGTCCTCGGGATCATCCAACAGCTCCTGCTGTCCCTCCGCAAATGCCTTGGGGACCTTCAGCTCGACGTGTGATGTTCCCTTGGGCATGACTTCGAAGGACTTGCCCCAGAACTTGGACTTGACGTCGACCTCTGCATAAAAGTTATAGTTAGGAGAGTCGCAGTAGCATGCACTGATAGGCTAAGAAAGGATTCCAGTAATAACATAAAAGCATATTAGACGCTGCATAGGCATTAATATCATGCAGAAGAGAGAGAGGAGGAGAAAGTGACTTACTGGGTGATGCGACACTTGCTCAGAAATGTAACGAAACTGCTTGTCCTCGCGACAGTACTCGTAGGTCTCGCCCAAGAGTGGGTTGAACGGCTTGGCAACTCGCCCGATCGTGCTTGAGTAGTTGCTCATCGCGAACGCCGCAATGAAGAGAATGCGCTCCGTCGCTCCTCGTTGCCGTACAGCCTTGTCTAACAGTTCAATGTATTCGGCATCCTCAGCCATGCGCTGCAACATCGATGTCGGCTCGTTAAAGTACACAGGCAGTGTGATTTTTGACAAGTCCTTGCCGATCGAGTTCTTTAAAATCGCCCAGAGAGACACATCGGGACGCAAAGAGGTTTGCTTGGTTGGAAGACGATCACGGACCTTCTCCGGGTATCCTTTGAACGAAGGCGCAATATAGGTTGCCTCATGCGCATGTGCTGCTGATGGTGCTGGCGCCGCCGCTACTGCTGCTGCTGGCGCTGCTTCGGTTGCACCCTCCTCGGCTGTATGGGATGTTGCACCGGCACCGGTTGTGAGCTCTTCTTCGGCATCGTCGTTCTCGAACTCGACAATATCGTCATCATCCACGGCATCAAAGAACTCGTCTCCGGATTCTACATCTGAACCCGAGTCCTCATCGTCCTCGATCTCGACCTGACGGTCTCCACCAGAAATTGTCTTTGATGTACCATGTGTCGAATCCTGAACAGCTGCTCCCGCGTTCTGGGTAACTCCATCTGAAGCCAGGGTGGAAGCACCGAACGTGACATTTGCTTGTAGGGTAGGTGTACTAGCCTTGGAGCGGACAGATCGGTTCTTCTTCATTTTCTGGTTGCTCTCCTCTGTGCGCTTCAATACCCTTTGCATCTCCAGCTGCTCTTCTGATAGCACCCTCAAGCTCTCCTCCCAGAGCTCGCGCTTCTGGGACTCCTGCTCAAGGATCCGCTTCCAGTATGCCTCACGGTCCTGGACCATCTCTTGCAGTTTCTGAATCGAGCTCTTCAAGGCCAACGAGGACTCGTGGGCGGCATGGGTGAGCTTCATGACCTCAGAGTCCTCCGGAACCTCGGCCGCCCTCTGCAGACGTACCAAATTCTCCGCAAACTCTGACTGGATCTGAATTTGGGATTGGACGTAATTGTTCATCGTGACGAATGACTCTAGATGTGGAACTACGCTGGCGTCGAGTTGGTTGTCCTCTGGGCTGGTTGAAGAAGAGCGAGATCGTTGAGATCGGGCGATAGAACTGCTCGTTCCGTCCTTGATGATACTCCGTCCGCGACTGAGGGTCGAATCCGCTCCTTTCTGTCGAGCGAAATCCGCCGAGGACAAATTGATGCTCTGACGGGACTCCATGAGCGAGTGGCGATTGTTTCCAGAAGTTTCCTCGATCCATTGCTTCGACTGCGTCAGAGCCAAAATCCACCGCTTGGCCTCATTGGCATGACCAGCCTTTAGATGGTAGCGGATAGAGCCTTTGCCGATGATGTCGAAGCGTTGCTTGTCGTTAGAGTCAATCCAGACCTTGGCAATGCGCAAGTTGATACTTCCTCTGCAGGCGTTCCCGGCATCCTCCTGGTTATGGAAATACGACAGAATGCCGTCTTCCAGCACAAACCACCTTGCTTTGTATCCGGATGCATAGTTGGTCCACTTGAAGAGGGTCCCTTCGAGCCGAGGTGGCTGTCCAGGAGTTGTTGGGATCAATGGTGCTCCCGTTCCTAAAGTACAAACGTACAAATTGAGGTGCAAAAAAATACCATTTGATTAACACCAAATCCCAGCATAGGCTGATTGATTCATCGACAGTAATAAAGATGTAGCGTACCTTGGGAGCGAGATTCGCGAAGGAGACTCTTGATCTTTGTATCCTTGGAGACATCGGCGGCGGTCTTGCCCTTCTTGTCACGGAGCAGAGTGTCGATGCCCTGATCTAGACACCACTGCACCATAGCCATGTCCTTGCGTTTGGTTGCAGAGTGCAGAATTGTCGATCCCGTCTCTGTGTCCTGATGGCTGATGTTGAGCACAAAGGCTGCCCGTGGATGGTCAAAAAGACTGATCAGGCTAGTTAAGTCTCCCGCTTCCGCATACTGGTGCATCAACGCCGTTGTTTTTGTAAGATATTCTGTGCGGTGAGCTATTGGGAAAAACACACGAGAGAAACGAATAGGTCAAAGTCCATCCAGGATTGCACATTAAAGCAGTAGTAGTAATCCCTGTTGCCTTGACCACATTTTGTACCTTTAAGAACAACACGCACTTCCGCAGTGGCGGACACATCAACTGCACTCTTGCCCTTGTGATCTAGAATACCATCGTTGACGCTGCTCTTTGAGAGTAGTAATTTGACGACATCGAGACGGCCCATGCTGGAGGCGATGTGGAGGGCCGTGGAGCCATGGGTGTCCCTGGCATTGAGATCGACCTGAGGCGTGTTGTTGATAACATACTCGATCACGGGGTACTGTGCGCACTGAACCGCCAGGTGGACGGGCGTAGTCTGATTTCCCTGAAACGCACCCTCGAACGAATGAGTGCTGGAGATGGATCCGCCGGGAGTGCTGGGGATGGGGAACACGGGGCCAGTCTTGTAAGTTGGCAGGAGGGTCGACAATGAGTTTAAATCGCCTGATGAAAGTAAGAGGAAGGTATACAAACGTCCCGATCACGTTAGAGGTTGCGTGTTCTCAACTGGAGGAAGAATCGCCACAAAAACACGCCTCGTGAGATCTCGGCCGTTACCCTTCTGCAGCGCCTCGAGGATCTTGAACATTTTCATGGGGTCATCTACGATTTGAACATCAGCCGACGACAGGCTTGATAAGTAATGGTACAGAAGACATGACGAGAAATTGAACGGTCATTTGAGAAGAGGCAACGACTATTAGCGGGCATTGAGTCGTACCATTTGAGGGAGCGAAGGCTGAGGACGAGGTAGCGATGTGCTGTCGTACTCCCTGAGCGAGAACTTGTTCAGATCGATTCTTCTGAGGCGGACGCAGGATGGACGGTACGGTCGACATAGCGTGGTGCCGTAGTGTTCGACTGGTGCAGGTCGCGTTGAAAAAGTGTGCTGTACGTGGGATATGTCCTGTAAACTCCTGTACCTTTCCTGCCGTCTGTCGGTTCTTTCTCTACTATCCTGTTTAAGCTGGTTCCTTTGTATCAATAAGAAGGCGTTGCTGATGTAGGGGAAGGGATCGAAGGATGGCGTGAGGTAGATGTGAAGGTTGAAGTAATGGTGATGATTCCCAGGTTTCTCAGCAGCGAGGAACGAAGGTTGTCCCGTGACACCCGGTCTGAGGCAGGAATACGCACTCTGAGATGATACGTGATAAAACAAGGTTTTCAGCGGATTTGCACGCGTTCCTGATAGCTCGAAAAGTTATAAGAAAGTGCGCAGGTACCCCATTTCTCCCATTTCTGCACTTACCAGCCTATGACAGCATTCTACAGCCAAAAGATAAAAAAACCAGTCTAAAGACACTCGCACCGGCACTGAGGCACGAATGAGTACCTCGTTCATTGGGCACACACCGATCGCGGCCGTTTGGCATATATTTATCGAAAGAACAAAGCAGCGTTGCTCAGTGCTCTTTCCATCAACCTTCTTTTCTATGCTGTTCATTTCCCATATTTTTAAAAGAACATCGCCCCCCTGCCCCTGATAATGCATCATGCGCCTCGGTATGGCGGCGCACTCGATTTACAATCAGTGCCGTTGTTTTAAGATGCAGATAGGCGTGCGGCCTATTAGTTCATCCAACCCGCAACTGAAATCCTGTGTAGCCATGGCCAATCGACAGAGCGAACTTACAGTGGTTTTCTCTCTCTTTGCTACGAGAGCATTTGCAGCCTGCAGTAGCTCTGATTCTTCTGCATGCCAATTGCCAATGAGAATAAAAAAAAAATTGTGAGCAGTTTCTGCTAAATGTTGGTGGGTGTCTTGACGTGCGGACCAAACTTTTATTGGAACTGAGGTACACTGGTGCTTTCGACAATCATTTCTTGGATTTAATTCCTGGAGCCCAGGGATTCTTTAGTAAGCGAGGCCGGACATATTTGATTCCAGGTAGGACACCGGGCAGACAACGTTGATCTCATCTGATGGAAGCGCTGTAGCTTCGGTTGAAAGTGATGCGAGGATGTTGATGTCTGTTCCTGCCATGCCAGCCGAGCAAGTGAGGGATTGAGGGAGTGAGCCCGGATCTGTATTTCTGTATTTCGATTCTTTATATCCCATGATGGTCACTGGCATTTTGGGAGCCAGGCAGCCCGTTTGGATAGCTTGGAGTCCTTGGATACAGCGGGAAAGCAATGAGTAAGGTGACAATCGTAAGAACAAGTGCGTGGCAGAGTGAGGGTCCACATTCTCTTCTTCACACTCTCACCTCACAAACTCCTTTGTCCTTACACCCCCACTCGCTCTCTCGCTCACTTCTCTCATCCCATCACAGCGACAGATCGATCAGTTGGTTGGTTGATCATTCCCTTCTTCCATCCTCATCTACACTCATCATCCCACCGCCTTGTCATCTGCAGAAACACCTCTGAGGAATCACACCTCCGCAATAGCCCTCCGTTTCTTCCACGCCCAATCCTTCCGCTCTCAGTTCCTCTCATATAACCCGTAGGTTTCTCTCTCTCATACTCCCTCATTCTCTCACTCATTTTTATCACTGTCGACCAATGCTTCCCAATCCCTCCTCAACGTCTTTTTTCAGCATGTCTATCAGCGTGCATTTTTTTGTGCTCTGCAACAGATCGCCCGGTTCCTCTTTACCCCTGAAAATATTTCATATAATGAATGTTTCGACAATCATTCCCCTCTGCAGTGTCAACCTGTCGATCAGCAATAATATCATCGTACACCCTCACGACGAACAGCGAATGTCCAGTCAACAGCCCTCTTTTAAACCTCCAAACTTCTAAACATGCCTACTTTTGCTTATACATGAGCACAGATATTAGACATACAGGGCTTCATCAATGCCGACGGAAATGCGTCTGCAGCGTCAGCTGGAACACAACAAGAAGCTGCGTGAGCAATACGAGCGCGATCGCATCTCCGTCTCCCAGGCCAGCATTCTGTAAGTCAACCCGGTCTTACACTTCTTATCTCGACGCTGAACCACAGGGCTTTTTTCTTTCTCCGACTTTTCAGGGAAGACAGATGGGGCGCATTGTCTCTGTCGTGGTGTACATTTTTCATATCCATTGGCGAGGATAGCAACAACCAGAACAAGTGAGATGCAATATTTTGTGCAACCAAACCAAACGGACGCATGGCATTTGCCGATGCATCTTTCGTGTGCAACAAACATTTGGCATCAACAACATCATGCTCTGTGGGACAGAACACAGAACCAGACATATACAACAACCTGGACTGTAGGACAGAACGCTGACAACAACGGAGGCTTTTTTTTTTGTCCGCTGCCAACGAACTATCATTCGCCACTATCCAGGATACCCTGTCTGGGGCTATAACCAGGAATTCAAATGAACGATTGACTAACAACCCCTCTTTTTCACACTTCTAGACTGATCCAATTCTGCCAGGCAAGGCGGGACATGTTCATCCCTACTGTCTGGGGCGAGGTCGACAAGAAGGATGATCCCTTTGAGGTCCAGCCCACCGGTTGTGGCTGCAGCATCATGTAGTCCTGATCCTCACCCACCAACTAGCCATAAGCGAGAGAGCACTTGTCGAATTCTGTATACCCCCACCCATGACACCCCAACAGGAGAAGAAAAAATATGCTCTGTTGATCAGAGCGTTTACATCCCCCATACGACCATCGATAACAGAGACACAGCAAGATCAAGCGTTGGCAGCTTTGACAACCCTTATTGCAACATTTACGATCTTTCTTTCCTTTCCTCCTTTCTACCTTCATTTCTTTCCAGTCGAGGTTTAGTGTGCTTCCGACTGTAAATCTTCTCCTATCCTTTCTACACTCGCTACCGTTACTCTTATCCTAATCGTACATAGTACTTTGATAAATAAAAGTCCCTTGAAATAATGAAGCCGCAAAACCGGGTCCTTCGAAGGTCGTACCAATACCTTCTTCACGCGATTTATTAGTAGTAAATAACCTTACAGCTACAACTCTACGTAAAAGTATGCTTCCCTCACGAAAACCATCATCTGTATACGAATGTCGACGGCTTCCCATCACCGAGCAGCGTCTGAGGCTCGCTCCTCGCAAAGATTACTTAGCCGTATTAATTCTGCGCGCTCGAGTCCCTCGATCGCCATCAACTGCTCGCGTACTTTTGGTTCAGGACGAAAGGGATACCTTCCTGCCATCGTTCGGAACGTCAAGATGCGCTTAATGATAGTCGCCGTCGTACGGTGCTTATGAACGTTCACCATAGGCTGACTGTCAGGACCCGCTGGCTCTACATACGACGGCAGTTCGGAATTGAAGACCAGATCCGAAAGATAAAGAGCTATATACGAGAAAGGGAACGGTCAGTATGCAGGTAGACACATGCGTCGTCGCAACTGAGGATCATGCACCTGCAGGCGATCTGCTATCTTACCAAGAAAAGGAATACAACCTCCTTGCCGTCCAGTATCCGTGGTCTCTTTCTCTCTCTCCTTGCCCTTTGCACTGGACAACAAGACAGACGGAAACCCATGCGTCGCACGACCCTTTTGATGGAAAAGATGGCTTGAGAAATACGACGGTAATGCCGACACAGTAGATTCAGTTCCTTTTGGAGTTGTCGCGCCTTCCCCTGACCTCGGCTTGGACGGTTTCTTGTTGAAAAACATGACCCCATTACCACTGCCACTTGGCTTCTCAGATAACGTGGGTGGCGTTGAGACTGAAGCTGAAGCCGGACCTACCGCTCCATTGCCGCTACCGCCCCACTCATCCGCAATGTTCTTCATCGCATCGCGAAGGTGTTTCCAATTACGCATAGGCATCGTAAACTCCACAAGATCGCGCATGATCCTCATTTCCTGGGCTCGAACCCTAGCCCATGTCCGGGTCAAGCGCTCGACGGGCTCAGTTTGAAGAGCTACCGTTATCTGGACTAGGGAACTGAAGTTCGAGTGGTTGTAGCATGTCTACGGTACAGATTGAAGGATTGTAGGAAAATGCTATATATGGTCAGAACATATACGTATACAGGATGTTCTCGTTGCGACTAAACATGACACTATAACCTTACATAGGCTATGCGGATGAACTTCTCAACCACTTTGACCCTCATATCCAGGTTTTGCGTCCGGACAATTTCAGATGCCACCCATTGACATGTCTAGTCATGATAAACATCAACTAGATCATTAGCAATCAAGGCAATCGAAGCGAAGGAGTAGCACCCTCCAAGTTATTTGTCTAAGGTCGATTGACTTACCAAGTTGAAGCGCTCCACAAGTCTTTTGATACCGATGCTTTCGTCACGTCGTGCAACTCGCTTATTTGCACTGGAAGTCTGATGTAAAAGATTTCGGGAGTTTTTTATGGACGTGGCTGTTGATGCGCAGTTGGAATGTGTGGATTTGAGGCTACGTTTTTCATCATCCGTGTCCCGCCTCTCCGGACCGGTTTGCTGATGATCGGTACCCTCAGCCAAGGACACAGTGGACTTCTTAGCGTCGGCCTTCGAAGCCGCATTCTTGGTCCAGCCAGCATCAACAAGCTCGTACCATTGAACCTGACTTAGCAGCTCTCGCTCGATCAAGCAAAGCTGCTGTGCAATCAGCTCAGAACGATACCAGAGCACGATAGATGGTATGCATGGTTCCTTTGCTGTCAGAGTCACCAGCTCATGAAAGCGCTGAGAAAACGTGTCTATACCCTGCCGTCGCTGTTGTTGCACTTCACTTGATCTGTGGCCATCAATGAAGTATGAGTTTGACCGGAGAGGGCCAGGTGGTGCCGTACTGCTTGTCAGCGCACGATTTCGGCTGGTAGGTAGTCTGTGTGGTGAATGCGATTCGTGGCTGTGCTGACAGCGATCATCTATACACGAGTTCTGATCGGACTTGATGGCCAGCGCATGCACCTGGGTAGCAGACAGACCGCTCAACAAGTGCGGTTGAGACCTGGACCGTCCCTTGCTAAAACCCGTTGTCGTAAAGGGCTGCGTTGGGGTCAGTACCAGAGAGGACGGTTGGGCACTTGAGCTGGACTGACCAACACTTGCGCCTTCGATTTCAATAGCCGCGGTGCTTTCGATTACTGGCTGCATGTGAGATGGTCCTGAGTTTGACGCTAAATGCTCATCGCGAACCAACTGCTGCGAGGTATTATCGTGATCAAGGTCGCTGAGGGGCGTTTTTGATTGTGAAGACCTGTCAGGAATCTGGCTTGTGGTATCATTATCGGACGTTGACCGTCCCATACTGCTCTCTAAAGCCAATGAGTGTCGCCGAAGTGGAGGACTATTAGGGGTTTGTTGCTCGTGATGTCCAGTAAAATGGCGCTGAGGCATCGATGGCGTAGCTGACTGAGCTGGAACGTCGGTTGCCTCCTGCACATGAACACTCTCTGCTGATCTCGCCCCATCAGGACCTGGACGGTCTTCCAGAGGTCTCAGCGGCTGCTCCAGTGGTTGCCCCAGCGGTTGTCCAATTTGACTTGATACAGATTGCTCAATGTATTGCAGCTGTTCTCTCAACTTCGCAGCGCCATTTTGAGGATGATGTGGTCTTTCGCCCATGTACACTGTGGAGAGATATTCCTGCGACTTATGGAGACGTCGAGAAAGGCGTTCGAGTATATCGTGCGAGTCTTGCCTCCACATCATTCGACCCTGCGAAGTAAACATTCTATCCGGCGCGGCCTCGTGTGGCAATGAGCTGTTCTGGCATTCCTGTAATGCTGATCCTTCCTGCGTTGCAACGACTGCGGCCGCCTGCTCATCGGTAATCTCAGTGACAAAAACTTCGCTGCCATCTGCTCCTATATAAGCAAACGGATGTAGACACGATGGACCCGACAAATATCTCGCCCTCTCACATTCAGAGCAAAAGCCGTTATCAACATCGCTCCCAGTATGATCAGCGATATGTCTGGAGCCCACCTCTATCCGAGCTCTCTCCAGGATGGTTGGAGTGATATCCACGTATGGCGGGTAATGGGCCTGCTCCAGTCGCGCCTCCAAAAGCTGAGGGCCGACGATATCAAATTCCTCTGGGGTGTTGTCGTCATTCAAATGGTACTGTCTACTGCTCCTCCGAGTCATTTCGTACTGCGAATACTCGTCGTCGCTCGACCAGTCGCTTCCGACTTCCTCTCTATGATAATTCCTCTCCGTTGCGTAACGACGGTTGGGATGTCGACGTTCCTCAGATGAGGACACAAGCATGTTCGCGCCGGTGCAGGACCCAAGAAGATAATGAGACAGTTTGTCGCCTTCTGGATCCGACTGATTGCGTTGTCGGTACCGCCTTGAATGTGACTGGCTAACACCGCTGGCATTTGTCCGTTTGCTTGAATATCCAACAGAATTTGTAGATGTGGTCGAAAGGGTGTGCTTACGATTCTTTCTTGCGTTCGTGGAAAACACGTTCTTCATTTTGGAAAGGCGGTCGACTGTAGCGCTCATGTACTTTGACAGCGTTGTTTTCTTTTCTGTCGATGCGGTGGAGCGAGGAGGCGGATTGATGTAAGGCTCTATCGATCGAATTGATCCACGATCCGAGAGCGGAGACCCTGCCTGAGGAGGAAGTGATGGCACAACAGGGCTGACCATAGACAACGGCTTGGAACGAGACTTGGCGCGACTTTTCCGATTGCTATTTTGACTATGGCGGTAGCTGGAGTTAGGCGTATTCAGATTGGTGGTGCGGCTCTTGATAGACTCTTCAAAATCTGGAAGCGCTGGTCTGGTTCCTCTGGTTCTAAACCGTGACGGCGCTGAACTCACTGCGCTCGCGGTAAATTGGCGAGAACGTCCTGAACCTGATTCGCCTTGCTGTGACTTTTGCGGTCGTGGAGAAAATGCTGGTGAAGGAAGATGACGGCCGGTGCCAAGGGCATCATTCTGAATGAATAATCCGCCCGAAGGGCTTTGATCGTCGCAGCTTGCAAAGCTCCCGGACTCGGAATCTGCATCGTGCCCTTGCTGCGCTTCGTCCTTCTCTTCGTCGTCCGAAGAATCCTCGTCCTCCGCATTATCGCCTCCAAGCATGGAGTATTCCGAGTCGTCACCACTTGAATTCGCATTGTTGTCGGAAGACAGCTCGAAATCGTCATCTATATCAGAATCGCCGTCGCCAGACTGGTCACTCGATCGGAACTCCACTGTCAGTTCCTCTGTAACTGGCTCGGATTCGTTGCTCCTCCTGTGTGAATGCCTGTGGGGCATGGTTCTATCTTGAAGGCTAGTTTTCGGATGATCATTGCTGGTCTCGTCTGTTGAGAGGGCAGGCCATTCAACGCATGATTCTTGAGGAATAATGAAATTCATAGTACATTAGATTTCAGGAACATACTATGCTGTGTCAGGTATACGGAGAAAAAAAAATAGCCTTGGACACTCACCACGCCGACTCTGAGGGGACGTTCTTCTAGCTTGAAGACGCCGATGATGCTCGTCATGTTTGCGGGTCCGTCTCTCCAGTTTTTGTTGAGCCATGTTTCGATAGTGAATCTTCTTCAAACTCTGCGCATATCGCCTCAGCTCCCTGACAATTCGCTGGTCGCGTGTGCTATCCATTACGATCGGATGCTTTGCGAGAGTTTGAAGCTGGAGATTCAAGGTCCGACGCAGGTCTTTGGACCGCATAAAATCGTATCCAAAGTAGTTCAGGAGCCAGTGCCGTAAGGTTACGAACGTCCGAATCCGGACAATTTGTTGTTGAGGCGAGTCATCGATGAGGGCCCAGTGGAAACGGAGCATGAACAGATTCAGCAGTGCCATGGGTGTTATGAACAGCCGATAGATAAGGAAAAAATCCGTGAGGAATGTATAGTCTGTTGTGATCCAAGAGGTTCAAATAAGAGTGAGCGTCAGAAATACCTTTTAACATGACAGCATGTAAAAGAGTATTTAAGACATTCATGTGAGTGTTACCTATCTCACTGGTCAGCTTTTCGACGAGCTTTTCCACGGTGGCGGCCATGATGACACGGTTCTCCGTGCTTGGTGTTTGCGATGGGGTCCTCGGTAATTTATTTGACGACTGAATCGAGGAGCTTCTCGCTCTGCATTCCTTCTGTGGGCCATCTGTCCTTTCAGCTGGCATTGGAGACTTCAACTGAGCCCCATCCGTTGCAGCGCTCAGAGAACGAACAGTTCCAGCAGCACGGATGCCCTGACCGCCCCTTGTATTTTGTGTTCCTGGTTGATCCTGATACGGTCCGTTTTTTGATGTATCTTGTTCCTTGCCTCCACTGCTGGATGCCTCCCCAGCAGGCCATCGTCTAATAGCTGATCGATCTTGGGTTGCTGCCAGTGCTGGTGGTTCGTGGGGTTCAATCAAAGAGAGAGAAGGAGGCGGTCGAACAGAAGCATCAGTGAGTGCCGAGGTGTGGGAGAGGGATGAAGAAGATGTCGGTACTGTTGTTGAATGCGACCGAGGTACTGCAGTTGATTGTTGGGCAACGGATGAAGCTTCAGAAAAAGCTGCGGCGCCTGCGATGGTAGATTTTGCTATCGATCTGGATGGTGGGACTGGCAGAGCTGCAAGTGGTATGGACATCTTTCTTGAGGACAGCGCTGAGGGAGTGCTCCAGACTATGTACGATTCATTGTCGTCCGATTGATTATTATCAAAGACTGATGATGCAAAGTTGGCCGTGATCTCATCATCTCTCGGCACGATTGAATCATCTGGACGCTGAGCGGTGTTCTGTCCCTGCTGATCAAGATCATGGTAATCTGGGCTCACGACCGGTTGACGAGGAGTATTGTTGATGATATTGGTCTTCACACTGTTGGTACGGCTTCTGTCAAGGTGGGTGCCGGATCTGGAAAAGGAGGGGTTCGGTGGTAAACTCCAGGGGAAGACATGCCAGTTTTTTTGCGAGGAAGCCGACGGTGCGTCTGTGGAGTTGTTTCGGTGCTGACGACGTGGGTCGTTACCCCAACTATTAATATCACTGCTGGTGTCGATACCGGCGATATTTAGGCGAGCGTGAGGACAAAAAGACGAGGGAGAATAGGGTGTGTTAAACTGGAGGTTGGACATGGTGCTGGGCTGTGTGCTGTTCCATCGAGTAACGTTGTCGCCCTTATCATTGAACATCCAGCCATCGAGGTCTAACGTTCTCATGTCCTCAAATGCGCTGGTAGGGCGGATAGAGTGGGGAGAATGTGCTGAATCTACTATGGTAGAGTAAGGCCTTGTGTTTAGGGGGTTTGTTGAGAGCGTTGGCGAAGGATGGGCTGGAGGCAATTCCGATGCCTCCTGTTGTGTCACGCCTGTGCAATGATCAGGAAGACTCCCGCTGCTGTAATGGTACTGGATCATCCTTGTCCAACCACTCGCACCGTTGGTCCTGCCGCTGCTGCTTGAGGAAGAAGCGTCTGCAGGCTCGCTAAAAGACCAGCGCCTCTGTTCCATAAGATGCCTCAGAGCAGGTTTTGCAGGGAGAGTTCTACAAAATGCCAGGCACCAGATATGATTTTCATTAGCACTGGGATTTGTGGGGGGAAACCAGGCTGGAACATATGCTGAGATGAGGTGAGCGACAAAGAGAAATGACAAGAGGCACCTGAGGACACAGGGATCTGTAGGGGACCGGCGGGATGTGGGATAGGAAGCGAAGGAGATAAGGAGATTGTGTGGAGAGAATGAAGAGAGAGGGAGAACTAGAGGGAGCTGAAAAGAAGAAGTGAGAGAAAGGGGGAAAAGAACCAGGATCGAGAAGGGACAAAAGTCGTCTTTCTTTCTCAGAAAAGAAAAGAAAAGAAAAATATGCATCTGTTGGTGTTGTGGTCGTCGCCGTGTGAAGTACATGCAGATCTGTAGATCGAGTATGGTTCAACCCTCATAGGGTTCTGCGAAATGAGGGATGAGCGGTACATGCTGCAGCTGCAAAGTTCAGCAAGGGCACAGTTGGATTTCAACGCGATACCGATAAACCACATGTACTCCCATGCACTCCTGCCCATGGATTGGACTACATCTTGGCCCTGGAGGGACCATCCCACGATGAGTTCATTTAAGGAATTAGACGCAGGACGACCAACTTACGGCATTAGGTTTTCAACCTGCGGTCCATTATTTAGAGATCCGACAGAGGGTGCAATTGAATGCTCCAAAGGGTTCGTAGTCGACGAGACGTCGTCGGAAGGTACCATACCCATGCCTGCATCTTGGCTGGCTCCAATAGTAGGACCAGTGCTTCCAGGTAAAGGAGGAATAGAGCTCGGCGTTGTATTATTCGTCGTGGCACTGTTGATTGCGATAGGTCGATCTTGGCCATGGGGACGCGTTGTCGTACTAGCCTCGCACTGGAGGGAAAGTAGGTGTGGATACTGGGTTGAGACTGGACGGGAAACATTGTGGCGTGGAAGACTATCGGACTTTACAGTCGGCGACGTGGCAGTAAGCATGACTATCGTGGCAATCACTTCGGTGTTTGGGAGCCTGTAGTTCGTACAATCCGAATCAAGAAGTTGAGTCCATACATGTTGGCTATGTAGTCCATGGGTTAAACTGACTGCGTGCACTGAGTGCATGGATAAGATGGGGTGAAAATGCCATTGTAAATGGATGGACACGCGTACCTCTGTATGATTAATGGCTTGAGGGTAAGGCGCCAAGAGGATGAGGGGTACACTGTCAGGAAAGGGGAGGGAAAGACACCTAGCAGCGGTCAGTGGAGCGAAAAGAAGTTGGAGAAGAAAGAAGACCCATCGCCAATGTCGTTAGCTGAGGATGTGCAGTCAATGGTGGATGCGATCGCATTTCGCGAATAGGAATCCTTTGGATCGGTCGATTTCATCGACATCACCCATTGCAACCAGGTTAACGATCCCCCGACTTGCTTTGTCCTCCCACCACCACACCTTCTTGTTTTCCCAGTGTGCTGGCGTCTCATTAGACTATTTATGCACCATACACACTATTCACTGCTATCTCTGCCCAGATCTTGCAACAAGAGGATAATAATGATATTGACTTCGCCTCTACTACTCGCAATGGTCAATGGTGCGTCTGAAGATGAGGTTGATCCAAAGGGTTGTTTTGTACTGTATCATCGCCCTCTTCTTTTTTTTTTTTTTTTTTTTTCAATTAACAGAACGCACCATCCCTCCAAGGTGGGCAGCCTTTACCATTCTGTCATGTCGCTAGTGCAAACCCATAGCCCCCTAACTCAAAACAAGCTCCAAGAATAATACCACTCATTACTCTGCTCTACGCGCGAGCAGGACCTACGATAGCGCGCTATTCATTGTTGCGCCACAGTCTCCCATCCTAAAGAGCCTTCTACCGATTAATGGATAGATGGTATGGGGTGTGCAGTTCCAAGGGATAAAAGATAGCTACCGAAGTGGTGATATATGGTTCATATCCGACCCAAGCCTGAGCGTGTTTGTCCAACTCCTCCAGACCCATCCGCTCTCTGAAGCGTTGGACCTAACGACAGGGGGTCAGAGCAAGCATTGTTAGGTTCGAAACTCAGAAACTCAGAGAGATAGGACAGAATATGGCTGATAATCTATTGGTAGTCGATAGGACATGAATAGATTAACAGCTGTCCACGGTCTTTCTGCCGGCATGTTGCACAAGACCGTCTCCACGGCCATTGTCCGAGTAGAGTCCTCGCCAAAAAAAGTCGCATACAATATATTTTTCACTGTTGTGCGCGCACCATTAGAATCTTCCAGAGCATGCGCCCATGGATGGCACAATCAATAGCCCATCTCATCCGCGTTCATGAATCAACCATTCAAACTAGAGAAATGTCGGACGGCGGCTCCCCGGTGCCCTCAACCAAATCACCTATACGAAACTGGTCGATTTTCAATACACCCCCAAAACGCGACGCTCCAACTATTACAATATCGCCCACGCCAAACCCGTTTGTGGCTTCTTCCGGGTCCTCAACACACAACACATGGCTTTCACGCTTTTCACCTACGCAGGACGCGACATCTACTCGCGACACTCCCTCAAAAAGGAGTGTATTTTAATCAATTTAAAATTCAAAAAATTATATTGTATGCGACTTTCTGGCGAGGGCTCCAGCCTATATGTATGCGGTAGTGCATTTCCGACGACACGAGGTATCCATGTAACTATTCCTTTTCGCGCCATGCCTTCCACGGTACAAACACTGGATACGCGCCATAGAGTAAACCATTGAAAAATCGCGTCTCTTGTCCTTCGTTTTGATATTTAAGCACTTGTTTGACTACCTCCAGTCCTTGGAAGAACGTTTTATGGTCAGGTATGTCGATTCTTTGATAAGACGCATAAAAAGGATTGATGAAGAGCCAGCGCATATTGGTTTTTCCTCGTGAGAGCTATCTATGAGGCTTAATAAACTATTTTCGATTGGATAAGGGAAGATGCTGCGTCGATCAATTCTTTTGTGAATAGAATGTTCATGGACAAGCGAAGGGGTTGTTGTTGTTGTTGTGGGACCGCTGAAGCAAGGAAGTCATCAAAGACAACATATACCTCTGCCTAGCTGCAATGTAGACTTTGAATGATACAAAGTGGTACACAGACAGTTTCAAGAATACATTGGAAATGATGACAAAGAATTGGTTGCCGAAAATGGCGTTTTCTTTCCTTGCTCTTTTGCATGGTTCCGAACAGAGGAGACAGCGGCTGTCCAAAGGTACAATTAACGACTCGATATCAGAAATTACAATAATAATGTGATTTGTGCGATCGAACCAGGGGAAATGAAAGTGAAACAACCCCAATTGCTGCAATACCCTTAAGACGCATCGAGCTGCCGTTGAATCCAGCGCTTTGCCACCGGAGAAATGTAAAGACGAATCTCCGTCCATCCCTCCTCTCATGCTTCCATGGACATGGTCGAGATCGATCGGGCAGCGTCGAACATAGAGTACAGGGACGAAGAAGGAAGGACGAGGGGGAGGACAGGGGATGGGTGAAAGCAGCGGGGAAGGGAAGAGGAAAGGTGAAGATAGAATAGATGGGCGTGTGTGTGTGAGCTCAGTAGAACACATTACTAGCTTCAATAGACTGCAAGACAGGACATCGACAGAGGGAGAGCAGACGACGACATCGACATGGGGCCATGCTGTAGAGTCATCCCTGAGCGTGGTTGCCTGCCCCCGGCTGTTTCTTGACAGATACTAGCCTGGCCTCGTTTGGTCTGGTATGGTCCGGTCTGGTCTGGTATGGTCCGGTCTGGTCTGGTCTGATCTGGCCAGTTGGCCCTTGGTTGATATATGTTTGTATTTCATTTACAGACGAGGTACATGCATATACAAATGGTATCGTATGGAGAAATAAGCGGGCGCTGTATTTATTATTTCATTTCTGATTGCCCATTTGTTCGTTCGCCCCCCTTTCGTTCGTCTTTTCTTTCCTTTCTTTCCTTTCTCATCTCTTTTTCATCATCTCTTCCATCCTCATCCTCCATCACTTCCGTCCATCTTCCATCTTTTCTTGATCTGCATTTTTTCCTTAAGAGAGTACTCTGTCTTTCTCTCTCTCTCGACTTTTACCACCTCCTCTTATCGTATCTTTCCTCCCTTGCGCCCTCCACACTCCTCGTGGTCCTCCGGTGCTTGCGGCACATCTTTTCCTTTTTCCCCTAAGCGCAAGAGAAAAAGCTTTCAGAAACAAACTTCACACCTCAAACGAAGCACGCACAATGTCGTCGATGCACCGCAAGACGAGTAGCTCCCAGCGGACAGCCGCCCCCACGGGCGCCTCCTCGGGTTACGATTACCCGCCTTACGACCAGACACACGCCAACACCCTTGCCAACAGACGTCCCTCGGTCGACCACCAGCAGCTCTCGAAGCAGCGACCCACCACCACCTATTCCACTCTCATTCCTCCGCCTTCGCCCACATACTTCCGGCTCCAGGAAATGGGTGGTAGACCAACCAGCACAGCAGGACCACCCAGGCCCAGAGGAGAACTCGACCATCTCAGACCCCTAGACCCTGTCCCCACTGGAGGCGACCAGGCAGAGGAAAACATCAGCCTGTTCCAAAAGATCAGCATCTGGATGATCAACGAAGGTACTTTACACATCCTTTTTCCTACGTTTTCTACCATACAATCGGACAAAATGGCTTGGAAAGAACAGTGCTTCTGGGATATTGTCCACAATTATACATGGTGGTGGTGCTGATGTAACACAATTGGTCTAGGCGTTGGTTTTCCTCCGAGTTGCTTCTTGTAAGGATGAACTAACACTCCTTTGCTCTTCTTCCACATAGGCAACCGTGTCATCTTCTTTGGTATCTGGATCTTTGTCCATATCGGCTTGTTCGGTCTCGCTTTCTTCAACTTCTTCTACTCTGACAACTTTGAAAAAACCCGCAGCATTCTCGGTGTCACCCTCCCAATAGCCCGTGGTGCCGCCCTCGTCCTTCACGTCGACTCGGGTGTCATCTTGTTGCCCGTCTGTAGGACTCTAATCTCTTGGCTGCGCTCCACGCCCCTGAACAGGATCGTGCCCTTCGACAAGGCCATCACCTTCCATAAGGCCATCGCCTGGAGTATCGTCTTCTTCTCACTCGCCCACACCTTTGCCCATTATGTCAACTTTTACAAACTCGCCCGGGCGGACCCCGTCAAGTATCAGTTCTGGAGTCTGATGTTTGCCTCGGGCCCAGGATGGACAGGACATATCATGCTCGTCGTCTTGCTCGTCATGGTCGTCACAGCCTTGCCCAGCGTCCGCGTGAAGAATTTCGAGATCTTTTGGTATTGGCACCATCTCTTCCTTCTATTCTTTTTCTTTTTCTCATTCCACGGCGCCTTCTGCTTGCTCCCGCCTGACCGTCCGCCCTACTGTAAGGATATTTCGAGTTTCTGGAAGTACTGGGTTGCAAGCGGCTTCATCTATTTGTTAGAACGTGTGGCGCGTGAATGGCGTGCCCAACAAAAGACGGTTATTTCGCGAGTTATTTTGCACCCGTCCAAGGTTGTCGAAATCCAGATCAAAAAGGAGAACTGTCATGCATTGGCTGGACAGTATATATTTCTATGCTGTCCCGAGGTCTCGCTTTGGCAATGGCACCCATTTACCCTGACCAGTGCTCCCGAGGAGGACTACATTAGTGTCCATATGCGTGTCGTCGGAGACTTCACCAAGGAGTTGAGCAAGAAGCTGGGATGCGATGCCGAGGGCGTGAGCGAGTGGGAAGAGAATCTGGGAGATCGCAACGGACTGGTCACGGTTTTGCCCCGCATCATGATCGATGGACCATTTGGAGCAGCATCTGAGGACGTGTTCAAGTATGAGGTCACGGTCTTGTTCGGTGCCGGTATCGGTGTAACGCCATTTGCCAGTGTGCTTAAGAGTATCTGGTACAGAGTTAACTACCCAACCAAGCCCACAAAGCTGCATAAGGTTTACTTCTTCTGGGTTTGCCGTGACAAGGAGTCGTTCGAATGGTTCCAGTCATTGTTGCTTGCGCTCGAGTCCCAGGATTTGAACCAGTTTATCGAGATCCACACTTTCTTGACCGGACGTCTGAGACATTCTGAGGTCGGTAACTTGATGATCAATGAGGACAGTGCCTTTGCAGATACGGTGACGGGACTCAGGGCAAGGACGCGTTTCGGACGACCGAACCTGGATTTGGAGTTTGACCGAATTCGTGGCCAACATCCCGATACGGATATCGGTATCTTCTTCTGTGGTCCCAAGAGGATGGGCAAGCAGTTGCATGCCTGCTGCACCAAATTCAGCGGTTCCGGCACCTCCTTCTTCTGGCACAAAGGTAACAAACTCGTATTTACTTCAACCATCATATGCTGTTCTTGCTCTTGTTTCAGCGATACTATTGCTGGCCATGCTCACTCATTCTTGTCTTGTCTTTCCTTTTTTTTTTTTTGCGGTCAATAGAAAACTTTTAAAGTCTTTCAAGGCGCAGGGCGCTTTTTGTTGTTTAGTCCGAACCACGGCATTCTCTTTTCGGCATTCGGAACAAACATTTGTATATGTAGCATTTTTTGGAAACGTCCAAGGTCGACCCATGGTGCGCAAGCAATGTACTTCTTTTTATTTCACGTTTCTTTACGGTTTCAGCTTCATGCATTCATTCTCAAAGCGGACAAATGCAAATATTCAATCGTACACAATAAACAAAAAATGGGCTATAATAAATGAACAAAACATTACAGACTCTTTATTGCGAGTGTACAACCTAGAAATATTGACGACGACCTGTTCAAGTTTCCAATGGTCGACTGTTGCCACGATAGAGGGCGAGCTTGCTCACACGTGCGCGTCTCTAGTCCACTCTACTCGGCATCCGAGTTTTCAGCGGACTCGTTCGTCATAGGAGGCGAGACGTACGAGGTTGAGGCGCTATCCTTCTCGGACTTGACTTCCAAGGACCTCTTGGGCTTGCCCACCGCCATTTTCTTCATATCGATCACATTCGCACCGTCCTTCTCGGTGTATGCAGGCGGGGCAGCGGCGGGCTGCTGGACAATCTGCACGGGCTGGACGCGAGGGTTCTCACCGCAAGCACGAGCACACTCGGGCGAACAGAACGGGTGGCGGATTCCGCGGACCGTGTCGATGTTGATAGGATAGCTGCATCCAGCGCGGATACAATCCACCTGATCAGGAGTAGCTTGATATACAAAAGTATTTCAGAATACAAAAAAAAAAAAAAACCGTAGCGTGTTAGTGTTTGTAGTCCAATAGTCCACCACAACCTTTATTTCGTATCATCATTCATGTAGCGTACCTCTGCACATTTTCTGTTTGCTCTTATTGGCGCGATGAATGGCAGTGGTATGTTATTGTTGAGTTGCCGCTATGAAGGAAATGGTAGGCAAAGAACAGACGGATCGAAGGGGACAATAATGCGAAAGAAGGAAGGAAAGAAGCGAGAGAGAGAGAGAGTCGCGAGAGCTTTCAAAAAAGTCGTCTGCGTACTGACCGTACACAACCGCAGCACGCAGCTACACCTGCGCGCACGCCTTGGTTTCTTTTATTTCACATCAGTCCGCGTGCCTCACGCATGCGTTCCCGTATGTACTATTGATCAGCGACCATCCTCATCACTGTCTAACGGCCTACAGATCATCAGCCAAATGACGCCAATCATTATCATCCTGTATATACATTCATATGCCGCTAGGGGACCCTTCCTGGTGCTGAGACGACGACCAGAAGGCAATCGCAGGTAATGGACACGGTCGAGGCTGACGGCGCCATCGCGCCACTGCAGTTGGATACATCTTTTGGAGCGTCTCGATGACATTGCCTGATGCGAACGTGAAACTCATGGATGTATCATGTTCGTCATCGTCGTATTGGTGGCCATGGAGGTCGTGCTCAAACGTACCCTCAAGGTCAATGTTGTCTCCAAAAACAATATCCGTATCCGCGATATCAACTGGCGAAAAGCGCTTGAAGGTTTCTGGCGTGGAGGCTGTCTCCATGATGAAAGCTGCGATTGATATCGTCACCTTAGCAACTTCCAGATTGCCAGTTGAGATCATGGACTCGTCTTCGTCTTCGAGCAGTTCCAAAGGAGACGGCGATGGCAGCGTTGAGGGCGACATGGTGCAGGGTCCATCCAAGGCGTTGTCGTGGACGCCAACCTCACCAGAAGTCAAGTGGCAACTGGCTTGCTCAGACAAAGAACAGACGGACACGGACTCGATTTCTGTCTCGAATGATTCAGAAGCGAGCTGCAGAATCCCGACAGGACTCTCACAAGTCGAGAACAGCCCAATAGGGGGTGAATCCAACGCGGCATCCTGCGTACCATCATCACCAGAAGGCAGGAAGCAACCAGAATCTAAACGAGAATTCAAGCAACACAAAGAAAAAGACAACGCTTAATAAACCTGTGGATGTTGTCTCGCCATCCATGGGCATCCACGATAATCCTTCATTTCAAACTGACCATGAATATCGTCATGAGTCTGCTTGTAAGGCCGCAGCTGCGGCCTGGTTGGTTTGGGACGCCTTACACGAATATGACGCCTTGGGACGCGCTTAGCGAGTTTCTGGCGTCTATGGGTCTTTCTGGATCGCTTACAACGATCTCGGTCCGCATATTGAAGGCATATTTTGATCGCGTCGGGCACTGGGGTCGATGAACGCTCCGTTTGCGATACTCCTTCCGAGGCGCTGTCGAAATAGTCTGGTGCTGACTCTGTCTCCGTGTTCTCGAGATCATCAATCAGCTGCTCAATGTCCTGCAATGGTTCCGCCGACGTTGCTGGTCCCTCGATAGAGCGTTCAGGCTCGGTCGGCGCTGGCGACACTGTTGGCGACTGATCGTCGATGTCAGAGTCGCTCATCGATGAAGCTGATGATAATTCCATGGTTGATGAGTGCATGGTTTGCTCATCAACACCATCCTCCGTGCTATCCTCTGCGACGTCCTCCAAGGTCAGAGCTTCGGGCTCCTGGTCCTGGTCGTGGTCGAGGACTGATTCGTCAAGCGATTCTCGGGGGTGAGTCGATGACCTGATAGTCTCCACCGAAAGTCGTCGGATAGACATGCTTCTACCGCGTGGACCGAACGATCTGGGCAAAGACGACGATCGTGGTGGTATTCGGCCAGGGCCTTTTGCCTTGATGGGCCCATTCTCACTACGTCGACGGCGATGGTTCTTTTGGTACTCTTGAACGGTCTGGAACTGGGACGAGTAAGTGTAGAGCGCAATCTCAGCCGTGGTGCTCTCTTCGCATTGACCGTGCGCGATCACATGGTCACTGGTCGCACAAGCAAACACTTCTTCCGATGTCCCTTGTGTATCATAAAAGTCGAGATCGCGTGGTTGTGCCTCTGCTGTGCGTTTCCGCTCCAGACTATAGCGGTAGGGAGACATCGATGCAGCAGAAGCCTGACTGTGGACATGGGCGGGTTGGATGTGCAGCCAGGCCTTCAGCTTGTCGGCACTCTTGCTCTGCCATTGCTTCAATTTATTCTGTTTCTTCGGGTGTGAGTCTTTTGTAGGCGATCGAGTATCGTGAACTTCGGCTGGGACTACAGGCAGATGCTGTGCAGTCGCATCTGTATGTGGGAAGGTCTGGTTGGATGATACAATTGAGGTGGACTTGGGAGTAGTGTGTGCAGTTTCGGGATCAGCTCCGACGCGTCTGCCCTTAACCTTCAGAGTGAGGGATCGTTTGATGCGTCCAAGGGAGCCGTCGTGCGGCTGTACTGCTGCTGGTGAGACAGTGCTGGGTGTAGATGGGGAGGATGCCGTATCGGAGGATGTAGAGGATCGTGGAAATGGTGTCGGCGTGTGTGGATCTCGATAAGACGAGTGGCTGGATGAGACGGATGTAGTGGAGGGTGCGACGGACGAGGACGAGGAAGTAGAGACTCGCGGGGCCGAGAATGTGTCTGGATGAGCTGTGACAGGAAGCGGCGACGAGCCGAGGGTATTCTGGGGGGATGGTTTCGTCAGTGCGTGTTGTTGCTGCTGCTGCTGCTTTTGCTGCTTGGTGTTGCTGGACCCTTTGAGGAAGCGATGGAAGATGGATGGCTTATCCCTTTGGACCGAGTTGTGGTGGTGCCGTTGTGTGTGGGTGTGGGTGTGGGAGGACATACCCTGGTCATGGCTATTGCCGTGGGCTGGGGTCGTTATGGCTGCCTTGACCATTTGGACGTTATTTTCATTCAACACGACAAAAAAAATAAAAAAGTAATGCAAGGATTAGGGAAATATGGGTATTAATTCAAGGAATCAAGGTATGGGATTTTGGTAAAGACGACGAGGAGGACAGTTGGGGGAGAAGGAGGGAACAGAGCGAGTGAAGGCGCGAGAAGGAAAAGAGGAAACCCCGCATTGGAGATAAGGACGCGACACGACAAAGACGACAGGACCGCCGTTGGGAGCGGAGTAAGTCTGGAAGCGTTTCTTTTCGTTCCTTTTTTCTTCCTTTCTTTCCTTCTTTCCTTTTTATTTTTCCTTGATGGGCTTGAACAGGAGGGAGTGTGGTTTGAAGCAAAAGCTGGGGTTCTTGACGACAGACGACAGTTGTCGACCGGAAGAAAGGAAGGATTTCCTTTATTTCTTTGCGGAAGTGAGGTATTAATATATGTGTCGTGAAGAAATACGGCGCTGAAACGGGCTGGGCAGATGGAACCCGAGGAGGACTTTGGGGGCTGCGAAACGAGGTCTTTACTACTGTCCAGCTCGGGACATCCGTGTCCATTGCACAAATTAGCAACAATACACAACAGGCAACAGCGCTGCTGTTCATTTGCGGACAAAAAACAGATGAATTTTTCATCCCCCGCTTCTTTTTTCCCTTTGTATGCATGCATTTGTATCTCCTCATCCTCGCTACTGTAGTCTAGACATGGATGTATGTATATGATGCAATTGTACTTTTAGACAGGGGGTGAATATGAATAGACAGCCCCATTCTCCGGCGTACGGTATGTCCGACGCCGATGCATGTGTAGTCAACACTTCCATGGGGAATCTCGGACATTGGCACCAAAGGGGGAAAAAGGCTGTCTAAGGCGCTTGTGCCTCTCTTTCCCCCGCTTTCAAATCCAGACATCCGATCCCAAAATCGAAATAAAACCAAAACCTGAATTGCCACCAATTTGCATTGCCACCAAAATGGAGGGTGCCTGATCTGTGCCTGAGATCATAATACAAGCTCGCTTTTGCACAGCATCTACCTCTGCTGGTCGCAAGGGCTCGTGCCCCAGTACATTCCTATTAATATGATGGCGGAGAAGGGCTCTATCCGGTCAAGGTGCATACTTTACTTTGCAGAGGTGCTGCAACGTGCTATCTCATGGCTACGAGTACTCAAGATGACAATATCTAACAGACCTTTTATTTTCCCTCCTCTCCAGCATGCCCGCGAGCTGCAGTTGTTCCCAGCGACCGGGCTTGTTAGCGCACACGGTGTTGTATGAAGGAACATTCAATAAAATGAGTAGCGAATGGTTTCTGTAATCGCTGCGATGTCCCTGTATATGAAATGGCATCTAATCGTTTGCTCGAAACCTTTTCAGTCCACTGTTTCTTTAATCGTTCCCTCCAACAATGAAGTCCATTGGCATTCGTTTGATATTAATCGACAACTCCGGTACATACCCGTTAAGCAGTCCAGCACGCATGACAGGTAGTAATGACGGGAGATGGATTCGCGTCTTTTGAAAAGTGACCGACTTTGCGGCAGCCCTTTTGCTGGGTGAGTTTGAGTATGAGAGCAGCCCCCGTTGCTACTGTCCCTTGCAGAGCGCTAGTGTGAGCTGCTGATAATCATGTTCGTGTAGGTTTAAGATGGCGAAATGAATATATGTGCTGTAAGAACTGTACTGAGGAATAATCCAGTCCACAAAGAAATGTGGAAGACTACGATGGCAAGCTGATGAACTTCGTCGCATCCCTCGAAGCCCGACATTTTACATCGCCCTGAAGTAAAGCGCGAAAAAAGTAATTCCCATAAGCACAATGAAGACGGTCGTAATCTGGCCCAAAAGAGCAAAGCACACAAAGAAATTGGCACAGCAAGTTGAAGGCACTTTATTTCCAAAACAAATTTGAGCACTATTTCCATGTATCATTCGACTTATCTTGCTTTGATCATCGTTGTCTCAACGCTGCCCTATCACCGCCTTGCCATCATCGTTCGATTAAACACAGCGCCAGTCCTTGAAATGCCGATTTAAAATAAGTGTCTCTATATGATCGAATCTCTTTTCGCCTTTCTTTCGTTATCCATCGTTCCTTCGTTTTTTACCATGCGGTCAGCTATGGTGTGGATGCACCGCTGCTCTACGGCATCGCCGTAGGGACAGGCTGGCTGAGGAGGTTGTTGAGGTTGAGATGCCCAACAACCCAAAGGTGAGCCCCCTTCCGATAGTTCAGATACGTGTAGGAAGGCGTACCCCTTTTGTATTGCTTCTATTGCTTCCACGCGTATTCAATGTCTCCATCGTGCCTTCGCTTTTTACCATACGGTCAGCTGTGGTGTGGATGCACCGCTGCTCTACGGCATTGCCGTAGGGACAGGCTGGCTGAGGAGGTTGTTGAGGTTGAGATGTCCAACAACCCAAAGGTGAGCCCCCTTCCGATAGTTCAGATACGTGTAGGAAGGCGTACCCCTTTTGTACTGCTTCTATTGCTTCCACGCGTATTCAATGTCTCCATCGTGCCTTCGCTTTTTACCATACGGTCAGCTGTGGTGTGGATGCACCGCTGCTCTACGGCATTGCCGTAGGGACAGGCTGGCTGAGGAGGTTGTTGAGGTTGAGATGCCCAACAACCCAAAGGTGAGCCCCCTTCCGATAGTTCAGATACGTGTAGGAAGGCGTACCCTTTTATCATTCCATCTTCTCATTTTCTATGGACTTTTACTCGAATGTTACTATGGATTGGCTCCCTTTTTTGCTCCTATTGTTCAGTAACCTAACTAGTCGTTTCTGTTTTTGTTTGTGGGTCGCTAGGACGACGATGTTCTCATGAGCGCTCGGAGGGGATTTAGCAATAATAGGGCATGAGAAAGCATCAAAGGTTCAATAAAAAGCGACTGGAGTCCACATTCGCCTATGTTTCGAGTCGGAGCAAATGCATGGTCAGGAATTTCTCACGGAGGGCCAAGGATCATTTGTGTGCGTGGCGGTTCTATGCAGCAAGGATCAACCCACCTTCGTCATAAAGCGAAGTGTCGAATGGTTTCTCTGACTACTGCCTGATCTTCCTCGGCAGGGTGCTATCATATTTCCAGGTCCCTGAAGCCACAGCAGCCTTCGCCGACACACCGCACAAGTGGGACGGCTGCAATACGGGCAATCTATCTTCTCGCATGTAGTTGTCTCTTATTCACTGCAGAAATTATTACATTAGTTTCGACTAGGTTAAATGACGTTTATCTCGGCGAGGAGGAGAGTCAAGGACCTGACTGAGGAGTAGCATCGAGGAACGGAATTAAGTAACACGATCGAGGAACAGCATTAAAGAGGCGTTGTAGCCAGGGACTGTAACCAAGGAACACGGTCATTATATAGGGTCAGGAGCTGTGGTCAAGAAGCAGGGTTGAGGAGCATGGCTAAGGAACGGTATTGAGGAACAAGCTTAAAAGGTTTGCTCATGGAACATGGTCAGCAGGCAGGAGAATACGATTCAGCAAATTACATACCAATAAACGTCTGTTTAATAATCCGTCATCACACTAAGGAATGCGTGTTTGTTCCTGAAGTTTGATGGCCTGCAGAGATAAGGATGCAGCTGTGTCCTGAGATTCAGAGATATTGATTCGCGTCTAGTGATACTCATTGAGATTCATTTGTTTTTGGTATTGTATACCAATGTCGATCGCGAGCGGCCCGAACCTGAATGTCAGCATCAATCATGAACGCTCTGTACCCTGAATATCTGCAACGATTATATTTCCAGCGCGAAAACTGAACAGTGACGGTTTTCGACAACCAGGCCTTCCCCCTCCCTTCCTTGAATACGAGTGTAGACGTTTTCACAGCATGCCACTTCAGTTCAGAGAATGTCATCACACAACATCGAGATGAGCACTTCGCAACATAGCTCGACTCGATCGCGCGACCTGGAGAGGTTTCCAGTAGACCAGTTTTTTAAGGACGTGCATCCCGATAAATGGTCTCCGCTTGCCTTCGCACAACACGTCTCGACAAACCATATGAAGGAATATTTGTTTGGATTGCGCTATATCAATAAACACGGGACGAGCCCAATCAATGCACTGGCAGGCGTTTTGAATGCAAGGACGAAGGGCGAGGCAGGAGAAGCATCAATGGCAGCGGCGGAGGCCGCTCTTCAACTGAAGCTCGCACAGCAAATGGCTGCCGCAAAGTCGGTGACCTTCCAAAAAAAGGTCGAGTCGGCATCCATCGAATCCCTTATTAATGGTTAGTATCAGGCGTATGCGTGAAGTTTCAGGATGGTAAAATGTGTAACAAAATAAACATTATATTTTATTTTTTTTATCGCGTAGGCATCCAAGCATCGTCTTCATCTTCAGGTTGATGAATTACTTTGCTGCTTTAAGCGTCTTGAACTATAAACTGGACACACGAGGAGGCGCGACTGATTTTTCTTTTATTTTGCCTCGGTAGACTCGAGAAAAAGACCACTGGAGGAGACAGGGCCCCAGGCACTGGAGAAGAAACAGGTACTCGGTCACGCCAATGAAAGTGCAGTGCTGCCGCTCGCGGAGGCGCCATTCAATGGAGAGGGAGATCGGAAGCAGGTAACGATCACGGAGGCGCTGGGCAAGTGCAACTGGGCATTACGTACAGATACTAATGTATGGCCCAATCATGGACTTGCCTGATACTGCGTAGGAGTTGGACCCTAATGTTGATGTGGTCAATGTCGCAGAAGCTGGAGTGGCATTCAGAGTCGAGTCATTCACGTTTTCCGGCCGCCTGGGAGACCTGGATCTTGGTATCCCATTCAATCAATACTTTGGCAAGTGCGCCAAACTAAAGTACAAGAAGGATCTGTTCCCAGATTTCCTGTAAGGAGACCTTCCTATATGAGCCGTTTGTAGTGTCGTTCATTGTTCTGAGCAGACTCTAACGGAGTTGCATAATATCAGCGCCATCAACGGTATCTTGTTTTTGTCTGATATTCCAACGCCGCTTCAGAAGGCATGCTTTGGGACAGCTTACGAAGAAATTCGGAGGGCGATGATGGCCCTGGTACCTGAGCCTTCGGAGGAATCCATTGACAGGACTTTGGAGGAGTTCCGCCAGGGCAAGGATGTATGCGGATGATGTTTCGTTCTCAGCAGGCTGTTTTTCAGATCAAGATAAAGCAGGGTCCTGACAGCTTTTATATCTTCTTTATAGGCGTACAGCAAGGCGATGAGGAAGAAAATGTGCGCTCGTTCTGCTCGAAAAGCACTGCAAGATATCGCCATCACGGCCGATGATACGCCGCTCCGGGAGCTTTTCCTCCACGTCTGCAGGAACTTGGGAAGCAAGGAAGCAAGCCCTGTCTCAGAGGCGGATCAGACGTCTTCCTATATCCTGCCAATGTTGGCTTGCATCATGACCAAGCCAGACGAGTGCAGACTCGCGCAGTAAGTAATTTCACAGCGTTCCCTATATGACGGTTTCGCCAGCCATTCTCTAATATCTGATCTATATCTCATGCGGCATTACAGCACGGCAAACACCCCAACATCAGGCAGCCTTTTTGTACGACTTTGTAAGGACCTAGACGCCCCGCCGAAGCACCCAGACCTCATTTGCAAGCACGAGAACAAGATTGACATATCATTTGGTGAAGTCTCCTTGACCCGGGACCCGATGAAGGATACAGGAGACCTTTGTCGTCTCGCTATCTGGGCTAAGCGGCTGCAGGACCAACTCATTGGGTCGTACGAAGGAGCCGAGGAGATGATCGTTCCTATTTTCCAAGTCGTGCAGAAGACGTGCGCTATATATTTCACGCGACGCGTAGGAGAGATCTGTGTGGCTGTTCAGGTTGGACGGTTTGACATTTTGCAGGACATTCCGAATTTCCTGCAATTTGAGCGGCATTTGGAGAGCTGGCTGCTACTGGATACTGTCTTTACGGAGCTTTTAAAGAAAGTCGACCAGGTTCTTCAGAACAAAAGGCTGACCTCACCTCCCAAGGTCTACGGCGGTTTGTGCACCCCGTCAGCTAGGAAACTGCCATGAATATTCTCGGTCAATTCGGTTTTAGAGAACTGGGCAAGAATCCCGATTGTATATAAACTATTCGCATATTGAGCATCCCAGTTTTTTATCTAACAATAAACTGTGAAAACAAAAAAGACGAAAAAGAAAGTCGTAATGCAAATCCTTGTTTGGCGTTGTAGGGGATCGTACCAAGTGCTTTTTGGCCGGTTCGACATAGCGTTGACGGATGGATATTGGCGAGCACAAAGGCTACACAGGTGGCCTATCTCAGCTTTTTTGGTGCTGCGCCCAAAAGAGACACATTTTACGTCAAAAGTCAAAGAATCTTTATGATTATTTTTTTTGTTGTGCAAAAACAGCGTTTATTACAAAGAACAAGGAGTAGCAGCTAAAAGAAAACATAAATATCAACTTGAGGACGCATCGACCACCTGGCTTAATTTTTATCCACTGCAGCTCATGCATGCCTCCTTATTATCGATCGAGCACAGCATCGCCGCCTCGTTCGCCTCCCTCTCGGCTTCCTTATTGATTGACAGCTGGTCGACCGTAAACTTGATCGCGTCCACTGCTGGCCTCGTCCTCAAATAGTACATACCCGTCTTCAATCCCCTCTTCCATCCATAGAACGCCATTGACGTCAGCTTGCCATAGTTCACATCTGCCATATGAATGTTCATCGACTGAGATTGGTCAATAAACGCACCGCGGTCTGCCGCCATATCGATCACAACTTTCTGTGAGATCTCCCATGTGGTCTTGTACAACGCCTTCAGGTCATCAGGAATGCCAGAGATCCGCTGAATCGATCCGTTCTCGGAAATGATCCGGTTCTTGAGCTGATCGTTCCACAAACCCATCTCGACCAGGTCCTTCAGCATCCACGGGTTCACAATCTGGAATTCGCCTGCCAACACACGACGCGTGTAGATGTTGGAGGTATAGGGCTCAAAGCACTCATTAAAGCCGAGAATCTGGGAGGTCGAAGCAGTAGGCATGGGTGCAACAAGAAGCGAGTTGCGGACACCATGCTGAGCGATGCTTGCACGGAGCGTATCCCAGTCCCAGAGATCCGAGGGAGTCACTCCCCACATATCCGGCTGCAAAATACCCTTCGAAACAGGCGATCCCTGGTAAGTCTCATAGGGACCCTCCTCCTGGGCCATCTCGCACGAGGCCTCCAGAGCGGCGTGGTAGATGGTTTCAAAAATCTGTGTGTTCAGCTGACGGGCCTCGGGCGAGTCAAATGGCATGCGCAACTTGATAAACGCATCTGCAAGTCCCTGGACACCGACACCGACAGGACGATGGCGCTTGTTCGACCTCTCGGCCTCGGGGACAGGATAGTAGTTCTCGTCAATAATCTTATTCAGGTTGCGCGTAACAACCTTAGTGACCTTGTGGAGCATCTTGAAGTCGTACGTCTGGTTGTTGACAAAGGTCGGGAGTGCGATACTGGCGAGGTTGCACACCGCAACCTCATCTGGGCTGCTGTACTCGACAATCTCTGTACACAAGTTGCTGCACTTGATCGTTCCCAGGTTCTGCTGGTTCGACTTGCGGTTGCACGCATCCTTATATAGCATATAGGGCGTTCCGGTCTCGGTCTGAGCCTCCAGAATCGCGTACCACAACTTCTGGGCCTTGATGGTCTTGCGAGCGCGTCCCTCACGCTCATACCGGTGGTAGAGTTCCTCAAATTCCTCGCCCCAGACATCCTGAAGACCGGGGGCCTCTGCAGGACAGAACAGGCTCCAGTCGCCGTTCTCCTCAATACGTTTCATAAACAAGTCAGGGATCCAGAGGGCGTAGAACAGGTCGCGAGCGCGAGACTCCTCTTTTCCAGTGTTCTTACGAAGATCCAAGAACTCAAAAACATCCGCATGCCATGGCTCGAGATACATGGCAAAAGCACCGGGACGCTTGTTTCCTCCTTGGTCGACATAGCGGGCAGTGTTGTTGTAAACGCGAAGCATGGGAATAAGGCCGTTGGAGTAGCCGTTCGTTCCAGCGATGTAAGAGCCCGAGGCACGGATGTTATGGATGTTGAGACCGATGCCTCCTGCAGTCTTGGAGATCATGGCACAGGTCTTCAGAGTGTCATAGATGCCCTCGATTGAATCATCCTTCATGGTCAGTAAGAAACAGCTCGACATCTGAGGTCTAGGCGTTCCGGCGTTGAAAAGCGTGGGCGAGGCGTGTGTGAAGTATTTTTCTGACATGTAGTTGTAGGTCTCAATGGCTTTCTCGACATCGCTGCCGTGGATACCGACCGAAACACGCATCAACATGTGTTGGGGCCTCTCTGCAACCTTGCCGTTGATGCGGAGAAGGTACGAGCGCTCCAGGGTCTTGAAACCGAAGTAGTTATAGTTGAAGTCGCGGTCGTAAATGATGGCAGAGTTAAGGCGGTCGGCATTCTTCATAATACTTTTATAAGTCGACTCGGAGATCATGGAGGCATTCTTGCTGGTCTTGGGATCGACATAGCTATACAAGTCCTCGATGACTTGCGAGAAGACCTTCTTGGTCTCCTTGTGGACGTTGGATACGGCAATGCGGGCAGCGAGAATGGCATAATCAGGGTGCTTCGTGGTCATATAGGCCGCCTGTAAGTTTGGAGCATCAATTGAATAGGTATTCCACGTTAGGACCAACGAATCGAACAATGCAGGCTAAGCTCTGCAGCAGACTGGAAGAAGGACAGGGCTTACGGTCTCGGCGGCAAGATTGTCGAGCTCGACGGTGCTTACGCCCTGATACACTCCTGAGATGACCTGTAGAGGGGTTCCATTGGCGTTACAAGAGGATGAAGGAACAATTGGTCGAGTTTAGTAATAATATGTTAGCATCTAGTCAACCTGCTGGGAAAAGCCACTAGAACAACACTTGAAAAAAATAATATTTCAAAACCAGATTTCCAATGCGCAGTTGACAAAGGGTATCCGGGGCAGCTGGGGTCCTTACCTTCTGAGTAACTTGGACAGGGTCCACAAAGTTCATGTCGAGGCCATAGCACAGCTTGACAATTCTGGCCGTGATCTTGTCAAAGGCGACACGCTCCTTGCGTCCTGCGATTTCGAGACAACAGCACAGCAAAAAAAAGTAGCGGTTAGACGGGAGGCCAATCTCATTTGAAGAACGCATGACAACTGGCGTGAATTCAAATTTTTTTTTTTCGGTTTACCATCTGGATACGGCCAAGGTCAAGGAGCATCGACAAACATAGAGGAAATGGAGAAGAAAGGGATTCAGAAGGTCAGTTAGTACAAGCACATTCAGGTACCAAGAAGCCCGCGATAAAAGGTAACGATGAACCAGCTAGTCTTAGTTGCACACCTCGTTTGTAGACGAACATCGCAGTGGATAGTATAGGTGGAGAAGACGGAACGAGAGCCAAGGAGATGAACGAGTTTGGAAGAAGGGTGGTATACAGAGTTCACGCTGTCAGGTACAATAAGGAAGACGCGCGCCAAGAGGAGAGGGGAAAGAAGAAGGGGGAAACAAAACAAGAAGAAACACCTCATAAATTGCAACGCGTCCTCTTTGTTTTGATTTTTGGACTGCTTTATACGTTTGGGCGAAGACGCGTATCTTATATCCTACTCTCCCACGCGCACCCCATATCCAGAATACCTAGCGGCAAGCATGAGACCGATACCAATGATATCTACGGACTAGCTCGCACAGTTTATTATTAAAGATGCTATATTACATGAGATAATTAGATGTACACTATTGTTGCTGCCTCACCACGACGCTGCCGCGGCATTGTAAAAGCACTGTTGAAAGATATCCAGGGTTCGTTGACCCGACTCCTGTCGTCGGACTTCAATCTCTGAGAGCCCTCCCGCATGGATCGCCTGCGTGTCCAGCCGGGACCTCGATCTCTTCGGTAAAGATAGGTTGCTCCTCATAAACGCACCCTCGTCCACATCATCGTCGCCAAAATCCTGTACACTGTTGGCGGCACTAACATCGACACTCATTTGACCATAGGTACTGTCTGCAGGTGTCAATATCATGGGTTCTGTGTCGTCCTGCGGTCTGTAATCCAGCTCTGTAAAATTTGCTGTGCTGTAGTGGTGTTCAAATGAGCCATTGTGATCACCCAAAATAGTATTCCGGGTAGATTGCTGCATCAAAGACATCGACTTGCCCGATCCGTCAGGGGCAAATTCATTGAGAAAAGAAGATGTCGAAATCGGTGGGTCAGAATGTTCCAGGGACTCGTCATCCTGCCATGTTGCTTTGCGTTTTGTACTTTGACTATAAGATGATCCTCTCAGCTGGATTGGACTGTTAGTTGTGCCTGGGATCTCCTCCATCAAATTTTCCGCTTCGACCTTTAGAGAGGCACGAAGATCCTGCCGAATGCCGGTGTACTGCAACGAGTACTGCTGATCCAACGAATGTTGTGTTTGCGCAAATATTCTCCTTGAATAGTCCATATCAGGCGATGCGCCCGTAGTGGAAATTATGCTTACGGGTGAGGATCCTAAGGAAGATCCACAAGGAGATGACGGAGATGAAGGCGCGCTGGTCGTCTCACTACCTGTTGTTCCTAAAGACATCATGACAGCCGTGCGATCAAGGCCGTATTCTTCGTAGTCGTTTCCAGAGACGGCTTTGGCAGTCAAGGAGAGAGAAGGGAACTGAGGTGAGGACGGCGGTGGTGAAGACATTGGCGAGGCTGAGGCTGAGTGGACGGATCGCCAATGGGGTCCTACGGATTGCTTGTTGAGCTTTGCATGGCTGGTCTGATTAAATCGCTGTGGGCTGTTGAGCAGAAGGATGGTGCTGTCACTGCAGGTGGTGGTGTGAGCTGGGCCGAAAGTTGGGTACCATGGACGTGCGGTACTTCCTGGTATGGTATGTAACCGCTGCATCAACTCCAATTGCTGCATATACAACTGCTGTTGGCGTTGGTGCTCTGTGAGTAGAAATGGAGACGTCCCTTGATGGTTGCCTATGGACGTTGACACTGCGATGGGCAAGTCTTGCGCTGTAGGGTGTTGCTGCCGGAGGTTCAGCCGATAGTGTTCAGAGGAGACATGTTTAGGCGATACATGTTCTTGTTGTACCGAGGCTGAGACAGCATTAGTGTTACTGTTGTTGAGAGCAGCTGCAGTTGCGGCTGGTTTAATAGGGTTGCTGTAGTCGGGATTGAGGTCTGGTCGGGAGATGGCATTCAGGAAGGAGGAGTGCACACCCTGCTGCATCAGTGCAATCGCACCATGAGGGAGATCACTCGGACTGGGTGCAGAGGTAGCAGTCGTGGTACTGATAGCATGCGGCTGGACTGAGCTCCAATGGGGCCCGACTGTCCTCCGTCTTTGAGGCGCAGACTGAAATAGAGGAGCGTTGGCCATGCTGATAGGGCGGAGTGGTCGACGAGCGGAGGCGGCGTGAAGGATAAAGGGGAGGAGGATAAGAAGAAGAAGGCGGGGTTGCGTGAGGAGACGATGAGGAAGAAGAAATCTAAGGGGCGAAGGGCGGCAGTTGGTGGCGGTATAAGTATGGCTGCTGGAGGCGGCTGTTGGGGGACGACTGAAGGAGCGGTACAGCGAAGGAAGGACAAGAAGGCTCCCCCCGCTCTGCAGCAGAGGGGTGGAAGGAGCGAATCGAGTCCCATGGCGGATCCATATCAGGCTAGTCTGGACGGCAAAGGAGAGCTAGTCCGTGGTCAAAATTGCTGTCGGTGTGACTGAATGGGATCCCTTTCCTCCCTTGTTGCACATTGCACATTGCAGTCCAGATTCAGCCATGCAAGCAAGCAGACAAACAAACTAAAGGAGTAAAAACTATAACGCATGTGGCTATCGCTACAGACTTTGGACTATTTACACACAGTATACGAGTGTGCTCTTCTTCTCCACACCCTCTTCTTCGTGTGCGCAGGTCGACTCCAGCTCCTCCTTGGCCGTCCTCCTTCCCCCGCTCTCCTCGCCTCCTTCGCTTCCTCTCTCTCCTTCTTGACGCTCTTCGCTCTCGCACATCCCGTACACACCTGCAGGTTGCAGGTACCCCGGATGAAGATATGCAGCATAGTCATGTTTTCTTCTTTACTTTATTCCCAGAATGAACCAATGGATAGCAGCATCTCGACATCTCTTTTCCTCACCTGCTGGGGACTGTCATCTTCAAAACCTTATTTACGGCGACTTCAGGTTCAACGAACCATGGTAAAATAGTTTTCTCCGCAGAGAACTTTTCGCTCGTGCCGACGCAGTGCATGCCATTGCTCATTTTCAGAGCGCCTTGGTAGTATAAATCCATGGATTTATCAACAAGGAAAGAAAAGAAGAGAATAATAGGTAACAAAGTCTTTTTTTTTTTTTTTTTTTTCAGCCTAAGAGAAAAATACGAATAAATGATAGATTCGTGAGGTTTGTGGAGTAAATAAAATAGTATGAAAGAGAGCGGTTTGAACTGCACAACGACAACACAACAATAATAATAAGGACATGTGTAATGACAATAGAGCACGGGCTACAAGAGTTAGTATATGTTTATTTGCTACGCTACGTGACTAAAAATGTATTCGTACCAAAGCTGGAAAAGTGAATCAACTGGGACATGGGAAGGCAGGGTGCAAGGGGGGGGGAAAATAAAATAACTACACGCGGGAGAAGAATAGGACAAGCATCAACTTCATTCCATGCTTCAAAAGTCAATGTCGTCTTTCAACATGCTTCCTCCAAGCTGCACCTTTTGACCTGGCTCAAACGCTGGCATGCCAATATAGGGACATGATCCACATCGGAACGCATCTCCCAAATAGCAGTTTCCACATGACGACTTTGGCTGCAACGCCTTCGGCACAACCTCCGTGATCGCAGACTCCTTCCACCGGTTACTATTCGAGGCCACAATCGCCTCCTGGGGCACAGGTCCTACTGAGGAATCCGCCATGTCCACATCCTGTTGCTGCTCATCTTCAGGCTCGCCCTCAGATTCCATTCCGCATGTGCAGTTCTTGCATTTCTTCTTCTTCAGACTGTCCGGTCCACATTCAGGTGCTGCCAACTGCTCCTTCGTCGGCTTGGTCAAATCTGACTCATCCAACAAGTCGTCCTCATCCTCGAGCTCTACATCATCGTCATCGTCGTTTGCGGAAATGGTCCAGACGGCCGTCTTGTTGACCCTGTTAGCACCAGCAGCGGGCTTGGCCATAGGGGCAGCTGTGGTAGCGGGCGTGGTGTTTGTGGCACGCTTGCGAGCCCAAGGCAACGCTGCGGCAGCACCGAGTTCATATGCTGGCTTCTTTGCGGAGATCTACCGAAAGAAGGAGGGAGAGATATGTTAGCGCGCCTTTTACTTAATCAATAATCAATCATAAAAGGAAAGAAAGATACGAGATTTCATCTTTTTCCAACTGTATTTTTTGTACCTCGACAAACTCGATCTGACCCTCGAGCGCAGCAGCATCTGCCTGGATGTTCCACACCCGAAGCAGCCCCTCGATTTCCTGTACCGAAGCCTTCCTCTGATTTACAATTGTTGTCTCAACAAATCCCGAGATCTTGAGGGCCGAAATCAGATCTGCTGCAGATCTCTGAAGGGCCTGGCTGAGTCCTGCCAACGAAGCAGTGCCTGACAGAACGGGCTCAGACAATGACAATCCTCCACCCGGCAAAAGCGTGCCTGCCATTGCAGCCAGAACAGCGTCCGAGTGCTGATAGGCAGAGGGGGCAACCGCTCCGGTGACAATAGTATTGTAGTTTGATGCAGGCAGGGAAACTATAGTCCAGTGGAATAACGAAAGCGAGCACGTTAGTCTTACATTCGTCCGTCTATCGCCTCCTCCGCACCGCAAAGATGAGTAACTTACTGGAAGCAAGTCTGTCGAGCTGCTCAAAGTTGACGGATCCCTGATTTCCGACTGAGGAGAGGATGGAGTTCCTTGCCTCGGTCAACTCCGAGGCCGAGGCCGAGGCTGTGCCGACGAGCAGGACCTTCTGTCCCTGGCTGACAAGAGCGGAAGTTGCGACTGGGGCCATTGTGTGGGCGTTGCTTGTGTTGTGTGAGTGGTTTGTTGATCGAAGGAGGAAGCAGGAAAGAGAGTCGATCGGGATGGGTGGTGAGGGCGAGTGGGATCTGAATGGGAAGTGGAGATGGGGACTGGGTGATGAACAAAAGAGAATCGAGATGGTGAATGGGAAAAGGGGAGCAGGTCTCGCTCATGGCAGGATTTGTCAGGCGCAGGCCCTCCTTATCCTCAAGATGACTCGCTTTACCGCAGCTGAAGCCACCTGAGTGGTCTGAGGATCCATTCGGAAAGGCGCTCAACTCCCATTGGTCAGTAACGATCCACATATCCCACATATCCCACATATCCAACCCGCTTTCCGCTCCTCTCCTCGTTCGCCGCCATGCTGCTCGAGGGCACGGGGCTGCATTTCTATATTGGGACAATGGATATCTCTACTCAAAGAAAAGTGGATCGTCGCAGTTCGGATCGACGCCCTCAAACCGCTCCTGCAGAGACCGCAGATACTGCTTCCCTCCAGTCCCCTCTTGACTAATAGTTCCATCACCGCGACCGTCCTCCACGCGTGTCGAAGCGCTCAGCTCCACGACATTCGACCGCGTCGACAAATCTTGTGATAGCAATTGGCACATCCTGCACTCGTCCGCATTGTCGCCATGCTGACACGGCTTGCAACCCACCAAAGTCCTCGTCCGCTCGCTTCCACCTAACATGCTACTCGCGCTGACTGGACTCGCACCCAGCGCCAATGTCGCAGCATTTGAAGTCCCATCACCTCCATACCCGTCATCATCACCAAACATCACAATCAAGCTCTGTGTCACCCGTCCTCTGTTGGCGCTTCCACTGTAATTCTCCCCCGGCCCAGGAACGCTTGCATGCCCCCGAACACGCAACTGATCCATCCGATAACTCAGTGTCCGATTATTCTCATGCCGTTGCTGATGCCCAGGACCCGTGTCTCTAACCTCTTCAGCCAATATAGTGTTCGTACTATTCGCTGACAAGGGCGCCGCCGCGCCCACTACAGATAAGTTCGCCATCGACAGGTTTTCAAGCGGCATATTAGCCCCGACCCCAGTCGAGCTCGAGTACCCATTACTGGCTGATTGTTTGCTATTGTCAAAGAGACTGTACCAGTACAAGAGTCGCTCTTCGTCGTGGACCTGGAGTAAGAAATCATACCGACGGCAACTAACGACGTGCAGAATGTACGCTCCTGGCTCGCGGGAATGGATGGACACAGAGATATAAGTGTACGTTCTACCTGTCTCGGGCTTTCCCTGTACGTTGAAGCGATCAGATATATTAGTTCAAACACTACTTTCAAGGAGAATACACGTAAAAGAAATAAAAGTGACGGAACTTACGACTTCGAAGCATGTAAAATAACGCCCCGTCGGAAATAGTACCACGCGTCGCATGCACCAGCTCGACAAGAACGGTAGATAACGGCTCTGGAACTTGACTCCCATATACCCCATGTGCGTCTCCTTCAGCGTTTCTTCATTGATCTCATCCAACGTTGCCACGCTGGCTTTGCGCCCATTCGTCAAGTGCTGGTCACTGTCATTCGCAGGCCCGCCCGTTCCTACCCCTACCCCACTAATGCTCTGATCACCTAGCACTACGAGATTCCCAGCGCTGTTCATCCATCTTGTAGCACCACTGTGGATGAACCCATCCATGCTGCTTTCGTCCGAACCGCCTCCTCCAAAACCACCGTTACTATTGCGTTGCTGAGACCGTTCGATCTGAGTAAAGAGTTCCCAGAGCTTGGGCAGGAACATAAACATGAGTGAGAACGTAGTTCCAAAAAGGATGACGACGGTTGAGAGAAAGAACTTTGTCAAGAACTGTTCCCTTGGCAAAAGCACTGTAGGCATCGCCAAGCAAGCTGACAGCAGAATGTTGCTATTTGTAGCAAGTTCAAAGAATAAATATACGTTAAATTCTTCTGCCGATATGTTGCCTTTTTGGCATCTGAAGGCATTCATTAGTGCTGTACTTACTAAACAACAAAGGCGATTTGCCGGCACTCGTTGTAGTTGGCAGCGACATTCCGGTTCATGTAGGCCAGATATGTGGCGACCAACATCAACGCTGCATTGCACACGAATATGATCACAAAGAACGGCATGCTATCCCCGCCAGCGTTGTTGCACGTCCAATACAACGTGAAATCGGGCATTGCGATCTGCTCCAAAGTTGGTGGCGCCTTGAGGAACCAAACGACCACAATGATCTATATTCCCCCTTCCCCGCAGTAAATTGGTTAGAAATTCTGCTGCATTCTGTTCTCCTCTTGGGACCTTCCATTAATCAAACCTATTTGTGTGTTACCAAATTGCCGAACATGATGGAGCCGACAATCTTGAGAAGATGTGAATCCTTGATGACCCGTTTGGTCACATAGATGTTATGAAAAATCCTATAGACCCTAAAGTTCTTGGCGACAATATTGCTAACGACGAGGACGAACCCGACATTGAGTGCAAGCGGTCGAGCGATGCAGAGAAAGCTCGTAGGAATGTCCAGGCCCATGATCGTCGCGATGTACAACAGTATGAACCCACACAGCTCGAGGCAGCAAAACAGAGGACTACATATTAAACATAAAAAAGACGTTCAAGAGGGTGTAAGTGTCATGCCGGCTGTTAGCACAACAAAGCGCATGCAACGTTTGTACAGTGCTCTGTGTAACAACTCCTAAGATTTCAGACATGCTTACCTGGACGCCTTGATGACTTCTGCGTCTCGGTACACGATAACGATGAGCATCGTTAAAAGCGAAAACAAAGTACTCAGTCCTGCAATCGAGAGAACCACCAACCCAATCGGTGATCCATACTTCGGATTCAGCACCTGGAACGGCACAGAATCCGCAGGCGTATCATACGTCCCATCAAAATATATTGGTGCCGACAACAGACTGAACACCCCAGAATACGAGGTACCAATTGAGACCACTTCACCATCCTGGAAGTTGTACAAGATGAAGTTGCCATAAACAACATCTCCGCTTTCACTGATAACCATAGGTCCGCCGGGACCTGTGTAATTGGTGTTCATGTCCACAGGCCGCAGCTCAGGACCCATTTTCCCAGCCGCTAACAGATGGAGCGCGGTCCAGTTGCCTTTGATAGCATTCGCGAACGCGTTGGCCATGACCATCATGCACGAGTATGCTTGACTATAAACCATGGAGCGTAACATAAAGCTTTTGAGCAACACTCTCTGATTTTTCTATGGCCACACTACACTTGCAACCCATTCGCACTTACGGCTCATTACTGGAGATATCCCGTTGACCAGCATAAGGATATCTAGTTCGTAAAAGCAATAGACTCATGAATCAGAGGACGTCATCAAGGAATACAGGGCCACTATGTCAATTTTACGTTCCTAAAGGTATCATGTAGCTTACTGGTTAGGGTCGAGAGCCTCCCATTTGTCAAGGAACCTTTCATAAGGTGGATATCCGTTCAGCTTGAGTAGGTTATCAAACATGAACAGGCCATTCAAATCTGTTGGCTTCAGGGTCGAGCTCGCTTTCAACAATGGTTCTGTAATCTGGTTGATCGCGAGCCAGACGTAATTTTTGGATATCAGACCCTTATTGCTGGTCCGAAGAAGAAGAAAAAGAGGAGAATGTTAGTATTAATAAGACTAATTAAAATAACTCAAGGAACCGAGCGTCTGTAGGTCATGAACTTACACAGCCTCGATCATGAGTCGAACCTGAGGAACGCTGACTGCAGCGACCAGAACAATCCGTTGACCAGAATCCGCAAGGGCATCCAACGCCGGCCCAACATCAGAAGAGGCGCCATTTTCCCAGAACGCTCTTTGGTACCCAATCGTAATATTTTTCCTTGCAGCCTGTACTGCAATATTATCCATCACTTTTGAAAAAAATAAAATAAAATAAAATAAAAATAAAGAGAACAGGGAAAACTTTAGCAAAAGCGCATCACATTGCGATGGTTTCGTATCATGCAACTCTTCTTAAGTATTTACTCTGCAAGCCGAGGGAGTCGCCAGTATAGATGACAGCAATGGTTTTCCAGCCACGGCTGGCCACAAAGTCCATCATGACCGAACCAAACATCAGCTCCGTCGGGATAGTCCGGAAAAAATAGCCATAGTCATCTTTGCTTGACAATTGAGCTGGATAAACGAATGAGCGTTGGTTAATTAGAATAATAACGATATACGAATTAAGTGATAGGGCGTAACAATGCGAGACAGATATAAGATGTACGGCCGTTGGAACATAAACAAAATCATCCGCTCAAGCTAAACGAATTTAAGCCGACAGATGCTGCAGTGGAAAATGTAGTAATAGCATGCGTGTGCGTATCAGTAAAAGAGAATAAAAGAAGGTATGAAGAGACTTACTGGAGCCGGCGGAATACGAGCATTGAGGGATAGATAATCGACTGGTCAGAAGCGCTGACTGCATCGAAAGCGCACTGCTCACATCACCAATAACACCCGCAACACCACCGTTTGTCTGGAGCAGAGACACTGTTGAGAAGATGGCCTGAGCAGCACCCGAGTTTTCGGGATCGAGGCCGTTGAACGAATCTTTGAGAACCAGAGTGATATATGCACCTGGGATAAGATGGTTCGCATTGATTTCACTCACTGCTAAACGGATTGCGGACGTGCCGCTGCGAGAAAAAAAAATGAGTTGGCGCGCGACGCGTCTCAGGCACAAAACAAAATTATTTTGCCGCTAAGACGCTTACCTGTAGGCTAATTGCTGTGTAAGATTATTGGGCAGCGAGTATGGCAAGAGTAGACCGACCCTGATCTCGACTAGTCCTTCTCTGGATGTTACGTTTGGGGTCAGCTCTAGGGAGTTGCTGGCACCAGTCTCTGGCGTGTATGGAAAGTAGCGAGTGGAGACGTTTGGCTCATTCTGCGGGAGTAGTAATGCAATCGGCTGCTGAGACTGAGATACTGATACAAAACTGGATGGCGCTGGTGGCGATGGAGATGGCGAAACACTCGATTGCAGTGGAGCTAAAGAGGAGGGGGAGAGTACTGACGGTGTAGGCGGGGGCATCGATAGTGATGAGGGCGATTTGATGGTTAAATTCTGTCGCTTCCTGCCTCTTGCTGCTGTTACCGATGGTGAGCGTTTCTTAAGTGCCCAGAGGTTCTGTGTCGATAAGGAGTATGATTGTGAGGTATAGCCATGATAAATTGGATCTGTTCTGGGCTGTGCATGACGTGAGGCTCGTTCGAGAGACTGTTGCGATGTATAGGAACGAGACCGCGAGGGGGGATACGGAGAGCTGGAATATTCATGAAGAGAAGAGGTGGCTTCGCAGGCTTGGTGGTCATGAGTGAGGAATGCGAGGAGTAGTATGCTTGCTGCCAGGGCAGTGTATGGCTGCGCTGTGGGTATCCTGAGAAATTTCATAACAAAGTGATGTTATTGGGCAGTTGATAGATGGCGCAGTAGTCTGTTCACTATTTGTGTTCGGCGCTTTCGGTGTTCGTGTTGGGGAAATGTCGTTGTTTGTTTCGAGGTGTTGTGAGGCGGAAGTGTTCATAAGCGTTAGCTATGGTGGATGAAGCAGCACACAGAGGGTAAGGAAAAGGACGTAGAGGAAGGAGATATTAGAAGGATACAAAGGTGTGTTGGAGGTTATTAAAGATTCTCTGTGCCATGTCTATTCTTTTCTGAGTCGATTGGGACGATAGAAAGGAAGCGTTTTTGCCACAATGATCCTTTACTGGCATCCTTTGGTGAAAGAGGGTATTGAAACCAAAGATATTTGGGAGAGACGGATTACGAAAAAAAACCGCTGAGCAGCGTGTAAAAAGAAGAGGAAAATACCCCCGGAAAAAGTATTACCGAAGAACCCATATCGACCAAGGATATACACACGCACGGCGCCACAAAAGCGGGAGAGGACTGCAGAAAAAAGGGATGAAATGGCATCCTCGACAGCAACAGGCCATCCCTGAGGTGTTTGAGGGCAGATGTACAATAATCAATAGTGATGAGCAGTAATGCATGTATGCAGACGCAGCCAAAACAGCACCAGGAATGAACGACTAAGAAGATATGAAGAAAGGACATAAGCAATAACGAGGCATTATCCTATGGCGACCAAGTGGGAGTAATGAGCCGCTGGCTTGCTATCTCTGTAAATGAACAGATGAGGAAGGACTACATGATTAAAGCCAAAGATACAAAGGGAGCTAGGGCAGGGGGGCAGGGACTAGAATGTGGCAAGATGCGAGGGAATGGATGCGTTGTATTAATAGCTGCATGATATATACACCGGATATTGACATGTCACGATAAATAGATGTGACAGAGATGGAGAGGAGAAGGAACAAGAAACGCAAAAGGTGGAGGCAGAGAGGCTAAAGACCTGGATGTCGATTTCGATGACAGCCTCTTGAAGTGGTCAATGAAATACGCCTTCTTATCTTAGACTATCAAATGAAGAGAAAACGAGTCGCGCACGCCGTTTTCGCTGTGCGTGGCCATCTCTCCCGCACCCCCAGCTCCGTGTCTTTCGCTGGATCCAGATTTCTCGGTCCCTGAATGACCCTTTTCTGCGTAGTTGCACCCCAATAAGGCGATGATGAAGTTCATATCTGCGTTCAATCATGTAGCATTGACAATACAGGCAAAAAAATCCTTGCATAGACAGTGTGAGCTATGGGGCCCTGTTGACTTTCTTATGAGCCATGAAGCAATGAACGTGCGAGACTGACCGCACGATATAGAACGCGGAGAAAAAAGAGTTGGGATCCCAGACAGAGGCCAAATACTGAAACAAGAATCAGAATAGCAGGCCTAACCATTAGGCCAAGGATAGCGAGTTGTGGCCATGCGGAATATCACAGGAAATCGAAACTTGAAGATGATAATGAATGTACAAGGCTCAGTTAAGCACGGTGATCCAACGCGTAGTCGAATACGAAATGGATTATGATGCTCCTTCATACATTGTGTTCGTTACGCGTGTCCGTTAAGTCGTTAGATGGGCGTTCGTTGGTTGATCGTTAATGGCAGTAGTGGCTTTGAGAAGAGAGGATGGGGATATAATTTATACATCTGATCGTAGGAAGTCGAGTCATTAAAATGCATTGGAATGTGTACGCGGTTTACCCTAGATGCCTTGCAATTCCTCCCGGGTAGTGTTCAGCTTCCTCTCTGCTGAGATGAGATTATGAGTTCTCGGAGAAAAAGATAGATTGAGAAAGGAGAGAAGGAGGGATAAGGGATCATAGATAGGCATCTTCCCTGTTGCCGATCAAAGGAATAAAATGAAAATAACAAAAGAATGAAAAAGAAAAGGACATTGGAAGCAAAATCCGCAAAGAAAAAGAGAGGCTCAAGACAGCTCGGATGGTTTTATTGAGCGAAATTTAAGGAAAAGGGAGAGGGGAAGAGAGAACCCCCGTGTGTCTTAGAATCATCAATCTTTTTTTACTATCGCTTCAGACGCAGCGACTGCATACACTCTCTTTCTTGTCTTTTTAAAATGTTCATAAAAAAGGGCGGGCGCTTGCATGGCGCATGAAAATTAGGCGCCTCTCCTGGTGGCCCCCTGTCCCCCTTTATTCTTTTGACCTTGTTGATGTAAATGAGGCCTCTCCCTACTGTGCCCCTTCAACCATGGCACACATTTGTAATGCTCCTTCTGAAGTCCCCCTGAGCGTGTCCCAAGCCGTTGCATTATCAAAAATGGCACAGCAGCACAGCCTACGCTTGGAACGCGAGCAATAATCCTCTTGTAAACCATGGCGGCCACTGAGACACAGCATCATTTGTTTACGACGATGCATCGGCTTGTTCCACCTGTTACTTGGCAGTTGGCAATTGACTTGGCAACGACCAAACCTTATTTGATCACTCTTTTTGGAAAAGGGTTTCTCGTGTATAAAAGGAGCACTTTTTTCTCACACCCGAAAATTCTTTCGCGCTCTGTTTTTTCACATCTATCCTTTCAAGCATGCTTCAGCAACAAACCGCCGCTCGTCTCGTCTCTCTCGTAAACGCAACGAAGATCCTTAAGATCATACCTCAGAGGTCCTTTGGCTTAGCCTCTGCTTCTACCTCGACTGCCACTTCAACAACCGGAGGATTATTTCATGACGGCGCTAATCTTTCATGGAAAACAACCATGGAAACGCCCACCAGTAGACATGATTTTGGCAAGGCATCCGTACAGCAGCAGCTCAAGCTCTTTTCGTCCTCCTCTCACCGCTTTCCGCTTTCGCCACCCATGGCCTCACCACCACCAGCAACGATACGCGCAGGTGCTCTTCATGGCCATGCCATTAGAAGATTTTCACAGCGTGCGAATTTCTGGATTGGAAACAATGCAGCCAAAGCCTGCCTCTCTCGCTCCAGAACCATCCAGCAGCAGCTCAGATCCTATGCTCAGTATCGCGTCACAAGAAGGAGACCTATCCGGCTCATCTTCAAGATGATGGCTGCTTCGACTGCCCTTGTTGCTATTCCCGCCATCTTGCTCTTTGGAGCGCCAATTGCGAGTATTGTCTTCATTCCCATTGCTATCGGAGGCATCTTTGGAGGCGCAATTCTGCTTACAGGAGGGATCCTGTTCTTTGTCTTACCCGTCGTTGCTGTCGGAGGCGCACTCACCTTCTGGCTGTACGCCATGCCCGCCGCTGTCACGGCCAAGGACCTGAACAAGATCCTGAAGCGCGCAAAGAGCGGGGAAACCGTATCAGCTTTGAGTGCATTGGGACAAGACTGGGAGCTCCAAAGAGCAAAGCCGGATGAATGGTTCAGATGGGAGTTTCCTCACAATGAGAATTCGCTTGATAGGATCAGCATCCGCATGGCAGTTTTTGACCCCAACGACAGCAGTGCGCGCAAGCAAAGGACGATGAAGTGGTTGGATAACATCGAGACGAATGTGGACGAAAACAACATCGCCAAGTGGGAGGTGGAGGCGGGCGAGGATGGCGAGATTGTTAGGAGGGTCACGAAATCGTCGAAGCACTTTGAGGTCCACAACAACTCTGATAAGCTGGACATCGAGAGTTTGTACATCAACCGAGACAACGATCACCTAATAATCGAGATCAAGGATGATGGCGAAAAACTGTTGAAACAAAAGTGGGGCAAGAAATACCTAGAGTTGGCCAAGGTTATTGACCAGGCTGCATCTGAGCTAGAAATGGAGGGCCATGATCTGGGCGAGCAGGTCGTATTGGTCCGCAAGGACAAGGGAAGGTCATTCTGGAACAAGTTCTCACTCGGTGGCGATATCGCTCTCCGCATCCCTTTCAACCGTACTTGGGTCCATGATGTCACGGACGAATAACCGGCCGGTATCCTTCAGACCAGCACCACCAACTTCAAGTTCATTTTCCTCGCACTCGCAGCTTTTCTTGATGGGCTGATTTGACCATGTAAAATACAGTACTCCATTTGTATCAGTGGCTTTACATGGTATTGACAGCATGCAAATTTTATGGATATCTAGAACGACTGTACATATGGCTGTAATGTTGACAAAGAGAATAGGAGAAATGAGGAATGGAATGGCAGAAGGGGGTCAACAGACCAGCTGGAGGTTTTTTTACCAGCCGCGTTTGGCATAGAGCTGATCCACGGGGATGTCAGAAATGTTGATGCCGACCATGGCCTCACCGAGATCCTCAGAGACCTCAGCAAGGACCTTAGGGTCCTTGTAGTGGGTCACAGCCTGGACAATAGCACGGGCACGCTTGGCTGGGTCACCGGACTTGAAGATACCCGATCCAACAAAGACACCATCACATCCGAGCTGCATCATCAAGGCAGCATCGGCAGGAGTGGCAACACCACCGGCAGCGAAGTTGACAACGGGCAAGCGTCCCAACTTGGCAGTCTCCTTGAGAAGATGATAAGGGGCTTGGATCTCCTTGGCATAGGTGAAGAGCTCAGCATCATCCATCAACTGTGCCCTGCGGATCTCGGCCTTGACTGTACGGCAATGACGAACAGCCTCGACAACATTTCCGGTACCAGCTTCGCCCTTGGTACGGATCATGGCAGCACCCTCGTTGATGCGGCGAAGAGCCTCGCCGAGGTTCTTGCAGCCGCAAACGAAAGGGACCTTGTACTCGTGCTTGTTGATGTGGTTGGACTCATCAGCGGGAGTGAGGACTTCGGACTCGTCAATGTAATCAACTCCGAGAGACTCGATGATCTATTGGATGAATATGAGAGATGAGTAAGTATCTACTGTCACATTTCTTAGAGTTCCTTCTGTCCAAATAGATCCACTAATCGCTCCACGGTCCCACTTATCCAACTTGTCGCATGTCCAATTACCTGAGCCTCAACAAAATGTCCAATGCGGACCTTAGCCATGACAGGGATCGAGACGGCGTTAATGATTTCACGGATCATTTTGGGGTCAGACATGCGAGCGACACCGCCTAGAAAGATCGGGTATTCAAAGAATAGTGAGTCACCATGATAAGTGTATGCTGCCCTTGTCTCTGCTGCTGTTGCTGCTGCTGCGCTGTCTCTTTTTACAGCTCAATTGAGCAGATCGTGTGAGCAATTGAAGGGCAGCCTGATTTTGGAAAGAAAGAACACCTACCGTTCTTGCGAATATCGGCAGGGACACGCTCCAGGGCCATGACGGCGCAAGCACCAGCAGCCTCAGCAATGAGGGCCTGCTCAACGTTGATGACATCCATGATCACCCCACCCTACGAATGGAAAGCGATGGAATGAGTTTTTGGAATGAGGGAGCTGATCGAGTCGTTCGGTTCAGGGCACAAACTCAGCAGTTGGTCGCAGAATTAATATAGTACCTTGAGCATTTGAGCGAGACCAGCCTTGACATTGAAAGAGGCGACCTCAGGGACCTCGGAGGCAGCAGAAAGACCAGAGGCCTCCTGAGCGGGAACCAGGTTGGTGGGGGTAGCGAAAGTCATGTCTGTAAAGTGCTGAAAGGGAAGTGAAGAGAGGTGTGATATGAAGATCTGAAAGAAGAACGAAATGTAAACATGGCGAGTGCTTTGACGCAGAAAAAAAGTGGGGAAACAAATCCGTGCAACGGCCGCATGTGATTGGTTAAAGAGAAAAGCCACTGCCTGATATAATTTGTTCTTCACTCCGCCAAATTGGACCACTTGGAACTGGACATGGACAAGTCCTGCGTCAAACGAGTTGTCCCCGCTAGGGTTCCATTGATGGACCAGACTACCAGGGCACTGAAATTGACAAGTACAGGGATTGATCGCCGTCGCACAGACCACGCAAATCTGTCGCGTATCTGTCGCGCCTGACACGCTGTGGATCAACCAATACCCTCTACTTGATTGACTAGGCTGCATATTGCATTTTCTGAACACAAAGTGTGCGTTGCATAACTCTTGGCCTTGAGATCCATTTGCGACCAACGGTTTAAAGCAATATAATATAAAAGCAGAGTATATTAATAAGGATATAGCATGATGCCATATCGTATTTGAGCTCGCCACTTGAAACATGCGATACAAGCGAAGTAATTGTGCGCTGTAGCTTGATGGTTTCTATCGCGTACTCGGTCAACCTTTTATCCTCACATCCTCATTACTGAACACAATTCGGTTAATTTATCTCCTAGCTATATACTCTTGCTGAGTTATCAGGGATTGTTCACTATGCTATGCACTATCACGACTCTCAGAATTCTTTTTAAATTTCCAATTTTTTTCTATAGTGATTTGTGCATAATAAAAATCGCATTTTCTCTCGACGTATATATACAACACGAAGCAGAAAAGATATAAGGTCATCAATCGCTCGGGTTAACATAGTGTAAAGCTCGTGGATAGCTTTTCAGTAGTGAGTGCTGCGGAAGAGTAGCAAAGACGCAAGTACAAATGGCGTATGAAGTCACGGCATTCGTTGTACATATGAATGCGAAGAGCGAGCGTCCGAGAGGAGATGAGGACACTTGAAGTTTTAACAAATTAATTGCCTTGCAGGCATTTCAAAAAAATTGTGAATGCAGACTGATATCTGTCTTATTTCTGACGATTCCGCATCCTTCGTATAGTCTTATTCTTCTTGATCGGACGCGTATAAACGTACTAGACATCGAACCGAAGAATAGGTACCTACGAGGGGATTGAAATCAATGCAGCAAAATATATTAACAGAAAGCGGAAAATAAACCATTGCAGAGCAAATAAAACTGAAGCACTGAAGGGAGGACTCACCGCGATGGCAATGAAAAGGTGGGTGAGACCTTCAATCGGCCGCCAAACGCTTGGTTGGTAGACTGAAATAGAGTCTAAAAACGCTAGATTCTATTCAGGTACAGCTTATTTGAAATGTAATACTGCATGAAGCCTTTATGGATAAGGGCACCGCACATTGAACTAGAACCCGAGAAGGAGACGTTACCCATTTTACAATGGCGGTATCAGAGCGTAGGGCGGTGTAAAATACTTGTCGGAACCACCTTTCCGAGTCTTGAAAAATAGTACAAGCAGGTGTATTCGCTGCCCGTGCCTTGGACATATTGACGCGTTCAGGGCCGAGATTATTGGCTCCTGAATGAACTTTTCTACACATCTTATGCGACCTTGAACATGAAATAACACATGTGCAACGACCCTAGCATTTTATTCAAGAAGCAGCGCTCATATGGTTTTGGGCGAAGAAAAAAAGCATTGAGCGCGCTGATGATTCCATTGCTTTGTATCCATCATCGAGCATGGTCGCTATTAATTTCGTCCGCTGGCCGGTATTGCAGCAGCCTCACCTGCGGAACCACATATATACCAGCTTCCACATACTAATCGAGGCATGAAATTCTTGTATGGTTACCGGGCTGGATGCAGGAGGGATCGTCCCCTGGATAATTGGCGTTAGAATTTCTTATAAAAATGAGCGAAGACGCTGCCTGACCAGCCAAGCGAAAGCAAAGCCAAGGTGCATATCGGGACGAAGCTCCTCTCTCGCCCTCGACAACCATCGCCATCATCCCTGGCCATCATTCGAACCAACATTCATTAGTGAATGCTCCAAAGTAAAAAAAAACCAACGATCGAGATTCGATTCCGCTCTTTCTTGGCGCCCATTACTTTGATCAGGGACCTTTTTCGTATTTTTTTTTTTTGCTGGCTGCGATTCCAGCTCCTTCTCATCCAACGATCCCGATCCCGCCTCCCCCACTTGCAAGTATTAGTATAGCTTACACAGGGCATACTGTCTATTGCAGCTTTGTTCTTATACTGGAACATTGGTCTCCTACGAACTCTTTGTATGTGAGTGTATGCGAGTGTGCGTTTGTATGCGTTGTTCTATAGCCACCAAAAGGAACGAAGCTGTCCGACTTAGCCTTGTTCAAATCACATCCACAATATTGTCCATTGCTTGCTGCAAATCCTTCGTATTCACCTCTCTAGCTTGCAGCAGCTTTGCTTCATATTCCTATGCACCTTTGGCCCATTCTTAGTCAATGCCGCTCGATCTAGATACCAGCAGCTAGAGTCCATTTCCTTGACTGCACAGCAAACACATATTCAACCCATTCAATCCCAGTCTACTCAACCTTCGACCCTGTTTTGTCTGTATTCATGTCATCAGGAGAATCAAATCCATTCCCGCTATCCTTTGTTTTCTCAACTCCCTTCCTTTTTGTTGCGTTGCTATCCTACTCTTTACTGGACTCGCCAAAAGGTATATCCACGACATCCACACACCGACTCGAGACCAGTATTTACCCTACGTAGTGCAAACATCTATCTTTGTCGAAGGAAACTCCTCAAAGAACACCTGCGACTCGAATGAGGTTTTCGATTCCTCGCCGGGGATCTAGCTCATTCACTTTTGATCACCAACCTTCAAAGATCAACTAACTCTGCACACCAATACCTCTCTGCTGCACCCTACTTTCACCTCTGTTCGCTTCTTCAACTTCAGTGCCTTGAACACCTTACGTTCAATGTATTCTGATACTGCTGAAGCAGACATTAATGTTACCGATATTTTGCTTTCTTTGTCATTATTCGCAGTAGACACATCCGCACATTCACAGCTTCGATAACAGGCCGCTTGCCACTCCCTTGCTTCGAATCAACAGCTTATCCAACACAATCTTCAGTGTATCATCGAACAATTATCCATCAAGACAGCGTGTCGCTCAATCTTTGACATTGAGACGTCCGTACAGCCGTTTATCAAAGCGCCTACAATCTACTAGAGTATTCAGACAGTTACGTTGTTGGATTGAACAAAGCGACAGCTGCGTTATCTTGCCTGCTGCAGGGTGTCAAGGGCGTCAGCGAGGCACCGACGACCTTGATCGAACCACAGTCGATCGACTGCAAACAATGTCGGGCTATCCAAAACTACCACTCCAGGCGCATTCCAGTACATCGACTTCTTCAAATCCGGCTGCCTTGCAACCGCAGTCTGGCTCTTGGTCCGGCACCAGACCAGTACCTGAGAACACTCCTGCAGCGCCTATTACTTCGCATCAAGACAGTCAGTCAACAGCTTCCTCAACTAGGCCATCTGCAATTTCACGCTCGACTTCTGATGTTGACCAGCGTAGCACAGCCACGTCTTGTATGTAGATGTTGCAACTTTGCACCTTCTGAGAGTCGCCGTATGATATGGTGTCCATATGATAGGAGCTACATAACATTTAACAGTTTAAACTGGATTGTTTGCGATATCATACTTAGCAGCGGAGAGCTCCATGATGGTGACTTCTACAACAACTGCACAAGAGAGCGCATCGAAAGACTCGACGGGCTTCAAAATCCGCGTACCAAGGGATCTCCCCAATATCCCAGATGCATTTCGAAAGCGAAGGCTAGCACGCTCGCAGCCATCTACATCGCCCAGCAGCCGAGATTCGCCTTTACATTCACGATTGCCAACTGTTCGGTCCCGTTCCACGGGAAGCGAGCCCCTAATCCAGACCAAGTTCATTGCTCCACGCACAGCAACCGATAAATCCAAGCGGACTCATAATGAAATGCTCTCCGATGAGGCGCAGGCCCCGCGAGCGTTCCTTACACTCGGTAAGTCGCTTTTTTTTTTTTTTTTTGTCTGTATGCGCGCACTTCGAACGAACGGCATGCGCCAAAATGGCATCGAGTCCCACTCATAATTTCACCCGCTTGATCATACTCATATTAGAAGCGCGGCCAGGGTCAGAGAAAAGGACGAAGGCCGTCAAGCAGACGATAGCGGTCTCTAAGTCCGCAGAGGCCAGTCCACGCAGCTTAGGGCGTTTGCTCATGAACCCCATCGTGTCCAAATCAAAGTTGACACCATTAGTCCCGACTGATCATGTCGGGCCTTCTGGAGCATTTACATCACATCTAAATTCCACGACGGAGCCCGCTATCGATACCACTATAATTAAGCAAGAAGAGATTACGGATATCCCGACGCTCGTCGCTCAAAATTCCTCTCCGCAGCCTAACCGAAAACGTGGCAGAACAAGATCAGGGTCAATTTCACCCGCTGTGGAACCAATACGGTTCCCTACGCCAACGTCTCTCGGTGGAGCTCCAGGCGAGGACGACGATAGTATACGGCCAGTGAACCTCATCAATCTTGGACCAGTGCCATTATCAGTCACCACCGTGGCTCCTCAAACCGTTGAGGCATCATCAGAATCGGCCATTGCAGAGTTGACACGCATGCACGAAACTCGATCTAGTGAGCTGGAGAGAGCTTCTTCTTCCATCGTTGAGCCTGCTGCCCAAAGAGAGACTAGCACACCGCCGCCTTCTATATCAACTGTCTCCTCGATGCCTGATCCAAAGGAGCCGCAGTTGTCGCCACTCGAACTTGTACGTGCGGGGACAGCGATCTTGAACCGGCTTGTGAGCAACCCTACCTGCAAAATCTTTGTCAACACAGTGCCTCTGTCGGTAACGAATTACCATGCCGTGATCAAGAAACCCATGGACTTGACCACAGTTGAGCATCGCCTCTGGAGGGGCTTTGAAATTCGTCAGAACGCTGCAGGAGAACCATTGACGCCGGGCTTAATCGCTGCTACGAGCCACATTAACCAGACGGAGGGATACTCTACCCTTCAGGAGTTCGAGCGAGATCTGCGGCGGATTTTTCAAAATGCAACATACTTTAATTCCCCACAGAACGTTATTTACAAAGAGGCACAAGCGTATTCTGTTCTGTATCAGGGTCTCGTGCTTGCCTATCGCGAGCGGTAATCATTAGTCTTCTAAAATTGCGCCGGTCATTTTGAGAAGTCAACACTAGTTTCGACGTGTCCTTTACTAACGCCTTCATTTTCCGGTCTGCACTTACAGGCGACTTATCCCCGAGGCTCCATTACCACAAGAAATCTACTCGCCTTCCCTAATCTCGCTTTCGGAGCCAGGGTAAGGAGGGATAGTCTACATATTCGCTCGTGGTCCATTGCATGCTGATGCCAGTTAAGAACATGAAATCCTAACATAATCTTTTCATTCTATATCGCTAATAACCTAGTCCGGTATATCTCTTCCGAGCACACCAGCTCAAAGAAATGGAGCGCAAGATGACTGATATCTCTGTCGATCTCTTTGCAAACCTCCACCAGCCTCTCTTCAGAGCCATGTATTCTCAAGAGGAGCTCACACCGGAGAAACCCCTGTTCGTGCGGATGTACATCAGCAAAAACAGGAGCATTCTCGCCAAATGTCGCGATGAGAAGAGCGCGAAGGTCGTGATCTTTAGTGATTATCGAGCAGGCAAGCCCTTCACAGTGGCCCCGCGAGTCTCTACTGAAGGTGCTGCCAAAACTATAGGCGGCGATACGAGAATGGTGCGGATCAAGGCCCGAGTGATGATTGCGAAACCCATCGGCGAGCGCCATGACATGATTACAGTGGGAGACTTGGATTGTCCTAGTTCTTGGACCATGGTGACGTGTGTCAGAACTTTTGATCTAGAGGTCGATGTTCCAGCAAAGTATGAGAAGGGGACGCTGAGTAAGATGCGGCACGAATTAGTGCGATTCGGCACCGATTCCAAAATCAACCCGGAGCACCAGCAGGTGATTCTCGACGCTCTCGGTCTTAAGCTACATGGGGGAACCGGGAATGAAACTAGCAATCCCATGACGAACGCCAGCAAAGCTGCTAATCAGGTGAAACCCGCCACAATGGCCGCTACCCCTTCAGCACCGAGCGCTGCGCTTAACATTGCTGTCGCTGAACCAGGTGCAGCGTTGCTCGTCACTCAGCAAGATACTGCAGTCAACCGAGACGATCAACCTCTCATACCGAAGCTCAAAGTCGATATCCAGGATCTACACCTGGTTGTAATGTATGTGTTTCCTCCATGAAATTTCAAGGTCGTTAATGAAGCCATCACTCCTGTGCCATATGTTTATTAACCGTGCTGCTAATTCTACTCCTGGCATTGTCCTTAGGCCTCCTCCTACTGCTCTTGATGAACTGAAGGCTGCTTCTGCTGTTACCTCTTCTATGGGTTTTCAGGACCCTGTTCTATCGATACATGGATCCTCCTTCTCATCTTTGAGCTCTAATGCTGATATAACGCATGTTCCGCCCACGCTGCCCAACCATGAGACGCCAAGTTCTGACGTTCCTCGACCGGAGGATACTTCTATGCCAATGGCGATCATACCAGCACCAGAAGCACCAGCAGGGAGCGCCAGGCCGTCGCCGATACGACTCACGAATCGGCAGCAGCAAATGCTCCTCGATCTCAAGGCCGCTGCTCGCGAGAAGAATGTCCCTTATCTCAGCTGGAGCGATATTGAGCCGACCTTAACTGCCGATTCTGCTCAGGGGCTCTACAAGCGGATCTATCATGTCGACGGTGACGATGGACTGGTAGTCCAAAACTTCAAGGAAATGGACACAGAGTCGTTTGAGCAGAGGGTGCGCGAGGTAATCTGTCTACTCATGCTGCGTGACCTGGATGGCGTTGGACAGATCCAGTCTGTGATCTCAGATGGGAAGGACCATGTCGTTGGTCTCTCCATGACAAAGTAAGCGCTACCTTCCTCTCTCCTCCTTCCCTCAGAACAATGCAGATTTAGTAGTATGGAAACATGCTCTCTAATGCGTTTATTTCTTTCTTGTGTGCGCGTCTGTTATAGATACGCATATACACTGAAAGCCTACGCGACGAGCGCGAGGCGTCATCCTAGTCCGTGCCAGAAGCTGAGCCTTATACGAGACATGATTGCGGCTGTCAGTGCCATCCATGGTGAAGGTCTAGCGCACCGTGACCTGAGCGAGGTGAACATTATGATCGACGAGGATCCGACACAACCGTTGCAGGACAGCACCCCGCGTCCGTTAGTCCGAGTGATTGATTTCGGGAAATCAGTATTTATAAATACTGAGCAGGTAAAGCGATGGAGCATGAAGGACCCGGTTCCGGATGCCGAGCTCGCAATTCTGCCATTGGTTGCCCTTCCTCCTGACCACGGCTACAAGCTGTACAGGTACGCAGTAGGAGAGCGGAGCTCAGTGTTGTTATAAACTATAAGAACGATAACAGATGAGTAGCGAACTAATAGTTACTTTTTTATTTTTTATTTTTTATTTTATTTTATTTTATTTTATTTTATTTTATTTTATTTTATTTTATTTTATTTTATTTTATTTTATTTTATTTTATTTTATTTTATTTTATTTTATTTTATTTTATTTTATTTTATTTTATTTTATTTTATTTTATTTTATTTTATTTTATTTTATTTTATTTTATTTTATTTTATTTTATTTTATTTTATTTTATTTTATTTTATTTTATTTTATTTTATTTTATTTTATTTTATTTTATTTTATTTTATTTATTTTATTTTATTTTATTTTATTTTATTTATTTATTTATTTTTTTGGGGGGGGGACTTCAGATCCATCCTGACACTTCCTCGGACAAAGTTCGACAATAAGCTCCTTCCACCGGTGGATCCTCAGCTGGAGGACGTTTATTCTCTGGGCGTTTTGATCTGGCGGACATTTAGCGGCAAATCGCCCTGGAATGGCGCAATCGAAGATGACCTCAGGACGATCCGATATCTCGTTAGGAGCGACGATCAGATCAGATTCCAGCTAGAACGTGAGGTAGCAGGCAGGGTGTCCCGCGAGCTTTTGCTGAAGTGCTTGACAGCCGAAGCAGAGACACGTTGGACAGCGCAGCAACTGAGGGAATGGACATTTCGGCCAGAGATATCCGCGCAGTTACTGGCGGAATTTGAGGTTCTCGGCGGAGGACGCAAGAGAATGCGAAAAAACCTAGACTGATGAGCATCCTCCTATGATTGACAGGACGAGCCATTTTTTTTATTACCTACCTTTCTTTTTTTTTCTTGTTTCATTTTTTTTTTTTTTTTTTTTTTTTTGAGGGACTCGACGCGTCCCTTCTTCATCATTCATACATTCTCTCGTGAAGTAGAAATGTAAAGTTTTGTACATCAAACTACGAAAGCGTAGTCCTTGTCATATTCCCTCTTTTTCTCGTTCCTGCGCCAACATTTCCGCCTTGTACAAAACTTGAAATACACCATTAATTCGAGCATGGAACGAATATCATTATTGCTGCTAAATGAAGAAGATATAGTATAGTAGGTAAATGCGTCAAGGCATGAGGGTACATGGGTAAAGGCAGTAGCAGATAAAATTCTCTGATGGATATGAAAAATGGAAAGGTGGCATGAAAAGGTATGGAACAGATATCTACAAGGCAAGAAGGAGAGCAACGACCATGGCTGCCAGCGTCACGAAGGTCTGGCTATTTGTGTTGGTGGGCGCGACGGCGGATGCCTTTTTCTCGCCATTGTACTTGTTCAACAGAGGCGTGATGGTGATAATATCGCTTCCATTCGAGCTTACGCCTTGAGAGGACACGCCGGCCATGGCAGTTGAAACACCAGATACCTGGCTGGCAGCAGGGGCGACGCTGTTGACGCGCAACTTGGCAGGATTGGACTTACCACCGGGCGTGGCCTTCAGGCCCCTGATGTGGAACTGGCGATCCTGGGCCACGGCAGCACGATCGTCCGGGCTGGTGAAGGACATCAGGGCGTTGGCATTGTCTCCAGTAGGGATGTGCTTGTTCTTCGCGCGGGCCAGCAATTCAAAGATCGAGTCGAAACGCTTGTTGATATTGTTCACGACAGCGTGCGCAGGCTTGGAGTCCGAGGTCTTTAGGACCACCCTGAACTTTTCCGAGAAATCAAAGTCAGCCTTGAGGGTCTTGGGGATAGCCCAGGACTTCCAAAGAAAGGGCTCGTTCTTGTTCGCGATCGCCTGCGGGATCTCGGTTCCCTCGGGGACCAAGGTAACCAGATGGATCTTTCCGTATTCGTCGTACAGTTCTAGAGATGCGGTCTTGGGCGCAGGGGTATCCTTGGGTGTCAGCATCCAGAAGTCGATCTTGGACTCGCTGGCAATGTAGGTCGGACGGTAGTTAAGGTAGTAAAAGTCCAGGCTGGGGCCAGTTGTGGGGAGGTAGGCCAATTGTTGTTTACCTGCGACTTGGGCCTCGATCTGGAGTTGGAGAGGGAGTGCAGAAGTCTCGGAGAGACTGAAGGACATGGCTTTGGCCAAGTTGTTGGGCGCAGGGATATTTTTCGCGGGGGCGGCATCAACCCCTGCGGAAGGGGACATGACGGTGAGAAGGGTGATACATGCGAAGGCGAGGGCGGTCCAGATGGAGCGAGGGCTGACAATGGATACTGGACGGTGCTTGCGGAGCAGAGGGGAGAGAGGGGTGGAGGGGCGAAGGGAGGAGTGCGTTACATTTGAAGGGATGGCCGATGGGCTCTCAGATGCGGCGTTAAGGAGTACCTCTGAGCTAGGGGTATATGTGAGGGGTATAATCATCTTCCGAAGAGACGATTTTAAGAAAGACTTGTCGATCGGAAGTGTGAGCAAAGTTGTCGATGTCATTATCAAGAGTCGCGACAAGCACGCAATGGAGTTGCTAGTGGGGAAATTCCGGTCGCTCTTTCTACTGTTGAGCAGGGAGGTGGTTGCGGAGGGATGAGGATGAGGGTGAAGATGAGGATGGGAGGAGGGCGGACCTGGGGCGGGTAGGGAAGTATGGGGTTAAATATCTAGAACAAGAGCACTGACCATCGACCCGGTAACTGGGCGAAATCTCCTATACCCGTCAGCTCGTTTCGTAAGGGAAGCTTGGTCAGACACACGGCCTGGAAACCAATATTTTGTGGTCGTTACTCGTTGGCGTTATTCCACATTCCCGCATGGACCAAGCACGAGCTGCTGATCTTATTTAAATTTTTTAATAATTTCTACACGCGTCGTGTGTGGGACACACAAGCGGCGCGTACAATTTGTTTCTCTTCAGGGTGGCCTCGGAGTGTTTGATTGCAATCCCAACGAATACGTCTCAGGAGGAGCTGCCGAGGTGAGATGATAGCACAGGGGTGAATAGTCGTACCACCCTCAGTCATGTATTACAAGGGATAGACTGGACGTGGGTGTCCATCTGTACGTGAATAAAAGATAGACTTGGTACACCGGCAAATCCCTTAATCATCTCCAATGTATGAAGGGAAGAGCACTTCCGTTAATAGTGACAAAATGCCCGATGTCCGAAGTCGCAATGAAAAGTGCGGGGGCGGTGAACTTTTAGCACACCTCGGAACGACACATGTACTCACCCTGCAGTAGAGCTAACTCTCGCCCGTACGCTGAGCTGTAAAGGTGGGGTAAATAGATTCTAAACCCCTTAGAAGTCCGACCTCACACGGCGCCGAGTCGTGTGCGAGAAGAATACTGCGATCAGGGATCCGAATGATAGAGAGAAAGGAACGAAGCGGATGCACATTTGACACTGCAAACCAGTTTTCGCTACTTCGGGATTTGGATCTGTCATCGTCCTGGTGGTTCTGTAAAGCGAGGGAAGGACGATCTCGAGAAGATTAGCGGAGCAGGGTTCCCGATGATCCACATTTTTTTTTCCCTTCATGTCACACGCGCGTGCGTGCATCTTTCCAATCTTGTCGAGCGTTAAGGAAAATTGTGGGGAAGTCCACGAGCATCTGCTAGAGAACTTAACTTTATGGGAAGAAAAAGAAAAAAGTGGGGAAACTAGCGCATTGAATAGGGTACGACGAATGGATCGTGCCTCTGCTTGCCCCGCATTCCGACTTTATCTTTTTTTATCACGTACCCCGCATTTCATGCAACAGTTAATACTTGAGGGTAGATAAGTCCATGGATATAGGCAAGATAGTAGATACCAGTTCTCGCCAAGTTTATTCGTGGAGAAATACGTGTCGGTCTGACTGTTGACACTCAGCGAAGGAATAATGCAAGAATGCTAATCGATTCGACACTAAAGACAACTTTGTGAAGGACGATTGTCCATTGACATCGCAACCATTGGCCCCGCAGATAAATCTTGGTGCCTGAGTAGATTGCAGATGCGATATGTCGCCAGCCACTGGGTTCGGTACCTGTCTAGGATGCATAGCTAGAGAGAACAGTACTCTTTTGCTCATACCTGCTCAATGGTTTCTGCGGCACCAACCATGGTAGCCCAAAGGCCTAACCATCCTGCCTCGCGGCACAGTTGCATCGGAGGGATGAAACCTTGACCCCAGGAAGAGGAATCGCCGCCAGCCAATGATTTTCTCCTTCAGGGATTGAGGTTTGTACAACGAGGGCGATATAGGAATCTTATTTCGACTGAATTGGCATTTCTATTAAGCGCGTCTTTTACTCTCCAGAAAATTAAAAAAAAAAATGGATACGAACGTTCATGCACTGCGGTATGGTTCGTTTCGACTCGCTGAAGTAGACGTCCTCCTATCGCAAACGCATGCAGAGAGGGCTGAGTGAAGAGCAAGAGTAGCACCTCTACACTGCCATTCTTGTTTTTCGATCCACCTCTCCCTCACTTGCGTTACAATAGGAAGCGGGGAGCAAGGGACAGTATGATAAACTGCTATCTATCGCGACTTCTCTCGCTTCATCCCGAGTTGATCCTGATCCAATTAACACCAAATAACTTGACATGCCTAGCACTTTCTTTGAAAAGGGAAGTCTAGAACACAGCATCGAGAGGTTCTTTAACCATCATGCTGTGGCAGCCACAACGCGCCTGCATTGATAATGTACCTTGGCATTCAAAAAAGAAACCGTCAAGGATGATAAATATTTGATATCATAAGTGGTCTAGTGGGCATGGATTTATCGAGGAAATTATAAGAGACTGGCACCCATCCTTTTGTGATAAGTGGAAATGAACAGAAATGGTGATACGCGGCACCTCGTTGGGTTTGCTCCGAGGCCCACGGTGATTGGGGCCATTGGAACTAGCGTGGATGGGCAGGCCCCTGATTCAACCGCTTTTCCTGTTCGACTATTGTTACAGCTATTTCCCGTCGTCTCACCAAGTAGATCTATTACAGTGGCTGTCCATGAACTCTACTTCCTCCATACTTACGTCCGCAACTAAGCTTTTCTATCTCCAATTCAATGACAGCATTAGACGTTCCTGCCACTCATCCTCGATGCACCTCCTCATGGAGAGGAACTTTGTCGAGACGGTGCATCGAGCCTTCTCACTCCGATCCACCATCGTCCGGGGGCACTCCCTTGGTCCTGTCCACAACTGCTATAAAAGAGGACACCATCCTCACCGCCTTTTTCTTCTTTGCCTCTGTTTGCCTCTTCAAGTTCTTTCCCCTCTCCCCCTCCTTATTTACAGCCCCTGGCGACCGCGGTTCCCCTGCTTCACCCGCGGTTCATAGTCGATCTTCCTTGACACTATACATTCTCGTCTGTACAAAAAACAGCAAGAACACACCAGTATTGGCAAGCGCCAGCCATCCAAAGCCGCTGTACCATCAACAAACCAACAACCACAACAACCACAACAGCCACAACATCGTCTAAACAATACCCATCCAAATAGTACAAACAGCGTTTGCCATCACGGACCCTGTTGTACACATAGCAAACCCGCAGCTCCTTTCCCATCAGCTTCCCAGAAAACGCTACTCAGCATCGACTTGTTGACAAGGTTGAACACACCTTTCGCGATCCCCTTCACACCTTTTTATATTCCTTTTTGGTGTATAACTCGAAAAAAAAAATACTTTTATCGTCTTCCATCCTCTATTCATCTATAAAAACCTCTTTAAGCAGCCCATCATGGTAAAACTCAATCCATTCCGCTCCGTTCACGAGGGCAGCACGACTAACAGCAGTATCAGTACTGTGCAGGACAAGACAGCACACCACAAGCGCCCTGCGTCCTCGAGACGATCGTCGTACGAATCTGCGACCCAGGGCAACGGTGTTGTTCTTGCTAAGAACGAACGCTACGACGCCACGCACGATCACGGCCACCACAGCCGCCCCGCATCCGTCAATGCCACGTTTGATGGTGGCATTGTCATGGAATCTGGTTTCCGCGGCTACCTTGTCGTCTTTGGCGGTTTTTTGGTAAGGCACAATTCCTGAGCCAGCCCTCGCTTGGAAATTCCTTTTTCATTAGTTATCGACTCATCATCCAGTCAGCAATCTGTCCTATCATCGGCTTTTTCCCGCCTCGGGTGCAAGTCCTGAGTCCACTTTAACTCTTTGGTCTGGTTCGTCATCGGTGCCAGTCTAATCAGACATTCGGAAACTTTTCTTACCCCGGATTTTCTTATTCTTCTGATCTGACCATTCCGTAACTCTTGAACCAGCTGAACTAATAACTCTATTCTCTATTATTATTATTATTGTTATTATTTCTTTTGACGTCTTGGTCTACAGATCATCATGGCTGCCATCGGATATGTCTCCATCTATGGCATTTTCCAGTCCCAATACAATGACATCTACGGCGCCAAGGGCCAATCCCAGTCAAGCATCTCCTTCGTCGGCTCTCTGGCTGTAGGCTTCCAGTTTGGCTTTACTATCATTTCTGGCCCAGTCATGAATCGATTCGGCCACAAGGTCATCCTCTGGTCCGGCACCATCATTGGCTCGCTCGGTCTATTGCTTGCGTCCTGGGGTACCGAACTCTGGCACCTTTATCTGACTCAGGGTGTGATGTTTGGCATTGGTGTCTCGCTCCTGAACCTCGCTGCCACCGCCATTCCTCCTCTCTGGTATGACAAACACCGTGGCATGGCCATGGGAATCTGCTTCTGCGGCGCCGGTATCGGTGGTCTCGCGTTCGGATTCATCATCCCGGCATTGATCAACGCCGTCGGCATCTACTGGACCTTGAGAATCTACGCTATCTTCCACTTTGTATGCACTGCCTTTGCCTCGCTCGTGATGCGCGCACCCCGCCAGCTGGCCGGTCCTCCAATTGATACCCGCAAAGACACCATCAATCTCGGGATTCTTAAGGACCCTGGCTTCATGCTCTGGTTCTTCAGTGCTGCTCTGTTTGGCTTCGCCTACATCATTCCCTTCACTTACGTGCCGTCGTATGCCAAGGACATTGTGGGCCTCGATCCCAACATCCAGGGTGGCCAATTGCTCTCGATTATGTCGGCCGCCAATGCTGTAGGACGTATCGTCATTGGTGTCTGCGGCGATCGTCTTGGCGCCATCCGCGTGGCTGCCTTCTCGTTTATTGCAGCTGGTGTGTCATGCTTTATCTGGATGTTTGCGCATTCGTATGGAGCGCTGGTTGGATTTTCTATCATGTATGGCTTCTTCTCGGGTGCGTTCTTTACGTTGGTCGCATCGATCACTGCTAATATTGTTGGCTTGACCCACCTGGGATCCGGTCTCACGGTCATCTTCTTGACGAACACTCCTGGAAACCTGTTCACGCTTCCCATTGCTGGCAGGATCATCGAGGGCGCGGGCGAATATAAGAACATGATTGGATACAATGCTGCGATGTATCTCGCATCCGGTGCGCTACTCTTGGTCCTCATGTTCTACAACCACCACACCAAGCGAGTCGACGCAGTCTAAGACGCGCACGCATACGGGACGCGGTTCATAACGCAAGGTGCCCTATAATTTTATAGACTTTAGTATCCATATATGTATCATATATACATTCAATAAATGGACATCCACATCTACTTCGTGTTCGTTCGTGCAAACATGATCGATACTCAGACCTCAAGCGAGCAGCACTACCATCACGTATAGCATTGAAAAGGGTTTGGCTTTGGCGATTTCTTTGGTCCATGGTGCCATGATTACATGAATAAATACGCCGACAGCGAACAAGCGAACGGCCCGCTGCTCCCTAGAAACTTTTGCGGCATATACGGTAGGACAGCCAAGGAGATGCAATCGTAAATGGAAAGAAATACATCGCCGTGCTGTGACAAATTCAAGAGCGGTCTGAATCAGCTTTGATATCGCTCTGGATGCCTTCGCGAGGATCCCCACATTTGATTTCGACAAGCTGGTCCGGCAGACAGCAGGGTTTTTCTGAAGATGATTTAAGGAGGGAGTATTTCCGATCAAAGGGCTCATACAAGGTGCACTGGATGGAGTAGCTTCCGTGAAGAAGTCCGTACGCTAAGACTCGCAGACTATTTCCATCATGGTACTGGTGAAGAGTCGTCTTCGCACGTTACCCAAGCGCAGGAGGGGCTGGACTAAGTGTATTGCTGAAATAAAGGGCACATTTCCCCGCACAGCTTTTAGCTCAATTGCAGAAGGACTCACTCAGCCACTGTCAATTGGTGTCGGAGTGTGGGGTAAGGAGGGAGCCGTGGGAGATCAGATGCTGATGAAGCGCCGAGTGCCTGGTTCCCCTGTCCCCAGTTACATGAGCAAAAACCGACTAGCCAAGACTCTCTTCACCTCGTTCCTCACATCACCCCATCGTCCGGCTCCATTCTTAATCCTTCCTCATCGGGTTCGTTCCTGCTCGCCATCGCACTTTCATTCTCAGGTTCCTGAAAGACGCACTTTCGACTTTACGACCCATATTCCCTACTGCCCCATGAATATCCTCGTTTACTCTGGAGACGGCACCTCCCGGACCTCGCTCATTCACACCGTCAACAGTCTTCGCTCCCTGGTCGGACAACACTACGATGTTATGAAAATCGACGAGAAGGGCCTGCTCACGGAGCCATGGGAGGAGTCCACCTCTCTCCTTGTGATACCTGGGGGCAAGGATCTGCCCTATGTGCGGGACCTCAATGGACCTGTGAATGACAAGATCAGGAGCTATGTTCATTCTGGAGGAAGGTTCTTTGGTATCTGCGCCGGTGCGTATTATGGAGCGGACCGGATCACCTTTGAACGGGGTTCGCCATTGGAGGTATTAGGATCCAGAGAACTGAAGTTCTATCCGGGAGAGTGCCGAGGCGGTGTGTACCCAGGATTCGTATACGAGTCTGAGAGTGGGGCGAATGCTGTTGGACTCCAACTTAATAGGGACTTGCTTGCTCTGGATCAACCTGGACTAGATGAACTAAAGGTCTACTTCAACGGAGGCGGATATTTTGTCGATGCGGACAAGTATCCAGGAACACAAACCCTCGCCTGGTACAAAAACGAGCCGGGTCAGATCGATGCCGACATCCCAGGAAATAAGGCAGCGATGGTGGCATGTCAGTTCGGAAAGGGTTTGGCGGTTCTTACAGGAGTGCATCCCGAATACGATGCTACACATCTGGATCCCAGGAACCCAGAGTACGGGCCCCAGCCCAATGTTGTTACTCGACTACTAGAAAAGGAGGGCGAGCGGCGAATATTCTTGAGGAGCGTCTTGGCAAAGATGGGACTCAACATTACGCAACCAGAGCCTACTAATGCGGTCGCTGTGCTGCCGCCAGGAGCAATCCAGGGTGTGCCCGCGATCACACCGCTCTACCTCGCCTCGATCCACCCATCGTATACTGCTCAACTGACGAGGTCCCTCACTGGACTCGCTAGTGCAGACAGTCAAATCCAGGAAGCCAACGACACCTTTCAGTTAGTCCCGTCGCCTCAACATCCCGTTCCTGCGCACTCACCAGTCGTGACTGAGACTGAGGAAGGAGAAGGTGAAGAGAAGGTCACCAAGAACATCATCTTGTGCCCAAGTGAGCCACCGTCTTCAGCCCTGACACCAGAGTTCGACATGAGGCTCTTTTTTGGACACCTTCAACAAATACGTCAACAGGCGCAGGACCCCCAGAACCCTTTCAGAGGTGGCTACAAATTTGGCAACAGTCTCTTGTACGGTCAAGTCGTTACCTCGACACAAACGATGCTTGACAAGAACTTTGGGCTTTGCCAACAGCTTCCGGATGGATTTGTGTGTAATGCGACGATCCAGGTCTCTGGACGAGGGCGCGGCCGAAACTCTTGGATCTCACCGCCGGGTTGCTTACAGTTCTCGATGGTATTGCGACATCCTGTGCAGGCAGCACATGCATCGGCGGTCTTTGTGCAGTACTTGGTCGCGCTTGCTGTCGTTGAGGGTGTGTGCTCGTTGCCGGGGTATGAGGACGTCCCATTGAGATTGAAGTGGCCGAATGATATCTATGCGGAGGCACCGCTGGAACACCCTTCACAAGCCCAGGCGGGGGTGAAGCCCAAGATGATCAAGATCGGAGGAGTGCTCGTGAACTCGAATTTCAGCGGGTCTGAGTTCTTGCTGGTGATTGGTAGGAGCTGGTCCCAAAATGCATACATGGATGGCAAGTATTCTGTCGAGACAGAAGAAGATGGCTAACAGCGTTTTCTTTTCTTTTCTTTTCTTTTTTTTTTTTTTTTTTTTTTTTCATCTTGCTTTTTCTTCGCTTTACAGGATGCGGCGTGAACACCACGAACCCGAATCCGACGACATCTATCAACCACCTCATCCGATACCATAACAGGATCACTGGCAAAGATCTTGCCCTCTTCACCCAGGAGTCCCTCCTAGCCCAGATCCTCTTAAAATTCGAACAGCTTCATGAGCAATTCCTCGGCGGTAATGGGCGCGGGTTCGCGCAATTTGAAGAGATGTACTACAAAAGGTGGCTGCATTCGGATGCCCTGGTAACATTGACGACGATGACCCCTCATCGACGTGTTCGCATCAAAGGTGTTACATTGGACTATGGTCTACTAAAGACCGTGGCTGTAGATGATCAGGGACGGGATATTATAGGGGAAGAGTATCGACTGCAGCCGGATGGTAATAGCTTCGACATGCTCAAGGGGCTCATCTCTCTCAAAGCATGATCGTGTCAGTCTTGAATAAACCGATTATATATTGATCTCGCTCAATGGGTCCTGAAACTGTCTGCTCACCTATTTTTCTTATTGTTTTCGAGCGGTGAGTGAGTTGTGGACCGAGTCCAATCGGGGACAGTAAAGGTTTAATGGCAAACGATTGCTCATGAATGCTATGCTGATCATTAAGAAAGGTTTGAATAACGCTCACAGTAATTTCAGGGTCGGGGACTACGCTGTTGCCATTTGGTTATCTATCCAGGGCTGGTGACCTGGTGCCCCATGTGGACATGTGTATAAGTAAGCGGATAAACGGACTAGTCGACCATTCAAGTCTCGACAGTTGAAGGATGAAATAAAAAACATAAAGAGATGATGACCATGTGGCATCCAGGATCCAGGATCATCCCCTTTGGTATGTTAATTCAGGGGAATAGGGGAATAGGGAAGAGGGAGGAGGCATCCCTGATAAGACTGGCACACTGAATGGAGGGTAGAGACCGACGATGGGAGACTCTGATGGGTGTAAATTGCGCACTTGGGCAGGCTCTTTGCAAAGGAAGGCCTGTGTAACATCGAGCGAAGGGGGTGGGGGGGGGGGGGGGAGAAGGGGGGGCAGGGATTAGACGAAACAAGGGGTTGGGTGAGAACAAGGGGGGGCGGACACATACACAGCACTGCAGATGATTCGATGGAGAGACGGCAGGTCTCCCCTGAGTGTTTACCCGCCGAGGGCCTTGGACCCGATCACACATCTGCATTGGCCCACCGAGACCCGTATAAAGACATGCGGCAGCGCCTTCCTTCTCCTCTCTTTCTTTTCTCATACTGTTGCCACCAACTCTATTACCTCTACAACTCTGTCTATCTGTACAATACCCATTCCCCATTGCCGATCCACATATTAGCATCCACACCTCCATCCGCTTTCTTTGAACACCTCGCCTCCCCCATCTCTCTCTCCTCATCCAGACACGATCCTCCTTCGCTGATACGTACCACCGCCACTACCGCTACCACCGTTACCACCGCCGCTTCACATCTACCGCGCCCAACTCGCTCGCTCTTCCTCACCATCAGCCTGCCCCCCTTCCCTGCACTCTGCTCACTACAACATGTCGACTACCCCCGCAGCAATAGTCCCAACAACCGTGCCCATCTACGCACCCCTACAGATCCACTCCTACGGACCCATTGACACCCCACCCGCGTTGACCTCCGTCTCCGTGGTCACATCATCCTACTCCGCGCCCACAGGTACTGCCCTCGTCACACCAACAACCATGCCGAACGGTTCTTCCCGCGAGGGGGATGATTTCCAGAACTCGGGTGGATACATCTATGTGGTCCTTGTCATCTCGCTCGTCATTGCCTTGGTGTATTCCACAAGAGCTTGTCTCTCAAAGCGACGCGAGAGGCGGCGGCGGGTGAAGGAGCAGGATTGTGAAGGTATGGGTGAATGTAATGAAATGCCACAGCATGCAATATGCCGGCGAATTCTTCTAAAAAAAAATGCACGGGCATTGTGCGTGTTGAACTTAATTAATGCGTGCGTTTCAGGAACAAAACAAAAATGATTAAATATTCCTTCGCCTCTCATCCTGTTTCAAATCCTTTTAGTCCCACCTGGATACTCGAGTCACACGAACGACACCCAGATCTTCGAAGGCGACGAGGAGCGCCCCTCCCCATCCTCCTCCGCATCGCCCTCACCAACCTACTCATCCTCTGGACTAATCCCCGACATGTCCTCAGTACCTGCTTCCCTCCTCCCCTCACACCCAACCATCGCGACCGTATACTCCATCCAACCACCCGCCCCAGCGCATACGACAGCAAGCAACGCACGACCAAGGCACTCTCTTTCTGCAGAACCGCCGGCTTACGATGACTTGTTAGGCCAGTCAAAGCTCCAGCGCTGTGCGAGCTCGATGAGTATTGCCTCAGATACCATTACGGCTGCCTCGGCATCAGCGAATCGGAATCGATCGTCGAGAAGGAGTCGGCAGTTAGCCTAGTTTAAAAACAGACGTTTGTGCATAAATACCAGGCATTTCTTTACCTCATAACGATGGGTCCTTATTTGTATGCTTACTTAAAGGATCGAATATCTTTGAATACGATGGATGCATGAAGCGACCCTCATTCGGACAGGGGATAGGATACGATTAAGGACCCAATTGCTGTAGAGCCATAGCGCATTGTCCATCTTTCATAAATTGTTTTTTTTTTCTTTTGTTTGTTGTATTTGGAAGATTGATCTATTTGGTTTTGTCTTTTTTCTTTTCTTTTTTCCTTCTTACGTAAAAAGTAAAAAGGAAAATGGAAAAAGGGAGAGAAGCATACATAATCGCATACTTCCTGGGTGTAGAGAAAGGATTATCAAAATAACAGAATTATCCTCAAGAAAGTAAAGGCGGCCTTTTTTTTATAATGAGTATGTGTATGTGGGTGTGTACGTGGGCGTGGGTGTGACATTGGGGAAATACAAAATCCATGAAGCGAGGACAGAGACTCCTCTAACCATGCCAAGCCCATCCCTGCGAAGAACCCTGGACGCTGATCGGAGCCGAGATACTCCTGTGCAACTTATCGCGCTCCTCCTGCTCCCTCAACTTCTTCTTCCTCCAAACCTTGACTGCCACCATCGCGATCCCCACATAAGCCGCCGTCGCCAACCCGACCAACGATCCAATAACTGCCCCGTGTGTCGATCCACCGCTACCATCACTACCACCGGCCGTCACCGCATTGGGGTCAACCGAACCAAAGTTCTCACCCGTCAACGGATTCATCGTTCCCGAGCTACCCTTCTGATCGCTGTTCGCGGGCGGGTTACGACTCAGGGGAAACGAGGAATCGATGTACTGCCCGAAAGAGGTATCACCCGCCTGATAGAGCGCCGAATGCGTGTCCCGGACAAGGGTGTTCAATGCCCAGTAGCTCTTTGATGGAATCGCAACCGTCGCCATGATGGCATCGTCGACGTTCTTCGAGGTCACAAGGGCACGCTTTCGAGCCCTCCGTCCAGACCCTCCATTCGCTTTCGTAGACCCGTCACGGATCGCAAGTACAAGGATCTGGTCCACATCGACCTTGAGCAAGGGTCCGAGCTGGGCTGGGACGAAGGAGACCAGTTGGGCGGCCAGGACTCCGTTATCAATCACTTGGGCGTACGAGACGTGCTCGAAGCGGAGATGAACGTTGAAGGAGTTGGAAGGGATCTTGGGGCTCATGTTCGGGATTACAACATCTGGGAGCGACGTGCCCGGAGAGGCCGTTTGCGTTGTCTTGGGAGGTCCGATGGGTTCGATCGTACTTGGTAGCCAGGGAGTTGTCGTCTTTGTAGGTCTGTGCTTCTTCGTCGTCGTGTGCGGAGTCGTCGTTGTTGTGATCGTTGGCGTTGGGCTATGAACAGTCGTCGTCGGCGAGGATGGTGCAGTCGTGGTGATGGCCGTGGCAGTTGTAATCCTGCTGCCAGACTGTGCTGTCGTGGTCGTGATCGTGGGCATGGTCGAATCCGTACCCGTGGGTGTGGGTGTAGGCGTGGCAGGACCCCCGCTCACAGTCCCGTTTTCTGTGGTCGTAGTCAGCGTAGGAAGAGGAGTCAGACTAACCGTAACGGTCACCCCAGGACTACTTGGCGATGTCGGGCTCGGGCTAACTGAGGACACGGACACTGTCACCGATGGCACGTCCGTTGACGTTGGACTTGTGCTTCCGCTCAAAGTCGGGGATGAGGGCGAGGCAGGAGAAGGAGTAGGACTGATCGTATGTGAAAGTGTGTCAGAAGGATTCTGTGTATTCGTTTCAGTGGTCGTAGTCGCGGTCGCGGTCGCGGTCATGGTCATGGTCGTGGTCGTGGTCATGGTCATCTCGGGGGTGTGAATTCCAATGAAGGGAATAGTGACTACAGAAGGGGTAAGAGGCTCCGTGTGTTTAGGCGCTGTAGTCGTACTACTCTCAACTGCAGACGTAGTTGTGGTTTCCTCTGTCGTCGTGTAGGGGGGATTTGGATGGATTATCAGGGTTGGGTCGACCTCAACACCCGTCGTTGTCGGCGTTGTTGTCGGCGTTGTTGTCGTCTCCACAATGGTCGTAGTCGGCCTCCTGGTACGGGGGGCACGCGTCATTGCTGTTGTTGGCGAATGTATGGTTGTCTGGGTCGGCTTTCTCTTAGCACTGGTCTTTGTCTTGGGCTTGTGAGTCGGCGTAGGAGCGATCTTGGGCGAGGTCAGATATGGGTCATCATCAAGGTCTAGATCCTCGTCCAAGGCAAGGCCTCCCGCTAGGGCACCGCCATTCTTGTCGAGGTCGAGCCCTAGGTCGGAAACACCACGACGCATCAATTCATTACAATGAACCTATTGAAATCAAATGGGTGCATTCAAGAAATTAGTATCCGGCGACACCTTATTGCAGATGTAGAAAGGGGATACTGTAGTATGAGAGGAGTAGTGGGAAACGCGTATAGGAGGGCTGAAAGTCGATGTGTGTGGATATGAAACAGACAACACGCGTTAAAAGACCAATAAAAAAAATAAAAAAAATAATAAACGCGTTCATTCGTGTTTCGCGTTTGAGGGTAATTTCGCGGGAGGAGGGGAGCGGACGCGTTCATTCGTGTTTCACAGTTGAGGGAATAATATGAGCGGGGGAGTTTTATTGCTGCCCTGTGGACAAAATAATAAACCCAAAAGCAGCCGAGCGGTGGGCCAAATAGTAATAAAATGCAATTTAAAAATCGGGGATGGCGCTGCTCTCAAACAACCCAAATCCCTCTCCCATCGGGAACACTTCATTCCCAGGTGGAGCCGTGTGTGTGTACATGGTGTGGGGAGATGGAAGCCGCTTATGCTAGACAGCAAATGCACTAAAGAGCAGATCATTTAAAGGGACCCGTTGAGTGGGTAGCCCGAGGAGTAGGCCGTGAGGGTGGCAAATGGTTCCTGGAAAGATGCGTGATTTGGTGTGTTTGAGATTAATTTTGAAAAAAGCCCAAGTCTGATTGGGTATAGACCCATCCGTCTGTTGTGACTGAACGTTGGTGTGGATTATCTTTCTCTTACCTGTCCACTGGAAGAACATTCGGCAGCATCGACCTCCGCGGCAATAACCAGGGACATGACCGCTGGGATGCTCAGCAGTAGAGGCACGACCATCCATCGCCTAAGGGATTGCACACGCATGTCTGTTCTCTTATCAACTCAGGCACAAAATAGTTCGTTACTTGGAAGGGGAAAAGCCGAGAAATATTAAAGGAGACTTCTCTCTAAATGTGCAATTAGGTGGATTTGTCCAATAGGAGAACAAAAGAAAAGAGAGGCATAATAAATAGTGGTTAGTTGCTGCTACGTTATGTACATAGTCCCTGGAGGACGTACTACACTGAGCGGTCCGTCAGAAAAAGATTTTTTTTTTGACAGCTCGCAGTAGTCGAGTTGGAGTGAATCGGGGGAGCAAGTCTGCCAAATCAGTCCTGTCATGGCGCTCCCCTTCCGAGGGCAAACCACGATAGGCAGACGGACAAACAGAACGTTGTCGAAGGCGTTGAATGGTGAATGTCATCGCTTGTCTGTTCATTTACATTGCTGATCAGGGATTGCTGTCCAGGTGTGACAAAGGGGAATATGCGTGTCCTTGTTATGTAATCTTCCAGCGCAGGTCGAAGTTTCGTAAAAAGGACAGGATATTGAGTGGAGACCAACAACGGGGGAATATGCGTGGGGTCGTTGCGAAGGGACGAAAGAGTGGATGCGGATGTGGATGTTTGAATGAGGAATGTTCATGCACCTTTTGTGTTTCGAATGAAGTGGAATGGAAAGGTGTGTGATTTCGTCAAGTGTGCAGTAGAGATTGCGGTGGAAGAAGTGGTGGTAGATCCTGTCAAGGCTGTGTGGGGTGGAGCGCGTGGGAAGAGGGAGGGGGAGGGGACAAAGGGATGGATGTAACCACGGAATGGCACTCCGGTGACCTTTGGAAGTTGAAGTATAAGGAAAGATGTGCGAAGTAAAGTGTATGAAGAAAAGAGATCCACTGCATAATTTCATTTCACTGCACCGTAGTTCTGTCCGCCTGGTATCGGGCACGGTACAGTGCCATTAGCAAAGCAGTAGTATATTTTTGGCCGCCAAATTTACTACGTATAAAAGAAAAAAAAAAAAAGAGCTCTTCTGTTGCCGTCTTTGTTGGACTCCCGACCTATTATTACTACCCTTTGCTTACCTTCATATCCTCCCCATTAAGATAGGGCTGGGGACACATCCAGGATCAGAGCAATAGCAAAGAGCAATAGCAAAGAGCAAGACTTAGATACCTCTGAACACTTAAAGACATGCATACGTGCGGTTCCTGTCTCTCTTTAACGGAAATAACTTTAGTCGGTCTGACCAGTGGAAGGGTACAAGAGTGATCGTCTACAATGAACGCAGAAAGAGATGCATCGGCGTGCTTTTTTTTTTTGTTTTTTACGCATTCAAAGACCACTCTCTCAGCGCCGGCTTTAAAAATAACAATGGGCGTTCCAGGGAGTCTCACCAATCAACTCACTCGCTTATACTCTAGTAGTCTAGCACCAAAATGATTGCCCATAGTTCGAAAGTATAAATCGTTATAAGGACATTTATCAACAAGTTCACGACGTGTCCACCACGGCTGCCAGTTCTGGTAATCGATAGACTAAACGTACTACCCATATACATGCGAAGGAATGCGTCTTCTTCTTTCTCTCTTACCATACCCATCACCCTGGATGCTTTTACAGATCGCGTCTTTGGTGGGTATATATAAAAAAGCAAAACAACACGAACTTGGGAGTACAATGGATAGGAAATTGCATTAATATCGGTGTGCATACAATCTGTATGGCTAACCACAGGGCAACGCCCAATTCCCATCACGGCCTCAGAACAAGGCGTTTCTACTCATCGAGGCACACGTTTTTTTTTGAGGAAAGTCTCCCGCTTCCTATTTTTATCTCCCATACTTCATACTTCGCCCTCCATCCCACGCATAGGCGTGCTGCTTTTGATGCAGATAAGATATGGTATCCACCTTATTCCTTATTCGCTCGCAATTATTAATAGCAAAAACACGCCCTGATATTCCCTCTTCACAACTTTGAGTCTACGGCACTTAGCTTCCAAATATATACGTCCTTCCACAAGATACATGAATACATGAGAGATGAACAGGATGAACAAAATCATGGCCAACAATAAAACTCCGTGAACATTTTATTTATCGAAAAATGTCCAAGAAATAAAAATGTGTTGCACTTTGTATTGCGCTTTTCCAGAGAGACGAGAGAGGGATTTAGTGGGCACGGCGGGACTCGGCAATAACGTTGGTCATCTCCTCGACCTTCTTCTTGGCGCGGAGGAAAGTTCCGAGCTGTTGAAAAGATGAAAGAAGTAGAAGGAGAAAGAGGAAAAGAAGGACGGTAGAGGTTAATGGCGAGGATCTTAGAACGTGGATTCATAGGTCCGTGGAGTTGTTTTTCTGTCCTCAGTCAATGTCTTCCTGAGTGGTCTGGTAGCGTTCGCTTTGGTGACGTAGAGTTGAGTGGAGAAAGAGCCGATGGACTCGGGTGTTGCTGGATGAACTGGATAAAGGTTCATGAAAGAATAACGATCAAGGGCGTATGGTGCTCATGATAACGAGTTCCAAGGCCCATGAAACGGTAGTGTGCAGTGGTAAGGTTGCCTGGTTGAGACAAAGAATCATTCATGATGATAAAGAGGCTATGTGTACCGCTGCCCAATTAATGCTGGTTTCGATGGCATAACAGCGTCGCAAGCGCTGCAAGCGTCCGTTCTTTGATAGTATCGATATTGTCAACAAATTGTCCTGAAGTGTGTTGCTGATGGTTGCCGTCTGAGTGCTTCTTTGAATCAATGATGAGTTCTACTCCTCAATCCTGTGATCGTTGCTGATTCCTGAACAGCGCAAACACTGCCCACACTGACAGCAACCATAACGGCCTCTAGCTGCTCCCTGTTTTCGCCCGCGTCCTGCATTCCCGATAGGGATTAATTGAGCCGGTAAAAACAGTAGTAGAGGGTTGGTTAATTGGGTTACATACTCTCTTCTTGGCGAGCTTACGGGCACGCTTATCCTTGGAGTTCTTGATCAACTCCATGATGCGACGCTCGTAGGGAGCAAAGCCAGCGACCTCACGAATGAGGGAGCGGACAAAGAGCACACGCTTGCCAGTCTAGTAGGTTGAAGTTCATCCCGATGTTAGAAAGAAAAGAAAAAAGGTGGAGGTGAGTTGTTGGGTGATCACATCACTTGGTGTCTTGGTGCTGGAAGTGATGATTGATGAAAGTGGCGGGTGCAGATCTTGTTCGCAGTGCGACCCCCTGGTTGAATAGATGTTGGGTTCGACATGGTACTGGAAATCAATCTTTCTGTGTGCTCCTTGTTGTAGCATTGCTGAATCCTTCATTCCTTCATTCCCCGCAGCAGGTCTTTGTATCTCCCCCTCATGCTCTCTATATCCATCAATCCATCCAATATCGTTCCACCTCTCAGACTCCATCGATCCATCCGTCCTATTGCTAAGTGTCGATGTGTGGGCAAATCGAAGAGGCCGATAATCATCGACTTACAACACCCTTCTTGTAGGACATAGGAGTCTTCAGCTCACGGACAGTGGTGATGTGTCCGTGGTTCTGGCCCGATCTGATTCCGGTTCTCTGAGTAACGGCCATTGTGAACTAATTTGGTGCAAGAGAAGGATTCGAGCGTCCCGCTCACTCGGACTTTGATAAATCCAAACCTTAAGGCCCCTTAACAGCCTACCTCGTCTTCTTGGCAGGACCACTGTTGTACGTCTCCCTCTCATGCCCTGTCATATTCTCTTCATGGGGATTTATGTTAATAATAAAAAAAAAAGCCCTGTCATATTCTCTGTCACGGACATGATGTGTTATAATTCAATTTAATGCGGAGGGTGATAGGGAATATTTAATGAATGAATGTAGATTGAATGGATGGATAATATGATACAACGAAGGATGCATTTGCAGCTGTAGATGTGGTATGCGGAGACAAAAAGCTACTCTTAGAGAGTGGTCGTGTAATCTGGAGGGAGCCTTGGTAGCGCTTCTTCTGGAGACATTGGGATATAAGGAGGGGGACCCTGGCTTCGGAGTCGATTCAAAATCGGCTGCAGAATGCCAGATCGGCTATTGCCCGCTTGCTCAGTCATGGCACTGGTACTCTCTGTCCGAGTGTCAGTCTCAGGCATGTTGACAACACTCTCGAAATTAGATGGTTCAGCAGGCGCAGCAGAAATCTCTGCTGGACCGTGTGTTGGGCTGGAGGAGCTAGAGTTTGTGGACTGTGCTGTAACAGGGGGCGAGGAGCGACGTCCTGAAGTGTGGATGTTGTTGCTGCCTCTAAGCCCGGAACGGAGGATGGACATGTGTCTGCCAGCTGTGAAGGTGAACGCTGGAGAAGGTGCGCTGATGACGGGCGAGGATGTGGCGATGGCTGTGGCATGTTCTTCGGTATCAAGGCCGGCAGTGGCATTAGCATTGGCGCTGGCATTAGGGGCATTGATTGATCGGGCAGATGGTGTAGAGGGTGAAGAACAGGTCGTGGTTGTAGTGGTAGTGGTAGTGGTTGTGATGGTGGTTGTGATGATGGGTCGGTGCAGGCTGCCGCCTGCTGCGACTGGTAGTGCTGGTAGTGGGTGCGTGTCAAGTAGCCCTTGATGTGAGGACATGGACTCAGAGGTGCTGGCCACACGGTCAGGAATATAGTAGACCTGGTCCGGATAAACCATCGCCATCTCCGGGTCGATATATGGCTGGTCCTGTAAGTGTGTGCGGTATTGCGGGGGAGGACAGACTATTTTTCATCGTGTTATGGTACGAAGACGCGATGGTTAGTAACATGCAAAAACAAAACAAGATTCGTGTATTTGTTTTGGTGCAACCACAATAATATCCTCTGGTGTCATCGTGATGTCAACGGAGAAAAGGTAAAGGACTCGATTGAAAGGGAGTGAGTGAGTGAAGATAAAAGGATGCTTACCATCGTCATCCTCAGGGCGGTATGTCGCGGTGTATCTGGTCTGACCACCAGATGCTCCGGCTGATTCGCTGTCCCGTCTCTCGCGCTCGAGACGGCGACGGCGACGGTCTTTGCGGATCATATGGATAGTATAGATTACCGCGATGAAGAGAGCCAGGAATGCAATCCCATAGAAGACCGTCTGGACTGAAATACCGGTGCCAGCGCTGGGTGTTTGGGAGGCTGTTGAAGACGAAGGATCTGGTGCTCGACCAGTTGCAGTTGCGGTGTAGCTCCAGACTGGGTTGTTATAGTAGGGAGTTGTTGCTGTTGCTGTTGTGGTAGTGCTAGCAGTGGCAGTGGTGGTTGTTGATGCTGTAGTTGTTGAGGTGGAGTGTGAGATAGGTATAGAGGAGACAATCCCTTCGGACAAGGTGGAGGAGGAGGACATGGTGAGATGATGTTAATTGGAATAGGATGCCAAGTAGATAACCGGATAAGTGATTAAGTGGAGAAGTGGAGAGATGGATTATAACGATACGATGAGGAGGAACATGTCATAAGCATTCGATGTTGGGAACGCGAGAGGAAGAAGAGGAACGGCAGCGGGTTGAGAGGAGAAAGCAAACAGAAAAAGAAAGAGGGGGAAGGTGAAGAAAAAAGATGAACGGGCCAGGATAAGCAGGGACAGCGGGAAATGAGGGACAGGGGCCATCTTTCGCGGACCAATCCTTGTCCCGATCACATATTCTTGGATATGTAAGGGTCGCACTAGCCCTCCTTCTTGACATTCAATAATGGGTGCGTTTCATGTCGTCATAACAAGTATCTCCCGAGATAGCGGTAATGGCTCTCTTTATCGGTCCAATGTCCTCTTGCTGCCATCTTTGACAAAGATGTCTGGCCTTTTCATCTCATCTTCATAAGCTGTGTATTCAAAAAGCCGAGTGGCCGGCACACCACACATGATGCTCAGGGCCCATGTGCGTACACCAGCATGATGCTTAGGGTCCTTGTGTGTAAGGCACCCTGGCCATGGGGTATGGTTTCAATTGCATGCCCAAAAACACAGGCCGTTATCAAGACATTGCTCTTACGTCAAACGTAGTCAAGGCTGGCTCAGGTACATTCTGAAGAGGCATTTGGCATGCTCAATTCACCTCTTCATGATGCCCTTGCAGACGCAGGCATGATAGATATCAAGACTAAGAAACAGGTTGGTAACAAACTATTCAACAGAATGACATACAGGTGCATCTTGCTCAAGCTAGGCCATAGGAATGTGTGTATCCAATGATTATTTCATCTACTGCTTGGTTCCTGAACTAAGAAGAACGCAAACTTATGCCTCCCAGGCCTTCTTGACCAACTCGGTCAATCCAATATCCGAGGTGTTGAACTGGTAGCATCCGACCAGGACCAACACAGTCGCGCCGCGAAGAGCCCAGTTGATGGACTTGTTGCCAAGCACGCCGACCTTGCCGGGATGGAGGTAGTCAGTCACCATGGCATCGAAGCCAATGTGCGCGTGAATGGGCACAACAACTCCCAAGAGACCGTCCGTAATAGGGTGGGCTCCACTGATGGCCGAGGCAGCAAACAGAGGGACCAACGCGACCGACAACAGACGCTCAAAGTCCCAGTGGTAGGATCCGTGCATCTGGTTAGGGGCAGGGATCTTGTAAACGACAGGCTTGTAGACATCAGTGACATCGCCAGAGGTCTGGCCAGTGGCAGCGGCAGCATTGCGAGCTATCGTCCACCCATTAGAATTAAAACATGTCAACAAGAAGCATTTGAGCCCATCCTATCCATGTTGATAATACCCTGGTCATAAAAAGCGCGAAGGTCCATTCCACACTGTCCACTGAGTGCATGGTGTTATCGCTACCAATTTTCGTGTACTACGAGCTGTTGTAACCACGCTGACTGATCGTCGTGACATTAGGCTGCGATCTCTCGTGGCGGAATGAACAAATGCTGCACCTGGTCCTGATCTCATTCCTCTTCAGTTGCGATGCCACCGCGTGTCATGCATTCCAGAGGCGTATTGAAGCATCTAGGCACCATCCAGTGCTATATCCTTCGTTCCGTTACTCGTATGTGGTATGTCAGCCAATTGCTGAATATCCTGCCTGTGATACATCCGACTAATCCCCTGCATATGTCCTGAGTACGGGTCCTCATCCTTAGAGAAAGCACTGATAAACGCCTGTTCGGTGATAAACGCCAGGAAGCGCATGTGGACGTACAGGCGTGAAAGTAGACACGGCCGTTCAACGAGGCGGACGAGCGCAGGGAAGCAGCAAGACGAAGAGCAGGGGTCGAGCGACCCATGGCCAGTGGAGAGGCGGCGAGACGAAGGGCCATCGTGAATAAAGGGAGATCTGTATCTGGAGAGTGAAGAGTGAAGAGTGAAGAGTGAAGAGGGGGGAGTAGGGGAGGAAGGAGGATTTGGAGATGTTCGACGGTGTAGCATGTGTTTCCTAAACCTTTCGCTTCTTTCCGAAGGGGGAGTCTCCTCTCAGTTCGTGACTGGTGACTGGGACGGCACCACATCTTCTCTTGCCGCTCGTCTTTGTTTCTCGGCTCCACCTCCTTGTCCTCCTCCTTCCCTTTCTACTCCTCGCTCTGTCCGATCCCGCCTCTATACATTCTTGCACTCGCCACCATTCCATCAACACCAGCCATCCTTTATATCGCCGTTGTTGTCGCTGCTGCTGTCTTCTTTTGCTCAGGCCCGATATTCTTGGTTGTCACTGCCATGGCACATACATACGACCTCAACTTCTACACCTACTTTGACGTCAAGATCCTCCCCGAGGCTGTCGATCAGATCTTGGAATCGACTCGCACTGCCGCTGCCTCCGGAAACGGCTCCCTCGTTGATGTCGAATACCTCGGCCATGTGGGCGAACTCGACAACCATCTGCTCTATCGTGTTCCCAAGCAAACGCACACGCAGACGCAGACACAGATTCAGACACAGACACAGACACAGACGGACAGCGGCACGACCAACTCGCCATTGCATCGAATTCGGGGCGAGGAACTGGAGGAACAAAGGAACAAGCATATTGTGGATGCTATTTCAGCAGTGCAGGGCGTTGTCCATGTCGATGTACAGACACTGCGACATCGGGCTAAGCGGGACGAACTTTGAGCTCTTGGATCCAACTCTTTTCTACCTCAGCACGTATACCCTCCTTTGTCCAACACTCGATACTTTGCCTCGCATTCTCTTTTGGAACCCACCACGACATATCATAATCACGATTTACACCTGTAATAAAGAATCCAACTGGACCGTGCTTTATCTGGATGTAGCACTGTCCATGGCACCTCCACGTATTGTGATCTCCCATGGCTCGTTGTGCAAAGCAGCGACGAAATATATCTGAATGCGGCATGTGTGGCTTGACGCAACCAGCACGTCACATTTGTCTCTCGATTTGTTTTCGTTCCGAAACGGAGTGTGTCCCCAGCGAAAGATTGCTCCTACACACACGCACTCCACCCTCCTCATTCATCCCTTTTCATCCCTTTTCATCCCTCTCATCCTTCACCCCCCTTCTTCCTTCCACAAATGGCTTCCCGCTTGTTGTTGTCCAACGCCTTCAGGGCCAGCCGCCCTTCCTTGGCCCGCCAGGTACGGCCATCCATTCTATTTCAATCCCACAAACAGAACCCACCCTCGGATTCATCCTCGGAAACTGGCTCCGACACCACAACACCGCCACAGAACAGCTGTAATAGTACACTAAAGTACCAGAGTTGCTCTTCCAATCGTCCTTCCTCTGGAGCGCGTGTCCTAGCTTCTTCGCCATGGCTTAGACACTGCAACCGATCGCACTGCAGCACCGTACCTGAATCCAGGATTGTCCAGCAGCGGGACAGGTCTTATTTTCACTTTCAAACACGGCAACCCAACGTTTGGGATCTCTTCAACCCCCACCAAGGATGCATACTCCATCCTGCCATTCAACATGAAGACAACTGACGAAATCCAGCGTTTTCATATCGCGCTCCATATCCCTTTAGGCTGTCCGTCCTCTTGCCACCGCCGCTGCCACCCAGATCTCCGGCACCCGCATCACTTCCCTCAAGAACGGTTTGACTATCGCGACCGAGTCTAATCCCTCGGTCCAGACTGCCACCGTCGGTGTCTTCATTGATGCCGGTTCCCGCGCCGAGACTGCCAAGAACAACGGTGCTGCCCACTTCTTGGAACATATGGCTTTCAAGGTACTTGGCAGCTCTTATCAATTAATGAAGGACGACGACCCGATATCAATTCAAACGGCGAAGTAGGGATGCAGAAATGAAAGTAGGACCAAGGATTTCACCAGCAAAAAGCTCTACGAGGAGATATCGATTCAGCATTGATGTAGCAGGATGACCCAGCTACAATCGCCCATACATGGAAAGCCTTCAGCTCCTGGCGTGATATGAAGACCTTTTATCAAAGGAAACACGACTCAAATGAACATACTTTGCAAGCGACTATCATGAACGCGACATTTCAGAACGAACGCGCGCAGGATTTCTTTTTTTTTTCGGAGAGAGTGTCTGATCTGGGCATTTGGTTTGTATCTTTTGACAGGGCACCGGCACCCGCGGTCAGCACGACATTGAGATCCAGATCGAGAACATGGGCGCGCACTTGAACGCATATACTTCTCGCGAACAGACTGTCTACTACGCCAAGTCCTTCAAGGCCGACATCCCCAAGTCCGTTGAAATCCTCTCCGACATCCTTCAGAACTCGACCTTGAACGGCGAAGCCATCGAGCGTGAGCGCGATGTCATCCTTCGCGAGCAGCAGGAGGTCGACAAGCAGATGGAGGAGGTCGTTTTCGATCATTTGCACGCCACTGCCTTCCAGGGTACGGCTTTTTTGTTCAAACAACGACACAGCTCGGATACCACCGTTATCTCTGCACAATCTTCTCATACCTCATGACATTTGTTCTCTTGCGGATTTTTAGGTGAGGCCCTCGGACGCACTATCTTGGGACCCAAGGAGAACATCAAGTCATTGACCCGCGACGACCTCGCCAACTACATCAAGACCAACTACACTGCTGACCGCATGGTCCTTGTCGGTGCCGGTGGTGTCGACCACGATGCCTTGGTCCAGTTGGCTGAGCAGCACTTCAACAAGCTCCCCGTCTCTCCCCACCCCGCTGGTTTGGGCAAGACCTATTCCTTCCCTCCCAACTTCACTGGATCGGAGATCCGTCTTCAGGACGATCTCATGCCCCAGGCCCACATTGCTATCGCTGTCGAGGGCTGCGGCTGGACCTCGCCTGACTACTATACCATGCTTGTGATGCAGTCGATCATCGGTACCTGGGACCGCTCCCTCGGCGCCTCTGCTGACGCCTCGTCTAGACTCTCGGGCCTTGTCCACAAGTACAAGTTGGCGAACTCGTTCATGTCCTTCAACACTTCGTACACCGACACTGGTCTCTTTGGAATCTACTTCATCACCGAGAACAAGGATCAGCAGGACGATTTGGTCCACTTTGCGCAGAAGGAGTGGGCTCGCTTGACCACCTCGGTCACCACCGCTGAGGTCGAGCGTGCCAAGCAGCAGCTCAAGTCGTCGCTTCTCCTTTCCTTGGACGGAACGACCGCCATTGCTGAGGATATCGGTCGCCAGTTGGTCACGACCGGCAAGCGCACCTCGCCCCAGGAGGTCGAGAAGCTGATCAACAAGATCACGGCTGCGGATGTGCACCGCGTGGCTTCCCAGTACCTCTGGGACCGTGAGGTCGCCATGGTTGGCGTTGGTCCTATTGAGTGCTTGCCCGACTATGCTCGTGTCCGCGGCAACATGTCTTGGAACCGATTCTAAATTTAGAGGTGGAAAGACTAACATACACGGCATGGCGAGGAGCGAGAAGAGAGTTTAACAGAGCAAGCGAAGAAGAACTCGCGTAGGCATTCAATAAAAAATATATATTAGCCTTTAATGACTTTCCTGAGTGCTTTATTCTTTTTTATAATAGTAGAGACATGATGTAGCAGGGTGCAGTTGATACGTGAGCGCGACAAAATAAAAAAACACGCACGCTTCCTGAATATTGTGGACACTTGTCTGCGTTTCGGCGCTCGCATTTCTCGCGGGAAATTCAAATCCGGATCGAAGCAACGCGCGATCTCGGTATATGCGCTATCTCTACGAGCGCGGTGGATCATTTTATTCAGGCACGCGGTGCGAGGGGAAAGGGGGAGAGAGGGCACTCTAGATAACATGTGCTACCGCTAGTTCTTGAGCCTCGTCCACAGTCGTCGAAGGGAGCTTTGAATCCTCCACAAAACTCTTCAGCATTGCCAGAGCATTCGCGCCCTGATCCATCGGTGCCAAATGTCCGGCTCCCAACACCGTCACTCTCAAAAGCCCCGGAACTTGGGACACATACCCTGCCAGCTTACCTTCGTTCATCCAGAGCTCCCTCTCCGCGTTCTGGAACTCTTCTTGGCCTTCCCAGTCAAGTCCCTCGATCCAGGAACTGGAGCCTGCGACACCGTCTCGGAAATCAAAGATTCCTTGGAAGGTGAGAACATTAATGCCCTGCTGCAGTAAGCTGGATACCATCCAGGTGGCGCTCCTCATGATATCGCCGGCCATGGTCTTGATGACGGTTAAATCCTTGAAGTACTTGGTGTTGGCGCGCCCCTTCTGGATGCGTTTGATTTCGCTCCTGGAGACACCCTGCTGTTTCAGGAAGGATGTTCGAGGGCCAAAGACGTTGAGTGAATCCTTGACATGATCCAGGTTCATGAAGGCCTCCATGCGACCCCAGTCGTTAGGGATCGATCCCTTGCGGACATCATACCAATTCAGTCCGCCGGTCGCGTTCATGAACAGATCGAAGACATCGACTCGACGACTGTTCGAGTCCAGGAAGCGTCCCTTCTCTGCATCCCTCACAGCTTGGTCCTGAAGGGCTCTCATTTGATCTGCTTGAGAGCGAGTTACCAACCCCATGTAGTAGGCATGATCAGCATGGACCTGGATCTGAGTGAGCGGGTCCGTCAAACTGTTGCCGAGCGCGATTCCCTTGAGCGGGAATATCTGTGGGGTAGTTAACCCCTTCGCGTTCTTGACATCCTCATCCTCGTCGTCTTCATCATTGTCCTCGTGATGATGGCGACGACCCTTGTTGCTCTCCAAGATCCCGTAGGCCAGTGCAGGGATGTACTTGCCCGCATAACTCTCTCCCGTTAGATACAGGTCCGCCTTTTGGACTTCGGGATAGCGTTCATAGAACTGATCCAAAAAGACCAACAAGTCCGCGGCAACACCTCGCTCGTCCTTGACATAACCCTTCGAGTACAGAGGAACCTTGTTTCGAGTCTTTTTCATGAGAATCGCCGCAAATTTGGCGGCTGAGTCCATACCCTCAGCTGTCAGGGTCCTGAAAAATTCCTCTTCGTTCATTTGATCGTCCTGCAGTTCTTCTTCCAGCTGTGCAAGGATCTTTTGGACGGTCGCTGGATCGGTGACCTCCTGGTTATCGCTGTCATGCAGTCGTGTCACGTAGGAGTATCCGGTTCCGACGGGTTGATCGATGTACAGGACGGAGTATTCTTCGGACCAGCTGAAGGGTTTGCGCTCGAGTCGCATGTGCTCATTCACAAGGATCGGCCCGTTCTCGAAAAAGAGGCCGATCATCGAACTACTTCCTGGACCGCCTTGAAGCCAACTATGCTCCAAAAAAGACAGACAAAAAGAGGGAGAAGGGGTAGCAAAGAATGAGAAAAGGCAGGAATGCGATGTAGACATGTATATCTCCCGGAGAAAAAAAATTCCAGGCAAAGATACTCTGAACATTACATGATGAGTGGAGGATCTTTGACTTTGGGATTGCTCGCAGGAAAATACCAATAGAACCTATTGTTCCACATCAACGAAACCAGTAGCATTAGCAACACGTAGCAGATACAAGCACCAGAAGGAAATGGCAAGAGAGCATTCTGCCCCTACATGCTGGTCTCGCCATGATAACCATCCTGTTGCCAGGATCTGATGGGAATATGTCCGGCAAAACTCTCTTTGATGGGCTCTTGCCATGCTGCCCACGGCAGAGGGCCGACTCGATGCTCCTCACGAAGCACCCTTAAACAGTCGTCACTACCAGCGTCCGAACCGTAATTCTTGCTGTGGTATTTACTTGTGCATCGTCGCGATGGTGGAGATGGATTCTCCGACGCGAAGGTGTCATCGTTGAAGTTGGATGGCAGGAACGAGGACTGTTGTTGGTGTTGAGTACCAGCGGCTGCGAGGAGGGCGACGCTAGCGGAGAAGACGAGGATTGACCAGGCAATTGGTCTTTGGCGAAGCAACATTCTCATTGCTCCGAAAGCGATATGGGTGTAAAAGGGCGAAAAGGAAGAGAGGGAGTAAAGGGAGCAAAGAAAAGGAATGGGAATGGTGCTGAGGAATGCGAATGAGATGCATACCTAAAAAGGAGGAGTGCCATTGTGGGAAAGTAAAGTTTTGTACCTCGATCAGACATGTTTATTTCCTATCCGTATACGCCTAAATGTGTACAAAGACGCGTTAATGACGCGTATGGGAAACCCTATTTCGCTTTTCGCGTTCGCCCCGAGACATCAGGCTACTAGCTCTCATTCCGTGTCCTGGGCTGGTACTCGACAACCCTTCGCTCTCACAGCCAACACAGATGTACAGCATGTTGCCGCTCTGGCTCTGGCGTCAACTACAACTTCAACCTAGGATAGTGCCACATGAGCTGCGCTCCGGTACCTGCAAATTGGACTTCCAAATGTCAGAATAGAGCTGCGGAAGGACCATTGTCTCCCGAATCCAGTTTCGGTATATGATAGCATCGTAGCTCAACTTAGCTATACGGCTCAGACTCTACATCACTTAGATAAGTGCCTCTCAAAGAGTCTCGTTGGTCAAACCCCATGATGCGCCAAGGTGAAACGCTTAAGCGTGGGAAGACTCATCTCCTGGGAGGGCAACGATGATGGTGTTTATGTGGTATCGCTTCTGTGTCCTGACGTGACTCTTACCTCAAGCAAAGATGGATCCAAATGCCATTGCGGACCATGAACATTGAAGTACCAGGTGCCGATGCCGAGACAGAGGCTTTTGTTGTCGCCCGGGATGTCAACGGGTCATCCATTTCATGCGTCCAGCCTGAGACTCGACTTATTTGCAAGTAGACTAGCGGTCGGTGAAAAGTTATTGTTGATAAGACTTAAATCTTTCCAGACCGTGCAAGCTGTAGAAAGAGTTTGGATTGAGGCCAACGTTAGGAGTTCCTTCATAGCCGGTATTCTCAGGTTAAGATGGAACGGTTCTTGGAACTCTCCCAGTTTGTATAATTGATAGCCGTCGAGCTGTCTATTACAGGGGCAAGGCATGTAGGATAGGCGGTTTGTGGGTCAGCGCAAATTCCAAAAAAAAAAAAAAAAAAAAAAAAAAAAAAAAAAAAAAAGATCTCCTATGGCTGTCGACCTAGTCTATGTGCGTCTGGGCGAAGCGAGCCGTTAGCTCCCAGAGAAATGTCCTCTTCTGGTCGTTGTCTTCGTCATCTTTACTATACTTTTCCTCGGGAGTCTACCCATAGCGACGATTGACCTTGAAGTCAACCCGAGTGAGGTATGCAAATCGATCGACGATTTGCAGGTATTGAGCAATGTCCTGGTACGTAAATGTCAATGCTCCGCGCTTGCTTCCGCCGTTCGCAGCAGAGAACTCGTGTAACATCCCTCTCCAGTATCGCTTGTAGTAGGTATATGTTATAGTATAACAGCCAAGAGATCCGGCTACGGTGCACTCGGGATCCCTTGAACATTTCTCGAATATAGCTTAGTAACACTCAACCAGTAGTTGCCTGGCCCTCCCATGAAACTTAAACGTGAGCAGGAGAATGAAGAAAGCAACGAAGAAAGGTAGATGATGCCAGATGTTGGAAGCGATGCTACAGTCGTTAGAGTGGTTTCCAGAAGAACATACAATGAACCGTCTTTATTTGTAGGCATCAATTGAACCCGTTGACCTCCATTGGTAAATTATGCACAATAGGCGAAAGCGTCTTCCAAGTATCCGTCAAGCTCTGACTAGTCTTGATCTGCTCTCGTACGTAATTCTGATACATGGTTGCAACCATTGCTTGGTTCTTGTGAAAATATGTAATCTCCATCCAGAGTGTGTGTTGAATCAATATTGCCCTCTGCCTCTGTAACTCGAGTTCCGTCTGATCCTAGTACCCAAGTAAAAACAAATGCAAAAACCAGGATTAGTGGTGCTGGAGCGGAATATCCGTGTGCAGAGCAAAACCACTTCGTTGATTCGCCGGGTTCTTACCGCCCTGATGCTTGCACTTACTCTCTCGATCTTGTCCTCAAAGGCACCCGGATCCGTGGATCCCTCAACTTCGCCTCCTCCTCCTGCTGCTGCTGCTGCTGCTGCTGCTGCTGCTGTTGCGGCCGAGGCTGCGGATGCCTGCAGCGTCTTCAATTTGCTCTCATTCGTCGCAATTTGCCTCTGCAGTTTTTCAATAACGCCGGCTCCCCGTGAGCGCTCACACCTTTGCAACAGTTTCATTAACGAGAACAACAAGTCTCGGTGGCGCTTCAGATCCTCGACTATCCCTCGCTGGGCCGCTTTGGCCTGCTCCTCCAAGATGTGGGAGGCCTGATTCACGTGCGATCCGATCTTGTTGTATCCCTGACTTAACTCTTGGCAATTGTAGCATTCTTCAACATGGCAGTGCCCTTCACAGTCTGACAGTGCGCTGTAGATCGAGATAAGGTAAATTAGCGACTTCGACGCCAAATATAATGGAACGAAAAAAGAAGCATATGCCAAATCTCGTACTTGAGTGCAAGACTGAACCGCGTGTAATCTGCTGCTGTCGCCTCTGTCCGCTTCTGAACCCGATCCATGATATGTACCATGCTACGATAATACTCCACCGATGCAGGGGTCCGCCGCTTGATGCCCTCCAGCTGTAGCTCTAGATTAGGCGGTATGTGACTCTGAAGGCTCTCTGGGATCGGCAACTGAGTCGTGAATTCATCTTCTGTCGAGATCACTACATTTTTTCTCCACAGCGCCAATTCCTATGTGTATGGAATACTGGTCAGTTCAAGTATACAGTTGGACACATAGCACACTCTGGGCCTTACACTACGGATACATACTACGGGCTCAGTCAGGAACGATAGTACAAGTGGATCATTCCTTAGTACAGGGTGTCTCATCAGTGCATTCATAAATCTCGTCAAACCACGAAGACGCCTCTCCAAAAAAACTTCATCCGCAGCTATTGGCAAAAAAAAAAAAAGAGAGAGAGAGAGAGAGAGAGAGAAAGACAGGTGGTTAGAAAGGCAGCAGGTTGCCGTCTTATTCGCCCGCACAACATGCACTGGGTGTATCTGTGTACCTCCTAGTCGCTTGGGTGGCAGATTCGGCAAAATCCTAAAAGGAAACCGTTTCCCCAGAATCTCGAGTAACCACCAAAAGTCGCTGTATCGTCTAATGACCGTCGTTTGACGATTCTAGATGGATACCATAAAAGCATTCGTCAGCTCTCTGTCTTGCATATAAACCATTTTCACACCTGCCATTACTCTTTTTTTCTCTTACCTTGGATTCAACGATGTAATTCGTATGTTTGAACAAAAAGATCCCCTCCTTCTCGGGCGCGAACGCGATCCGGATAGTATCCAAATTCAGAAACCATTGATGCATTTCCTTTTGAACCGCCTCTGGATCATTCACTGCGGGCGACTCTGTCGAGAAGATTGGTGGCGCCGCAAGATCCGATGGTGGTGGCGGGTACCCGTTGCCTTTGTAGGTCGAATTCCTCCATGGATCGGACATGTTGCTTCCGACATTCACTGGATGGTGTTTTGGTATTGTCGAGGTTGAATAAACCCTGGCGTTATCGTTCGCACTTCCAAAGTCGATGTTCTCCAATCCTGGGAGGTGAGGAATCGGCAAATCTGTATTTGAATGCATTACATGTTATCAAGGTTCAGAGTACGTCATGCATTGGTCAGCTGGCGTTCGTTGTTCAAATGAAAAATGTATGCAGGAAAGAAGGAGCGACGAACAATAAATCAATATGGATATGGTCCGGTTACCTTCACGATGAACTTTTAGGTTCTCGATGCTTACATCCATGTTCTTCTGTGCCATAGCTACCAGCGCCAAAGCAACGCTGCATTCCCCTTTGGTGATCCTTGACCGTGTTGGGGCGACCACGATGTTCATAATCTGCGGATGAAAAGTCGGACGTGCCCACGCGGTACATTAGGGGAAAAATTATCAGCACATGCTTAAAAAAAAAAGGAGGCGGGAAGGCGTGAACAACGGCCTCCCTCGACTCTGGGTTCCATGGGTCGTTAAGCTGCAGGCAAATTTATGAACGAAACTATTAACGTACCCTGTCAATCGTGCCAGGAGGCAATCCACTGACAGCCATGAGTTTGTTGACAGCTAGCACGGTCACTTTCCCGCCCGAGGGTTGGGCCAAGTCGAATGCGGTCGTATAAATGGCTGGGAGGGGGATTCCTGCTACGAGATACAGGTTCAATTGAAGATATCGCGCATTAATGCTGAGGACCACAGCAATCCCATGATAATATTTTTGGTGCCTGAAGAATCAATCGCCGTACACAGGATGGCACTAAGGTCAACTGGGCTCAACCCTCCTGCAGTCGCAGTCCAGGGGTCGTGGGCCTCGGGGTCGAAGGTCGAAGCAGAAAAGGACGCTGTCATGGCATCATTGTTATCTCCGAGAGCGGTCATAGTGGAGTTGACAGAAGTCTCCTTAGTGCAAATGGTGGTGTTGGTGATGGTAATGGAATGAGCGAGTGAATGAAACACAATGAACCAATGGAGCAACCTGCTTTATGCGACGAGCTCCTCACGTGGAAGGTGTTTAAGCTCGCCGATCTTTTTTTTTTTTTTTTTTTGGAGAAGCGCGTCGATCGCTTTGATTCCTTGGTGAAGTAGAGGCTTGCTCCCAATAGTATGCACTACCATGGACACCTTCTGCGGCGATTTTTTGGGGCCCAACAGCATAGCTTCGACATCAATCAACAATGTTGTTGGTCACTATCCAATGTCCCGACTCAGCTGGATCGATCGTCTAGACAACGAGTTGTATCCTTTTACTGAGCTGAAATCGCAACAACTATTCGTTATTACTGGCTCCTCTCCATCCGCGTTGACTATACCGTCAACAGCAACTACTTCTCCATTCGCTATGTTATCCGCAGCGACTGATTCTTCCTCGTTGAGATCCTCGGCTATGAAAGTAGGCACGTCAAGTGGTTACCATCCAATGAATTGAAGTCTTACAACTTTGCATCAGAAAAAAAAAAGAGATAGAGTATATCTTACCGATTATGGTGTGCAATTCGGTCAGTCCTAGCAACTCAGGAATAGTGTGCATAGTCTCTCCGTTGATAATGTCCACATAGTCCAGAACAAGACAGTCCTCCTTGCCAGGATAGATCCGCAATCCACGACCCAACATTTGTTCAATAAAAACACGAGACTTGGTGGGTCTCGCCATGACGATCGAGTCGATTCGAGGGATATCTAGGATTGCACCCCATTATTATTAGTCCAGCATGGATATCCGCAATTGAAAAGTAGTAGTGGCATGTATCCTGATGAAGACGGTCTTGATAGTCATACCCACGCCCTCCGTCAAGATACCACAGTTGATGAGGATCGGAAACTTGCCCTCTCGAAAGTCGTCTAAGATCTCCACTCGTTTAGTATAAGGCGTCTCACTGGTAACCGATCGAGCATTATATGCGCGTCTTCTGAAGGCGTCAGTTAGAGAATCCACATGCTTGATATCGGTAGCAAACACAACTGTCGACTTTCGATGTGCTGATTCATTTGATGAAAAAAAAAAGAGTCGGATTCAACGCACAGAAAATACTTCAGTCAAGAAGCAAATGCTGGTAACCTTTTTTTTTTTTTTTTTTTTTTTTTTTTTTGAAGAGAATGATGGCTTTCTTACCGCAATACTTCTTATAACCATTAATAACGGCATCGTTACGACAAGACGTGTTGGCCCTTTTTCTAAGGTACGTTGCTGAAAAATCATCGTTCCTTGTCTTCATCCATCCCAGATCGAGCCTCGTTCTAATTGACTCAACGAGAGGACGACACAATCTATTTACGAATAGTTTTTTTGAGGGTGAAGGCTGTAGTCTCTGACTTATATAACCTGCTGCATCATGTCTCCGAACATCTGAACACTTACCATTTCTCGTCAATCATCTCCTGGAAGCTCTTATGGTATGAAGTGATATCAAACACAGCTTTGAGAGCCTTGCGGTCGTGGCGTCTTGCTGTGGCAGTGAATCCAATTAACGGTATTGGTGAATTTGGCACATGCGCCTTAAAGTACTCGAAGATCCTCACGTACGAGTCCGAAACGGCATGATGAGCCTATCATTCAGAGCGTTAAAGGGTGAGGAATTCATATTTGGTACCGCTTTACAAAGACAAAGATGGGTGATGATCTATTCTTCTTGAGGACATTGGACTCGGACTGTATCCTACCTCGTCTATGATAATGCATTTAAATTCCTCAGGGTTGTACTTGTGCAGTCGCGACGTTCCGGGCCGTTCCAATGTCGGCACACTTGCGACAATCACGTCGGCGCTCATATCTGCATGGCGATTCCCTTGCTCTAACGATATAGACTACATAGACTCACTGCAACAATGAGCAACGTAAACTTATCAGTCCATAGCCTTGATGTCTGCAGATGCGAGATGGCAACGCTTTACCAGCTCTGATCCATTGCTGATGATGTGATTATATGGCTGTTCGAGCAGCTCCATGTAATGAGCCAGTATGAGGATTTTAGCGGCAGTAGGGCTTCTCGAGGGAATGCGAGTTATTAATTGCGAAAAGGTGATCTATGTAGAAAAAGTACGATAAAAAGCTAGACATTAGCAGTTTCTTAATGGTAAAGCGAGCCTTTATAATGACCATAAAGCCTCCCAGTCTTTTATCGAACATAACATACTGTCTTGCCGCTCCCGACAGGAAGAGAGACAAGGAGTCTCATATAACCCTGCTCAATCAAAAAAAGGGTTTTCTGGATGCACTCTTCTTGATATGGTCGAAGTTGGATTGGGGTCGAAGTCATAGGACCTGATTTCTGGGCGGGCACTACTTTGACCTTGATTGCCCGTTTGGGCTTCTGAGGCGATGGGGCTCCGTGTACTGTTTTACCTTGGGATGTTGATTTGGCGAAGCCTTTTTTCGCTTCGCTTGGTGCCACTGACCACGGCTGCTGAAACTTATTGTGATGTTGGTGTTGATGATGTTGTTGGTGCTGATGGTGCTGCTACTGATAGTTGTGCCGTCGGCTGTTGTTTTGGTAGTAGTGCTGTCGGTTGTTGTTATACTGCTGTTGATAGTCTTGTTGCAGCTGCTGCGGCTGCTGGTAGTGCTGTTGGCTGCTGTTTTGGTGGTAGTGGTGGTGATGGTGCCTGCGCTCGTGGTGCTGCCGGTTGTTGTTGTGCTGCTGCTGCTGCTGCTGCTGATTGTGATGTTCTTGCTGCTGCTGCTGCTGCCGGTAGCGGTCTCTTCAGTCTCTCCAAGTCTTGCTTTTCTTCATGCTCTCCCATTTTGAGCTTAACTCTGCTGTGCTCGAGTCACGATGAGGCAGAGATACATTCTTGCTGGTAGAAAAGCCGTTAGAGCTTGTTTTTGACAGGAGCCCCGCTCGCAGACTGAGCTGAGTGCTTCTCGGACGAGTGAAGCTGCACAAATGGGCCGTTCTGTCCCTTGATAGCCGTGGAAGTTGTAACATGGAACAGTATCGGTGGGTCAGAAATCAGAAATAAATTTTTGATTTCTGACCTGATGGTTCAGCCACACGTATCTCACCAAAAAAACACTTGACACAGTACTAGAGTCCTCGACAATAAGTAACGCGCCACATATTTTTTAAAATAAAAATTTCAATTCATCAGAGAGGTGACCCGTCTAAAAGGCATGCCATCCCGTATTTTCAAGCAATACCATTTCTCCACTCAATTGTGAGGGTTACACATGCATGCCGAGGGCGCAACGGAAGCCACGGGCACATTGCAAGAAGAGCATCATCATCAACAGACTCACTGCGACTATCTACTCAATGGAGAGCCCGTTCATTACACCTGGTGCTATGCCTACTGGCGTTGGTACTGACACTGACCAAGACACCAGCCCTGTGGAGTCCCCAACTGACTTCCTGTCCGTGCCAGGTGACGACCCTTTTCAATATCTCAGTGATGTCGCGTCTCCTTCAAGTGATATTGAGTCCCCTCCAAGCGGAGCTGTTGCCGCAAACAGCCCGCCCAACAGCTTGCCACTTCGAGTTATAGCTGCATCTCCCGACAGGTACCTGCACCTTCGCCTCAATGGAACTCCTACTCGCTCGCTACGACGTCGCGAAGAGCGACCTCTACTAGGGACAGTGAGTAGTCTCATACCTCCATATCTCATACGTCCCAATACGGAAATCATTCAATCAATTTGAAAAAATATATGGCGCGTTACTTATTGTCGAGGACTCTACCATTGAAATTCCACGCATTTAGACCATAGACAATCTGCCCTTTATATATCTCAAAATCTTAAATTCAGGCACAAATATTGGCCTTTCAAAAAATGAAAAATGCATTTTATTTTTTTCATTGCTGCAGGTCCAGATTGACGAACCAACTTGGCACCCATCCACGCTGGCCCTCGCATGTCGCCAGAAGCCAATGCTGATGGCGCCGAAAGATTTTCTATCGACCAGAGGAAAAAAAAAAGTACACTCATTGGATTAGAACTTGCTGCCATTGCACCCCTGGACCCAACACCTCAAGCACACCTTGCCAGCCATTTCCATAGTACATCGTTACAACTTACCAGTTTATCTCCAGTCTTGATGCTAAGTTCATTAGGTCCGGTCTTCGCGAAATCAAAGATCGCAACGCCCTCGGCCGAAAAGATTCCATCCTCAGAATTGTTCTCCGACAAGATGCTCGCTGGGATCCAGCCGATCTCATCGTCTCGCTGCACAATCCACCATCCGTGTCCTTTGCTCTTGATCTTGAACACATCCCCGACCTTCACGTTCAACTCGTCGTCCCTCTTGGCCTCCCATTCGTACAACGCCACTGCGGTTCCTGAAGCCTCCACTGTTTCCTGCACATAGTTCTCGGGCTTCGGTCCAACAATCGCAGGCGTCGTAGCCGAGGAGGTCTCGAGCCTCGAGTTTATGCTGCTGCCCATCGTCGAAGATGCCGTTGTCGGTGTTGTTGCTGGTCCCAGTGTTGTAGGCGTAGCAGCAGTAGAAGCTGTGATCACAATTAACAAAAAGAAACAAGAGTTAGCCCTGTCATATTGACATCAACATTAAACAATGAACATTCCCCATTTTAAAAAAAATGTCCATACCGCTGCCTCCGGTCTTGCTAGAGGTCCTCATTGAAGCCGTTGTCCCTGATCGTGCAAGAGATGCCCCTCCACTGCCATTGAGATGACTGCCCAAACTATTTGATCCAACAAAGGGTCCCGTGGAAGATCCGTTTCCGCCTGCCATGGCCTCAGGTGGCATGGGAAGTTCCTTGTTCATCAGATCCGAGCTCTTTCGTGGCGGGAAGGAACTGGGCGGCGAGGCCGTATAGACAGCAGGCGACTTCATCTGTTTGATGTGCTTCAACATAAACACCGGATTCTCCTTGTTTTCCTTCAACTGCTTCATCATCAGCAGCGGCTTATCATTATATGTCAGAATGCGCTCTATGAAGAAAAAAAAATAGAATAAATAATAATAAAGAATTCATTATTAGCGGGCGTGAGGATTCCAGTGGGATATGAAGAAACATCCGATCATTACGATCACGTACCAGTGTTGCCATAACAGATGAACAGTGCATACTGCCGCCAATCATCGTTAATCTTGTATTTTTTCAGGGCAGCAGGCAAGACCTTATAGCATGGATCGTCCTGAGAAATCCTGAAGCTTCTGAATGCATCCACAGGGTCGCGCACCGTCGACGGCTTCTGTCCATAGACCTTGATAGCGCCAGCGCTATCGACACCAGGGGAACTGGCCGCTTTTCCGTCCTATTGGTGCATGAAAATAAAAATTGGCTCTCGTTTAGTATACATATATGCGATATGAAACCATTGCGGACACGCTCTCTTTCCCCCCTTGACAACTGAAATAAACATGGGTTACATCATTTGGATCCGCGTTGGCGCCCCGTACACGAGTATCCGCGGGTGAGTGTGGCGAACTGGGTACTGAGTGGAATCCGGAATCTGTTGAGTATCCAGGCGACCGTACAGAGTTCATCATATGGGACGAATGGATAGGTGACTGGGGTGTGAGTGCTGAGTTGAGTGTGTGTGTCGATTGTGAGGCCGAAAGCATTGAGGACGACTGGCCGTTCATAGGTTTTGGGTATCCTGGGCTGGGCTCCGGCAGAGGCTACAAAGTGAAGGAAGGGTTAATCATGGTCAATGCCGCGAACAAAAAAAAAAAAAAAAAGAAAAAGAAAGTGTTTCTCAAAGAATGCAAGAACCCTAATCATCGAAAAGAAAAACACGAGTGCTGGTGTGCTTACTTTTTGGTCCTTCTGCATAATCCAGAGTTCATCTTTCACCTTGGTCAGGTCCTTAGACATTCGCTCGACTTCCCGCACGAGATGTTGAATTGTATTATCTATCCAAGCAATAGTCGATCATAGGACGTTCGCGTTAATGTCCGCGGAAATAACTGCTTGGCTGTAACAGCGTCCCCCCCCCTCCCTCCCTTTGCAACAGCCCATTTCACTCCAACTCGCCCATTGGCGCTCTTTTGGTTGTTTTGTCCCGGCTCCAAATAAAACGTTCCTGGGTAAGGCGAGGGGTATGTACCTTTTTCGTGCATGGCCTGTTCGACGGACTTTAGACTTGCTGCCGCCTGATAGTTGTATTCCTGAGAAAAAAAAGAAAAAGAAAAAAAATAAACATGTTAGCCAGGACCCTTGTGTTGAGGACAAAGGCGAAGCAGTGCCAGTGCATCGGTCAAGCTTACGTTCTCAAAGGCGACACCTGATGCAAGACAAAGAACGAGGAAAGGATACACAAGAAAGCCCGGGTTAGTCGCCATAACAAAAACTCTTCACCTCTGTTTCCGTGCTGAATCCCTGTATTCCTTACTTGGAGGAACATAGTCTCCTGTTTCGAGCGAGATTCCGTACGAGACCTTTAACTGGTAGATGGCTTTGAGGATGACCAGACGTTTGCCGACTTCCCATATGGACAAGTCCTTAAGTGCTGCATGATCCAAATGAATCAGCAAGTCTCCAGATATGCCGTTGTCTAGCCGGAGGGGGTTTTCAAGAGGACCGTGTTAGAAGGTCTTGATGCAAGAAAGATGTGGTTGACTAGAGCATTTGCCATTGCGCTTGACTATCAACCCGACAGTTCTTCTGGTCTAAGCAGAAAAAAAAAGGACTGAGAACAGGCAGAGAGGGGCAAGGCTACCTTTTATCTGTTTTTCATAGTTGGGGAATCCGATCGAGCACATCCATTGATGTACCCTGTTGGGGTCCCATTGGGTGATACTCTCCATGGCGGCAAGAACCTTCCTGGCGGGTTTTGCTAGTCCAGTTGGTGAAGGCCGTTCTGAAAGAAAACAAAAAAAATAAAATTCCTGGTTGCTGGTGTAGTCGCTATTTGTTGCTGTTGATGCTGGGTAGGTTTTCTCGGAGTGGCTCCTGGCTCAATTGATATGGTATGGTATGGTATGGTATGGTATGGTATATAGTCTGTCGCAAGAGGCGAATGCGAGCTGCACAGAGAGAGAGAGAAAAACAAGAAGGAAAGGTAGGAAGGAACAAAGAGAGGAAGGGGGACAAAAGAGCGACCCGATGGATGGACCGCTGTCGACGCGAATACAGACGGAGACGGGGTCAAGGGGAGAAACGAAAGTGCGGTGCTGTGTAAGAGCGGATAGGATACGATGGGATATGCGATGGGAGCTAGGGGGCCGGATATAGAACGGGATATACAGAGTGGATCGTGATGGGGATGATGCCGATGAAGAAAGAGAAAGAGAGAGAACGAGAGAGAAGGAGATGAGATGGGACGAGATGGGATGAAGAAAGGGATGGGAAGAGGGGGGGAGGGGATGATGGATGGTAAGAGCGGATGGATAAAAAGAGAGGGAGAAAGAAAAGAAGGTGTGAGGACAAGAAGGAGTGTGAAAAAACAAGGTTGTCTCTCGCTTCTCTCGCTTCTCTCTCTCTCGCTCGCTCGCTCTCTCTCTCTCTTTCTCGCAAACCGTCTTTCCGGCAACCCAACGCGTCCTCCCCACCTCCGCTCCTGCCCCCCCCCCCCCTGCCCCTCCTGCCCATGCTCCTCCCTCTCTCCTTCGTCACCGCCACCCTCCTCCTGCTGGGCGTTTGTTGCTGTCGACTCCTGCCCCTATGCTTCACGCCAAAACACTTCATCTTTTCTCCTTCTCGCACATCTGGGCTCTGCATGTCTTGTGCTGCCAACATGCACACACAACCCGGTTCGCTGCAATTTCGATGCAAGATAAAACTCTCTCTCTCCTCCCCTTGCCTTGCCTTCGCCACATACAGATACAGTGCACGCACAGCAAAACAGCAAAACAGCAAAACCACTAACTGACCTACGCAAGATAGACTACAAATCTATCGTCATTACCATGTCAACGAAAAATGCTGCCGCTGTTGTCGGCTGAAGTTTTATTTAAATGAGCGATGAGCGATGAACGATGAATGATGAACGATAGACGATAGACAATAGACAATAGACAATAAACGATGAAGAAGGACAGAAAAAAAAAGTTTACTATGTACAAAACGGTGCGGATGCAAAGAGAGATGGGCGGATAGATGGACGGGATGTGAAGAATCCAAAGACCAATCAGAAGCCCGGCCCCGTCGACTCGTCCGAAGCGGGGTCTTCGCCAATCGCACGGACCGCCATTTCGTAAAACAAGTCGCCGCACTCTCCGTGCTCGCGCTCAGCCCACCACAACGATCGCACAATCTAAAGAGAGAAAAAAATCACACACCATGTTAGTTGGCAAAAAAAGAACGTGTACCATGGAATGATAAAATAAACCCCCCTCTTCTCTCACTGAGGAAACAGAGCAAACATGTAGACATACTATGAACACATAAAACTTAAAGAGAACCCCCTCCCTTTCTTTACCTTGGGAACGGTCGGATGGTCTGCATGGATGGACTCCATAGAAAGCGACCTCCATCGGCTCACATGCGCATCAAGCTCCTCGGGCTCCTCACAGATCACATCTCCATGTCCATATCCATGTCCCTCCTCCTGCTGCTTCTCCAACGGGCACACATCGGTCATGAGAGGCAATGACGACGATCCAGACCGAGCCGTCACCTTTGGTCGACCCTGTACCACATAGGTCGCCACCAACGACATCCAGATCGCCTTCAACAGTTGCTCCTTCTCCTGCTCCGATGGCAGTATCTTGACCAGGAAACGGGCCGCATGGGTCGCAAGCAGGATATTGGCGAGGCACTTGTCCAATTGCTGCTCGTCTCCAAACCGATTCGTCGCTGTGAAGAGCAATAAGCTGGTCGTTCGAGAGAGATCCAAGAGTGCCTCTGACACTGAATGGACTAGAAAACACAAAAAGAGAAGCGCATAGTGATTTCTTGTTTAGCAACGACACGTTCGCTCACCTTTCATTCAGTTGCTCGCCCTCTCTGTGTCACCGACGCAGTTATACACAAAAAAAAAAACGAAAAGGACTGAACATACCTTGACTTGTCCACATGCCCAGATAACTCTTTAGAAGACTCACACGGGAACTCATGACGACATTCAGCTTGGCCTGGAAACCAGCATCGAACATGCCATCCAATCGTTTGTCGTTCCTGATCATATTCAAGATAGCGACTGTGGGGGATGCCTTCTGAACTGCACTTGAGCCTGTCTTTGAGGACGGTGTCGATCCCCAGGATGAGGATGCTGATGAAGGAATGAAGCATGTGGTTGCAGGCTGATACGAGACACATGCGTAGGCGAGTCCCTCTGCTGTGGCCAAACGCGATCCAAACTCAACTCCATAGCCAAGATGGATCAGTGGTCCTGTAGAGGCACACAGACCAGGGATTAGTGGCGTCAGGTAATCTGAAACCATCCTGGCCATGGACTCTTCCATGGGTGAGGGCGAAGACACTGACCACGAAGTTGTCAATGGCTGTAGTGCTGCTCCTGCTGTTGACGGCGATGTTGATGAAGATGTTGAGGTTTGTTTCAACAATGCCGCCTCTTCCAGCTGTTGCAGCTCATGATCAAAGAAGTCAAGGTAGTCGTGATAGTAGCTGGACAGTAGCAAAACAAAAGCACAGCACGGTGTTAGTTTTTTTTTCTTTTTTTCTTTTCTTTGCTTGTTTCTCTTTTTCTTTCCTAAAGTCTCAGCTCATTCTTCACTGAAAATAATACAAATGAATCATCAGGGTTCAATCCTATCCTTACCTCTTGTGACCAAGCCAGTCGCGCCAGTTGCGGGTGGTGATGGTGATGGTTGGTGCGGGAGGGATGCGCTCCTTGTCCTGTCTGAAGCGCTTGTAGGTCTGGTGCAGGTCCTTGGGTGTTCCTATTGAATGTATCCAGATACTCGTTAGCGCGATGTCATGATGCTCAACAGATCCTGTATTTCTGTATAAAAATAAAAAGAAGATTGTACACTTATGCAAGGGGGGGAGGGAGGGGGGTATTGGCGAGCCATGAAATAAACAGATGATATGCAGGGCCAGACGGGTTCATTTTAGCCGCAATTAGACAGACACATATATTGAAAGCGATCCCCCCCCCCCGAAGCGACCAGGATCTGGGGAACCATTTCCCTCGCCCGCGCCTTTCAAGCCATTTGAGATTGGATGGACGAGGTCATTGGACGGGTTTGACTCTCCGGATTGATTACCCAGGAACCCAACCATCCATCATCCCACATGTGCACGAAAACATAGACTCCACGTGTATTGCTACCACGTTCTTTTTTTTTTTTTTTTCCACGAACATTATTATCAGCATCATTATTATCTCAAGCGTACAAGGAAGGCAAAAAAAAAATCAAGGGTTCTCGCAGTGCATGGTGAGGGGAACCCAGGAAAAAATGTCTCAAAACTCAAAATACAAAATCCGCGCTATCTCCTCTATCATCACTGTTGTTCCTGTCCCTTTTCAAGAGAAAAGGAACCAATGCCGTGCCGTGCCTTGCAATGTCCCTGCACCCTTATGCTTTGCCCTGTGCTCGCCCAATGGGTCGTTAATCATAATAATAATAGTAATAATAATGATAATGATAATAATAATGATGATGATGCATATGTAGAGCAACCACGCCAGAAAAAGAGAGGTACGCCTTTGCGGTACGCAAACACACACACACGCACGACACCACACGATGATGAGTGAATGAATGAATGAATGATACTACGGCAACAAAAGCGACTCTGCATGAGTGAATCTCCATCTCTCCGTGCCCAGAGCTCCCTATTCTTCAACAGACATGTGTACCGCTTGGTGCTACGAGGAAGCTTCTTTGTTGTTGTTGTTGTTGTTTCTTTTCCTGCGAGTCGGGTGATAATACCGTAGTCCATGGACTGCAAAAATAAAATAAAAATAAAAAAAAGCTTCTCGATTGCGCTTACCTCCGAGGGCGTATTTCGTGAGGACATCCTGGACCATGGCTCCACCGGCGAGGTAGCCGGAGAGATCGGTGTGGTAGATATGATACTGTGCTTGGATGATGGAGAGGGCCATGTCCCTGGCTGTGATCTCGTCCGTGAGCTGGACCTGACGCGAGGAATGAGAGTGGACATGGTAGTGGGTTGGTCGCTTGCATTCCGTTGACTTGCTGTTGGCGGCAGTAGGGTCATCGCCTCGGCTGAGTGCGTCTGGAAGGGAGGTGTGAGAAATGGATGAGGCGTGATTAGACCCGATGGAGACAGCGGTGGCGGCGATGGCAGTAGTAGAAGAAGGAGAAGAAGGAGAAGAGGAGGCAGCACTGGTGGCGGTGGTGCCGAGGGTGGGGTGGAAGACCCGTGGGGCGGATGGGATGGATATCATTCTTTCTTGTCTCGGTGTGTGCGGGGAGTGCGGGGAGTGCGTTGAGAGAAGAAAGCGGGTTAGCTCAGGGTCTTGGTGCTTATGTTGCTGCTGATGTCTGGAAGTGACTGTGGGCGAAGGGGGGGAGGGAGGGAGGGAGTGACTGAGTGAGTGAGACGGCAGGGTGTGCTATTTTATGCTGCGATAGTCTATGCTATGGTGCGGTATGATATCGAGATGATACGGGTGGCACGAGTGAGACGAGACAGAAGAGACAGAAGAGACAGAAGAGAGAGAGACAGAGAACGAAGGAAGAGAAGGCGGCAGAATGCCCGTGTGGGTGTAACTGCCCTTGGGGACGGATGGGAGGGCTGCTTCCAAAAATGGAACAACCACTGAGAGCCGAGTGCTGATTGGGACAAAGCGCTGTCGAGTGGGGCAAACATGCCTCCTGCTAGTCTGCCTGCGTTGCAACATACTTTTACTGCGTCCACTTGCTAGTTTTACTCTACTGCTTACACCACCGCTAAAAAAAAATGAAAAATAAAAAACGTGCGTCCACGAGTGGATGAGCACATCCTTTTCTTCCCCTCTCCTGTCTCCGCCTTTTCTTCCTCCCTTTCGCTCTGCGCTCTAAAACAAATAAAGCAGGCATTCGCATACATCCTCACTGGAGTTGAGCTGCTGTGGTGCATGGGCTACAGCGCATTTGGACGCGCTTCCCTTGCTAGCATTAATACACAGGTGCCGGTGATCCAACCACTCCTGTCTTTTTTTTAAAAGACTGGCATGGAGGGGACGGAAACCAGAAATAGTCCAACACCCTACGTCCTCAATGGGCCAATGGGCGAAAGGAAGGAGGAGGACACCGTTGGTCGTGTGTGTCCTCATCCATTTATATTTTCGTCCCGTCTATCAGAAACACCTTTCAGTCCGAGGAGCGCATGTCGTATGTCGCATGTCGCGCATAGTGCCCCATGGTCCCAGAAAGCAGAAAGATCTTATCTATCTTCTTTTTTGTCTGATGCGCATGAAACGGCTTACGATATTCCAAATACGACACCGCAACAATTCCAATCCGGTCTTGTAATCTCGATACATATTTTTAGTCTCCACTTGCGGGCACACTGCATTCAAACCATATCCTGGCACTCGCCCTCTCCCTCTCACCCACACTCACACACCCTCTCTTTTTCTTAGCAATGGTATCCCTCTGCAAAGAGGAATCGTCTATAGCGTCGCCCAAGTGAAACTGAAAGCCTGTGAACACTGACGACTGACACATAATTTCATAGTCTTTTTTATACAGTCTTCGTATATCAAAATCATCCCAATTATTGCTATCGAACAATACAGCCAACCGTGTCTGCGCCTCGACAGTCGCGTCCTTGTCGCGTTTTTTTACTCAAGAAAACCATATTGCATGCTGAAACCCTTCGAGTCAACGGCCTTCGTCCAATGCTTCACTTTTTCTTTTTACTTATATTTAATTTTGTAATGCCAATGTAGTGATATTTTGCTCGTATGGTTAATATTGGTACATGATCAAACTAATGAGGGCAAGAAAGAAAAGAAAGAACAATATTCAACTGCCCACAAGGCATCGATAAAGAGATATATGGAATCACCCCAACAGAAAAAAAAACCTGCTAGCAACGGGAAAAAAAAAAAAGAACCAGGGAGCAAACAGATTAAGGTCCGGGCTGCGCGCCCTGATAGCTGCCTCCAGACGGCATACTCATGGCATTGGGCGAAACTCCTCTTTCCATCGTCGGGTTCTGATCCATCATCATAGTCATCATGGTCGCCTGCCAATGAGGGTCCATTGACTGCTGGTATGTTTGCTGGGTTACCTGTGCTTGCTGTGGGAACTGATGTGGATATTGTTGCTGCAACGGTCCCTGTTCCTGTTGGTACAGCAAATATTGCATATACTGGTTCCATGTTTCCATCTGTTGTTGCTGTAGCGGTAGCTTGCCTGCCTCAGTGGAAATGCCCTGAGTATACATAGGTTGGGGTTCGCCCATCTGCGAATCAGTTGAAGCCAAGAATGTCTGATGGACGCCTGCATACATCGACTGCGACTGCATAGGCAGCACAACGTGCTGCGGCTCTGCTGAGACCTGCGATCCAGCTTGAAGTCCAAATGCCTGCTGCTGTTTCTGAGTTTCTGCCATAAGGCTTTGATCGGACGATACCCAGGGCATCCATGGTGAAGGTGACAGAGACTCGCTTGCGATAGTAGGCGACCGCTCCATCGAAGTAGGCGAAAGCGACGGCACACTTGTAGTACCGTTTGCACCCATGAACTGGAGCCGCATTCTGGACCCATCCTGCTCAGATACGCCACCGAAAGCTGGATCGTTTCGCGCAAGCAACGTGTCACCGAGTTTGGCAGTAAAACTGGTGAAGCTGGACATAATATCATGGTCCGAGAGGCCGAATGTCGATGCTTGATCCCCAAACAGATTGCTATCCATTGATGTCATGCCCATGATACTATCCTGAAGACCATCAGGAAGCTCCATTGGTTCGTCGACCATCATTCTAGGCTCGTCTGTCATCTGTGACTGGAGCCATGATTGGGTCTGCATGTTGGAGTCATTGGTCTGAAAAGTTGTCTGTGGCGCGCCTTCGCTCTCGGATGGTGCACTCATAGCTCGACTGGGCGCATTTTCACGGCGCTACAAAGAAAGAAGGATTTGAGTTTGTTGAGTCCAATGCCGATTACGCCTTACGATTGATCCATGCTTTAAGACTGTGCCACTCCCAAATGCTCTTTCATGCAATAGATATATAGACATACCGAGTTTCTCAGCGTTCCTATTGAAACCAACAGAAAAGACATATCAAGACAAGAAAGCAGAAGATAATGATGTGAGTTACTGTAGAAGTGCTGCGCACACATACATTAACAAGCTATTGTTAACATTGGACTGAGATATGGATACGGAGAAGAAGAAAAAAAGAGAGATGTAATGTCATGTATCCATCATTGTGTGTGTTTTGTTAATGAGAGAGAGACTGGACGCTTACGCCCTGTCCTTTCATTGAATAAAGAAAGAAACGGTCATATGCGCTGTGCTCGTCCACTTTACCTTCGACTACACTCTCACGTCGCTGAATCACCTTATGCTGCAAGGCCTCGGCGGTGGCGAGCTTTCCCTCTTCAATTGATCGGCGGATCTTGCCAGCACGGATCTGGAACATCTCTTCAAGGACAGCCCTGGCCTCCTCCTTCGTTTCCGGAGGCTTCTCACATGAGGTCGCAATGAAGGTGTGCAGTGCCTGTCGCACAGGGAGTGCTCCAGACGCCACCAAACCTTTCCATTCTTGTGGTGACAAGGGCGTCTGTACCCGCATCTGGGGCTGAAACAGCGGCTGGGTATGTGCACGTGTATGGGACGGATGTCCACCACCGACCGCCGAGCCAATAGTCTTGGCTGCTGGCCCTGCTGTCAAAAGATTGAGGGTATGAATGCTGGCCCTTCGCTGCTGCAGAGTAGGGGTCGCATTTGGAAAAGCGGCTGCGGCGGAGGGAACACGGGGATGGGCATTTTGCGTTCTTTGATACTCCATCTGCTGTTGCTGTTGCTGCTGTCTCTCAAAGTGCTGTTGCTGCTGCTGTAACTGTTGGTGTTGAAAGGAGATATTCAAGTGCGGGTGAAGACGAGTATGGACTGAATCAGACCGCGAGGATGACGAAGATTCTGGAGGATTCGGTGGCAAAGGAGGGCCCGAGGTGATTCCCTGGGTGAGATGTGATTCGGCATGGGGATGAAGAGAGGCCATATCCTGGAGAGGAGAGAAGGAAGTCCGGATGGCGAGGAAGAGGCAAGGAGAGGAAGAAGAATGAAGTTTGGATGGAGAGAAAGAAGCGTGGATGAAGTAAAAGATATGAAGAGGAAGTGGAGAGGATAGATGAGGGAGGGAGGAAGGAAGGAGGGAAGAAGGAGGGAGGAAGGAGGGAGGAGGAAAGAGGGAAGAAAGAGCGACTGAAGAGAATATAAAAGGGAGGGGAATGAGAAAACGAAGAAAAGAGAAAGAAGGAAAGAACGAGAGAGAAGGAAGAGAGAAGGAAGAGAGAAGGAAGGAAGGAAGGAAGAGAAGGAAGAAAATAGGCACGGATAGCGGATCGTCGTCATTTTTAATTGCATACACACACACACGCACATACACTCACACTCTCTCTCCCTCTCCCTCTCTCTCTCTCTTGCATTGGACACAATGGAGGGGGGGGGGGGGGGGGGGGGGAGAGAACATCATTCCATCCTACTGCAGCTCATACAAAAATCCCTCCTGCTGTCGTTGGACCACCTCTTTTTCTTTATTGCCTCTTCTAGCCCTTCTGTAGCGGACCTCGATTCGACACCGATCACACTCTACAGCGCCCTTCTCTACTTCTTTTGACTTCTTGGCGGCACATGCAGTGCAATCAGCCCTCGTAAAAAAATGTTTCAGACCCCATGAAAACCCCTCCCGGCCCCCCTCTCACAAGCCCCATTGCTCCAGGACGGACACCAAATGGCCCCAATGGAACTATCCGACACAGAAGACGACAGGCGATCAGTTTGCAGATTCCAGAGAGCCCTCCCTCTTCTAAACTATGTTTGTTCCAAACCCGCCTCAGCGCAATCGACCCTCTCCCTCCCTCTCTCTCCCTCTCTCTCCCTCTCTCTCCCTCTCTCTCTCTCTCCCTTTTTCCCTGCTGCTAATGTGGCATGCACATTGACGCAGGTCCGTCTTCCTTTGTTATTTGTGTCGCACGGAAGATTCCCGCTCACACGCGACGCCACTCTTCGCGCGGTCGACCCAACGGATAAGGGAATGAGCGCATTGTCAGCCTTAGCCCAGCCCAGCCCAGCCCAGCCCAACCGTTCAAAAAAAAGCAGAGGTCCGAAATTTCATTTCTCCTGGATCCCAAGCACGCTTGTCCAAACGTCGTTAGTCTCCCCTTCTATCGTCCACCCGTCCTGCCATGCTGGGTTAGACGCCCGTGCCAGATCTTCCCGCTCTGGCCATTCGTAACTTTAACTGGCAAGCGAGTACGACCACTACGAATCCACGCCAATCCCCATCTGTGTCTTTTCAACGCCCGGTCAAACAGTGGCTGCCTTCCGTCAGCATCGCTTTCCCACCTACCAATCGTCAGTGGAATTCTCTTGGCAACAAGAATTCTTTTTATACAACAGTTTGTCTCTCGAGCCAGTTAACTGCGAATCTATCAGACTAACTAGCAACGATCTACTGCAGTTGTCCTCTCCACCAAAGCGGAACGGATCCACAGTTCTTGGCAACAAGAATTCGATACACCCTGACTAAGAAACATCACATGCCTTTCGACTACAAACGGTCTTTTCTTTTTTTTCTTTCGTTTCTTTCTTTTCTTTCTTTCGTCTCTTTCTTTTCTTTCTTTTTCGAACAAGTATGCGCGGTCTACGTTCGATTATGAAATGACTAGCTTTATTTAAACCATGCATGAGTGGAAGCACACCGATTCGATTTTTTTTTTTTTCCCCTTCTCTCTGGGCGAAGCGGTTAAACCTCTCTCCCTCCAAAACCTAAACACACCCTATTGCAGTTTTTGCTTGCATTTCTCCCTTTTGTTCTTAGTCTTATATGCTATAATGACCTCTGAAAAAGCTCTGGAGTCACTCCGGAGCCGAAGGAAGGGGGGTTGATAATAAGAACCCACGAGGATATGTGGGGTTTATTAGTGAGGGACTCTAGGCTAGGAAACCCTATTCCTAGGGGCATAGAAAAGGGTGATTAATAATCTAATAAACGGCTTTTGCCGCACCGCTGCTGGTCACTCGCAACTCCAATCCCCTTCACAGTCTCCGTCAGCATGAATGGGTAACTCGACCCCGCCTGGGGTCGGTGACTGAGCCCTGCTCCTCCCTACCTGGCCTGTTGTGCGCGGACGTCATCTTTCAGCCGCGGAGCTCAATCATCAAAAATTTACAGTTGCCGGTGCGTTCCATTACGTTGAGCTCCACCTGCTGCAAGCAACTCTGCAGCACTCACCTGTCCGCTCGTTCCTCGATCTCTTTTACATCCAATACGTGTCGTTATCTCCTGGAGGATCCAACGAAACCACTACCACTACGTCTGTGCTCTCCAACACAGTTGCGTCCCCGGGCACGTTTGCTCATGGCAAGGATTGCTGCAAAAAGTCCTGCAAGATTCGCTTTAGTGGATGAAGCAAACCCTGCGATCCTGCCCGTTACCACTGTGCGCATGGTGTCTCGATTTTCCTGCGCTACCGCGCCAAACGCCATTCGAACACTCTGCTTTCCTGCTCCTTCCATTGAGCCATCCGAAAACATAACAACTTCATCCAATCCTTGCAGTCGGGTACGCTGTTGCTGGATGTGGCGCAACACTGCTGCTGGAATACTGACCCCGAATGTGTTTCCTATCGGATGCTGCATATCATCTGGCAGTGCTCTGTAGCGTAACGTTGGAATCGCATCCATCGGCTCTCGCGCCAGAATACGGAGCCTTGCTCAAAATGCTTCATTGTCCAATCATGGATCTCTGCCGCGTAGTCTAATCCCGAGCCCTGCATCTTTGCTTGCCTCCCTCTTCCTCATGTGCCGTTGTATTCGCCGCCTATCAGCATGTCGCCTGTCAGCTTCACGTTTGAGCCGCTGCCGGCTTGAGCTGTGATCCCGTATCTGTTGCTTCGCGTTCCTGATACTCTCCTCCAATCTTCTCCTAACCTGTGCCTGCCTCCTCTGTACTGCTTCTGTTTTCCTCCTGTGCACTTTCGTAGCTGTTTCGTTGTGTTTTCGCCATACCCTACTGTTCTCGTTGGCCTCCCACTCCTTTTCTTTCCGATACTCGTTGTGTTCGAATGCGGCTCTCATTCCATCCTCCATTTCTGCGCGTCGTGTTGAGTGGATCTCTTGGCTCTGATGTAGTCCTGCTTGTACATAATCTTCCTTTCTTCGCTCCCTGTCTGCTAATTCCTCTGCTAGTCTCTGTCTCGGCATTTCCTGCGCTACGTTCGCCTCCTTGTGCTCAGCCATCTTTATCGCCTCCGAGTTCGGTAATCACTGCAGCGACTGCAGTCTCCTCATCTTCCGTTGCTCCCTCGACCTCAGACAGCAGCCTCTCTTTTATCATAGTCTTAAATGGAAGCTACCGCAAGATGGCATCGGCATCGAAAGGATCGCGAAACACGTTCCGAAAATACTGTAACGGCCATTGGCCTTGGGCATATTCAGCTATTGAAAGTGAACGTGGGGGCTGATTGATTTTCGAGAAAACCACGCGTTGTTTATATTTTCTTTTATTTTTCTCAAGTTGTCCTGAAGACGATAAGCAACCATGCCTTCAATCTCGTGGACATTGGTGCTAATGATCGCAGTTTGACCTGCTCAACGTTATGATGGATATAATGGCCTAGATCGCTCCATGTCGCAGGCACCTTTGCATCCTCTTCTGTCTGACAAAGGATGGTTCGTGTACCTGTATTGAAGGAGCAAAATCAGATACGTTATGAGGGATTGGCATGGTTTTTTGGGCGCGCGTTTTGACTGCCTCATTTTTCCGCGACCTACATTTCTCATCGAGCATAAGCAAGAAAGATACACTGACAATGACTTGTCGCGACAGTTGTCTGAATCATGCTCCAAATATCCCTCCCAGTTATCCTCGGCATATCGGAGAAAAGAGTCCAATGTTAGATTGCGATCGAATGATGCTGACTTTAAGATATCATAAGACGAAGACCAGCAATAAAAGCAGCTATAGGCCAGAACAGATGAAGCAGGGAGATCACGACCATGCACTCCATCAACATCATCGGCCACCCACGCTCTAATGGTCAACCAAGAGGGCAAGATAGACGACTAACTAGAAATACGCATATAACTAAGATGGGATGCATCGACTACTGGCCGTATTCATATCTACCAGAATCCCTCTGCACGCACTACCTCCAACTCGACCAACCAGAACAGCGCGTAAGATCGAGTGGGAGCAGTGGGAAGCGGGAGCGTGAGTGGGAAGGAGAGTGAGAGGGAGTGGGGAGAGAGTCGAAGGATGTGTGGACGCTTGACCGTCACGGTAGTGACGTATTGGACTGTGTAGCCATTGCTGCGCCCAACAGCTGCTCACTTCAGTGCACGAAAAATCGTGTTTTTTTTTTGCGCCGACAGTTTTGCTCCCCAAATTCGAGTAACAACCAACAATATCGCGTGCGCAGAATTTTTGTTTTTGCACTCTACACGCTGATGAATGAGGTTCTGATCATTGTTATTCTCCACAGTTCTTAGTCAATCTATCACTCGACCCAATACAGAATACTCCATCATTGTGGATATGGACAGGATCCTTCTTCTTTCTTATACGCGTCCTGATTACGTCCAGCACAAGCCGCCCTGCAAGCACATGTATCTGGCACCAAGGATCTACAGAGGCATGGAGATCAACTACGGCAGGGAACCTGTGCTTCCTCAAGGACCACGAGAACCGGTCGGTACTAAAAACGGTCTCGGACCCCTTCTTGAAGACCTGCTTTCACAGCAACTCTATCTCCAATTACAAGCAATGAGAAATGAACAGCGGGAAGCGCAGAGAAGAACAAGAAAAGCTGAAAATGAAGGGGCATTTCAGGAATACGAACGCGAGCTGGAAAGACGCTTTAAAGAAACTAGATGATACCGTTCGCAATAAAAAAAAAAAAAAAAGATGTCCGCTACAGTACTTCCAAAGCGCAGTGGCAGGACTGAAGAATACAATACTAGGAATCAACGCTGTTGGGGCAGGGCGCAAGTGCAAACCGAAATTTACATCAAGATTTACATCAGGGGACCGGGATGAAACCTTAATTGTCCTCCGTAAAATTCCTGATGAAAACAGCTCATGAAATTTACATCAGGCGATGAATTTCATGTATTTTTTCATCAAGGAAAATAAATACTTGAGTCAATTTAAACACCTGACCAATATAAGGGATGCTTGTTGACTCCTCAGCGAACCTCCTTGCAAGCTCCTCATTAGCCTCTTCAGTCTCATTCATGAACCAAACAAGAGACGATCACAACAGCTATGAGGACCGCGAAAGCCTTTTAGAAGAGCGACAAGAAGAGAAGGAGGCATACTTGGTTTTTCAAGCAGAATAGGAAAAAGCAGCATGTTGGCGAGGAGAATGAGGAGGAGGGGCTGCACAGCTCTCAACCTATGCAGCAAGCACATTCCACCGAGAAGTGCGAATCGAACGAGGGATCAGTCAACGGGGATACTGACGAACCTAGTTCCTCTTTCAAGTTCAGTCGCAAGGTTCCTTTCCGTTCTTTCACATCAAGAAGCGATCAGTCAGTAGCTCTTCTGAAAGCTATGCTTCTCAAGTCACCCTTTCAATGGACGATTTTGATGGCGAAACTAGTTTTGCTGTTTTCAAATTTACATCAGGGAGGAAATAGAGTTTCACCCCTTCCTTGATGTAAATCCGTTTGCGAAAACTCTCACAATCCCAAATACGGCGCGAGGTTCTATTTCCAATGATTATACTTTTTGATCAACCATCACATCCCTCTCGTCTCTTTCGTACAATCAACCTCTCCAGCCTGCAACTTCTTGTCATTCAAGATTTCGTGGATCTTCACTATTTATTGTATCCTCAAGGGAAGTTGCCATTCTTTTTTCTTTTTTTATGATGATTCATTGAGTATCTAGAGGGGAGTCACTATTTGCATTGGAGTGTTCTACCGGCTCGGACAGGGGAACTCCACAGAGAGTGATTGCTGAATTCTGGGAAGGCTGCTATTGGAAGATGCTTCTGCAAAGTTGCGTCTTTGTCCGTCGCGAATCCCTCGTTACTGGCGAGAGGGCCGTGTTGGCACCGTTAGTATGCTAGGTAGAACACATAATCCAGCTAGGCGCCTCTAAGCCGGGGGGTCTTGTCTCTAGCATCCTTTAAAACAAGAAAGCGCAAGACTACATGGGTTACTTGCATGGGTATACCTGTCGTGTGAGCGCGAATGAGCTGTTGGCTTCCAATATTGACAGCTCAAAAAAAAAAAAAAAAAAAAAAATGCCAACATCCATCCGTTTGCTTGACTGACTCGCTCGCTGTGCTCTGTACCCGGCCTTACAGCCCATGTTCTTTTTTTTCTTTTTCTTTTTTTTTCCTCCACGATGTCGAAGTTGGTCCACCCCTTCAAGGATGTCACGGACATTCCGAACATTTTTTATTTTCTGAATACCAGCCCATACCGATATGATGCCGGCGACTACTTCAGGACCTTTTCGGACCTACACACTTCCAAAAAGATCATCCTACACGACCGTTGGAACCGCGCAATTAACATTCTCCTCTCCAGCAATGCCCCCAAGTTTCAAAATGCCGGCAGCAGGCTATTGTCGATCTGGAAGACCCCTGGGAAAGGATTGGCAGGATTCTGGGCGCAGCAGGAGCAATTGGAATCTGCACAGGACGACCTCCAGAGAACTACGACAATGGTCCGCAAGAGATCATATCGATCGGTCCGGCATCATATCTTCCAAGCATTCAGCGCCGTTGGCAACCGTAAGATATTTGGATGCGCTGCTTAGCTATATTGTGCTTCATCTTCAGTACCATTGACATAGTATTATTACTCTCTTTCTCTTTTTCTCTCTCTTTCTCTCTCTCTCTCTCTCCCTCTCTTTTTTTTTTTTTCTTTTTTTTTTTAAATAAAAAAATAAAATAGACACGATCTACGACACCAGAAGTTCGAAGAGAAGGCGCTAGCCAGCGGATCTTACGAAGAACGACGAACCAGCTGGAGAAGAGGAAGAGCGGCGGGTGGAGGATGAGGATAAAGAAGACGAGGAGGAGGATGAGGAGGAGGAATAGGGTGATGATGGCAATGAGTCAAAGGAGAATGCTTCCCAAAGCTCAGAAGGGTCGGAGTACTTGCCAGGTGGAGCAATCCCCCAGCCAGCCATGGCTCCGGGATCTGTTTACTATCTTGCTGGTAACGGCAGCACAGACTGCTCCAAGGAGCTCTGGACCCCATGGGTCAATGAAGGGGAAGACCTTGCTGGTAAGGTTTGGGCGTATCGGGAGGCAATTTGCCGCAAGGCCAAAAAACTAGAGCCGCTCTCTGGGTCCGTGGAGAAACTGTAAGTATATACATGCGAGTTCATCCAATGGTTACGGCTATTTTATGGGGTACGCGGTTCTTATTATTATTATTATTATTATTATTATTTTGGACAGGGCCATAAACCACGTCTATCTATTCGACCCGAAGGACACGTCAAGTAGCCTTTATGACGCCATTGGGGCCATACACTGGGCCGCCATCACGTCTATGTCATTGAAAAAGCTCCTACCAAAGGACGTAATCGCAGGCCTGGCATCCTATGCCATTGATTTGAGTCAAATGCGCCACTCTGATGCTCAGGACAGCGTTTTGAACTGGGTGGGGAATCGGGATGTCAAAAAGGTCTTGAACCACCTCTTGGCAGATGATTTTCTTTGGAAGAGCGCCGACTTTAATGAGCTTGGGATGGTGCAACATGTGTTCGATCCGTTCCTCAAAACGTTCACCAACATCCAGGGCGGTGTTGGACGATGGTAAGTACATGACACAATATGAAGAATGAGCAAAAAAAAAAAAAAAAAAAAAAAAGCGCTCATTGATGGTAGTATCTACGTATGTGTTTTGTCAATAGGGACAAGATGTTCCTGCCGTCACAGGAGAGGAAGAAGGACGCCCTCGCGGAGGGTAGGGGAAGACGACCTGATTTCTTCCTGCAATGCGATTTTCCGGGCCTGAAATGCTTTGTATTTGTCATGGAAGCCAAGAAGACTGGCCAGAAGATGGTCCTCCAGAATGATCTGGAGAAGGTGGCGCTCCTCCCCAAGGACGCCATCGATCACATGGCCCAGCAGCGAGTTGACGTTGCCAAGTTGAAAGTGCTTGGGACGGTGGTGATCGGTAAGTAAAGAGAGTGTGATGTCTACTGCCCAAATTGTTGTGACATTGATGATGTCTAAAACTCTTGTTACTCTTGTTTTTGTTTAGGGATGGAGGGAGTACTCTACTCCATGCAACTGGTGGCCAGAGGTATATATCTGATGAAAAACTATGCCGTGGTATATACCCCGCGGTCCCAGTTCGACCTCTGTGTGGTAGCAGGAGCCATCAATACGTTCCTGAACCTACGGGAGGAGCTGGTCACAACAATGGAGGTCTGTCGGGCGTCACGTCTGCACAAGCCCACCGACCTGATGCGGCCGAGCTTCGGAACCCCCATCAAAGTGAACCCGACAGGCATCAAGAAGGGCTTTCCCGGCTCTCCTAGCCTTCGATAAGTCGTTGTACGTACTAGAGTCCGGACACAAAGGACCAGCGATAGCAAAATCAAATGGTCAACTTTAATTTTCACCCATGCTTTTGCGCATTCTTTTTCAAATTATCTATGTACAGCACACCTAAAGAGCTATGCAGTCGCTATGGAAATCTTCATGCCTGTCGAGGAGCTCTAGGGAAACATCCTTGGTGAATGTCAGGGCGATGTATGATGGAGGGAAGGGTTGCAGCTCGTTCAATATCTGCCATTACCACCCCTGTACTTTTTCGCGAATTCTAGTCTCTGGGGCACCGTGTCGACCAGCCTTGCTAGCTGTTCTTGTGGTAAATCATTCCACTCCTCCACTAGAGTTCTCGCCAGAGTTGCAATTCCCGGTGTTGTCTTTGTCGTCTATTGAGGGAGGTAAAGGAGGGACCAGACATGCTCGATGGGTTTCAAATCTGGGGAGTTGGCTGGCCAGTCCTCAATCTTGCGAACGCCGTGTGCTTGGCGCCAATTCTTTGACAGCACGTAGGGGTGCACCGGGGCACCTTCTTCCATGGTGGTTACTCAAGCTGCTGTCAATTGTGCTTGGAGAAGAAAAGTGGTGTTGAAGAAAAGATGTTTTATTTGCTCCATGGCTAGAAAAATTAAAGTTGACCAATTGATTTTGCTAGGTGGCTGTACAATTGCACAAGAAGCCTCTCTAGTGAAGCGTCATCGTGTTTAAGCACCCTCGTGTATCCTTGAATTGGCCAGTGTATGCTCTCATTGCGCGCGCGATACGGAACACCAACTGTAGGCCGACGGCGACGCGTTGAAGGACGCGGATATGGTTTCGAACTCGCGTCCGGACTCTTGAACTCAAATCGGAAGAGACGGTGAGCCTGGCAATGGCTACTCGAACATGCCGGGGTCATTTTCATCCCTAGCGTCGTTTTCATCGCCAGATACATAAGTACTGGCCATATAAATCGGCATGCTCGGGGTTAAAACTGACCGACGCGTCCATGGTGCAAAACCAAACGTTGATGAAAGCCCCTTCTTAATGACATGCATCAATGAAACAGCTTTTGGAGGAGCAAGGGGCCGTATAATACTACGTGGCTGAGCCGATGTTGTTGCTTGATATCTGGCAACTGCGGAGCGTTCAGGAGAAGACATGATGACAAGTAAAATGATATGGAGACTAAGATGTGGAAGGTTGATGGTGTGAGGAGTGCAAGTGTATAAAAATAAACTGAAGAGGAGCCAATCTCACTCACTCTCATTCCTCATTTCCTTGATCAGATGAAATGGCGTACTTTATCAGATTCAAAAAAAATTCAGGCACAGTGTCCGTGCATCAATTACCCCACATTGTCGTTATTGAACTCTAATTCTGGAACTCGTGCCTCGTTCTCCAAGGAGAGGGGAAGCTGCTGCATATTCAGCCGAGTCCACTATAATCTACAAGTGAGCTAGGTCTACGTGTACTTTGACCTCTAGAATAGAAATTAAACCCCCATGGATGTAGTGTGTGGACTCATATCTCTTTCTCGTCTCGGCAGCAACCTTGCTTTTATCTAATTTATTTTATTTATTAACGTAATTCACATGAGCACGAGACGCATGGCCCGCGAAGGCCTTAAAGCCCTAGATGCCTTCCACGCACGGCAGAGCCACGTCCCCTACCAACTATGTTGGCTTGAGGCGTCTTGGTCTCATTACTGATATCGCATAGTTATCCTAACCTTACTCCTACGTGACCTGTTGCGCAATACACGTCCACTTAGTCAAGATCCAATGTTAATAGAGTTGTTTTTAAACGGAATAAACCCTCCATTATGTCCAACTTTCCTCGCCCCAAGCAATGCTGTAGCACCCTGTAATCCGCGGTCCGTCTACCTTCCTGGATTTCCGCTGCAAGCAACCGTCTGCCTTTCGAATCAGAGAAATCACCAACACTACGTCGATGTCCCCGATGACCGTTACTTGCTCTGGCGCGTTTGCTCATGAAGGTGATTCTAACTGACTTTTCTCAGGCGACAGTGTCCTCGCATCGTTTGTTCCATATCTTGGTTCTGCCAAAATCTTCGATCCTGCTCACGAACTTTGTCACCATGATCGTTGCAAGCCACTTGTGCAACAGCAGCAGAGTCAAGGGGTCAAGGGCAGTGGTCAAGTAGGAATGCGTAGAAATGAATGCTGTTTAATGATCATAAGCAGGGTCTATATATACATGTCTGTGGCCTATTGTGCAGTGTCTTAACGGTGTTGTCATGGTGCCGGACTCCATCCTGGTTTTGCATGTCGTAACCGTGCAGCTCGGTAACCGAGTGATGTTTCGTCCAGACCCCAAATTGGGACTGTACTGGGAGTGAAGCCACTTCCATTTTTATTCATGAGACTATTAAGCTATCTAATACTCCAAGCCCCAGGTCGGGGCTATAAAAACCCCTACCGGGAGCATAATAAATAACGACGCTCTTTTGTCTCCTTGACTCATACTGAAATACATAAAACATCATAAGTGGTAATCCTGTTGCAACGTGGTGGTGGTAAATAGCTGTTTCCAGGTCTCAATGAGTCTCATTGGCACCAATCCTCGGTATAAATCCTTGACCTCCCAATCCGCATCACTCTCCGGTGCCTCTTCAGCAACGTGCTATGCCCCTCGTCTTTCCGTCATCCCTGAATCCACTGCAATGACTCTCAGACAGCGTTCGTTCCTGTTGCCGAAAAGGAAGGTGCGCGAGCTTCATCGTAAACTCGCTATTGAAAGGGCAAGGGTGATCACCCAGGTGGGTGACAGCTCCAGAGTCCTTGCCGATGATCACGTACGTAACTTTTTCCTCTATCATCCTGGTGACAGCGGTGGAGTTGGCGAATGTGACTCGCGCGGTAGCCATGGAATGGGTTTTGTTGAAGCCCATTTCAACAGAACGGACCACGTCCCATCTGGCCATGGCAGCGTAGACCTGATTCTCCTTGGTGTTCCAGGCGATGTTGTTGAGGCGTACAACTTGGCTTTCTTTAGCCTTTTGCCTGGTTGTGGTGTACTCCTGAAAATGAGTCCTCACTGTGTTGCCGTCGTCGTCCACGTTAGAGAAGCCGTAACGAAGGGCGGTCTCTAGTTGATCGCTCGTGCTGACCTCAAAGACAACGGTTGGGATAACGGCCATGGGGTCATCGTCCACAAGGTACTCCATGGCACCTTGTCCAATAATCGCTGCCTTTTTACTCAGGATTTTGTTGATATTGACCATGAGGTTCGATAGGTGGGGACGCCTGCCTCCACAAATCGCAGAAGCATGAATCATCATCCAGTGCCGGCGACCCCTGGAGACGATGGTGAAATCCTTGGCGGGAGTCATCTCCTCCAAAGATTGGGTAGACTCAGGTATGCCAGCGGAAGATGCTGGGTATAGACCTCGTGGCGATATAGCCAAGAAAGAAAAAATAAAAATAAAAAGGGTTGCAAAAATCTGATAGGGCTCAGATGATGGCGAATGGGAGAGTGAATCTCTAGAAAAAGAGATGTGAATGACCGCCTCAGAAAGCGGAATGAGAATAGCACAAAGAGCCAGACTGGTAGCCTCGCGCGAACGAGCAAAATTGGAAAAAGCGCTATAACCGATGTGTGCGGAAGGAAGGTCTAGTCTCAGGCTTGAGTCAATTTGGCTCTAAATCTTCCAGTGTGGCAGTCGTATCACCTCCAACAACAACACTGTAACCTCCCTAAGCGTTCCAAGATTTTTCTTGTCATGGAGCCGCCCAGGGGCTTAAAAACTGAGCTTTTTAGATCATGTGGTATGTAAAAGTTTTAGAAAATATATGTTCTTGTCTGAACCACTTTCTGTTACTGCGGTGTAGGGGGTCTATTAACGGGTTCTAAAACTTCTACCATTAGTTCTATTTACAACAGGAGTTACCACGCGAATAGGACTTCGGCAAGGGTGTGCTTTGGTCACTTACTGGTTCGTGGTGCAGGGTCCTCCTTTAGATCGGAATGTAAGAACACAAAGGTAAACTAGACTAGACGTAAATGGAAAGGAATAAATATGGGGATCTGTTTAGCTAAATGGTGCGAGCTAGGACTATATTCCTTTGGGAATGACTGGGGTAGTTGCAAGGAGTTCGCATATTGTGATGTCCGATGAGGTGAGGAGTCGTGACAATGAAGTCCACCCCCCTGGAGTCGTTGTATGCCAATAGTCGCTGATCAGGCCTCCGTTGTACCTTTATAATGCCGTTTCACGAGGGTGGGCCGATGACGGATGCTCAATGAGACGATCGGTGATCGGGGAAGCGCTGCAGGGCAAGTACAATGTCTAAATAAGAGCGATTGACGGTGCAAAGGTGGCGGATGATCAGGATCGGCATTCCCTGTTGATTGAATCTCGTTGCATGGGTTACTGACGGTGGTAGTCAGTACCTGTCGTTGATGCGGTGTTATCCGGACAATCTGGACGAATACAATGTGTGATACAAATGATTTAGGTGGAAAGAAGACTCTGGTTCAGGTACCAGACCGTTTATTCTTTTATTCTGGGTGCGGTGCTCTTCCCCGTGATCTAATATTAACTTTGCAAGAACAACCAACTGATTCTCATTTACTACACCACATTACGGGGAATCGGAATCGGGGCAAGATAAGGTAGGCTTGTAAGAGAAGGCAATGAGCGGGCAGGGTAGGCAAGGTAAGTGCAAGGGAGGGTAAGGTAGCTAGATAGATTGATAGGGGGCAAGTGGAATAAACCTCAGTCAAGTCGTAAAGAGTGCTATATCTTTCTCTGGATGTTCGGAACCACTTTATTTCATGATATCCTTCGCGTTTATATACAGAAGCGGAACCCGGATCGGCGCCGTGCTGACTAATCCTCAAGTGTAGATATAAATGGAGAGCGTGAATGAGATAGAGATGAAATGGGGAGCGTCCGAGAGCCGGTCGGGTTTGGGCGCAGCTCAGACAAAAATAGTGCAGTGGTGAAAGGGACAGTCGTGCAGATAAGTTTTTTTTTTTATTATCATTAATCCCCATGAGCACTACAATCGTGCAGATAAGGAAATTTGCAATTATAGATTTTTTTTTTTTTTTTTTTTATTCAACATGGCCTCCGAGAGAGAACAATCAGTGCTGGTTTCCTAGTGAATAGTCTCTGAGACTTGTGTCTATCTGGCCCTAAATCTTCTAGTGTGGCAGTCGCACCATCTCCAACAACTTTCACTGTAACCTCCCTAAGCGTCCCGAGGTCTTTCTCCTGCGATCCGCTCGGCTAGCTGGCAGGCTCCTCACCTGCAAATCTGCCAAGACCATCTCTCCAATTGCAACCTGTACATCTGGGAGATGGTCTTGGTTTCTTGAGAGCACGGAATCCGTTCTACTGGCTTGCGAGCCGAATCCTCTACTATTGTAACATTTCCTCCACCTCCTCGTCCCGTCTTTCCTCCACCTGAGGTCACTGGATGTGAGCTCAGATTAGCCTATTATAAAGTGGGCCTACTCACTTTTGAACTTATACCTGTAACCCCGGCAGGGGTAGCTAAGACTATTTGCAATTATAAATTTTTTTTTTTTTTTTTTTTATTCAACATGGCCTCCGAGAGAGAACAATCAGTGCTGGTTTCCTAGTGAATAGTCTCTGAGACTTGTGTCTATCTGGCCCTAAATCTTCTAGTGTGGCAGTCGCACCATCTCCAACAACTTCACTGTAACCTCCCTAAGCGTCCCGAGGTCTTTCTCCTGCGATCCGCTCGGCTAGCTGGCAGGCTCCTCACCTGCTAATCTGCCAAGACCATCTCTCCAATTGTAACCTGTACATCTGGGAGATGGTCTTGGTTTCTTGAGAGCACGGAATCCGTTCTACTGGCTTGCGAGCCGAATCCTCTACTATTGTAACATTTCCTCCACCTCCTCGTCCCGTCTTTCCTCCACCTGAGGTCACTGGATGTGAGCTCAGATTAGCCTATTATAAAGTGGGCCTACTCACTTTTGAACTTATACCTGTAACCCCGGCAGGGGTAGCTAAGACGCATGCTGCCAGTGCAGTGGAATAACTTGTACACCCTGGTGTATAGCTGGGAAGTTCTGAACCAGCGCCTCTCGAAGTCCGGAGGCTAGCGCAAGGGCGAAATTTATTCTGAGCATTTTGTCAAGCGTTAAGGAAGGGGAAAGGAAACCCACAACGATTACATGGGGTAGTGCCACTCAATGTGGGGGTCGCCGGGGAAAGGAAACCCACATAACTGAAGTGGGGTAGTACGCCCGACTCATGCTCCAAATAAATTTCTATGCGTAGCACATATTACTGTGCTTTAACCAGGGCTCGAACCTGGTCCCTTCGCGTTACAAGGGAGGTGCCCTGACCAGACTATTTGCAATTATAAAATATATGCAAATAAGGAATTCGTGCAATTAGAGAGAGAATCTCTATGAGACATATATATGTCTGTAGACCACACCATTCCAGATGGTAGGATGGCCGAGTTGGTCTAAGGCGCCGCACTCAAGTTGCGGTCTCGAGAGAGGCGTGGGTTCAAATCCCACTTCTACCATTTTGCTCATCTTGATGGTCTTACTTGACAGCCCATGCGGAAGTCCTTTTCGCTCAGGTTGACTTTGTCTTTAGCACAAACGCACCAAGTATTTTACATGGATTTCCTCCAGGGGTTGTCAAATAAGACTGACAGGTTGCCAGGTGTATCCCATGATGAAAAGTTATTTACCTCTTCGGGCTGGCTTGATATTTTTTTTTACAATTTTATGAGGTGGTTGTAAGAACTATATACACGTAAAAAAAGGGTTCTAAGTTAATGGAAAGAGTCACCATAGCCATGGTACTGGCGTTGACCGGGAGAAGAACTTCCTTGATGTGGGTTGTATCCCGAATAAGTCGAATGAACGGACTGCACCGAGTGAATTGAAGTCTTGTCCGAGTAAATATTAGCATGCTGCTGCTGAGGCGACATCGCCAACGAGTGCATGCCCCTCGGCGAGAGTTGTCCATGATGCTGGGGCAACCCTTCCTGCTCTTCCAGCTCGGGCTCGTCCATGGCTAATGTCTCCGGCATCTGACCGGACCGTCGCGCTACCCAGTCGTCGTTCCGGAACTCTCCCTCCCATTTCGCGACCACGGCAGCGGCCGTCATGTTGCCGAGCACATTGACGGACGTACGCGCCATATCCATGAACGCATCCACACTCACGATCAGGGCCAGTCCTGCTAGCGGAATATTGGCGCTGATCAAGGTCGAGGTCAACACGATGTAGGACGCACGAGGTACTGCTGCTACACCTTTGGATGTGAGCATGAGCGTCAGGACGATGACGATCTGCTCACCCACAGTCTTCTCTATCCCTGAGACCTGCGCGCAAAAAATAGCAGCCAAGGCTAGGTACAACGTCGAGCCACCAAGGTTGAAAGAGTACCCGGTCGGAATCACAAAGACCGCAATCTCGGACGGGACTCCGAATTCGACCATCTTCTCCACTGCCATGGGGAACACTGACTCTGAGGAACTGGTAGCGAAGGCCATCAGGAAGGGCTGGCCAACAGCCCAGACAAATTCGCGCAACGGGAACCGGCAGAGAAACATGATCGGTAGCAGGATAAGGATCACATAGACGATCAGGGCCACGTAAAGCGTTCCGACCAATTTCCCAGCGACCTCTAAGGAGCCTAGACCGTACTGTCCCACCGTGGAGGCGATCGCGCATCCGATACCGATGGGCGCGTAGTTCATAACCAAATCCACGACCTTGAACATAATTCCAGAGAGGGACGCGTTAAAGTCGAGCATGAACTGCTTGGATTTTTCGTCCGCCTGAGTGATTGCAACCGAGAACATGATCGCACAAAACACTACTGCGAGCACCGCAGTATGGTCCGAGAGCGCCAAGAAAAAGGACGTGGGAACGATGACCTCCATCTCTGTGACCCATGTAATGGCGGTAAAGTTGGTGTCCGGTGGTGCTAGTCCTGTCAAACTGTGTCCTGCGCCAGGGCGAGCAATGTTGACCGCGATGAGACCAAGGATCAGCGCAAGTGTTGTCACGACCTCAAAATAAACGACAGACTTGAGTGCAAGTCGGCCGATTCGAGTGAGATCGTCGCCATGGCCAGCAATACCGATCACAAGTGTACTGAAAATGAGAGGACCCTAAGGACAAACGAGAAACAACAGTTGACGAGAGTTCTTCAGTAAAATGATTGTAGAGCGGTCCTTGAGGGATTGCATGTGCAATGTAAGCCGATACTTACGACGATGCACTGGATCATGCGGATAAAGACTGTTCCCAGGGGCCCGATGCTAACTGCAAACTTTGGCGCGAACCTTCCGATAAGGATCCCGACCACTAAGGCGATCACGATCCACACTGTCAAGTTTGTCCATTCTCTCAGAAACTCCCACACTGTCTTTACAGGTCCCATCCCAGCGTTCCAGGCGTCATTGATCCTCGTTCGCAGTGTAGGCCGCTTCAAGTGGCTGTCTGGTTGGGAGAAATTGTATTGATTGGAACGGACGTCGATGTTCGTGAGCTTGCCACTGTGGAGAGTGCTGCTCAAGACACTGCTATTGTTTCGTCCGCGGCCGTCCTGTTCGGGGATCGGAAGTGAATTGCTGTGCATGGCAGAGAATTCTTTGGGCGGAGTCAAAAGTTGCAGCTCGCGTGCGTAGTTTATCGGCTGCGGAGAATAAATAAATTAAAGCTGCAGGAGGAGGAAAGTGTGAAATTGTAGCAATTGGCAATGAAGGGTAGAAACAAAGTGAAGGAAGTAAAGAGAGTGGTGGGAGAAAAAGAATAAGAAAAGGATACGGTGTTGAATGTGGGAGGAGGCAGCAAGAAGAAGAAGAGTCTGGTATTTATACGAACAAGAAGGATGGCCGCCTGCGTAAGGGAAGACACTTTGTTTTGTCAGACGCAGGAACGTGCCTATATTTGACCCCCTGTCAAGCGCCGCTTTTTTTCATGTTTGCACCCTTGGGAGCCAGTCATGGTCCTCCAGGGGTCGAAACCTATCGTAACCGGCACGACACTTCGACTCCATCCCAGGTCTATTTCGCTTATGTTCCTGTTGCGCTTTGGAAAAAGGTCTATCAAGTGGCGCACCCGAGGTCGGCTCTTAGGTGCTTTCATGTGGCAGTGCATCTCCTCACTATGACCATTTGCATGCCCTCTTTCTTTTTTTTTCCACCTTAATCCTAAGATATCCGTGTAACGTGTCAGCTGCAGATCGACTTTACACGACCCAAAAGCATTATCAACAAGAGCCCTACTGTTTTTTGCTTGTTTGCATGGCGTACGAGAACGCTGCAGAACTCTGAGAAGGTTCTTCGGTCTGAAGAAGTAGCGAACGTTAGCAGTGTTACTCCCTATCCAAACCATTATCTTGGGTATTTCTGGCCGCGTGCTCGTTCCTTTTTTTCTCCCTTGCACTACCGGCCATCCAAATTCATATACGGGCAATAAAAGAAAAGAAAAGAGCATGACAAAGGCATAGACTGGCTCAGATACAGCGGAACTGCTTCGCCTTCTATAATCTACCAAGGTGGGTCTTCAAACGAATTTCCGAATTGCGTGGATCAAATTTGATTTCACAAAAAATCAAGACGCGGTTCGCCTATCTTTTTTATTTTTATTTTTTTTGCTTAATATTACTTTTCTCATCGAACAAGAAAGGATACTACAACAAAGACAAACAATAAATTACATTACTATAAAGACCAGGAAAAAAAGAGAAGAAACAAAAAAAAAAGAGGGAGAGAGAACTGTACAGGATAGACTTATTAAGAACAGTGCGGTATGCTATAGGCATTGCACAAACAAAATCGTTATCGAAAAAACCAATGACTAAATATGAACAGGGGTATATGCACTGCGAAGGAAACGACGCGAGCTTCAGTAGTACGGAGAGTACATGGCCTGAGTTGCAAAGGCATGAGGTACTGCGCGCATATACTCCACAGGCTTGCCCATCCCATTGGACGCATACTGATTCATGAACGGCGGATAGGCCGGTTCGCAGGTCATGGCCTGAGGCTGTTGATGTTGCTGGATTGTGCGACAGGGCACAAAGTACTGATGCTTTGGCTGCTGCACCGCGGGCAGAGGTTCCATATGGGGTACGCTGGCCATAGTGCCCATGGGAGCCATGGGAGTCAATGGAGTCAAGGGTAAGACGGGCGACGAGGCAGAGATGGGGGACATGGGCTCATGAGGAGGTGTATGGAGGGGCGAGATCAAGCCGTGATGATAGGGAGGCATCTGAATGCGGAGTGATGGATGAGGGTGGCCAGGATAGGGGTAGTCAATCTCTTGGTGAAAGATAGCTGAGCCGATCGCGTCGCCTCCAATATGACGCCACATGGTCGGCCGACGAAGCAAGACGTGTTCTTTACGATGGTGTTTTGTGAGTGTGGTCTTTCGGCAGAAACTCTTGCCGCAACCGTCGATGATGCACTTGTAGGGGCGTTTTCCTGTGTGGATGCGACGGTGCCGTGCTAGTGAGCTGCTGTCGCTAAAGCGCTTTTGACAATCTGGGTATTCGCACACGTGGGGTCTCTCACCGGTGTGTGTTCGCTGATGCACTGTCAAAGCGGAGCGCTGGATGAATGACTTTGTGCAGCCTGGTTCAGGGCAAACAAAGGGCCTAATCAATAAGAGAGTGGACAAAGTTTAATTTGTTGTTTATATGCATTGTGCATGGTGGGACCATGTGGGTTTCAGGTTACATGCATCTAGGCTTTTTTTTTTTATTTTATATCCAGAGTGATAATTTACCTTTCGTTGGTGTGAATTCGGCCATGGCGCGCAAGGTCAGACCGACGAGAGAATGCTTTGCCACACTGGATCCAGGTGCAACGGAAAGGCCTCGAATCGTGATGGTGGCCCTCAGAATGGATGAGTTCGAGAATGTCCATCTTGGGCGGGTATGCCAGGGAAGTAATGGTGGAAAGCCGTGCGGGCAATGTGAGGAAAATGCGGTGGAGAAGATGTTGTCTTAAAGACTGTTGCAGCAAAGAATTAAGAAGGGCCTAGTGCTTGGTGGCCTAATAGGATAAGATGTTGAGCATAATGGTTAAAACTCCATCCGGTATCCTCCTCTGACTGTCACTAGGAGGTTTGTGTGCTGAATTGGGAAGTGTGTGGGACATGCATGCGCCCACGCGATATTTTTTAAAGTACGCGCGGTGCAACCACTGGGACAAAGTTGGAGAGCAGTTGTGGTGGCCGAAAAAAAAAAGTGGTCGATGGTGTGGGTGGGATGGCTTTTGCAATGAGGAGGAGTAGCGCGCCATGGTTGATGTGGACCTACCAAGTTCTGGAGTGTGTGTGTATATGTGAGTGTATGAGGAGCTAGATGGGTAACAAAGTCCGCTTTTTCAGTTGGTGAGGTAATACGTCAAAGAGGTCGTAGAGTGGAGGAGAGGAGGCCGTGAAAAAAGTGAGATGCAGAAGAATGCTGGTGAAGAACAAAAAAAAACATAAAAACAGGAAGGTGGGGGCTGCTTATTTTATAGCAGGTCTTGAAGGTCGTCCAGGTTGCGCTCTCAACGGTCATTTTGGCAACAATGGCAGATGATGTGATGAGTCGTTTCCCTCAGATATGGAGTACAGTAGTCTATAGTCTAAGGAGGAATATGCAATAGTCTGGAAGTCTATTTGGTGTCTACGCTGTCGCCGGAGCAATAGAGCAGTGGTGAATGCGTGTGTCTGCAAAGGGTCTGTATGCTGTGCCCTGACAGATTCCTATTCTATTTTCTCGTTTTAAATGTAAAAAGAAAGTTGCTTGTATCTCGGAGGCTGACAAGTGCAAACAATAAGGTTTGCAGGGTGTTGGCGGTAAATATCCGTATATCCGGTTTTAAGCAATTGACGCACATAACCGGAGGTTTCACTGGTCGCCGTACGGAAATCGAAAACTGTCTCTCTCTTTTCTTTACTCTCTCTCCCCTGGCTTCGCTTGTACACCATGGCATACACCTAGCCAAGCTGCAAGTCTTAATTTCCTCGCGCCACATATCTGCAAGGGGGACAAAGAGTAGATAGGACATCTCGATCGAATATCAAAAAATCAAAATATGAATGAGGGTCAATGAAATTAGGGGAGGCGGGAGGGTTAGAAAGAGGCGGAGGGTTGAGGAGCAATTAGCAATTAGGATTTTACCATTACCTAACCACGCAACGGACCAACCATGCTGGCTGAAGTAAAGCGAAAAGAGAAAGAGTGGAGCGCGGTAATTAGCACTAGTTGTTCTCGTCATCTGTCTATACATAACCGCCTCACGACCCAACAACCTTGATCCCCAGTCTGCAGCCGGTATAATCACCCCGCAGCTTGCCATTCCTTATCGTTCCCGCAAAAAAAAAGGCACATTACCAGAAAACCCAAACATCGTGGTCATTGGTAAGAAGAGGGGAAAAAAAGATGAGCCAGGACATAAATAGAAGACAAAAACCGTGAAACCAAACATACCAAAGTCTGCGTTGTAGACTATACTCGAGCAAGTTGGAGCAGGGAGTAACTGAAAGTGTCTCTCTTTTTGCTTTTCTGCAGTATCTTTTTTTCTGCTTCTGCTGCTTGTGTTGTGCTGAAAAGTGATGAATAACATAGAGTGCGTTCCCCCTCGCTCTCTCATCAACTGAGTATCGAAAAAGTTACGCGCCAATGCGACCAATGACACATTCGGGGAAAGGAAGGGAGTAGATTATGGATGGAAGATTATCATAGGCATTTGGATGCATTTTGCGCATGGTCTTGCTGGCACGGTCTACGTTCCACTATAATTGTTCGTTTGTTTCTGTGTGCGTTCTCTATAGTTCCTGAACACCGCGGAATGTTGGCGTCGTACCATTTACGGACTCAGGAACGGTGCACCTATCCCGATAGGGCGATGTTGTCTTTCTTTCCTTTGTTGATGTAGATGATCGAATCGAATGGTAGCGGTGATGGTTGCTAATGCTGTGGCTATTGTTCTCTCAGCCATGCTCCGTCTTGCGGTTGTGTGAGCTGTTTGAGGAGGCGTACAGATCTAATTGAGAGCTCTTTCGTCAGGGCGGCTCTACCCCCCGGAGGAATAATCTACGAGGGTACGGCTACACAAGGTACCATGGATGTACCGAACAATTGGGCACGCACATCGCTCTGCTAAGCATTGACCACAAACAAAACGAAAAGAGGAATTTGACGAGCTTTCTCTCTTCTTTTCTTTCTCTCTCTCGCTCTCTCTATGCATGACAATTTGCTCCGGTGTATTTCTTGTGGCTCCCCTTCCTCATTAACGCCTACATCCATCTTTTTATTTGGCTATCTCAATGACTCTAACTTTCAGGGGTCAAAATTGTGTTATTGCTTCAATAAGGTGGCAGCAGGACAGAGAGCAGCTAATTTGATTGGGTCAGGCACAATTTGCAGGTTCAATAATTCGTCTTAACCCGCCCCTCCAATTCCTCAACGGCACACACACACATGGACCAACTCACACCCCTCGCACTCGCATAAAATACACGCTTATAAGAAGAAGAAAAGAAAAGAAAGTCCCCGTTGAGAGCAAAAAAAAACCAGGCATCCACATTCATGACTAAGTCTGGCACGACCTTGGATGGACTGAGTGTGGACGAACGGACTAGACTAGGGTAGTAATGGGATCCTTCTTTCTCAGCAAAGCATCGGTATCGCATTTATTTAGCCTAAGGATTCATAAATCCCCGATACCTGTTGCCTTGTGCAGCTCTGCCTTCTTTCCATCTATATTTCTTTCAAACCTCAGTCCTCGTGTGCGCCAGGTCCTCTCCCTTCCTGGATTAGAAAAAAAAACATGCGGCAAGGTAACAATAATAAAAAAAAAAGAGTCATCGACAATTGGCTGTTCTCAGTCTCTTGGTCTGGGCCTTGACCACCGTCCTCAGCGGCTTCTTTACGTAAATACTGCCCTCCTTTTTCTCCCACGTTGCGCGGCAAAAAAAAAAGTTAGAGACAACCGGTTTGCTTTGGCTTCCCTCTCTTCTCCCTCTTCGGTATCGCTTTTCGGTCGGTCAGCGCAGTTGTTTACACACCCTGTCAAGCGGGGGCGAAACATACGTGTACGCGGTTGCGCTGTCTCCACGAACACACTCAAGTGCGTTTTTTTTTTTTTTTTTTTTTTTTTTTGGTTCACGCATGCGCTTCCTTGCGATCGAGCATTCGCATGGCATGCACTTTAAAAAAAGGAAAAAGGACAAAGCACAAAAAAACCGCGCGCGCAGTTCTATTGAGATGTCATATTGTATGCCGGCCTATCGAGAACTTTGTTTCGATATCATCCTCAATGATGCATTTGCACTTTCGGCATGCATGATGCAGGAAAAAAAAAATCATGCCAAAATAATCTGCCGCCAAAAAAAAAAAAACAACAACAATGCAGATGATAGACTAAGCATTGGGCAGCCGGCGATTTTAACTCCCCCCACCTAAGGAGTTCCCTCCCATCTTGCAGGAACCTTGAAGAAAGAGAGAGAGAGAGAGAGGTTGTTGCGGATGAGTTATCGTTTCAGTCATGGCTGGGTCGTTTTACACACATCTCTTGCATCGATTATGTATAAAATATATTGATGGAGGGTCTTTTTATTTATATTCATAATAATTTACATAGTGAACATCAAAGACGATACGGAAGTCAAGACAGTTGCATGTGTTCTTCAATGGTCCTCCCTACTAGTAGCAATCTCGATAATAACGTTCGCAACCGTGCAAGTCGTGTACACGATCAGCAGGAACCAGCCCCAGCTGCGCGTCATCATGTATCCGTTCCTGGGAATGTAAATCATGGCCGTGCACAGTGTCAACAGTACCCCGATCAGAGACACGAACAGGGTCGGGGACACTTCCAGGGGTATATAAGTGCCCGTCTTCACGGTCATGTACGTCCCGCTGATGCCTACTCCAAGCAGCATGTCTAAAGTGGATACAAAAAGAAAAAAAGAAAAAAAAAAAAGAAAATAGTTAACGTTCTCTGCAACACGCGTTCCTGTCCGCGAGGGAGTAGGGGAAAAATAATGATAGTAAATAGGTCTTGCTTCTTACTCAAAAGTGGTCCACCAAAACACGCTGAAAACGCCATGCGAGGAAAGCCCATCTTGGCAATCGTAATGTTCGCAACCAGGTCTCCCAGACTGTTGCCCTATAGTCATAACAAGGGAGCATAGAATGTTAAGCCTCACAGGAACAACTCTGCAAAAAAAAAAAAAAAAAAAGAAGCCCCCTTAAACCAGCAAACATAGCAAACATAGCAAACATAGCAAACATAGCAAATACGCTGATTACAATTTCTTACCATCGCAAAGATAGTCAAGCCCAAAATAGCGTCGCTCACGCCAAAGATCATGCCGAACGCCTGCAAAATGCCTACGACCTCGTTCGCGACCAAGAAAATCCATGTGATTGCCACCAAAAATCCGATAAAGCAAAATGCCCCGTATCCTCGGGGAGGTTGCTCCTCGCTACTGAAGCGCCGAACCAGAAATGATAGGATAATACCAAGACCGAGCGCCGCTGGAATGGCAATATATCCTTCCTGAGCCGCGCCTATTTTTTTTTTTTTAAAAAAAAAAGAAAAAAAAAAGTTCCAGAGCAGGAATGACCAAATCGTTGGTTAGGTACGGTAGAAAATTCGCCTCAGTAGATTCATCGCCAAAATATAACTCGTTCTTACTTGTGAGCACAGCGGCAATAAATACGGGCGCAATAAGCATCTGGGTCGTTGTCGCCGTGCGGCTCCACCCCTCATATTGGCAATCTTCGTCCTCTATTTCGCCAATTATAATTTTGGGAGGACCTGTCGTCGGGTTTGTATTATTCAGTTCGTCCGCCGACTCATCCTCATCGTCGCGCAATTCGACAACCGGTAGTGTCAGTGTCAACAGTAAGACCATAGGAACCGAAGTAATGGCCAGGAACCTGACAAACGCCGATTTGTTATCCCAGTCGAGCAAAGTCGGAAAATAGATCGGCTTGAGCGCCTTTAGCAAGTCTATGAACCTCTCGGTCTTCGTGGTTGGCATAGCGATAGTAGCGACATCAGTCGGAGTACTGACTCCACCTGGCGATGCGAGGGGGCCTGGGTTATGAATGTGGCCAAGGTGGTGGTTCGCTGGACTGTGGTGGTCCGGAAGGATCAGCGACTGACGAAGCAACGCTTGCTCAAAATGGGCATCAAATGTTCCCTCGTCCGAATCCATAGACAAAGGAGATGGAGAAAGTGCAGCCCTATCATCGGCTCCACGCGGTGACAAGTATCCATTCTGCGGAGTTGATGCGTAAGAATGAGGTGAAGCTGGCCTATACCCGTGGCTCATGGTTGTGTTGAATGACCGAGGCCTTGACGAAGTATGCTGACTTGACCTTGAGGACCTTGGCGACTTTGGACCATAATAACTTGGATCGTACGATGCAATACGTCCGCGGGATCCGGAGAGTGTCAGTGAACGAACAACGTCGTTAAACTATTGGAGAAAACGTTGGTTAATATATGACGAGAATAACTCTGTGCATAAATACTTATAGAGATGTGTCTGTGTACCTCCATTGCCGAGATCAGGGATGGTCTGCGTTTAAGCGAAAGCGTCCCTGGCGGCCGAAGGGATATCGAGTCTTGGGCACCTCCACTGTCATTGGAAAGATTAGGCCGAGGGATGTTAACATCACTACTCCCGTACGAATTAACAAGCGTCTGGTTGGGGTCATAAAGATCACTGGAAGACACTCGCTCCGAAGAAATGTACCCATCATCGTGTTCTTCATCCTCGTACGCATCGTACGGACCCGGAACTAGCTGGGTAACGATATTTGGAAGCTCTACAGGAAGGAAAAGTAAATAGATAATAATGAGGCCAGTGATCAGTATCAGCTATCGGTACCATTCAGTTCCTTCTAAGACGCTTTCCGCCAAACTGCAACATACTGGCTCCCGTCCTTGATCGTCCGCTTAAGAGGGCACGCTCTTCGTCAGGAACCCCTGGTTCATCCTCCTGAAGACCTTCATCGGCCTCATCATCCTCGTACATGTTTCGGGCGCGCTCCTCGAGTTCCCTCTCCAACTTGACACGCTGATGCCACCAGTTACCAACCACGACAAAGGAGACGTAGAAGACATAGTAGGCGACGAGTAACAGACTCTCGAGAAAGGTGATCTTCCCGTCAAGTACGGCGTAGAGCGTGAACAACACGCATCCTGCAAAGAACGACACGTCGCGTAAAAAGGGGGCCCGACTGACTTTGAAGGGCTTGATGATCGCCATAGACCCTACTACTACTGAGGTGATGAACGAGGCAGCACCTATTTATGACGGTTACCGAGAATAACGTCAGGATATTTGTACCATCAGGGGTTGTGCACCAAGTTATGATGGTAACACTAATTTGAATGCCAATTCTCTATGCAGGTCCCTACCGACAAGTTCACCGATGGCCAGCGACCCACTGCCTGCTCCTATAGCCGAGAATGTGCTGAAGACATCTGGGGAGCCGTTGCCAAATGCCAGGAATGTGACACCCGTCTGCATATTAATAAATGTGCACCAAGACAAGTAGATAAAAGATGAATGATCAGAATGCGCGTGCATGGCTGCGAGATGAGATGCGCTTATCAAGGTCAAAATTTGAACGGCACAACAAAAGACTTGCCATGCTTTCCGAGAGATGTAGCTGCTTTGCGATCGTGCTCAGATTAGGACCTGAAAATGTTGAAAAAAAAAGTTCGCTGTCAATGTTCTGCATTCCCGGGCTGTTTCTCAAGCAAAATAAGGGATCGATCTGAGGAGCACCTACAGAAGAAATCCGAGGCTGCCACACCCACGAAGCCGAACAGGAAGAACATCCAGACGCACTAAGCAGAACAGAAGTTGATCAGAGGTCGCGTTGTGAGCCAGCATAACCAACTTTGAAACAGGGCTACTCTGATAATACGGCTAGGCTGCGTGGTTTTTGTTTCAGTTCAAGTGGCCAAAAAAAAATAAAAAAAATAAAAAAAATGGAGTTTTGGAGGTTACCAGGACAACGACGGCCAACGCAGGGAGCTTGCCCAGGTCGCAGAAGTAAAAGTGTAAATAATTAATCAGCCCCGCTGGATAGTCGGCGCAGTATTGCTCGACAAACGCGCACCGATCCGCATGCGACCAAACATCTTCACACTAGAAGGAGAAATAGCAATAGTAGCAATAGTAATAAAAAGCACACATGCTTCAAGTCAATACCATACTTCACAGAGCCTCCGTTCAATAGGCTTGGTCTTGGCATTGGAGGATTAGAGCGAGCTATCGTACCTGGATGTCTGGCTCTAAGGACTCTAGGCTTCGTTTCGAGAGCCATGAGCTGGGGTAGGTTGTGCCCCTGGAGGCAAAGAGGTGCTGTTTTGGCCAAAGGACAGAAACAATTTGTGTGAACAAGAAGAGCGTGAGAAACAGATAGAAGGGCCTTGCTCCGATGGCCATGGTGCGGGGCGTTTGTTGTCGTGTCGAGGGCTAGATGCGTGTGCGTGTCTTTTTATCCCAGTATGTGTGCCAAGAGAAATGAGTTTGTGAGAGAGGAGAAGAGAGGAGAGGAGAAATGCAGACTAGGTCAGAATGTGATTGGCAGAACAGCCCTTTCTTGTGATGCGATCGTGTGTTGTTGGACTGGAATAGTCGGAAGGACGAGGGATGTTGATGAGGCAGAGTTGAATGGAGAGGGGCGGGCCAGCAGACAGCATATGAGGGTTCGAAATGGAACGCTGGGAACGCGATTTTCGTCTTTGAACTTTCTCGTTGGCCACAGCGTTTGGAGTGAAAGCCCGCTAAGGTTAAAACAGGGGCCCGGTAAACAAACATCGTCGATATGACATGGGATGGAAACATACAAATACGCTGAGGCAGAAGTTGTCAAGAAGGCTGTTGTGCTGCTGGTGTTGTTGTTTGTGGTCAAGGTGCCTCGCTTGTTTATATATTTCATAAAGACATCCCCATGGCACTCCCTTAGAAGGGGTTTAATTGGTTTCGCTGCCTTTTCTTATCTAGGGGTTCATGCTGGCCATCTTCTTGGCATGTTGGTTGCGTCGGTTGTGGTTCGCTTTCGACGACTTTTGGCGCTCATTCTTGGCCCGATCACGCATTGAGGGCGCGTCATTGTTGTTACCAGATGGAGTCCTGGGACCTTGCTGCGATGAAGAATGATCCTGCGAGGGCGTCTGCGATAGTTTTGAGGGTTGAGGTGAAGGTGCAGACTCCCTAGACTGAGGCTGTGCACGGGGTTTCGGAGGCTGTGTCTTCTTTTGCTGCTGTGGCGATTTAGGTCCATGCTGTTGCTGCTGCTGTTGTTGTTGCTGTTGCTGTTGCTGTTGTTGAGGTTTGCCTTGACCAGTATTCTTATCCACAAAGGGCATCCTGCCGCCACGGCGCTTGTCAATCGGTTCTGCCTGCGCAATCATTGTCTGCCGTCCGCTGAACTCATACTTCTGGGCAATCTCAGCCTTCCGTGGCTAGTGTAGCACGAACAGGAACAACGTCGTCTATTAATTCGGGACGTATCAGGGGCACAAATACCAGGCGGTAAAAACAGAATCCTTATCACACTTACGTTACGACCAAACATGACAGCCCAGCCCTCGAGCTGTTCGTCGCTCATTTTGGTCAGGTTACGAAGGTCCTGCCTCTGCTTGGACCGTCGCGCCTCTCTGCTTCGGTTGAATACATCCTTATTACTTGTATACATATTGATGAGTACTTCTTCGTGCTCAATCGAGGGATCAATCTATCATGCCCATGCCGCGTGCGCAGAACGTAGTATTACACAGCATTAGCAAAATGAACCATGCTCAAAATCTGGTATCTAATTCCACGTTGTAAAAAAAAAAAAAAAAGGTAAACCCCCATCCCCCCGCGCATCGTCTTACCGTCTGAGCAGGTGTACCGGTATTCTTGGCACTTGTATCAGTAAAGGACTCAATTTCCTCCACAGATCTAAAGTCAGCCCCAACAGTGTTCACGCCCATCGAATCGTATGTGTCATCGTACTCGTCGTCATACATCGACTCCACGGCCTGCAAAATTGAGCTCTTGTGCTGAGTAACGAACGTCTTGTCATCCAACACAACCTCTACATCCGCGGGTCTAAACATAGTTGAAAGCAAAACCAAACAAGACAAAAAAAGTCAGAAATGTACATCTGGAGATATCAACCACAACCTTGCAAAGCAAATTCCTAACATACCCTTTCTTTCCGCGCGAAACCTTGGACTTGTCCACAACTTTTCCTGAGAACACGTCGAATTCATCGCCATCAAAGATGTTTCTGCGACTTGAGAGAAGGTCTTGCTCCTCTTGTTCCACGGAAGGCGAGACCCTGACCAGTTCCATTGAAGTTGGATCGGATTGTGGGCGCTGGAACATAGATCTAAAGAGATAAAATATCATGGTTCGTCAGTCTGATCTGTGAACCATTCAACAGGAAAAGAGCTCCACAATGGAGAGGCGAGATATACCTAGCAGTTGACCTATCCATCATAGCAAGATCGCTGGGTAGGTCTTCTTCCAAGAGTCGCATGGTCACAACCTCTGGATCGTCCTTAAAGGTGATAAGACATGCCTCCAAAAAGCCGTCGCCCAGGTCTGGGAATAGGTCCTGTAACTGAGAAATGAGCATTGTCCGCCTGATATAGGCCTTTTCCTGATCGACAAACATGGATGGTAATGGGACGCGTGGCTGATTATTGTTAGATGTGATGGTTGAGTTGGATCGGTCGTGGTCTTGGTTGATGTAGAGGTGGGACATTTCCCGAGCCAGATTTTCGGATTTGCGCATGTTATGCTCGTAGATGTAGGTTCGAGTCGCATCATTGAACTCCCGAAGGTCGCTCAGAACGACCACCCAATGATTGAGTCGATCGTTCTCGCCCTGGAATGTCTCTTTGTTGATAGTCGACAGCTTTTCCGATATGCTGAACTGAATTTCGAGGTCCAAGATCATGGTGGCATCGAACATGGGAACCATGTGGTCCTGCAACGGTGACTGTTCATACAGGTTCACGATAACCTCGCAAAGGTTGTCCGTGAGTGCCGCAGCTGCGTTCCCGTCCAAATGACCGTTCGCAGTTACTGCAAGAAGTTGTTTATGAATGCCCTCCAAAATGTTGTTAACGATCGATAGAATCCTCAGACGCAAGAATGTTAAAGCCGGCCGAACGTTGATGTCTCCAATTGATTGGTTTTCGATCAGGACCTTACTAAGGATCGGAAGGGTATAGTTGTAGCACCCCATTAAACACTCCAGAAACGTAGGATGCTGATTCAGCTCCATCGCCAGCAATGGATGCGCGGCAGAGACGGCATCGAGGGCGAAAGCAATGTCAGAGAGGGCGCTGGTGTATTGCATGGTCTCTGTCATCCTTTCTAGGTCCAGTACGGGAGCATGGGGCTCAGGCGAGATCGCCGGGGAGACGCCCTTGCCCTTACCCTTACCCTTTCCTGCACCGCCATTGACGCCCTTTTCGAAACGTTTTTGAACTCTGTGGATGATTTGAACCACGGTGTTTGTTGAGGTCCTGAAATCGTTGATGAGACTTGGGGTATGTTCCAGAATGGAGCCCACCATCTTGGAAACACCCTCCGGATCAGATCGACCATAGATTCCAGCGAGATCCATTAGCACAGAGGTTGAGACGAGGCCGCAGTCTAGCAAAGCAGAACCTGGGTCATTAAGACTCTGGTCTGCAAATGTCTCACCCGATACAGCCATGGCGTCCAGTCCAGACATAGTCTCTGATATCCTGCGGTAGATCATGAAGACCCTTCGCACGACCTCTTCCAGTTCCATGATCCAGAGATCGCCTTTGTTGCCACGGAAGCTTGCGTATTCGCCAAGGAAAGCGTTCAAAAATCCTGCGAGGCTAGGGTTTCGCAGTAGCTCTGCCCAGAAGGCCTTGTTGTTCAGCTTGAGGATCTTGCTCAGGGTCTCGTTCCAGTCGTCGACCGCGACCGAAAAGTCGGTCTCGGTCAAGGAGGGATCTGCCAGTGGACTCACGAATGGCAGAATGTCAGTGACGGGAGTCATGGTGCAGGTGGTGTAGATTAGGATTAAGTCGTGATTAGGAGTGGTGCAACAGGAAAAGAAAGATGGTGGAAAAGCAAAAAAAGCAAAGATGTAGTATACTGCTGGAGTGGGCCCGTTGGAGTTTTTTCTGCTCCTTCAAAGGTCCAACCGCGGACGTGCCACAGAAACCGCAGTTTTCTGTACGGTGGCTTGTCCTGTCTCCTCCCATGGCTTGAATGGTGCACCAAGATACACTTCCAATCGCACAACGAACCACTCTGTCATCGCCATCACAAGAACAGCCAGCATGGGAGATTCGACTGCACAGCAAACCGACACAGGACTCAATGCGGGCAGCATGACGGTAGCGGGCAGCACTGCCAAAAAGCCCACAGCAACGCTGGGTCGTCCACCTGGCTCAACAAACGAACCACGCAACAAGAGAAAGAAATATGTCTTTGGCAAAGAGTGTAAGGGAAAGACGAATAACTCTTTGCAATCGTATTCATTGCTACCGGGCAGTGGACTGGCGTGCAGCAACAGTCTCTAACTTGGCGACGTTCTGTTCTTTGCACATGTAGTGAAGCAGCTCATGTATGGATTTGGCGACGTACCCAACCCTGCGAACGACGCTGTCGGAGTCCTCGAGGACATGCTGATCGAGTACCTGACAGACACCGTAAGCGTCTTATGTATATATTTAGGGGTTTCCTGGATGCTGCTGCGAGAGATTGCTAATCTATGATTTGTGTCTTCTGGTATATCTGCAGTGTACTCAAGCAGCCGCAGTTGCTGATAAGCGCGGGAAGGTCAATGTCGAGGATTTCAAATTTGTTTTGCGAAAAGATGCAAAGAAGCGGGCCCGTGTCGACGAGCTGTTGTACATGAACGAGGATATTCGACGCGCCAAAAAGATTGCAGACATTCCAGAACTCGACAACACGAAAGGCGGCGCCAAGGATGCTCCGATATAAATGCTTTTTTGAGGGCCCTCGAGGGCTTTCGTTAACATTTAACAGGAGCGTATTCGCGCGCAGCAATTTCAATGTATCATAGTCTATCAGCATGTACTTTTATTAATAAAATATATATAGTTTGGAAAAAAAAAAATCGCTTCACCGACGATTGCTGAAGACCCACGCGGCATTCACTACCGAGACGATGACAACAGTGTTCCGGGTAACCTCGATCGGAAGGCTCTTGTATGTCGCCTGTACTGTTCTAGCAGTCTTGCCATTCGGAACCCAGACGTGCAGGATCTGCTTGAAGAAGCGCTCGTCGATCACGTTCCGGGTCGAGGCCAAGATACCCGAGAGCTTCTTCCAGAGCAACTTTCGGCAATCTGCCTTGCGATACGCACCCTTGAAGGCGAATGCTCGCGTCACAGAGACACCGACGTGCACCCGCGGAGGCAGGTTCTGCAGGGTGATTGAGTAGTCCGTGATAGGTTGGTACGCAAACAGGTATTGGATCTCCATCTCCGTCTTGGCAAGTTTGGCGCCTAGGCAGCGGTTGAGCATTTCACAGGACAGGACCTCGGATAGGAGCGAGCTGCCGCCAGCGTTAGGTGTGTTAAGCATACGGATCGCATCTGCAGACCAGTCCATATCGTCAAAGCGCGTTCGTCTCGGGATACTGGTGTTGATGATCACGCAGGCAGGACAAGATCGTGTCCATAGACCGGACGCCAGCTGGTTGATGGCCAAAGGCGAGATATAGAAGGTCATGGTCGCGGCATCGTCGAACACCCGAGGCTTCCTTCCAAACTCGACCAAGAGCTCGCCATCACTCATGTAGTCCACAGAGGATGCGAACGAGACGCTGTCGCTGTCATAATCACAATCACTGTCGCTTCTCTCGCTGGCAGAGAAATCGTCATAACCTACACCACTGTTGGCCCACATCCTCCTCAAGAGAACGGCGTCCTCATCCTCGGAATTACCGTCGTACTGGCACATATCCATTGTCTCTACATGCGGGTATACATTCGTGCAGTTGTAAGTAGAATCTTTCCGGAGCTGATTCTTCTTAGATGGTACACGCCGCGATACCCGGGTCCGACGTATCAAGTTGTTCATTATAGGATTGCTGTTTATGGCAGAAGTAGAACGACTTGTTTCCCTTTTCCTTAGACTGTGGAAGCTCCTGAGAGAGAAGGCTTGATGGGGTAAGATCAAGAGCTGAAGCGGATGCTCCACAGCCCCCAAAGCCGCAGTGAGAGAAGCCATTGTTACGAGCGGGGGCAGAATGCTTATCCTGCGGCGACTGGTAATTAGTATCCAAAGTGCATACTGAGGACTTGGACGGCATGTCGTTGGAGTGTGAAAGTGTCTCGGCTTGGTGGACGTTAGCTAGGACCGAGAAGGCGGTTGTGTGTGGATTGGCGGCAAAGATCATGTTGGCAAAGGACGAGACCAAGGAGTTTTGTACACGCGTGGCTGCATTCCTGGAGCTGGTGGAAGTCGTTGTGTTTGCTGTAGCCATGTTTGTGCTTTGTGCTTGAGTTATTATTCTGAGCTTGTGTTCGGGATAGGTTGTATAGTTTGAGGATAAAAACAAAGGATTAGTTCAATGTATTTATACGAACACGACACTGGATCGAGCATCCTGTTGAAGAGTCAAAGGGAGTCAAAATTTTACTGCGGCAAGTCAATTAGCAAAACTGCGGTGAGAGCGACATGAGCAAGGGCAGCAAAGCGCGTTTGCATTACCTGGTGAGGGTCGCGTTTCTCATCATCGCAGCACTCTTTGCATCACCATTTTCCCTCCTGTGTCGAATTGCATTATTCTCGCTCTCTTTTATCATTCCATAGCTACTTCTTGCACGGCTGTTCTCTCTGTCTTATCCTCCTCACTTTTTACTATCTGATTCCTCTTGCTTGTTCCTCTCCTTTGATCTGTCCATTGCTCTTCTCCCTTGCTTGCCTTTCTTTGATCACTGTACTTCTTGTCTGTTGCCACTACATCTCCAATGATTGCTTGAGAGATGAGGCACAGCAGAATATCTGGAGCACACCCGGTCGTCTAGTTCCCTGGCACTCGCTGGGACGCTCAGATAACGAGGGCCAGGTGTGTGTGGTGGGTTGGGGCTGGGGCTGGGAATGGATGATGGCGTGGCTGAGTTGCGGCAGAAGTGGAGTGCTGCATGGATGGCGTTCGTCTAGGCTTGCTCGGCTGCAGGGTCCATGCAAGTTCAGAGCGTCTGTTTCAGACTGAGGTCTGGACGCGCATTTCCAATTGGTGGATGCGATGGGGGACGCGTCGCGTCGCGTTTCAAATGAGTCCATACAAATTGAACACTCGAGACTAGAAGGGGAGATGGAGATTGACACGGCTGGCATGTTTGCCACCAACTACTGCAGCTTTCGCTCGTCCTCTCTCGTGCATGCAAACCATGAAAATCATGACTGTAATAATAATAATAATAATAATAATAATAATAATACTAATAATAAGAAGAATACTAATAAAATAGGAATAATAATAATAGTAATAATAGTAATAGCAAGAATAAGTCTAATAATTAGAATAAGAATAAGAAAGAGAGCGAGACAAGGCGAGACGAGAGGAGGAAGAGGGAGAGGGGTTTTTTGCTCGAGTATCATCCTCTCTCGTCACCATCGCCATCGCCAGGACCATCTTCCAGGAACCACCACTCTCTCGCACTGCACACTGGTGCCCACTGCCAACAGTCCATCATCGTCATCATCGTCATCGTCATCCTCATCACCACCATCCTCATCCTCATCTTCATCCTCCATATTCTCCTCGCCATCCTCACCGCTCCTTTCCCCACTCAGCCGACTCGGTCTCTTGAGTAGCCCTCGTCGCTGTAGTCGTCGTCGCCGTCGTATTCGTCGCCGTCCAACCCGCCCCTCCTGCCCCGCCCGCGCCTCCCTCTCTGCCTCCCCTGCAGCAGCGCGAAGTACAGCCCAGCCTGGGTTTTCCAATTCCCATTTCCAGTTTTTATATTTTCCGTTCTACTCTCTCCTCCCCCCCTTTCGTGCTCCCACCCCCCGCCCTCTCTCTATTTATTGATTTCCCCTCTCCCTCTTCCCTCCCGCTCTCCCAGATACCGATCGATTATAAAAACACGCCACGCCATGAACTTCTTCAGGACCAAAAAGAAGCTAGACGACCTGCCTGCCCACCCTCCCCCTGCTTCCTCCGCCCCACCCTCCGCCGCCACTCAGCGAACCGTCCAGCGTGGTTCTTCCGTCAACGGTATCACCATCCCCCCCCGCACCAACTCTGCTGGAGCAACCCCTGCCCCAAACCCCAACCCTGCCCAACCCCCACCCCAGGCACAGGCTCAGGGCCAGAACCAAGGCAGTAGTCCTCGGGCGAACAATCCAGAGCAGCAGCAGCAGCAGCAGTATCAGCAACAGCAACTCCAATATCAGCAGCAACAACAACGCGATTCAGATTCAATCTCCCTCAACTCATCCGTCATTCCACAGCAGCAACAACAGCAACAACAACAGCAACAACAACCGCAACAACAACCGCAACAACAGCAACAGCAACAGCAACCGCAGCAGCAACAGCAACAGATGCAGCACCAGCAACAACTCCAGTCGATGCAGTTGCAACCAGGCTCCTATGGCAGTGACTCCCTGCTCACCTCCCAGGTCATTCAATACCCATCATACCAGGACCAATCAACGCACTCTAGCAGTGTCTCGGGGATGGAGGGTGGCTATGCTGGCGGAGCCTCTGATGATCAACACCTCGGTCGCCAACAGCACTCCGAGAATATGGCTGGCAACCATGGTCAACCAGATGGCTACTATCAGCAGCAGTCTGGTGGCACTAGTGGAGGAATGAATAGCGGCCCCATCCAGTTGCAAGGCCAGGCCCTCGGAAACGGTAGCATGAACGGCGCGCCCAATGGCATCGACAACACCAACAGCGGTAGTCTAGGCACTGGCAGTCTCGGCAATAGCACTGGAGAACTGTCGACAGATGTCCGCAAACTACAGGATGAGATCCTGAGCTGGAAGAGGTCCCAAGAGTCGTCCCAGGCCAAGGTGAACCAGCTTCGTCAAACCTTGACCCAAAAGTCACAGGAGAACAGAGAACTGCACGCCAGTCTGACCCAGGTGACTCAGGATCGATTGATGCTTCAGGAGCTGGTCCACAAGCGTGAAAAGGAAATGGACGATCTGCGCTCAAAGTACTTGAATGACGTTCGCCAGATCCGCGCAACAGACGACGACCATTCCACGATCGAGCAGCGGGTGCGCATGCTCCAGGCCGCCATCTTGCAGCTCACAAAGTCCTCCTCCGGCGACAGGGCAGTAAACCTGAACACGGAAGAGGCCCAGGCGTTGGTCAAGAAGAAGTACAAGTTCGGCAATACGCAGCCCTACATTCTCAACATGTTCTTGGAGAAATACATCATGGATACGCTGCTCGAGGAGGTCTTCCACGGCCCCTTCTACGTCGGCTTTACCCTGGCCAAGGAATACGGAGAGATTCACAAGTGGATGGTCGATAACAACTTTGGTGATCAGGCTGTTCGCTTCCGCCAACAACTTTGCTTCATGTCCGCCAAAGCACCCGTTGCACAAGCACATGCAGCTCAGGAGGCCATCCGGATCGCAAAGGCATTCGAAATCAAATTGGAGCGTCTTTACAACAACTGGGCAGGTCATCAGAAGGTAACATGTCGCTCTTCATTGTGCATAAGCCGCCTTGATTTCCTGACTTTGCATATCACATCGTGAACTTGCACGACTGACGACCGACCTTGTTCTTTGTGCTATCATTCTTCGTTTAGGTGCTGGATCTGGTAACCAAAGCTATCGAGCTCAGCTTAACGATGAGGAGCCAGAATGCCGAGATCAAGGCCGAGGTCATTCCAAGCGAGAGCGAGTTTGATGCAGAGAAGATGGTTCCAGCACACAAGAGCAAGGAGGGCGGCAAGGTCAAAGTGTGTGTCATGCCATGCTTTATCGATACGAACGGTGTAGTCGTAGGCAGGGCCAAGGTCTTTTGTGGTTAATACCGCTCAACCGCAAAGCAAAAGCATGTTTACAATCCCTTCCTTCATGGTCGCCATAATACCAGGACACTTCTGCCCACCCTCATTCCAAAAAAAAAGAAACAAAAACAAAACGAATCCCCTTTGTTATTATCCAGGAACATCAACAACACCATAATAAATATACATCTCGTGTACATGTACTCTTTGTTCCTCGGAAAAAAAAGAAGTGAACTGCATCTGACAGCACGATATGAATTTCTATTGATTTTGCGACTTGCATGGCCACTGTTCTCAAAAGATGTCTTTGGATCCATGTACGATAAGTCACTCATCTCCACGGATGCCATGATGCACCTATTTTACGCAAGCATAAACTACCTTGTATTTCAACAAAAGTGAAACAATTTGAAATAAATATCAACTTATATGGCTATCTCTGTTAGTTAAAAAAACGGCCTTCAACGTACTTCCCCGTCGCTGATAACATGCAGCGCTCAAAGACAACTGCGATCGTATCGAGTTGGAAACCAGTGTCAGTGAAGACAGCTCCCCAAAGACCCAAAGACAGCTATCTAACATGTTGCCAAAGTCCCCAGAGAAGGGGGGAGGGGAGAAGGTAATTGGGCTTTTGAGATGCAGGATAAGCGACTTTACTTTTAGCAGGCTTTCGAACCATATGCCGATTCTGTCCATTGCATCGATCGTGCCCGCAATGTGCTTCCTTCAACCATCGATATAATCGATATGTCAATGGATACGCGACACATCATCTTCAGGGCAGCTGTTTTAGCCACAGGTGCTTTTTTTAACTCCTCTGCACACGCGCCCCTTTGTTATCGAGGGCACCGTGTCTGAATATCAAAGGTTAAAAGAAGCCAGAATACAATCGGCTTGAGAAAACACGACTCCGACAGCCTTGACTATATGGTGTAGGCCGACTCAGGGTTGGGAGGCGCCATGCAGAGGGAGCGTGGCTACCGTATCCCAGCTGTGCTCTTGAGTGGTTGCATACGACCGGGTATGACTACAAACGGCTTCATGGACTCGGACTTGTCATGGTATTGCAAAAAAAGAGGATATATGTATTCGATGAAGCTGCCAACCTTGGATTCCTCAAGTTAGTTATAATGAAATATAAAGCAGGTATTATCCCTTTACCTGGTAATATGGTCGAGAGGCAGGCGTCATATCGCTTTGGTGTCAAACAAGGCAATAATACCATGCGACTGCTACTCCATCTTAGAGAGTGGGCCTTGGCGCTTTGTAGACTCGAGCGTATCCAGTGCTTGAATAGCACTTGCACACTCGGTTTTGGGACGTTCAAGCAGGGCCCCCCTAGATGAGTCGATGCGGCTCTAGAAGCATCGTTAGTTAACATCAGTGTGGATTGTTAGGTAAACGTCAATCAAACATGCACTGCGTCTTTTTTTTTTTCCTTAATAAAAGTGAAGTATAAAACTGACAATAAGTCTGTGTTGGTCTACCAGAGCCAGCCGAGCCTATGTGTAAAACGCTTTAATGTCGGTGGCATCAGGAACCGCGGATACACTGGTGGAGCTCATGTCCTTTGGGAGCTGCGATTTCACCTATGTGTTGTGCAGGGAACACACGTTGTCTACAGCTGAACGGATGGTGCTTTGCTAACGAAGAACCCCAATGCGGGAGTGAAATAAATAAGTTATAATGCATGACTCTAGCTCTGAGATCGCGCATGACGGAAACAACGGTGTTCTAAACTACCTGATGACTGGCGATCTTGCGGATGCTCTCGACAGTATGCTGCAGAATAGGTGTAGCGGTGGAAATACCGCTGCTTCAATGGCTTAGTCTTTCCAATGGATGCGTGTGTAAGTGGGTTCGTTGTGTCTGACATGCTATGGATGATATGGAAGAGTACGAAAAAAAAAATAGCTGTGTGCACAAATAGTAGTAATATAATAGGAACGAGAGATTGAATTACGACGAGGACAAAAGTCGATAGCGATGTGATAGTATCAGCGGATAAAAGAGAGAAAGTAAGAGAGGAGAGTAGAGCCGCAAATGAGAGAGATAAAAAGAAGGAATGCGAGAAGGAGTGAGAGAAGGAGCGAGAGAATAGGAATGAGGAAAAGAAAGTGTGACAAATGAGGGAGACCCAGGTTTCCTTATTATTATTATTATTATTTGCTTGGCCACGTGAGTGGTGTCTATCGAGCGACCCATGTCCATCTACACTAGAAGTGCCCATCCACCAGGGGCCATAGCCCTGAAAAGGCGGTCTGTAGATGCAAGCTGGCGCGCCCATGCATTGCCGCCTGAATTTTCATTTGCGTAACACTGACAGCGCGTAGTCTTGGGCGCAGCGCGCGAGCCACCAGTCCCGTTATTCAAACACAGACGCGTTCTTTTGATAATCACGGATTGTCCCCGAGTCAGAGATGCCACAGTTCCTTAACTTCTCCTTGCTTTCCGCGAATTGGCCTCCAATCTTACGTTGCTTCCTCTCATACCTTTATTCCTTGTCAGGATGCGAACCATTTGGAACTAATGGATACACTGCAGATTTGCTTCGAGTCCTTGAACATCTCATCCACAAAGTCGAATGATCTACTATAGCTCTTCGTTTCCACAGAAGCGGAGCCGACCCACAGAACTGGCCAGCGATGATGGCAAAAGTTGATATTTTATTTTTTATATAATATATCTCTTAAGTCGATCAACCTTGCGGACCTATCGGACCTTACTGGCAAAATCTGCTGCAGTTATCCATTTCACCGAAACAGACTCGACCCACAGTCGTCAGACGACAAGTTGCATCCCTCAGGCCTGCCACTAGGGCATGCACAGCAGTTTCCACACCTCGTCAGTGTGCTTAGAGCGAAGCAGAGCTCAAAAAAGTTTTATTTTTAAAACTATTTGTCTCTCGAAGTAAAGCGCAAAAAAAACGGTATAGTTGGAAATATATGTCAGGGGTATAACGCGCTCGATTTTTTTCTTCTACTTTACTGCACTCGTAACTGCTTCATATTCACCTCAAGCAAGCGAAGAAACATCCGCCGAGTCGACCGACTTTGCTGACTGTACAGCGGGAGAATCTGTAGTGAGGTTGGTATCCAATGTGTCGTGGTTTGATGGTAGCTTGAGTTTAGATGCCACGGACGCCATGCTGATAAGCTTCTTGCCTGCCTCGCGGAAACTCGAAGGTAGAATCGGCTCGCCCACAGCGCCACGCTGCTCTAATAGTCGCATATTTATCCTGCTCAGGCCCTGCACGTTTTGGATAGAGGTGTTCGACACAACAAGTGCGTCGTGCATCGAACTCCAATGCAGACGCACCTGAAAGTGATTTTCCTCTTCTGTGACTTGCCACATGCGAACAGACGTATCTTCACAACCGGTTACGAAATAAGTACTGTTGGGGATCGTGTTCCATGCGATGCTTGTGAATGAACCTTCGATAAATGCCAAACATTGACCGGATTTCACATCCCACAGCCGCACCGTCTTGTCATGGCTGCAGGAGGCAATCTGATGGCCGCTAGGCGAATACGCCACGATATTAACATCGTCGGTATGGCCGCTTGAGATGAAACCGGGTGTGCCGGTTTGCGCGTCCCACAGTCGCACCGTCTTGTCGTCACTGCAGGAGGCAATCTGATGACCACTGGGTGAATACACCATGCCCCTGACAACGTCAGTATGGCCGCTTAAAGTGTGGGTTTTTGTCCAAGTCGTGGTGTCATACACGCTGATCATACCGTCCTTGACGCCCGCGGCACAGGTCTTCCCGTCCGGTGAATGCACGCAGGAAAGCACAGATGCATCTTCTATGAGATATGACCATTCGCCAAATTGTAAGCTTGCCATCCGCGCGTTGCTCAAATTGGCCTGACGTAACCAAATACGGCGAAGATTGGCCTTTCTCAAGTCCGCCCCTGGAATCCAGATACCCTTCAAATCCGCCCCGTTAAACCGTATCCCGGCTCTGACCAGTATCGTGATCGCATTCGCCGCTGCCTTACGCACCTCTTTATCGGTTTTCGAGCGTTCAATCATCGCGAGCAGTTGTTGCTTGAAGACAGGTTCCTGGTGGACACGCTCCGCTAAAAACTGCAGAATAGATGGCTCGCTCACGAAGTCTCTCCACGTCAATGGATGGTCAACTAGAGACTGCTGAATGCCGATGGATTCTTCCTCAGCCGCCGCTCGGTCTTCAAAGCTGAACATAGAACTGGCACTTCCACGACGAGCCGGAGTAGGTATCTGATCTAGGATCTTCTTGGCCTCTTGCGGTTCAAATACTGCACGAGTAAAGCAATATTCCAACAGCGATCAATGGATAAACCGGTACTGATTGCCGTTGCGGATCAGAGGACAGGCTTCCAGCAGGAGCTGGTTCTCGTCATCTCGGTTGAAAAACTCTCCTTTCCATGTCTCTTGATCTTGTTTATGTGAATACTCCACCGCGGGGTTTCCTGCCTGATGCCTGTAGATCGCCGCCGCCAAACCCTTCAGAAACGTGACACCATTCTTCGTAAAGCCTTCATCCGCTAGCCTCTCGAAGGCTTTCTTCTCTTGGCGGCTCAGGTCCTTCTTGCCAAAAAGCCGTTTTTTGCCACATTCCAGCCACAACTCCACGAACTGGTCATACAGAGCAACTCGAGTGACCATGGCAGTCGAGAGCATTTGTCCTGGATCCACCAAACGCGGCAATACCTCCAAGGACAGTGTCAGAAGGAACGGATTCTTCACTAGATCCACCAAATTGGGAATCTTGCCAAGTGCTTCCAGGTAGTCCTTGGTCTGCCAGAGTGGTCTGTTTGCGAACACGTATTGCTTGATGTAGTCGTGGATCTGGGTGGCAGAAAACGGCGCAATGACTGCCTCCTGAAAGAGCATTGATGGGCCGCTGTAGTTCCGATGTATCGGTTGAAAGTGATCCCTGTAGTCTTTAGGAAGGTACTCGGTACGGCAACTGATCACCATCTGCGTACGCCATCGTCCTTGATTCAGCCGGTTACTTGTATACAGGTTGTGCATTTGCTGACTCTCGTCATACCCATCGCAGATCAAGATAAACCCGCGATGGTCTTTCATCTCTCGGATCTGGGGCTCTGTAAAGTCGTTCCTGCGCAAGTGTTTGGCGATCAGATCCTGTTCCGGTTTATCGACCGCAGGCAAGTTGATATGCAACGGAATTCGGCTATCTCTTTTCCTGTAGCTGCTCCATATGACACATTCGAGTTTCCGGTTAAAGGTCGACTTGCCTGCTCCAGAGTCACCCAGCAGCAAGAACACCTGTCGATCACTGCTCAGAAACTCGTTGACTTTCTCCATCAATGGGAACAACGCATCGTCAAGCGCTTGGAGATTAGCCTTGGCTTGAGGAGGAATATAGACAGCCTTGCCTCTTGTCTTCAGCCGTCTGGCTCTCAGCAGACGCAGGTCGTATTCAACGTCGGGTATATCCTGGACACGATCGAGCGAAGATGGAGACGGCAGTGGCGGAGAGAATGCCTTCAGTGGATATGGGCTTAGACCTCCGCTCATACATGTCCGATAAAGAACCTGTTTCTTTGCGTGGCCATTCTTTCGCAACTCCCGTAGTAAGGTGTGGGCGTGCGTCTTTATGGCGCTGTCTAGCAATTCGGTTAGCTGGATAAGGATCGTGAGAATCCATTGCTTGACGCTGGCATGCTCGCTCCAATCCGTGTCATTCTTGTACAGCTCGCCTAGAAAATTGACAGCACTTTGGCGGGTGCTGGCATCCCAGAGCTGGTTGGTTGCAATCTCCCCGAGGCGCTGGCATAGTCCCCACTCAAAAGCAGGATCGCGGAGACAAGGCGCTTCGCAGATCAACGTCTTGAAGTCGGCGAGTCGACCTTCTCGAAGTAAGGTATCTATACCGCGTAATGCTGGATACCATGTACATCTTTGGCTGAAGCTGAGAGCCTCCTTTAGACTTTGCTCCGCTCTCGACCAGTGAGCTTACTCCTCCGTAGCCGATTTTGGCAATCTGGTACACTTCCCCTAATCCTCCCTGAAGTTGCCCCAGTCCATCAATGAAGCCGTTCAGATCCAGACCCTTGAATGCACTCACTAGCCCTGAAATGCCATTCGCCACTACGCGTGTGCGCCGTAGAGCAGCTTGCATGGGTGTTTCATCATCTGGGACGTACTGCAAAGCTTGATAGGCGTAGGCTACTTGATACACCAAATAAGGCTCTGAGCTACCCTTTAATCCATCCAAATAAGCGACAGGAGGCGTATGCAGTTGTTCTCGGTCCAGGTCCTTGACATGGCTATCGGCCATCGCGTCCAAAACGTGCGATACTGTCAGCGACAGTTGATAAAGATGCTCAGCCGATTGCTGATGGGTGCCCTGTAAGCGCGTGCTGAGGACTCCTAGAATCTTGACCAAATCATCGGCATGAAGGTAGCCTGGGGAAGCGCTTTGTATCATCTGTGCCAGCCCTTCCAGTAAATTGAAATCCAGTAAGGTGGATTGCCCAATACCATCGATAAAACTACCGAGCAGCTTCCGATACTGCACTTGATCGAGAACAGGCGCCAGGAACACAACTTCAGTCACAGTGGCGGGCGCCTTGAGTTCGTCGTCGATGAATGCCGCGATCAACTTTGTCGCCAGCAAGCGTAGTCGTTCCTGCTCATCTGTATCCTCCGCTTTGGCTTGTATCCAGGCGCGTTGGGATTGTTAAGCACCTCATCGATCTCTACGGCAGACGCCGATGACGACGACGAGGCCTTGGACAGTAGGCTGAGGCAGTACACAAGCTGTGGAGTACTGGCAATGCGCTCATCCGATTTTGGTAAATCATACTTGGCAACAGGCTTTGCCACATTCTGAAGAAATATCCCTGAAGGAATCTGTGCAATGCCACGGTGATGAGGGCCACTCGAACCTGGGGGAGATGAGAGGCGAGGCGTGGCTGAAAGAGAGATAGGGGAAACTAGCGTGCGATGGATGGAGCTGGTCTTGTTGTTGCCGGGCCGAGAAGAGTCGAGTGATCGTTGGTTAATGTCCTGGATATGTCCCCATTTTGCTGCCTTCTTGTAGCTGGTTTGTGCCATTTCGCTATGCCCCAAGTTGTTCAGCAGTTTCCCGTGCTCGAGATAAGCACTGGCGATTCCATCACGCAAGGTTTGATCCACGCCCGACTGTGGAGAGGCAAGAGTCTTTTTTGTGGCTCTTTTCATCCGAGATAACGCAGCTTCCGCATCGCTGCAAAACTGTAGGGAAATTCCTGTATCATTGGTGTTGCGCGCAATTTCCAATAAGATATTAGCGACCTCCAGCTCCTTTTGTGGCGAGAGAGTGCTTCCTAATGACGAAAAAGTACTACTAAACATGTCAAATTCCCCCTGGTGTTATAGAGTAGATGATGGTAATGTTAGTGACCTTGACTTCAATTAATATTGTTATGCGGGCACCCGGTGTACGCACCCAGACTGGCGGACACTGCAGCACAGCAACTGGCACGAAATGGGACACAGTGGGCTGGGCCACTTATGAGACATCCATGCAGCTGCTATGGATATTAATTGATTTGTTTGAGGATAGACCGGCCTACTGCCATCACATTTACAATCCCGCACTTTTGTACATCTGATGACGCCCTACCTCGGAAGCGTTTATTGTTTTTTTGACTTGTTTCCTTGGTTTTGAGCAGAAGTCGTCCGAGTCTACTCCTCTTCGTGTCTTTAGGTAGCAATACTAGATGCCTATCGACAAACAAAGCGAATTAATAACTATTACACATGCCTATGGATTACTATCGAGTGACAAGAAACGGTGCCTCACCTCAGCACGAACCTGTTTCTGGATTTCTTTCACTGGCTGAGGAGATGGCCCGTCCTTGTGTAGTGTTCTCTACTTCAATTCTTTGTTCAAGACTATCCGCGCACGAATAAGGTGGTCGAGTGGAGTGATATCCGCTTCCTCTCGTCACTTCTAGCAAAGATTCCTGTGATCATGAAAGAAGGGATTATTATCCATTGCACGTTCATGGTTGTCCTTTCGGTTTTCGCGCACCCTTATCCCAGCTGTTCTAGCATTAGCATTCTTGGATCGACTATAATGGTTCAGGCACAGGCAGGAAAGGGGCCTCCGCAGATAAACAGTGTTCTCGTTACCGACAAATCGCCGCCGGACTGTGCTTATTGAACTCGAACAGGGGCGTACGAGAGACAGAGAAGAGAGAGGAAAGATGAGAAAGAGAAAAGACAGTTCCTGATGGATTGAGGAAGAGTGTAGCTGGGAAGAAAGGAAAACGGGAAAGAGCGGAAAGGGAGGAAAAGAGTACGCAGACACAAAGAACGAGCGCTTCGGGACACATCCATCGTTGTTGTATTAGCTAAACAGACTCATGCTTTCAAGCTCCATGGTTCCCTCGCCCTCGTGTAGCGTGTAATGGGCTCTCATCGAATGAGAGGCAAGGTAGGCCATGAATGTGCCCTGTTTAGAATTGAGGATGCAAAGGGACTCAGGAACACTGTGAAAATTTCAGTACTCTGTCGGGCTTAACAAACGTTAACTACCTCGGTCTCAAATTACTATATAATAAGAGTCCTATTTGAGTTGATGTAACAAGCGATCGATGGATGCGACAGGAAAGAAAAAAAAAAAAAGCGACGCCAAACGAACGTTTTGAAGATATACGGCGCGTTTGAGTGCGGAAAAGTATATGGTTCTGCTTGAAGATGTGTAGATTTTAACGGCGACTAAGTCAACGTTGATTTGATCCGCATTTATTTCTTTAATGAATATTACACAACTGCATTTCGGTATATCACGAATCCGCGCTTCTATCCTCGCTTGGCAATCTTTTGCAGCGTCTGCGTATTTTGGGTCACGGATACATGGACATTTTCGGTCTTTTGGCCAAGTCCAGTCAGGCGTTCGTTTTGTCGGTTCACCTCGGTGTTCATGGTCATGGCGCTCTGCTTGAGACGGTCCATGAATCCTCCCATCATGTCCAAATTGTGGTCAATTTCCCTCTCGGCATCATCGTCCTCAGTCGTATTCTCGAATGAGTACATCGACTGCTCTCCAGGGCCTCCGCGACCGTTGTTGCTGTAGTTCGGTCCCGAGTTTGGTGGCCGTCCATAAGGTCCTTGACCCATAGCAGCGTTGATTCTCTGCCTCGAGTCATATTCTTCTTTGCGGATGGCCTCACGTTGTGCCATCTCCTCTGCAGCCCTGCGCTTGGCCTCCTCGAGCTCTCTTTCCTTCTTCTTGGTCGAATTGAACGGGTTCTTGATGTGGATCGCAAACATGGAGCGGTTGACCGTCTTGAGCTCGCTAGCCTTCTCCTGTGCATTATCGGCATGGATCTGAGCAGAGTCCAGACTGCGTTCGACGCGACCCAGCTGTTCAGATTGCTCACCCAGCTGCTGCATCGTTCGTCCTGCGCTCTCATCGGCCTCTTGCAGGGCACGAAGGGCATTGCGGGTCGACTGGACGGATTCCTGACGCACATCACGGATCTGCTGGGCCACCCTGTTCACGTCCTCCTCGGTCTCTTGACCAGGAACAGGTGCTTGCTGGTCGCCGTAGTATTGGTTATTGCCATAGCCACCATACTGTTGCCCTTGGCCATATTGTCCTGGCTGTCCGTACTGACCCCCACCGTACTGCTGCTGTTGCTGTTGCGAGCCGTACTGACCTCCGTATTGTTGTTGCTGGCCGTACTGACCGGGTCTCTGCGCAGAGCCATAACCACCTTCGCTACCATATGAATTGTTTCCGCCGTACCCCGAGCCTGAGCTGCCGTGATTGTTGCTGTTGCCACCATAGCCAGAGTTGTTGGGCCTGTTGCCTCCGTAGCTGTTGTTGCCACCATAGCTGGCGTTACCACCGTAGCTTGCATTTCCTCCGTAGCCAGACATGATTCAGATGAGGAAGAGAGGGTGTGTGTGTGTATGTGTATGTGTAAAGTAAGGTATGAGGGATGGGGATGAAGAGACAAGAGCGAAAAAAGTGGTTGATGATGATGAGGGTTTGGTTGGTTGAAGAGCAGGCAGGGGCTAAAAATAGTCGAACGCTTAAACCGCAGCTGCTGGGAGGCGATTCATGCCAAGTTGGGTATTGGGGATGGCTGTGCTGGTAGATAGTAATACAAAATCATCTTTATTCAAGCTTATGTAAACTCTTTTAACCCATACCCATCGACTTCATCATCTTGGCCATTTGTGAAAAATCGGGCATGCCACCAGCTCCACCTCCGGCGCCACCCATGCCAGGCATGCCTGGGAAACCACCGCCTCCCATCATGCTCTTCATCATGTCCTGCATGCCAGACATGCCGCCCATCTGGTTGATCATGCCCTGGATATCCATGCCACCCATACCAGGAACGTTGGGGATACCACCGCTCTGGAGCTGCTTCATCGCCTGCTGCATTCTGTTGGAGTTCATCATGGGGTTTCCTGCACCGCCTTGCTGCATGCCCTGCATGTTCTTGAACAGACCGTTCTGACCACCCATCTTCTTGACCATCGCGGCGAACGTCTTGTATTGCTGCAAGAGAGTCTCAACTTCGGCGACAGTCGTGCCTGATCCACGAGCAACGCGGACCAGGCGCTTGGGCTGGTCCACAAACTCCTTGCCCTCTCCATCCAGCTCCTGTGCGTTCATGCTGTCCATGATGCACATGAAGCGCTTGATGCGGTTGCCGCCCTCCGCATCCGAACCAGCCAACAGCTCAGGTGGGATTCCAGGCATCATGCCCATGACCTTGCTCAAAGGCCCCATCTTCAGAATAGTCGTGAACTGCTCGTACATATCTCTGATGCTGAACTGTCCTTGCTCCAGCTTTTTCATCAGGTCCTTGTTCTGGTCCAGCTTCAAATCCTGCACAGTCTCCATGAGGCCACTAATGTCACCCATTCCCATCATCTTCGAAATAAAGGGTCCAGGTGTGAAGCGCTCGAGATCGTGCATGTGCTCTCCTGTACCGATGAAGATAATTGGGCAGTGGGTTGCAGCAACGCTAGAAATCAAGTATAGGAGTTAGGAACAAAATGATATTTTGTTAGCCTTTTTTTTTTTTGTCCGGGCACCATAAAATCTATGCGCACGACGCAAAAGAAAGGCGCTGGCCAACTTACGCAGAAATAGCTCCTCCTCCCTTTGCGTGGCCATCCATTTTAGTCACAATGATGGATCCGACGTTGGCAGCCTCTTTGAAAGCCCTAGCCTGAGCATCAGCAGCTTGACCAATGGTACCATCCATAACAAAAATCGTGCTATCGGGGTTCTACGAAAAACAATCGTAGGATAATGTCATTAAAGTGATTGCAGCTCAAAGGCCATGACAAACTTCTCAATGCAAGGACGGTGTCGATGCTTACCACAGCGGACGAAATCTGTTGCATTTCATCAAAGAGTTCCTGCTCCTGCTTGTGACGACCAGATGTGTCGACAATGATGATCTCAAAGTTTTCCTTCTTGAACTTGGATACACCCTCATGGGCAAGCTGTACAGGGTCGGTCTCAGTGTAGCTGAAAAAGCACAACAAAGAGAACTGAATTAACAACCTGTTGGATTACAATGTAGCGTTATCTTTGGCGGCAAAGAAATCAGACAACCCACCTTCCGTAGTATGGAATCTTGGCCTTGGTAGCGTTTTGCTTGAGCTGATCAAAGGCACCAGCGCGGAACGTATCCGTACAAACCAGGCATGTTTTCCAGCCTTTGCGTTGATAAAATGAAGCCAGCTGTGACAGTTGAACAAGAAGAGTGTTAAATGATAATGAGACACGCCCAGATTCGTCCTCTAGCCATCTTTTGGTCATCTTCGTACCTTTGTACATGTTGTTGTTTTACCGCTTCCTTGAAGACCGACAAACATAATAACGTTCGCCTTTCCTTTCTTTGGTTTCCACGGTTCCACTCCTGGGTCGACAAGCCGCGTGAGTTCGTCCATGACAGCCTAAAGAATGTAGTGCCACCAAACCAAGTCGATGATACTCGGTCAGGCCACCGTTTAAGCTTTTTCGAGCTGAGAGCCGCACTGAATGCAGGTTCTGTACCTTTTGAATATTCCTCTTCTTATTGGCAGCTCCTGTATTCTCGTCCAGACTGATCGAGTTTTTGACGTTGTTGCGAAGGTTTTGGATCAATTTGATGTTGATATCGGACTCCATAAGGGCGCGGACGATCTCCTTCAGCATGTCATCGACAACCTATTCGAAGCAGCAGAAACGCAATACTATGTGGGATTAGAACATTGTGTCCTCTTGCAGGTTCCCGTCTCTTGGAAAGGATATATTGCTATGTGAAGCGATGGTATACCTTCTCGTCAATGACGTTTGCCTTGGACATCGACTGGATCGCTCCGTTGATCTTGCGTCCCAAATCGTTCAGCACCATCCTGAATATGTGAGGAGTATTATAGTTGTTGAATAAGAAGAAGCCAAGTGAAACAGAGTAGGAGGGTTCTCCGGTGGGCGATGAATAAGGAAAGAACGCTGGGCAAGATGGCGAAAAGTGCGGGGGAAACGGTGGGTATCGACTGATGAGGGAGTTAATGAGCCAGCGCATACGATAACATAAATACCAATGAGTTGCAGTCAACCAATCGATGCAGCCTTTCATTTTTATTTTTTTTTCTTCACCTGCACTTCATCGCAGCTCACATCTTTGACCTTCATCTTCACCCCTACACTGCAAACATCATCATGGGAACTCGTGTGTATTTGGGCCATCTCTCCAGAGATGCCTCCGACCGTGATGTCGAGGGTCTCTTCAAGAACTATGGAAGACTTCGTGAGGTGACCCTCAAAAACGGATTCGGCTTTGTTGAGTTTAGCGATCCCAGAGACGCTAAGGATGCTGTCTATGATATCCATGGCAAGGACTTTATGGGTGAAAGGTACGTTTGGCATCCATGCTTCTCTTTTTTCTGCTTCTGCTTTCGCTCCAACTGTTCGGTTACTATTATGATATGGCTACTGTATCTGGACCATGCAAGATGTGCTGACAAAGCAATTGCGATTGATATAATCACCAGACTGGTTGTCGAACTCGCCCGTGGCGATAAAAGGGATCGTCGTGAAGATAGAGATGATCGCAGGTATGTACTTTTGCTTGCTGCTGCTACAAAGAGCTGTTAGTTGCTTTTATAGTCAAGTCAGTCGCATGTGTTGTTTTTAACCATGCATGTACTTTACATGATATCTGTAGATTCCGTCCCCCAGAGAGAACTGAGCACCGTTTGATCGTCGAGAACCTCGCTCCTGGAGTGAGCTGGCAGGTACGAACTTAATGTATTCCTCAAGTGCGGGACCCAACCTCTTTGTACCATCAACCGCCAAAAGAGGATCTGTTTTCGAGTCATTCAATATGGCCGCGATGCCTGCGATGCGATATCCAGCCAGAGCTCGGTTGACAGCTCTATTCGGACTTCAGAGGCCCCTATGACTGAATGAAACCACGGCCACCAGCTCGCTCGCTCGCCTGGACTTGGGGACCGACAAATTGTATTATCGGATGTGCTTGCTAGCTCGCTAGCTAGCCGGCTCCTTGAGGACCAATTGCTCGCCACCTATTCAAGATTTGCGGTCCAGACTGAAGATTGAGAGGAGCAGTATTTCAATACCAAAGGGACCCGATTGGCTCGCGATCTAATGTGCATGCTGCAAGAGGATCTTCAAGTGTCTCCAGCCATCTGCGCAGTGTGCGTCCAGTGCGATGCGACCGACGTGAATAGGGGTGCTGTTAATTGGCCAGCCTGGGATTCCTCAAACCTTTGTCAAGGGCAACGCGGTCGACGGTCCTTCTTATGTGCGGGCGGCCTCTCTCTCCATCCTGTTGTCTGTCATGCCGCGCTGTGGACCCTAAACCTCCTCTCATTTTCATTCTCTCTATGACCCTTCGTTCTGCGATGTTTGGCCTCCAGGATATCAAGGACCTGATGCGCAAGGCCGGTGAGGTCACTTTCGCCGACATTAGCAAGGACAACGACAGCCAAGGGTAAGCAGTGAATTATGAGATTTTTAAAGGTGTTCAGGTTCAACACTCAAGATTGGACTGACTGATGATTTTATTTTATTGGAATAAAAAAAAATAGTGTTGTTGAGTTTTCGTCTGCTGACGATGTCAAGCAGGCGTTGAGGACCTTAGATGGCGAGGATTTGCGAGGCAAGCCTGTGAGCCTTCGTGAGGTAAGTTATTATTACCGACTGTTTTCTTTGTCGTTCGCAAAAACGAAAACAAAAACGTGCAAAGCTGTTTTAACATTAATGCTGTTTGCCATATTCATAGTTCGATCCATCCCGCGATACCGCTCCTCGTGAAATGGGCCGTGGCGGCGGACGCGACAGAGATCGTGGCCGTGATCATGGTCGTGACAGAGACCGTCGTCGTTCCCGCTCGCGCAGCAGAGATCGCAACGACAGATACCGCCGCCACTCTCACTCGCGCAGCCCTCGTCGCGACCGAGACCGCCGTCGTTCCCGTTCACGCAGCCCCCGTCGCGGTGATAGCAGCAAGGATCGTCGTTCAGGACGCAGCGCTCGTCGCTCTCGCAGCCCTGCTCCTAAAAACCGCAGCCCTGCCGGATCCCCTGCCAGATCCTCTGCGAGATCTCCTGCCAGATCCCCTGCGAGATCCCCTGCGAGATCTCCTGCCCGATCGCCTGCCAGAGAACACACGCCCGCTAGAGAGCGCACTCCCTCGAGAGAGCGCTCCTACAGTCCTGTTGCCCGCAGGGATCGCTCCCGAAGTGCTAGCCGAGACTAGATCCTGATTTTACGATAGTCCCGCATGCCTTGGACAGGCGTTATTCATACTTTTAATATTCGTTTTAATTCTGATGAATAAAAACATATGCAATTTGGCTTGATCTCCTGGACGCACTGACGACTCTTATTTCTTTGGCCATATAACTGTGAACATATTCATTGTACGAGCAATAGTTTTGTCCGCATTCTGCAACTGATCGATCTTGGTTTTATTGAATATTCTTCATAGCCATGGCTCCGATGATCCAGTTCAAAATGGCCTTGTCCTCTGTCATCTTGGGGTCGATTTTGTAGTACTGTTCGACAGGGCGAAATGAAAGATTCGATCAATTTTAGGTGCCGCAAGGAAGTGGTAGGAGCAACGATAACGATCCAATGCAGAGCAGGGACATCATGTCCTACTTACCTGCCGAAGCTTTGCCATGTCCTTTTCCTGATCCAGCTTTGAGAACGAGACTAGGATTCCGTCCACGGTCTTGGACATGTCAGCCAAAACCTCGTCTGGGTTGCCACCAATCCTGACCGCAATCAACGATTTGGTGTCTTCTGTGATACCAAAGCGCTTCAACGACTCTGCAATCTGTTCGATGGATGGAAGACATAAAAAAACAACAACAATTGCTTGCTTATCAGTGTATGGCAACAGTTGACCTCATCATGACCTGAGTATTTCAGTTCCCCAGCCGATATGCATTGCGTGGGATATTGACGGTGATGACGACGTACGTTTTTGGTCGGTGAGAGGTTGTAAATGATTTCAGAGTTCAAGGACTGGGTGCTTAGCTTTCCTGCCTCGTTGTCTACAGCGGCCTTGGTTGCAGCTGTAAGCAGCTGAAAGACATCCATGATCTAAAATAGCACCATATTTCAAGGATCAAATTCAAGTCCGTTTGATGCAAGAGATTCTGTTAGATCGATAGTCTTCCTCGTGTCCGTGTCCGTGTCCGTGTTTTTTTTTTTTTTTTTTTTTAGTTGAAGCTAACGGTGGCAAAGATCAAATATAGTACCAGATTTGATTCAACCATGGCAAAAGTAAGGGTCTTGTCCTGGGCTTGGAGACGCTCCTTGAGATCCGGTGCGTTCATGACGGATATAAAGCAAGCCATGTGGATTTCTCCGGCGCTTAGTGCAGGTTCGATTGGATAAGATTCCATGGCTCTTTTGTTCGTTTCAGTTTTCTTGGTAGTTGAGTTGACTTCCTGTCCGTTGAGTGCTGGACCAAGTTGATTCAGGAATGAGTTGACCAGGGAATGAGAGAGGGAAAGTGTGGGAGTGGGAGCGAAGGTTCAAAAAGAGGAGGGTGTAGCTGGTTCAAGAAACAGGGCCTCCTCAGGCCTGGTCCCTCTCCACCTGGTTCTTCATTGGTTAAGTGGCTTTGGCAGGGTCCTCCCCCCAGGGCACTTGCTCAGGGGACAGGGTGTGCTCATATCCATAAAAATCCTGCTGTACCTGGCTTCGAGTTACATGCTCAAGCGAATCCTCCCCCGCATCATGCCGAAAGCATCCAAGACTCCCGCTAAAGGTTTTTATGCTGTCCATGTTGGCAGAACGAAGGGTATATACTTTAGCTGGTAAATGCTACAACTCATTTCTTCATTCATTCTTAGGGGACGACATCAGCTGAATGGCAACCGCTTGTATACACTAACTACTGTCTTTGTGTACACACATAGGGCCGAATGCGAAAAGCAGGTCAAAGGCGTTATTGGTGCAAAGTTCAAAAAGTTTGAGACACAAAAAGACGCCGAAGAGTTCGTGCGGACTGGACCCAAGGTATATACCAAAGCTGCCCCCAAGAGCAGCAACGCCGGTGCATCACGGCCGTCGCCTTATGCGGCCGCTGCAGCAGCAAGGGCAGGGGCAACCTCAGCATCAGCATCTGGATCAGGATTATCCGTAACAGTATCGTCAACAGCAGGGGAGACCAGCAAGGATCATTATACCAGAGTCAATGGTGTTAGGGTAGCGGCCTCGGACACCATTGTGATTTATACAGACGGCAGCTCGCTTTCGAATGGCAAAGTAGGGAGCCAGGCTGGCGTGGGTGTCTTCTTTGGCGTGAATGACCCAAGGAACGTGAGCGAGAGACTGGATAGTGAACCACAGACGAACCAAAGGGCAGAATTGATGGTAAGGACGTTGCCTCTGCCGCGAGATACTGTATGAGGTTGTCAGTATGTTGAACTCTCAGGCTGATCTGCTGTATTTTCTTATTTACTCTGATATGTATAGGCTGTCAAGCGAGCATTGGAAGTGTGTGGAAGTGATACTGCACCGCTTGAAATCAGGACGGACAGCATGTACACGGTTAACAGTAAATGCCGCTCCTTCATGCATCGTTGCGCTTTCGCTGGGTATCTCTGCATGGGCCATTTCTAATCTACCTCTTGATCTCTACTTGTCCACAAAAAATAGTCATTACAAAATGGGCCGACGGATGGATAAAAAACAATTGGCGGAGGAGTGATGGCGCCCCGGTCATGAATCGCGATATCATAGAGCCCCTGATCGCCAAGATAAAAAACCGGACGGGTCCTATCAAATGGGTAAGCCAATGCACACTAGATCGGGTCTTGCGATAAAAAGTGATAAGGACTAATCTCGGGATGCGTATTCTCTTTCATATATCTTGAAATAGGTGCACGTCCGAGCACACATTGGCACCTTTGGAAACGAAATGGCGGACAGACTGGCCAATGCAGGAGCCATACTGCCAAAACCATCATTGCTGTAATCCTCTTGATGCTGGATGTAGCATGTGGATCTTGTACCGATAATAAAGAACATAAACTATTATTATTACTATTGTTATTTTCATGGCCGTTAACATGGTTTACAACGTGGTTGGGCATTCTGTTCAAAAGGGCCTCCTGGAATTGTCAGCGATCAGAGGTTGCTACCTCCACATCATTCGCGAACAGGCCAACTGTGTTCTGATCACACTTTGCGTTAAAGGGGAAAGAAGGATGGATTGGGCCAGATAAGAATGTCGTTAAAGACCTAAAAAAAAACCAGCTGACTGGAACATGGAATCGCCGAGGCATTACGTCCTCTCTGTGCCTACTGTGCCTACTGTGCCTACAAAAGCAGCAAAAAGGAGCACTGTATCTTACGGTATTTTTTCGCCGGAAGTTGCAAACATGATCAAGATATCGTGAGTAGATTCCTATTCATACCAGAACAAAGCCTGTCCTCTTTACTTTTTTTGTAATGGCAGCTCACCGTTGTCATTATCTTTATAGTTGCCATTATCATCGTTCACATGAACGCCCAAGAAAAGAATGATGTGGTTGATGAGCAAGGAGGAGGTCGCGAGGCAAGTAACCGTCGACATTGGTTTGTTCTGATCCCTTGCTTTTCTAGTGAGCCGCCTGATGCACTCCATTGGGGTTGCAATGCTACCGACATATTGGTCTGTGTGTAACAGCTGTCTTTTTGTCCCTTGAAAGGGGCTGGATAGTTTTGAACGAACATGAGCCGGTGTAGCCAGCAACACGGATCAACTGAAATGCAAAGAGACTTGGTGTTGGTCAGCTCTTGCGTCCCACGATTGGATGGGTGACGAGGCAGATCGCCCTTCGCAGGACGTCGGTTCAACTCCTGCAGGTAGAAATGGTCCCCTTGGATCCTCCTCTTTCAATAGCTGTCACCCCTCCCTAAAAACATCCGCCGAGAGGGGCGACCCGGCCACAGTAGGGGAAATGGAAATGCGGATATGTGAATATGTGGATATGAGACGATGCGTGTTCTCCCGCGCATAATTCAGGACACGAGTCCACGCACCACATGGGCTGAGTATGTACAGCACAAAACATCGTTCTGAACAATGTGTCGAGGGGAGTAAGGCCCTGCAAAAACGGGGCGTATCCAACTAGGAAATAGACAGAAACACGTATAGTGAGGATATAAAGCAATAACGCACGCAATAAGAGATATAAGGGAAGGACGCGTTGTTGGGATCGGCCAGTAAGACACAACCGAAACCGCGGCAGATTTTTTTTTTCCTGTCCCTCTTTCTGCCACCTTTCTTCTCCCTCTGCTAATTCTTCCCCTCCACACCCACGCTTACCCACGCTTACCCACGCTTACCCACGCTTACCCACGCTTACCCTCTCACTCTCACTCACTCTCTCTCTCGTCAATTGCAACATCCGTCTGGCTCCCTCGCCCTCGCTCCTCCTCCGCCAGACTCGACTTAATTGCTCCCCTCCTCGCCCCTCCTCGGTCCTTGTCCTCATTCCACTCATTCCCTCTCTCATCCCTCCCCTCATTCGCATCCCTCACACCCGCATACTCCCTACCGCCTACTGCTTACCACTGCCTGCTATTACCTACTGCCTCAGCCCTCTCCGCCTCCTCTACTCATGCCTATCCCCATAGCCGCACCCCACAGTTCCCTCCCTTCCCCGCTTCCCAGTGCTCCTGCCACCAACACCTCCTCCAGCAGTAGCAGTAGCAGCAGCAGCAGCAGCAGCAGTAGCAGTAGCAGCAGCAGCAGCAGCAGTAGCAGTAGCAGCAGCAGCACTGACAGCGACAGCGCCGTAGGCAGCATCGGAAGTCTCAGCAGCCAACGCACTGGTTCGAGCTACACCTTCGGCAGTAGACCGCATACACACACCCTCGACAGTAGCGCCTCCAGACGCTGGAACAGACTACAGCGCAGATCCTCAACCGAAAACATCCTAGCTACACATCGTCACTATCATCATCATCATCACCATCGTCATCATCACCACTCGCCGCGGACGCGCTCCCTTTCCTCCTTTGCTGCGACCCAGCCACTGAGCACTCGGCTAGAACGACTGTACCATCCTCACCGGCATCCTTGGTATCCTAGTCCGGAGCGTTCGCACCAATTGCTCGACAGCCCCTCGTCCCCCTCGTCCCCCTCTGCCATTTTCCCTCAACACCAGCATTCACCGTTTGAATCCCATGATCGCACGGCCATCATAAACCGAGAAACGCGCGTCCCTTCATCAACAACAGCATCATCCTCACCCCCTAGTATAGGGCACACAGTATCCGCAATAGAAACAACAGCAGTTGTGTCATCAGCTTCTCCCATTTTGTCCCCTCCTTCTCACTCTGACAGACAACTAACAAGCCAGCACATGCAGCACCAATTTCATCCTCAAAGGTCCTTTGAACATTCGATGCAACTGGATAGTTCAAGGCCAGCCGGTAATCTTTCTACTTTTCTCAATTCTGGGGACACGGCTACCCTGAGTGGCCATCAACAGCCCGTATATTCAGCACTCGCGAACGGGTTCGACCATCGATCAGAGCAGCTACGAAGCTTTACAGGCAGTACAGAACTCTCCTCCACACCTATGCAACGTTCGTTGACAAACAATCCTGTTATGGCGTCCTACTCCAGTTCTCTCTCCAGTATCTCCGCTGCTATTTCTGATCCCAGCTCTGTCTCCATCTCTATATCGTCCTCATCGCCAACGCCCTCCGCTTCCCTTCTGCCCGCACTCCATCTCCCGTCGTCCTCTTCTGATGAACGGTTAGATGGCCCCAATAGCATTGTGGCTCACGCGTCTGTGACCGAAAGCGCCGCCAACCTTAATTTAGATCGCGGTCTCATTGGTGGACGCGCTTCCCACGCGAGCGAACATCGCGCAGGAGGCGATGCGGGCAGGAGGGCTCATGCGCAAGCACGTGGGGACGATAACCGTTCTGATGAGGTGGACGACCGCATTCACTTCCGTCTATTGAACAACATCTTCTTTTCAACTTCGGCTCGACAGCTCCAGCACAATGACGATCGCGGAACGAGCTCCGCCAGTCTTTCTCACAATAGGGAGCTGCTGCAGCGTACTATTGACAATGAAGATCAGCGCATGCTGGAGAGTGGGGAGAATAGGATGGACTACGGAACCACTGGTGCAGACAATACCATGTATACCGGCCATGGGGACGAATTCGCGTCTCTCATGCTCCGTGCACGGGCAGGACAGGAGTTAATAGAGGAAGAGGATGACGAAGATGACGAGGACGACGGCATCGATCAGATCATCGAGAGCAGGCGTCAGCGTGATTCAGAGGCGTACCCAATGGATATAGAACCGCCCTCACCACTCTCGCCTTCGAATGTTGAACGTCCTCAGCATGCGGCGCTCTCACCTCATGCAGCTGCAGCTCTTGTGGACATGTTCTCTGCTAGTCGATCAGCTGAGCAACAACTCGTGATCGACTCATCCACCCCCTCTAACTTGCAGGGATCGCAGCATGAATACGACAACAACCCTTACTTTCGCAGACCAGCCCTCCTTGACTCTTCTGAAGCGAACAGCAGTCGTCCCCAGGACTCGGTTCACGAAAACCAGTTCAGATCAGGCGAAGCAGGGTCCGATTCCATGACCAGACTAAGGTCGATTTCGACGCAGTACGAAACAATCCATCGAGAGTATAATAGCCATGGAGGCTGTGGAGAGCGGGCTTCGGTCGTCTGCACGGAAACACAAGGCGACGTGTGGCCGCTCAATTTTGACATGTACTATGCCGATGGCGGTGAATTCAACGCTGCACACTCTGTCGAGAACGTTCTGAAGAACGACTCTTCCGTCTATTGGTATGTGTTGCACTAATTTCATGGTCGATCTACCATCACTATAATGCTGGCTAACGCAGCAGTATTCATCAAACACACCTTCCTTTTCCTCGCACACGCAGCTCCAGACGATCGACCAATATCAACATTTGTCTGAAATTATCCGAGCCCCACCAAACTTTTGTACTGACACAGTTCAAGGTAAAGGCACCCACGACGGGCTTTACAGCTCCGTGCAAAGAAGGGTTGATTTTTATCAGCCATGAGCCCATACCACTGGAGAACACGGTATTGTTTGACAACATGACCCGCGAGCATTACGAGGATTACATGGAAGGCCTCAGTCAGGGAGCGGCTTTCAATCAGCTGCTTAGGATTCATGGTGCCAGTGCGGATGCACTTGTCCCTGCCGCCTTTTTTCAGATGAATGGGCTAGATGAGACCTGCACTGTGGATCTCACGCCGAACAGGTAAAGGAGATATCTATAAGCAAGGACCGAGCTCGAGCTGGTGTTGGCCATATTGCATTATTTGCTGACTAGGAATGCGTATTTAACTTGGCAAAATAGGTCTGGACGATACATTCTTATCAAGCTTCTGCGATCACGGTGCACCAATGCACTGCAAAGACCAGAGAACATCGATCTGCAGTATCTCGGCTTAATTGGTAGGGCTCTTAAACGCTTTTTTTTTTTTTTTTTTTTTTTTTTTTTTTTTTTTTTGGCCGATTACTGTGGCATGATGCGAGTGTAGCATTCGACGCCAACTCGGATGCTCATGCCTCTTTATATTTGTCTTTGTCGTTTTTAGGCTTCACAGGCGCACGCTCCTTCGCATCAGGCGGCCTATTGTAATCAATAGGGCCCGAATGACAAGTTTTTTTTTGTTTCTGCACTCTTAGAGTATCTACCATGCTATTATATTCCTTTGTTTTCTATTCGTGCTCGTAGCCATTTGTTGTATATCATAGTTATTTCTTTTAAGATCATCGCTCCCAATGTAACTGTAACTGTAAATGCTGTCCTGGATATGCTGATCATATTACTCATGAGCTGTATCGCACGCAATGGTGAAAGGTTTTGTCCGCACTCGCATGCATTTCTACACCTATTGGCTTTTTTTTCTTTCTGCAAGAGTCTTTCCAATGAACAAGCTTTCTCCAAAATGAGCTGTAGGTTTCCTGATGTCTACTCCCTTGTTGTTGTTGGTTTTTTTATTTGCTTTTTTAAAGATCCGTGATGCGTGCTAGGTTATGATGCAAACTCTCTATGTTGATTATGCCTTTTCTGCTTTCGCCTTTGTCTCTGCAGCCCTATCCTCGACAGCTTGGTGCTGTGCTCTCATCCGTTCCAGAATCTCCTTTTGCTCCACTTCCAACACGCGACCTAAGGCCAGAAAAATAAATAAAGGAAAAAAAGGACGTGATGAGATGAAGATAATTCAGAGTAGGGTTAACACACGATAGAGCCATATCACGACCCCAGTTCCAGGCGCGTTATTCGACAAAGTTGATTCAGAAAGCAAAATCGAGAGTGTACTTACGTTTATTAAAGTATTCGACCTGTGGTTGGATACAGCCATTCGTGAATAGAGGGATAGATTGAAGAATGAGATCCATATCAGCGCTTTTTCTTCAATTAGTTCCGCAACCATCCTGGATATCACAGAAGAGAGAGTCCCTTACCCAGCTCTTCATACAGGCGCCTTCGTATTGTTTCCTGAGCTCTTGGCAGATAGAGGCTGCCTCCGGAGTAGAGGGGTCCAGAACTTTGGATTCGTCCAGACATGCAAAGTATGCATCACGGACCTTCCAGCACTTTTGACGGTCGGCTCTTGAAGGGTGGTTAACTGTCTCCTGTGTCATGTTCGTGTTCGTATGGTGAATGCTTTATGGGTTGTCGGACAGCTGTAGTGAAAGGGGGAAGGTGGAGGGGGCGGGGGCGGGAAGTTGGTGATGCCGAGGGGACGTGGATCTCTTTTCCGTGAAGGAAGTCTTTGTGACTGGCCCCAGAACTAAATGGCATTTGGCCTGGCCAGGTAAACAGAGTGCGACCGAAACAGCCAGGACAGACGACTCCCAACCACCATGACTGAGAGCGACGAGATTGAAACGTTCATCGCAGAGCGCCTTGCTACCATCAGTCTGCAGGATGAGGTACTATGTTTCTTTATGTTATCTACACTCTTTCAATCAATACCATGACTTTTCAAAGAAACCTGAAAGGAACTGCTTTACTCTGTGTTATCTGACATTTTTTTTTCTCCTTTCGTTTAATATAGGCCATTACAGAGTACTTTGCAAGGATCGTCGAAGAGGAATCGATGGAGGAGCCAGAGAAGCGCGAGGCGATCTCAGAGCTGCTGGCGGATGTGACCGAAGAACCCACGGCGACGGTGATCGACAGCGTCTTTGAGTTCTGGAACATTATGAAGAAAGAGCAGGAAAAGAAAGCAGAGGAAGAGAAGCGGAAGGCATTGGAAGTCGCCAAAGGTATCAACCACGCAAAAGCACGCTTTGTCTTTTTTTCTTCTGGACATTGGAGGTAACAATCAGCGACCATTGAGGCGAAAGAACAGAACGGATATTAACATCACATTTGCTTTTTTTCCTTCTCCGTGCTTTTTTTTTTTTTTTTTTTTTTTTTTTTTTTTTCTCAGAAAAAGAACGCGCGGCGCTAAGAGCAGAATTCGACAACCCCAATAATCGGGAGGGCATCCTTTCCATGTCCTCACGCCACGTCGTCAAGAACATGACGAAGGAAGAGCGTAAGAAGCGTGATGCCCTTTTGGCACAGTACGGATACGATCTGGATGAAATGGTCGAGGGCGCCGATGGCGAGATGGAGATCGTTTACAAAGACCGATCAGGTGGATCCAAAGCCGCCGTCTCCACCTCAGACCCTTTGCTCATGGCCAACACGAACGGAGAAGTCGTCAAGCAGAAGGACGCGCAACGGAGGGCGGAGATGAAGAAGGCGAGCGAGAACGAAAAGGAGAGGAATAAACTGGCCTTGGAGAAGCAGCGACTGGCGCAGGATAAGGAAAAGCGACGGACACAGAAGAGTGAGAAGCGTAGGATGTAAAAGAAAAAGAAAAGAAAGAAGTGTGATGTGTGCAAATTGGCAGGGACTGTAATAAAACTATCTACAAAAACTGATAACGTATTGCACCCGAAGGAGAGTTGCGTTCTTTTGTTCGGAAGGGAGACCTTTGGTCGTGGATGAGCACTGAGAACACTGAGAACACTGGGATACGCTGAGAGAAATGGGCTGTTGACAAGAAGCGGAACCCTTTGAGATCGAAAACTTAACATGCAACTTAGCGGGTAACGAACAAAGCACGCTTTGAAATATGTCTACGCGTACATTTTGATCCTGGCGCGGATTCCAAATCGAATGGGCTTCTCCTCCGACTCTACTGTGCAGCATGTCCTAGCTGGCCATCGTACTCATTAATCGCCAGCATTGACGACTGCGCTTTTACTGTATTATCTATTTATTATTTTTTATTGCTTTGACGGCAAATGTACTGTCAAGGTGAATGGTATGAATCTAAGTAGTGTACAACCTCTCTAAGGTGCCCATGTCTCGCGATGGAACTCCACAGACCAGCTGGCCTTCTGCACCTGTCGTTCAATCATACCAACGAACCCCTCGGGACCACCCGCAAAGACCGTGGCCAGACCCTGTCCGTTCTCCTTCTTACCCACACCTTGGTCCACAAAACTGTTGATCACCTTGCGGACATCCATACGTCCACGGCTGTAAACCACATCGCCATCGTCCCAGTTTCCGTCCGTGACCGATTGCTTCTCTTCTTGGACTGCTGCAGTGGAAACAGCTGCGGCGGTTGATTCCACATCTTGGCCGTTGGCGCGCTTGTGGTGGCGGACGTGTACCTTTCTGGCAACAAAAATACCAGTGTAACCGAGCGCAAGCATGACAACCGTGTGGACCAGACCGGGCACCAAGGCGTACGTCCATTGGCAGACAAAGATGGTCCACTTGTCTTTCGCCTTTGCGGTCAAACACCATTGCGAATCACCCTCAAAATGGACAGAGCGCATGCCGTAATAGAAAGCCAAGGGAATGGCGGCCAGGAGGGCGCTTGTCAAGAGATCGAAGAGGGCCAGTTTCTTTGAGACAGAATCCGCAGATGCAGCCTCGAAAGTGGGCAGGGCGTGTTCCTTGTAGGTCATCGACTTTGTGGGCTTGTCAGAGAGGGGTTCTTCGCTCGAGAGGGACGTAGGAGACGATGGGCCTGCGATGGTCATGGTCGTAGAATTGGCAGAATTGGATCGCTGAAGGCCGGTGTCCTCCAGTGAGGTAATCGCCTTCGCCTTTTCGTCATTGACAACAACTGCGGTCATGGTTGGAGCAGGAACATTGACCATTGTGCGACCAGACAGAGCCCGCTTCAGTTTTGTACCCGTGCGCTGCAAGAAGTTCTTGCGATCCTTCTTCTTAGTCTGGCCAGGGACCTGGATATCGTTCTTGATGACATGAGCGTGTGCACCCATCAGCGTGTTAGGCTTATCGGGACGCGAGACGTAGATCTCAACGTGGAGCCAGGACGTGAAGCGAGGGTCACGCGTGATCTGGTGCAAGAATGATCCGTAGGCGTGCAACTCACTGCGGGTTCGGAAGGTGCAGATCAAATGCAGCTTCATGCGTAGTGGATTATTCGAGACAGCGATCTGGGCGGCGATAGCCTTGATAAGGGCCATGAAAGTGGTAATGGCAGCGCCAGCTGCATAATCGCGATGCAAGATAGAAGCGTAAGGTTAGAAATGTTTGCTGACATATCGATCAAGATCATAATCGGTCGTGTTTGTTTGCATGTTTGTTTGCGTGTTTGTTTGTTTGTTTGATTGTCTTTGTTCCACATACCAACAAAGATCACCATAGTCTCAGACTTTAGGTAGTCGTGGCGACGATCGCCGAACACGCCGTCAACGTTGGTGCGGATGGTAATACCCTTGTCATCTGTTCCACAGCGCGCGGCAAGGGCCTTGGTCCAGCTCATCTTGGACTCTCCGAAGACGCGCATGTACAGCGTGATGGAATAGGGATCCTCAGGCCAGTAGGATGCAATGGTAAAGGGATGGTGGACGTTACCCAGACCAGGGACCTGGACCGTGATGTAATCGCCAGGGTAGTATGGCTTCATGGGTTCAGGGGAGGTGAACTTCACGCGGATGATGTCAGCATCGGCATTCAGGGCACAGCTCGCGGCAGGGTCGATTGAACGCGCCTGGATGATCTTGGGCACGAAGCGATCGAGGAGGAAGAGAATGAAGCCAGGGAGCATGTAGTACCAGATCATCATGGACGGGTAGTGCATGACAAGACCAATGAAGAACACAAACGTGCCCGCGCGATGAACGTAGAGGAAGACGGGATAAACCCAGCGACGGAATCGAGGCAGCGCGAAGAAGGCCATAACGATGATTCCGAACTGTGAAGTACAAATTGCGCGTACATAAATGGAGTTCAGTCAGATATGAGAACCAGTTATAACACGAGCGGTCTTTTTTTTTTTTTTTTTTTTTTAGTTAGCGTTCCGTAGTTAGGATGGGTTACTGTCGTCGTCGATTTAAAGACAGCCCTGCCAGTCAGGAAGCGTGAATGACAATAATGACAACGGGCTGAGGACTTCTTTTATCAGATTGTTTCTTACCCAAGCAAACACTCCAGGCATGTTACGAGTGCCTCTGGTCTTGTCAGTGAACGCAATGTTGGCCCAGAAGGTGCCCTGTATGATATAGTATGCGCCGTAGAAAAAAGCATGAATCGTCGCCCAGATGAACATAGCTACACCGAGCCAGCGGTGAAGTGGGATGATCTCTGGGTAGGTGAAGCCAAGAGCATGGAGCATGGATCGGCGCAGGACCAAGAAGAGGATGATGGATGTATCCAATAGAAGAGCCTGAGAACCGCCATAGGCAATCGCGCGGACGTTGCCCAACGTAACACCGAACGAGCTCACGTAGTCGGCGCGGCTCATGACGGTAGTCAGGACGAACCAGTAGATATTCATGACCACGATCAAGGACGCGAGGCACCAGAATTTGACTGTAAACCCGAAGCGAGAGTCATGGCGTTCCCAGATCGAGATGCGTTGTTTTTCACTAGCGGGAGTGGTGACCTTCGAGATGGAATGTTGGAACTGGGAGGAGGCTCGGAAGTAGTTACCCCAGATCGTGATAAAGTGACCAAGTAGGATAGGGAGGAGGCAGACAGTCGTCCAAAAGAGATCCATCTCGTTCCACACAAAGTGGCTCTTGATGTGTTCATCCCAGAGTTCGAAGTAATCTGCGAATGTCCAGCCGACAAAAATCGCCAAGCAGACGCCAATGAGTAGGCGATGAAGAGCGATCATGGTATGTTATAGAATGTGCAATGTGTATATGTACAAAAGAAAGAAAAAAATGGAAGGTGTACGCGAAGAAAAATTATATACAGAGTAAATGGCCGGAAATTGATGGCTGAGGAAAAGATGGGTGTAATAAGAACGTAGCGGACAGGAGAGATTTCAACTGACGAGAGAAAGTGAGATGGGGGGAAGAGTGGATGGACTTCAAGAACGGATGATTTATATATTCATTTTCGCCGTGCCTGCATATCCTTTAGCTCGTTGTAACAGTACCAGACGACCAACGGCTGAAGCGATGAGGATTGGACTCGGACGGGAATCAAAAAATATGAACCAGAGGTAGTGGATAGACATCTGTCTTCATCAGACGGGGTCCACCTTTTTTTTTCCTCATTACAGTTTATTACAATTCAATGAGTATATGTATGTGGATAATCTCACAATCAAAAAGGGAAAAGATGGTTCAGCTGGCCTGTGGACAGTTTAGCTCGCCATCTCGCCCAAAGCGCTATTTGTTAGGTCCGCTCTCCGATACCTCATGCTGGTGCGGAATGCATTCACCGTTCGCTACGGTTAGCAGAACTCCGCGTGAAAAAAAAAAAAAAAAAAAAAAAATAATCTCGGACTAGAACCAAGAAAAAGACTAAGAAATGATCTACTCTGCGACGCCTGGTGACAGTAGATCGCTTCTCCATCTCTGCTGCCCTCAGTATACATCAACCCTCTCCCTAAGACGAAAGATATTTGCTCCGATAGTTCAATGATATACTTTGCTTGTCGCGTTCTACAGATCTCCGAGCAACCATAATCCGCTATTCGAGAATACATTTTATCGATGAAGTAGAATCAGATACGGAGCTTGATGCATATACGCACGAGATACAGCACTCGCGTCACTGACACTCCAACCTTCTCTACGATGACATTACACTTATCTTCGAGCCTGGAACCTTTTCCGGCGCGTCGGCGCTGACTTCTCCACCCCCCCCCTGACATGGACCCTGAATCTATTACGCCTTAACACGGACGCACTCAAAAAAAAAATACAAGAAACGAGGGTTGACTGTTGTTATCGATTAACTGATTGAAGATCAGAATAACTAGAATGTGTGAAGGAAAATAGGTGGGACAGCATGAAGGGCCTCGGAAGAGAGGCACGAGGACTCTGTCGAAAAAGGAAGATGTTGTTCAGCGGATCCCTTCCTTTGACTAAGGAACAATTTGCAATTGAAATCAATACCTGTGAGGATGTATGAAATGATATAAGGAAGACTGAATTGACTTGAGATTGAAAAAAATTGCGACATGCAAATGCTATATAGGCATTGGAGTTGCTCAATGTTCAATGCTGCACGTTCAATGTTCAGTGTTCAAGACTCAATGTTCTGTATTGCGCTATGTCTACTTCTTTATCATCATTTAGCGCGTCTTAAGTTACTATCTACACATATATTCTACTCAAGGTCCCATGCGCGGGCCTTCTCCATTTCTAGCCTCGACCATAGCCGAGAGTACTGGAAGTTGTTTGGTTAGTCGTATTGTGAGCACCAAGGTTCCTTCCAGGCAAAAGTGTGCGCGTGCGCGAAGTTTGGTTGGTCGCAGCGAAATGCACTCTGTGCCCGTGTGAACATCAGTGTCGAATCATCCTTGACCACGGGTATGGTTATCGGTCGCCGATGATTTGTTGACCTTGACGTGTTTATCGTGTGGGAGGAGGTGATGGGGTGGGATCGATAGGAGGAGAAAGTAATGAGAGCGTCGATGGGTAAGTAGGACAACATGGCGTGTAAGGGATTCGGAAAAGAGTTTTTTTTTTTGGTCCTGGCTCATAATTTTTTTTTCTCGATACGAACCCTGCACCGTGTAAACACTCATCGTCATGCAGGATGATGTGGTTTGCACGATATGGGTCAATGGATAACGCTACCTCGGACCTGCCCGCTAATGTATATTTTTTTTTTACTCTAAAGTGCATGGGAGTGTGATGGGAAGTGAGAAGAAACGATCCACGGACCAGCAAAAATTAATTAGAGGAGCATATAATTTAATATGCGATGGAACAGCAAGGAGCAGGGGTACTGTCGAGGAACAATTAAGGTCAGTAGGAATAGGTGCAGCTGGCGAACAGAATGGAAGTTAGACATACACATCACATACTGATAATGATAGCCTTCCCATGATATCGCAATCATGTTTTCATGGATGAAATATTTTGTTTGCGATGTGTTGCCGATTGTGGCAGCTTTTATAAAACAGCATGCCTGACCTTAGAAGACAGCCAAATCAATGAGAGACAGACAACAACAGGGGCACTCACGATATCGATCGCGATCCAAATTGTACAGTACATACAAACTATTCTCTTCATCGATGAAGACAAAGTGGGCAGGCGTTTGTAAACAACTTTGAAGGACAGCGGAAGGGAGACAGCGGGAGGATGGCAGCGATACCGGGCAATAAACAGGGGGCTATCGATTGCGTATGTGATTTGTAAATAAAAGCGAGTATAGTAGTCTATTATAATGATCGAACAACTGTCCGGCAAGCAGAAATTATAGATAATCACTTCAGGTCGAGATGGACAGTTGTGTTTTTGTCAACTGCCAAAAACATCCTTCTGCGACATGAACTCATCCGGCGGTCTTTCTGTTTTTGGGATGTGGGCCTTTCAAAAAGCGCCCAGGCTGAACCATACGAGAGGGATGGTACTTATTATGGCGATGTTGGCGATGATGATGAGCAAGAGAGGAATAGGCTGAAAAAAATCTGATAAGACTTGGCCCGGGAATTGTCTCAATCTGATAAGACGATCCCAGTAGAGTTCATGACTCGGGTCACCGCCAAACTCGCGGTGACTAATACGAATCGCGACCGCCCTTGGACTCCGCTCCCTGTCAAAAAAAAAAAAAAAAAAAAACTCAGGTCCATGGTTCCTTCCCACCCCCCCTCCATGAAAGCTAAGACGGGAGTGCTAGGTCAATGGTACAATTCTGCCCTTCACCTGTGTCCACAAACTCTGATGTACCTTCCCATCTAGTTTAGAATGCACCATCTGCGGTTTTTTTTTTTCATACTCAGTTCCCCGTGTGATGGAAGCCTATACCCCAAGAGTTAGGTGCGAACGAGTACAAGTGCGAATGATGAGATGGCGGTGTACATATAGTCTATAGACTACATGCCGCGTGGGTGTAAATGGATGGATTTTCATGCATGTACCTCTGTCATTTGTACGCACAGCGTCGAAAAGGGAGGGCTAGATGCCCTTCAAAATAAAGTTTTTCTTCTTTATCAGATCCAGACGAGCTAACCAATAATTGCTCGCGCCCGTGTGCCAGGAGAACAAAAAAACGCGTTCAACAGGAAACCAGGAGGCGAATGAGTAAACGTGACCCCAAGTGTCGCTGCGCTGACATCCTTGGCGCAATTGCATCGCTGCGTGCATCTCAACCAGCGACATACATCTCATCTCTCTATTGACCACTGAATCTCAGGGAAAAAAAAAGAAAAAGATTGCGTGTTGCATCGAACATGTCGCAAGTACCTCAAGTCGCAGATACCCAGGAAAGGCAGCCCCTCTTGCAGCCAAACGACACCAGCAATAGTACGCCTTTTCTCACCTCCACAGCCATTGTGGATGTCAACGAGGCAGGGAGCTCTGCGTCCGAGATTGATCGTTTGCAGCACCACCGTGCGATGGTCCGCGACCGATTCAGTGTCAATTGGTGGTTGGAATGGATCATTATCCTGGTAAAGACTGATCCTTTACTGGTAAACAAAAAACAGCGAGCCATGTTTCTCTTCTTACAAACACGTTTTAATTCTGTGCCACTGTAGGTTGTCTTTTCAGTGACAGGATCGTCCACGATGCTCATTGTCAGACCATTGATGAAGGCTTTGGGGTTAAATGGGTCACTAGGAGCAGGACCATGGTCCTTCCGTATCGCCTACATCGTTCTTACGCTGCCACTTTATAGCTGCATGCTGCTGCTCATTTCGTCGCTCGTCTGTAGGAGGCCGTATTTCGAAAACCTCTTGATCAGAATGTGGGACCGGCTTCTACCACGATACATCACGAACAAGTTCCAAAGGAGAGAGCCAGCGGCATAAGTAGGCACAATAAAGATGCATCCCACGAATCTCGTTCGACGCGTCTTGGAGGTTGTGGAAAACGCTAACATGTGAAATTACGTAAACTTGCTATCAGGATATCCTAAATGCACACGAGCTGACACCCTGAGAAATGTCCACAGATAATTTAACCCAATGCTGCCACAGCTTAGAGAGAATACTCTTGATTGTATGGCAAATCGGATTGCGCTTTCTGTCGATATTCTTGCCACGCGATGAATATGATGTGAAAACACCGCGTGCGAGTTGATGTCGTTTCGACTGATCTAGACCCTTATCGAGTTTGGAGAACTGCACCCATTGAGTATGATGGAAAATATGTTTATGCCCGAAGACAGTTAATCTCAATTTGTTCCGCAACTATTTACATCGTCTATTTGACTGCATCTTCAAAGGGGAAGCACTTTTTCCTCAGGCCCTTGCTGCTGTGGCCTGTCGCAGCTGATGAGTATGCAGCATACAAGCTATTTGAAAATAATTCACTCAGTTGCCATCAATTTATTTGTGGTTCGCGACTTAATACCCATCAATTACATACGAGCGCGCTTCATTCCTCTCTCTATCTCTTTTCAGCTGTAGATGTATATTGCAAATGTATGGCGGTAATCAGCTCGGATCTAGCATTCCCTTTTGAGAAAGTAGGGGATGGTAGATCTTTTCATCTCAATGCATCTTTTTTTTTGGTCCGTGATGTCCGAGGATCAGCGGACACCTTTCAATGCGCGGCCTTTGTTTCTCATATCAAAAAGCATCGGTTCTCTGATGAACCCTCGGTAGCGGCGCTCTGTTCATCTCCTTAAACCCCTTGCGTCTCATAAAGTAAATGGAAGAACTACATTCGGTATAAAGGAAGTGTACCTTCAGCTGTTACTGAGATTAAATGTACGTTGCACAGCAAGCTATGCTGATCTGAGATTGAAGCTAGAGTTGCCTTTCTCACCTCCCTATTCTTCTTCATGCAGTCTAGGCCCAGACGAACGCCATCAATACCATAGCAAAAAGCGGACAGTGACGGCGGATCAAAAGAAATAAGCGAAGGGACATCTTCTGAAGTGCCTTGAACGGTTCAAAGGCCAAGACATGCTGTCGACAACTTTAAACCTGCTGTAGATGCTATATACAGAACGCTAAAAATCCAACCTCGATCTCCATCGTCTCACCTTGCGCTGCTGAGGGAGGAGGGAGATAAGGAGGAAATGAAGCCGAAATGTCTGTAGTTACGCCATGTTCTACTCGTCTATGAAAGGCAAGTATGTGTTTTTTAGCTACTACATAGCTCTGACTTTTAAAGAATGGTAAGACATACGGGCAAACGAAACTGTATGTGAAAGCGAGAGGGCCCTTGAAAGAGCCGTAACCTTGATCGATGTGCTCAGTAGACTGGATATGACCAAAAGGGGCCTATCATAGCCATGCGCGAAAAGAAAAGATATGTGGGTTGTAGCTTGATAGTCCAAAACCGTTCGTCGCTCAGAACACAGCTCGGCGTATCGTCTGTTTTATACACGTACGATTCAACGCCATATGTTCACCCTTTTTCTCTCGTAGTCCAGGACTGGAGTGCGAAGGCTAGCCTGTTACCTTTCTTATGGCCTTTTTTTTTTCTTTCTTCGTAAATCCAGGCCTCAAACCCTGCAAGTCATCCAGGCGAATGAGAGCGCTTATCAGATCAGATATTTTTGCTGCTTTTTTTTTTTTTTTTTTTTTTGTCTGTGGACCCTGGAAATACAGGTGTGGTCGGTAGCCAAGAACAGAGCCGAACCCTTATCAGATTTTTTCCTATGGTGTCTGGCAAAACAGTAAAAACGACAGAATCGGTGAGCTCATGGCTCTCATGAAGCCAGGTCAATTTAAAGTCAGTATGGCCACTAGCCATTTCACCGCAACAGCAGAAAGTCAGTCAAAAAAAAAGCTTGAATTTTTTTGCGGTCTGGCCAGGTACAGTGCGGTATACTCTTACGGAATGGATCGATTCAAAGTCCTCTGCTCAATTTTTTTTGTATTTCCTCGGGACGGAACGTGAGTTGTCGTTATTTCCATCTGATAACAACAGCAGGCCAGACCATTAGACCTCACGATCTGATATGGGGGATCGGGCTGATCCATATCCGTATCATGGCAAACAACAAATAAATAAAATAAAATATATTAAAAAAATAAAAGAGGAAAAAAGAATACATCGACTGAGTTGGGCGCCCTTGACACATCCGCACCCGCATCAAGCGGGGCCACAAAAACCGCACTCAACCACCTTTTGATCCATTTGCCAATTCACTTTTGTGCACTGCATGTGCCCTCTTTTTGAGTTCGACACGCTCGAAAGGATCGAACGATTGGCCATCGATCGTATTCACCCTGCCAGCGTCTCGACTCTTGCGGCACATAATCCATATATGCTATTTTACTTTACACGGCCTTGAATACTCCAACTGTCCAAGCGGCCGTTGCGGGAGGTCAAAATCTGACAACCCCAGACTCAGTCGGCACATAGTACATATCCGTGTACACTGCATGTCTTTAAATGATCCTATTCAGTTGGTGTTATCTATAATGGTCTAACGGTCTAATGGTCTTGTCTCTACTCGCGTGCTCTGCACATTTACCTTTATTTTTTCTCGGGAACGAATCGTTGCTGGAAAAATTTGGTTGGAGCGTTCATACTCGCGATGATGGCCAGATCCATACTCAATCATTGTATAGTCTTCCGTCTGAGGCCGCCCCTTTGTGCGAAGGAAACACAGTGAATCTCCGGTAACCCCGGGATTGCCCTGAAATCAGCCCCGTCCTCCATCGCAGAGACCGATCAGATATAAAAGACTTCCCTCACATTCCCAAGGTCGTGCTTTTTTTTTTTTCCTCACTCGCCTCATTCAATATTGATCTTCGCGACCTTAGTCTCGAAATCAATAGCGACCCCTCTATACATTCGCTTCCTTCCCTTTACTTCATCAACGCGTCGCATTCTATATCTCATTCCACGTTCATCGATAATCAATCCTCCATACTTGAGCCACGCCCCATAGTCCTCTATTCCTGTTCAACCCCACTATCTTTACATCATGGCGTTTTCACTCAGGTTCAAGCGCCCGCATATGCTCAACCCTTTCTTCTTCCTCATCGTCATTTGTATCCTGATCCCTGTCGCCTATAACTTTGCAGACTATGAGCTGACCTGGCATCGAAAGATTGACTCCAATTGGTTCTACAACAAACGCGACTACTATGTTCTCGCTCTTTGCATCGCACCTTCGGTCCTGGGCCACCTTGCCACGATCTGGGGTCATTACTACCGTGCCGAACGTGAGTTCCAACACAGCATCGCCAAGGTGACAACTCCGGTATCTGTCAAGCAGAAGATTTCGCTCTGGGAGCGCCATATCTGGTGGGGATACACCGTCAAGTACTGGATCATGGTTGTGGTCACGGTCCTGCTGAACCTGACCTGGTTCATTGTCCCTATGGTCCAGAGTACTGCAAAAATGGTCGACCGTTTCGGATATGTCGGAGGCATTGGCCGTAAGTATTCTTGCAGAGAATCCATTGTATCGTAAAAAAAAAAAAAAAGACAAAAAAATAATGATTAACGCGTCGTTTCTCTGCGTGCTTCCAGGCGCGGCCGGAAATGCTAGCGGTTATACCGTTGTTGCATGCTGCGGTATGATCCTGTTCTTAGTTCTCCGCCGATCCATGCTCCACGCCATTGGTTTTACCTATGCCGAGATTGTGCCTCTTCACAGATGGTTGGGTGCTGCCATTGTCGGATGGAGCACCATCCATACCATCGGGTACATAGTTTACTTGGCTAACGACGGCCGCCTCCAGACTGATATTAATTTTTACGATACCTCGCGTGGCACCCTGAACATGATGGGTGTCTTTGCCTATGTAAGTACTCTCCTGCCCTTTATTTACTTGATATTTTCCTTCTGAGTTTAACTACTAATACGTCCTCAATTCATCATCCTTGCCGTTACTTTATAGGGTGCCGTCTGCTTGCTGGGCCTCGGCGCGATCCCTCAGATCCGCCGACGCTTCTACTTGCTCTTCTTGAGCACGCATCGCTTCTTCACGGCTGTGTTCTTTGTCGGAATGATCACGCATTACCCAAGCCCCATGCTTTGGTACTATCTCCTGCCCACTATCATCCTCTTCTTGGTCGATCGTTTCGTCCCCAAGATGATGCAGGCTCGTACGGTATATCCCGAGGCTACTTGCTCCTTGAACGTCGATGCTGATATCATCCGCATGACTTTCACCTCCCCCGAACCTATGAAGCCCTACTACCCTGGTGATTACATCTCTGTCCAGATCCCCAAGATTGGAACTGTCTATCATCCTTTCACGATCGCTTCTTATTGGCCTGAGGACCCTTATTCGATGACTCTGTACATCCGTTGCTTTGAGGACTCAAAGCTGAGCTGGACCTGCGCCCTTGCCAGACTCTGTGGCAAGGAGGACAAGCGCATCCGCGTCAAGGCCAATGTCGACGGCGTCTTTGGTGATCGTCGCCATGACTATCTCAAGTCTGAGACGATGATTATCTTTGTTGGTGAGTAGTATAGTCAATTTTGTTGCAGAACTTTCCGACGCGTTTCTCCAGGTTTGCAAAAAATGAAACCGATCATTGATTTCTTCTCCCGCTCTCTTTCGTAGCCGGTGCTGCCATTACTACTTTCATGGCCCTTATCAAGGCCATCGCCGCCCAGATTGCCGCCTCGAGCGATCCTCTCCGCATGCAACTTCACCTTATTTGCACCTTCCGCACCCGTAGTGAGCTGCACGCCTACGGATCATTCTTGCACCAGATCACGCGTGATCCTCGCTTCACGTCCTGGCTCCACGTCGAGATCTACGTCTCGCGTCCCGATAAGCCTAACACGCTGATGGGTGCACACGCTCATGTCATCAAGAACGATATCCAAGTTCCCGCCAACTCCAAGAGAAAGGAGAAAAAGGCGCGTTTCATGTCCCTCAGGCGCACTGGCACGATATTGAAGCGTGCTCTGTCCGGTCGTACCATCGTTGCCGAGAATGAAAAGGCTTCGTCCAAGACTGTTGACTCCACCGGCTCTAGTGTCTCTACAGAAGTTGTGACCCCCACTGAGAGCAAGGAGTCTTCTCTGCACAGATCAGGCTCAATCCACACTGTTGTAGACCTTGAGGACATTGCTGAGGAAAGCGAGCCCGTCAAGACCATAAAGTCCCAGCCCGAGAAGGTTCATACCTCTACAACTACAGTTGCTGATGAGCCCATGGTCTCATCGCCTACGCGCGCCATGACCTACGACAACCGTACCCTACCCACCTTCCAGGCTGCTAATTCGACCACGGTCGCCACTCGCTGGGCCAGACTCGACCTGTTCGTCACCTGCGTGCTCATTTTCATTCCCCTGGCGGCGTGGTGCGTTGCACGCACGGTTTCTTGGGAGGGTCCCTCGGGCTGGTGCAAGACCAGCAAAGCTCGTGGCACTTATGTCCAGGCTAACTGCCGCTGGACCTACGGCATGATTCCTGGCACTATCCAGATTGTGGTTGCATCAATTGCCGGATACTTCGCTGTCTGGTTGGCTCGTGTGATTCTGATGCGCCGCGGTCGTGATGTGGAGGCCGGTCTGCCTTACCCAGATTTCGCTGTCGAAGACGAGAGACTCGCGATTGAGGATGGCAACTGGGACGAAGGAGATGTGGTCTACACACGAGGTCGTTTGGATGTCAAGAAGCTCATCCAGGGCTTTGTCGAGGCTGGTGTTGGCAAGAGGGAGAAGGGTCGTGGCTTGGTATCGGTCTTTGGAGGTGGACCTGAGGGCTTTGTGAGTATGGTTGAGAAGCAGGCCAAGGTGGCGGACTGGTCGGTCGATTTCCATCGCGAGACCTGGGCACCTTAGAGTATAGGAAGCCTTTGAATCTCCTCATTCTTATTTATATACACCCATGTACATAATCATATCCATATTAAAAGCATATTTTTCATTTCATTATATACGCGTTCCTATGCGCCTGGTTGCATGTTATCATACGATATCTCAGCCCATATTTTTCATTCGGATGGCATTTTTGTCCTTGGGGACGGGAGAGATGCATGCACGGGAGCGCTTGCTTGATGGACGTGTTAACCCCTCGTGCCTGATAAACTATACGTTGGGGACAACCTTTGATAGTCTACGCCTGCGCCTCTGGGGCGGATCTGGCACCCATAAAAATTGTGTGTTGGAAATCTTGCATAGCGGGCTACACCAACCCTTAGAAGTTATTACTGGCGATTACGGACAATGTATGTACAGGGACAACCGCTGTTTTTATTTCGGGATTGGTGAAGAATGGACTATATACAAAGATGTGGATTTGGTACAGATGTTGGAGATAAAGCACAAAGACAGAAAAAAATAATATTGTACAGACATGAGGTATAGCACCTGGCCTCCTAATCTCTGGAAACAAGGTTGCCAAACATGGGCATCGAGCGGAGCAAGAGCGACTCAATTTCGCCCATGTTGGATGGACCGCTGGTAGCAGCAGCAGCAGCAGCAGCACTGCTGCCTCCCGTGAAGAAGCTCGATCCCTCTGTGGCGGATGATGGCAAGAACGACGATAAGGAGAAGGAGCTCGGCAGGGAAAAAAATGATGACAAAGGCGAAGCTGATGATGGTGCAGCAGATGTTGGGGTTGTTGTAGAGTCCTGCTCCATATAATGTGTGTTCCCCTGTGCCAGCGCAGAGGTGTTCAAAGTGAGGCTGCTGTCCCAATTGCCTCGGCGGATGGAGACTGCTTCGTTTTGGGTGGATTCTGTGGCAGAGGACAGGGTGTTGGTTCCGCCTCGGGTCGGGCTCAGTCGAGCGGTCTGACTCTGCTGTCTCAAGGCCTGGGTGATTCTGACGACTACATCAATGGGTAAAAGAGCGCAGTAAGAGAAAGGAGCTGTTAGACGCATGAATTCACTTACGATATCCACCGTTTGGCACATCACACACATCTCTTTCGGCATGTATCTTTATGCGCGCACTTACCATCCATTTCGAGTCAAACAGTCACTTTCAGAGATTGGATAAAAAAAGAGTTTCGAAGTGGAAGACGAGAAGGTGCTCTTTACGATGATAAGAAAGACTGTTCAATGGAGAGCAAGCTGCTGCTGACCGAGGGGACTGGCAGAGAAGATAGCGGAGGAGAGGGGTATATCGACGTCGCGACCAATGTGTGTTCCGTTCTGGAAAAAGTACGAGGACATTGACCAGAGAGAGACACAGGATATGAAGGAGAGGTTAAGACTCTCCTGTTGGCAAAAAGTGAGAAAGTTGGTACTATGCGTCGACGTGTGATGGGACACAGGAAGGGCGAAAGATGAAGAGGGTTACAGACGTGAGGGTAAAGGAAAGAAGGGAGAGAGGAAAGAAAGAGCAAAGGAAAGAATGAGGAGAGAAAGGCTGAAGTGGGCAAAAAAAAAGAGTTATCTGTGTTACTTTGCATAAAACCGATCTTATCCCCGCCGATAATCTGTGGGGAAGATTGCCTCACGTGTGAGCGAAATCCAATTGAACGCATTTTCTTTATTGTCTAGCTGCGCTGCTGCTGCATGGCGGATATGTTTTGTGCCAGTTCGTCCGAAAACCATTCTAAGACCAAGGGCAACTTGACATGATATCTGGTGTGTTGGAGTTTATCCAGCACAAGATCAGCTCCCATGATATCCAGATCTAATGTTCACGGCTTTTTATTGTCGACACATATGCAATAAAGTTCCTGTGCTTATGCCTATAGTGTAATGCTCCAATTGATTGTTTTCCATGCTCCTGTACGATCCAAAGTATTACTTTGTGTGCTCCCAGACCTTGGACGCGGCCACGATCTCTGCAACTGTGAAGTGTTTCCTTGCGCTGAGTGGTCTGCACGCCTCGATTCGGACAACGTCTCCCAACTTGCACTTGGATGCCTCATCGTGTGCAAGATAGTTCTTGAACGATTTGTATGTCTATTGATGATTCAGTATTGGGTTAGAATATAGATGATTTTGTGCTAGTCCTTGCATTAATGCTGAACATATCCTGATATGATTTCTGATTCGATATTAAAACGCCTGTGCGCCGTCGTCTTCTCATTCAGTCCCTAACAGGGACATTTAGTTGGCATTCCCCATTCGCCCTTAGTTCTCCATATGAATGTCAGTCGTCGTCTTTACCTTACGGACGATCGGATGCACTTTGTTGCTCATGACCCTGACCTTGACGGTCTTCTGCATCGCTGTTCCGACAACGACCCCCAAAAAGTTCTGGCGCATTGCTGAGCTGTAAAATATATGCGTTTCTTGTTCCTGTCCGAAGTGAGTGTTCCAAGTCGTGGAGCTTGTGTTCCGAGTCGTGGAGTTTGTGTTTGGTTCCTGGAGGGAATCGTCGAGGAGCAAGTTGGGTTGATCTGATTCGGTTTGCTGCTGTGTAGCAGGGAATACAGGGAGCAGTCGCATTGGGTCTTTAGGAACTGCAAGCCACTTCCGAGGTTTGTTTATCGTCCTCCATCCATGGCTACAGTCGGCGAAACTGGTTCCTAGTCCTTGGCTCCTCGACACTCCATTGCTCGCCCCACCGTTCGAAACAACAATGTCCAGCATCCTCATCACAAGGGCCGTCCCTACGGCTTCTGTCTCCAGGACACTCATCGTCAGCGGGGCTTCTCATATCTCCCACCAGACCTTCACACCTTCCCACAGGAACTATGCCACGGCGAAGAAGGCACCCAGCTCTCTGCCTGGCGCCATGACCTTCACTGACGCGCTTGCTGTCCTTAAGGTAAACACCAATAGGCAGTCGAAAAACGGAAACAGCTTGGAATATGGAAGTGGATCAGGAATTGCTATCTAGAAAGGCCTTGCTGGACTCTTTCTTTATGGACACACACTGCCGACACCATGAACAGCGATAGAAAATGGATAGCGCAGCGCGATTGATAGGAACTATTTCTTTTATGTTTTTGATATGATTACTTACTCGTCGCTGCTTTATTTTCAAATATAACAATAGGCCAAGGAGGTCAGCAAACCCAACCACCTGGTCGAAGTTCACATCCAGACCAATCCCAAGGTTGAGAAGCACTCTCAGCCGATCCGCACCTCAGTCCTCTTGCAGAAGCCCATCAAGCAGGAATCGGTCATATTGGTCTTTGCGGAGGGCAAGTTCGCAGAGGAGGCCCGCGCCTCAGGTGCACAGATTGTCGGAGGGCCCGAATTGATTAAGGAAGTCGAGGAGGGCAAGCACAAGTTTGACAAGTGTATCTCAACACCTGGAATGTACCCCTCTGTCACCAAATTGGCTCGTATTCTGGGACCCAAAGGTTTGATGCCAACGACCAAGAAAGGAACTGTCACGGAGGATATCGTGGGCGTGATCAAGGCTCAAACTGCAGCTTTTGATGTTCGCGGTGATAAGAACGGCGTTGTACACACTAGTACGCGAATATTTTTTACTGAGAATAACAGCAGGTTATGGATGATGAACTATAGATTCTGGATCAATGAGGAATCTCACTAACAGCATTTACTTGTTTTTATTTGTTACCATTAGTCATTGGAAAGGTCAACTGGGAACAGAAGGATATCGAGGATAACTACCAGATCATCATGAACCAGATGAGGGTTCTTGCTCAGGAGCGCTTCGTCAAAAAAGGTGCGTTCTACTTGCTCAGACAAATCGCTCATTTGAGAACTCGCCTTTTGGTATATGTATGATATATGATATACATGGTGTTTAACAGAGAAACTACTTTCCTTACATTTATAGACTGGATCAAGAACGTCTATATTTCATCGACACAAGGTCCTGGCATCCCTTTGATCAACAACGCATAGTTCCGCAATACACCACCTCGACAAATATCCATCGCAAGCATTCGCAGTTGTTTAGAATCGCACCATCTTGTTTATCATGTAATAAAACTGTTTTTAAAATACACATATCACAGTGGTGCATGTTTTATTTTCGCAAACGGATTTAGCAAACATGCGATGGTCTATTGGTCTTCGTTATCATCGTCTAGCAACTCTTGCCAATCGTCTACTACGTTTTGGTCCACATTAACGGCAGCCTTTGCGGTGATAGTGCCCCGTGGAAGCGACAGCGACTCTGACGAAGATAGGGGATTTTCTGAAAGATATGCGTCTTGAGCAGAGGATGGCCGAGAGTGTCTGCACATGTTACCCGAAAACAAATCGTTCGTCTCGTCCTCCTCCCATGCTTCCAAGCTGAGCGTTCCCGCAGTCTCCTTAGCCTTCAAGGTCTGTTCTTCCTCAGCCCTCTTTGCAGCAGCGATCCTCTCATCGTCATCCAGCAACGCGAATGCGTTCTCAACCTTGGCAGGCGTTGGCGTCTTCAACCATTGATTTTTTTGAGCAGCGTCAAAGAGTCGTTTGGAATGAGGGCCACCGACGTTGCTAAGAATGACCACCTCGCCTTCCTTGTTAACCCAGCATAACTCGACCCGCTCACAGATATGAACGTTCACTGCCAGAGATCTGATTCTAGTGCGCAGATGGGCCAAGACGACCTCGAACTCCTTCATAGTCATGTTGCCTGGATGGGGTACCAGGGCAGCATCGTCGTCCGTCAGCCATCGAATACTATACTTGATGTTGCCAAAAATAGGCGCCAGCTGGGCAGCTAGCTCATTTCGAGTCAGCCCAAAGACTAGGTCGTACAGGTAAATTGCATTGACGGGATCATTGACGCTCGACTTTCGGAGCTGCCCGACACCACTACTAATTGCGCTCGCGCCGGTACTAACAGATCGTTTCTGGCGACAGGCTTGTGATGCTAGGAGGGCCGGCGCAGAGGTGTTGAGTTTTCTGTGGATGATCACGTTGCGATATGGCTCGACGTCTACGCTCTCCGAGGTTACGTTGTAGTGACCCGCCAGCTCGTGGACAAACTTGCGGTGATGACCCTTCATGGGTGGGAGGTTGAGGGCCTGCGAGGACGAGTCGGTTATCCAGTCAGCGAGTCGCTTTTCTATTTTCAGCGTGAACTCCATGTTGACGAAGGCATAATCGAGAACATAGTCGTCGTACTGAGGAATACGAGGTCTTCTGTGAAAAGAGAGTAAAAATGGAGGCCAGTTAGCAATACGTACAAAAAACTACTAATAAAAAAGAGATGGGCGGATATCTAGAAACGTACCGGTTGATACCATCATCGATGTCAAGTGCCAGAGCAAGCCGCTTGTTACGCTCTGCTGTCAAGCAGAAGTCGTTGCACCTAATAACCCTCGGCTTTCCATCCCAGGGATTCTCGGCCGTAGCGTGGCAGGCGACAACCTTGGTCAAGTTCCCACATTTGCAGCTCCAAACAACCAAATCCTGACAAGGATTGTCCTCAGGACAAGGTTCTTGACCGTGGCAAGCAAGAACACAGCGATGCCTACAGCTCTTGCGAAAGTTGGAACACTGCTGAGAACATGTTCCGACGGGTGGGGGCGTGCACTCGCCCGAATGGCAGGACCTGATGCACTTGTGCTGACCACAGCCCAATATCTTGCCGCAAGCCTTTCCGCAGGTGGGATGAGTCATGTAGCAGGGTACATTGGGCATAAGGGACTTTTCGCACGCGCATTGCTTAGCAACAAGTATAGTGCATAGTGGGCAGGGTTCATTGTCTGGATGACAAGGGTGGCCTGTTAAAGATGCATGGCCGCAGGAACGTTCCCGGCTGCAAAAGTACTTGCATTTGGGGATAGGCGTGCCACAAGCGATCGGCGGATATAAAACGGTCCTTCCACAGCTGCATGAGAGCTCGTCAAACGATGCGTCTAACAAATAGTAAACGGGGCGTTTTTAGTCTGAATGTTCTCTGTGTAACCTCGTATATTGGTCTGCACATGCCAATGGTCTTCACTTACTCAAGCAGGGATTGCAATGTCCTTTATGACAGAGCATTTCACAAGCGTGCACGCCGCACTGTAGTTTCTTTCCGCAGATCAGTGTGCAGGCATGGGCCTCAGGGGTAGCAGTATCCATCCTGGCACCTTTAGGTTGATTCTTTGCAGGACAGCATCGGTTCGTGCACTGGTGCTTGCCACAGGATCGAAGGCCTCGACACGGCTTCTCGCATGTGGGCTGCTTGTTGCCATAGAGATTCATCTCGGAACAAATACGTTGAAAATGCGTGGATTCGCAGCGACAGTCGACTATGATCGTTGACATGCATGGTCCACATACTTCAAGATGGCACTTTTGCATGCATTGATGACCACACTTCAGAGTCTTCTTGCACGTCCCGTCGCATACTGGAACCGGATCCGTGCAAATTTTCCGCGATTTACCCATGAGTAGCGCCTCGATGGTCCTGGACCCGCACGGGCAAGTCTTGACGACCTCGGGTCTACTTGGACACTTCCCCGCTTCTTTGTCCATTGAATGACACGGCTTTGTGCACTCGTGGTAACCACAAGCGAGAGGTCTAAAATGCAAAAAAAAAAAAAAAAAACCAAGTTCACTTATATGAGTAGGGGTCTATTTGATTGGCAGCGTTTAGAGGAACGCGTCTGTGTCCATTCGATGTACCTATGGCAACTGTCCTTGCACTCATAAAATCCTGTTGCCTCTACCCCGTCAATAAGCGTTGTTCGTGATTCTCCCTCGCCGCAGCGTACTTTGCGCTCATGTTTGCCGCAATAGCATCTTTGTATCTGCTCTTCCTCACAAGGCGAGCATAATCCAGGATGGCAGACGGAACTGCATATGTGCTGGCCACATCCCAACAATTCTCCGCAGGCCTGATCGCAGGACTTGCCGGTCTGGAATGAAAAGTCGGTGTTGACGCAGCGCAACTGGAAGGTCTTGTTACCGCAGTAGCAAGATTGAATCGGGCCGAGGCCGCCGCATGGAGGACATGGACCAGGATGGCAAGGGCTGAATAGTTGAGACAAATAATGTCGAGATTTTTAAACAAATGTGCCCTGGAATGAAGACCATGCAAAGATGTCAGAGTGGCACGGAAACATACATGCTACACGAGTGAGAGCAGTCTCTGGAGCGTCCGCAAAGCTCTCCACAAGAGTGGGGTGTGAAGTATCGATTGAATTCAGGCTCGTGGTTCTTGCCGCAAAAGCAATTGTACTCCTCGGGAATAAACACTTGCGTGTTCTGGCATCCCGGACATCTCCAGCCTGCTCTTGAGTTATTAGAACCTGATTTGTGCGACCATACAAGACCATTAGTCACCAGCTCAACTATCACAGTCAGCTCATAATTGAGGCTCATGTTACCTTCAGACGACTTTTTGGCCCAGGTCGAGAGGCAGTCGAGATGGAAGGCAGCCCAGCAAACCTGACAATTCCAAATCTTGTGGGCAGGGCGGATGACATCCCAGCAGACCATGCAGTCATACGTGGAGTTGGTCAATCCGACTGTCAGCGCCTCCATCAGATCGCGATTTTCCTCGACCTTGTGCACAAACTTGATAGGAGTACGAGGCATCGTTTGATTGATAGCGCCTCTGCGTGCTGATCGATCAATCACTGAACATGAAGGTTTTTCGGCCTCTGCTGCGTGTGATGTGCGGGTAAATGAAAATGTGCTTCCCGCCAAGTCCTTTCGCCGGTCCCGCAGTTTCCTGTTGCTGCTTCCAGTATTGACGTTTTCGGTGGCGTTGTGAGAGCTGCGAGGGTGCGATGGACCAGATCCGTCTCCTTGCGTCTGGGGGCGGTCATTCACCGATCGTAAGAGCTTCAATCGTCGTTTCGACTCTGAAGGATGCCATGAGCGATCGACGCTTTTGCCATTCCGGTCGTTTTCACGTTCGCGTGAGCTAGAGGGTTACAGATGATGATTTTGACGTCGCCTTGGTCGTCATCGATGCGTGCGGACGGTTTGCATGCATTTGTACTGTTATGTCGAGAGCGCGCGCCCTTGCTTCTGTTGCTGTGCAGATCTAGATTATCTGCAGATTTTGACTGGGGGACAAAGCCCTGGGCTGCAGGGTTTAACTGTAGTCTTCTCGAATAAGACTGTCCCTTGATACCACTTGCAAGGTTGTCATGCTCGCTGTGCCGGTTGACTTGGCTGTTCTTGCTGCGCTTGTCTAGTTGTATACTTGTGGCGGTGTTGTCGATAGTTGAAGTTGTGTTGATGAAATGTGGTGCAAATTGCGCAGGTGCGGCAGATGTGCTCGAGATGATATCAGCCATGGGCCGGTTAGATGGGGCTGTTGACTGGGTTACGCTGATGTATGGTATGTTGAGCGGCGCAGTGGGCAGGAACAAAGCAGTGAGGAATGAAGAATGATCCTTGAGAAGTGAAAAGGTGGTAGCTGTGGTGGGTGTTCACAGCTCCACTATCCAGACTTTTTATTCGCGTTCAGGATAGGGCTCTATTCCTGCGGAAAAAGCCACCCGCAGCTGCAACCTTGTGGGCGCGGCGAGCAAACGCCCTGAAAATTAGGTTCATAGCCCAGACACGCTAACCCATTTCGACAAGTGCCAACAGGGGAAGGAAAGAGCGGGCTGAAAAAGGTGAACTGGAGCATTCGCTTTCCATCGGGGATTGGCCAATTGGAGAGACAAAGGGCGCGAAAAAAAAATATAGCATGTGCGCATGCAATACTACAATATAGATAGGGCTGTATTCGCAAGCGAGAAGGACGTCGCATTCTCTCATCCACTTCCGATTCCTCATTCACTCTCAGAATCATCGTAATTCCACAATTGCGATTCATGGGATTCACAAAAACCTACAAGGACGGGACCACTCCCACGGTCGCCATTATCGGAGCAGGGTAAGCTCATAACTACCAACTGCCTTGTTTATATTGAAACCGACCGTTAAACCGTAATATTCACTTACTTTCCTAGCATTTCTGGCCTTTGCGCAGCAATCCAACTACAACGGCAACTCCAGTTGACGACTTACACGGTTTTTGAGCTCGAGTCCGACATTGGCGGAACCTGGTTGAACAACTCTTACCCAGGATGCCAATCGGATGCGCCTATTCATCTCTACAGTTACTCCTTCGCCCCGAACTACGACTTTTCCAAAAAGTTTGTTCCGCAGAGTGAGATACTGGCATATCTCAAGGCAACAGCCAAGACATACAACATCTACGACAAGATTCAGTTCCAGACCAGGATTATGACCATGCAATGGCATGAGGGACGCCGAAACTGGATCTTGCATTGGGTCAAGAGCAGTACTGGCGAAGAGGGGGCTTATGAAGTAGATGCGATCATTCATGCGACGGGTGTGCTCCGGTTGCCCAACATCCCAAAGGAGTTCGAAGCCTTTGAAGGCAACAAATGGCATTCAGCCAGATGGGACCATTCAGTTGATATCACTAACAAACGCGTCGGTGTTGTTGGAATCGGTGCTAGGTAGGACTTCACATCAACTAGAGTATCGTGCTACGGCAACAAAATCCACCCACTGATGATTGTCCGTTTATTTGTGACCAATGTCATAGTGGTGTCCAGATTGTGCCAGCGATTGCAGACAAGGTGATGTCCTTGGATATCTACGGGCGCTCTCCATACTACATCACTCCACAAATGAACATTACCTACACGCGCCCCTGGAAGTTCCTCTTCCGTCATGTACCGTTCTTCTACACGCTGTACAGAATGTTTTGGTTCCATTACGTAGACTCTACGATCCTACTCTATCACAAACTGGCTTGGTACTCTGTTTTCCACCGCGCTTTTGTCTACCTGGTCACCTGGTTTCACCGCTTCTTACAGTTCCCCTTCAATGGAGAATTGAGACGCAAAACAACGCCGGAGTATCAAGTCGCGTCCAGACGAATTATTCTCTCTGACAGGTATTATCCAACATTGAAAAAACCGCATGTTATGCTGCATAAGGATCCGATCGTCTCGATTAAAGATAAGACGATTGAAACAAGTGGTGGATCCAAGCGGGAGCTGGATGTGTTAATCCTTGCGACTGGATTTGACTGGATCTCTAACTTCCCGGTGGGCTACTGGACAGGCCGAGGTGGTATCGATATTGCGACAAATTGGGGTGAAAGCCCCATCACTTATTACGGCACCTGTGTTCCTGATGCGCCTAACTTTTTCTTGATCTGGGGACCTAATGCCGGCATTGGTAAATGTTTATTGGCTTTCGCCCATGTTTTCTTGCCATTTCTCTTCTGATAGATCTATTACAACAAATGACTAAAATGCATTACTTATTTTAAATCCTGCGATAGCTCACCATTCTCTGACAACTATGATTGAGATCCAAGTCATGTACGCGATCAACGCCCTATCATATATGATGGAACAAGATCTCGATTCAATGGGGATCAAGCAATCGGCTGCCGAGGAGTTTCTGAATACTCTGGATCGAAGAATGGAGCGTACGATCTTTACTACTAAAGTCAAGCCGAAGTTCATCAACAGCAAGGGGAAGTGTCGCGGATTTTGGTGGGGCAGTGTCACCGAGTTTTGGTGGCACATGAAGGACCTTCATCCGGAACGGTTTGATACGGAAAAGAGAGGAGAGCTATCAGGCGAAGTGCTCCTGAACGGCACCGCGTCGCGACCGGAGAAGAAATCCATCGGAGGATAAATATTGCTAAAGCCGAATCGCGATAAAAACGCGTCTCTCGACCGCCCTGACCCAACTCGATCCGTAGACCACGGACTGCTGAATAAAAATACTGCTCTCAATTTGAGAAGCGTGTCTCTCTTAAACACTTCGCGACCAGCAACTCTGCGCGAAACTCAGTTGCAGCACTATTCGCACCATCCTGGATCCAGCTCATTCAACAACATTTCAACGCAAAGAGCTATATACGTAGAGACGAACAAGGACACACGATGCACATCATCAAGCCTGAGTGGGTGTGTCATCTTGGTATGACATCTATGGAAACCCACCATTGACACCGCAACCAAAAGTGAAACACACCGCGTGCAGCGATTTAACAAAAGCAATTTCATCTTGGAATGGAATAGACGAAAAGGCAAAGAAGGCGCCCATTTACTCTCTGCATGTGCATCCAGATGGAACACGACTCGCCACCGGTGCTCAAGGTATAACCCAAGCATTTGTCTAGTATGTCAATCCTTTGGTGTATGCTGGAGACTAAAGACATTTGGATCTTGCACACATTTTATCCGCAATAGACGCAAAAGTAAAGATATGGAACCTGGCACCGATCATTGACGCAGAGGAGGATCAGGATCCAGATGCACGGCGACACCTCTGCACCATGTCGCTCCACAACGGTAATAACCCAACCATGCCTGATTCAACTATTACTTGAACGTCGGCGGATCCTCGAGTACTCATTATTCCGACATGGTGTATTTTTTTGGTCTGCATAGGTGCGGTACTATGCGTAAAGTGGTCTAACGGAGAGGGAAAATACTTGGCAACCGGATCTGACGACATGATTGTAATGATCTGGCAACTGGATAGGTATACCGCTACTGAATTCATTGTATGCAATACAATTTGGTGGCCAACAGGATCCAGCATTTCTATAACTAATCCACGTATTCTCTCCGTCGAATATTTGTATACAGGTCATCTGAATCATGGGGAGGATCTTCGTTCGGCAACTCGGACGGTCCGAATGTAGAGAACTGGCGCGGAGTAAAACGTCTCTCAGGACACGAATCAGGTACAGGACCGAGATCGTGGCGGATGCGCTAACATCAGACAAAAAAGCTGTATTATCCGGGAACTGACTTTTTTCGACTTTTCCTTGATGAACCATAGATGTTACAGACGTGGCCTGGTCACCAGAAAACACATACTTAGCTTCCGCTGGACTGGATTCGAAGATCATAATTTGGGATGGCAGGACCTTTGGTATGTTTACTTCAGATAGAAACCGCTTTGTCCCTGAAATAACATCACTAATGTGTCTTAATGTAATTTTATAGATCGCGTCATTACACTGGATCAACACCAAGGATTTGTGAAAGGACTTACATGGGATCCTGTCGGAAAATATATGGCGTCCCAGGTATGTCAGTCTTTTTGCCATTCACGACCAGCGGAAGGCGGCTTTTTTCATGCATATTTACGAAGGGCTTGTTATATGCTATTTTTATAGTCAGACGACAAGTCTGTCAGGATTTGGAGAATCACGGACTGGGAGGTAGAAGTGGAAGTCACTGAGCCGTTTCTCACATCCTCAGGGACGACGTTTTTCAGGAGACTAAGGTAATATATTGTCCAGAGATATCTTTGTCCATGCATCATGCTATGCGATATGGCCCTCTAATCATACATATCTTGGATACATCTAGCTGGTCCCCCGATGGTGGTCATATTGCTACAGCTAACGCATTCAACGGATCAATACCAGTGGCATCTGTAATCACGAGAGACAACTGGAAGGCAGATATCTCGTTGGTGGGCCATGGTGCGCCAGTGGAGGTTGTCGCGTTTAATCCCTTACTATTCAAGTACACCGACAGTGCTGGAAACGCTGGATTCACATCTATATGTGCTGTTGGGAGTCAGGACCGGGGACTAACTGTCTGGAGGACGCACGAGCCCAGGCCTTTTGTAGGAATCAAGGAGCTTTTCGAGCACAGTTTCCTGGATCTCAGCTGGACACCGGACGGTCAATCGCTTTTCGCATGTTCATATGACGGTACTGTCGCTGTACTTCTCTTCCAATCAGAAAATTTGGGAGAGGCTGTCCCGGCTGAAGAACGACATCGACTGTTGGCCAAGTACGGATATGAGAGGCGCGGAGAAATCATGGCAGAGACTCCGATCCAGCTTGCGATGGAGGAGCAGCTAAAGGAGAGTTCCGCAAAATCGAGAATGGATGAACTGATGCAGCATGATTCGTCCATGGAAGGTGTCACATCCACGTTCGCCAAACCGTCAGATCCAAGCGTCTTCGCCAATACAACCACTAGATCTTCGTCCACTGCTACACCGGCTCCACTACCTGCGCGGCCGCAGACGCATATCGTGGCTAGTGAGCAGACAGTCACTATGACGAGCGACGGAAAGAAGCGGATTAAACCACTCTTCCTAGGAAACGGCATGGGCAGTGTACCAGTGACACCTTTCGCTCAACCTGCGGCGTATGCTGTAGTAAGTATTACGCTCTGTCATATTGCTGTCATCTTACATCTTTTTGGATAGTATATCTAATATATAATGGTTCTGTTCATGCGACCTGGTTTTAGGGAGGACAAGGTGGAGCAGCAAGAAGGACCAGCTCCGTTGAACGGGGTAATCCCTCAATGGCTATCCCGGATGGTGGATTCCCCACTGTCATTATCGGGACCAAACGCAAAGACGCACCAACAAACGGAACAGCCGTGGCAGGAGGACCCGCCAAAAAGGGTCCAGATGCTGCCACAAAGGGCAAGGGAGCACCACTGAAAACTGAAGAAGAGACCATGTCCAGGACGGCCATTGCGTCGCCACTGCTCGCAGTGTCAAAAGTGAGGCTAGGCGTGCCTCGAGTCCGATCGCATATTACTAGGAACAGGGTCGGGATGGAGTGCCATAACAGCTTAACTGGAGACCAGCCATCCAAGGTCATCAACAGTCAAAAGGGAGCTGTGGTGTGGGTCGACTATTTGCCCTCACCGGTACTACTCATGACGGGGAATTCGCACTTTAGTGCTGTTGCTTGTGAAGATGGAGGGCTCTATGTATATTCACTCGCCGGAAGGAGGTAATGCAAGCAAGCATCTGCCGGCTTTCTGTACTTTTATTTGTATGTGAATGACAACACTTGTTCTGCTTACTGACACCCGTTATTTCCTTGTCCTCTCGTAGGTTAATGCCGTGTATATTGCTAGACTCGGCTGCAACATTAATGGAGTGCGATAATGAGTATCTCATGGTTCTTACCTCATGTGGACTTGTCAGCTCGTGGTACGATCCAGAAAGTCGGCGTACTCAATTGACCATTTCTTGCCTTTTCTGATACGATCTAATATCTGATCCTAACATCCCGGTATGTTCTGATTCTCTAGGAATGTCATCCAGCAAACTGCAATCTTGTCTTCTATATCAATTTCACCCATTCTTCAGCCATCAACTCATACGAGTGATATTGCTTCAAGCTCAGTCTCTATCACCTCGGCTGCTGTCCGCCAGAATGGGTTACCTGTTCTCACAACCTCAGCTGGCCAAGGATACACCTATCACGAAGGAATGAAGGTCTGGGTCAAGGTCATTGACCCATGGTTTGCCATATCATCCTTCTTTGGCACAGATCCCATGCTGGGCGGCCGCGATTCCTTTGGAGATATTGCTCCTTCCGTACCACTAAAGAAGGGCGTACTATCGCATCTTCAAGCTGCTGCAACTGGTGGACGATTGGAAAAGGACGTTGCCTTCGCTCAGGAGCTTCTGAATGTCGAGGAATCCGTGCAGAGTGTGGTGACACTCACCCATCTGGAGGTACGGCGCATCAATTGCTCGCAGAACACAGTACCCCCACAGTTGATAACGATACATGGTTAACAGAATTCTTGTTTATTTATTACAATAGAATCAAATGGCTGCGGCGCAAGTTCTTGGTTCACCTTCAGAGTACAAACAATGGTTGCGGTGCTACGTCCAGAGACTCTCCGACGAGAGCTCTGTGGCAAGAGTCGAGGAGCTCTGCAAGTACTTGCTGGGACCAATGTATCAAGGGTATTGTGCCTTAAAATCAATATTGCAATGGGTTGATATGTGGTCATGGAATGTTGTTAACAATCTGGTCTGTTGCTTAATTAATGGATTGATTAGAGGAGAGAAGTCGGGCTGGCAGCCAACGATACTCGGATTCCAGAAGCGAGAACTGCTGAAGGAGCTGCTCCCTGTCCTGAGCTCGAATCGGGCGCTGCAACGAGTTGTCAAGGAGTATCTGTCGGGATTGGAGAAGGTGACCAAAGTGAGTGCGAGTGCGAGTCCAACTTCAACCAAGTCTTGAGGGACCCACATCGCATACAATTGGACCACATTCACTGTGCCACCAGGGACAATCAATAAAGTTTCTTGACTGTTCAGGTACAAACCTCACTCTGCCTTTTTGTTTCGCTTGCCTCTTAATTCTCACCTTTGAGGTTGATCATTCTTTTTCTCATTTCATCTGCTCATCGTCTAAAAGAACGAGTGTCAACTTTTTTACTCGCACTTCAAGGACACTCTTGCTCTGTTATTTTTTCTACTCCCTACTGCATCATCGTTTCACGCCAACCATGGCGACCTCATTCGTTCAGTTGTTCACGGCCTTGTACGAATGGACCAAGGAGTGTCCAACAGACCTCAAGAAAGATCTCGATGAGTTCTTTATGTCGAAAGAGTTTCTCGACCGGCCCGAGGTCTTTTACAAGGGTAAACTATCACTCCTGCATCCCTCGGTCCCATCATCTGGTGTCATATAACTCATGGATTTTTTCTTATTCATCTATGGTTTCGCACAGGCTTTGAGGACTCTAGCGAAAAGTGGGTGGCACTCATCACGATGAAGGGCGTTGAAGATACGCACGCAATGTTGCTCAATCATTTCCAGTATGATTTTATGAAGCTGCACGAGGCGCGGGGAACGTTCTCCCAGGTGTCGCCGGCACCTCAGATGCCGAATGCCGCAGCATACAACAAGTTCGTCAAGGATCTCTCCAAGGCCAATAGGATCCTCAGGGCCAAGAAGACGGTCCGAGGATGGGCTCGGGAACTGGACCGGGCGACTGAGATGGTCATGATCGCGCCAGGTGTCGTCGAATCGACGGACGCGTCAAACCCTACCTCGTATACACCATTGCCGTCACTCCTCTCGACTTCAGAAAAATCTGCAGCCTCGTTTGGAATGTGGTTTATCTCTGTCGATATTGAATCTTATGAACGCGAACACTCCAGAATCCTTGAAATTGGTTGGTCTATTTGGGAGTCGCGTGTGAACAAGTTCGTGGATAAGCACTATGCCATCGCGGATTATCGACATCTCAGGAACGGGAAGTATGTGGCGGATCGAAGGGATCGATTCATGTTTGGCGAGACCGTCTGGGCGAGTCTGCGGGATTCGATCACAGCCTTTCAGGAGGACCTTCAGGCGGCCGCTAGTCGGAACGCGGAGGGTATCTTTGCGTTGATTGCCCATGATATGTCGAGCGATGAAGGGTATCTGAAGAAGATGGGTGTGGTGTTCCCGAAGGGCATGATCAAATTTGACACGTTGGAATTGAACGGCGCCAGAGCTGGGGATAGCAATAAGACGGGACTGGGCAAGTTGTTGGATGAGCTCAATATCGATAACTATTGTCTTCACAATGCAGGTAAGCAAGGTGCCCCTTGGTTTGCTGAACTCGTTGGCATGGTTCATTTGCATTACTTCGGCTTGCTCACATTGTCTTCTTTTCTGTCCGATCTTATTGTAGGAAATGATGCTCATTACACCTTGGAGCTCTTCATGTATCTCGTTCGCAACAATGCCAAGGTTAAGGCTGAGGCGACATTGTTATAATCTATTGTTGGTCAGCCATGAGCAACTGTATTGTATTATATTGCACATTATTCTTTTTTTCAGGCTTAAGCGCATATCCCCAATGCTATACGATGGAGTCCATTCCTCGTCCTCTCCGTCGGATTAAAAGTTTTCTATATCACAAAATGAAGAAAGCGTGGTTTTTTTTATGGTCAGCATGACTTGCCTAGCAAACACAACAATCCATAATAAAATACGCTCCATCGATCAATCGTAAATACCTTTATGGAATTTGAACTTGTACTTGCGCGCGCAGCGGTGGAGGGTCTTACCAAGTGGTTTAGGTCCACAAAAAAACACACCGACCTGGCCATGCTCTCTCGGATGCGCTTGCGCTAGCTCACCAAAGATCTTGTCAAAATTGGGCCTACCATAATACGTTGGCGATCGCAAACCTGTAATCGCATCACGATCGCGTCCTTCTAATAGCCGCAAGGTTGAGAAAGTTGTCAAAAATGGATTACAATGTCTGCGTTATAGAAAATAGATGCTCGAGGCCATTTGCGGGTACCTGAGAGTATATCAGTAGATGGGTTCGATAACTTCTCTTCCTCCTCCTCTTCTTCGTCTTGATCTTGTTCCTGCGCATACGTTTCATTCCCGTCGTGTCTTTGTTGCTTGCGCTTCAACAGCCGCTCCCGCTTCTTATTCTGCGTCCTCAAATGGCGTGCGGCTGTCATCGCTGCCGAAGCCCTGGCCTCCAGCAGGACCGTGTTCATTTCCTCTGCACCAAGTTCTCCAGTCAGATAAGACCGGATCTCGAGGAAATCGGACATGTTCTGTTCCTCGAGTGCGATCAGTAGATCTTGGAACCATTCGAATGCCTAGGATTTACCAATATGTTATTAGAAAAGATATCTCCAGTCATTCTAGGGTTGGGACTCATGATTAGAGATGGCTTACATCGCGATCGCGGCAGACCCAGAAGAAGTAGACCTTTCGGAGAGTGATGATTTTGGTCGGCTGCATGACGCTGTACCAGATATGTTTCAGCACGCTTGCGAACGGGGTTACGCCGATACCCGCACCGACCAGGACGGCGATCTCGTAGTTGAACGCGTCTTCGCTAGGAGAACCATAAGGTCCGTCGAGGAGCACGCGTGGGAGGGTGATGGCTTCAATGCTTGGCTGCAGGACACTTGTTGCGAACACTGTCATGGAAACATGTTGGGAAACAAAAATTAAAATGTAAGGCATTTGTGTTTGAATATTTGCTATGCGGCGAAGTCCTTCAGCTGCATATTGTTACCTGATGCACTGGCCCGTGCTCTCGCTGCACTACTCCCAGATCCAAAGGGAGCCGTCGCCGCGTTACTCGACGATACCCCAGAGCTCGACCCTGTAGCACCACTCTCGCTTGAGCCATGACACCCACCCCTGTTCCGATTCATCAATTCCTCGATCCAGAACTGCTGCTCATCATCAAACGAACACCCCAATCTCCTTGCGAACGCCGCTGTCCAATCTCCGACCATCCGAATATGCACACTCACATAATCCTCCTCCGGAGCCGACGTGATCGTGAATGGATGCCACTCCCACATCGAGATATCCGGACAGTTCAGAAACACGTACTGCCCAGCCTTGGCCCGAAAATATGATTCCCCGCCTCCTTGTTGATTCTGCTGTCTTTCCTTCTTAATCTGGACTTCGACGACTTTTGATGGATGCAGGACAATTTTGGAGATAGTCGTAGGTTGGCGGGCCCGGATCTCGCGTACGGTGCGTTCGAGAATGTAGACACAGAAAGAACCAAGGACGAACTTGTAGGATCCCGGGGAGGACTTGCAGTAAGGGGGAGAATCGGCTCGGATGAAGCAAAAGGCACCGTGGTACATGAGTATCAGAAAAAAGAGGATGAAGAGGTGATGTGTGTACCAAAATGTTTCGAAGCGCTTTCCGCGGACGCGCTCTATTCAAAAGGACAGAAGTAGTCGCTGAGTTGGACAAGTTGTAAAAGCAATAAAGAGTGGGGGCACGTATGGAAACAAGACTTACCAACGGAGGATGTCACCATCAGAAAGAGGATCAAGAGGAGCGCATGCCCCGTAGCTCCAGGCCCCGTCATCACAGCCATGTACTGCGCACTCCTTGCTCCCGCTTGTCCTTGCTCTTCTTGATGCTGCTGCTCGTGTTGTTCCAGATGATAATAATTCACATAGTGTCCAACGACATGTACGACCGAGAACACGACTATCGACCAGGCGACAGTCTTATGGAACATGATGTTCTTATCAAACGGCAAGATATCATTCAGAAACGTCGATCGCAATAACGAAATCAGGTTCCGACAGACCGAGAACAGGATGAGTCCACAATCAAAGTTGATGACTGCAGCGGATCCACGCGCGATGCCCAGGGTTGTGCCGAAGGTCTTGCGCGCTTGGGTGTACCGGGTCGAACGGTTGTAGATCTCGAAACTGAAGTAGAAAATCAGGAGTTGGAGCAGGCACCAGAGGCAGAGGAAGAGTACTCGACGACCTATTTTGGGTGTTGTAAGGTCATTCAAGCGGTTATTTTCAATTGGGATGTCGCGGAAAGAAAAGTGATATATCGTACCTTCATTCAGCATAAACCGGTCCATCCTGGCTCTCCATGTCGGCCGCTGCGGGATCCCCAAAGATGCAAATTTTTGTGCAATAGCTTTTTCGATACTCCTCTGACTAGGTGACATGGGCAACACGTTCCTGGATGACAATGGTCTGGGTAGCTTCAATATACTCGAACTGCTGTCCAATGACCCATTGGATGTCTGTTTTTCCTTTTCAAAAGACCCTTGCTGGGATGCTATGGTAGCGGTCTCGGTGCTTGCTGTAGCGGAGTCGTCGTTAGTGCTCTGTGGCATAGATGGGTCGTATAATTGACAGACTTGACGGTGGGTGATCTGCTTGGCCTGCTCTGAGCGATCATGGTTCTTAACCTGATCTTGTTGCTCTGACGGCAATTGCGATTCTTCGTCAATACGGTTTTCGTCCATGGTAGTGTATTCTGTGCTCCCTCTGACCTCGGCCGCTACACTGGTTCAGATACGAATGTGCAAAAAGTTGGAATGGAATGAGAAAGAGATGCGTCCCAGGCTTTCCGTCAGACTTTCCGCCTCCATTGTCGCCAGTCAACCTTGGAGGCATAGCATTGAGCGAGCATCAGTAATATATGTTTCAAGGGCAAGGCTAAAGGACATATAGGAGGTTGATAACAGCCGCACTGGCCAATACTGGCTCTCCTTTCAGTCTGCCCTTCCCCTGAATTGTCTCCCTTTTTTGGGAATGCCTAAACCTTAATGCCTCCCCTATGATGTGCTTTGAGTTTTATTTGAGGTTGGCAATCATCCTCAGGCTGTCATAGTTCTGTCTAAACCTTCCCGCTCCCCATCTCTCTCGAACGATGCAGAGGACACTGGACTACTGCCGCCGGCTGTACTGCCATCGTCATCCCTAGCTCCATGTCCAGAGCCATCTCGCCGACCTGACCGACGTCTGTTAGACCTCCCTAACCTTGCCTTCACAGAATCCAGCAGCTGCTGTCGTTGATCGCCAAATCGCCACACTTTCAAAAGCGCCTCGATCTCCTGGATTCGACTAATTGACGCTGCGGCAACAGCCAAAGACTTTGGTGTGACCACACTGCTCATAACATTGGTGTTGCCATTGTGCCCCTGTCCTATCTGGAGAAGACTGCCATTGCTGCTGACGCTGCTGTTCCGTCGATGGTGCGGCTGAGACTGACAACGTGAAGAACTTGATGACTCCATTGATGAACGTGCAGTTCCAGCATCACTGCCCTGCTGTGGCAGTATGCCCGCGTTCAGGGTATTCAGCATCTCTTCCGTTACCTGAAGCGCATCGTCCAGTACATGGATCTCACTCATTACCAAACTGGTCTCCAACAAGACTGCCACAATCGGTCGCATACCCAGTCGGATCGCCCGATAGAGGACATGCTGATTCTTTGGACTCGCCGGCGGATATGGGTCATCGTAGTTCAGACTGTTCTCCAGGTTCACGCCACAGTCCACAATCAGCCAGCGCATCATATCTGCCAGCTTCTTCAAACTCTCCTCCTTGGCCTCCTCTTCAGGCGAAAGAAGTACATTTCCACCATTCGCCAAATCTGGCTGCGTTGGGCCCGTGATCCCATTCTCTGCAACTGTGCTTATTCTGGCAAGATTCGGCCCTGTGAATGAACTGCTGGTCGATATAGTCGTGATCGATGACCGTTTCCGGTTATTTCCACCAAACTGTCCAAGCATACTACCACCAGAGATACCAAGTCCAGAGCTTGCAGCGGCAGGAGGGCCATTACTGCTGCCATTCACCCCAGAGCCTCCGTTAGCGTTCACCTCCAATGCAGCCAGTCGATCAATACTCTTGCTCTTCAGCAAGACCTGAATCACGCCGTCTTGTCGTTTCGTCAACGCGTTCACGTCCGCTCCCGCATCCACCAAAATCTTGAGCGCTGGCGCTGGATCCTGGTTGTAATGTGCGACAAAATGTAACGCCGTCCACTGGTTGCTATCCCGAGCATTAACATCAATGTCCCGCGTCAAAAGCAACATCATCGCATCCAGATAGGGCTTTTCGCTGGCGCTCAGCAAATGAAGTGCCGTCCACATGACTGGGCCTTTGGCATTCACATCCGCTCCGAAATCTAACAACAACCGCATCGGTTCCAGCGGCGACGACTTTGCTCTCTCGGCCAGGTAGTGCAGAGGTGTTTGGCGTGCAGAACTAACAGCATTCGGGTTGGCACCTCGATCGAGCAAGAAATTTAGCACAGCCGGCGAAGGGTTCGGCCGTGAGCACAAGTGATGTAAAATTGTCTGTTTGGTTTTTTGGTCGAACGCATTAATCTCGGCTCCCCTGTTGATCAGTAGCTCAAGAACGGCGATATTTGGTACTTGATTAGGATTATCCAAATCAGCAACCGTAGAGATCAATGGTGTGTAGTCTGTGACAGGATCCCGCTGGTTGACAGAGATTCCCTTTGAAAGTAACGAGTTGATGGCTTTGGTGTCGCCCTTGACAGCTGCTTCCCAAATCTGGATATCTTTGCGTTTTGGAGATGCGGGTGGGGAGTTGAGGGACATGTCCAGTGCTTTACGGAGGATAGATGTTCGTTTCCTGCCCTGCGATGGCGACTTTGGCGTGAGAGGCTCAATAAGCGATCGCGTACTGAATCCGCCTGATACACTTGGTTCAGAAGGCGTTGCACCAGATTCTATACACAAATACGAGCGACACATTGTTATAATGTCATTGAGGACGACTTGTCTCGAAAATGCAAATCTTCCTTGAATATAAAGCTTATACCTGCAATGACTGTGGGTATCGTGACAACAGAGATCAAAGAGATCGGCTTCTTAGCGTTCAATTGAATACCTGTGGTGCCTTTGTTGATGGGCTCGCGCACATGAAGATCAAACGACGTGTTTGCCATCTCTTTCAACTGCGATCGGATGACAAACAGGCCTGGACGCTGGGCCGGGTCGCGCGAGCATATCTTTCGGATCAATGACTCCATGGCACTCGGTAGCGATAGCGTCCCCTGAGGCGTTGACATGGTTGGTAAGGGCGCCGATGACTTTCCTGGTGCTGCTGGTGCCTCTCTGAGTCGGAGGTGGCCGTCAGCAGAGGAGGAGGTGAGGAAGTGACTTGCATGAGATCGGTGCCCCGTCAAGATCTCCAGCATGATGACTCCGAGTGAATAGATATCGGACGCGGTCGTGCACGGGTTCAATTCTGGGTTGGCGAGTCGTTCAGGTGCTGTGTATATCAGTCCCTTTTCAAAGACACCTCCTGAATGGACCCATCTTGCTCCTGGTTTTGGACTGGTGGGTGGGTTAGAATCGGCGGCTGGTTCAGGTCCGCGAACAGATCTTGACGTCTGCCCAAAATCTGTAAGAACAGCAGTGGGTCCGTTTTCGATCAAGACGTTGTCGCTGTGCAAGTTCATGTGCAGCAGACCATGGTCATGTAGATATAACAGCCCGTTTGCGACTCCTCGGATCAGCCTGATCTTGTCCATCCAATCTAGCGCGACCCCTTGAGGCGATTTTAGGAATTCATGAAGCGTTCCATGCGCAGACGGTTTTGTCACTATCCAATCCCGCGCACCACCGAGTTGTTGCATTGAAGACGTAGCTCCTGCAAGCCCAGAATTCGAGGAGAGGGAGAGCGAGGAAATGGACATGGTCATAGAGCCATGAGTGCCAGCTTTAGCTCCATTTGAGGGATAATTAGGGCTTGTAGAGGTTGCGGAGGGGTGCTCGCGCGTTGCGCCATAAAAGACGACAAGATTGGGTGCCTGAGGGTGGTCGCGCAATTTACTGAGGGCATGCAGCAGGTCGCGAAAGTCCGCGGGGTGACGACAGGACTTGAGGACGACGGGCTTGTACTCTGGCTCATCTAACCGCGAGGTTGAGGACTGAGCTGAGGAGGTGGAGGAGGCGGATGAGATCGAGTGTACAGAGGCAGACGAGTTATGGGCAGGCTTAATAAGTGTCCCTCCATGGACCTCGGAGTATTCTGTGGCCTTTATAAGCGGATGCTTTATGATCTAACGGTATCATATTAGCAGCATCAAGTCAAGAGCATTTTTTGTTGTTTTAGAGTTGGTCGTGGAACTTGAAGAGAATAACATTGGACCCATTGAACAAAGTCATCTTCCTCACATCATGTCATAATGGTATGTTGTGTCCCACCACACCGCACTCCCCATACACAAACACGCAGTCGAATGTGAAGAGCAATTGCAACGGCATAGCCTACTGCTCTCAGCGGAATAATATTTCAGCAAAAGGTGCAATCACCGCCGATACTCGCCAAGCATTGCCACTGTTAAAAAAAAAAAAAAAAAAAAAAAAAAGAGCTGCCGATTGAAAAAAGGTGATACTTTTTATTCTTGTTTCATGAGGTGTTGTTTCTGTGCCTTACATTGTTAAAGTCGATAGTAGGCAGCATTGTCATGACTGGCTGGTTGGGAGTCGAATACGACCTGAGGAAAGTAGAACACGAAAATAGAGCAAAGGGGATATGGTACAAGCAGCGGCAAGGAAGATGAGGAAGAGAGCGAGCAGAACAGACGGTATAAAAGAGTGATGCAGATGCCACCAAGAAGGTTGATGAGGAGAAGGTGATGTGGAGATGGCGGCGCACAGGCAGGGAACGAAGGAAGGAAAGAGAGGGACAAGCGACGTGCGGTATGTGAGGAAAGAAAAGAAAGGAAAGTGTGGGATGGACGGGTCCTTCTTCTTTGGACGTGTAAAGTGCATACTGCGGGATCCAATTTCTGCTCCACGAATTCCAAAAGCCCAAAGGATCGCACTGCTCAAATGTTAAGCACCTGAACAAAGACGAGTATGTCAAACCGCCAATAAGGCTCCAGTAAAGAACGGTTCGCAGGCCGAGTGCGCTTCTTCTGGTGCCACTTGTTGAACATTGGTATGTTGCTAAAGCCGTCCCTGAAGATCACTCATGTTCCTGAAGATCTCCCTAGGATGTCTTTAAAATAAAATCAAGCATGAAGAGAGGATTGTAGTGGACTACTCATTTCGATAGGCATGGTTAAAGATGATATCCCTAGACAGCTACATCATTCTTTGCAAAGAGGCACGCCTATCTGTTTCGTCTAGGCTAGGGAGATGTTTGTTCGTGTTCAATTACTTGACTGACATTTGAAGTGGAGCAACACCCCGGGCTTAGAGCTTAGAGGGACACAGGCAGGGCGAGTGGCACAGGACTCCACAAATGCACTTTTACGCTCTGCATGGGAAAAAACGGGCCACTGGACTTTTGCCAGTCACCCTCAACCTGAAAGAATCAAGAAACCCTCTCTCCCCGAGGAGGTTTTGCGACCTTTTTCTTCTTTGCACCCATCCACCTCTCTGGATCACTGCCACTCTCAGGACTCACAAGGAAGACAGGACAGGAATCAGCACCATGGCAACAAAAGACAGCACACAGAGCACATTATACATCGGTACAGCATCCCAGCTTCGCTCGTTTGCATCGCGTGCAGGGTTAATCAGAAGCAGTAATCCTCAAAGGGAAGAAGTTCATGCCAGCTGATCGCCCACTTTCCCATTTCCTTCTCTGCTGAACAGGTGGTCTGGATGAGCAAGTAACGCCGCAGGTCCTCCACGCCGCATTCATCCCCTTTGGCGAGATCACACACATCGAGATTCCTCCTGATCCAACTTCAAGTACGTAGCTTCAACGTTCTTGACCAGACGCGTCATATGTCTCTTGGTCACCATGCTGACATTTCTTCCTTCTATTCAACTGAACATCATACGTGATCACTACATTGACAGTGGCACCTCATCGCGGATTTGGATTTATTGAATTCGATTTCGCAGCAGACGCTCAGGCAGCAAAGGACAACATGCATCTTTCAGAGCTGTTTGGTAGGACCATCAAAGTCAACATCGCAAAGCCATTGAGGGGCGGATCAGGGGCTGGAGGCATTGGACGGGGACCAGAGAAGGCTATTTGGGCAGATGAGGACTGGCTAAAGAAGAATGTTATGGGAGACGAGGACATGGCGCAGGAGCAGGATACAGCAGAACAATCAGCATCTTGAGAGGAACCTGCAAGGGAGGAAGTAGATGAGGGCTCAGAAGCATTATCAATAAACTACGTCCAGCTACCAGTACTCCGTCAATTGCTTCTTGAATACCGAGTGATATGCTTCTTTAGGACCAAGGGCTCATTGAGGCATATAGGAAGGTACACAGCACCCCCGTCCCTTGCTCCACTTACAAAATACCATACAACGATATATCACCATCGCTAAACAAACAAACTATAGGCTCATGACACCCAATTTTTTGAGTTGTCACACCTTTTGCTATTTTCTTTTACGCAACACCTATTCTTTATTCTTTCCATCTCTCCTTCCTTCTATCCTTCCTTCCTTTCTCTCCTTCCTTCTGTCTTTCTCCTCCACACAATGCCAGGCCTATGCGACTTGCCGCTGGAATGCCTCCAGATTATCATAGTTCATCTTTTCCACGATCATGACACGATCTCCCTCGCACGACTCCTCCGTGTTAACAAGCATATATGTACTGCAGCCCTCCCCTTTCTATACGATAACCCCTTCTGTCGAGGACTGCACGAGCCCAAAAGCACCGCTACCGATACTACCCATGCGGATCGAACTGTGAATTCTACATGGTCGGTTATGCAACTTGTCCGATTGCTCTTGCGTTTCGCCGATACCGACACCGTCACAGATCTACTGAAGGCGGCATATCTAAACGAACGGAACTCTACCGAACAGGACGATGGGTGTGAGACTCTGGATGACGACCCTGATGATGGTGTCGGTAAACGAAACGACGGACCTGAGAACAAAGGAGCGGTCGGTAATTCTCACAAGGATATGGATGATAATGTCGAACACCACCACAACAAGCACGAAATTGAGGCCAAAGCTCTCGACTCCTCAGGCATCAACTATCTCCTGTACCTTCAGCACTTTCATTCCCTCGAGGTGGAGCCGTCCCAGGGCTTTCTGTTTCGCAATGCATCTCTTCTTTCCAATAACAAATTGCAGGGCTATTTAGAATCGTCGGGGCTCAACGCTGCATATCATTCAAGAAGTCTCGACCTGGAGAGAAACCCATACCAATCACCCACAGATGCCCTCTGGCCCTATGTCGCTCTCGACCTGCGAATTCAATTAACATGGGCCCTCTGCTCCCCGGTCCTAGAGCACATCCAATCCTTGGTGATCCCGCTCTCAGATATTCGCCGGTATGCCTCCGTCATCCACCAGCTCAAGAGTCTCACCGACGTTACATTCCTGCTGGATCAAAAACTATCCTATCCAGCCTTCATTGGAAACCAACTCCTGGAGGACAATCCCAGGAAACACCAGGCAATGGAATCAGCACGTACCGAAACCCTGGATGAGATGGTGAACTTTGTCAGGACGCACACTCGACTCTTCCCTCGCCAGCTCGCTTCGGCCAATTGTCCTGACAATCAAAACTGGCCCGGCAACACACAGACGTGCCCTAAGCTCTACATGGATCAACTTCTTAATTTTCTCCCTTCACTGAACAGGCCACGAGTGATCAACAGGAATACATGGACTCAGTTCGTGTCGAAAATTGAGACCACGGATTTGTCAGAGCTTGAAGTGATGCAAGCGCCCTGTAATGATCCAGAGCGCTGGTTCAGGACTCTTTTCGACCAGCCAATCTACTTTTTACAACGCTGTCGGCAACTGAAGCAGCTCGAAATAGTTTCGTTGGGGCCAAGCTGCTTTGAATGGGCCAAAGAAGAGACACTGCTGCGCTTAAGATGGAAGCTTCATCATATGGAAGCCAATTGGTCCAGCACTCACGTTGCAATACCTACAGAGAGGCCGCTATCCCCGGTTCCACTGGAGCATGTACGCCTGTGGTGTCATTTTAGGCCCCTTGGAAACGAACTCAACAATATCATGGTGGGGTTCTCGCAAACGATCCGATCAATCGTCATTCGTGGCAGCCCTCGTCCCGCGAATTTCAGCCCTTTACCAACTGGCCAAGGCACCGAGCTCCTCAGAGCAGCCGTCGGGGAACAGCCTCTGCTGAAGAAGCTCATCGTTACGGTAGCATGGGGACAATACTGGCTTGCACAAGGCTGTGTACTCCGCTGTCCAGAGTTGGAGCATTTCGAGATGGAAGACGAACCGATCGCGTACTCCTGTGCTGATATTGCGGCCCACTTTAGCCGGCTGAGCTCGTTCGACCATGCGCCGCAGCTGTGTTTAAAGAACATTCGACTCGAGGGCACACCCGCGTTGACGTTCCAACCAGAGCTCCTTGGTGTGATGCCGCTGTTAGAGACCCTATCCCTGGGCGTCAAGTGTATGGGCGGTCGATGCTATATCCCCAGCGTGCATGATCTTTTGCTGCATGACGCAAAGAGTAATAACAGGGTCGACAACAGTGCCTACCGGAGCTGCTTCGTATCAACCGTACCACATAGACCCAGGAAGCGACCCTTCTGGAGCTGGGACTGGTATCTCCCGCGATTGCAACACTTACAACTGACGGGCGAGTTCGCCTGGCGATTCCAGTTCAAGATGCTGGTCGGCTGTCCGAACCTTGAGTCCTTGATCCTCAACATGGCCACCCAAGACGACCGCGAGGCGGTGGTCGAACCCGAAGAAGTTGAGCCCGTGAACAGACACAGTTCTTATCAGCAAACACAACTAACGCAACTAACGCCCACACCGATAACGGCGACATACGACGAGTACCAGCATTTGCGTACGATTCAGATACAGGATTTGCTCATTCCGACGGGTAGCACCAACAACGACGACAACCACGGCCATGACGATGACAGCAACTCTTCTTCAAGCAACCACCAACACACTTCACATACACCCTTCGGTGACGATCGAATTATACGGATGTTGAAGCTGAAGACCCTACTAATCCACGGCCGCTGGTGCATCTCGGACACCGTACTATTCTTCCTCTTTGACCGGGTGATGCCACATCTGAGGACCTTGAGCGAGTCCCAATGCGTGGGGTTCTCAGCCAAGGGCTGGTTGCGTGCTACGGGGCGCCTTGCGGATCTCAAAAGCGCATGGTCGAGCAGGATCGTGCCGGATGAGAGACTGGAGGGGATGGGCTTGAGGAGGTACATCCCAGACCCGGCTCGGGAACCGGTGTTGAGGATACAAGAGGAGGAGGTTGATGGAGTGATCCAGCGCAGGTTGGTTGTGGTTACGGACGAGGATGACAAGACGTCGACGAGCAAGCGTCCGACCATCTACACGTTCAACCAAGAGATCCGCTACGTCAAACGTGCATAATAAACAAGCAACCTTTGCAAAAAAAAGAAAAAAAAGTCAATCGCAAGAGAAGATTCAGGCCTTTTTTTTTATTTTTTTTTTTATTTTGTATTTTTTTATTAGCTAACGAAAATGCTGTACAGGACGTCCTGAGTCTCTTATCCGGGAGGCAACAAGGAGGCATCGACTCCAGACCCCTCCTCCTGAACTTTGTTTTCGGCCTCAAACTCCTGCCTGTCATAAATCGGTGATCTAGGCATCGCCATCATCCCACTCCTGGCAGCCTCCAAGATCCCGAATGGCTTCACCAGCTTCACGAACGCATCCACTCGGTCGGGCTTTGCGGACAATTCAATTGCCACGCAATCACTGCTCACGTCCCGAATATGTCCCTGGAACAACTCTGTGAGCTCCCGCAGGGATTTGAGGTGGGCTTGAGTCTGACGGAGGGCATCCGAGGGAGTCATGGGGTCGGAGGCGGCTTCGTCCTGGAGGAGGAGTTGGTAATTGGGTGAACGGGAGTTCATCTGCGCACGGACGTGTTCGGGCCCGAGGATGGAAACCTTGATGAGGAGGAGTTCTCGTTGGATGAGCTTCGAGCCCGTGTAGTCCAGGACCGCCCATACCGGGACCTGGGGGGTTTTTTTTTTTTTTTTTTTTTGCAGATCGGATAAAAATAAAAGCATTATTTAAAAAAGGGAGAGAGGTGTTTTAGTGAACTTGCAGTACCTGTGCCTCAAATAATCCGATTTGCGAGAACGGCTATTGCATCGATAGAAGAAAAAAATAGGACAAACTTACAAGATCCTCAAGCTGCCTCCGTGCCTGTTCGATCGTCTCAGACTCGCCCCTCAACACAATCGTCATCCGACTCAAATCCGTAACCTCCGTCTTTGCAACCACAAGCGAGTCGATATTGAACCCCCTCCCTGCCAAGATTCCCGAGACTCGACTCAACACTCCGGGCTCGTTCTGCACCAGACAGTTAAAGACATGTCGCTGACGTTGCTGATCGCGTGTGGTCGAGGGCGTGTTATACAGAATGCTTTCCACGGCTTCTTCGGCACTGGGAGCCGCAGGGTGGAGATACTCGGATGTGAGGGCGGGATGGCGTTTGTGTGGGTGTGAGCGTTTGTAGGAGATCGCGGAGGTTGAGGAGGAGGAGTGGCGGATCTGAAGGGCTGTGAAGGCTGCGCAGGCTGATCGTCCTGTTGCGGGTGAGATCTATTCGGGGGATAGGATGGGATGGTTCTGTCAGGATGGATGGGTTTATATAGTGAGATATTTCTTTTCCTTTGTTTAAAACGATAAGCGGTGGGACAGTACCAGTGCTGTTGCCCTGCTGAGGTTGGCAGCGAGCATCCTCGAGGTCAACATGGTCAAGAAAGTAGAACGACAGAGAGTGGGGAAAATGGGGGGGCAAGGGGGGGAAAGGGAGAAGGAGTGCGGAGAATAAAGGAGTGGGCGGAAAGGGAGGCACGGCCATGGTTTATATATCGCCCGGCCGTTATCGCGCGATCTGCAGGGACGCGTTTCTCCATTTTCTTTTTTTGATTGAGATATCGCATATGTCAAACCTTGTTTCCCATGCGGGGTAGATCGCCCTCCGCCCAACAGTGACTTCGACTTCTGAATCCTGAGTCAAATTACTGGAATTACTGAAATTACTGGCAGGGCTGCTCATGTGACGCCATCCAAGAGGAGCTCCATCCATGGGCACACAAGCCTTGGTACGCCTTGGAGAGATCTGGCGTCAATTAAAAATAAAACCCCCATACGCGCAGGCCTGGGGCTGTGTGTCCATTGATCCAAGGCATCGGGTATCCACTCGTACGAGGTCCCCTGGTGTCATCCAAAGTACTGGTGCTATCGGACCTCATAGACTGAAAGCTTCCATTTTCATGCAGATCAAAAAATATGCTGATAAGGATTTTTTTTTTTTGTTATAGTGTACAGAGATAATAGTTTTTATTGTATTGTTTGTATCTTCTCAAAGGCATCGAGGTCAAATTCGAAGCATGCAAGTATAATGTGTGAACCATGGAGGAGACATTGTCCTGCCTTGTCCATCCTGGTCTTGTTGTTGTTTGTTCTTTTTTTACTGGTTCTCGGGCCTCAACTGGCGAACAGCCTTGCCAGCACGCCACATCTCATGGTTAGCAATCTCGGCCAACTCCTTCTCGAGCTCTTGGCGGTAGTTTGGTGCCGAGTTCTTTGTCAACGACCTCCTGGTCTCCGTTCCGTTGGCCACAGACTCGTACAACTCCTCAAAGATCGGCTTCGAGGCATCGTGGAACTTCTTCCACCAGTCCAAAGCACCGCGTTGAGCGGTCGTCGAGCAGTTTGCGTACATCCAGTCCATACCGTTGGCTCCGATCAAGGGGTACAATGACTGCGTGGCCTCCTCCACAGTCTCGTTGAATGCCTCCGAGGGAGTGTGGCCGCGTGCACGGAGGACCTCGTACTGAGCAACAAAGAGACCCTGGATCGCACCCATCAACACTCCACGCTCACCATAGAGATCAGAGTAGACCTCCTGCTTGAATGTGGTCTCGTACAGGTAACCGGTACCGACGGCAATTCCGAGAGCAACAGCACGCTCCTTGGCCTTGCCCGAGACATCTTGGTAGACAGCCACGGATCCGTTGATACCGCGTCCCTCCAGGAAGAGGTTGCGGACGGTCGTGCCAGATCCCTTGGGGGCAACGAGGATAACATCAATGTCCTTGGGGGGAACAACTCCAGTGTCCTCGGAGTAGATGACGGAGAATCCGTGAGAGAAGTACAGGGTCTTGCCCTTGGTGAGGTAGGGCTTGATCTCGTTCCAGAGCTTGGACTGAGCAGCATCGGAGAGCAGGTTCATGATGACGGTTCCGCGCTCGCAGGCCTCGTTGATCTCGAACAGGTTCTTTCCGGGAACCCAGCCTTCGGAAACAGCCTTGTCCCAGGAAGCACCCTTGCGGGATCCGATGATGACGTTCATTTTGTTGTCGCGGAGGTTGAGGGCTTGACCACGACCCATGGGGCCGTAACCGAGAACGGTGAGGGTGTCGCCCTTGAAGATCTCCTGGAGCTTGGCGGGTGGATAGTCGCTGCGCTCATAGACGATCTCCTTCGTGCCTCCAAAGTCCATGGTCTTGATGCCACGAGTCTGGGTGAAAGCGACCTATGTGGAGATAGATCAGTTGGGATGTGGAGATAGATCAGTTGGGATGTGAGTGAGAGGACAGGTTAGAACGTGTCAGGGAGCAGGGAGTCTCGTTGCTGACAAGGGGGGGGGGGGGGGGGGGGTTGTAAGAAGGATCTGATTCTTTACCTTGCAGGCAGCAGCACGCGAGACTTGGGAGAGAACAGCGGGGCGAGCGATGGCGGAGAAGGAGCGGGCAGCGGGCACAGCGACACGGGTCAGCTGGCGGAGTGCGGTACGTGCAGCAAAGCTCATGATGGTGTGATAAGCGATATGTATATATACAGAGGGGAGGATTGGAAGTGGATTGGAGGTGGAGGTGGAGTGGAGTGGAGTGAAGGAGGAAGGAGGACAGGGCGACAGCGCGGCGGTCTCTTTTAAAGGGTTTCTGGATGGGTAGCGGAAAAGGCTCGGTGCTCTCGAAGCGGTATCTCACCCCGATGCGCAAAATGAGTAATGGCTCCAAACAGTCACTCGCTGCAGACTCAGGGACCAATTGGCGGCGCTGACTCAAATCGATAGCGTACATGCAGTAACAGTGTGCAGACACACCTGTCACCCCCATGCGGCCTACCAGGCACGCTAATGTCCTGCGCTCTGCTCTTTGGAAGATATCCACCACTTTCCCCTTTCCATTCTGCGTTGTCAACGCCATCCCGGGAGGGGCAGGCACTACGACGCACCTGGATCCATTGGATGTATCCATGACCGCCTCTGCAGCAAGACATCAAGATATCAGGCAAAACACGCCCCAGGGGCATTGACAAACAGCATGTCCTGGAGGCAACATGCGCTCTCGTAGATCATGCCTTTCGTACAACCCCGTCACCAAGTGCCAGAAAAAAACAATTCAAAGGTGAGGCCGACGAGATTGTGTGCAGGGGCCACTTTCATGATATTCATTCCCAGCAAACACTAATTCGGCCCTTGGATACTGGACCACCCGGACATACCATCTGTACCGCAACATCAAAACACGGACATGCCGATCATAAGCATCTTCTTCCCCACCTCCGTCTTTATTAATATTCAATAAGAAAAGTGTTGATACAAGTGTTTTTAATGATTTTCACCATAACTCAAGAACCCCGGCATGTCCTGCCCAAGCTCCAGAATACTGTCCCTCAATCCTGCCTGCAAATCTTGAGACCCTGCTCCATTCTGATCGTGATAGTTGTTCTTTGGCGGTGGCGGCATCTGCAGCACCACACCCGCTGCCTCTGCCCCCGATTCTGATCCACCATTCAACTTACTCTCCCGCTTCGTTGGGTTCATCCCCCGGTTATGTGCAGGGTTAAGCGTCGAAGACCCGCGTCGGTTGTATTGGTGTCCCGCAGCATTTGCAAAACCACCACCACTCGTTCCTGCCTTGACATTATATCCATCCCCTGTAGTCGTGAACCCCGAGAAATCAATCCCTAATCCACCACTTCCTTCCTCGCCGATAGATGTACCAGGACTGGGTAAGATCGCCCGAGATCCGCGTTGGGTCGCAACGACTTTTGCCAACGTCGGTTTCGTGACCTTGGTCGTAATCACCGGAAGCACCGTCGTCACCATCACATCCCCTCCTCCAGCGTTACTCGGAACTGCGGGAGATGGGGACCCACTCAAATTTGTCACAAAAAGCGGGCTATCCTGACTGTTGCGCATAGACCGGCGCTGTTGTCGGGCTGCCAAGGCGGTCGAGATGTGCTTCCCGCCAGGTCCAGAAGGATAGGGTGGTGATCCTACAGAGTCCTCGGTATTGGTGTCGCTCCCGATACTGCTGCCGCCGTACATGGACATGTGCGCGTTGTTGTTGTTGAGGTAGCTGCCGCGACCGGTGCTGTACATCGACGCATTCCGGACAGTGAGAGAACGCGCAGAGAGAGGATCATAGAGGCTAAAAGATAAATAGGAAAAAAAAAATAGGAATAAATACGTCAGCAACAAAAATAATACGTCCAAATGCGTTGATGTAAAAAGTCAGCGAATTGTAAGAGCCCTTACGTTGATTCAGGTCGTCCGTTCATATCCAACGGCTCAAAGGATACCCATCTAGAGAGGGACAAAAGAGAATAAACAATCAATATCAAGAAAACAATTGATCACACCTACAGCACCGACAACAGCATCATCAAGAAAGAAAAAAAAAAAAAAAAAAAAAAAGAACGCATCGACTCACTGCATGGAATTGACCGAGCGCCGGTAGTGCTCGCCATCCTCGCGACTGGAAACGGATCCTCCAGGAGAACTTGTGTCCCACCCATTGCTGTTCCGATTGCCCGCCCCATGGCCTGTCGAAACTGCGCCCACAAGTTGCCGGTGTACTTGCGGGATCGCTCCGCGACTGAATCGAGGGTTGGGTGGGGCCAGATCCATCGACATGCGCACGGGACCTGCCCAGGGCGACATGGTCGACTCTGACGCCAATGAGACCGTGATAGAAGAATTGTCATCTTCGTCCAAACACAGGTCTCGAGGGTTGTAGTAGGAGTCACTGGGTCCTTGAGAAGTCTCATTGCCTCTGGCTGCAACGGCTCCTGCCCCAGTCGCATTTTTTGACTCATTCCGTCCCTGACGGCCACTGTACTGTGAAGACGATCCATTGCTGTTATTCTTGTTTAACCTCGATGGCGTTGACGAAGATGCCGACGAGAAATACCCATTCTGTCCCTGACGACCACTGTACTGTGAAGACGATCCATTGCTGTTGTTCTTGTTTAACCTCGATGGCGCTGACGAAGATGCCGACGAAGAGAAATACCCATTCACACTTCCATTCTCCGTCAACGTCGTTGCCCCCGGCGAACACGGCTCATTTGTCCGGGATTTCGAACGACTCGATTGATACATATCCGATCCTTGCTGATCGCCTTGGTTCTTCTTCTTGTTCGATTTCTTGCCAGATCCCTCCTCCGACTGGAGCAAAGACGTTGTGCTCTTAAACGGCCCAGTGGCTAACGAGTGATCCTCGTGCCCGGCGCCATCGTCAGCTCCACTCAACGGATATACGGACCGACTCTTTCGTTCCGCACCACCCTTGTGACCATGATCTGAAGAATCATCCATTGTTGATGACGTCGGTGATCCCGCCTGGTTCTCCGCAGCTTCCTCCTGAATTCTCGTGCGCTCGTCGTCCCGCAAGCCCTTCCAGATATAATAAAAGACTCCAGCACCCAGTAATGCAACGCCTGCCAGGATCCCTGCAATGATCACCCAGACACTCACGTTCGAGAGGTGGTACAGTTTTTGCTCGGCATACAGCGAGATGAAGGTGGCATTGTCGATCCAAGTGCCCGACTCCATGCTGAAAAAGTATGGCGTTGCTCCAGCCATCGCCAGCGTGTTATTTCCAGTTGCAGCTCTCGTGATCCCGCCATGCACAATCATAAACCCGGCCTGGGAACCGACCGCCAATCCTGCATGTTGAGCGCGCGCGGTTGGGACAACGCTCGTCGGAAGGGTCTCCGGTTGAGTGATTTTGGTGATAGTGATGAACGGCAGTTTGGTCGCGTCGAGTTTATATAGGTCTTGAAAGAACTGTGTTCCTGCGGCGTTGGTCCCTCCGAACATGTACAGTATATTGGTGTCCGAAACATCCGTCACAAGCGAATGGCCCGTCCGACTCCCAGAGATGGCATCCTCATCGTTGGCCCAGATCAACTCTGCGGGCGCGTAGATTGCGGATGAGACCGAAAAGAAGACACAATCTGAGTCCAGGGCTGCGGTTGCCGAGACGGTGCTGATCCCGTAGCAGGACACGATCCGATCAATCCCTGCTCGTGCTGATGCGTGTCCGTATCGCGCTAGGCCCTTGGTGCGGTTAGACCAGGTCTTGGCTGAAAGGTCGAAGGTCGGGGTATCTGTTACTGCCGCCATGGATGCTCCTGTTCCTGTCCGCCCGCCAAAGGCCCAAAGGTTGTTTCCAAACTGGACCAAACTATGACCAGATCGTCCTACCAAGGGTCCAACAACTCCGCCTGGACCGTTTCCTGTAACATTGTTCCCGTTGGGAGTGACAGCACCGGTGGCAGGGTCTATCCATTGAATTGCATCCGCCAACGAATTCGCCGCAGTCTGTCCGAAACTAACACCGATCTTTGCAGAATCCGTAGCCGATGCCGAGGCTGTCCTGTTGGATGTTGCGACATGGTTGAAGATACCAAGTGAGGTCGGTGTCTCGGTGAAGAGGAGCTGGGTGAGATTGAGGGCCGAGATGGATTTCAGTGGAGAATTGTCTGTTGTGGCAGCAGTGCCCAGGCCGCCAACAAAGTAGACGGTATCCTGGATGAGGGTTGCGCTGTGCCTGCGTCGGGGTACGGTGGTGGGTGATGGAGCTGCGGTTGTGTTGGTTGTGAGAGTGGAAAGGAGGAGGAAGGAGAAGAGGATGGCGGACAAAAAATGGAGGCCCCGCGCGTGTATTTTAATTTGATTGTATGCCTGTTGCTGCGTCCGTCTTTGTGACACTGAAGAGGATATGCAAGATGAGGATGGGGATGCGGATGAGGAAGAGGATGTAGGAGGGGTGGGATCAGGAAGCATCATTGTCATTGTGGTAGGTGAATGGGGTGAATGGGATGAATGGCAATGGGCAGCCATCCTGGCCAAATGGGCAGCGAGGACTTGCGGAGACACAACACTGGGGTGCCTGAAGTGAGTGGTGTGTGCGAAGGCGGTGTGAGGAAGATGTGGGCGAGGGGGATAGTGCTGCCTGTGGGTGGGTTTGCGAGGAGGAGGAGGAGGAGAGAAAGTGAGAGTGCGTGTGTGTGTCTGCTGGGTGTGCCTCTGCGTGGGGCGGGTGGGGGAGGTGCTGGTGGGAGGGATGGGATCCGGGCTGGAGATGAGATGGAGGGAAGGAAGGATGGCGATGATGGGTGTCTGTGTCGGACGACGCTGCTGGGGTCCTTTTCCTTGTCCTGGTTGGTGGGATGCGTATGAAATTAAATTTTATTCAAAAGGGCGCGCCGGTTCCTGAAAGTCAAAAATGAAACCAAGGCACCCACTGTACAATTGCGCCCATCTTTCTTTTTATCGATTTGTATCTGCACACGATACAAAGTACAAACAAATAAACAAACAAGCGAGGGAACCTAGCGCTGTAGACACGAATGCAACGGCACGACCCAGCATTAGACTACCCACTGTACATTCAACCGACTACATTTGCATCGCGACATCCCAGTAATTGAATGTGCCAAAAGCAAGGTGCTATTGACATCCAATATTACTGGAATGTGTCATTTTAGACCCCCGCCCACGTTCCGCCCTTTGCTTACTTACACAGGTGCTGCTGTCCACCGTATGCTCTACGTGTAACGCACTCTTTTTTTGCTGGGCCTCACTTGAGCACGCGCTAATTGGACGAGCACCCCATTTCACGGAGAGACGACGGCTTTGGACCCTCAAAACAACAGAAACTACGGCACACTGCCCTGTGCTATGTAACAAACCACAGGAACTGTTCAGAGCATCTCTCCGCGCGCTCTTTCTTTGTCTTCTGTGCTCTCGCTCTCCCCCTTTGGCCTTTGAGCCCTTTCTCCATGTCTCTTTCTCTTCCTCACTGTATTCCTGGACCCTTTCCTCTCCAATGAAGACGAACAGGGTCCGTTTGAGGATTTTCGCGGAGACAAAAAAAAAAAAACAACTGAACCTTTTTTGAGCAAGTCTAGAAAGTATAGGCCATGTTTGTCCCCCCCCCCCCCCCCCCCCCCTAGCTGCAGGTAGAATTCAGAAATAGAGTGCTCAGAATGCCAATATGACTTGACAGGTCTAGTCCCTAGACTATATGTGTTTATCCAGAATTGGCTCACAACACGGTGCATATTTGATCTTTAGGAGGAGGGGCGTGATCTGCGCATTCAGAGCCGCTACTTCAACATGTTCATGGTAATGCAACAAGCCGGCGCATCTGGCTTCCCTTTGCCCAAAATAAAGCGTCCTAATTACACAAAAGCAAACATGCTCGATGTCGCGTTAGGTTAGTGTAGCAATGTTCAGTCTGTCCCTTTAGACGAACTGGTGAGTTCCTGGTAAACTATACGAACGGTTTGGTGGAATCCCTTAGACTCTATATGCAGATTGGAATGGCATTATGCGCGCCAAGCAGCTCAATTAGTCAAGTAAAGCCCCCCCTCCCCTCCCCCCTCCCCCCCACAAAAAAAAAAAAAAAAAATGGCGGCGAATCGAAGTCAACTTCCTTCCTTGAATGCCCCTGGGCCCAGAAATCATAATAAACTGGCACCCCTAGTCTAAAGACAACAGCATCTTTACGCAAGAAACTCGATCTTTCTGAATAGATCGGGATACTTAATCTTGTTGCACAAGCAGATAATAAATCTCCGCTCGTCTCAACTCTCCTCCTGGAAATGGCGATTCTAGCTCTGCAACTCGCGACCTCCTCCGTCCAACAAAAAAAAAAAAAAAAAAAAAAACCTAGTCATTACGGATATTTCAGCTCAAATGCCCCATAGTAAACTACTGCCTTCATTCAAAAATAACGGCGCTTGACTCAATAACGTAGACCGTTCAAGTCGCGCGTAGTGTGACCGATTTGTTGCTTCCATAGCGAGAATGCTTCAAGCCCTAGTCGGGAAACCCCTCTCCCAATTGAAGAAGCTGGATAGGTTTAGCAGATATCTCAGCAAGCACGTACCGATATTTAGAAAAGTGAAACCAAGTCTTTCGCTTTAGCTACCCTGGACACATTATAAATGGCGAACAGACGTCTTGAATGGAACAACAGTTTGGTCGGGAAGGAGGGGGATAGTACGCAAGCAATTGTGGCTGCACCGACTGTACTACGATGAATATAGTAGGTATCTCGAAGAGCTACATTTTCTTTTTGTCTATCCAAAGGACATCCAATTGAAAAGGATAGCGACGAATTCAGCGCGGAGACCAGCGACCTGGCCGAATAATGTCTTTCGAGCACACTCCAGTCGACTCTCCCCTCCCGAGCTTCCCAATCTCCAAGAGCGCCAAGTTAGATATGACTGCAACCCGGTTTGTAGAGGGAGCGAAAGGTGAGCGGAATGGATCTTGTTCCGATACCCTGGAAAATACAAAGCGGATGTGCTTGAGCGCCATTCAGCTCTCATTTTCACCGCGGAGAAACTATAAGTTTGGTGCTTGGCTATTTAATTTAAAAAAAAAAAAAATGACCCGGGGGTTTCGCTGCATAAGATCGCGATCGTATCTTGCAACTCTTCATTCGATCAAGTAAACGACTTTGCCTTGAATTGAGAGGGAGACATGTTGTGTACGTGTGTTCTGTTCGGATTGCAAAAGATGCCTGCGGGAACCCATTCTTGACCGCGTTCATCTCTATCATAAGAAATTCAGTTCTTTCCAAATGAAACTTTTTTTTACAGAGCAAAAAGGGCGATAATCCCAGTCTATTAGGAAGGATGTCCGACTTCCTGACAGATGCAATCCGGTTGGGAATATTCTTATACATATTTACAATGGAGGCAAAGAATCAGAACATGGCGCTGGAAGTGACCAGAGTTCAGCGCTAATCTCACTAGTTGTTTGTTAAACCTAATAGTCCATTTTTCAATAAATACTTTCTGACAACGCCCTACACGGGCTGTGTTTATTAATTTTAAATTTACTAAATTAATTATTGATGTCTCTCCTTCCTGCCGACGGGTCATCGACCCAATTGCTGCGTAAAACAAGCAAGCACACACGCGACGCACAGGACAATGTCCGGCAGAAGTGGAAGAAGAGAGCGATTTTCTAACAGAGTGCGCCATTAATACTATGGACTGCGAAATGAACTTTTCTGTCTTTGCTGGCGCGGAACCAAAGTTGAGCGGCCTTATGTTCAGTGGGCGTCATTCAGATCACAACGGCCATTTAGAGTAAGCCAAAACGTACTACTGGTGTACATGCAAGGACCCTTTTTCCGAGCTCAAAGGTGGGCCTGACATTGTATGCAGATTACCATCGACGTACTTATATGGTGCCATGACAAACAAGTGCATGCAGGATTGCCATTTTTGGTTCCAGACGGGAGTGTACCCATGCCTTGTTACCAATGCATGTCTGGTGCGTTTGGAAAAACAGGCGTGAGATACATCACACGCCAGAGTGCAAGTGTAGGGGATGTTCGAGGTCAGACGAACACAATGAACGCAAGCAATGATGAATGCATACCATTCAGTTCAATAGATAGTAAGGATGAGAATGAATGACGGAACGACAATATCGCACTCATCGTGAGATTTTTTTCCCTTTTCGACGAGGCAACGCTGTTTCAAGAGCGCCAAGGTTTAGTGTGCGCTTCACAGTATTGGATTGAATACAACTCAATCGCATCCATGCTTCCATATCGGCACCGCTTTATTTTATTTATTTTTTTGCTTCGTCCGCATCGTTGCTGTTGTAGTTGAACCGCCTTGTACGCTGGTACTTGATCAGCATGTCATCTATGTGATACTATTGAGAACGCTATTCCTCTTATATTGTGTTGAGGCACAGGGCTGCTGATGTGGGAGCGACCTTTATTCCATGTCTTCCTTCCTTTCTCTTCTCTTTCGCTCCCATCCTCCCATCCTTTTTCGCTTCCTTCTTCGCCTCTTGCGAGTGAAAGTGCTACAGCAGGGTATTCATTTAGAGGCAGGGCATGCATTCGAAGGCAGGGTGCGTAGATCGATGCGTAGTAGCGCTGTGTAACAGAGCAAACGATAAGAACTCTATGCTAAATCTTTGTTCCAAATCCGGTAATGCTGTGCTCCGTGCTAGCTCGTCATTTTTGCTGGACATGGATCAAAACGCGCTTTATTGCACACATGGCCATGCTGCTCTGTCATCCTTCTTTGCGCTACCCATCGATGCTTTTTTTTTAATGCCTCTCTTCATTGATTCTCATCTATGCCCCCTTTCAACCTTTGTTCTCTCACCCTTTGCCTGCTCACTTCTCTCCTCACGTCTTTGTGCCTACTTTGAGGGGAAGTTGGTGTTTGACTTGCCAAGGCACGATGATATCACAGTCCTGTGACTTGACGTTGTTTGACCACGTCTTCTCCAGGCGCACGAATAAAGTCGCCAAGCTCCTTGGTGTAGTTGAGTCTTGCTTCGTTATCCTTGAGACTGAGAACAGCGCGGTTGGCCTCTTCGGAATACCTTATGTGATGCTCGATTTTGGTTGTGGGGTCCATAGTGCCGACGGTGGGTAGGTGGTTATCAAGAAGCCGAGGTAGGCCAGGAATGTTTGGATTTTCGTTCGAAGCATTTTCAGGCATTTGGGGCCAGATTGCAATGTTAAGAATAAGGAAGAGATAAGAATCGAGTGTGAAAATATTATGGAGTAGAAAAGAGATAGTACGTGGGAAGTTTAAGAAAAAAAAAAAGATTTATATTCCTGGCCGAAAGTATTCAATGACGCAAGGCTTTCTTTAATGGCTCCTCGAGCATCCTCATGTCGCTCGAGGTCTGCGGCTGAGGCCTCGTCAAAAGTGGCTCGACTGCATCATTGATCCAGAGTAACAGTACTTTGAAAAAAGGTTACAATAAACTGCAGTTTTTTGTTTTCGTGCCTTCACTCCATGATATACGTTGTCTTTTAAACGGTCGTCCTAGTGAAATACGAAGGCAGCTGTCGGGGCTATAGAATGAAGTACACACTTGTGCCATATTGGGCAGATCCTTTATTAGGATTACGCTAAATAGAAAAGACTGTCTGGCGACCTATATAAAGGCTATTAAAGACCCCTCTCTTATCCGGTATTAGAAAGTAAATATAAACCTTAATATATCGCACAGGCCACCACGCTGCTCGCCAGTCTTTAGTTCAACGACTCCGTTCTTGACGAGCAAAATGTCTGGATTCTTGTCTAGGCGTGATTCCAGAACCTCGTCTGCGTAGAGTATGCGCTAGTACTCTAGGATGGTCTTCAAGTTCACACTCTTGTCCACATATGCATAGCCCTTGGCAAACTGTTTGCACTGTTAAGGAGGTTGCGCACTCTCCATCGACTTAATTTTTATAGAGGAAAAAAACAAAACAAGCCTTATGGACATCTTTCGAACCTTGATGCTCCCATCGACTGGATTGCGACTTACATGGTGGTGGTTAAGTCGGCTCATTTTTGCGTGCGATTTCCTTTTTTTTTTTTTTTTTCATCGCCCTACCTCCTTTTCCACTGCCAACGGCTACCCTTTTCACAAATGAACAACTTCTTGCATAGCATCCAGGTTTGCTTGGGAAGAGGGAAATCCACGACATCATTTTATTTGGTTGATCCGCCTACTCTTGAGGTGTATCTTACATCTAGGGCTTTGTGGGATGAGACTAGGGTGGTTATGACGGCACCTATTGCATTCAACGAGCCTTGGGATATAGAGTGGTTTTATTAAAAAAATGTGCTTTCAAGAACGCTCCATGAGTTCCTACATAATACTTGGTCGCGTTTGAAGACTGTTGAGACTAACTCCTGAAATTGCCTGTTAGCATTCTGACCTCAGCTGCCAACGACTCCACTGACTGCGCAACTATTTGAACCTGCTCCCCAACAATCTGTACCTGGCTCAGGATTGCGTTCGTGTTGTCAGTCGGATGAAGGGTCACAAGCTCTTTCAGCTGGCGCATCTCATTTGAGAGTCCATTGTACTGTTGGTCAATTTCCGTGAATTTTCTTTTTGATATTTCAAATGTGCCCATGAGGCCGTGGCGCACTTCTCCTGTAAAGGCAGTAGACTCGGTATACGCTTCTTTGTTGATACGTGGTGGCTGCTTAGAAGATGCCGTGGCAGATTCTGCCTGATCAGGCGTATCATTCCTTTTGCCTTCGATCTTGGCGCTTAGTGGCAGCATGCAGTTTACGATTGCGTCGATGTTCCTGGACTTTGGCTCTCCTTCCGTGATCAGCCACCTCATGCTTCTGTGCTTCTTGACGACAGTGAACTCGCGGTGCAAATCATACAGCTGCTTGGCAAGATCCGAAAGCAGAGTGGGCTGGAACCGACTTCCTGTCCCGAGCGCGAGGATCTTGTCTAATTCCTCATAACTCTTGATGAGGCGAGTGTACATTGACCTCAGTGCTAGACCAGTCACCTTCCGCAGCATTGGCTCCTGTTCCGCAAGCTCCTGGGCCAGGTTCCTGAAGCTCCTGCTATCTCGCGCAGTCGAGAACGAGTCCTTCTCACTGGTAATCTCAAACATTAACTCGGGTAGTCTGCCAACGAGGAATAAAGTGGCCACGAATACACGTCGTTGATTCGTTCCATCTCGATTGTGCCGTAGAGCACAAAACCGGGGTGAACTGCCTTCTCCACCTGAACCACCGCCCTCCTCTGCCTCATCATCTCCTGAATTCTCGCCGTTTGTTACGGCAGATCCGTCTTCTACGAATACACGCAAGACTTAGCAATGGCACATAAATAACAATCTGTAGACTTGAATGGATGAATCATCATCAAACCTTCGGGCTCGACTACTTCCTGGTTATTCATCAACGCGACAGCGTCGGGCGGGTCGCGGAAGATTTTATTAAATTTCCGGTATGGTTCCGCTTGGCCACTAGTCGCGGTCGTGGTCCTTGTCCTTTTCTTTTTGGCTGATCTTTCGGTCATTGTGTGAAAATGAAATGAGGTTGTTGGCGCAAATGAAGGACGGAGAGACGCCGACTTACTTTGTGGTCATGACGGTTTATTTGCGCTGTCACAAGTCAAGGCACACAAATTAACAAAGTGCCTTGAAATAAACTATCCATTCCTTCTTCGACCGCCGCAACGATACCCATCATCAATCTTCCTATCCCTTTTCTCACCTTCGCTCGCTCCTCCTTCCTTGTGCTTCAGCTGAGTTTCATTCCCCTTCGTTTTTCCGTTTTTATGTCAGGTAGCACTAGGTTGACCACCATGTCTCCTTGCCACCACAATATCACTGGTGACAGGGCGTGTCTGTTCGACGGCAGCGTTGGAGTGCATTCTATATGAAGCCCCCGAGGGGACAACTCCGCATCGCGATTTCTCTCTGACGGATTCCAATACTGTGCAGAGTTTTCGTCATTGCTAGAAGCTCTGTATGGCATGCGCGTCGGAGGTGCCTGATAATCTGACAGAATATCGAGCAGGAATCTGTCAGATGTTGAGACTTTCCGTTTTTTTTTTTTTTTTTTTTTTGGCTAGCATTAATGTGTACAGTCGTTTTCAGCATCTTGAGCATCTAGTAGGCCCTTAATGCCATATAGTGCGGGACATATACTCGCGACTGTGCTTAGAAAACGCTGAAGCTCAAACCCCTTTGAATTAGAGGTCGTATTGACAAACGGCAAACATTTGATTTGTGGAGGGAAAGTTTATACGCACTTTAATGATTCAGACTTTGATTCAGCGTCTCTTGTTAAAAATTTTTGTTGCGACTAAATATTCAGCGCCTTTAACCCACGTGGGCAGGGTAGCAACACCAGCAGCGAACAAGCGGGCCATATTCGGAGCGTTTTTCGACGTGGATAAGTTGGACAAGGCCTGTGACAAGCATGGTCTAACATTCTACAAACGGCGAGTAGTATTGAAATGTTGTGGATTATCCAATGCAATGGTTGTATGTTAATAACAATTTTTTTTAATAGGATCGTCTACGGAAATCAGTACACAATTCGCGTAGTTGGGAATGTCATCTCCAATGACGGACACCGTTTGGGCCCTGCGAATCGCATACGTATTGGACATCCAATCGTTAGTCAGTTTGAACGGCGAAAGAAGAAGTAAGGAGTGGTCCAGTCACGAATAAATGGGTATTGGAATATTTTGCGTAGAACTTGGACGCAGAACAAGTGAAGGCAAAGGCGGAGGAACTCGCCACCATGGTGAAGGAAGTAGAGAACGATACCAAAAGGCATCGGAGGATAATGGGAGCTGAGATATTTTTTTTGGGAATAGGAATGAGTGAGAATGAGATGTGACTCCACACACCATGTTGCGCTTGGAGATAGTTCTTTTACAGTTGTATGGAGCAAGGAAACTCCCAATGTGAATGCTCGAATAATTTGTGTTCCACACTGAATACAAGGGTCTAACACACAACTACGCACACTGTAGCGAGTGATCAGCACAACGGTCTCTTGTTCAACTGGAACAAGGAACAAAAGACCGCTGGCTTCGATCCTCCTTTCATACAGGCACAACCCCAAAACCTAATATCAAATCCTGCGTACCCTCGGTGGCTGCTGGCCAACAACCACACCGATTGGGTATTTATTTGTATAAAATATAATAGTGAGCTGGAAGTACACTTATTAAACTAAATATTATACATTGGACTCTGGTGAAATATGTGACGCCTGTCGTGAACCTATGCTTATTCAGAGTCAATATGACCTTTGCTAAGCACGGCGGGACGGAACAGGGGAAGGTGATATGTGGTTCAGGAAGCAAGGTCAGAGTAAGCTTAGGAGTATATTCAAGTTGCTAGATGAGGGATAAACACAGAACTGTTTGTCTTTGAGATATTTTGGGGTTCAGAATTAAGTGAGAAAGAGATGGTTTCCTATCTTCTTCCGGTTCAGGCAGTTGCATCGCATCGTCGCCGGGATTGGCGAGACCAGGGATGCTAAAACCGAACTGATGAAAAAGATCTATCTCGATGATGAACGGATAGGACTGACTGATTACTTCCAATGGTGCTGATAGCAAGTGGGTCCAGGTCCACTGCCTCAGACGGCCTAGACACGACAGAAGAGTGAGGTTGCGGTTGATCCGAGACAGGAGCCGTAGCACTGGGGGCAGGGTGAGTATCCGGGGTTGACGTATTTTCATTTTTATGTGGAGGAGCGAGTGCCAACAGAGATTGAAAGATTATTTTTTTACCTAACTCTGGAAGGGGCTCACTCGTCTTGTCCAGGTAAGAGGAAGGAATTTCAGCGGCTGGGTCCTGGACTAAACCTGGCCGCTGGAGGCTTTTCCCGAGCCGGCAGCATGGGATGTGTCGAGAACCTAGGAGGCAGTGTCAGGGTAAAGCTTAGGATTAATTCAAGTGACTAGGCGAGCGCTGTATATCCAGCCGAGTCGAATGTACTTTATTACCATATAAACTTATTACCTCTGAAACTTAATCCGGAGTTGATTAATAAATATGGTGTAGATGTGGTGTGTGGACCCACATCTCTTTCTCACTTTATAAGGGAGAAGAGGTCAGCGAGGGAGTGAACGTCCAGATGAAAGGGCAGTTGGACAAAGTTAAAATCAAGGGCACTGGGGCAATGCAAACATTGAGAGGTCGGAGGGGTTCTAGGGTGACCCCTGACTTTTTGCTGGAAATAAAAATCAAAGGTGGTAGGGACAATTGGACAATGGGCAGTGGTGGTCGAAGGAACCTTTGGAACCATGAAAGAGCAACAGTGTTAAGGGCTCGAAGGCTGTCATGATGAACCGAGCTCGGCGGATAGACGAGATCGGAAGTGGAAAGGATCAAGGGCACAAGTATCAAGGGGTTTGCTTCCTTATATACTTGAGTCCCAGGAGGTGACGCGAAGTCCGCAACGAAGGGACAAGTACGCACCTAGGCGATCTTGCAGATGGAAACGATGGGACGAAAGTGCTTTTTAATATTTTTATCGAGGGCCTGAGTTCTTTTATGCATTTCTTGTTCTTGGCAAGGGATGGGGGCGCCGCGTAATTGATCATTATAGTTGATGTTCTCTCCAGGGTCCTGAAGAGGATTTCAGGGGTGCTGTTGCACAAGCTGCTCCAGCGGTGGAGCATGAACGCGTAGCGCGATGTCTGTGGGATAAGAGTGGATGTGAAAAACGATCTGATTCGCTACCCATGGTCAAGTCGCGCCTTATAATATCTGACTCAGAAGGATTATGCATAAAATAGAGGACTCGTTCCGAGTGGCGGTAGACAGGGGTCGATAACACTTTTAGCAAGCAAGACACCATGGCTGATACGCCACACATGGAGATGGATGCTGATGTACACCGTAGACTAACTAGAATCCATGCATACATGTCTCTGGGCTATTGTACTGTCATGGTCCTGGGATCTTTCTGGGATTGCTGATCCGATCGGCTAATAAATTAAGCTCGTACTATGTCGAGCGATATATACATCAAGCTCAACTCAGCAAGTTCCTGATCTCCACTCTCGTTCGACCTGAACATCCCACACATTGCACACTCGCTTTACTATATGTTCTGCATGGTGTCGAACCCCCACTGCGACAGCGCATATGGTGCCAATCCTGCATGTGTGAGTTGCTGCTGATCTGAACCCGCGCCCAAAAAAGGCCACTACCCTGCATACATTTGCGTCTGGATTTTAGAGACGCGGCGACCTCCATATAATAGACGTACTTTGAACAAGCCCTAGTCGCGGCGAGCCCTAGACCTCCGTTACCATGTCCAAGAAGTAGATCCATTGCATTTGCATAAACTCCCAGCTATCCTTCATTATTCCTCAGTCCGTTTTAACCATTAACTTGTTCCAGTAACTATTTCTTTTGCTTTTTTCATTACTGAATTTTCTATCTGCCTGTAGCAGCTTATGACCTGTAAGATCCATTGATGACTGCAGATACCCCATGTAACGAGGGCTTAGTGCATTTTTTGGTACTGTGGAATCAGCGAGAAAGAGATGTGTGTAAATGTACGTGTGTGTGTCTGATAGTATTTATTTAAATTAAGTAACGAGCCATCGGCTGCTCGGTCAAGAATGATCGGCTTCTGATCATTTCGATATCATGGCGATGATAGACTGGACCAGGATAGATCCCCACGAGCACATAGATGTGCTGAAGGAACCCAGGAGGATCAGCACAAAGAACTCATCACTGCTGACAAGCTCCGCCTTTAATCTCACGTTACTGGGTCGAAAGAACAGTTGGAATTCATGACCCAGGCTGCCCACCATACCGTGCCGCCTAGAAAGTTTTCCGTTCACCATTTATATGGCCTGGACACACCCAGATGTAGCGATGTTAAAGCAACTTGTTTATCATGGTCAAATGGCAGCGGTTGAAATCTATGAGAGAGATTCTTTACAGCATGATCCATCTAAAAAAATAACGGTCCGTTTCTCGGTGCCACAACGTGTCTGTAAGCTTCCTCCTGCTTTTTTGTTGTTGGCGGTGGAGTAGTGCTGCTTGCTGTGGTAACCGGTTTGCTCGGTGAGGCTCGCACTCGGCTCTTCAAGCAATTTGATTTGATCGATTCGAGAGCGCGGTGCTCACTGCCGCCTGTGGCAAAGCTGCTTTTCGAGGTACGGCTTCTTTCTCTTCCAGACCCATCTTTGACACCGACCACCGCACCAACGCACACATCTCCCTTGACATTCTCTTCCTCTCGCTGATGCGACCGAGTGCCTGATGTCCGATTCCTCAAAAGACGTGAACTCCATCACCCTGAATAGCGCGAGCATCTCGCTCCATTCGACGAATGAGGCGGACGAACCCCAGGACAATACCAGTTACCCTATTGCTGCACGGAGCCCTCAACAGCAGCAACTGTCCAGAACCGGTATTGACCAACAGCACCATTCGGAACCCAGCAGAAATAACCCACAGGGCCACAGCGGTATCCTACAGGAAGCTAATGATTCGCAGTTGAGCACTGCTGACCAGCCTCCAAAGGACGCATGGGCGGATCAGGGTCATTTTCCACTACTCCTGGGCGACATCTCCTGCCGATCGATACCCATTCGCGGAGGGGCCACTGTCGTCCTTTCCGGCGTTAACTTTCGAGGTCAGAAATAGTGGCAACAAATTCAAAGCAGTGATGTCCTGCTCCGTCCTGTATTATTGGAAGTACCCCTACTGATACTCGTTCGGCTCTCTGACGCTGATATATTTAGAGGGAGTCGAGGTCTTATTCGAGTGCGCTACCTTGAATCTCAAGCCCAAGAAGGTTACGCCGAAAGTCCTGAAAAGCACAGAGATGGAGCTCGTCAGCCCTAATCTGCTGGACTGGTGGACCACAGCGAATAATGCTCGCCCATGCAGGGAGCTGTGCCTGTCTATTACCTTGCTATGCGCTGGCGCAAAAGCCGAGGAGGACATTGACACGACATTGGAAGTGGTCGCTACAGAAGGTGAGTTCGACTGTTTTTGGTTGGTGCCAGTACACCATGTGCTTCTGTCATTTGCTCCGCACAAGGCACTTGCTTCAGAAATTGCTTGCTAACCATTATCGCCACGTATTGTTTTACATCTTCCTGCCGCTACAATAGAATCCGAAATCGACCTACTCCATGTTATTATCGGACTACATCGTCAACTGGTCAAAGCGAGCCTCAGCAGCACCCTAGACCATGAAACGGAAAACATTGTACGTCGTCTCTGTCGTCAAACGCACAATATTAAAAAGCTGGCTTGATTGCTAACAGGGGTCAATCTCACACAACTGTCTAGACACGACAACGAACATTGACTTTGCTAAAACTGGAGCAACCGCCTAGTGTCACACGAACTGAGCACCTTGCGCTGGGCGTCATCTACATGCTTTGCGCCGGACATGATCACGTCTCTGCAGAGGGCATGGAGGTCATCCTTGCGACTACTGTGGACGGACATGACATGCTACACTTGGCCGTCATCCAGGGTCAGACAACGCTGGTCAGGGAAATTGCCCGACACTTGCTTTCGTGGTTTCAGAGTCGTTCGATCATGGAGGAAAGTGAGCTGCTTGCAAAGGACCCCAATGGAAAGACAGGTATGGATCTAGCAGACACGCTTATCATCTATGACAGTTGAATGCGGCCTATAGACAAAAGTTCTTACTGTATTTGTTTTCAACGATGAAATAGCCCTCGATTTTGCAAGGATTCTTGGGTACAGGGAGATTGAAGAAGTTCTTGAAGAAACAGTAGAGGTGGCGCAAGAGTTCAAGCGTTCCGCCCTGCAGGCAACTCGGCGACCCCTACCAACATTGCCCGCCAGAGGTCGCTTGGGGTCGACAGCAGGTAGCACAGGAAGCACTAGGAGCGATCAGTCTACTCTTGTCCCTCCTATCCCAGTCCAAGTTGCGAATCGACCCTTGCCACCAACGCCGCTGACCTCGCCATACCAAGAGGAAGGATCTGATACTTATCAACCGCTATCATACTTTCCGGTGGCATCAGCAGAAGGCAGCACCATAAGTTCACCGGAGCTCCGCGCCGCGTCCCACGAACCTACTGCACCAACAGGTCCAGCTCATTCACCAGCGCAAAGGATCCAGACAGCACAGGCGATTATCGAGGACGATGGCACGTCCCAGACGGTCTACGAGAGCTCGTCCGCTTACTCCAATACTGTGCAATATGGAATACCGACCATGGCAACAGAGAGCATTGCAGCATCTTACCATGGACAGCAGAACCCACTGCATGAGCAACATGCTGGACAGCAACATCACTTCTACCAACAGCCGCAGCCGCACCAGACATATCCCTTTCTCTCGCAATCCCCTACGTCATCGGCTGCCTATACCTTTAACCCGCACAGTATTCCGCCGCCGCGAGCCAACACTGCACCACTTTCACATATAAGCAACAGTCCGCAGGGTCAGCATTCGGCCCAGGCGGCTTACCTGGCGTCCGAGGCCCTATTCCGTGAATTACCTGCTGCTCCATCTTCATCGGGTGCTCCACTGCCTCCGCCCAAGCACATTGTCACAAGAGTAAACCGGCCGAAACAGTTCACGGTTCCATCAAGCGGCAGTAGTCCTTCGGCACACTCGCCGCCCTTGCCGCAAGCATATACATCCTCACCTCCACATTCTGGGCATGCACATCAGCCAGGCATACCCTTGCCACAATACCCAGGGCCAATGCAGCACCACCCTATCCCTTCGACGGTGCCTTTGTCCCAACATCCCATGCCTATACCGATACAGCATCACTACCCTATGCCCATGTCGATGCATCCGATACAGCATCACCCTATATCCGGTCCTATGCCTATACCAATGCCGATGCATCAACACTCATTGCCAGCCCCGATGCCCATACCGATGCCGATGCAGCAGCACCAGCCAACTCCTACACATGCCTATATCCAGAGCGGTGAGGCGCACTTATATAGACACGGACACCCCACGCAGGCCGAGGACGGCCAGATTAAAGTCCATGTTGGCTAAGAGCTGGCATGCATTTATTTGCAGCTGTGAGCGGCGATGACTGCATATTGACGTCCATGTCAGTGCACCTCCGACAAAATTGTTCGATGAGCCCACCACCATAGCCTATTAAGTGTACCCCTTTATACCATGCAGACACACGGAAGAAAGTAAAAAAAAGAACGGCAGGAAACAGCAGTGTAGGCAAAGATGACCGTCAGGGTATGGAAGAGAGCAATTATATCAAAAAGGGACACTAATTTCGATTGCAACCAAAAAAAATCACACATTCCACCTATGATATACCCTTCTGCTTACCTACGAATCTTCTTTGCGTTGACCGGGGTTTGCTGCCCTCTGGACAAGGGATATTAGAATCGAAACTAAGATGGCATGCCCTCTTCGGACAGGCGGTATCCCTACGCATCAACTAGCCCCGCTATATAGAACATGAAAACTCCCTTTTCTTGCAGGTCGCTGCGACCATCTTCGTCTATGGATATGGTCTTTTTGCACTGCTGTATTTGTTGGTATTATCTCGGACGGCCCTGAACCTGGAAAGTCCAGAGGGAGCTTGGGGGTAGAAAATACTGGCCACTGTTTTGTCCATCTACTGCAAATCCTGTTCATAGTCTCTACACATGCTCATGATGTCTAATGCATGCAGGTGTTCATGTTCTACCCACACAGCTCCACTGGCTGATCCGACCGCCTCCCTGCGATCGCGCGAGCAAAAAAAAAAAATAAAAAATGAAGAGAATTACACACTGTTGGGCCGAATATGGATGCATGGCCTCCTCTTCTTACCCTCATCGACCGTTCTCTTTGCGCGTCTCCCGCCTTCCTTCTCTGAATCGTGTGCGTGCTTTCTTTTCGTTTCGCTGACTTTGTTTCTTTCTCTCCTTCTCTTGTTCTTTACGCTGATCCATCCCCTCTTTTTTCATTTTCTTATTTCTTTGCCACACTTCATCCTTCTTGTCCAAGCCAGCTTTCCAATCACGAAGCGAAAGCTAAACTCTGAGCTTGCTAAAACCATTTGCACAACTCCCGCCCCCCTTGTCTCTCCTCTTTCCTCTGCCCCATCGCGCCTTGTCCTCAACTGTACCCAGATCCTGGATACGTACCTGTCTGATATACCCCTCCACTCTTTCTCTGTTTTGAATTCATCTTACACATTGCCTTTGCTGGGCGCCTGCATCACCATACAAACTCATCAACCAACTCGGCTCGCTTTCAATAAAACGCCTTCTAGGGTAAGGCATCGCATAAAACGCGTCAATTGCCAAGGGGTTCTCTTTATTTTCCAGCTTCTATGGCGACCGCGCCGATATGTAACCTCTCTTTCTATAAATTGACGATGTTTAAATCTTTAAAGGATATACGAGTAATAGGCCATGCATTCAGTCAAGCATTCAATCCCTCGATGCGTCCTTGCACAGAGTTGTCTCGATAGCGTTCATCAAAGCAGCAATGGCGTTAACTACGGCCATGACCATATTTGCACTCTTTATAACGAGGACAGAAACACAGATCTGGACAAAAAGTACCAAGAGATGGTCCACGCAAACGGACTGCAAAGAAGTCATCGACACGAGGGGATCGCAGATATGATGCCCTCAACAGCAAATGGGGGCCCGATGCCAGGGATGCCTGGTAATATGCACTGCCCACGGACGGAGGATAGTCTAGTAAACACCCAGCATTATGAACAGTATCGTCAACAACACCAGCAGCAGCAGCAGCATCAATACTTGCTCAGTGCAGATCGGGATCTTGCTCCAGAGTACCGGCACCAGAATATTCAACAGCATATTCAACAGTCAGATCAACGGCATCACCGCTATTCGTCCCCGTCACCTGGCGCCGGTGCACATGAACATCGGAGCAACAACGGCCGCCGCTATCACCACTACTCTCATTCCGAGATGAGTCGACTTGAGGCCATGTTCCCACCTCTGCACGATTCTGTGAGGCAGGACAAGCAAAGCAACAATTCGGCCAAGACACCACGGGTTGGCGTCGTAGAACAGATGGTTCACAAATCAATTATGCCCCCGAGTGTCGCGTCCAGACTGTCGAAGCAGCCACGCCTGCTGCCGCCACCGATCTTGATCCTGAAAGAGGCTCCACTGCACCAATCCGCAAAAGAAACGAAGATCACGGTGACACAGCAGCAACTACCCTCTCCGGCGCGCTCGACCACGTCCCCCGAGTCGCCGTCAAGTCTGGCCATCCATCTGTATGTGCACCATCATCACCACCACCATGCTCAAGAGCCTCCAATCAAGGAAATCACAGGCTCCAACACCCCTACGGCCCCAGTGGTACTACTCTCGCCCTTGACATACCCCCTGGCATCGCCTTTGGAACCAACCCTCACTGCTGTTCCCTCCAACTGCGCCTCACTACCCTCTCCTGTCTCCCCGACGTCAGAAGCGATCCCTCCCAGTGCTCCTCTGGCATCTCCACACCCCTTGATGTCCCTCCTTCCTCCACTCTGTATCCCCACCAGAGCCGCCATCAACACTCCCTCGCAGCACAACAACGCAAGCACAATCTTTCCCACGACCCCGACCGAGAACGACGCGTCTACGCTCCCCTGGTTCATCCATCCCAACAGCCTCGCAGGCTCCAACGCATCCCAACAACAATCCTCGTCTACATGCGCTTTACCAACAGCGACGCGTCCCTCCACAGGGCCAAACCATCCACATCGCTACCGCCTCCCACGCCTATACCCCCAACTCCCCGATCCGGTCCTGGCGATCCAACTTTTGTCCACCATCTCCTCCAAAGATCTCACACGACTGTACGCCCACGCGGCGCATCATCTACATTCCCACCAACCCATTCGCCGATACGTCCTCATGAAAATGATAATGACCCAGGCAGAACTTGCGCAGTACGGTCGGCTGCGCGCAGAGATGCCTCGAGCCCCCGGGCCCTCCACGGGCGCACAGCCGAAACGAACGGGATTTGGGTCGGAGATCCATTCGGGGATGGCGTTTCGTCCAAAGGTGCCCTCGAAGCTGGGGATGTATACGATCACAGCCACAGCGGTCGAGAGGTATCAGAGGCTAAGGTTCTCGAGTGCGACGCTGCAGCCAGTAGAGGGTGCGGAGAGGAATTTGCAGCCGTCGCAGCAGCAGCAGCAGGAGCAGGAGCAGGAGCGGCTATCGATGCTTTGGACAAGATCTCTACCCTCGCTAGCCTCGTTGTCGAACGCGGTTTGCAAACACCGCACGGTCGTGAGCTCTACGTCTTCCGAACCAGATCTGGTGTACTCCAAGAGGCGGTTGGAGGAGCTGGAGTTGGGGGAAAGCACGGATCGTATGAAAACCATACGATCAGGGCGCGGCCGGCGGATGCAAGGGTCCAAGGACGATGGGGATGTGGGAGAAGTCGCAAGCGAGGACGACGATGGCGATGACGATGAAGAAGCAAGAGAAGTAGAGGAGGAGGAGGAGGACGGCGAAGGGTACAGCTATTGGAGGCTCTTGCGGAGGAAGAATAACCGCAATCGCCGGCGTCTGACACGATCTGTCGATTCAGAAAAGGAGCAGGCCATGTACATGTATCAGCAACAACAACAGCAGCAGCAACACCCCTACCAGAAACAACAGCACCCTTCATTCTCTTCAGCAATGACATCCGAAAGCACTCGTCAGAGCCATAGCATCATCATTGGCAAATCCACGTCCGCGGGAAAGACCAAGAACGCGCGCCGCCGAACCGGATCCTCGTCCTGTACTTCCCTCCCATCGTCCTCGATCTCTCTTCACGACACCACAGAACTGTCGTCCGCGGTGTCCGGTCATGACTCCTCTGCGTCCTTTGCAGAATCCTATGGCTTCTCCGGCCTACTGATGCTGTCGCTCTTCGTCTTCTTTTTGTTCCTGCTCGAGGGCACAAACCAGGTCCACAAACTCCAATCTGCCGTCTTGTCCATCGTTCTTTAAAAATAACTACTGCAAATCTATAGCGCGTTTTTTTTTTTTTTTTTTTCCCTTTCTCTTCATTGCAAAAAAAAATATATATATTTGTATGTTTTTGTCAAAGCAAAGCACTGCGAAAAAAAAAAAAAAAAAAAAAAAAAAAAAAAAAAAAAAAAATGTTGCTAGCTGTGGTTAATCGCTACTCCTTTATTGCTTATCACAAACAAAGTCATCCTCCTAAAAGTGATGTCTAGTTTTCTACTGTTGTCGTTGTCGCTGATACGGCTATCATCTTGTCATGCGCAATGTGAAGTTCAATAGAGCGGTATCGATCTCGGCTCCAGTGCTTCAGAAGAGAGCGTCCACGTCAAACGCAAAGTTCTGCATTCTCGGAGCCTTCGCAGGCGCTCCATTGCCGACGTGCCCGTTTGCGTCGTTGCTGCCATTGCCTCCAGCGACATTTGCACCGCGATTCTGCTTATTTTGATCGTCGCCGTTGCTATTGACGCTCATTGGATTGATTCCTGCGAATCCAGTTCCATTAACTGCTCCTGCATTTCCTGCTCCACCACCGCCGTTACCCTTCAATACGGCTAACAAGTCGTCAGATCCATTTCGAGCTCGTGTCGGCGAGCTGTTCATCGATGAATGATGGATCTGAGGCGAAAATCCCGGTCGTGGCATACCGTACCCATTAGCGATCGCTCCTGCACCGGACGCAACTGGAGGGGTGCCATTGGCAACAGGGCTGAAATGAAGCAGCGGGCTGCCAGATTGCGTTGGAATGCCGAGCATGGCCTTCAATGCGTCGCTTCCATTCTGATAAGACGTTGTAGAAGACAAAGACGATGGAGTAGAAACCGGACGAGCGGATGGATACTGCGCAGATGTCGACTGGATCGTGGGTGAACCCGTGGCCATGCCGTCCCGAATAAACATGCTAGAACTGACTGGGCTCTGAATCCCTAGTAGAGCCTTCAGGGACTCAGTGCTGTTTCGGGTGTCCTTTTGCGGAGACGAAAACTCCTGGGTTGGACTACTCTGCTGCTGAGCCAGCGCAGGGTCCTGTAGAGATGATGGACCCTTACCAATGCCCAGCATACTCTTCAGCACCTCAGAGTCGAGTCGAGCTTCAGTCGAAGAAACGACTGGCGCTGCTGCTTGGATTTGCAGATGTTGTTGTTCACGTGTGGCTGTGACGGTATGGTTCTCTGCTGGCTGCTGCGGGGCTTGACCATACTGACCCTTGTTGTTGCGCTTCGTGTTCCTTCTTTGCGCATTGATCCAGCTCTTGAGTTTGCTGTGGAACAATGACCAGATCATATGTCAATCCAACGATGAACGCTCAGACCACACCACGATCACAATCGGCTGCAGTCTTCTTTCTGTTCATAGGGCGACTTACTGGACGAATGGCGTCACCATATAGTATCGGCTTGGATTCTTGGCGCCATTGGGCCTTTCAGTTCCACTTTCTCTTCCTGACTGCGTTCCCCTTTCGATTGGCTTGGGCTTCGATGTCGGCAATTCGGCAATAAAATGCCATTCAATTTTCTAAAAGAACCAAAGGCATAGTCAGCGTGTTTAGTGGGTTAGACACGCTTTCCATGTCTCTTCAAGTAGCGCTTGGTGACGTTCGAACTAAGCCAGGACGTACACTGATCTCTTTTCTTGTCTGGGGTTCGAACACTGTGGTTTCAGGAACTCCTTTGACTATGTACAAGCGAATTCTTTGATCTTTGATGGTCTGTTCCACATAGTCCTCCTCTCGAATCTTGCCCGTTACGTCGAAGCCGGTTTCCTCCCATACCTACATCGCAAAAGCAATCCGCCATATAAAGCGGAACCATAATATTAGATAACCACCTCTTGTAAACAGTATCAATTGAAAGTGCAATCAGGATCAATGCCCGGTTGCTTTTCAACCAACCATTCAGTACGAGTCATGTACCTCGCGGACTGCACACAGGGTATCCGGCTCATCCTTGTTGATCTTGCCCTTTGGAAATCCCCATCCTGACCGAGCCGTCCAGCCTTTGACTAATATACACTGTTGTTGCAAAAGGAAGAAGGTTAGAAAAAGATGTCTCTTTGCATTAGAAACTGGCATGGCAGCATTGCTTATCGATGAAACAAAAGGCATCCGTACCTTGTCCATGGCTTCGTTCAAGATGATGGCGCCACAGACTGGCACCCGGATCTTGTACTCCATAAAGTTGGCAAAGGCGGTCTCGTGTTCGTTGGACCATTCGTGAAGGAGTGGGCAGTGCTGGAAAAACTTGGCGGAAAAGTTCTTGAGGTTAAAACTTGGGAACGACGGGCTCTGTTCCCTTACAAAATCCTCGTAATACCAGTGGGCTTGTTCGATTTGGAAACAGATTCGCTCGACAGAGGCTAGTTCCTCGTCGGGTACATTGATAATAAAGCGACTATGACAGAGAGGCGAGGGAAAGGAGTGTTAATGCCATGCACTGAGAAAGTGGGTGTTTGGACAAGGCTGAAAGGGAGGCGAGGGTACCTGGAGAGGTCGTCGAGGACCTCATCAAAGGTGACATTGGCCCATGCCATTGTATTTGCAGTAGAGCGGTGATAAATACAACCAAGGGCTAGGGAGTTGGTCGAAGGAAAGGACGCAGGTGAACAAGAGAAGGAATGTAGGAAATCAGACGGGGAGGAACAGAGGATCGTAATCGGGTTCAGTGCGGCGATGCGGGTGTCCGAGGGATGTGGCTGAAGAGCGGATGAGGCGATTGAAAGAGACGGGGGCTGGGGGGTGGATGAGTGGATGGAGAGAGGGAGAGAGGGAGAGAAGGATGAATGGAGGGATGGAGGATGATGAAAGGAGGGAAGAATCAAAAAGGGAAAGCGAAGGAGGATGACCCCTTTTTCGGTGCAGTGCTCGTCACAGCTCTCCGCCAATGGGGAGTGACGCAGCACCCGCTGCTGTGTTTGCCCTATGCACCTTCCGATGCTTGCTTGGCCGCCGTGGTCTGCTAGTCGCGCGCAGGAAACGCGTCCTCGATCATGCGCCCGATATACGCATCCGCAGCGCATGGGCCGCATGCACAGGCGTAACAAGAGCCACGGCAATCCCAACTCGTGTCCGCTTCCTACTAACAATGCTCTAACAATGCTCTAGCATGCCCTGTCCTCATCTTGTGCGGCAAACATGTAACGAGACAAAATAAATATAATGAACATCCTTTTATTGCTTCCAGTCTACGGGTTTGTATCCCTCTAATCAAGCTTCTGCAGTTCAGCCATAACAAGCTCATACACGAAAAATGTAACCGCATTGACAGGGAACGCTCGAAGTAGCGCCGGCGTCACGCCTCTCATAAACACGCCCATGCCCTCAGTCCTGTACGAGCGAATGGCACAATCCAACATGCCCTTGTAAGGCGCACTTGCAGGAACCTGCGAATGTCCCTGTCGACTTGTCTGATGAACCAGCCCTCGCTGTTCGCCGTGGCCCTTGGACAAAAGACTGGTAGTCGGTGTGGGGATACGGGTGGGGGCGGTAATTGGAAGCGACCTCATGCTGCCGTAGGGATCTGTTACAACAAGATGTGGCTGTGTTTGCAGTCTAGTCTTGATTACATCTAGATTGGAGAATAAAATATGAGAATGTCTTCTTTTTCGTCCTCCAACATGCCAGTCAGTCCATCTGAAGGATTCAGCTGCTTTTACCAAGCGGGTATATGCTTGCCCATGAAAGGGTTCCAGCCAATCCACCAGCAAAGAGCAGCTTCCATGTGTTGATGCCTCCAGTCTCTCCCTGTGGGATTTCCAGCACTCTCTTGAGTCCTTCGTATGATCTATATTTGAAGAACCATCGATGTTCAGTACATGATACGAGACTAAAGCAATCTTTGAAGTCTCAGAGTTCGCCGATCTTCGACTTACAAAAAGTACACTCCGTATCCTGGAGCGTCCCTAAGAATCGTTACCCATCCTCCTTGATACAGTCCCTTCAGACCAAACCGCTTGACGACGTCCTTGGTGACCTGCCATGAGCCAGACTCGCTGAGGATGGCTCTTTGTGCTGCTGCAGAAGAGTTGGGGTCCAATTGCGAAGCAATGACCTGGGCTCTGCACTTGACTAGCTCCGTCGGCGTACTGACCAAGAAGCAGGCGACACCCGCAACGAATCCAGCTGCAAAGACATGTGACAGCGGTTGGTATGTTTCTCTTGCTGCAGTGTACGACGACGGGTGTGTGGGGGAAGTTGGCGGCGAAAGTGTCTCGAACAACCGCATGGAAGCCGAGTATGATGCAAACAAAATGGAGTTGAGTCCTGCCAAGCCGATGATCGGAGAGGTGATGCCTTTGAACAAAGACTTGACCTACAACATTGGGTGACACAAATCCGGCGTAAGTACCAGATCAATTTGCCCGCCTTGAGGGATAGATTGGTCGCATGCTGACTTACGCCTTCATTCTGAATCATGGATGTAAGACTGTTCTTGTTGGCTTGCATGTTGCTGGAGGCAGCCGAGCTGCTTTCGGCCTGAAGTCGGACCTATATTAGCAATGGAAGGGTCGATTAAGCAACGATACTTTCGGATTGCAATTACATTGGACGGACGAAGTTTAACTGCAACATTTTTTATTTTATTTCTTTGTACCTTGAGGACATCCAGAGGACTGCCAATAATCAACCCGGCTACACCACTGATATAACCTGTCGCAAGCAAAAGACAAAGAGAATTTTCTGGGCTGGTTAGTTGTTTAGGTAAACAAACGCACATGCATGTACATGACATGGTACATATAAACGTGGGAGGTCGGTGGAGGATGGGCACGGATGGTGGTGGTAGGGGTCGGCAAGACAAAAATGGGGGTACAAACCCTCCTCGTGTGGAAAAATAAAAAGGGATTTTTCATCCCGACGACAGACGATTATCAGATCGGTATGCACTTGCCTGCAATGAAGTCGTTAACACTGCTGGCTAAGTTGGGGAAGGGAGGGGGATGTGGAGAGAAAAGACGGTTAGGAAACAGGGTACCGACACAGTTGCAGTGGTCAATGAGATGATCAAGTCGATGGCATACCCATGGTGGGGATGCGATCTGGCTGTGGATAGGAGAGGGAGGAGCAATTGAGAGAAAGAGGGGCCGAGAGTGGGGAGGGGCGCGTGGAGGTCGAGGAAGCGGGACCTGGGTTGGGTGGGGCAAGAAAAAAAGAGAGAGTGAAGAAAAGAGAAGAAAGTAAGTAATTCAGAAGAAGAGGGCGGGCAAAAAAAAAAAGAGTCTGTATTTCATCAGCCGTTGGACGTAGAGTTCGATCTGCTGCTGTACCTGTGTTCCTGGCAAGCGCAGGGGGATGTTCCCTCGGGCTCTGTCACCCGATTGGCTGATGAAAACACTCGCTCACCGACAATGTGCGAGGACCCTCTCAGTCCCAGAGGAACTAATATTTCGATCCACATGCCGTCATCGCACGGGGGCCCTCTTTTGGCCCCTGGAACAGGCCATGCCATGCCAGGCCTCGCCATGCGTGACTTTGTATTGTCCCCCGCACAGACAGAACACCGCAGCACCTGTCTCCTTCACCTCCTCCAACCATGCAACGATGGATGCAACAGACCAGGACGACAATGATCAGCATCCAGACTTTCGTCTGCTCTTAAACAATCCCAAAGGGTAAACCAGCATTCCTCCATTCGTTCATCCAGCCATCCTGGAACAGGACACGAGAAAAAAAGAAAACAACCCTTTGGTTGACACTCTTCTCACTGTCCCTTTGCACGATACCATATAGAAAAGATCTCTCCTCGCAGACATTACCGAGCAGGGATACCAAGTCATCACAGGATCCAGCCGCAGCACTCGAGGAACAGTACAATGCCTACTTTCATATCCTGGCCGAGGAGCGTCGCGGTGCAGAGTATGTGAACAGGACAGCATTTTGCAATTTAGAGGGTCGGCAACGCTTCATTTTGTCTAACCCCGTCTGCCTGACTCAACCTGTAGACGGACGTTTTCCCGCGCAGTCTACGAACCAGAACTGGGCCTATTCAGACTGACAGTGAATAAGGGAACTCACTTCGTGAGCATGGGACACACATTACACGGTCAGATCTATCTCTATCCCGAGGAAGCTCTGTATCTTGTCGATCGTGGCTCTCTTCTGGTAGATCATCATGGCGTGGACATGTCCGTTCAGCACATGTGGAGTATCTACCTTTCGCCCGTACATATCCAGAGTCAGGATGGACGTCAACATCAGGATCAGGATAAGGATGCACCTATTCCACAGGACAGTACTACAGCCATGAATCGATACCTGACCTACGCCTATCTCAAACGACTGGGCTTTGTTGTGATCAGGCCAGGAACATACCGCCACGAAGTCGTCTCTCGAACGCATGGCCAATCGAAAGCTTGGGGGCATGAACTCACACGACCACTCCTTAAATTGGGGCCATTGTTTACAGCCCTGTGGGACGCGATTGTTGGAACGTGGTGGCGTCGATCAAGAGCATTTATCACTAATGTGGGGCTGGGGTTGTTATCTCTCATCGATATGTGGTCAGGAAAGTTCAGTCGACCACTTGTCTCCAACAACGACCAGCTACAGTATGGTGAGTCCGTGTTCGTTTTAACTCTCGCGAACATGAGAAGCGCTTTCAGACACCATTAGCTCACCAAGAGTTCCTTCTGTTGTGCCCTATCAATAGGCCAGATCCTGGATAAGCTAAAGATTATACCGAGTGTGCGTCTTGCCCATACTTCAGAGCCCTCTGTTCAGGCAATGAGGCGTCTTCAAATTGGTAGAGAGAATAACATAGTAGTCGATTTTGAGGTTTACAAGCCAGCAGGAGCATTCAAGAAACGGCAACCTGGCACACCGGACTATCATGTTGTTGTTGTCGGGTAAGATTATGCTACCCTACAACAATGCCAAGCAACCTCACGCGCTCTGCCGATTTGTTAATCTGTAGTCTTTTTTTCTTTTTTTTTTCTTTTTTTTTTTATGTCAACATAGAGCCGATGCAATGTTACCCTCTCTTGGTGAACTAGAGATCTTGATGGACGGACAACCTGATCCCGCCCAAGAGAACCCCTCGTCCACAAATGCTACCAACGCATCAGAAAAGGACAAACGGAAGAGAGCACCGGACTGGCCAAAGGTCCTGTACGCAATTGTCGATGGTGGCCAAGTTTCCTTTATGAAAATGTTCAATATTCAAGCTACTCCATAGAGCCGTGGTAGTAAAAGTACAGATGATTTATTTGCTGATATTCATCGCTTATCGATCATAAGAATGGGCTGGTATTTCATCACAAAAAGAGGGGGTACAGAAGACTTTACAGGCTGCTCAAATCGTTGATCCAGGTGCGGCTGAATGGAATACGGACTGATAGTTCTCCACGGTGGAACATACGGCTGAAGGACGACTCAGCATCGTCCTTGTACTTGTAAACCAGGACGACTTGGTCGCCAAGGTTCAGGCCAGGTTGTGCGGCCTCCATTTCCTTGGCGGCTCTATCGACGACCCGTCCGATGGCCAGGTATTTCTTGGCGGCCTTCTCGCGCATCATCTTTTCACCATCGCCCTCCATGTGCACCACAACGTGATTGCCCTCGCGGTCAATCTTCAGGTTCTCCAGGTAGTCTTTGCGGGGCTTGACCATGTCTTTGCCATCAAAGCATGCCTGAGTGACCTTCTTGAGTCCACCCTTTCCCTTGGGGTCAAACACGACGAAGCGAACATCGATCTTGTCCAGCTGTTCCTTGTCACCGCTCTTGGGGAACGTCCATCGGAACCATTCATCAGGCTGAGCTCTCTGGACTTCCCAATTAGGCCCCAAGGTACTCAAGGCAGTCGTGTATCGGTTAGCGTTTTCATCACGCTTGAGAACCTTCTTAAGGTCCTTCATCACATTAACAGCGGGCACGACTCCCACAAAGATCAAGGCTGCACCACCAATGGTCAGGATAGGCAAGGCAATGAACATAAGACGGCCCATCACCATGAGGGTGGCACCAACACCAAAGACCGTTAGGGGAACATAAGCCAATGTGTTCCATGGTGCGTCAAGGAAGATGACAGCGGGTGCTGCAACTAGGACAGTCGAGAGAAACATCAATCGGAACATGGAACGCATGGGTCGGCGGCGGCGCATGAAATGGTTATGATGATGATAGCCGCGGAAGGCACCATGTCGACCCCAGCTGTCATGAAAATGTTTGTGAAGTTCGTTGCGATCGAACTTTGTGGCGTCACCACGCCAGCCCCGGTGCCAAAAGTCGCGGGCGGCCTCGCGAATGGGTTCTTGCTCGGCGCGCCAGGCTCTTCGGGAGAATCCCCTGATGACCTGAGCCTGGAATGGCGAAGCAGAGGAGGCAGCTTTGGTGAAGGGTGTGGAAGAGGATGAGCCAGGGATATTGGGTCTGGCAGCCGAGGAGGAGGATGAGAAGAGTCTTGACGAGAAGGACGACAGCGGCAAAGGAGACAATCCTGCGGTTGGTTGTCCAGGAGAGAGCGGTGTGGATGCACGCAGTTTGTTGGCGTTGTGGGTGAAGAACTCCGAGAGTCTTGCGCTGCTGCTGGCGGGGGTGGAGGCGAATGCTCGCTTGGGCAAGGCGTGGAAGAGTCTGGTCGCGTTAGGGACGGAGACCAGACGCGCTATTGGGCTTGAGGAGATCATTATTGGCTATGTGTGGGACGAGGAGGAGACGAGTCTGTTTGAGTGCCTGGGGTGTGCTAAAGATGCGGGGAGAGGGAGAGGAGGGCACTCCGTTTATATGTGAATGATGGTCTGGCCTTGTAAATTCCCATTTTCGGTCGTGCCTGACCCAGGCACAGCCATCGTCCAGAAATGGAAGAAAAACATCTGAACGAGACTGAGAGCCCCGTTCTTCAATTGAACTTTTTTTATCTTTATCTTTCCAAGGGCGCATAAAAGAAGGAGGGTCTATGATGTCGTTGATGCTCATGATGCCCAACGCGTATTATATTACGCGTAACCTTGACTGAAATAGGATACATCGTGGACAATGTTTTCGTCCGTCTTGTCATGACACGCCAACTACCACTGAAAACACCCGCATTGGCGAGACGCGAATCCTGCCAAGCTTTCTCATACATATGCTAAGCCTAGTGAATGCATTCGTGCCCGTAGTTCGGGCTCTACGTGGGAGTCTAGGCTGCCGCTTTTTTCCATTTCCATTGCCAAGTACAAGGTGGCTTTCTAGAGCTGCAGTCCCCCCAAGAGAAACGACGAAGTACACCTGTCCTCTACCTTCACGCTCTTTTGCGAATTGAAGAATACTCCGTATTTCCCGGTATAGAACCATCATGTCCTTTCACAACGCCAACTGAACTTCACGATGAACCACGCGGGACTTCTTGTTCTCGCTCTAATTCTTCAAGCAGCGCGACCATTGAGATGACCCACGTGACCTTTTTTTTTTTTTTGGCTGGCGCAAGAAAGTATGTCTAGGCGAAAAGAAATGAGCGCCATGGTCATCATCTACATTTTCCACTCTACCCTTGCATCTTTAACGACTCTTGCCTCTTTTATTGTTCATCGTCCAGTTCTTTTATCTCTTTTTCTACTTTTTGCATCAACCTGCGAAAGACCTTTACTATTATTCGCCACTCTTCAACACACGCACGTCCATGAACTCTCTATACAACCATGCTTTGAAGCAGGTCAACGCCCTGCAGCGGGATCTCGAAAAGTTCCAGTCGGGCGAGGATACCAGTGTTGCTCTTCAAGGTACGACCAGTGCAATCAAACATAGCAGGATGGCATATTCCTTTTTTTTCAGTCGTCATGTATAATACTCGATACTGTGGGTGTCACACGACGGAGTTTATGTCCTGCTCAGACCCAGCAAGAAATGATGATCTCGAGAAGGATTCGGCAGGGACGTTCATGGGAGCAACATTGATGGGATCAGCTCACACATCGACAGCGGCAACGAGTCAGTACCGAAAACTATCGAAGGGCTTTAGCTGCCATGTGCAGATGGCAGACCACACTCTTCTCCCTCCCCACCAGAGCTCTCGTTGAGCTCTGTTGCCACGTTTGCTACAACATATCTTTGGCATGCAACAGTCATGCGACCGAATCAACAACATACAAGGACACAAAAACGAATCCCACTTTTGCCTTCAATGCACTCGACTGCATCGAAGCCCATGAATGGATCTTCATATATGCACACGTTTATGCGGTTCTCGTTCTAACGGACAAGGTTTATACTATCTCACCTTTCGCTACGCATAGGCCAGATCACAGCGACCGTCAATGCCTTCAAGCGTTCAATCGACGACTATGACGCCATGGCCAAGAAGGAGATGATCGACGTCAAGCGGGAGAAGGCATTCGCGTATGTGTGCAATTTGACCCGGCTATCTCTGTAGAAGGACCATGTTGAATATCCTCTCCGGTTCACTAACACTGGGTCTCTCGTTTTTCTTGTCGACATGGGGAACTGAAGTCGCGTCACCAAGTTTAGGGAGGACTACGATGCCATCAACAGGAGTTTTGCACAATTGAAGAGTCGAGAAGAACAGGTATGTGGTCTTGAGATGCTGCCACGTTGCATTATCAATCCATGCGATTATTATTTCTTTTTACTGGAGTAAAGTTATTTTCTTTAGCTAATTATGGAGCCATGTAACAAACACAATAGCTTTCTCATGGAAGGAATCGCACCCAGTTGCTGGAAAGAAGGCAATCACGGATGACGGTTCCGGTCGAACATCCGTACCAAGCAACATCCGCCTCTCCATACTTACAGCAGGCTCATGCCCTCCGAGAGCGAGACTTTGTGTCAAAGACAGGCCAACAGCTGGATGATATGCTGCATCAAGGAACGGCGGCACTCAACGATCTCTTCCACCAACGCACAACACTCAAAGTAAGGCAGCACCATACTGCAAAAGTCCACTTGAATAGTGTGTGCCATCCATCCCCCTCGCCGGATTGAATCCAGCCTTTCTCACATTCTTACATTCTTACTATTGTTCTTATTTCTCGCCTCTAGTCGACGCAGCGCAAGATGTTGGATGCTGCCAATACCCTTGGACTGTCCCGTAATGTCATTCAGCTCATCGAGCGCAGGAGTTCTGAAGACAAGTGGATCTTTTACGCCGGCGTTGTCATCACCCTGTTGGCCATGTGGGCCATTATCCACTATCTCACCTAAGAAAAAAAAAAAAAAAAAAACAGCAGCCATTGGACGCACGACTTACTAGTCTCGACCCTTTGCCAGGATTTTGGAATGATGGACAATCATTGGGGATCGGATCCAGCAGACGGGCAATTTTTTTTTTTTTTTTTTTTGCTTTTTACGATCGACACAATATATATCTCTCTTCTAGCCTTGTAAAATAAATAATATATTCTGCTATACACTACATCCGATGTGAAAACCAAAGACCCGGCAGCATGGTTAAATATGAAATAGATCAGCAACGCACGAGCAAATCCATCATACAAGCATTAGGCTACGGATATGACGCCATTTGATAACAGAAGAGCAATAAATGTAACTAGTCAAAAGACCCTTTCTAAAAGCCCAGCAAATGAGTCCAGTTCTTTTTTTTTTTTAAGGCCATATAAAAAGCCCCTTAGTTAGATTTTTATTTTCAGACAATGTTTTCCTTTTTGAAAAAAAAAAATGATCGATTTTACTCGTAGATCAACTTCTCGACGGTGCGGGTGTGGGAGATGACACCGTGGGGGAACCACAAAGCAATCTCCTTCTCGGCGTTGTCGACAGAGTCGGAACCGTGGCAGAGGTTGCGGCCGACATCAATGCAGAAGTCTATATAAAAAAAAAAAAAAAAAAAAAAAAAAAAATTGCACAGCGCAAAAAGAAGCGTCAGAGGACCCTGATAACACGAGAGGGAAAAAAACGATCAAGTGCATAAAGAGTTGGGTAAGGCATGGTGAGGAATACGTACCACCGCGGATGGTTCCGGGCAACGAGGCCAAGGGGTTGGTCTCGCCGAGGAGGACACGGCCAGCCTTGACGACACCCTTACCCTGCCAGACCATGGCAACCTATCGAGTAATTAATTCCAACACGCGAATAAAGAAAAGGCAAAAGGAGGAGGGAAGAGGGGAATGTTAACATCCATTGAATGTGCGAAATTAATATCTAATCAATTAAACAGCAATTGAATCCACTGCAAATGGGATCAATTGAACAATCGAGCCTCTCTCTTGTTCATGTATACGTACAACGGGGCCGGAGGTCATGTAGTTCATGAGGCCACCGAAGAAGGGCTTGGAGGAGAGATCGGCGTAGTGCTTCTCGAGGAGGTCACGGGTGGGCTAGAGAATCGTTCACAGCATAAAAGAAAAAAAAAGTTAGTTAATTGTTCAGCAACAGGGTCGGAACGTCATCAACGAGGTACGAGAGAACGGGTTGCAAAAAAAAAAAAAAGAAATCCCTCCGTTCAGGGGGGAGGGTCTCGTATCCACTGTTTCAAGAACGTGGGAGAAAACATAACAAAAAAAAAACGACATGGATTCTAAATCATATCCCATGGTATATACATACGGCCTTGAGCTCGAGGGCAATGAGCTGGAAACCCTTGTTCTCGAAACGCTTGATGATCTCACCAACGAGACTGCGCTCGACACCGTCGGGCTTGACCTATTGTTGGTTGTTTATCGCAAAAAAAAAAAAAAAAAAAAAATGTCGAAGAATAGTGTGAGCCAAAGGAACGCCATTGAAAAATAAGAAATCCTTTGGTAGGCGCGCACGCGCGAGCGATACGACGCCTAAAAAAAATGGGCGTTTTAGGCGAATACATAGAACGCAACAAGTAGAATGGGAGAATGAGTAGAGTCGAGTCTCGTACCATGATGTAAGTGCGCTCCATTTTGATTTGTGTTTTTGGTTTGGATTCGGGGGAAAAGGGTAGTGAAGAACAGAAAAGAAGAAAATAAAAATAAAAAATGTCGAGCCTTGATAACAGGGACTCCTAATCGCAGTCCATGCGACAGAGCCTACTTCCATCCGTCACCAACAACGTGGGCGCGTTTAGCGTCCATGCATAAACTAGGCACTGTCTCAAACAAAGTCTTTCGCGTCGGTATAGAGCACAGCTCATTCAATTGATCGTTGAGTAATACATAGGCAAACGATTCATGTTTATCAATAAATAAACTGGATAAATATCTAGCTGAGAACCGAGTAGGACACACTCTCAAGTTCGTTTTTGGGAGATCAAGAGTACAAGTGAATAAAGGATAGTATAACTACATGTGGGATAAAGATATTCATAAAGACGGACAGGCCAAGATACCAGCAATGGGAGGGGGAGAGAGGCTGCTGTTCATCGTTGGGATGCCCCAGGGGGGAGGTATACAGGATCGATGGGTATAGAGAGAAGTAGTACCTATTGTACACGACAACAAAAGGGCGGTTAAGAACTGAATTCGACGATGGGCTGTTTTGCTAGACAAACGCTTGGTTGACAAAGAAATCAATTGCAGACTTACAGGACATGGACACAGTAGACATGAAGTGACCGAGACAGTGGGCAAAAAAAAAAAAAAAAAAAAAAAAGCGCTTGCCCATTGTCTATTCTATGGACCATCGCTTCGCGGATCCACTGATAGATTCCATGGGATAGATATTTGTCCCTGAGACCTTGCCGACTATTTGCAAAACGGTTGAAGAGGACCAACTGTCAGCGAACACAGCCCTCAGCAAGAAAAAAAAAAGTTACATATTCAAACCAATCTTTTTTTTTCCTCCTCTCACTTACTGTGTGCATTCAATCCGTTGTTGAAGTTTTTCATGCAGACCCACGCAAAATATAGCGTAGCTATTCCGAGAAGTAAATTGACGACCACTAGAAAAAAGAAAAAAAAGGTCATGAGCGACAAAGCCGACGAATAGCGCTTCGTGAAGACCAACACGAACAAGGAGTAGCGGTTGAGCGACTTACAAAAGAAAACAAGGAACTTATTTGCGCCTACGAATCTCGTGGGCTCGCTAAACACTTGGTTCAGCTTGATAATATTATAGACCAGCGTTCCGAATCCTCCTACGATAAAACAGCTCATCGAAATTTTGCTCTCGCGTTTCAACTAGACAGAGAAAAGGAACCAGAAAAAAAAAATCTCATGCGTCAGTCAACCGTTTGCATCAAAAGCCCAAAATCAAAGAAATAAAATCCGGGGATACTTACGCCCCACCATGCAAGAAATGGTAAAACAAAGGACGCTCCCATGGACAAAACGAGATGGATAATCAAGATGTTCTTCATCTCGTCCTTTGACAACACCTGCGATGGTGGCACCCCTGGGACATTTTCGTACTGCAACACGACCACAGAAAGAAATTGCGCCGAGAATCCAAGTTGGAAAAAGATGTCGAATTTGAGAATCATGATAAAGATCTGGTACACCTTGTACATGTCTATTGGACGCATGACACAGGATAATCAGAAAACATTAGGGTCCTTCTTGGGTTCACATAGTCTCGCTCCAGTACGGATGGTAGAAACAATCTTGGTACATTCTCACGAACCTCGCATGGCCAAGTCTGCGCCAATCTTTTTGTAAATGCTCCATCCAAACTCCTTGTACAGCTTGTAGGCGATAAAGGCGAATCCCGCCGCAAAGATAACCATCAACGATAGTACAGCGATTTCGAACGGTAACGAGGCGTGATAAGGTGTCGGGTTTGCGTCCCGTCCAAAGAAATCCAGAATCATGTTGGGTAGCGAGTCGCCTGGCGTCCTGATAAGAATATCTGAGGCCTGCTTCACTTGAACTCCCGCGTAGGCGACCATCGCGCAGTTGAAAAGTACGATGGCAATGATCTGAATGGTATTTTTGTTAAGCATCTAACAACGACAAGATCCCCCCAAAAAAAAGAGTAGAAAAAAAGAGCTGGTGAGCATCCAATGCTCGCTGTTTTCCTTTGTTCACTCGCAGCGAAACCGATCCAGTCTGGTTTTTTGTTCAATCAGATTCAGTGCTTACGGCGTCACAGAGAAGAATGAGCTGGAAAATTTGGGCGACAATGAACAGGATATGGTATACAGACAGGACTCGGGCCGTCTGGACCACCTGAACTGGGTTGTATTCGTCGTAGTTCTTCCTTTGCTGGAGCGTAATGAGAGCTGGACCGACAACTGCTTGGATGTTGGCGGACTCTGTCATATGTAGCCGGAAAATGACTGCCTCGAGCGCCACGATGACGACTGCCTGAATGCCAGACCATACCAAGGAGTATCTGGACCAGGTCGAGTCGCCTGCCTAAGAAAAGATCAGACGGGCGGAGTGGACGTGAAACAAAACAGATATTTTAGACAAACAGAAAGAAGGACTCTGCCGCCGCTTGGGGTATATTGTCATCCCGGTAGTAATCCCGAAAGGCTCCCGCTGTCGCCAAGGGCCCTTGACAGCGTTCTTTCTGGAGTTGCTGTGTTTGCTGGGTGTACTGGAGTCCAGGCTGTATCCTTGAGCACGAGGTAACACCAATTAACACCAGCTGTTCAGGCGCTCTGACCTCTTCATTTCTGCCTTCTGCAGTCCGGAGTCCTGCTAGCCCAAAATACACGTTGTATCTTTATTTGGATGTCGGTGTGAAAGCGCACTCGCACCACACGACCATGCCTGGTGTGTCCACGGCACAGGAGATATCCACAAGTGAGCGCTCCTGAGGTTGTGGGAGTGCTTATTTGAGATAAGCGCGGTTATTCTCAATGGTCTCTGGAGCGAAAGAGTGAGAGGAATTGGAAGACTTACAAGTCTTGAAATCATTGTTTACCGCCTCCGGTTCTGGTTTTAGGGCGAGAGTGTGAAAGTATGGGAAGAGGGGAGAAGAAGACGATGGATAGGAAGAAAGGGTTTGGGACCTGAATCGTACCCCGATCAGTGAGGACGGGAGGGATTGAAGGATTGAAGGATTAAAGGATTGAACTGAGAAGAGAATGAAGGAGAGAGGAGTCCTGGGAGGAAGGGAGGAAGGAGGAGGAGGTCCTTTTTTAATAACGAAAATAGAGAAGAATAGCCCTCCAGAGCAACAACGCTGGACCAAATTATTGTAGAGCAGGATAGGATGGGACAGGACAAGTGTTAAGAAAAGACTGAGGTAGGAATGGAGAGAAGGAGTGTGAAGCGTGGAGGAGGGGAGGGTATGGGTGCGATGCGCAGGTGCGATGCGCAGGTGCGATGGAAGACCTAAGTGTTGTTGCAGTAAGTAGGGTACGAAATAAGATATTAAGCGGCTAAGGACAAAAGAGAGGATGAGAATGAAGAATGAAGGATGGGAAGTGATGAGATGGAATTTGGTCAAGTGTGAAGTTGGGCAGCAGAGAGTTGATGGAAAAGGAAGAAGGTGTTTGTTTCTGGTTTGTTTGTGTTCACGATAGTTGGATTGTACGTGGCAAAAAAAACGTTCCCTCAATGCTATCCCCCCGACTCTACAACGTCCATTGAATTCAGATGGCAGAGCGTTTCTACCGTTTGCTTTGAAGGTTCTGCATCGCTACAAAGCTTTGTCATTTCTTCTTCATCGCCCCCGGATCCCGCTGCTGAATCAACTATTTGCACATCTGCGGGCTGTAGGACAATAAAAGGTTTTTTCTCGCATTTCTTTTTTTTTTTCTCCGCCAGCTTATTCAACCAATATTTGCTCCACACTCCAAACACAAAGGAGGGATGGAGACACGATCCAGTCAGTTACTTTCCTGCCACTGGCCTTTGGGGCTGTAGGTGTTGGCAGCAGCGCGTTTGCTTCTGAGTATCAGGTTGCTGCTACGGGGATATGTCTACTTAATGTCTGCATGTAGTCCGTCTGGTTTGAACCAGGTAAAAATAAGGGTCCAGTATGATAAATTGCATTGGCGCTAGTGAGATACCCATGATACCAATGATGGCGTTTTGCTTTACATTATTAAATGATTAGCCCCCAGAGGGTCCCCTTGATTTTTCAGATACGGTGCAAAAGACTCAAACAGTTGCATGTAAGTAATATATTTCCAATAACGAGCATTTACGGATTGTGCTAGTTTAATATTATGCCCAAGAGTTTGGTTCGCACCTGCTTCGCCATCCACCGCATCCCGGGTTTGCTCTCGAGACTAGAATCGCCTGAAAAGACTGTCACAACGAGAGTCCTCGTTCTCCAAAGGACATCTTTTTTTTTTTCAGGGACACGCTTCTTCCGCACAGGCACGTATGAAAAAATGCAGCCGTGCGCTGATTGGCCAATGCCGGTGGCCTGTTTGAAAGAAAAGATACGGGCCGTTGGACTATCCTCAGGGAGGACTAGCTGATCGTCCTCCCAGCTCCACCTTTCATCTCATCGTTCATCCGCTCCCTTTCTTTCTCAATCCACCATCACACAAAACACCTCTCTCATCACTCCACTCTCCCATACTTTCATAGCACATCCCCAAAAATGGCCACCACAAAGTGTCTCGTCACAGGAGGTAACGGTTTCCTCGGCCGTTGGATTGTCCCTGAGCTGATCAAGCGTACCGATTATGCCATCACCATCCTCGACATCGTCATCCCTCCCAACGCGAAACCCACCGACCGTATCTCCTACGTCGCCGGAGACATCACCGACGCGGAGGCTGTGCGCAATGCCCTCAAGGGCCACGATATCTGCATGCACGTCGCCTCACCTCCTCACCACTTCCCTGCCGAGAAGTTCAAGACGATCAACATCCAGGGCACCCAGAATGTCATTGACGCCTGTCTGAGTGAGAAGGTCGGCCGTCTGATCTACACCTCCTCTGCCTCTGTTCTTCAGGATGGCTCCCCTCTCGTGAACGCTGACGAGACCTTCCCGATCCCCAAGACCTTTATCGAGACCTACTCCGAGACCAAGGCCATTGCAGAGGCCATGGTCCTCAAGGCCAATTGCGATCAATTGCTCACCTGCTCCTTGCGTCCCAGCGGTATCTTTGGGCCTGGGGATACTCAGGGAACACCAGGATTCATGGATGTGATGAAGAAGGGACAGCATGTTCTCCAGATCGGAGACAACTCTGGACTCTTTGACTGGACCTATGTAGAGAACGTGGCATACTCGCATGTACTTGCCGCACAAAAGCTCCTTCCAGGCTCTGGAGTTGCTGGTCAGGTAAGAAAGCGACACTTTGCAGGATGTAGAGCTAGCCTATGGATCTTTTTTTTTTTTTTTTTTTGTGCGTCCAATCTAACGCGTTGATCCCCGGACAACTTGTAGGCATTCTTTATTACCAACGGAACACCGACCCCATTCTGGAACCACCCTCGTGCATTGATGGCGGAGAAGAAGGTCGTCGCCCCTTACCTGATCATTATCAACTATCACATCGCACTCATCATCGGCTTCCTCTCCGAGATGGCCACGCTGCTCAAGGTGATGATGGGCAAGGAAGCAAAGGAGGGCTTCACCCGCGTCCGTGTTCGTTACATTTCCTACAACCGCTACTTCAACATTACCAAGGCCAGGACCCTGTTGGTAAGCTGCAAAAAAAAAAAAAAAAAAAAAAAAAAAAAAGCTGCGCACGATCTGTTTTTATTATCATCGGAGAACTCCCCTTCTAACGACGTTGCATTTTATTTTATTTTTCTTCTTCTTCTTTGGTCTTTACTAATAGGGATACGAGCCAGTGGTTGGATACAAGGACGGCATCAAGAGGACAATGGCCCACTTTATTGAACAGGAAGAATTGCAGACGAAGAAGACCCAGGAAAAATAGACATTCGCATTCACCACTATAGATCATTCAGCGAAAAGAATACCTCAATACACTACCATATATTATCGCGATACACGCCAAGCTTCTGTTTCTCTTTTAAAAAAAACGTGCCTGAATCGATATATGGAATATATATAGTCTTTTATTGGCACAATCTTTTTACACTTTTCGGTCGCCTCCTCTTTTACTTTTCTACCTTTTAATGTTCATGCTCGACCTTCTTGAGCGCAGTCATGTCGGTGCTATCCAGAGGACTTCCAATGAACACCAGCTGCTTGATCTGTGTCGTTTCCTCATCGCCCAAGTTGTCCTCGATAAACAAGATGACACTCGTCACATTCTGGAACTTGACAAAGCGCAGAGGGATCAAGCCGTTGCCCTCGTAATCCTTCTCCGTCAACACAATCGTCTGGGTCTCCTGCACGCTTTCTGCCTCGTCGAATCCGAGCGTCAACTTGTTTACGTACAGCTTGATCGTCTTTGGGGCATGGGCTAAAAGTAAGAGAAACAAAAAAAAAAAAAAAGAAGGAAGAGAAGGAGGGGGACGCTGGTGAACAAGGGAAAGGTCTTATGTCTTGATTGAAAAGATCTCGGCCATGATAACAACACCTATTGCTTTACCAATATCCTTGGGAACAATCTTGAGTGAGTGCAGCTTGATGGCCTAGATGATTCACAAGGATGAAGAATAGGAAAATCAGCTTTCAACACACAATCCAAGGGGGAGGGAATACCCCAGCCCATTTCATTCGCCATTCTCATCTTCCGACCAAAAGTTTTCTTCCGTACCTGGTTAAAGGGGACCGAAATGATAAGCTGCTCATCGACATCACTCTCCAAGAAGGTATCATCGGTCTTGAGTGCGTTCCTGATATGGTTGGCGGCCTGCTGGTTCAGGCAATCGACCTGGTTGAGCGTGATTTGATCCGAAATATCCGCATGTCCTGCCACCAAGGGTCCAGATCCCGATCCCGATGCACCCTCCTCACCAACGGGTCCCTGGTGCTGTTTGATCAGGGCCTCGAGCTGTGTTGGGTTCGCGCCCTTCATCTCTGCAATTTTTTCGTTCGCCTTGAAGAACTGGAATGTGGGCCTTTTTTTTTTTGTCGTTGTAACAGTAGAATAAGGAATGTTAGAAAGACGGAATAAAAGTTGCCATTGGTCGTAGGATTACAAAGAAAGAAAGAGGGTAAAAAAAAAAAAAAAAAAAACACCTTACATGGAAGAAACGCCAGCGACCGCAGCAACCTCCTGGAAATCATCAACATCGACCTAAGCAAAAGATACCGCCAAAGGGGGGGGGGGGGGGGGGGGGTCAGCATATGTCGCAAAGAAACCATTCAACGAACACAAATTCTAGGCTTCTAGAGTCTCTGCCTTTTTTTTTTTTTCTTTTTCTTATTCTTTTTTTTTTTTACCTTGACAAAGATAACATGGCGATACTGGTTCGACAGCTTTTCAAAGATGGGCTTGATGATCTGGCAAGGTCCGCACCAGGCCTATTTTCAAACCATGCACAAAGATTCCCGGGTGTCAGCAAAGAGATTCGTAACAGCAATTGTAGCAAAGACTAACAGGGGCACAGCAGTAAGAGGGGGGCACGCGCGGGAATTGCTTACAGCTGTAAAGTCGACAACGACCTAGATGCCGCAAACAAGAGAAGAAGGTGTGTGTTAGTAACAGGGTCTCCTGGGATTCCGATTTGTCCATGTCCACACACACACCTCCCCTGAACCAAAAAAAAAAAAAAAAAAAAAAAAAAAAAAAAAAAAACGCCAGTGAATGAATGATGGCATTGAGGCAAAAGAGAATCAGTCCGTACGAGCTTGGTGGGTCCTGCGCCAGAGAGGATGTTCTGGTAGTCTGCTTGGCTGGTGATTCCTTTGACGGGCATGCTGAGGCGAGAGGAGTTTTCCACAAAACGAGAGTGCAAAGGGGGGGATGGAATGGATGTCTGTTTCTGTTGGCAACTGAACAAAAAGCAACACGCAATTCCCCCCTCTTTCTCTCTGTGTGACGCGTACAACTCATTTCTACATTGGGCACATTTGGGGTCAATCAAGGTTCGCGTCATGGCACTGCTTTTATTCGACTAATGTGTGTGTGCAATACAGACTCCCCCCTCCCCCCTCCTTGTGGACGATTCCCTCCCCTCTCAGAACTCTGAGCGCCGATGTTTCTCAGTCAAGGCCACTAATCTGCCCTCGTCTGCGCCCGAGAACTCGCCAACTTTCTCGGTGTCCTTGTAGAAATGAAAGGTGGGTCTACAGAGCCAAGAACGGAAAAAAAGAAAAAGGGTAGTTCTCCTTCTATAGCCTAATCATACAGCAAATAGAACTAGCAACAACCGGGGTCGAGGCTTACATTGAGGAAACGCCAACATCCAGTGCAACTTGCTTTGCCTGATCCACATCAACCTACAATTGAGGCGTCATTATTGATGCACCGAAAGAAAAAAAAAGGTTCTGCTGCTAAAAAAACCTCAATAAGTCTAACAACAGACCGTTTTACCTCAGCAAAGGTGACATCCTGGTACTGCCGTGCCAGCCTCTCGAACGTTGGCCTAATCAATCGACATGACCCCTTCTTCATCTAAAGTAACAGGGCGAAAAAGGAGGCCAAACCGTTAGAACGTATCAAGAAATATTATTAATACCAGCGGACACTACTTCACCTTACGGATGAAAAGTATACCACGACCTAGGCCAATGAAAAAATTAATTATCCTTCTCGGCATCCTATGCACCTCCATATCATGATTACGCACAGAAAAAAAAATTTACCAGCCTACTAGCCTCGGTCGAAGAGAGAATCCAAAGGTACTCCTCCATATCCTCAATCTTCTTGATAGCCATGACGGTGCCGTGCAGCGTTTGTTTTGTCCGTGCGGAGAGAAATAAATAGATAGCTTAATGCAATTTAATGCTGTAAAGTGCTGTAATGAGAAGGAAAGAGTGACGAAAGGTGGGGACAGGGAAAAAAGGGCATTAATGCCCAACGAATGCTTTAAACGAACCTCGACGGCTTCCAGGACTCTCAACACCTATGAGGTGCATGCGCGAAAGCTGTTGGGCAGCTCGGTCTTCAAAAGCTGTCCTTTGACCCTCGCATGCCTTGTTTGACTGGCCTGGTTCCACATCTTACATCGCACATTGCGATCGCGTTATTTTTTCGGTATAAATCATCGGTTTTATTACTGTTCATTAGTATTTCTGCAAACAAGTCGTTAAGCGCTACGGGAGCATTGGAAGAGGAGGTGACATTTACAACGCTCGCACTCTATGTGGAGTGGGAGCGGGGGGGGGGCGGAAGGGGGGGATGGTTGCATATTTGAAAGGGTGATAAAAAAAAACTACAAAGCAATGGAATATTCGTAAAGCGTTTAGTTTTTGATAGCAAAAAAAACGAGGGTAATATTTGTAGACACGAAAGGGGAAGAAGTACAAAGGCACCGAATTAGAAGCCTTGTCGGAAGAGGGCCATTGTACATCCATTTAGAAGGCTACTGCCTCTGCTGCTGGGCGCGTCACAAATCGATCAACCTGGTTGGGCTAAAAAAGTAACACGCAGCATGTCATGGTTAGTTCACTGCAGAAGACCAAGAGCAGTTATGCAAGGCTGCATGGTAGCACGGACGACCGAAGGACTTACCCCGCTGTATAGGCTTTCTCGGTTCTCGCCATCGATGGGCACAGTCTTGAGCGTCGGCATGGGTGTGTTCATGTCAAGCTTCAAACACGCTGCCACCTCCATCATCTGGTTCCTGATTTTGTCAGGCTGGAAAGGAAAAACGTGAAGAATATTGTTAAGGACTGCATGAGAGGCACGCATCATGATAGGAAGGCGAAACAGGCCTAACGACTCGTCAGGTCAAACAGGAACCGATTGCAACTGATACAATACTTACATTGATTTGTCCGCTTCGAACCTCACCTGCACCGATGTGGCCAGTATGCTACAGGACACGGAGAAGACAAATGATTCGAAAAAGTACGTTAGAATCTGGGTCTTCAAGGAGAGGTGGAGGTTACAGACGCGCTTGAGGGGGAGGGAAACCCCCAATTGCGACTTGTTCATGAAGAAGGGGGGAGGATACTTACTCGAAAGTCGGAGGGAAGACTGATCAGGTTCTTTGTGATCACCTTGCGTTGTCCACCGGCCTTGGGGTCCATCTTGAGGAGCAGCATGATCTTTGAAGATTTGCCGTTCTTTCCTGCAGCTGTCTTTGTGCTCTTGTTGTTGGTGAGGTTGTTCTTTGGTTGGGTGCCTTGAGTAGGCAAGTTCTGGGACCGTGGTTGGGCCCCGGACTGGTTGAAGCTATTGTTGTTGTTGTTGTTGCTGATGCTGTTGTTGTTGTTGTTGGAGGGAGAGGAGGGGAGAGGGGTGTTGGGGCCTATGCCTTGCCATTTGGGGTCCTTTGACTTTTGAGTCTTTGATTTGGATAGGAATCCTCCCATTGTGATGAATAGCTGTATGGGGTAGTAGTGAGGGGAAGGGGCAGGTGCGCGGGTGTGAAGGTATGGGGTGTTTGGTGGCGAAGTTGTGAAGCTGTGAAGGGAAGGGAAGGGAAGGGAAGGGAAGAGAGAGCGACGTTAGTGTCTTGTGTGGATCGGACAGGGCAAGAAGAGCGGGTGCCTATGCAGCAGAATACACCGAAGGGGAGAGGGGAGAAGGAACATACACAGAGTAGAGAAGGCTGCTTTATGACTTTTAGCCTGCTGCTTGCCGGTGCCTGTTGCTTGTTGCTTACTCTGGGTCTCTCCTGGTTTCTCGTCCTGCAGATTATGCGCGAGAAGAATGCGTGCGCGGCGTGTGGTTGTGGGGCGGGAGAGAGCGAGCTGGTGTTGCAGTTTGAGTATATGGCGAGTGTGAGTGGTGCGAGAGAGTGAGAGAGAGTGAGAGAGAAAGAGAGAGTAGAAGTCGGGCGAAGGGAAGAAGTATGCGAGAGAAGGAAAGCAAGGAAGAAAGAGAGAGAGAGAAGGGAGGAAAGAAAAGCAGAAAAGCAGAAGAAGAAGAACGACAGAAATAAGAAATGGTCAGCATGTCATCGGCAGGTCAAGTCCAGGCTGGGTGTGTGTATGTGTGCCCTGTAGCCCTGCCATGGGCTGCGGGACCACCACAGCGACTGTGCATCGCATCACCGGTACGCCCATGACTTCACTTTTTCTGGACAAAGCTGCTAACCAACTTGCTCACATAGCCTATTCGCATAGGGACCATACGCATACGGACATACTGACATCGTCTTCTAACAGTACTCGTTCTATTCACTCGCCCTTGCCGTCTATTCAGTCGCATCACTTAAAGTTCACAGGTACGCAACTTGTCGGCCCTTGTAAAAAAAGAAAAAAAAAAGGGGGTAAAAACAAAACAAAGCAACCCTGGCTGACATGATGCCACGGGTACATACACATACACACTTGTGCTGATAATGATGATGCCGATGCCCAGTCCTCCCGTCGGTCCACAAACACACACACTCGCTTACCCACAACAAAGAAAAAAAAACAAGGGAGGATGCCGACGTGATCACCGGTGCACTGTACATTTGGTATATTTATATTATTCTGAATGTGCGTTGTGTGTGTGCGTCTACATCTATGTCGGTGAATACAAGTCTGTGTGTATGTATACGAGTGTGTGTGTGTGTGTATCAGTTATCTCTGGGACCAGATGACAATACAGAAAAGGGGAGGGACCTCTGCAAGAAAAAGTCCTCGTGGCCCAGTCGCGGTCTTCTCTTGTGAACACAGCGCCATACCGTGATGGTCTGATCCCTCCCCCCTTCCTCCTCCCCTCCTCCTCCCCTTTTCCCCCTCTTGACAGAGACATTATCCAGACACAGCTCCAATCGGCACCAACTGACAGAGTAAAGACATTTACATTTATTCAAGGCACACGAGGAAAAAAAAAAAAAAAGGTCTCTGTTCATACATCGGACCTATCCCTATTTGACTTTCATCTAGTCGGGATGACGATGTGCCAGCCATATTATGCGGCTCCATATACATTTATACCAGGATCAACCAACAACAAACGCCAACGGCCGGGCTAGTCTCTACCACCATGATGTTTCTGATGGCCCACTGTGGTATCCATTTATCGTACATCTCGGTCATACCTACGCTATATTCTACAAGGCGCTGTGGTCCAACGGATGCCAATTGCATCGGATTATGCACGCGTGATGAAATGATATGCATGCTTAGGATGGATGCTACTCAGCCTTGGCCCTCATTACCGTCCTCGCGTTCAACCGAATCTGTAACCGCCGAGACCGAGACTGAGCAGGGGAACTTAACTGCGGCCGTTAGCTTTTATTTATTTGTTTTCCCAACGCGGTCCTGATCCTCGTGTACCGGTCAGGTTCGCGCGCTAGCAATCCTCCGGCGAAGCAGACCAAGCCGATTCTCAATAGATCGTATAACTAGCAAAGAGTAATAATGAAGTGGTGGTGAGCGATCAAGAAAAAAAAAAAAAAAAAACATGATAGCATGATAGCATGATAGCATGATGCAACCCATTATCAACCACGAATGAAGAATACCCTACATTTGTTAAGAATCTCCCGGTCATCCTCTTCGATCGCCTCGCTGCGACCGTCTTCACCGGCACCGTCCAAGATAGCATGTAGCATCCATATGGAAGTCTGATACGATTTTTCGCTTTCGCCATAATCGTCACTGACCAACTCCTTCAACGCCGCAGCTTTGCTCTGTGGTCACACAAAAGAAATGCCTACAGTTAATAGCTAAAAAAATAAAATATATATGCATAGCAAAGTTCTCAGATCCCTGTTTCCGGGGCCACTGGCCACTTACCAGCTCCAAAGCTCGTTCGTAAATCAGCTTTTCAATCACAACACCGCTCTCCTCACGGCGATCGATCCCAGAGCGAGCCTTTGCCGCCTCGGCTTTCTCCAAGCATTCATTGAATCGATCACGGACCCATTGGACCCCACTGTTCAGTCTCATCGACGCAGGCTTCGCCTCCTGCCGCCTTTCCTCCCAGTACTGCCGAGCGACATCCATGCCAGCCTGTAGCAGCGCAAGCGCGCGTAGGTACAGAAAAAACGCCTCCTCGGCCAAAATACTATCTCGGCTAGGCTCTTCAGACGGAGAGTAGTCCAACCCATCCAACGGAGGAACACCCTCCATTTTCGAATCTGCAAACTGGGATACCACGTAGGCCTTATGAGCAGTGTCCTCAATCGATTGCACCACCGGGCTCTCCTCCGGGCTGACATCGACGACTCCCCCGCTCTTGTTAGATGAATCCATGAAACCGATCAACGATGTATTGCTTCGCCATGAAGGCGGCGACGAGGATGCTCCAAAGAGACGCATCGACGCTATTGAAATCGCCTTTGAAAGCACAGACGTTGCACCACCTTCTCGCGGACTTCCAGAACGCACGCTAACAGGCGATGACATGGGTTGAATCTGTCCTAGGGCTGGTCTGTGCAGAGGCTGGATCGATCTTGGCTCCTCCGGTGTTGGAGTCGCAGGCAAAGCAAAGGGCGGAGTGGTCGAGAAGAAGTGTGTATTCGATGGGGGAGACTGTGTCGAGGACGAATATGAATGGGGCACAAAAGGTGGAGGTGGAGTTCGATACTGAGTCAAGGATGCCGGTATTGGTGGCGACAATCCGTTGTTTTGGTTGGATCCGCTCTTCATGCGGGCCGGATTAGATGCTGGGGACGCCGCCACCTCTATAAAATCGCCCACATAGAATTTAAATAAAAAACGCGTTAGCACCCCGTAAATGCAATCGCTCAACATCACAATCGGTCTGAGCGTAACTTACCATCAGCAAGGACGTTGAGCTCTACTGCCCGCTTCTCAACCACTACATAGTCCTTATCCAGAAGCGCATCGTCTTCAGGAGCACTATATCGGCGAGATACATCAGGAACACCAACCAAGGTACTGCGGCGATACGGCTGCGAAGATGGTTGTGGAGTCAATGCTCTGTTGGTTGCCTCTGCTGCAGTAACCTCCATGGATTTCATGCGTCGGGCGGAGGTATTGATTGGCACTGAGCTGGGCTGCGTCTGGTAATCGTTATGTGAAGGCTGCGATGGATTGCCCAGTCCGCTGACATAGGCATGATGGCTCTTTGGCGATGATAGTGGAAGCTGAAGAGGCGGCCGACTCTCTGATCCTGCTGATGGTGATCCGCCCTTGAGTGATCTGGGCCTTGATCGATATGATGCCTCCGACGATTTTTCCGACTGATCTCTCGTGGCTGCCTGGATGCCAATGGCCTTCTTGTCGCCTCTGTCGCGTTGTGCACTGTCGTAAGAGTATCGAGAGGGGTCCAGAGTGGATGGTCGTCTTGCCGAATCTCCCTGCAGCAAATCCTGTTTAGAATAGTCCTGAGCAGAAGAGCTGCTTCGCGATGATCTCGAGCGACTTCGTGCAGCCAGGCTCGACACTGTGGGGTTCATGAAGAATTCTTCGAACGAGATTCTCTCCACAGGATTGCGCTTCAGCAGCTGCCGTATTAAATCCTTGATGTCATCGCTTATCGTGGTTCCTGAGTAATGACTCGGTTGTGAGGGTGATGATCCTGTGCGATCCTCCGTTGTCAAGTCCCCTGGAAATGTGATCATGTCCTGCGCCTTTTCAATCCTCTTCAGCAGCTCGACATGGTTTTGCGCCCTAAATGGCGGCTTTCCTGTGCACATCTCATATAAAACCGTGCCGACACTCCAGAGATCAGCCTTGGCGTCGTACTTTTCGTAGCGGAGAATTTCCGGCGCCATGTACAGGGGTGAACCGCAGAGCGTTTCTGCGAGACTCAGATGTGGCAACGAACGCGCGAATCCAAAGTCGGCCACCTTCAATATCGGCAGTCCGTATCCACTGCCTTCTCTGTTATTGCTTGGCGGATGTAGGAGGAGATTCTGTTCATAATGCAAATAAAAAAAAATAGGGTGGTCAGTTGCGTACTTCATTATAATAGCATCTTCCTCACACAAACCTAGGCTAACTATACCTGCGGCTTCAGATCTCGATGGATAAGATTCCTTGAGCGTAGAAACTCCAGCGCAGATGCTATGAAGTATATGAAACAGACATTGCATACGATTTAGCGAGATAGTCCAGGTACATGGCTGTATTCACAAATTGATGTCACACAAAAGCCTGACATGCATGCATGCAAAAAAAAACGTTGCGATGATAACCTATACTTACCCAGCTGCTTCAGAAAATGGCGGACTACCACCTCATTCAAACCGCCGCCCGGCGGTGATGGGAGTGATGGAGGTCCGTCTCCTTTCCTCTTGATATACTGCGAAAGATCTCCTTGCGAGCAGTACTCCATGACAAGATGGATATGTGACTCGGTTTCCTACAGGGAATGAAACGGGGAGATCATGGTCAGAGGCATAATGGCATTCGAAGACTGAGCGCGCGTGCGGGGACAGAGCGTAGTACTTTCATGGTCAGTGCATATGGGGAGATTGGTTGCTAGGGGGCCATTTCACAAGACCCTGTTCTGTTCTGTTCTTACCTTGCAGTCCACGAGGGCCACGATGTGGTCATGTCGAATCCCTTTGAGGATATTGATCTCACTAGCAAGGTTCTCGAGTAGCTTCTTTGTCAGCTTGGACCGAAGGACGGACTTGATGGCCACGGGCTCTTTCGTCACCTAAAGAGTGGTCAAGGTTAGCTAACAAAGGACTTTTTGAGTCATGTCGAACATTGTTACGGCAAGCTCTTGAAAAAAAAAAATGAGAAAAAAAAACCCTTTCCACTTTGACGACTCACCCTGTGGTATCCCTTGTAGACTGTTGCGAACGACCCTCTGCCTATCTCGTGCTCGACGATGTAATCGCCAACCTGAGTGGCCTCTGGTATATGCTTGACGCCAGTGGCCATGGTGAAAGGAAGAAGGTGAGACGCTTGGCGAAAGAAATGAGGTGTGCGAAACCCTCGATGGCTGCAGGCCAAGTGGTAGTAGTTCTGGCGTGTGAAAGGCGGGTCCTTTATTAGGCGATAGCGTAAGAGCAGTTGGAGCTAGCGTGCGTTAAAGTAGTTTCTCAGGGATTTTTTGGGGTCAGGAACGAGGAGGCGTAAACGATGAGTAGATGGTTAAGCGATGGCGATGAAGTGTGGTAGATGCATAGCATGCGTCCAGCTGAGCTCTTTTTTTTTTCTTTTCTGCCACACTCGCTCGCGCGCAGCACGTTTCCACATATCACGTGCTTCATTGCGCGAGAGGAAGGACCATGACGAAATGGGTCACTCCTCGTGAGAAGAGTCGTTCTGGCGTAAAGACCTGTAGCCAGTCGTGCACGCGAAGGGGAGGCGCCGGATCGAGTCTAAGAAGACTGTTCGTTCGCGAATGGGCGCGTATGCTGACTGTGAATTGGAGCTCTCTAGACTGCCTAGGACAATCATTTCTGGCTGTTGCAATCGCTGATGATATTCTTGAGCTGTTACTATTGCTATTTTTGCTCCAAGATGAGATGCATTGAAGAGCCGGGCGAGCATAAAGGTGATCAAAGGAACTCTTCAACAGAAAGATATACGCCTTCACTCATATCCCTCAATGACAGCCTGCGTCCTTTGCCCTCTTTTTCAACACCGCCAGCAATAGGGGCTTGTTCCTCTGGTGTGGTTGCTGTTGCTCTGCTGCTGAAACAGCATCTGTAATTTCACATTTTCGGTAGTAGATCCTGCCCGCTACCTAATATACTCATTTCATAAAATAGAATGATAAAACGACCTCAGTAGGCGGCGAAATTCACCGTAGAAACGCATATGGTATCCGTGGAATGTCATTGGCGGTGGTTAAAGTTGCAATGTATGGCTGTCCAGTACTATTTTTATGTTTCACGAGCTCAGGCCCGTCGGACCTCTGCTGCAAGTTTTATTTTTGGATCTGCCCCATTGGTGCGCACGGCGACCCCAGGATGGACGGGGATCTTACCGCTGTGTCTGATCCTTGGACCGGTGTTCAGGAGGGGTGGGGGGCACGGCGCCATATTTGAGTCCAGGGGAACCAGGGGTGTTAAAGACATCAATTGCGTGTCGTGCATCGCAGTGTCGCAGTGTATGTTATTGCTGTTATTGCTGTTGTTGCTGCGATAGTGGAGTGGTGATTGTGATGGTGGTGGTGATGATGGTGGTGATGATGGTGGTGAGGGGAAAGCACTGGACGACTTGAGAACTGGAAGCAAGGGGTCTCGGGGAGATTCCTCCCGCGAGCTGCCCATTGCTTGGAGACAGGAATCACGGCTAAAGATAACGCGACGGATTCATGCACAGCAAGATCCCCCCCCCCCCCCCCCCCTTTAGTACTAACCCAACTGTGTGCGGGCCGCTTTTCTTTTTGACCAAGGACCAAGGATGAACAGGAACCATGATCTGTGTCTGCTTGTGTATGTGTGTCTAAGCACAGAAAAGAACAAGTTCAAATTTAGAGTGGTCCTGGGCGTATGAAGAATAAGAGCGCACTTTCATAGAATTGGTAAATGAAGTTAATTGGCTTTGATGCCGGTCTGATTCACAAGGTCTCTTGACGAGTATAAAAGGCCCCATTCATCTCTCTCCTCATCTGTTCTTTTTCCACTCCACTTCATCTCATCCCTCCTCCATACCTTCCTTCACCCCTCGCTTCTAAGCTACTCGGCGCCGCTGTCTATCTCTCAATTCCCTCGCTCTATCTGTAATCCACACCACCCCTCACTTTCCAGAACTAAAAGCCATACAAACCCAAACATGTGCGGAATCTTTGCCTATCTCAATTACCTCACTGTCGTCGATCGTCAGACCATTGCCGACATCCTCACCAATGGTCTCAAGCGCCTTGAATACCGTGGATATGACTCTGCCGGTAAGTTGCCTCGCTCCTTCTCTGCATTTTTTCCAATTTGTTTTTTCTCACGGAATGCCTAAATTCTCCCTTGGATTCTAATGCATTTGCTCTGTATGCTCATAAATGAACAGGTCTGGCAATTGATGGCGACGGTGAGAAGGAAGTCTTGATCTACAAGGAAGTCGGAAAGGTCGCTTCCCTCCAGAAGTTGGTTGAAGAGCAAAAGACGATCAACTGGCAAAAGACCTTCACCTCCCATTGCGGCATGGCCCATACCCGCTGGGCCACTCACGGTCAGCCCTCGCGCACCAACTCTCACCCTCACCGATCGGATCCTAAGAACGAATTCACGGTCGTCCATAACGGCATCATTACCAACTACCGCGAGCTCAAGCTTGTTCTCGAGAAGAAGGGCTACACCTTTGAGAGCGAAACCGATACCGAGGCCATTGCCAAGCTGGCCAAGTACATCTGGGACTCTCAGAAGGGCAACAAGCAGTTGACCTTCACCGATCTCGTCAAGGGTGTTGTCAAGGAGCTGGTAAGCCATACTCCATTTGATCGTTCCTATTGTTGCTATTGTTAGACTAGAGCGATCAACACTCTGGAATGTGCAGCCATCCTTCGGGAAAGCCATCTGTTTACCCCTTTAACTTACAGGGGCCTCGTGTTCATGATTTGCATTTTCTTAGGAGGGAGCCTTTGCCATGATCTTCAAGAGCGTTCACTTCCCCAATGAGGTTGTCGCCACCCGTCGTGGTTCACCCCTTCTCATTGGTGTCAAAACCCCCAAGAAGCTGAAGGTTGACTTTGTCGATGTCGAGTTCGGCGGTATTGCTGAGGAGCGTAAGTCACCAAGATATTTGGAGCGACTATATCAACAGCCAGGACACGCGTTAAAATATTGATTCTTTATTTCATAGTCCCCGGCGAGGTAGAGGCTGCCCCCACCACCTTGAACACCCTTGAGGTTCCTCAGTTGCGTCGCAGCGAGTCCCGCGCCTTCTTGAGCGAGGATGGCCTTCCTCAGCAGATTGAGTACTTCTTGGCCTCAGATCCCTCGGCTGTGGTCGAGCACACCAAGACCGTCCTGTACCTCCTCGACGACGACATCGCCAACATCCGCGAGGGCGAGCTCCGCATCCATCGCCTCCGCCGCGATGACGGCATCTCCTCCATCCGCTCCATCCAGACCTTGGAGATCGAGCTGGCAGAGATCATGAAGGGATCGTTCGACCACTTCATGCAGAAGGAGATCTACGAGCAGCCCGACTCTGTCGTCAACACCATGCGTGGCCGCGTCAACTTTGACACCCACAAGATCACTTTGGGGGGCCTCAAGTCGTACCTGCCCACCATCCGCCGTTGCCGTCGCATTGTGTTCATTGCCTGCGGAACCAGTTACCACAGTGCTCTTGCTGTAAGTCTCGAGACTGGATCTGTGTGTTTGTGTTGCTGTGTGTGTACCTTGGTGTTCTCGATATAGCGGATCTAACAGTCATGCATGTTGCTCCATACCATACCTCGTAGACCCGCGCCATCTTTGAGGAGCTGACCGAGATCCCCGTCTCGACCGAGCTGGCCAGCGACTTCCTGGACCGCAAGACCCCCATCTTCCGCGACGACGTGTGCGTGTTCATCTCCCAGTCCGGCGAGACTGCCGACACCATCCTTGCGATGAGATACTGCCTTGAGCGTGGTGCTCTCTGCGTCGGTGTCACCAACACTGTCGGAAGCTCGATCTCGCGCGAGTCGCACTGCGGTGTCCACATCAATGCTGGTCCCGAGATCGGAGTCGCGTCCACCAAGGTACAGCAACGGAGCAACGGGGCAACGGAGCAATGGACTCGATGAGATGGATGTTCAGGATGATGATAGGACCTTGGCTGGGTGCGTTCGTGAACAGCGAGAACTAACCGTGTTGCTGCATTGTTTTCTCTATCTTGCTCTGTGATCTTTTCTTATCGACATAGGCCTATACCTCCCAATACATTGCCCTGGTCATGATTGCCATCCAGCTATCGGAGGACCGCACGTCAATGACAGCCCGCCGCAACGAGATCATTGACGGTCTCCATGCGCTCCCGTCGCACATTAAGGAGGTGCTGGCCATCGACCAGGAGCTCCAGCGCCTTGCCAAGGATGTGCTGCACAAGGAGAAGAGTCTGCTGATCATGGGGCGTGGGTTCCAGAACGCGACGTGCCTGGAGGGAGCGCTGAAGATCAAGGAGGTCTCGTACATGCACAGCGAGGGCATCTTGGCGGGCGAGCTGAAGCATGGACCCCTTGCGCTTGTGGACGAGAACATGCCCGTTATCCTGATCATGACGCGCGACTCGCTGTACCCCAAGGTCCGGTCTGCGTTGGAGCAGGTCACGGCCAGGAAGGGCCAGCCGATCATCATCTGCAACAAGGGTGATGATGCCATCAGCCCCGAAACCAAGACGATCCGCGTTCCCCAGACGATTGACTGTCTTCAGGGCCTGTTGACCATCATCCCTCTCCAGCTTCTGTCGTACCACCTTGCTTGCTTGGCTGGCGTCGATGTCGACTTCCCTCGCAACTTGGCCAAGTCTGTCACCGTCGAGTAAAAGCGTCACCCATTCATTTTTCGTTTAGTTTCCTCCCGTTTGCGCACGTTTTCTCCTGTAATTTAGTTCTCTGTTCTTTTCCCTCTCATGCAAGAACGTGCCTGTACTCCCTCTCAATAAACATCATCTTCAGTCTCAAAGCAGTCCACATAGCTCAGCGTTTGCGTTTTATAGTTTAGGCGGAAGTTTGGACATCAGGAAGTCTGCAATTGAGCTCGATGATCTCAAGCATGACAAGTTTAGGAATGTCATCAAGAATGCTGTTTACGAGTCGATGCATATATCAAGCAGCTTTGAAGACGATACCAAGGACAACCGGGCGTTTGAATACTTGCCACTCCAGGGCGTTCAGTAGCCATGGGATCCTCGGTATGGCAGTGAAACCAGCCGGGACATCCAGTCCTAGTCGGGACCGGCCACCAAGAACAAAGCCAGGGTCGAATCCAGAATCAGTAAAGACGAATGACCTCAGAAGGACAGTGATGGAAGAGGTGGCGATCCCTGGGAAGTTTCGCATGTATTTCAAGCCAGACAAACGTGCGATCCGTCAAGCTGTAAGCTGCCATGTTCATTCAATCTACAGAGCAGAATACAGATGGAGACAAATTGAGCGCCCATTCTCACAAAGGGATTATGTGCTTTTTTGTCGTTATTTTCTTATACGAATATAATATTAATATTTTGTGCAGGAAGGGCCTTTAGCAACCGATCGATCAAGATCACCCAAGAGAATCAATGCAGCAAAAGGGAAGAATGCTCAGGAGAGCCAGATCAGGAGCACCGATGATACTACCGACCAACCTCAGCAAGAAGCAGCGGGCTCGGATGGTACGGCGTCCTCGAAAGCTCGGGGGTTCGAAAATGTTGGATGGAGGGCATTAGAGCAAACATATGCCCGCGATGTGCTACCCCATCCTTACTTGGACCGCAATTATCTGGAAATAACTGAGGTAGGATCTGGTGTTGAACTCATGCAGAGCTCTGTGGGGAGGAGGTGAGGAGGGAGGATGGATAGCGTCAATGATGAGACTAATGAGCAATGGGTGGGCGTATCGGGTCTAGATCAAACTGTTGCCGGACCGAAAGACCTTTCAGCTTTGGTACCGGCCCAAGCCAGATGACAAAGTGACCAGCGTAAGCACCATGGCCTGGCCCCCCCCCCCCCCAAAAATACTACCTACCCATCGTAGCTACCGATACACTGTACGATTCTTATTTGCATTTTGCATTTGCATTTTTTCTTTTTTTCTTTCGGGTGGTAGGAACAAATTTCCGAGACCGTGGATAAGCATGCAGCGGCTTTCAAGGCCATGCTAGCAAGACATGCGCGATCTTCGACATCCTCGAGGCTAGTGTTCCAGCTAGCAAGACAGAGTGACCGACACGCAAACATGGCTCAACTATGGACAAGACTGGAACAAGAAGTGAACGATACGCAGAGCGATATGCAGAGCGATATGCAGAGCGATACTCCAGTGAAATAGTGAAATGAGTCGGATTCTACGGAGACGCCTTCAACGAAGCGGCAATAAAAAAAAAGAATTTTTACGCCTAAAAAGGACACCAGTAGCGGCTGTTTACCCCTCTTTCACCACCACCCCTTGTTTTTTCTTCGATCTTGTGCATGCAATACGAGCTCTCCAATGACACCATCTCCAAAGGTCAATGACCCCACTCGGTGTTTTTGCAAAGAATGACTTCTCCAAAAGAACAACATGTTATATAATGGCAGCGACATCTGAACTAGTTCATTTATACGGGTTCGATCATCCTTCGAATTTTCATCCCCCCACACGCGTTGTTTCCCTCTAACGAAAGACGCAGGCATATCTTCTTTTTTTTTGTGCTTTCATATTACATGCACATGATATGAACGTTGCAATCGACCAAATAACTTCTTCTATCGCTGACCCATCCAATACCCTGGCGTGTGGTTTTAGATAGTCCAGTGAAAATTGTGGGAAGGCATTTCTTTTATGTGAAAAAAAAAAACTGTCGCGCAAATGCGAATTTCGATACGCTCGATTTCAGCTTTTGAATAGCGGACGCGTTTCTCAGATCCCGCATATTTTTTTTTTTTTGTATGCATGTTTAGTGTACAAGTGTACATGTGCTCAAGTGAGGGGGAGTTGTTTTTTTTTTAAAAAAAAAAAAAAAGCGGTGCTGGGTATACTATATGCTATATGGCACGCATAGTTTTTCTGAGCAATCTAAACCCTCTCTAGAAAGTAGAAACCAAAGCCATGTTGGCCACTCCATCTTCCTTTTGTATCTATCTCTTTTTTTTTTCCATTCATGCTCTGCTATCATAATCACACGCAGCCATTCATACAATGCGGAAAAGAATAAAAAAAATACACAAACAAGCTTTTTTGAAAACGGGAAGAAAAAAGGGCAAGTTACAGGAAAGAAGGCCAGGATGTGAGTGGCACATGTTCATTGGGAAATCTCTTAGGGCGCACAACATGGAATAACATGGTCTTGTGTTGATGCTGCTGATGATGTTGTTGTTTTGTCAACATGCTGTGTTCTTTTAAAGCATCTGCGTGGGCCAATCCTGCCAGATATCTGCGATGGCGTTAGGTTGTCAGGTTATCGGGCTTTGTCAGGTTTTGTCAGATTTTTTGCGAGGTCCTAAAACGAGCCCCGGGTGGGCTGCACAAGGCTCGGTAATTGTAATAATTGTCCGCGTGCCACACTCCCCTTTTTGCTCTTTCTCTCTCACTCTTTCTCTCTCCGTTTCCCTGGGTACCTTTTTTTTATTCATATATCGGATATAGATGATAGACGGATCTCTTCGTATGGAGCCTACATGGAGTCGCAGGATGCAATTGAGGAAATGAAATGCATTAGTCTAATGGGGATGATGGGACTAAAAGGTCAAGGTGAACGCGGTGTTATACTTGGTGTACATGTTGGAGATGTGTAGTTGCAAAAAAATGCGCCTTTTTTTTTTTATTCCCTCGGGTCTCTATCTTTGTTCACTTGCCTTGTTCCAATGACATGATGTAACTCGGTGTGTATCGATTGTGCTTGTCGCAAGTTGTCGGTAGTGCCGGTCTTTGCCGGTTCTGATACGGATAATGGGGCTTGATGATGATGATACTAAGCGGGTGGGTTGTGTGAAGGAATCCCAGTGATCACCCAAAGAGAAGTAGAGCGAGGTGGGTGCAGTGAAGAGTATGAACCCCCTTCCGTCCTCCTCACTGTGTCTCTCATCCCTCTCATACACCCCCCTTCGATTCGTACTCGATAAACAACCTTTTTTTATATTTTAGTTCGTACACATGGCCATGGGACCAAAAGTCCTTTTCTTGTCTTCCAATCCATCCTTCGTTCTCTTCTTCTTCCTCCTCCTCTTCTTGTTGTTGCTGCCCCCTCAATTGCTCGATTGTATATCACACTCATACTCTCTCTTTTTCTTGTTTTGCCCCCTCCTGCCCGCCCTCACACTCACACTCACACACGCACCCACAAACATCAACTGCAGCAGCAGCAACAATAATAACAACAACAACAAGCAGTAAGATCCTTCTTCCTTCCTTCCTTCCTTCGATTTAGCGCCCGTCTCTTTCTCTTTCTTTCTCTCTCTCTCCCTCCTATTTCCCCCTCTTTCTGCCACCTGGAGCAGCCAAAGGAGTCCTTTCCACGTTGCCTACTATCCCTCATTTCATAATCTGCATTATCATCTCTGTCCTGCAACACATCTCCCTGTCCACTCAACCAATATCTTTTTGCATTTTACATTGATGACCATTTTTCATTCACTCGCCCTCTCCCTCACTGCCCCCCTCTGTCTCACCATCTTTTCTCTCTCTCTCTCTCTCTCTCTCTCCCTTGCTCACGCTCTGTCGTAGACTGGATCTTGAAGACCCAATTGCTGTATCTGTCTACACACAACCAATCCAACCAATCCAACCAATCCCATCGCCTTGCAACAGTACGTTCACTCGCAGCTGGACATCCAGTCGGTTGGACCTGAATAAATTTATCATCTCCTCCACAACGTGAACAACTCAAAAAAAAGAATACTATTCACGTCTAGACGAAACTCATACACCCTTTGCCCTTTGTGAACCCATCACCCCATTCACCCCATACACACACATACACACACATACACACACAACACATACACAACACACACACATTTCTCCCTTCCGCCGTGTACTCTACCCTGTGTCTGTTTTGGTCCTTCTTTTTTCTCTCTCTCTCTCTCTTTATCTCCATCTTGTGTTTGTTTGTTTTTCTTTCTCCATCCTCTCTCGCCGACCACCAATCCCCGCTGCTTGTTTTCTGTCGTACCTGAATCCCTTCTAAAATAACCCCTCGCTCTGTTTTTTGTCGCCTGTTTTTCCAGCACAACAACCAAGACCACGACTACGATCACGAGCACGGCCAGGGCCACAACCAGTCTCAGTTATCCCTCCTTGCTTGGACACCACATACAAACACACACAACACAACATACACCCTCCTAACCACACGACTCGCCCAATCGCAGAACCAAGCACACGACCGGGGACCCGTGTCTTGTTGGACCACTTTTGCCAGGATCGAAACAACCAGAGGTGAGTAAAACGCAAATAAAATGAAACACAAAAATCAGGGACGGACACCTGGGTATGGCATCGCGCCTTGCGACTGACAGACACCACTGGTATCGTTGACTCTGATGATATAAGTCTCGTATGTGAAGATGTCAGATACGATTCCCTTCAAACCTGGATTAACATGAGCCATGCGTCTCCCACTTCCTACGCCTTGCGACTTGCGACCTATGATACTTCAAACACAAACAGAATGTCACAGCTGCTGTAGAGATCTATCAACCATCGGATCCAGCACCTCTCTCAACCCCTGCCCTCCATGTCGTCTCGCGTCACGATCGACCCGACAAGCACCTCCCTCTTGCACACACCAACCAACGACGCCGTCCATCCAGCAGCTCTTGAAGCATTGACCTTCACAAACTATAGTCCCCGCGAGATTCAGGCCTGCATAGACTCGACCATCATGACATATCTCCAGCAACAGCAGCAGCAACAACAGCAACAACAGCAGCAACGTCAGCATATGCTAAAGCAGCCCCCACCACTTCCACCTCACGTACGTCCTAACCCCCAGCATCAACAGCATCGACATCAACAACAACCACACAACCAGTCTTTGTATCAACAGCACCAGCATCGGAGCCAACAACATCAGCATCAACTTCAACATCATGGCAGATTACCCGCATTTCAAACAGATAAGGTACAACAACCCATCCATGCGGGAACTGGAGTCAGGATATCGCTCCCGCACAGTCCAAGGGATCAAACAAGGGAGGGGGAGCCCACTGTGACATCGCAGGGTCACACAAATGGTCAGTCGAAGCATGACCAATTGTACCCCCTAGAATGGAAGAACGATAGCAGGCACAGTGACGATGATAGTGAATACGATGACGAAGAATACAGCGAGTATAGCGATGAGATCGCAGATCACGACGACGACCAGGAGGAGGACAGCGAGATGGATGATGATGAAAGCCTTTATGGGAGCGACAGCGATCACACTGAGCAGGGGCCGCCCTGCCACAACACCCTCAGATCGCGCCCTGATATTTCGATGGCCGTCAGCGTATCCACCAACCAGAGCAAGAGCGCCGGTAGCGCTCAGAAGGTACAAGAGGAGTTGGTCAGGCAGATGACCATTGCCGTAGGCGCCTGGAGCAAAGATGGCAATAATGGCATGGCACATTCCTCTGCTGTTGACAACGGGTGCGACAACAACAAGCTTCGCGGTAATGCTTTATCTGGTGAACATGAACGGAGGCCGATTGTGCAGGAAACCGCCGCAAGCGACGTAACAGAACCTCCCTCGAGAACATCCTTGGACAGCACTTCGAGCGGAGTGGTTCCGTCAACGATCCCATCCAGCGCAGGAGAACCGGCTGTTAATCCTTACCTGACAAAGACACGCAACGTTCTACACGTGGAGGATGAAGAGCATGAGGAGAACGATGAAGAGGATGATGAAGATGAATACGATGAGGAATATGACGACGAGTACTCCGAGGACTATGACGAGGATGAGGAGGAAGAGGATGACTACTCTTATTCAGAGGATGAAGGCGAGGACGAGGAAGAGGATGAGGAGTCAATGCAGGAATATCACTGCGGTGTTCGCGATGATCCCAAAGCGAGGGCGGCAGCAAAAGGTCGATCACCACACCCTAGTCAATATCCACGCTCGGGTTTTCATCATTACCGACCAAGGTTGGACGAAAACTTCTTACAGAAGCGAGCCATCACAAAACAAGTGGTTCGTCGGTCAAGTTTAACGGCTCTACTGGGAGAGGCATCTCAGCCTGAGCAGGACCGCAGAAACCATACCATGCGTGCGCCCGCGATGTCATTTGGACCGCATCATCGACACAACGCTGCTCCAGTCCGTCGTCCTGTCATATCAAGCGTTTGGGCAAATGCTGGTGGTGCTCAAACGAATGTGACGCCATTGAATGCCAATACCGTGGAGGTGAGGGTGAATGGCGGCCATCAAGTCAATGGACAGGCCGAGAAGGCCCCCGAGGCGACACTCGACTCGCGTGCTAGTGCCTTGGCAGACCAACCTCGCCAATCTATCGCAGGGCCCACTCATGTCGCGCTCACCAAGTTGCCAAGTATGCATGAGCTGCATCGCCCTCAACGGATCGATTCAGGTGTTGGGGTGAAGCTCTCTTCCAACCATCAAGGACTCAACGACAGCAATAATAGCAGTAACAGCTCCGAAGACAAGCAATCGCGTCGATTTGTCATTGAAACCGCCACTGCGACATCATCGTCCTCCCCCACATCACAACACTTGCTCGATACTGAAGGAGGTACTTCTCCACCTATCGCGATTACATCTACACGACGCTCAAGAGTCAAGTCCGAAGGTGACGACAGCTCAGAGCATGGCTCACTGCGCCTTTGCCCTTCCACTGGATACGGCACTCTAGAAGGCGAGGGTTCCAGTTCAGCTAGTGGGTCGAGGCCGTTGCAGTCCGGGAAACCCCTCAAGTCGTCCATCAGCTGCCACACATTCCCGCGCGCTGCTGGAAAACGCACAGGACAAAAACACGTCTCTTGGCACCACTCGCTCTTCCCGACAGAGCGTGTGTTGCGCGTCAAGCCAAGTTTGCCCAGTCTTTCGAATGTCGCTGCAGAATCTGCGCAGGCCACCTTACTACAGCTCCCAAGTGTCCCAGTCATGGCCAGGGATAATGTGAAGCAGTTCCATCAGTCGATCCGGAGTCTGCGGACTTTGTCAAGGATCGAGATTGCCAAGACGAGTTACAAGCAGCAGGGGCGACAAGAACTGACGTCTCCGATGCCGATTTCAAAGTCTGCAAATGACTCTGTCCCTTGGTGGAATCTATCACGATGGCTCAAAGGGCCGGTCGTGATCGATAAGAGACATTGGAAGGTAAACCATTGAAAATACACTGTGCAGGCCTTAAAAGAAAAAGAAAGAAAAGAAACTCATTGGTATATTGTGTGTACTAAACATCTAAACATCCTTATCCTGGGTTAATCGCTTTCTTTAGCCTGACAACTCTCGCGAATCCTGTGCTTACTGCTTCACTCCTTTCCACCGTTTTACCAACCCTCGCCACCACTGCCGGAAATGTGGAGACATTTTCTGTAGTAAGTGTGCCAGTGCCGAGATCCTGATGGACGCTAAGAACTGTGTCTATGTACAACAGTCTCAGCTCGCGCGCTGGTCGCGGAGGGTTGATCTTCAGCGACACAGTCTCTGGATCGATACTCTTCCGCAGCTGCATCCTGTCCGGACCGCAGCAGAGTCAGGCTTGGTGGCGACAGATGGGCATGGCTCCATTGGACACGCCAGTGGTATTGCCGGTGGCGTAGGCGTTCTCGGAGGTGTCGGCAGCGGTAGTGGCCGTAGAGGATCTTGGCAAATGGTCCCCGGAGCTGGCAAGAAGTCGCGACTAAGTATCTTTGGTCTCTTTGGAAACGGCGCTCCAACCTCGATCACAGGGAGCATCGCCTCAGACTCTCGTCGAGGCAGCATGGATGTTGCGAGCGCCGAGAATGTGTATGCGAGCCATTATAGCCATCTGCAACCGCACTCACAGAACCCTACGATCACGTTCTCCGCCGGCAGACGACCGAGCTCATCCTCGATCATGAGAAACAGCTTGAGCGGCACATCTAGCCACCTAATGATAACGGGTGCACCGCTTGGCTCGAACGACGTTGGAATGGCGCCGATCGCAATGTCTCGCAGGATGAGCTCCGGAGGAGTAGGAGAGGTCTGTCTAGCCAGGATTTGTGTGGGATGCGAACGTGAGCTTCTCAAGCCTGTTCCCAGATGCACGTCCATCGCGAAGTACTACGGATCCCTCAGCTCCAGGGGTGGACATCGGCCGCGCATTCATGGATACTCGAGCCTTGGTCCGCATGCAGGTCGACAGCATCCAGGTCCCCATCCAGGACCGCACGTCGGACCTCCAGCTGGACCGCTACATCCCATGGATAAAGATGTCGACCCAACCGTCACTGCAAACCACGATTATCTTCCCAACGGCGTTCGCCGACATTCTCCCCTTCGACAAATCACACACATGTCCAGCTATGTTCAGGAGGAACATCCAGTGTCACACAACGGTCCGTCCAATAGTGGCCATGGATATAATGATGGAGGGGCAGAGGGACACGCCAATGGTGCGAATGCAGGATGGAACCCGAGGGAAGAGCCTGTGGGACCGCATGGAGAGCCGAGATATCAACCTAGCGTCTTGACCTTTCAGGAGCAGCAGCTTCATTATACCCAACAGACGCTGGGACCCATGTACCGCGAACTATGCTAAGATCTATGCGATGCAAATAAAATATGTGCAACGCCTTCACACCCACCCCTTTATTGAAAATTGGGTAATAATAAAATCTTGAAGACACAACCATGAACAATGCGATCTTTATTGTGATCTAGGATTACTTAGGCAGGGCTATCTGTGCTGTCCCGAGGTCCCGCTGAAGGTCCACCATCTAGTGGTGTAGAGAAACTAAAAAACCCTTAATGGTCAGAATCGAATAAGTCCCTCGTCAAGGCCAGGACAGCTCACTCTTTCTTTTTCAATCTAATTATCAAGAAAAATGTAAATACACGTGATGTCTATCCCCCTTTTTGTCCGTGGACTATCCTAGCGACCATCATCCATCGGTTGGGGGCGGGGCATAAGAAGGGGGCCATGCAGGAACCATCCATCCATTAGCTGGGTGGTTATCAGGATGCTGGTGTCGAGTGGAACCATGCGTATCACGAGAATGTCTGGAAGGACTGATCAATCTGAGAACTTTTTTTAAAGATTGATCTACACATGACCACCCAAGTCTGACATCTCTTCTTGTTACCTCCATATAGCAAATGGCTGACGCAGCAACGGCCGATACTCAGCGAGGTGAGAAAAAAAAAAAAAAGGACCCGACATCAAAGAAGCTCAGTGTCAAGGAACTTTACCGATTAAATCAGTACTCTGGACATCATCAAGATCAGATCCAACGACGGAGATTGATCTGCCATACGGGAAAGATCTTTCGATGGGCAATTTGGATACAGGATGCATGGATATGGAGGCAGTAATGCGGTCGTATCAACTGACAGGATGGAGAATCTGATTCGACCTGTGTAATATGGCGGTGTTGTTATATGGCGACATCTGGAAGCAGGAGTGGCGGTATTATGGCAGCGCGAAAGAGCAGGATGAAACATAGGCATGGTATCTATGGCTCGCATCACCCCATCAATTTGGGCTCATGCTTCTTGAGCAGGCATGAGATCAGGAAACTGCTCGCGACAAACAAAGGGAGAGGCTGATCGGAATCAGGATCTATTTCTCAGTAGCAGCAGTGCGATCGAACGCGACAAAAAAAAATGACAGTGTCAATACGTGCTGTTATCTCTAGCGATTAATATTTCATCAACCTTCAGGACGTTTGCGCAGAGATCAGTTCACGACAGGATAATTTTTTTTTTGACTTCAAACGGCTTCAATGCTCGATCACAGCGTTCATATCAAGGCGGCATTCTAAATACCTATCCTTCTCTCTTTTGTTACCCTTTTCTGATACTAAAGGACGTGGCGGATTTGGACGTGGTCGTGGACGTGGTGGTGACCGCGGCCGTGGCCGTGGACGTGGACGTGGAGGCAAGGATGAGAAGGAGACCTGGACCCCCGTTACCAAGCTTGGACGTCTCGTCAAGGACCGCAAGATCCAGTCGATCGAGCAGATCTACCTGTTTTCGCTCCCCATCAAGGAGTACCAGATTGTCGACTACTTCCTGCCCTCTCTCAAGGACGAGGTCATGAAGATCATGCCCGTCCAGAAGCAGACCCGTGCTGGTCAGCGCACCCGTTTCAAGGCCTTCGTTGTCATTGGAGACTCGAACGGCCACGTCGGTCTGGGTGTGAAGTGCTCGAAGGAAGTTGCCACGGCCATCCGTGGAGCCATCATCCTTGCCAAGCTCTCGGTCATCCCTGTCCGTCGCGGTTACTGGGGTTCGATCTTGAACGAGCCCCACACCGTTCCCTGCAAGGTCACGGGCAAGTGCGGTTCGGCCGTCACCCGTTTGGTCCCAGCTCCCCGCGGTACCGGCATTGTCGCTGCCCCTGTCCCCAAGAAGCTGCTTCAGCTCGCTGGTGTCACTGACTGCTACACCCAGGCTTTCGGCTCGACCCGCACCTTGGGCAACTTTGTCAAGGCTACGTTTGCCGCCATTGGTAACACCTACAGCTACTTGACCCCCGACCTCTGGGCCGAGACCAAGTTCACCATGTCTCCTTACCAGCAGTACACTGACTTCCTTGCCAAGCCCCAGGACAAGCGTCGCGCCTAAGTACTCTTTTTTTTCTGGTGAAAGGTGTTTTATTGTTCTTGAGACCCTTTTGAAGCAAATAAAATGTCTTTGAAAAGAACAATGAGCGTTGCAATTGTAACTATCAGGAGAACAAGCGAGTGGGATGCTGTATCACGATATAAGAAAAGAGGGCGTAGTGCTAAAGGTAGCCCTCTTGAATGTTAGCTGGAGAGTCGGGACCGGACGATAGGATCTCTGATAAATGTGAGCCGGAGGGGAACTTGTGATGACACGATCTTGTCCGTGGAAAGGGACGCCAGCGGAGAAGAATAAAGATGAATAAAATCCGTGGCCGAGGACTGGATACTATAGAAGTCAGAGGGCCGATGGTTCCTGTAAGTGATCCGGCCGATCACAGTTGAACCTTGTCTGCAATTGACCAGCCAGATCGCATGCCGACCACTATTTCTTCCCCACAGCACGCGGGGGGAAGGACTAGCACGGGCAGTGTCTTTTTCTTGCATATACTTGCATCAAGTAACACTTCATTCGGTTTCACATTCATCTCTTCACTTCATTTCCTCACCTTCTTCACTCTCCGCCTCGCTCATCTCATTCACCATGGCACCCAAGGAACACGGACAAAGCACAACTGATGTTCGCAAAGGGTAATAATATACCACTACCCTTCTCTCGCTCGATGGGAAACACTTGGTGCCTGAACCTCACTCCTCGGTCATCTCGGCTCCCCCTTTTTATTACACCCATTGCGAGCCATAGCACTAACCTATCGGCCACTTTGCCATCGTCAATTGCCCTCGGCATGTTTTACCGCATTCCAATCCCTCTGTTTTAGATATCAATTGGAAGCTGCCCAGCTCGAGCCGTACTTGCAAAAGGCCATTCCAGGATTCGCTGTCCCCGTCAAGGTATCTCAGTTCAAGCTGGGTCAAAGTAATCCCACCTATCTCCTGACGGACGCAAAGTAAGTCTTTGTATCCCACTTGCCATCAATTGCTTCTGCCCTTTTTTTTTTTACATGATAAAGTGATCGATCGAAAAAATGATTCCAGCACCGTCCCAGTATGTGGGGATAAATTATGGATTCAGCTCTTCCTCACACGATACTTCCTTACACAATATGTTAGCAACACGCGCTATGTCCTCCGCAAGAAGCCAGCCGGAGCGCTGCTGTCGTCGACGGCTCACGCAGTCGAGCGCGAGTACAGGATTTTGAAGGCCCTGGGCGAGAAATCAAATGTGCCCGTGCCCAAGGTCTACACTCTCTGCGAGGATTCTTCTGTCATCGGAACACCTTTCTATGTAAGTGCTACGAACAGAGATGGGAGAGAGAGTGAGAAAGATGGAGACATTTGATCTGATATAACATTTGAAGGAAAGGGTGTTGCTCTTGTTGATTGATTGATTATTATTATTTTTGCTGTGCTATGAAAAAAAAAAATGTAGGTTATGGAGTTTTTGCAGGGACGCATTTTTTCGGATATCACCTTGAAGAAGCTGCCCTTTGAGGAACGTCGTCAGTGGTAAGTCTATTGAACTATTTTTTCAGACGAAAAAATGATAGCAAGACCTATTCTTGTTTTCGTCCGATTTTTTTTTTTTCTGCGTACTAAGTCAGGATTTTTTATTCTTTTTCGTCGTAAAGCTGGATCTCGGCAATCGACACGCTCGCAAAGCTGCACAAGGTCGACTATGTGGCCGTTGGGCTTGAGGGCTATGGAAAGTCCGCGGGATTCTATAGCCGCCAAATCGCGTCTCTGAGTAAGGTCGCTGCTGCTCAGGCGGCCGTCAAGGATACTGAGGGTGCCCTGGTCGGTCCTATCCCTGGTATGGATGAGTTGGCAGCTTGGTTCAAGAAGCACGAGGTCAAGGACTCGACCTCGATCGTGCATGGAGACTACAAGGTATGAATAGCGATAAAAGAAATACTACTGATACTAAACAATTGTCACGAAGTAGCAAACGCTATGCATCCGAACGAGATGTGCATTAACAATACGCGGTCTACTGATTTTTATACTCCTCAATCGCTATTCTAGATGGATAACTTGGTCTTCCATCCAACAGAACCACGTGTCATTGGCATTCTCGACTGGGAACTGTCGACGATCGGTCACCCATTCTCGGATCTGGCTAACCTTGTGAACCCATACTACGTTCCTGCAATGGAGGGCAACCCCATGGGTGGACTCCGGGGCATTTCCGAAAAGGATCTGCCCATTCCTCCAGTGAATACACTCCTAGAGCGGTATTGCCAGCAAACCTCGAGACCCTACCCGATCGAGAACTGGATGTTCTGCATCGCCTTCTCGTTCTTCAGAGTAAGGATTTCACAGGATTGATGATGCATTCGTTCTTTCGGAGAACCAACTGTATAGCCCTGGTTTTTGTAATTCATGCTTTCTCTTTGAATTTTCAGATGCTAACCACTTTTTTTGTTTTTTCGAAATGTGTTGTGGTGGGCAAAAATAGCTTTCGGTTATTCTGCACGGAATCAGGGCACGCGTGGCTCGTGGACAGGCGAGCTCGGCAGAAGCCAAGGTATACGCCGCTTTGGTAGAGTCAGTTGCCGGACTAGCGCTCGAGATTGCACGAGGGGACGGACAGCAGGATACAGATAGTGTCAAGTCTAAGCTGTAATAGAACCGAGCTAAATAGTGAAATATGAAGTACCTGGAGGGAGGCGTCAGTGAGAAAGTGGACGCGCTTGGAAAGTTCTATAACGTGTTTACGCCAATAATTAATAAATCATAACAACGTACAGAATCCAATTGGGTATCGTTTGACCGATGCTCTTGACGCCCCATTGCACAACGTGGTCAAGTCGTGCACTCCAAGTCGCTTAGAGCGTGTATTGGGTCAAGACGCGCTTGTTGTAGTATCGACCTATGAGCTTCATTAAGCCTGCAGTTAACCAAGACCAATCCTGTTGCCTATTCAAATGCTTTCGAATACAAGACCGAGATGTTCTCCGTTATGCGGAATCATTATAGGGAGCAGGCGTCCTGGTCGATCGGCCCGAGAACGGGAGGATTAAACCTATAAAAGCGACAGCTTGGATTGCCCTGTCAACTTTCCTCAGAGCTCTTTGTAACTCCTCCTTTTCCTTACAGTAACACGCCGCCCCATCCTTACCTCAAACGCACACATTCCGCCGATCCATTGTCTGGTCCGACCATTTCGTATCTTCAAAATGGCACTGAACGAACCCTCCTCCTCCAGCAAGTCCACGCCTCGACGACCCTGGACCGTCCTGACCATCACCGGAGCGCTCTCGGTCTTTGCCATGATTTCCTTCCTCACCGCCTCCCCAGCCCATGGTTTATCCTCCGGTCATGTCTTTGACAAGCGTATGCTCTCTGTGAATACGAAGGTCTTGGATGAGGCTGCGGAAGAAATTCTTAGTGGTGCACACGGCCAAATCCTGCAGAAGCGAGGCAAGGCATCGCCTGGCAAATCGAATGCAGACCTGGAATGGATCCGCTTGCGATTGGGTACAAAGTCGCCTTATCCCCATGAGGACAAACCTGAGGGTTCATTGGACGATGTGCCTGATGGATACGAGCTTGTGCAGCTTCATCTTGTAAGTCGCGTTTTTTTTCATATTTTGAGTTCATGACGTTTGATGCAATGAATGTAAATGTTGGACACGATAATCTGAATGAGCAGCATCTGATAATCTCCACATTTTTTTTCTCATGGACCACAGATTTGCAGACATGGTAAATTTTCCCTGGTCCAATTGAATTGGTCTCCACAACCCACGAACAAATCGTTAGAGCACATGAGAGGCGCTGGTTCGTTGATTTGACACGCTCCTGCATAGCTCTTGAACCTTTTTATTTATTTATTTTTTACTTGTCCGTCGGATACCAGGTACGAGATATCCAAGTGCGTCGGATTCGGTCGCCTACAAGAAGCTGACGGAGAGACTCAGTAACACAACTGTACCAGGCTATGAATGGATTCGTAACTGGGTAAATTTTATCCTCACTCGCCAGTTGAACGCTGTTCTCATTATCAGACCATTAACTCTTTTTTTTCATTTATTTTTTTATGGGTAGTCAAGCGAGACTTGGTACCCTCCTTCGAGGGGAAACTTGCTCGCAACGCGTGGTGATGCCGACCTTTATGAGATCGGACGCCGCTTCGCGAAGCGATACGAGTCGTTCTTGGATCAGTATCCGTATAGTCCCAACAACTATGAGTTCCGCAGCTCCCATAAGTCCCGCTGCAGTCAGTCTGCATACGGATTCTCCCTGGGATTCTTTGAGGACCGATTAGTCAGTGATGAGGAGCCTCACCGCTCAAAGAGCGGCAGACATCTGGACGCCCCACCTTCCCAGCCCATACACATTTACACCGTCCCACAGGTATTCTATTATCTCGGCATGAAATCATACGTCTGCTACTCATGTTTGAGCGCTTGAAACATATTATATTGACGCCTTTGAGGTCCTTCCGTGGTCTGTTGTCTAGGGCTTGGATCAGGAGATGGCGGTCGAGGACTCGTGCCCGAAGTACCTGAACGAGGTTGCGGACCAGCCTGCAGTAGGAAAGCAAGTGAAATTGTACCAAGACAGCTTTATCCCGGTGCTCGCCCAGAACCTGTCGACAACTTTTGGCGTTAACTTCACCGCCAAGGATGCCTCTCGCATCTACCAGATGTGCGGTTTCGAAGCCTCGATCTATGATGATGTCACGACCTGGTGCCAAATGCTTCTTCCTATCGCGGGTAAGAATGACAAGAAGGGCAACCATGGTCAGGATAAATCCCGACAGGACAACTTTATCAAGTTGGAGATCGCTGGCGATCTGGATGACTTCTACACCCATGGCCCTGGAGTTCCTTTTAACCAGGAGATGGGATGCAAATTGGGCACCTCGTTGATGCAATCGATCGAATTGGCACTCTCCAGTGGCCCTGATGCTATCGGGGATGGTGCCGATGGTGGCTCGACTGACTTGTACCGCGGACACCTCAAGTTTGGCCACTCTGAGACTATCATGTTTTTCTCCACATATCTGGTAAGTACCCCTTTATTGCAGTATAGCAATCGTGTGTTATCAGCAAGACTACTTACACTCAGCTTGTTTTCTTCTCTTTACTCCTATAGGGCCTTTACAATCGGACCGGTGTCGTACTGACTGCCGACATGACTCCAGACCAGTATGCGAAGCGCGAATTCCGCTCCAGTCTCTTCGCGCCCTTTGCTGCTAACATGGCCTTTGAAGTCTTCCAGCCCAAGGCCTCGGGTTCGAACAAGATCCATCGCCGTCGTCTCAACCGCCGTGCTGCATCAGACCCTCAAGGCTTGGTCCGCTTGCTGGTCAACGAGATGCCCCTGCCTATCCCCGGTTGCGACGGCGCCATGTTCTGCGAGTGGTCCAAGTTCAAGAGCATTTTGATTCAGCGTGGGGCAGGATGTGATTTTGAGAGCTGCTGTGGAACAGTTCCACCAATTTCAGGAAAAACCTCACAACTGAGCGTGACCTTCGCTGCGAATGCGACATGCCCCTCGACAACTCCTGTTGTCCCCTAATGGGATGGTTAGCACAACCGAGAATGGCTTCCCGGATTGTACAAGTATCAAAAGTGAACAATTTCATACCAATTTTATTAGAAATGAATGTTTGTAAAGATCCTCTGTCTCTCTTTGCTCTCTTTGCTCTTTTGCTTTGTGACCAAAAATTGCTCTCATAATCTGAGTGGTCTAGATGCCCTGGTACGCCGAAAAGGTTGACATTTGATAAACTAACCTCCACAAAAGCAAACCGCTCAATTATGTCAAAATTGAGCCAGGGAAATAGTCCATGCGCCCTGCTCAAAATATTGGCAACCGCAGCGGATTGATCATGATTTGATGCTTAAGCTGCTTTTACTTTTTCCATAGCTATGAGCAACATGAGCATAGAAAAGTGGACCATGTCAGAGCACCGAAAGAAGCATGAACAAAGGAGCGAGGCACATTTAAAGCAGCGCATCGATTTCGTTTTTATTAGTTTTCGTCCAAACATGAATGAATTCGAACAAAAAAAAACATGCCAGAAGACAAAAAAGGTATAGAGAAGTGCATATGTACTATTTTGTTTTCTCGTTGGGTCATCATCATCTGGGTAAGCGGGCTAATTGCTGATTTGATTTCTGCTCTGTATTTTTTTTTTCAGGGGATAAATTAGGATGGTACTTCATGTCATGCTACAATATAGTGTTGATTTATGGTCTCTTGCTTAGAGCATGTAAACAACTGACAAGAGAACACCCGCAGCGCCGAGGACCATAGATGCCCTGTTACCATTTGCACCACTGGGCTTGCTTGTTATAGGAGCGCTAGTAGGAACGGAAGTGGTAGTGGCAGCGGCGGTGGTGGTGTGAAGGGTGACTGAGGCGGCGGGCTTGCCAGTGGCAGTACCGGTAACAGTGCCGGTCTGGGTGCTGTTGCCGCCACCGCCAGCGGTGATAGAGACACAGAGGGGAGCACCGACATCGAGATTAGCGCAGTCAGTTCTCAGCTTGAGGTTCCACTTGAGAAGCTGCGCAAACGTGATTCCGTTGGCGATAGCAAAGGCATCACAGCCAATATCGGTAGCTGTTTAATACCAAACAGAAACGTGTTAGACGCAAGTGTTTCCACGCTCATAATCCGATGCGAATCAAACTTGATGATAACCTACGCTGGACAACGACAGTTTTCGTGCACTCCTTGACGGGGACAGGGACAACGGCCATGGCCTGGGAGGCAACAAGGGCGAGAACGGCAACGGAGAGAGAGAACTTCATGGTGTTTATCGTGTATGGGTTGAAATGGAGTGTTAGGTATGTGGGCGGATGTCTTGATTGAAGTAGGGTGGTATTTTTTTGTCAAAAAAAAGCGTGAAAAAAAGGAATGGAGCGAGTTGCAGAGCGAGGAGGAAAGATGAAGGATGGTAAAAAAGATGAGGGACAAGTCCCCGGGTTATGTACTCTTTCATCCCCAGTGTGAACGGCGATTGCGAGTGAGTAGGCAAGCCAAGAGTGGGCTCCCAACCATAGAGTACGTCTGTGATTATGAATTGATATATGCGGTTGGACTACCTCATCTGGACAGGCTCCCATCTAGTCCAGCGGACAAAAATTTCGTAAATGTGGCATGCGCTTTATATTTTTGGATGTATCGTTGACTCGATCTTGGTGCGACCTTCTCTTCTGTGTCTTATGGCCATACTCGGCTCGTGTTACCCATATTCGATCACTTCCTTTCATTTCTCACTTCGGAAAGCATTTCGGCATTACAGTCCTGGGACAGAAAAGATCACTACTGGATGTTGTTCAGATACCAGAGTCTAAGCATCAAATGTTCACATCGCCCGAGTTTCCTCCGCACCGTTCTTTCTGTATGTCTATCGATCAACGCTGTCTCTAATAATTCAGTTTTGGTAGCACTGAACCTGCATTATTGACTAGGGGTTCCGATGCCATGGCGCTCAACACCTCCGTAACTCAATAACCTTTCTAAATTGCAATTTCCACTCCAAAAATCCATTCATTCCCGCATGAGTCGCCACCCTAGTGCAACGGCGATAAATAAAATAGAACTCTGAGAAAAAATGGAGAGCGAAACAGAGACGATTGATTGCGAATTTATAAGTATGCCCATCATTCCGTAATTCCACCGCTAGCTTTCATATTCAAATTCGTTTATAGCTGAGTGGGACGATCAGTTCTATAACGTAATTGGGTAAGGGTATGTTGTAGAAGGAAGATTATCTTAAAGGCGTTCCATCTTAGTGGCTCGCGAAATGTGTCCAAATGGCTATGGATTATCTTGCGTGATGGCAAGCTTAGAGCATATAAGCAACTGAGAGCATGACACCAGCAGCGGCCAGCATCATGGAGATCTTTGAGCCTGCGGCCTCGCTGGGCTGGGTCGAGGAAATGGGAGTGGCAGTCGTCGTGGGCTTGTTAGCAGCACTGCTGGAGATGGCGGTAGGGGCCGTGACGGTAGGGGCCGTGGCGGCACTGGTGACAGTGGTGGCAGTGACCGTGCCAGCGGTGGTAGGAGCGCCACTGACAACCGTCGAAGTTACATTGGTTGCAGGCTCAGCTACACTGCTGGTGGGCATAGAGCCTGGAACAGTGACATGGTTGGGGTTTTCCTTCAGGCAGCAGTCGCCAGGAGTGATAGAGACACAAATGGGCTCGCCCACATCGAGGTTCTTGCAGTCGTCTCTCAACTTCTGGTTCCACTTCAAGAGATTCTCAAAGGTTGTGCCATACTTAGTAGCAAAATCAATGCAACTAACGTCAGTGGCTATGTATGTCAGAAGAATGAGGTGTAAGTACATATTGTCGCTGCATTTTTGTCCTCAAGACTGTCAAGGAAATGGATTGCTACATACGTTCAACAACTACGGACTTGGTGCATTCCTTGATGGGGATAGGAACGACAGCCATGGCCTGAGAGGCGGCCAGAGCAAGGACAGCGACAGAGAGAGTGAGCTTCATGTTGAGAGGGAAGTATGACGGCGAGAGTAGGTAGGGTAAGGATAGGAAGGATATGAGGCGAAGGGTTGAGGGAAGTGAACAACGTCAGGTAAGGGTTCTGGAAGGGGAGCAGGAATGTCTGAAGAGAAAAAGAAAAGCGGACTACGAGAAGGTATTATATACCAGCAGCCCGACCGACGGAAAGCCCACTCGACGCTTTAATGTTGATACGCTGTTTATCGGGTAAAGGGAAGGGAAACGATAAGGTTGATGCCAGACAGGACCTTGTAGAAACGGCGTGTTTCCTTACGATAGTCCTGCTCCGTTTGTTTTAGTGCCTTTAACGCTCATCCCCTGAATTGAATGAAAAATTAGTTAACTTACCGAGAATCACAGGAATTGCTCTCATCCATCGTGCATTCACTTAATACTTCAGCACGCTGCTCAACTATCTCATGTGATACCTGCCTTGACCGATAATTCGCAGCGCTACTGTTGCACGATTCATTTCTACACCAGAGTCGACTGAACACCTCTCGTTGTCCGGAAGCACTCGCTTTGAGAAAGGCAGATGAGGTTTGATGGATCTAAAAATACCGGGATTGCACTGGCTTGCTGATCTCTTTCCCAGATTTTGTTTCTTTTGGCCTGCGGAAAGGGCTGCAGACTGCCCTCGCTGACGAAAAAATAGAAAACATAACTTTATTCATCATATGAATTGCATGGAATCTTCCGATCGTTCCTGGTCTCTCTGTGCCAGGGTAAAGTCTTAGTCCGCTTACGGATAGGGCGTGGTTCGCTCCTATGGTCAATCTCATTGGTTTGCATATCCTGTGCTTAAAACGCGTCGTCCGTATCCTATTTTTCGCTGCATTACGTGACAGGAGCCCGTAGTTCCAATACTTTATACAGAGAAAATGATAACTGCAGCGTTGTTATTTTGTCAAATATTGTTTATTATGAAATAAGTATTATGCTAAAAATCGGTATAATTACGTGCTGTATAGTACAAATGAAGAAAAGAACAATAATTTAGAATCCGAGAGCGTCGTTAACAAGGATAACCTGGATGCGGCTGGGGTTAAAAGGGTTGGCCTTGCGAATGACCTCGTAGTTGGCGATGGCCGAAGCAGGGACGCCATAGGCATCGCGTGCACGGGCACTCTCAGCAAGGAGGGCGAATTCGTTGGTGCGCTTCCAGGCCTCCTCCTCGTCCTTAACAATCTTGTTGGCTCCAGCAACGACAATGACATTGGCAGCACCGAAAGCGACACCGCCGACCTTAGATCCGGAGAGATCAGCATGTGCCAGTTTACCATCCTCGGTAACTGCACTCATAGAGGTCAAGTAGTAATCAACGGTTGAGCCAATGGTGCGGCGGAGCTCAGCCTGCTTAGCCATGTCCTTCTCGGCGAGGATCTGAGCGTGAACGTTGTTCCAGACACTATTGCAATTAATGAACATCGGTTAGGTAACTGTTCCTCCACGTAAAATGCGACAGCAACATAGTCTACGGTATACGGTTTGAGACAATGAAACTTACGTCTCACCCTTGAGGTAGGTAATGAATCCGATCTCTTCGAGGGTGGTGGAATGGGCGTTATTGACGCTGGCGCCGGAAGGGATCAGCCCCTTGAGAGTCTCGAAAGCCTCTCCGCGGCTGTTGACAACATGAACCTTAAAGCCGTTGGCCTCAAGAGCGGCTTTGGCGACATCCACGCGTTCAGCACCAACAGCCTTAGTGTAGTGATGATCGGCAAGAGAGGCCAATTGGGCATCGGACTTGACGAGAGCAGCGAAGGTGTGATTGGTGTGCGTGTTCTCGGGATGAGTGGAGACTGCTGCAGCAGCAGACGAAGCAATAGCAACGGCGGGGACAGTGGCAGAGGCAGTTGGGACAGCCGTGACAGACTTGGTCATGCCCTTCTTGGAATCCGACCTGAAAATCTTCTTAATCTGCTTGAAGAGGGAAGGCATATTGAAAATGATTGAAGACGTAGTTGTTGAAAGTGTGATTGGAGCGATGAGCGTTGAAGAGATGAAATATAAATTATCGAAGCGCGATAGTTAGATCGAAGCAAAGAGACGGTCGATGTTGTGATGAATGAAAGTCGCTGTCTTGCCTCCGAAAGGAACCCTTTATATACTTTCGTTGACTCCTCTTGGATCCGTAAGCTGGCCCTGTCCTATCTTCAAATTTTCATCGGTGGATTTGAAATCAAAGGGCTTGAGAGCCAGCTTTGTGGCTTGCAAAGCTGATTTTCAATCCGGCGGTTCCTACTGCGTTCCTGAGTGAGCTGAGGTTCAATAGGTCAACTTAAACTGCTCTTCAGGCACAGGATGTGTAGAACCGAGTGTGAACCACCAACTTAGAGTAATTATCGTGCTCGAGGCATCATAAAAAGTTGCTTTCTCAACATCCCTTCGACAATTACTTGTACTTTCTTTTTATCCGGCGATGCCTGCTTGGCCTGTGTTCAAGACGGTGCCAATGCTTCTCGCAAAAATGTATTTGTAATCCTTGTGTTACCAATCCTTTGGTACGTCGATCGCATTGATCATAAACCCCATGCGTTACTGAACTCCTCTCTCTCTTTTTTTTTCCAGTCCGTAACAGGGACAAGATGCTCGGTCAAAATGGACTTTGAACCCTAGCAACAAGGTGGCTCAGCAACGGCATGGGAATCAACCTTCATCCTGATGGCTAGGTTCTTTGTTCTTGAGATCAAGTCCAAATTGAAAGACTGTCGACAACAAAGAAGGAATGCTTCCGATCTTTAGCTTTTATACATTCCAGCGACTGTCCCATCATCCAGCAACCTGACCCAATACCCTTTTCCTTTCCATTCAAGGTCGGATGGACGAATGCCATTCTAATTACCCGATAGCCTACCTCTAAACAGAGTTTACGTTGAATCCTGAGAGCGACCTATGTTTAGCCGTTATTTCAAATCTTTCATTTCATCCTATCCGCTGGATGGTGTCGACGAGGACGAGAGCTCATGGCAATAAATTACAAAAGAGCCATCCCTCCAAACTCGCTTGTCCCATGTAGATATGAAAGAAATAGTCTAACTACTCATCCCCATCATTTGAGTTTTTTCCTAGCTACAAGGACTTGGTCTATACTATTACCCCTACAAATGAAGTTGTGCAGCCATCGTATCGATAATGAGAATGAGTACGCGCGGTGCTATCCAGGAGAGAATGGTTTGCGACACTCCTCTCCAATCATGGTTTTTCTGCCTTCTATAAAATCCAAAGAGATCTAAATCCTAGTTTAGCGTACATCCAGAGGGATCAAAGTAGACTGGGCCTGCAATATTAAAGAGCACTCGTACCGCCAATGACAGTCCCAGAGTCCTCGCCAGAAAGTCACGGGCCAACACATTTTTGAAATGGTTGGCTTAATTCAGTAAATAAGGTTGCCCTTTTCACGTACAAAGCTGACAGCCAGGCGCATCCACTACTGCATGCATGTCTCTGACTATATTCTCAATTATGAAAGAGATAACGGTGCCGGTGAAGGTGCAGAGACTATATGACAAGAGGACGATTAGACGCGACCGTGGTGTCTTATGTACATGGGGATATATTCATTTCAATTGAAAGGGCTCAAAGATATGTTGACCCGCGACTTCCTGGCGAGGACTATACTACACAAGCTGTCAAGATAAATGCTAGTCCCGCTGAGCATCTGCGTTTAGGTTTAATTAGGGCATCGCCTGATATAGACACAGTATATACCTCGGTATAGCAAGTGGAGGAACCAGGTGCTACAGTGCCTTCCTAAATCCGCTCATTGGATGCAGGCTCACATACCAGAGAGGAAATATAGTGCCATGGCATGCCTGGTATTTTCTTTCTTTGTATAAATAGTTGTCAGAATCGGGTTACCATCCCTCTTTACACATTTCGTCCCATTCCACCCGTCGTATACCTACGATCCCTCCAGCAACACATTAAGCATTTCTCTATCATTTTCGCCTTATCCTACCCTCCATCATGAAGTTCTCTATCTCCGTCGCCATCCTCGCCCTCGCTGCCTCTCAGGCCATGGCCGTAATTCCTATTCCCGTCAAGGAGTGCACAAAGACCGTCGTTGTTCAGCGTACGTAAATTTGTCTCCAAGGTAGATCCGTACAAGATACTGAGCGTGGAATATGGGTGCCTAACGCGATTCTTGCCACGGTACTAAATAGCCACCGATATTGGCTGCGATGCTTTCGCTACCGCCAACGGAATCACATTTGCTGATTTGCTTAAATGGAACCTCAAGTTGAGGACTGATTGCGCTAACCTCGATGTCGGTGAACCCCTTTGCGTCTCCGTGACTCCTGGCACTGGCGGCAACTCGACCAATCCTGTCACCAAGCCCACTGCCACCAGTGCTGCCGTTACTTCAGTTCCTGCGGCTACCCACGCCTCGGCCACCACCGGTGCCTCCAAGCCCGCTGCAACCACCTCTGCTTCCGTTACGCCACCACAGACTGGATCTGTCGTCGCACACAACGCTGCTACAAGCACAAAGTCGTCCATGGCCTTGGCTGCTGTTGGTGTTTTGGCTTCGGTCGTGTACATGCTTTAAATACAGCCTCATCTCTTGACGAGCTGAATGTCTTGTCGCAACTGAACTGTGAGGTCCTTTATACCTTCTATATCTATATAGACAATCAGCATCTTACCATAAGTTAGATGAATCTAATAATAATAAATGCGCGCTGGCGGTGCTACAACAATATGTACTTCTTTCTGTGCTTCACGATCATGACAGATTTGGCCACACATAGAATTACATCCATCTTCACGATTCAGAATAGCTGTGAGCTTCTAGCAGCATGAATATTTCCAAGACTTCATAATACCCTGGGTCAGTTTTTTATATTTGTAAGAGCGTATACGCTCTAAAATAAAAATAAAGTCGGTAAATCTGAGGCGTGTTCAAAGGCCCTGAGGTAACGACAGAGAGAGTATCCGTTGCCCTCCCCTACTCCGTCGCATGCTTCTGTCTTCTGTCTCGTCGTCTTTCTCGGAGATGTCCTCACATTCCCATTTTTTTCAACGCCAATCTTCTCATTCATCCTCAGTGATTGCCCCTGGTTACTTTCACGCTTCTATTTCCTATATCTCGCCGACATATCATACGTTCCTTTAATATATTATTCAGTATCCTTCGCAGCATCCTTCGCAGCATCTTCGTCCATCTCAACTGCAAACTCATACAGCAATGTCAAGACGCGATTTTGGAGGAAATATCCTACCACCTACGCCCCCATTTCCATTCGGTTAGACCAATCGTTATCAAAACACCTACAGTAATAATACCGTACCGCGCAAGCACTCCAGCGTCAACAGCAGGACCCTCGAGCTTGAATGATAATGAAGTGGATAGTAAGGGTTTTTGGAATAAAAACGGATTACGGATCCTGACAACTACCGTAGATACTTTGGCAAGCGACCGGCCGGCGTCACCTTGAGCCACTTGCAGGAACAGATTGCACAGCACAGCAATCAACAGAACATTAGCAAAGGGAAACTAGGTGCACCTTCATGGACCAGGGCCATGGTGAAGTCCAGAATGAGGTATCTCAAGAAGAAGTACGACCTTGCCTCGACAGAGCTGAAGAAAACTGGCGCAGGAAACACGGACGAGGGAACGCTTAAGGATCTTGTGCGAGACATTTGCCTTTGTTACGATAAACTGAATGCTGTCTTTCATGGTACATTTGCGCGAGACCCACCGAAGCCTCGTCAGTCACTCATATTCCCTCCAGTCAATGGCTTGACATTGGCCATCTCACGAACCTCAACAACCCCAGTATCCCCTGCAGCATCGGCAGCCCTTGGAGTCACAGACTATAGTAATAGCGAGGAAGACATGGCGGACAACATTTCTGAGCATAACCCTACTAAAGGTATGGCGCGTGAATCTTTGCTTAATAGTATTGAAGTATTAATACTCAGAACTTATTAACATCTTTCGTTATCCATAATCGTACTTTAGCGCGGCGAGTGACAACGAGTAGTGACGCTAGTGAGCAAGGAGAACGCGATAAAGGGTCGGCCAACAAGCATCGTAAACCCAACAAATGCAAAACAGCCGAAGAACTTCATAACAACTTTGATAGCCTCGTAAATGCTGTCATTGAAGTAAGTAGTGCCCAAGTCAAGGGAATGAATGACAGTAGCCAGGACTTTAATCGAAGGGCGGAGTTAGCAGTGCAGAGAAAGGCGATCATGATCCAGAAGGAGAGGTTACTGGAGGAAAAACTATCGGCAACAGAGAAGAGACATGAAGTGGTGTTGGGCGAGCAGGCTTAACCACAGGAAAGGATGATGCAGCGGCGTCTTGAAGAGCTTATACAGGAGGAAGCCGATTTCAAGCAGGAGAAGGCCGAGTTCAAACAAAAAATGACCTAGTTTGAATGTCACTTGCCGGCCGGTCGCATCCTTGTATCGAGGAATTAGCGTAGGCAAAACATGGTAGACAGCCTCAGCAAATAAATACTCATCCCTTTGAAAGAAGAAAAGAGTGGTGTTCTTGCACGCTTGAGAGTCGTGCATGGCCCCACTGTAGCCAGTGGAGAAAAATATGAACGTCCTCCTTTCATAGCGTATTCGCATTTTCGAATGTTCCAAGCGATTGTTTCCCATGCTGGAGCCGATTCGAAAGGAAATAGCACGCCTTCAATAGCACCGACTGTAGTCGGGACGCCTCTTTTTCCTCGAACCAGCGACTTATCTCTCGCTTCCATGCTTGACCTGGCCGTACTACGAACTGGGGCATGAATTCGTGAAGCGTCTTGATACACCGCCATGTGCCATCGTGAACCGCTCCTCGGCTGACGCCGAAGATCCATGCAGCCTTATTGATCGATAATCCTCTGATTCCGAGACGAAACTGTGCCACGTTCAGGTAGGTTATGTTTTTTTTCTATGGGAGCTGCCCATCAGCGGTCTGAAGGTGCTGGCCATTCGTGATCATTCCTACTACTCTGTTGAATTGGTCAGGAGCGAGCCGTACAATGTCCTTGAAATGGTTGGGATCATAACTCATAAGGACCCTGTCCCTTAAATCTGTATCTGGCCTGGTAAAGTTGCATTAGCACGTTGAAATACAACTCAAGCACGAAAGGATAGGACACCCATCTCTGCTTGAGAGATTCGAGATATGCCATGGGGGGTCTCGACATAACCATCTTCATAAACCCTGATGAGTCTTTGTCGAGCTGTGAGTCGTTCTCTGGGCATAGGATGATAATTGGAAAGCAAGAGGAGAAGATTGATAAAGGATGGGCACGCTCTCGGTAACCAGTAAGATCTTTGTGCTTGCAGAATTCTGCAAACTGTAAAAGTGCCATGGTATGCCAAGCATTGGCATAGCATTTTCTTATGTGTTGCTGTGTTTCCAGTTATGGAGGCTGGCACAATATCCAGGCAAGATAATTCTTTAATTTTTTATCGGGGAGATATTTGAGTAGTGCCAAAAAAGTTTTTTATTTGAGTAATGGCATTGCATAAATAGTTGTCAGAATCCTCTTTACACATTTCGTCCCATTCCACCCGTCGTATACCTACGATCCCCTCCAGCAACACATTAAGCGTTCCTCTATTATTTTCGCCTTATCCCTACCCTCCATCATGAAATCCTCTATCTCCGTGCCATCCTCGCCCTCGCTGCCTCTCAGGCCGTGGCCGTTACCCCTATTCTCGTCAAGGAGTGCACAAAGACCGCCGTTGTTAAGCGTACGTAAATTTGTCTCCACGGTAGATACTGAGCGTGGAATATTTGCAGCTTCATGCCTTACGCAATTCTTTCCACGGTACTAAATAGCTACCGATACTAGCTGCAATGCCTTTGCTGCCGCCCACGGATGCACGTTTGCTGATTTGCTGAAGTGGAACCTCAAATTGAGACTCGACTGCGCCAATCTCGACATCGGTAAACCCCTCTGCGTCTCCGTGACTCCTCGCTCTCGCAGCTAATCGATCAGTCCTGGGTACATGCTTTAAATGCAGCCTTATCTCTTGACGAGCCGAATGTCTTGTCACAACTGAACTGTGAGGTCCTTCTTTTTGTGCTTCACGATCATGACAGATTTGGCCACACATAAAATTGCATCCATCTTCACGATTCAGAATAGCTGTGAACTTCTAGCAGCATGAATATTCCCAAGACTTGATAATACCCTGGATCAATTTTTTTATATTTGTAAGAGCGTATACGCTCTAAAATAAAAATAAAGTCGGTAAATCTGAATCGAGTGCTTCTGGTCATCAAACAACCGGCTCTACTGTCAAGCAGACTGGCGCAGGATTGGCAGCCTCCACAGCTCCAAACATCTTCCACGAGATGGCATCAGGGCCTGCTGAAGGGTCAAGGCTAGTGCAGCATCCATCAAAATTACACCCAGCTCCAGCACGCTGAAATATCTCCTTGACGGTCGCCCACTCGCAAAAGTAATCAGATCCACAGCCGGGGATGACACTGGGCAGCTCGTTGACCAACAACCGCACTAGGCCTCTTGGCGTATCTGATTTCATAGGCGGATATGATGACCCATCATCGTACGCGAGGCGTCTCTTTCCTGATGTGCTATTGGGCTTGGGTCTATATACCTCGAAAGCCATATTGGCAGCAAAGGGTGAGATCTTGCTGGAGCGGAATTCTCTCTTCTCGTACTCCTCCGCAGTCATATCACCTTTTAGAGGTATTCCATTCCGATCATACAAGCCCTAGAGTCGACGGGTTCGAATAACAAACAAACAAAGCTGTTGGTTAAAACTCGTAAGATGGGCGAATGCCGAAGTTGTTCCCGCTGCTAGAAATGAAATAACGAAGATTACCAGGAAGCTTGAGAAGAAGAGAATTGTTTCTGAGTGTCCAAACTTGAAGAGTCCTCGGAATAGACCGTTGCCCTCATCATCGTCATCGCCCTTTCTATTTGCAGCAATATTATCTGCATTCGGATCCAGCGCCATTTCGATCGAATTGACCAAAGAGGTGCCGAGCATGCAACCGAGATGTCGATTGAACGGAACCCCAGGACCATGGGTATAGTAATCACGCAAATCACTATTAATCTCTAACTTCAAAAAGTTCGATTTCGAGGATCCTAGGTTGTCCGACGATGCTCCCATAGTGCCTCGATGTAGTAGTTGGCACCATGTCCGATCGTTGTCGTAAGTTGCCACCTCGAAACCGCAAATTCCGTAGATGGTCCCCACATCTTTAACGGTAATATTGACGATATTAGGGCCATCCTTTGGATTCAGCATGGTCGAGAGCTGCTTCGCTAAATCAGGCAGGAACTTTTCTTGGAACGATCGTGCCTCACGCAGCACATTAGGACCATCTCTGACGCTCTCGAGCCAGCGAGGGCACGCGTACTTCATCGCCATCTCTTTGTCTAGACCCTGGACGCAAAAAATGAAGACATCAGTGATACACAGGGCTAGCAAATACCATCGATTGCCAGCATGCGCTCATCTAAAAAAAAGGGGGGGAGGGACCTACCATTGGAAGCGTGAAAATGTCGACAGGTTGCACTGGGGGCATCTGTCCTTCTGCGCCTGGATCGTTTACATGGCGGCCCTGCAAAATGCCCACAGAAAATCCATAAGCGGACTGGCTGCATCTTGATTTGGAGGAGCTCTGGAATTCATAGGTGTTGGCATCGTAGGGATATCGGTCAAGGAAATCCTTGTACCTGATAGCAAACCGACTTCCGATCTGATATAGATCTGAATCTCCTTTGGCCGACAGGAGGTTTCCCTTAGTGACAGGGTACAGCTTTTCGCTTGACTAAAAGAGAAACGCATATAGTAAAATAAGACATTAGAATATGTTGATAGATTCATGGGTGACTAAACAGGGAAGCCAAAAGTATGATTTCCAGTACCCAGCTCCGGAGCCATTCGAGGCCCGGCACGACCACCCGCTCAAGTTTTTCAGCCAATGTCTGAAAGGCAATTGCGTTGGAGGAGCTCGGGTACCTTGTACCTGAGATTTGGGTGGGTGAAGCGCGGAGTGTCAGCCAATTTCTCGGTCATTTTTATGGTACATATCAAAGACATGGTCTCTCGTAAGATGCCCTACCATGTCTGCATATCTATCCCCGTGTGTAAGAGGAGAAAGATTCGATGGCATAAATGGTTAATCAATGATCACAAGGGAGATACGCATTGAACGTAGGTACAGACCACAGTTAGGCATACCAAGTGTAACTGCGCGAGTTCATAGCCCGCAGGAGTGTCCGTGAGAGGGCCTACCGGCCTGTCCTGATGCGGATATGGCGACTTTGTTCCCAAGTGTCTGCGAATCCAGTTCAGGGGAAGCAAAGGTCTGGACTCGGCAGTTGAATTGGATTCATCTTTGTGTAAGGACACAGACGAGATTGTCTTCCAAGATTGTGCATAGATCAACTGTTCTGTCCGGTCGACCATATCCGCCTCGAGTCCAATGCTGTGTTTCGAACTGGATGGCGCGGACATTGGCCGAACCAAGGGCACATCCAGCCCATCGTTTTGGGCTTCGCTTTCCAGCGACATGGCCTGCCCATGCACCGTGGGGCTCAGCAACGCAATCATAGCGACGAGTGCCAGGCACGGCAGAGCGAGGTCGAACCACGGCCGATACGACGGGCGCGGGTGCCGCATGCAAGTCTGTACGACCATTCCTGGGATGTCTGGGTGTAGGCAAGACAGTGTACGTTATACTCGGCTGGATCTATCGTGGTGTTCTCTCGACAGGCTGCAACTTCAGAGAGAGAGAGAGATGAGGTATAAAGAGATGCAAACGGAATGAGCGAGGGGAAGAGATGAGGACGAGCCAGAGCGAGTTATAGGAAGCAAACAAAGTGCACAGGACCTCAACCGCCCATTCTTCTGCTTGTGAAGGCAGCAACATTTTATGCTATAAAACATCCAATCACATTTGCGTTGTCGCGCGCATGCTCGGCGACCTCTAGTTTCTCCCACTCCTTCGCTCCTTCTCCGAGCCAACCTCAGTCATAAACCCCATACAATCCACCGTATCAACGTTGAACCATGCCTTATACCCCTGGTTGCAATTAAAAACATATTATCGCATGCCTTATTCATGCAAATAGTCTTGAAAGAAGCCTCCCTGAAGTCCCATGTCCTCGTTCCTGATTTTCTATTCTTCAATCCAATTAGTCTCGTTCCTGATGCCACAATGTTCTACAGCATATAAAAAAGTAGAAGCCAGACATTGTTCGATCGAAAACAACCATAAAGATTTATTTTGCGACGAGAAAAAAAAAGCTATAAAAAAAAGAAAAAGAGTGCTTGCCAATCTTTAAAAAATTCTTCCTTCAGTTCAAGTAGGGAGAAAGATAATCGATAAAGAGTGCTTAGGCGCGACGCTTGTCCTGGGGCTTGGCAAGGAAGTCAGTGTACTGCTGGTAAGGAGACATGGTGAACTTGGTCTCGGCCCAGAGGTCGGGGGTCAAGTAGCTGTAGGTGTTACCAATGGCGGCAAACGTAGCCTTGACAAAGTTGCCCAAGGTGCGGGTCGAGCCGAAAGCCTGGGTGTAGCAGTCAGTGACACCAGCGAGCTGAAGCAGCTTCTTGGGGACAGGGGCAGCGACAATGCCGGTACCGCGGGGAGCTGGGACCAAACGGGTGACGGCCGAACCGCACTTGCCCGTGACCTTGCAGGGAACGGTGTGGGGCTCGTTCAAGATCGAACCCCAGTAACCGCGACGGACAGGGATGACCGAGAGCTTGGCAAGGATGATGGCTCCACGGATGGCCGTGGCAACTTCCTTCGAGCACTTCACACCCAGACCGACGTGGCCGTTCGAGTCTCCAATGACAACGAAGGCCTTGAAACGGGTGCGCTGACCAGCACGGGTCTGCTTCTGGACGGGCATGATCTTCATGACCTCGTCCTTGAGAGAGGGCAGGAAGTAGTCGACAATCTGGTACTCCTTGATGGGGAGCGAAAACAGGTAGATCTGCTCGATCGACTGGATCTTGCGGTCCTTGACGAGACGTCCAAGCTTGGTAACGGGGGTCCAGGTCTCCTTCTCATCCTTGCCTCCACGTCCACGTCCACGGCCACGGCCGCGGTCACCACCACGTCCACGACCACGTCCAAATCCGCCACGTCCTGTAGTATCGGAGAAAAAAGCGACAGTAAAGGCACAGTGTTAAGAATATCGTTTGTGTTGGTTTTAGTATATTGAGCTCCACTCAGACACTTTCAGTTGTTTCCGCAGTGAACATCACTGGTAATATTAACGACTTCCGCAGGTAGTCTACAGCTCCACTGGTGCGACTTTGACAAGCGCAAGAGTCTTCGCAATCGACGCTGCACGGTTGCCTCGCTTTTCCCGACAAGAATGGTAAGTTGATACCCTGTACTATTCAGTCTGCTAGGGCGAATCCTTCATTTACAGCACACATCTCAGTCTTTCTCCGTGCTGCTGTCCTGCGTGCTGAAATGTTTGGCTGAGAGCAAAGGTCACAAGGGCGCGCGATTCCACATCCACTGAATGAGTCACAAGCTGATTCATCCTGAAGGGCAAGACTGAGGTTGATGAAACATTCTTCATGCACAGTAATTGCAGTACTGTCAAAAAGAGTCCAGTTATATCGATTGCTTAAAGACTCATCTGCGCCGAGCGACATCCTGGTGGCTCCGAGCGCCACATATGAAAGGTCCCATAGATGAAAGCGATGTCTCCTTAAGCTGATTATGATGAATACGCACCACGTTGAGTATCGGCCGTTGCTGCGTCAGCCATTTTCTAAAGCAAGTAGAGCAAACGACATGATGTTAGTGTGTAGTCGAGTGTCTAGTCTGCTGGTAGTTACGGCCCCTAATCTCGCTAATCATCTGCATCCGGGTTTTATGAAAATGATAGTTGAAGGTCCAGAAGTTGATATCGATCATAAATAGTAAATAATCAACCGTAATGTGTCGGCAATGCGTTGGATGGGTCGATAGTTCGTTCGATGGGTGGTGCCAATGCCTTGGATGCATCCATTGTCTCAAGAAGGGCAACCGTATGGCAGTCCAGCAGCATATTATCACATACGAATTTCTGAGTGTTAATTGAAAGAGGGAGATCTGGGCAGAGCACAGCTTCGGTTCATATTCATAGATGATTCAGTTACGCACGTGATCTGGAATAAATAAAAAATCGTTTATTGAGACCAACAAAGGGTGTATATGTGTCCAGATGGGCTGTTGATTATGGACAAAAAAAGATAATACTAAATATACAGAGTAGAGCGAGTAACGCAGGAATAATTGATGGCAGGAGAAGACTAGAAAACAGCTGGAGAATCAAGAGGATAAGTGGATATACAAGATTTTCCTAGGTTGTTGTCAACACTCAGACTCGCCACCAAATGCATTGTCCAGAATAATTTACTCGACGGTGACAGACTTGGCCAAGTTGCGAGGGAAGTCGACATCGACGCCAGCCAAGCAAGCAAGGTGGTACGACAGAAGCTGGAGAGGGATGATGGTCAACAGGCCCTGAAGACAGTCAATCGTCTGGGGAACGCGGATCGTCTTGGTTTCGGGGCTGATGGCATCATCACCCTTGTTGCAGATGATGATCGGCTGGCCCTTCCTGGCCGTGACCTGCTCCAACGCAGACCGGACCTTGGGGTACAGCGAGTCGCGCGTCATGATCAGGATAACGGGCATGTTCTCGTCCACAAGCGCAAGGGGTCCATGCTTCAGCTCGCCCGCCAAGATGCCCTCGCTGTGCATGTACGAGACCTCCTTGATCTTCAGCGCTCCCTCCAGGCACGTCGCGTTCTGGAACCCACGCCCCATGATCAGCAGACTCTTCTCCTTGTGCAGCACATCCTTGGCAAGGCGCTGGAGCTCCTGGTCGATGGCCAGCACCTCCTTAATGTGCGACGGGAGCGCATGGAGACCGTCAATGATCTCGTTGCGGCGGGTTGTCATTGACGTGCGGTCCTCCGATAGCTGGATGGCAATCATGACCAGGGCAATGTATTGGGAGGTATAGGCCTATGTCGATAAGAAAAGGTCACAGAGCAAGATAGAGAAAACAATGCAGCAACACGGTTAGTTCTCGCTGTTCACGAACGCACCCAGCCAAGGTCCTATCATCATCCTGAACATCCATCTCATCGAGTCCATTGCTCCGTTGCCCCGTTGCTCCGTTGCTGTACCTTGGTGGACGCGACTCCGATCTCGGGACCAGCATTGATGTGGACACCGCAGTGCGACTCGCGCGAGATCGAGCTTCCGACAGTGTTGGTGACACCGACGCAGAGAGCACCACGCTCAAGGCAGTATCTCATCGCAAGGATGGTGTCGGCAGTCTCGCCGGACTGGGAGATGAACACGCACACGTCGTCGCGGAAGATGGGGGTCTTGCGGTCCAGGAAGTCGCTGGCCAGCTCGGTCGAGACGGGGATCTCGGTCAGCTCCTCAAAGATGGCGCGGGTCTACGAGGTATGATATGGAGCAACATGCACGACTGTTAGATCCACTATATCGAGAACACCAAGGTACACACACAGCAACACAAACACACAGATCCAGTCTCGAGACTTACAGCAAGAGCACTGTGGTAACTGGTTCCGCAGGCAATGAACACAATGCGGCGGCAACGGCGGATGGTGGGCAGGTACGACTTGAGGCCTCCCAAAGTGACCTTGTGGGTGTCAAAGTTGACGCGGCCACGCATGGTGTTGACGACAGAGTCGGGCTGCTCGTAGATCTCCTTCTGCATGAAGTGGTCGAACGATCCCTTCATGATCTCTGCCAGCTCGATCTCCAAGGTCTGGATGGAGCGGATGGAGGAGATGCCGTCATCGCGGCGGAGGCGATGGATGCGGAGCTCGCCCTCGCGGATGTTGGCGATGTCGTCGTCGAGGAGGTACAGGACGGTCTTGGTGTGCTCGACCACAGCCGAGGGATCTGAGGCCAAGAAGTACTCAATCTGCTGAGGAAGGCCATCCTCGCTCAAGAAGGCGCGGGACTCGCTGCGACGCAACTGAGGAACCTCAAGGGTGTTCAGGGGCTCGGCGGTACCCTCAACGTCTGGGACTGAGCAAAGGGTTAATAAAGCAGGAGTTATTATTAGGACATTTCAAGGTTTCCTCTCCCGTTCATTTCCAGTCCACAAACAAAAGAGTAGCATTGAGCGAAGATGGCATATCATTCCATGTACGTAATGTCGTCAGGACTTACTCTCTTCCGCGATCCCTCCGAATTCGACATCGACAAAGTCAACCTTCAGCTTCTTGGGGGTCTTGACACCAATAAGAAGGGGCGAGCCGCGACGGGTGGCGACAACCTCATTGGGGAAGTGAACACTCTTGAAGATCATGGCGAAGGCTCCCTCCTGTCACATTTCATAGGATAAACGCAAGATTAGTGAGTGATGCTGGAATCAATGGTGTAGCTCTAAGACCATGGTATCAAGCACTCTACATCAGGCATACAATGGGACGCATGCCTGAATTGACTGAACTGATCCATAGATCGAATGGCCGTAATAAAAATACCGATCCCTGACATTTGCAACAGCATATGACTTACCAACTCCTTGACAACACCCTTGACGAGATCGGTGAAGGTCAACTGCTTGTTGCCCTTCTGAGAGTCCCAGATGTACTTGGCCAGCTTGGCAATGGCCTCGGTATCGGTCTCGCTCTCAAAGGTGTAGCCCTTCTTCTCGAGAACAAGCTTGAGCTCGCGGTAGTTGGTAATGATGCCGTTATGGACGACCGTGAATTCGTTCTTAGGATCCGATCGGTGAGGGTGAGAGTTGATACGCGAAGGCTGACCGTGAGTGGCCCAGCGGGTATGGGCCATGCCGCAATGGGAGGTGAAGGTCTTTTGCCAGTTGATCGTCTTTTGCTCTTCAACCAACTTCTGGAGGGAAGCGACCTTTCCGACTTCCTTGTAGATCAAGACTTCCTTCTCGCCATCGCCATCGATGGCAAGGCCTAGAGTGAATTGAAAGAACCATTTGGTTAGGGTGCAACAGAATTAGGAGGATAGACATCATTTGCACATGACAACAAAAGACTGGCCCCTTGTTCTGGGATGGCCCTATTCCCCTGACCAGATTTCGCAGATGGAGTCCGTGACATTTCCTCTGACCAGGGCCACTGCGCCTTAGAGCCCATACAAGAAATATCTCAGAACGCGCGTTTCGCCCACACAAATAAGGACTTACCAGCAGAGTCATATCCACGGTATTCAAGGCGCTTGAGGCCATTGGTGAGGATGTCGGCAATGGTCTGGCGATCCACGGCAGTCAAATAGTTGAGATAAGCAAAGATTCCGCACATTGTGGTTTATAATAGAGGGAGTAGAGAAATTACTGAGACGGGATTATGCGCGGAGGAAGTGATGTTACTGCTGTTGTTATGCTTGAAGCTGGGTTAGTTGGGCTGGAGAGAAGGTGGTGATGAGGAAGAGAAATGGTGAAAGGGGAAAAGAACAGATGAGTGAATGGGATGAGGTCGGCTTTTATACTTCTTTTCAAATATTTCAGGTATTGAGTAGGGTAACAAACCAATTCATTCTTGTATGATAAGCAAGCGAGAACCTTGTTCCTTGTTCCTTGACTCTTGTTTCTGCCTTGTTCCTTCCTGTGTCTGCTGTCCCCGCTGTCTAGCTGGTACCTATTTAATGTCTTTTCGGCACCCTTGTTGCCAAAGATGGCGCATGAAAGACTGGAACTCGATTGCCCTAGTTCTACGGATGTCGTGGACATTCTTTCGCGAGATTCTTGCAGACGCGACTTGTTCCCCGTGGGTCTCCAGCCAGCGCTAGTTACACGTACAAACGCGCATTCATACATTCATTCGTTCATACCGATATAGCTTATACGCAAACGCCCTATAATTACTGCAAGCAAACACGGCTGGGACCCAGCTCAAGACCTCCCCCCAGAGACAATGGACGACGTTTGCGCAACTCAGACAAAACGGACGAAATTCCAAAAATAAAATTAAAAATAAGCACCTCCAATCAGCTGCGACCTCCCGAATACTGTCCACGGAGTAGAAAAGCGATGCTCTCATCTGCTCTGGGGGGGGGGGAGGTTGTGGTTCAAAGCATTGGAAAGAACCCCTGCACATCTTCTTCTTGCCTCTTTGCCATGTAGTATAGATACACACATCCGCGGCGCCATAAAGCAGCACTAGTAAGTGGAATGGTCCATGGAAGGCTCTTGCTTCACCAGTTTTGTTCCATTCCCGTCACGTCGAATTCAGGGATAAAAGGGGACACGACCTGGTGCTGCGAATTTCCTTTGTCCCCGCGCTCTAAACACCATCACAACATAAAATATTGCGGGCGTTTTCTCTCGTCGTAAATGATGAAAGATGCTGACTTCATGTGCGAGCACTCCTTCGACCGTAGGCAACAGTGGGGTAGAAAATTCAAAAATAGTTTTTTTTTGTCTGGCTCTTCTTATCTTTCCTGGCGGGGGCATCCCTTATCGTTCGCGGCGAGACTCTATACTATTTCTTTTGGTCTGCTCACCGCCTTTCTGTTCATTCTCGGTCAGCCTTCATTGTGTGGCGCTATCTCCTGCGTTGCTATCGTCCTCGGCTTCCCTTTGACAGCCATGTACATCTTTTTGGTGCGAACAAATGCGCATACTGACAATCAAGCCCTGAATGGTCGTAGGGTAGCTATTCTTAGCAACATAGCTTGAAGTGCTTCATGGTTAAAGTCCACGATCTCGCTACATCGGGTCCGCTTCAACGCGGTGCGTACTCCATCCTTCACGAGCAGTATGAGGACAGAGAGTTGACTTGTTTGCCTTTGCCATGAATCATGGAAAACTTCATTTTTGAGTGCACGCGGTCGTGTGACAGAATGCAGTGTATTATGGGCACTGCCAACCTGCCGCGCCCGATACTTTGTCATTTTGGACTTCAGACCTAAACTCCAAAAATAAGTTTGTAGGCGTTTTGTTTCTATTTTTGTAGTTTTCTGGAGGGGATAAACATGCTCGCGTGTAAGACGCGTCTTCCATTTCGTAAGCGTTCTGTATAGCCTCTAGACATAGAACACCTCTCAACGTAGTCCATTACCACCATTGCTCCAGATCCCTATTGTAAAATACAGTCGACATATCCTTTCCTATAGGCATTTTTTCAGAGCCAAACTACACGCATTCAAAACGCGCCACTATAACATAAAATGATGGCAGGATACAGGGCATGTAGACAGAACTGAAGCAGCTATACAGCGAGTATCGCATCTAAATGGGCTGGAGTGTCAAAGCTGCCTCGCAACGTAATGTTTCCTATCATAACAGTCAACTCTCTATAAAGGAAACCCTCTGGATCCGGCTCGACTGTGTCCTTTATAGAGATTTCCTTTACAGAATGGGAAGTTTCCAAGTTTCGAGATCCGTTGCTGCATTGACAACAGCCTTGTTCTCAATAGTTACATTAATAAATATTGCACATCCATTTGTACAGTGCAATTCCAGCAACCGCAAATCATCATAACTACCGAGGGATCCGCACATACCACGATGACCTACGAGCAGCGCATCGCTCTTTGCCGTAAAAAGAAGGAAGATCCGAGCATGAGCATTGATTAACTTAGTTCATGGCTCGAGAAGAAACAAAGTATCAAGGTAGCCAGGTCAACAATATTTAAGATATTAATGCGGTCTACCGAACTATTCCAAAACACCGACCGACGCAAGAAGGACGCCAAGCGACACAAAGGTGTAAAGCTCCTGATGATGAAAGATGCCTTAAAGGAGTGGCTCGAGCTTTATCAGGGTCAGGTCCAGATGAATGGGCACCTAATCCAAGCTAAAGGAAAGGTTTTCCTCCAGGATATCCACAGCGAGCAAGCGAGTCTCGAGTTTTCCGAAGGCTGGTTAACGTCATTCAAGAAGCGCCATGGCATCCAAGAATACCATACAGTCGGAGAGCGGACCTGTGAACATGCAAACCCTTGAAGAGCTGTTGCCCGGATTGCCCTCAAGGCTTGACAGATACTCATGGAAGGGCATCTACAATATGGACGACCGGTCTCTTCTATCGAATGCAGGTAAGGCTGAAAAGTCTATGTCAAGCAGGTATCAAGGTGTTTAAACAGCGATATAATAATCATTCGTGCTTAAACCCGATGGAGCCTTAGCGACAAAGCAACTTGAGGGTAGAAAGCAGGACAAAGAGCGCATAACTGTTGCTGACTGTTCGAATAGTGGTGGATCCGACAAGGTGCCGCTATGGATCATCGGCGAGTTCCAAAAGCCGCGCCATTTCAAAAACGTTCAGCTCAGCAACTTGGAAATGACCTACCGTTGGAATACCAGGGCATGAATGACGCTGATGATATTCAGCGACTGACTCAAGTGGTTTGATGGCAGAGCGAATGGCAGAGTGCTGTTAATATTGGACAACTGCAGCGCACATGGAAATCAGGCCAATCTCCCACAGCTATCGAGCACAAAGGTTCTCTACGTGCCGCCCAACATGACTTCCGAGATCCAGCCCAATGGATGCTGGTATCATCAGGTTATTTAAGGCGCGATACAGGCTTCATTTTTCTGAACAGCTTTTTAGCAACCTTGAGAATGATATCGCAAACCCTGCAAGGACCGACGTCCTCGCAGGAATCAGAATAGCAGTGCAAGCTTAGGATGAGGTGAAAGACACAAGTATCACCAACCGCTTCAAAGAATGTAAAATACGCACACCAAGCGACAGCGACACACCAAACAGCGATATCGATGATGATAATATTATCGACCAGCTCAGTGCCACTCTTCAACGGATGCCATATCAGGACTCGATGTTAGTAACGTTCCTATTAATTCATCTAGATGAACAGGAGGTGTACATTGCGGATGAGATAAGACAGCCTGTCGGCGAGCCACTGGGAGAAACTGAGGATGATGTTGTTGTGCGATCCGAGCACAGTATCGCTCAAGCAGTGAAGGCTAATGACACTCTTCTGACAGTTTCAGGATCACGACACGCGAGCTTCTCAAGATCTACAGAGGAAACGCCTTCGCCAAACCACTAGACTAGTCTCCCTATTTATGCACAATATCTCGGCTTAATGGAAATATTTCATATGGTCGGGGCAAGAGAAGAGTTTCCTTTTCACTTTATAGAACTAAGTCCCTTTATACAGATTTCCTTTAGAGGGAGTTGACTGGACTAGGCGATGTTCGGTAGCGGTTTGAACTTGAATAACAAAGATGCTAATGCAGGACTAATAATGCCGCTTGCAGCGCAAACAATCTGCACAGCCTTTCCCTTCAAGCTCTAGCAGCAGAGCTTGCCTGGCGATACTTTGGCCAAGCCCAGACGCTGTGATAATTGGGTCTACCGGGGGAAGAAATCTTTGTCTGTCTTCCCAGTGGATACCAAAGAAGCCGCACCAACTATTTTCCACCTCATCAGTCAATCCCTCATCTCTTCTCCCTCCCCCTTTCCACAGTCGTGAACCATGGAGCCGACATCTCCCACTCATAAAGCCTCCAGCTTTGTTGTCGACATCGAGCAGGGCCTTCCATCTTCGGCCAGCGACCCCTATGGACCCTCTCCCGGCCCTTCAGACTACCGCCCATCTCCAAAGCCTGCGGGGTCTGCCACCCCAGCCCTCACTGCTGTAGCGCCTCTCACTAACTTGAAGCGACTTTTTGACCGCAATCCCTCGGCAGTGGTCAGTGGGCGATACACTATCAACTTCCGCCAGATGCTCATCCTCGTCGTGATCCTCATGAGTTTGACAGGACTATGGACCATGAGCCGCCCATCTACTTTGGGAACTGACCTCGAACAGGATCAGCAATACGTCCCACCACCACCTCCACATCATCGCCCCTACCCTGATATTGGCCACAAGGAGCCATTGATCCAGGAGAATACCCATGAATCCTTACCATTCAAAGCCGCTCCTGGTGGGAACGTTGACGCAGCGCGCGAAAGATACGAGCGAGTCCGAGGAAAGGGAACCAAAACCAGCCTAAAGAACATCCAATTTGATTTCCCCGAGGAGTCTGCACAAGACCGAGCCGAGCGAGAGAAACGCTTGAAGGCTGTCAGGGATGGATTCGCACATGCTTGGGGCGGTTACAAACAGCACGCATGGGGTCACGATGAGGTCCGTCCAGTCTCGGGAGGATTTGTGGACCGTTTTAACGGCTGGGGTGCGACTATGATCGACAGTTTGGACACCCTCGTCATCATGGGTTTCAACAAGGAGTTTGACGAGGCTCTCGAGTGGGTCAAGACTTCGTTCGACATGACCAGACAGCCGACTGCCCAACTTCAATTCTTCGAGACCGTCATTCGCTATCTGGGTGGACTCCTGAGCGCATACGACCTCACGGGAGAGGAGGTCCTGCTCGACAAGGCGGAGGAGCTTGGTGGTTACTTGTTGAATGCCTTCCAGAGCAAAAATTTCCCCTCTGGCAGGTTCGCCGTCCAGAAGTCTGCCAACTCCCCCGGATACAGCTTTGTGGTTGCAGAAATCGGCACGATCCAGCTCGAGTTCTCTCGCCTTTCGATACTCACCAACAACCCGATCTACGATCAAAAGGTACCCATGAAGAATATATCACACGATGGTGAAGATAACACAGGGCCCAGCGCTGTTTTCACGCGTGGGGGAAACAAAATTTAGCATGTAAGGGCCGTGGACTGCTGTTTAGTGCGCTCTCTTTAACTTCATGTATCTGTTGCGTACGTTCTAGGCACAAAGAATTTTCCAAGTCTTGGGCACCGCCACCTCTGAATTGCCTGGCCTGCTCCCAGCATTTGTGCAGGATGGCGAAGGACATCACTACAGTAACTTTAAGGCATCTGTTGGTGGCATGATTGATAGCTACTACGAGGTATTATTTCGGTTGTGACGCCCATCATGCCCAGATTGGGAACGTGGAAATTTCACTCATCCGTCTTTTTTCACGTTGATAGTATCTTCTCAAGGAATGGATTTTACTCGACGGCAAGGTCCCAAAATACCAAGAAATGTGTAAGTCATCACTATATCATTAAAATTCCCTGAGTAAGAATACGAGAAACCAACTTCCTTACCCACGTCCTTTTTATCTCTTTGACGCCATTCTTTTTCAACTAGTTGAAACATCTGTTGATTCGATTGAGAAGTACATGATCCTTCGGCCGGAGAATGGCTCGCATGACTACGCAATTCTGGGCACCGTCAACTCGGGAAGCAAGAGTGTTGATGCTGAGATGGGACATCTTGTAAGCGGTCGTTTATAGGCACTTGTTGTGTGATATCTTGTTGATCAGCTGTCTGCTTTTGCTGATACAACATGATGGATATATTTTCTTCGTTTCATAGGCCTGTTTCATGGCTGGATCCTTGGCTATGGGCTCTAAGTACTTTAACAGACCTAATGACTTGGTCCTGGCGAAGCAAGTTGCCGAGGCTTGCTATCTTGGATATCATCGCTCTGTTACAGGCATCGGCCCTGAGGACATGAGATTCATGAAGAGCAACAATGGCAAAGGATTCATCGCCCGTCCAGACACGTTCTATTCTCGTTCAAGCAGCCGCACTGAATACATTTTGAGGCCAGGTAAATATGGTCAGGTACCTGTAAATGCATACCTAAAGACATGATCGGACCCTTACACTGATCCTGCGTTGTCAAAATCCTTCTTCCATTCTTATTTTAATATAGAAACGTTGGAGAGCTTGTGGATTTTGTACCGTCTTACTGGCGAGAAGAAGTACCAGGACCAGGCATGGGAAATCTTCCAGGTGAGTTTTCATGGGTTGAGCATTCTGACTTCTTTTCCAAAGGTATTTCATCCGCTATTAGTAACGTGCTTGTTTTGATCTTTGATTTAGTCATTGGAGAAGCATTGTAGGACAAGTATTGCCTACTCTGGTCTTCTTGACGTTAATGAGCCAAACTTATACGATAACAAGATGGAGAGGTAAGAACAGACGAATCATTATATCCACCTTTTTTTTTTTTTTTTTTTTTTTTTTTTTGGCGTAATTGCAGCTAACACATTTGTCTCATCGTGTTTCCAACTGTAACAGTTTCTTCTTAGCGGAGACGATGAAGTACCTCTACTTGATGTTCTCTACGCCGGACGTTATCTCGCTGGATAACTTCGTGCTCAACACCGAGGCCCATCCCCTCAGGAGGACCTAAATGATCTAACTATTGCTCTTATCAAATACTCTAAGCTTGGCACGCCTTAGTTCTCATCTCTTCGATTTGCGATTCTGATTGTGTAGGGTTGCGCGTTTATAAAATAAAAGGATCGACATTGAACAGATGAAAAGAAGCATCATACTTAAATAGTATGTGTCCTCTGTAAGGAACAGATTTTATTTTGTTGCCATGCAGGTTTCTTACACGCAGAAGAGTAAGCCAACTCGATATTCTATTGCATTTCAGTATCCTGGTCTTCCTTTTCCTCCTCCTGTTTGCCTTCATCAGTCGACAACCTTTGTTTCTTGGCCTTGCTGCCGTTGGTCGAATCCTGGTCCTTCAGATAACCTGGAATTTTGCCCTCCTTCAGTGCCCTTTCCAGTTTTGCGGTTTCATCCAATGTCGTCACCTTTGCAAGTGCAGCCTTGATCTTGTCTTGATCCTCCTTGCTCATGTTAAGTGTGGGCACGCTCGACTTCAGGGGCAAAGGTACTCCCTCTCCAGGTTCGAATGTTGATGACTTTGTCGCGGCAATTGATTCTGCTAGTGCCGATGGTCCCGCCTTGCCCTCAAACAGCTTCTTTGCCTCTTGTCTCTCCTACAATTATTGAGGCCAAAATAATGTTCATCAGTATATCTTGATGCGTCCCTAGTAAAATCACGATAACCTGGTATATAATGTCAAGTGTATCACGCACCTTCTGCTTGACCCTTTCGAAGTCCAGCACCCTGACATTGGGCAGTTTCCAAATGACCCACTCGCGATAGTACTTTTTCTTTATGATGGGATTGTCGAGCAGTGACAAGATCTCGAGGGCCTTGCATCCTGCAAGTCCATCCAGATCTGATAACTCCGTGATGGCGTTATTGGTGAGGACGACTGTCGTTAGATTAGGCAGATATTGGCTCAGGTTGGGGTCGATTCTACTGATCCTGTTGTTACTGAGCAGGAGGCATTTCAGTCGTGGAAGCGATGGGAAGTTCGAGAGGGATCGGATGTCGTTGTCTGTCAGATCCAGTGAGTCGTTCAGATCCTGATCGCCACCAGAATATTATAGTAGAAGCTGTTAGTTCCTTGATCGTGAAGGAAGGACTGATTCGCGTGAGCCGTTTGCTAGAACCAAACGTGGACACACCTTTGTTACTCCAAGGTTCTCAATGGCCGGAATCTTGTGACCTAGATGGACGAGAACAAAGGTGTAGATAGACAACAAAACGAGGGACATGGAGTCAAGGATGACAATAGATTTTGGGTTGTCTTTGTGGTGGCGATAAAGTGCACCATAATTCCAATCTCAAATGCGGTAGTACGTCAAGCATAGATGGCCTAGAGCACCAAAAACGTCGGCATAAAATGAAAAAAGCGAGGTTACAACGGCACAAAAAAAAAAAGGAATCAGATTGAAAGACACGAAGGTGATACTGCGCAAATCAAGTTCTCTGTCCTGAACTGCATTCAGGTAACATGGTGCCCGTGAGATGAGTTCTGGCGTCAGTTTCATAATAAAGGTAGTATGGCGAGATTTGAAGTGATTTGATCCTGACGAGTAGAGAACGGGCATTGAGAACTTCAAAAGCACATCTTGACCTAATCTCTGCCAGCAAGGGAGAAATCATTACAAATACAATAGCCAATACACAACGTCATGAACGTCATTGTGGAATTATATAGTATCCATTCTACCAACTTTCAAGTTGGTAGGATGGCCGAGTTGGTCTAAGGCGCCGCACTCAAGTTGCGGTCTCGAGAGAGGCGTGGGTTCAAATCCCACTTCTACCACTTTTACTGCCGCTGATACTGCTTTTTGTATGCCTCAGCTTTTTTTTTACATCTCAACAGTTGCATGGTTGTTTGCTCTATCAGGATCAGTCGCTTGAAGGGACGCCAGAAGCTGACCCTACATTTAATCTTAAGCCAGTCCACTTTGGAATAAAACTCGATATTTGGAACCCTATGAAAATGAGGTCCCACGAAATAAAATCAGATTTGACGGTCGAAAAAGACGGAGATCATGGTCTCGAAAGTGACCGTTGTGTTTAAATAGAGCCAGGCTTCGTGAGTTATTGTGTTCCTTATCAAAAAAGCACGCATCATAGCCACGCTCAATTGATGGTCTTTTGGTCTCACAGCCGGACAATCATCGAACCTGAGTGCCAAGGTAGGATCTGTTCTTACAGTCCACCACTTTGCAAGATGGGAGTTCTTTAAAGAAGCACGCGGCCCTGTCATTAGTTTGGCATATGGGCTATCGTGCGCCGAAGAGAACTTATATCTCTCACCGCTACTTATCATACCAAAACAAATGGAAACGACGCAGAGGATTGTAATAGCGCATTGGACGAGTGGGTGCCGTCATTTATGAACAGTGATAGCCCCCTCTGGATGCATCTGACTTTTATCGTCACCCTTATCGGAGAATGGAGAGATGTGCTGTTGCCCCAGGCTTGAAGATGATCTGCATTATCATGTTTGTTCGTGCGAAACGGTTAGTTATGTACACGAATATCTTTTGGCTCATCAGCCAGGGCAGAGTTCCAAAACTGGGAGATGCATGAGAATCATGAGGGACGCAGAGAAACAGGAAACAGAGAGGGGGTGGGTTGCGAAAAGATCGTCTCTGTGTGAACCAAACGAAAGCAAACTCTGGAGGGTCAATATTTTTTGTTCCCTCAACCTTGCTTCACTCCATCCCTTCTCATCACTCTTCTCATTCTCTCACACTCACACTCCTCTTCACTCCCACCCGCCTCCTTATCTACTTCTTACTCATCCACTTGACTCTAACTTTCAATTGAATCCCTCGTCCTCCAGCAAGACTCACCCAAGTGTAGGTCTGACAGCTCAATTTGACCTGAAAGTGTCTGCCCCATGTCTTCCACGAAGCTGACGTGATATGCAGGCAAAAGGCTGCGTTCAACCTCACGATGGAGAAGAGTACATGTTTGTCAGGGCCTAACTAATGACTGTCCGTTCGATATCACCCTGCGTCTTCTCTTCTGTTTCAATTAACTAGCACTCCTTCGTCATGTCCTGGCTGCACTCCAAGAGTAAGCGTGCGGGCACGAGAAAGCGCGCTGCCATAAGATGATAGTTGGTCAGCCAGTCTATAAGGGCTATGACAATCCCCGTAGTTGCGCTTTGCTACGATCGCCTGTATCTGCTTAGTTGCTTTTTATGATAGCCAGCAATTCAGCTGCGCTCAAAGACACTCAGTCAGGAACTGACAAAAACATGTTCTTACCACTAATATAGAGCACAAGGAAAAAGAGCGGGAGAAGGAAAGGGAAAAAGAAAAGGAAAAGGAAGCCGCGGCGCTGTCTGCATCGTTCAATTCGTCGTTACAGATAAAATCCTCGTCTGCGACCTCGTCCTCCTCGGCAACATCCCCGCCAAAATCATCCCAAGGTAACGGCCACTCGCAGGCCCCATCTTCCTCTTCGACACATTCATCCACTCCGCCAGTTTCCGGCCATTCTCCATCGCCATCGGGGCAATCTCAGCAGAACGGAGTTTCTAGCGGAAAGACTGAGGGCGGAGCAGCCAAGAATGGCCTTTTGATCATTCGCGTAGTCGAAGCGCGAGGGCTAAGCCTTCCACCTGGCTCCTACAATCCTCCGTTCGTTCCTAAGCAGCAGCCCAGCATAACAAGCAACAGAGAATCTCTCCAGCGAAAGTGGTGGTTGCCTTATGCCGTCCTGGAATTTGACAAGAATGAAGTTCTCATTGACGCTTTGGGCGGTGAGCTGTCGAACCCTGTCTGGCAATACAGAGCTCACTTGTAAGTCGCAATCATGTCGCTATTATTATCTAATCTCCCCTTTTTTCTTTGTCTATTGCTTTCAAATGGAGGATGGGAGTTTTATTTTTCTCCAGAGAACATGGTCTATTCATGCATGCACCTTTGTTAGTACAACAGCTGCAGCGGCACGAATAGACTTTGTTGGAGATACATTGTATAACAGGAGCAACGGCGGGATTTTCGAAATGCATATCAATCATTAACGAGACACAGTTGCTTACCACTATGTGCAACCTACTTGTGTTCATTCTTTTTGATAGCGACGTGTCGAGAGTGTCTGACGTGCAATTATCGCTCTATATTCGCATCCCCAACCCAAAGACGCTGGCTGCGCTGGAAAAGTCTGGAAATGTGATGGAGAGTGAGAGTTCGAGCGAGGACGTATTCTTGGGCAATGTCAAACTGGAGCCCCGCTGGGACGAGCAGATGCAAGACGAATGGTTTATGCTTCAGGGAGGAACAGGCAAAGTCCGCGTTCAAGTGGCGTTCAAACGAGACAGCGTAAGTATCCTCTGTATTTATTCAGCGGCCTCATTATTATGGACACTGATGAAATGATCCCTTCTGTGCTCGTAGGCCAACACTCCGCTGACAATAGACGCGTTTGACCTCCTCAAAGTCATTGGAAAGGGCAGTTTTGGCAAGGTAACGCTGGGGGGTAGCTTCGTCTTTTTTATTTTTATTTTATTTTTTGGCCGCTAAAAGGATAACTCTCTGTATGTCTTTGATAAAGGTCATGCAAGTTAGGAAGCGCGATACGTCTCGTATTTATGCCATGAAGATCATCCGCAAGGCGCACATCATCTCCCGTAGCGAGGTCAACCACACTTTAGCGGAGCGAACTGTCCTGGCCCAAATCAACAATCCGTTCATTGTCCCTCTCAAGTTCTCATTCCAGTCACCGGAGAAGCTATACCTTGTTCTCGCCTTTGTCAATGGCGGGGAGCTCTTCCATCATTTGCAGCGCGAGGGCCGATTCAGTGAGGAGAGATCTCGGTTCTATGCTGCCGAACTTATGTGCGCTCTCGAGTGTTTGCATGGATTTAATGTTGTCTACAGGGATCTCAAACCAGAAAACATCCTGCTGGATTATACCGGTCATATTGCCCTCTGTGACTTTGGACTGTGCAAGCTTGGCATGACAGAGACCGAGACGACAAACACGTTTTGCGGAACGCCAGAGTATCTCGCGCCAGAGCTACTCCTTGGTCAGGGCTATACCAAGACGGTGGACTGGTGGACCTTGGGCGTGCTTCTGTACGAAATGTTAACTGGTCTGCCTCCGTTCTATGACGAAAATATCCACGAGATGTACAGAAAGATCTTGCAAGATGAGCTGCGATTCCCGGACGAGGTTGCGCCCGATGCACGCGCACTGTTGTCGGCGCTTTTGACAAGAGATCCTAATCAACGCCTTGGCAACAATGGGTCGAGTGCGATCAAGCAGCATCCGTTCTTCAAGCCCATCTCTTTCCCGTTGTTGATGGCGAAAAAAATTCAGCCGCCGTTCAAGCCCTCTGTGTCCTCCGCCATCGATACCTCCAACTTTGACGAGGAGTTCACGAGCGAGGAACCAATGGACTCGGTTGTGGAGTCATCGTTTTTGAGCGAGACCGTTCAATTGCAGTTCAAGGGGTTCACCTACAATCCCGCCAATGATGGTGTTCTAGGTGCCAGCATGGCAAACCATGGTGCCCTGGGATCATCGGGCGATCGCTCTGTATCGGGACGCACGGGCGGCATGGGCCAAGGGCGGGGTGGCTACTGACTCTAGTGAAGAATCACAAGAACGACGGAATAAAAGCTCTCTTTATTTGTGCATTCTGTTTTGTCAAAGTAGAATGTTCCAGCATGCAATGCTTAGACTATGAACTGAGTGGCGAGATTAGAGTTTGATTGCAGATCGAAGTACGGTTGAGCCCCTTGCGCTAAAAAGTCAGACCTAAATTGCTGAATATGATTGGCCAAATGCAGCCGGGGGATTGTTGTGTTTCAGTTTCAAAAAGAAACAGTGGCAGGTCTAAGCGGGGGAAAGAGCTCGATCTACTATCTTCAATCCAGGGCCAGGAACAAGAAACCGATGGAAACAGGGGTTTGTCTACTGTACCTGCCTGTGAATATTGCTATGTAGTGCTGTGTCGCTGGAAAAAAAAAGCTGGATGCAATATCCTCTTTCATCATCTCTTCCCTTCTTTCATACTCTCCTCTCTCTCTTACACTCACTCTCACCCTCATCCTCCATTCCCCCACTCTTCTATCTCTCACCCTCACACAACCTCTTATTCTTTTCACACATATACATCATTATCTACTCAAACATATACACATATATACTCCGATATCGCTCTATTATCCTTCCTTCACAATGTCCCGACGAGTCCTGACTTCCAGGCAGGTCGCCCTTCTCCTCACACATATCACCACACTTTTCCTTTGCATCTCCTTTGCCCCTGCTGTTCACACCCAATCATTCCAGCCAGCTGTTGTATTTCAATCTAACAACGTCTTCATCGAGGGCCAGGCCATGTACGTTATGGCTGGCACTCCCTCTGTCGATTCCGACATCACTACTCCGCAGATGTTCATGATGGATCTCTCTGTCTCTTGGAACGCGACCAGCCCTATTTTCAAGAAGTTGCCCAATGGGCCCACCGCCGTGTATCACACTAGCACTCTCTCGGCCGACAAGCAGAGTTGGTTTGCGCTGTTGAACAACGACGCCTACCTGTACAACTTCCAGAACGCAACATGGACCTCCATATTGACAAGTCCCTACATAAACAAGTATTTGCTGGACGGAGCTGTGGTGGACCCAGATACAGGCATCATTTATAGTCCGAATGGATATGTCACTACCACAGGCGAAGTTTCAATGTTGAGAGTGAACCTGAACACTTCTGTGTTCGACAACGTCCCTCAGTACTCTACCAAAAACGTATCGGAGAATTACAGCGCAGCCTGGAGCTCAGCGATTCAGGGCATGCTCTTTATCACTGAAATAGGAAGCGAGCTACACGTCTACAGCCCCACAAGAGGATGGAGCGCTCCAAGCGGAAGAGGAGCAATCCCCAGTCAACGCGCCGCCGCTTGCCTGATCCCAGTGTACGGAGGCTCGAAAATGGTACTGTTTGGCGGCTACTCAAGATTGACGGCCAGTGCACTAAGTGATATCTATGTCCTGGATATTGCGACTTGGACATGGACAAAAGGACCCGACGCCAACTTACCGAATGGGCGACTGGGAGCCTCATGTGCTGTCACCAACGACCAATTTGTCATCTGGGGCGGCAAGAGTTCCAGCCCAACTTTGGATGTCATGGCTGATAATACTGCCTTGATCTACAACTTAAAAACCAACACATGGATAAACTCCTTTGTCGCCCTGCCCAAGCCTACAGCAACTCTGAGCGCCTCCACATCCACCTCTGCCGCCGCCGGCTCAAGCTCCATCTCTTCGTCGACTTCACCTGACAGCTCCAAATCCAATACTCCCTCGCCAACTACAGCGAACGACAACAGTTCCCGTATCGTTATTATCGTTGGGTCAATTGCAGGGGTACTCGCCATGGTCTTGATGGGCGTAGGACTGGCTTACTATCGCACTCGCTACAAGAAAACCGCTTCCGAAAACCCCATCGATGGCTCATCGAATCAGTCGGACCTCAAGGATTACCCTGACGGAAGCGCGTACGCATTGCAGCAGCGAAACCCTCCTTATCCACCTCCTCCTCCTGTCATGGACGCCAAATGGTCAAGTCCTCGTCCTTATGATAGAGCGCCCCGTAATCCGGAAGCTATCGTGGATGATCAAAAGCATGGCTATTACCCTCCACCGGGATCCATGGAGCTTTCAAATCCCTATCTCAAGCAAGAGGCGGAACTAGGCAGGCAGGAGTGGGGTCGACCGCATGAAGGCACCTACGGTGCTCAGAGTATTTCTCAGCACCCACACACAGATTACAACGACTTGGCGAGGAGGGGTCGACCTCAACAGGGCGAGTATGGCGCGCAACGGCATTCAGAACATCCCCATGTCGATATGCAGGTCCATCGCCCACTGGATAGCTCAAGTCATGGATATCACGATAGACGACCATACTCTCAACATCCCCAAAGACTCAAGAGCGAATCCAAGGCGATAGATGGCCTTTTGCAGGCATACTACGCTCCATAACTCATATTGCAACAACCGAGCACTCTCAATTTAAAGCAATCGCACAACATATCCTGTACTATATACCTCATCAATAGAGACGATCCGTATACAAGCAATAGCATGTCAGAACATCTAATCTAATATATCAATAATATGCACTCTTCCTCTAATACCTCACCTGCACGTGACGTTGTTTATATTTTAGTAGCGTGAACGCGTCTTAAAGGATTCTTGTAGTTACTCCATCGCCATCCACACACTCCCGCCAGGAACAGAAAAAGAGTAAAAGATGGCCGCCAGGTTGAACACCGCCAACGTCAGGGTGAAGTATTCGGATGAGGCCGGTAAGAAGCATATACGGAAGCACAGCGACTTCGACCGTTTGACGTTGCCTAGGACCAGATTAGCATCAACGAGCCGAGGGTTTAGACTGCGACTTAAGACTAACGAGTAATACTATTCTTGATGTTATCTCCATTTAGAACATATCAAGGACTTTCTTCAGACATTCAAGTCTGTCTTAACCGAGGCCGATGTTGAGGACACTGGAATGGAGGTCGATGGTCAAGGCGTTCTTCAGCTGAAGTATTTCAAGCAGTTGGTATGCTGTTCAGAACTATGCACAAGGACAAGATACTCGTGATGGAGAAGGCTATGACGAAGTTAACATCCCACTCTTTCACTGTTATTCCTGGACATTAATAGCAAATGATTGCCAACCGCAGGCAGAAGAAGCTGGTTATTCATCTGGACGATATTGTCAAGGTACTTTCAAAAACAGGAAGCTATGTCCCTGGACATCTATGCAATGTATGCACGGGGGAGCAGGACATGAACAATAATACTTGAGTCAATTCCATTGCTTGAACAATAGTACGATCGCACCAGGACATCCAACTTGGCTCAGAACATCATCTCCAATACCAAGCGCTATGTCAGCCTGTTTTGCAATGCCATTGTATGTGAGCACAACTTGATTCCAAGCAAGGTGCAGGATGATACCTAGTGGGTTTCTCTGATTCACCGACATTTGCTTATATTTGGTCGTAATAGGATGCCATCATGCCAGCGCCCACAGAGGATATGGACCACACAACCTCGGTGCTCGATGTCATTTTGAGCCAGCGCAGGAGTCACAACAGTAACTTTATTGCTGCCAACGGAGATGTGCCTCTGGAAGAGCTTCCCTTCCCACCTGCTCTCACCAGAAGATAGTAAGTTGTTTCGACAAGCATTCACGCTTTAGCACGGGACCTGTGCAGCAAAGTGTTATTTCTCAGGAAATTTATGGTTTTTACACGATCATTTCACACTAGCCAAGTGGTTTTCAAGCCGCCCACCAACCAGAAGGCGCTCTCCGTCCGCGAGATTAAGGCTGAGTACCTTGGAAAGCTGGTAACTCTTCAGGGTATTGTCACCCGAGTCACGGCTGTGAAGCCCTTTGTCGAAGTAGCAGCCTATACTTGCGAATCCTGCGGTAATGAGAACTTCCAGGAGGTGACTGCACGCCAGTTCATGCCCTTAACCGAGTGCAACTCTCAGGTGTGCAAGACCAACCAGACCAAAGGAAAGCTCCACGAGCAGACACGTGCCAACAAGTTTTTGGAGTTCCAAGAAGTCAAGATTCAGGAGCTTGTACGTTCTGTTTGAATTTGTATTGAGGATAATCTCGCAGGAATAGCGCATTGTGAATAGCATTTTCATGGTCTCACCAATCGACATTTCTTTTCTTCAGACACATCAAGTTCCTGTTGGACATATTCCTCGTTCGATTAAGGTTCATTTGTTTGGCGTGATGACCAGGACCATGAACCCTGGAGATACCGTCGCTGTTTCAGGTATCTACGTGCCCATTCCTTACACTGGCTTCCAGGCCATGCGTGCAGGACTTTTGACCGACACTTATCTCGAATGCCACCATGTGGAGCAGTCCAAGAAGCAATATTCAGAGATGACGATCTCGAGTGAAGTTCAGGAGGAGTTGGAGGAGATGGCACAGGATCCCGATGTGTACAACAAACTTGCTCGCTCGATTGCACCCGAGATTTATGGTCACGAGGATGTCAAGAAGGCGCTGTTGCTTTTGATGATTGGCGCACCGACCAAGATAATGGGTGACGGCATGAAGATTCGTGGAGATATCAACATCTGTCTGATGGGAGATCCAGGAGTGGCCAAGTCGCAGTTGTTGAAGTACATCACCAAGGTTGCGCCCCGTGGTGTCTACACCACTGGTAAAGGAAGTTCAGGAGTTGGTCTCACAGCTGCCGTCATGAGGGACCCCGTTACCGATGAGATGATTCTTGGTACGCATTTGATTTATCGGTGCAGTTGCAACAATTATGTTATTGTTATAATTCCTGTCACTGACGAGCTCTGTAATGACTATGCTCTATCGTAATATAATAGAGGGCGGAGCATTGGTTTTGGCCGACAACGGTATCTGCTGTATCGATGAGTTTGACAAGATGGACGAGTCGGACAGGACAGCAATCCACGAAGTCATGGAGCAGCAGACCATCTCGATCTCGAAAGCTGGCATCACCACTACACTCAATGCTCGTGCCTCTATCTTGGCTGCTGCCAACCCTATCTACGGTCGCTACAACCCTCGCAAGTCGCCTGTCGAGAATATCAATCTGCCTGCGGCACTGCTATCGCGCTTTGATATCCTGTTCTTAATTCTGGACACCGCAAACGAGGAGAACGATTCGAGATTGGCATCCCATATCACCTATGTTCACATGCACAACCAGGCTCCCAAGATGGACTTTGAGGCGTACAGCGCTAGCTTGATGAGGTATTTTCGAGGGTATCTTTGTTTGTACATCACTATTTTATAAGCTTAGCATGAGTGGTTTTATTAACGCGTTTCCGACGTATTTGCACTGCTATTTCTAGACACTATATCGCGGCGGCACGGCAAAAACGACCGACTGTGCCGAAGGCAGTCTCTGAACACATTGTGGATGCATACGTGCAGTCACGCCAGAATGGCAAGGCTGAGAGAGAGAACGGACAGGAATTCACATATGTTAGTGCGCGTACGTTGCTCGGAGTGCTCCGTCTCGCACAGGCAATGGCTCGTCTCCGGTTCTCGGATGTGGTCACGGTCGAGGATGTCAATGAGGCACTAAGAATGGTCGATGTCTCCAAGGCCTCGCTATACGATCAGGATCCTGCACACAACGGCCAAGACGGCCGGACATACTCGAGCCCAACAGACAGGATCTACGATATTATCCGTACGATGAGCAAGGATCCTGAGGACAACTGGAGATTGGTTGAGGAGTTGAGGCTACAAGAGGTCAGGGACCGGGTTTTGGCCAAGGGATTCAAGATCCAGGAGTTCGAGGAGTGCTTGCGGGAGTACGAAGACATGAATATTTGGTTCGTGAACGACGCCCATACCAAGTTGACCTGGATCTCCAGGGACTAAAGAGATATAGCTGGATAGGAAGGTTCATTTCAGTGGCGCTTTTTGAGTAGAGCAAAGAATATGCTGCAAAACGAAGTAAGCTATGCCAAGATAATAATAATAAAAACAACAGCAGCGAAGTAGATCTTTATTTTTATTTTTGTGGCGGTGGATATGAATGAGGCTGCAACTCTTGCGGACGAGCCTCGAGAAAAGCGAGAGACTAGTACTGTGTACCATTGTAAAGCCCTATAAGCACGCAGGCTCGAGTCCAGCAGCTACGCGACAAAGGATGTGCGGTTCAATGGCTTCCTCGAGGATGACTGACATGTAAACACAGCTTAATATTCGTGTAGTTCACCGTTAGGTAACGGATCCGACTCAATCGATAGGGCTAGTGGTCGAGGCTGTTCCTGGATATGCTGCCATTGTATCTCATGCGTTATCACGATTCTTCCTGATCTTCATCCTGTCCCTGTCCCTGACCAAGCTGCTCATCGTCCTTCAATACCCTCGCGGATGCCATCAACCTAAAAGGCCACAGCAAAAAAAAAAAAAGAAAAAAAAAAAAGATGAACACAAAAGGAACGCAATCCAGTTGCCATATTTTATGAAACTCCTTCGGACTGCGGATGTTGCGAGGATGCGGTGATGCAGAAAACGATGACGAGGGCGTTATATTCTTACAGAGATGAATGAATCGTCAAAAGGCGCTTGGTCCATTCCGACTGCACGACGGTGATCTCAACATTCTGCTCCAGCGTCTCAAGATTCTTTTGCAGCCTCTCAAGCGACGCGTTCAGGACCGTGTACTGGGTTGAACGCGAGGCTGCGCTTGCGGCGGAGGATGTTGCTACAGACATAACACTTGTACAGTTTCTAAATAGCAAGTTGTTGAGGATGGAGGAGAAAAAAGAGGACGCTTGTTTTTGGTGGCACAGAAAAAAAAACTTCATTTAGGGTTGGTATTCTATAGTCCTTTGCGGCCCAACTATGGGTTGTGTTGTAGTGTAGGACTCTATGGCTGCTCCGTCTGTTCCACTTGTGGCGATTCCTCCTGGCTGACCAATACTCCCTCGTCGTCGCTGCTTGTCTTGCTCAGCGATCCCTTTTTCTCGTCGAGGTTTTCAGCCGCCTTGTCCTGATCATCTCCCTGCGTAGTTTCGTTGGTATCAGTCTTGACAGCATCGCCAGTTTCGGTTTCATCTTCGTCTTCATCATCGTCCTCGATAAGGTCCTGCCAGTCGTCGACAACCTCATCCGTAAACTCCCCTCCCTTTATAACAACAAACTTTGTCAAGTCCTCCGCAGCCTGCGACTGACCCAGCTTCAGGGGGCCCCCTACAGAAGACGATTGAGACAGGTTCAGCCCACTTGCCAAAGACCCAGAGATATTAGCTGTATGGGCAGGCGGAACAATTGTGGCGCTAGACGTACTGGCCTCCTCCTCCCATGCATCAGAACTCAACGTTCCAGCAGCCTCCTTGGCCTTTAAGATCCTCTCCTCTTCCGCCCTCTTCGCTGTCGCAATCCGCTCATCGTCATCCAGCAGTGCAAATGTGTTCTCGACCTTGGGAGGTGTTCTCGTAGCCCACTGGTTTCCATGGCTCGCATTAAAGAACCGCTTTGACTGTGATCCACTGCCGACGTTCGTATGACTGACGACCTCTCCTTCCTTGTTGACCCAGCAGAGCTCGACTCTCTCGCATAGGTTGCCCTTAGCTGCGGCAGACTTGATTCCGGTTCGAAGACGGACCAGCACTGCCTCCAACTCATCCATTTGCATCGAGCCGGGGTGCGGCACAAGGACAGCATCATCATCGGTCAACCAACGAATACCGTACTTGATGTTCCCAAAGACCGGCGCCATCTGAGCTGCTAGTTCCGACCTCGTCAAGCCGAATGCTAGATCGTGCAAGTAAATGGCGTTCACAGGATCCTTGATCATCGGCTTGCGAAGCTGTTCAACAGCGGAGCTACTCGTCGAAGTGGCAGGGCGCTTCTGGCGACAAGCCTGAGAGACCAATAGATCCGGGACTGATGTGTTGAGCTGTCGGCGGACCGTGACACTACGATACGGCTCCACGTCGACACTCTCGGATGTCACGTCGTAGTGAGCTGCGAGCTCGTGCACAAACTTGCGGCGATGTCCCTTCATCGGAGGGAAGTACAGGATCGGCTTTGAGGTATCAGCGACCCATTCAGCGAGTTGCTTCTCGATTTTGAGTGTGAACTCCATATTAGCGGAGGCGTAGTCGAGAACATATGAATCATAATCCGGGATACGGGGTTCACTACAGAGCATCAGTAAAGTGAACGTTAGCTGTTTGTTTTTTCAACGTGAAAAAAAGTAGAGCACATCAAGATGAATCGACACTTACGGTGCAGAGACGCCTTCCTCGATCTCCAGAGCAAGAGCGACTCTCTTGTTACGTTCTGCGATCAAGCAGTAATCATTGCACTTGATGATTCGTAGCTTTCCATCCCATGGATTATCGGCTGTCGCGTTACAGGTAGACTCCATGGTCAAATGTCCGCACTTGCAGCTCGAAGGCACAGTGGTTTGACAGGGCTGATCTTCAGGGCAGGGTGTATTGCCATGGCAAGCGATGCCACACCGGTGACCGCAGCTCTTGCGGGGCTTGGGACACGCCTGGGTGCAGATATCCGAGGGTGGACTTATGCACTCGCCCGAATGGCATGATTTGATACACTTGTGCAGACCACACTCAAGTCCCTTACCACAGACCTTGCCACATGATGGATTGCTCTTGTAACATGGAACATTGGGCATCTTGGACTTTCGGCACATACACTGCTTCGCAACAAGCATGATACAGGGGGGACAAGGTTCACTGTCTGGATGACAGGGATGGCTTGAGAATGACGTATGACCACAGGCGCGAGGTCGAGTGCAGGTGTGCCTGCACTTGGGGATGGAGGTTCCGCAGGGAATCGGAGGATACAACACAGTACGACCACAGGCGCACGAAAGTTCATCAAACGACGCGTCTAGTCGAAATGAATTTAAACACAGTTGTTAGGACCGTTGACGTTGTTCCATAGAATGGACAAGCACATTTCATTTCAACTTACTCAAGCAAGGGTTGCAGTGTCCTTTGTGGCACAACATCTCGCAGGTATGAACTCCACACTGCAGCTTTTTGCCACAGACCAATGGGCAGATGTGGGCTTCCAATACAACAGGGTCAATCTTCGTGCCCTTGCCCCTGTTCTTGGCGGGACAGCACCGATTTGTGCATTCGTGCTTTCCACAAGTACGAAGGCCGCGGCAGAGGCGGTCGCAGGTTGGACGCTCGTCGCCATACATTCCCATGTCTGAACAAACTCGCTGGACTCGCGTTGATCCGCAGCGACAGTCGACGGTAACTGTCATCTTGCACGGCTGGCACTCTCCTAAATGGCACTTTTGCATGCATCGATGACCGCAGTTCAAGGTTTTTTTGCACAGGCCTCCACATACTGGAATCGGATCCGTGCAAGATGTTCGCAATTTACCCATGAGTAGCGTCTCGATGGTTTTGGATCCGCAGGGACAAGTCTTGACGACCTCGGGCCTGGCTGGGCATTGTCCCGGCTCTTCATCCAATGGATGGCAGGTCTTGGTGCATTCATGCTTACCACAGGCAAGAGGTCTAAAAGAGCAGATTTAGGGATATTAATAAAGGTCTTGATAGATAGATAGTCCTTAAAGAATAAAACCAATTCATGTCAGTGCAGCATACCTATGGCAGATCTCATGGCACTCGTAGAATCCTATCCGCTCTTCGCCATCGACTAATGTCGTTCTGGGCTCCCCATCGCCACAGCGCGCCTGATGTTCATGCTTCCCGCAATAACATTTTTGTTCCTGTGTTTGGTCGCATGGTGGGCACAATCCAGCGTGGCAGACGGAAGAGCAGGTGTGCTTTCCACATCCGAGTAGCTCCCCACAGATTTGGTTACACGACTTTCCTGTCTGGAATGTGAAATCCGTGTCGGCACAGCGCAACTGGAAAGTTTCATTTCCACAGTGACAGGACTGAATGGGACCGAGGCCGCCGCAGGGAGGGCATGGTCCAGGATGGCATGGGCTATAGTGACAGAAAGGAAAATGTATTATTGTTAAGTTGGATGGCATAATGAAGAAAACGCATAACTAACGACTTCATGAAATAACCGTGACACGTACATGTTGCATGGGTGAGGACAGTCTCTCGGACGTCCGCAGAGCTCACCGCAAGAGTGGGGAGTGAGGTATCGATTGAAGTCGGGGTTGCTGATTTTGCCACAGAAGCAGACGTATTCCTTAGGGATAGAAACCTGTGTGTTCTGACATCCTGGACACCTCCATCCTGTTCCGTTATTGTTCGGATCTAATCAAAGAATATCCGCAGAAGCGACGTCAATTAGTATTCGGCACAGCGACAATCAGGAGACCTGGCGATCCGTGAAGACTGCAATCGATGTTCATACCTTCAGATGATTTCTTAGCCCAGGTAGAAAGACAATCGAGGTGGAACGCCGCAAAGCAGACCTGGCAGTTCCACACCTTGTGCGCAGGCCGAATGACATCCCAGCACACCATGCAGTCGTATGTCGAGTTGCTGAGACCCGCAGTCAGCGCAGCCATTAGATCGCGATCTTCCTCGATTTTGTGCACAAATTTCCTTGGCTGAGCTCTTAGCGCATTCCTCTGCGCATTACGTTGAGACCCCGATGATTCTCCTGCCTGATCTGAGATGGGCATAGATGGAAAGGTGCGGCCACCAAGATCGCCGGTTTTTCTGTTTCTTTGACGTCTGCTGTTATTACTGCTGTTGCTTCCAGGGACAGATGCGCGTGTTGAGGAGGAGCTCTCTGCTTGTCTATTCACTCCATTAGCTCTGGATCGCCCATTATCACTCCTGTTGTTCTGCTGCAGTCTTGCCGACGATGTATTGGTCGCTTCCTTGCCTTTGCGACGTCCCTCACGACTTGATGCTGTATTTTGTCCTGATCCCTGCACAGAATTTAATGCAGGCTCTGACCCGGCTGCTTCGACTTCCGTTGGTTCGACAGGGCGCTCCATGTTAATCTCTATATCATCATCATCATCATCGTCGATGCGCGCTCCACCTTCCACCAGTTGCTTGGGGGCATGTCCACGGTTGCGACGGCTTCTACTGCTGGTACTGTTAACATTGTTGGTATTGTTGGTATTATTGGTATTATTGTTTCTATTGCCTCCCTTCTTGCCGTTTTCTGTAAGCTTGCTTGCTTCGCCTTTCAGGGAGTCGCGGCCGTTGTTGGATCCAGCCTTGCTTGGATCAGGGTTCCGTCTCCTCCTGTTGCGCGGATTGTTGTTCGATCCACCAGCCTGGAGGTTGGCGGTATTGGCACTACTACCACTGGCACCCTCATTGGTGGCTGGGTGTGGGACATAGTCCTTGGCGTCCGGGTTCAGCTTGGCTGGCGTCCTTTTCGATCCATTGCCCTGACTTGAGCCAGTATTAGCGGCACCAGAGGGGTTACTGTTGCTGGGCCGTGGAGAGTCGCCCATAAAGATCAGCGTGTGTGGTTCGGGGATGATAAAATCGATTGCGAGTGGAATGCTGATGTTGGTGAGGTAAATGAGTTAAGAGAGAAGGATCGCGAATCGAAACAAAAAGAAGCAAAGACCGACCACCTTGCCACCAGTTCCGCAGGTCTGCGGCAGGCAGGTAGAGTTTGAGCCAAATCGGGTTACATTCTATAAGCCACCCGCAGTACAGGGACCTGGCTGGATGCCTCTAAAAGGGAATAATCGTTCCCAAAGACAGCTGTGAATGTCCGATTGGTTCCCAGGAAGGCTCCCTCAAGCCCATCGAAAAGTCGGTGACAAATGCACAGCATTACCATGCTTGGCAAGTCGACCATAGTCACCGCTATTTCCACTTCATTCGTACACAGACAGGAAGGTTGCCGCGAGATCAATTACGCTGCTCCAGAAGAACATATCGAAGCACTGGATAGTCTAGCTTAGCAGGAAACCGCAGTTGATGCAGCAACGACCCTTTTCCAGGAGAAGGCAGGCACTTGGTGCAGCTGAGCCCTGTCCATTCTGATAACAAGGATCCGCGTCAATTAAAATGGGCAAGTTGTCAAAGTCTCAATTGGAGAGGTTCGCTGTTGCACAGACGATTTGGCGATCCAGCGCTTCCATGCGACAGAGAAGTGACTGTTTCGATGGGTGAGGGGGTGGGCCCATGTTTTGTCTTGTGCATCTTCCGAAGACACAGGGCCGCCTTTCTTTGCATTACTCTCTGCGCACACTTGCCTACCACTTCCACTATTGATCCCTCAGCAATTCAAACACACCATGTCTAGCAACCAGTACTACGATGAGGAGACCGAGACAGCCTTGGAGAAGGTCAAGCGCCTGTTCAAAGAGAACAAGGTCGTCTCTGCAGGCAAGACCCCCCCCCCTCCTTCTGGGAAAAAACGAAAAAACAAAAACCGAGCTGCAGAGCAAATACCCACGTGCTGCACTCACTAAAGACAGATTCACTATGCTAATCAACCGCTCTTGTCCTTTCTACTCATCATGTTGATCAGGTGTCGGACTGACTATCGCTGCATTCATCGGAGCCAGCTATGGTGTTAGGACAGGTCGCCGTGAGTTTGCGCAACACATGTTCCGGGCCCGTGTCGGTTTCCAGTTTTTCACCATCGCTGCGCTGCTGGGAGGAGGCATGTTCTATGACAAGAAGCGCAAGGAGGAGCGCCTGGCTCTCGAGCAGACCCGTATCGCACTTGAGGACGAGCAGAAGAACGTCTAAGCAGCAGAGGAAAAAAGAACGTTAGTTTTGGGAATGGCTGGATTTTCCGAGTCAACACGAGGATACAGCAAAACTAACTAACGCCCGATCGCATCATAGGCGCACCACCGCATCCCATTGCAAAGATGAGAGAGCCTCGGACTAGTCGGGAATATAGTCGACCAACGTAGTTCTGTAATTTATCGCTGTATACATAAAAACAGGAGCGCAACAGTCGCTTCGTAACCGAAGTTGGAATTTTGTTCGATTGAAAATGGTTTCCGAAGATCACTCCCGGTCGGCGCAACGCTGGATCAAAGTTTAATAATGCAAATATGCCGATCATTACGTCCTCGCTACGCTTGTAGAACTACTCTCGTCCTCGTCCTCGTCCTCCTCGTCGTCGTCCACATACTCGTACTCATCGTCATCATCCTCAGCGCTGCTCAAACCAGCAACAGCACCTGAAGATGCCAACACACTGCTGTTGCCCTCCAACGCTCCCGGGGCATCATTATCCTTGGCCTTCTTGTGGAACATCATCAATCCGAGCACGACAGGGAGGTAGATCAGACTGCCAAAGAACAGCTGTCTCGCACTCTTGTCGTCCCTCTTACGCCAAAAGTTTATTGCTCCCGCCACCAGGACCGCATTCACGATGTTGCCGTCAATTGCGAACCACCAGCTTGTCATATCCAAGTAGGGCACCAGCGTCACAAGCGGGATCAGTCCCAACGAATAGCGCAGACTTACACGCGCGTTCAGTTTCGGATCTGTCACAGCCATCATCCGATATCCAGCCTTGGAGTAATCAGCGCGAAGGTTCCATGCCAACGAGTTAAAGTGGGGGAACTGCCAGGCGTACAGCAATCCTCCAAGAAGCCAGGCTTCTGCTGGTAGCGAATCGGTGCATGCTGCCCATCCCATCATAGGGGGGATCCCTCCGACAATGGCTCCGACCCACGTGTTGGCGATCGACATGCGCTTCATCGGTGTGTAGACGGCCGCATAAAGGACCAAATTCGCAGCTCCGAGGGCAGCTGTCAATGGGTTCACAGCTGCGGCCAAAAGACTCACTCCTGCAAGGCCTGTGACTGAGGCGAAGCCCCATGCATGCAATGGCGAGATTCCCTTGCGGACCAAAATCCTGTTCCTTGTCCTTGACATCTGAGCATCATATGGTGGTTCCACGAACTGATTGTAGGCATTTGCGGACGCAATGCAGAGGGCGGTTCCAGCAGTGAGAGACAGCAAAGTACCTAGGCTTGTCGCGTTTGTGGTCATGGCATATCCGCTCATGGTTGTCAGGGTCACCAGGGCTCCGAGACGCATCTTGGCCAGATCCATGTACATCGGGACTAGTCCTGCTAATGTTGGCTTCTTGATCTCTTTCCAGCGAATATCATAATCCTCAAATCCTGCTGGAGCTGCCGAAGGCGAGGGTGATGATGATGATGATATTGGTATGGTTGACCGGCTCGTGAAGAATCCTGCGCCTACATGGTCCTCATCCTCTCTGGTAAAGATGTTTTGTACACCTGTCGGAAGAACTGCTGCCGAGCTGGCTGGTGCTGAGGTTTTTGAACGAGTGAATATGATCCGGGATCCTCTGAGAGCAGTTTTTGGAAAAGCATGAGTGGAAGCTAGGAGGTTGCTGCTCTGCAACCGGCCAAGCTTATGCGCACAGGTGCTTGATAGCCGGGCTTGAACTCGACCGTATTCGGATCTGATCAGTTTGTGTCCGGAGATCACACGGTTCGCGGGCAGCATCGTTGCTCTGTTCCGTCGTGTGTACTGCTGTGAATGAAGTGGGAGCTCGCGTTTCGGAGTAGGTTTTTGGGCGAGAGTAGAGGGAAGAAAAGGAAGGTACTGTGAAGGGGAGGATGGGAGGACGAGTGCGGACAGCAGCGCGCTCTCCTCCCTCCGAACGACCTACGCCCATAAACACTACTTCCCCACCGCCATGTGCAAGCCACCAGTGCCATGAACAGCTTGCGCACTGCTCGTTTCTGCACTCATCCTCCCATTACCCACATACGCGCACATTCACCTCGACCCATGTCAGGAAACAACGACGCATCCTTGGCCCAGGTCTTCCAAAGGGCAGAGACCCTCTTCCTCGACCTCCAAAAGTCAACTCTCGCCTCAAACTCGGATGAGTTCCAGGTAAACGCATACCTCCCTTCAACTTGACACAACCTGCGGATAACCCGTTTTTGGAATATCGACGATATTGTACACATAATGCTAGCTGACTGACAACCGGCTCTCATACTTTTTTGTTTCGAATCCTATTTCTCTATTAATGTATAGACAAGAGTGAATGAGTCTATCAAGGGATTCGAGCGGTCCGCGAGCATGGTGCGCCAACTCAGCCTGTTTAGCGAAAACGAGTTCATGGAAGATATTAGCACTAAGGATCTCAGGTAATTGAACACGCTAACATGGATACATACCACGAACAAGTCGACTTCAATCAGCTGTGGATCGCTAATCGACACATCTTTGTTATTCGCGCAGGTTCCTGCTAACTGAGTATTATCTGGGAGAGTTGTTCCTAAAGCGCGTCAGTCAGGATCGTCTCTCTGATCTGACCATATCCAAGGTAAATCTGTTCACAGGGAGTCTAACTCTATGGTAATGAAACTATTTTGAATATATGGGCCTAACGATATTGCATGTTTAACTACAGGAACATTTTGATCACTTTCTCCTTCAATGCGAGACGCACGACATTTTGACGGCACAGGACAAGAAATACATGGAACAAATCGCAACAGACGCTCCTCGCGACGCAGCAACACGGCGAGGGGAGAAGATTGCGCGCTTCAAGCGGGAGAAGGAGATGAGGAACCAGATCGAGGTGCGTCGTGATGGACAATCTGTTCCCACTTGTCGACCGTACTACATATCACCAACTTAGACATTCAGAGTCACTGACATCTTATGCATCCATCTTGAACAGGAATTTCACAAGGAACTGGGAACGACAAGTAGTGGATATGAAGGCGAACTTAGCTCTGAGATGGAGGACAAGTACCGAGACTTTGTCCTTCTTCATCTGCAGTACGCCATCTTTCAAACCATGGAGCAGTTAGTTGGAATTCAACAAGAGATCCCTATGCTCAAACAGATGCAGGAGCGCAAAGCTGCCGAGGGGTCGAATGACGGCAGGATCTCAAGTCGGTCAACGGATGATGCAAGAGACGTTCGTGTGGATGACAGCCGCATCTGGAATGCTACTGGACCCTTGATGGATCCCACGGGCCGACCCCTGCGGCCGTTCGTGATCACGAACAAGCGGACAGAGATGATGAAGGGCGTCTTCCGGCCAGGACACAGTCTGCCAACCATGACAATCGAGGAATATTTGGACCAAGAGATAGAGCGGGGCAACTTTTTATCTGGAGGTACAGAGGAACCAAAGAAGAAGGAGACGGATGATAACGATGAGGAGGCAGTAAATGCAGAGACCATCAAGGCGCGGAATTGGGACGACTTTAAGGACGACAACCCAAAGGGGTGGGGTAACAAAGGTGGTCGTATTGGATAAGCGCCGAGCTGTTTGGGCAAATTACAAAAGTAAATAAAAAAATCTTACTGTCCAGTACGAGTGAATCTTTAACCTCTAGTTTATACCTCACCACAGAGGATCCTTATATCCGCGTTAGAATACATGTTCGCCACTGTTCTCACTTCCTGTAAGAACCTAGGCATCACTTTTTTTTGCTTCCATTGCGTAGCCATGGCCCATGGTTTTCAACCATGCATCATCGTGACCCATCATTTTACCTCTTCTCAAATATCCTACATATTCTATCGCACATGATGCCTAGTGCTTCCTTTCCTGACTTTATCTCACCGCCGTCCTACACCATCAATCTTTTATCATTATCTTTGCAGACCAAGTCAGCATGGTTGATAGTTCATACGATCGGGTCTCTCCCACGGATGCTTCTCCAAACATCATTATATAATCAGCGGGTACTCTATCAGCTAAAGAGATGGCAATATTCGGAAGAAGATTGAATCACGGTCGCACAATTAAAAGTAAACGTGGCGCATGGATTCTTTCGTGAGGAGCGAGGATAAGTGATATTCTCAATGGAGGCTGAGAACTCTTGAATTAAAAAAAAAAAAAAAAAAAAATGCTGTGCAGCTGTCGCGATACCCCTTGACGTGACTTGCATAAATGAAAAACAATACCATGGGAAATTTGATATCGGGACGAATGATTTTTTTTTAAATGTGAAAAATGTATTATGCATAACCGTTGTGTAGAAGTAGTATAAAAAGGACCCCCCCCCCCCCCCTTCCCCCAGCAAGTAGAATCCTATGGTGCCCAAGTCTCGCGATGGAAATCCACCGCCCATTTTGACTTCTTGATCTGCCGTTCCACATGCTCTACAAACGCCTCGGGTCCGCCTCCAAAGACCGCCACCATAGCGCGGTCGCTGCCGACCGCTCCAACACCGGCCCCCATAAACCTCTCGATCACAATCTTGACATTCATCCTTCCGGTCGAGTACACTACATCTCCCTCATCCCAGTTTCCATCCTCGACGCTCAAGTTCTCGTCCTCGATCTCGAATGTAGGGTACGGCAGGTTCTTGTTATGTGACTTTCCTGTCTCGATATCGCTCAGATTGCTTGCAGTCAACGAACGGAGCAAAGTCTTGCGGGCGTAATGCATGGCGAGATAACCGATGATGCTGGCGATGATATAGTGGCCAAAGACCGGCACTGAAGAGTAGGAGCCATAGCAGATCTTGTACTGCGTTGGCGTCATATCCGTCATAATGTCGCAGTAGTGAGCAGAGCCTTCATAATGGATCGCGCGGAGAGCGAGCCAGACTGCGAGAGGGACGAGGATCAAAACTGCAGAGACTGTGAAATCAAGTTTAGCAAAGCGCGCCGAGACAGTGTTTGAGTTCGCATCATGGAACGTAGGGAGGCGTTTCGCGTCATAGCTAGTTGCGCGGGTCGGTGAGGATGGGGTCAAGGCAGTGCTATGATCATGAGCGTCGATCTCGTCATGAACAGACTTTCTAGATTCAGGAGAAATGGGGCTCGAAGGTGAGGCGACAGGGGAGGGGCATGTGGAATGGTCCACAGAGGAGTGACCATCAAAAGACTGGGTCGCGGGAGAGCTGCTCGAGGACGCTCTTCGCGAGCCCTCCTGCTTCTCGTTCTCGACGGCGGTGTCCACAGAACCTGAACGCACATGGCCGCCTGCGGCCGAGAAGCTCACGCCGGCAGCTTCCGACTCGGCCTTGGACTTCATCCTCTCGTCGTTCGCGGAGGTCTCGACAATCGTCCGGCCGGACAGAGCACGCTTCAGCTTGGTGCCAGTACGTCTGAGGGACTGGAAGCGCTTCTTCTTGGACTTTGTCGCGGACTGAGCGGGGACCAGGATATCGTTCTTGATGACATGTGCATGTGCGCCCATCAAGACATTGGGCTTGTCCGGTCGCGAGACATAGATCTCGACGTGGAGCCAGGAAGTAAAGCGAGGATCGCGAGTGATCTGGTGCAGGAATGACCCATAAGCATGCAGCTCACTGCGAGTGCGGAAGGTGCAGATCAGATGGAACTGCATGCGGAGCGGGTCAGTTGACGAAGCGATCTGCGCGGCAATGGCCTTGATAAGTGCCATGAAGGTGGTAACAGCGGCACCGGCTTAAATAAAACAGAATAGAATGAGAAAAAAAAAAAGTGAGTGAACAGACGCTTTGAGACTACATTCACCAGAACAAATGTTCATGAGAATGAACTTACCGACAAAGACGACCAAAACTTCAGACTTGAGATAGTCATGTCGTCGATCACCAAAAACACCCTCAACATTGGCCTTGACCCTGATGCGCTTGTCTTCCGTTCCGCAAAGTCTAGACAATGCGCCCGTCCAGCTCTTAGGCGTATGGTATGTTCGAATGAACAGCACAATGGACCTAGGGTCCTCTGGCCAATAACTGGCAATCGTAAACGGATGGTAGAGAGTTCCCAGCTCTGGCACCTGCACCGAGATATAGTCACCGGGATAATATGGCTTCATGGGCTCAGGTGATGTCAGGGTCAGCTTGATAATGTCTGCATCCACGTTGAGCGTGCAAGAGGCCTCTGGATAGAGGGTACGGGATTGGATCATCTTGGGGACGAAACGGTCGACGAGGAAGAGGATCACGCTTGGGAGGAGGTAGTACCAGAGCATGAAGTACGGGTAGTGCGTGATCGTGCCGATGAGGAAGATCACGGTCATGACACGATGCACGCCGATGAAGGCGGTGTAGAACCGGCGCCGTATTTGTGGGATCGAGAAGAAAGCGAGGACGAGGAGAGCAATCTATTGTTGTGATCGAGTGAACGCGTCGACAATTTAGATACAAAGTTCATCCATTGCCCTGGGACGCGTAGTAAGGCAAAAAAAAAAAAAAAAGAACAGTGCAGACGACTTACCAACGCGATGACCCCCATAAGATTCATAGTCGCCCTGCCAATGTCGTCAAAGCTGATCGCTTCACCAAGACTTTTATCCCAGATGTAGTACATGACGTATCCGATTGTGTGTATGATCGACCAGACGAGGATTCCAACACCGAGCCATCGGTGAAGGGGCAGGATTTCCGCGTAGGTGAACCCGAGCGAGTGGAGCATTGATCGGCGCAGGACTAGGAAGAGGATGAACGTACAGCATGCTATGGCATTGTATCCTCCAACTAGACCAATAACAACTGTCCAGAAAGCAGAGATTGTACGCAAGTATATGGTCAGCAAGGTTAACAGGCATATCTCTGGTAGAGAATGAGAAGTAAAAAAAAAAAATGAAGAGACGCTGCACTTACGACCAAGTCCGCCAACAGGTCCATACTCAGCGTAATCATCTTTAGCATATGGAACGATCGCGGTGATGGACCAGCCAATGTTAAGCAAGACCATAAACCCGGCCAGGATCCAGAACTTGACAGTGTAGCCCCACAGGACGTGATGCTCCCACAACGAGATCTTTTGCTTTACAGACACCGGGGTGGTCACTTTAGCAATGCTGTGCTGAAATTCACGTTCGGCTCTGTAGTAGTGACCCCAGATCGTGGCCATATGACCGAGAACGGAGGGGAAGATCATGAATGGGACTGTGAGATAGTCGCGGTTGTTGAGGTCGAAGATCCACTCGCTGTAAAGGACCCAGGTGTAGTAGCCCTCAACGGCCATGTATCCAGTAATGATGAGAAGGCATAGGAGGACGAGGGCCCTCAGTGGATCGATGGATAGTCCCATGGTGATAATGAAGGGAAGGCGTGCAGGGAAGGATCGTATTTCTTAGTGCAACCGGGGAGGCAGGGGGTATAGGTAAGATATGCAGGGTGTCGGCGATCTTTTCAGGAGCAAGCACACAGAAACCAAAGCACATCCATGTCCTTTTATACCTTTGTCCTCGATGCAGCAAGCCAACAATTAGGGCTTCCTCCAGCAGCTGGGATCATAAAACAGTGTCCCGGTCGTGATTCGAGGCGCGGGCCGAAAGAGTCGCTAAGGAATGGCCATGAAAACGGAAAGTGTCTAATTTGCAAAAAAACTGATCCATGTGGTACTCTTCATCTGATAAGACACGATAAACTGGCGAGCAACGACATAGCCGGCTCCACCGTTTGTGTACGTGTCCCTCAATCGATATATGTGTTTCATTATCAGATCCAGGTCTAGGTCTAGATGGCCAGTGAACAAGGCAGGGTAACAAATGCAAGTCGTAAAACGCGAGAAGCAAGGACCCTGGAGCTAGAGGGAAAAAAAAAGAAAAAGGAACGGGATTACTGTAAGCTGTATAACGCTGAGGTTGAATTTTTTGTGTGAATGGAGGACACTGCTGCAAAGAAACAAAACACGCATCGCGGCGAAGGCAGACGGAAATGGCGAGAGGGATCTGGTCTCATTGGATCCAAGGACTTTTTGCTTTGTGTCCCCTAGTAGCGGAAACCACACGCCAGTAGTGGCACATGTAGGCGAACGATGTCCGATCAATTCTTAAGCAGAGAAACTTTATTCAATGCAGTATCACTCTAGAACACAATAGAGTATAGTACACAGGCCGGGCCATTACTTCTTTTGGTCTAAATCACCCCATCGGGTCAGAGTAGGGTCAGAAGACGGCGTAAGGCAAACATGGGTAGACACGGTAAAGGAACTAAATGATCTTGTGTCTTCGTATTCAGAACCAAAGGCGTATTTTTTTTTTTTGTTTTGTTCTTGTAGTTGACTCAGGGTACAGAGATCCATTGAAGCGGCACTAGAAAAAAAAAAAAAAAAAAAAAAAAACATAGGAATTACATGAAGGAACAACACGCGAGATGCATTAGGGCGCAACAGTCTTGCGGTGCTTCAAAGCACAACATCAACCAGATCTAGGCAGACCTCCCCCTTCGCTGCATCGTACTTCTATGAAAATGTCGAAAATGTCGTTTTCCCAAAAAAAAAAAAGAAGGGTCGAATGTTACAGATGATACCATATATGTAGAGTAGACTGCAGGAGGGCCCACCTCAATTTTCGAAAGACATGGTTATGTTCTCCTCAATTTTAGGTCGATCTGATAAGCATTTTTTTTTTAATTTTTTTTTTTTACAGGACAGACCGGGGGTAAGCATGAGAAATTGTTGGATCTGATAAGGAGACAATTTTGGACTCGGGTCGCACGCAGTGTACAGAGGTACATGAACATTCGTATGGATAGGATCTTGGCGTGAGTTTAAACTCAGCCTGCGCCTGCGGATGAAAATCGAGCAATGTTCCCGTACAAAACAAAACCGAGTTAGAGTGTGAAGGGTTGAGGATCTACTTATCGTTTGTCACCATTGCTGTTTATGTCTACAGGTGCATGTCATCTAGCCATCAGCATCAGTAACGTCGCCGAGTCATGTATCTCCTGTCCTCGCTAAGCACAAGATGATGATTGAAAAAAGGAAACAAAAAAAAAAAATAAGATACGATCTAGACGCAGAACAGAGCGCATTGATTTTATGTGTATGAATGAGTAAGCGTAGGCTGAATATTGCTCTATGATTGGTACTTTTTTTTCCCCTGAATAACAGCCCAGTTGTAATACAATTCTTGCACTTTTGCGAAAAAACTGAAATAAAAATAAAAACGAACTCGAGCGAATTATTAAAGCAAAAAGAAAGAGAATAGAATAGAGTGTAATGTCGACGTTTAAATAGTAATCTTTTGTCCATCGTAGGCAATCCTGAATTCCGTAGCACCCTTTACATCGAGGGCGCACATCCTCTTATCCTCTGTGTAATGATCTGCAGAATGACAAAATCCGACAATGAAAGCACGCTCCGGCTTAGGGTCCAGACTGTTGGTGTATTCGAGTGCCTCCGGGATGCTGAAGTGCGACGGGTGCGTCGTTTCTATAATGGTATCAGGAGTGAAAACGAAAACGGAACTATAAGACTTTGATCCAAGACATTTTTCATACCTTTGCAAATGGTGAGATTAATTTACTATAACTTCCATAACTTCCTTACCTCTCAGTCCATCAATGACAAGGACTTTTGAGCCACGGATCTTTGCAGTCGTGGTGTCAGGTATGCTGGAACAGTCCGAGACCCAACTCAGGTCATGGAATCGGAAGCCGAGGGACCAAAATGGCTCACCCGTAGACATGTATATTCCGTGGTGCACTTATTTGTTGAGAGACACAGCGGGAAGATGTACGATACAGAGAACTCTTGTTAGATCATCTTGATCACTGCGGTTAAAATTTGTTCGGCAAAAAACACGCCCACAGTTGTACACGTATCCATGTACATCCTCTTTCACATCACGATGAATGCATTAGACGCTCACCTGGTAATGGTGTGAACTTGAGACCTTCAACCTCAAAGTCTTTGTCATGTTCAATGACGTGATAAGTGAACGAAGGGATATCTCCGCCTCCTGTAGCTCTGGAAGGATCAACCATATATGGAAACGTAACCGCGATGGTGTCCATAGTTGCCTGATCCAAATAGACAGGGATGCTATAGGAGTTTTCCTTGTCAACCAAACACCAAGATCGGAGATCGTCCAGCCCAAAGAACGCGTCCGCGTGTCCGTGAGTCAGGACCTAGTACAGCATTGACCCGAAATAAATACCAGAACAACTGTCAGTTCAATTGATACACTCGGTCAGACAATGTGGTACTGAAGACCCGTCCATGATGTTGGGCGTCGCATGATATCTTACCAGCGCATCGACGCTTCGGATCCCATGTTTCGGAAACCATTGCCTTGCTGATTCGTAATAGCTCTTTCCACAGTCAATCAAGATGTTCCTATTGAGATCGTGATCATCGAGATTAGCTACTGGACCCAGCTCCTGACTATAGAACTGTGTCCTTATATTGTTACCTCTCCCTTCCATCCTCGTGCATAAAGCGGACCATGGCACTTGTGTTGCGTTTAATGTTCCTGGCACCTTCAGGCGTGAGCGTAGAAAGGCAGACTTTGCATGTCGGCTTGGTCTTCGTCAGACATGGTATAGAGGGCTACAAACCAAATACAGAACAACGATCACTGCCTTAAGCATCCGAATCTATATTGCCATGCCAGTAGACGATTGTTGTTGCGGCCATACCACTCCACTAGACGTCCCTGTTCCGAGAAAGATGAGCTCTGTCGCTGTTGTGGTCATTGTTTTGGTCTCGTCCAAGTTGATCTGATGACAATGTTCCTGCTGATGTTATGAATCTCTAGTCGGCAGGGACGGCGGTTGAATGGAAAACTTGCCGCTGGCCGCCTGGAGTATGTGTTGTTGGAAGAAGTGGACAAGCCCGGCGCGAACATGCGCTGACCAATCAAAAGGAGTCGTCATCATTTCAACATGATAAAAAAATTTGGTGGCAAAAAAAGTCCATCAGGTTTAGTGCGAACGCCCTGGGATGTTTCAGACCTAAAGGAGCATAGAAAACCGGCACCCTGGTGCCAAAAGAGCGACAGTTTACTAGAGAAACTTGACCCTAGGGAGTCGATTGGTGTGGTTGGTATTATTGAGTGAGCAGATAAGGAATTTCAACTCATTTCGACCTTTTATTTTTTTTCGTTTTGCGGAACGCAATAAAAAATTGGTGGCAAACCCCAAATTCTATCAGCACGCTTCTTGCTTTACACTACATCTATCTCGTCTCTTTTCCATGCAAAAATATGCTATTGTCTTTCCTAGAGCCCACAGCTGGGTTCTTTATATCTCTTCTCTGTCGCACAAGGACCCCACCTACACCTACGATTCCCATCGCCAACACCGCCCACCACACCGCGACCAGTCCGTAGTACATCGGCAGCTCTCGTCGCAGCTCGTCTTCGTACTGCTGGAACACCCTACCGATCACAATCTCCGCCTTGTAAACCTTGCTTTGCACAACACCTCCAGTCGAATTGTTACTGTTCATGCTAACGCCATTGAATAAAGACGGTGGTGCCATCTCTTCCACAGCAGCAGCAACCAGTTTCTGCAGCTCTGTCGGGTTCATCATCAACACATCATCCTCCAACCGCGGTAACGCGAGCTGTACATGTCCCTGGATCCATGCCAACCCTGCCTCCACCGCCGCCAACTTATTGAGCAGCAGGCACTGTATCACCGCCAGGATCAATTTCGCGAATAAGGTGTCCCCAAACACAGTCTGGATCCCCTGCACGAGTGTTGTTTCTACGTTGACCAGCGCTGCACTCATCGATGCTGCTGCGTTGACGATCCCGCTAAAGACGTGTGTGTTCAGATCGGACTCCAGACTCGAGAGCGCCGTATTCGTCTCGGTCGCGAAGGCGACAGAGCTGGTGTGCATGATCCCGTTGACGAGCTGAGGCACCGTGACTGAGAGATCTACCAGGGCTGTATTCAACAGCGGGCGGTAATGTGCTCTCGCATAATCGAGAAGGGTCAACTGCGCGTAAATCATGAGCAGCCCAAGGATCCCAACGCATAGACAGACGACCGCCTGTGATTGGGTGATATAAAACATGAACCAGAAGTAGAGGCCCCGCGCGTTTTCGTCCCTGGGGAAGAAGCAGCGTGAGGACGCCTCGAGAAACCGGTAGAGGAGCGGATGACGCGTCAGATGGTCAATTCGGACCGCGCATAGTCTCGAATCCTTGGGTGTCCATGTTGACGATTTCGTTTCCTCATGATTGCCGGATGGATCGATGGCAACAGAGGTCGCTTCTTTGGATATGGTTTCGACCTGTTGCAGTACTCTGCTTACATGTAGCGTCCATCGCCGATGTCGGAACGCGATCCAGGCCATGTTGCACAGCATCGCCACCACAGCTAAAGTGAGGACCACGAGCGTCCCATAAAGGATCCACCGCTTCAAATCCTCCGCCATCGCATCCACATCAACCAGTCCCAAGACCTTATCACAGAGCACGACCTTTTGAACCGGTATCGTTGGCATATTGAGCACCAGTCCTATCTGTGGATCTGCCATCCGGTCCTGAATAACCTTCCCCAAATCATTCAACGGCAGCGCGAGCAGGTCCAAAAGCGTGTTATCGACTTGATCGATTGCTTGCACGCCTCCCTGCCCGACCTCTGATAAGACTGGTATCCCTGAATCTGCAAGGTTGTTCAAGAAACAGCGCCATGTGCCCGTAAGCAGCCCGATCACAAAGTCTAACGTGGCCAGCACCCCGCTCAGAACGACTACGAGTCCGTAACCGATCTGACTAATGGCTGTGTCGAGTGTGGCGATAAGGCCACGGTTGACACTCTGTGCTGCGAACTGAGGGAAGGACGCGAGCGTGGTAGCGGTCTTTTCGAGGGTATAGCAGTCAGTGAAAAGAGTTTGTTTCGCATCTAGGACAAAAGTATCAACGGAAGAGCGGGTTTGGAAGAGTCGGTAGGCAGATATGATGAGGAAGATGACCGTGTAGGACGCAAATGCCTGGGATAGTTTTGCGCAAAGGCCCAGGAATGGTTGAACGGTAGGGGGAGTTTTTGTAGAATGTGCTGCAAGGCAAAGAGGAGAGGGCACTGCCTCGAGATGGTCGATTGGAGGCAGTGACTTTGATGCGGAGGGTATCTCAAAGCCCATGTTATGAACGAGAGGCGTTGCACCACCAAGTCGCGTCATGGCGATATATATACATCTCCGTCCACGTCCACGGATACCACCGTGTTCATAAAAGGGGACGTAGCGATCCACAATCGCGATCTTCAAATGTGGCAAAAAAAAAAAGAAAAGAAAAGGCGCTCTTCATACATCCAGCGAACCACGGATCACTACTTCCAGCTATTGTATTCCTCAGCGCCTTTGTTATACCTTCATCGTTGCTTTATACAATAAAATTTTAACATAATAACCTTTAGTCTTTATTAATATGTCTCTTCCAGTGACCCCATGATCCATCTACTGCAAAAAAATGGTAATTGTAATGATTGTCGTCTCTGTCTAATCAATGGACTCCTGCTCCAGAATGACATGCGACGACGACTCCTCATTGGCTTCATGCTGGAAGAAATCCGACAGACGCAGCGAACGGACCTCATCCCTGTCCAGGACAACATTATCGAGCGCACCCTTCTTGTCCGAGCCCTTGGAGCGCAGGTACTCTCTCAATGGCAACATCGATGCGTTCCTGCACGCCTCCTTCAAGTCGCTTCCCGAAAATCCTGCAGTCTTTTGCACCAGCTTTTTAAAGTCAAAGCTGGGATCGAGCTTGGTCGAGGCCAGCATCTAGCGGTTCAGGAACAAAAAAAAAAACAAGAAGACATCAATGAGACTGTTGCTCATAATATATCACAGAGCCATACTACTATAAAAAAAAAAAAAAAAAGAAAAGAATAAAAGAAAAAAGCAAGCAAAAGCAATTACCAGCTTAAGAATGTTCATGCGCTGTTCCTCCGATGGCAACTTGATCGCGAATCTCTTGGGCATTCTCCTCAAGATAGCCGAGTCAATATCGTTGGGCCGGTTTGTCGCTCCCAGAACAATGATCCTCGTATCCTCGCCCGTGGTCAGTCCATCCCACATGCTCATGAACTCGGCCTTCATCATGCTGGTGATCTCATGGTCGTTACTGCGACGCTCCCTCAGGAACGAATCAATCTCGTCAATAAAGATAATAGCCGGCTGCATCTTGTGTGCGAGCGAGAACAGGGCGGCGACCAACTTGTTGGACTCTCCAAACCACTTGTCCGTCAAGGTCGAGACATGCATGTTGATGAACGTCGCTCCAGACTCCTTGGCGAGGGCCTTGGCCAGCATGGTCTTGCCGCATCCAGGAGGTCCGTACAACAACACACCCTTGGGCGCGCCCAACAATCCAGAGGCACTTGTGAACAGAGCTGGGTGGTTCAGGGGTAAAATAACACTCTCGCGCAGCGAACGGATAATGGGGTCCAAACCGCCGATCTCTAAAGAGACATGGATCAATTATGGGCAAACAAAAAAAAGAAAAAAAGGAGACGCTGCGTCAGCTCAGCAGAGATCGTGTTACGTGTTGGCGAGGGCCATTATAACCATGCAATCGATTCCGTTCTGCTCCTGAAGGCCGACTTACGGTCGAAATCAACCTTGATGTCCTCTGGGTGGATAACCTCGGAGGCAATCACTTGCTCATACTCGTTCAGTTTAATATCCCGATGCTATCGTGATCAAGGGCGCAGATGAAGAACAGGCAGCGAATTAAGTAAATCGGACAGGCTGCTCATCCGCATGCGGTGGTGACAGAGCACAGGCAGTGGTGTGACAAGGTTGTTCTTACCCCGAGCCGATCCAGCACCTTGGCGCTCTTTTCATGTGCGTCCTTCTTTTTCGTCTTCAGGGGATCCATAGAAGAGATAATGTACTTGAATGCATAGTAGAACGCTGCCTGTGACAGCGCGAACAGAGCCACTAGTGATCAGGTCGACAAAGCAATAAGATCATCAGTTTCTGGCAGCTCTTGAACTAATGTCGCTTTAGTCAGAGCTGTCGCTCCGTGATCAATCATCCTGGAATCCGTGATGTCACAGCGACTTGGGCTTATTGTTGCTTTCTGTAATGTTCCTTGAGTCATAGGCAGGGGGCTGCATCCAGTAGAGTATTCGTCGCCAAGGCCGAGAAAAGATCCCTGTGCTGTTCCTGGAAGCCAGTGGTGTTGGTATTGTTCCGCATGGTGTGGTCATTCCTCTTGAATCGCTGTCTTGGACAATGGCTTTCTGGCCGGTGAGGGTCACTTACAGTCGGCAAGGTACTTCTTCGTCTGGGGCTGCATCGTTGCGGAATGAGGTGAGTAATAGACGATGCGGAAGGGGAGGGTGAGGAATAGGAGTGAGGACTGGAAAAGAGGACACTTCTAAGAGAAGCGAGTTTGTCAAGCAACTCTTGGCTGGATTACACGTGATTGTAGGAACTTGGAACTAATGGTCATTTTTCAAAGTTGGTTGTTTCTATTGATTTTGCAAAGCTGTATAGTACAAGAATAGACTATTATCTATTAGGGATGGGGAGTCTATGGATGGCCCCTCAACTGGCCTAGGCACGAGTGGTATAGCGGTTGTAGAACATCAAGAAGATCAGGATCAGTCCTCCACCCAGATACATCGCTGCATTGTATCCGATCATCGCCTTGTAGTCCCCAGCCTGCTCAAAGATCCTTCCTGCGATCGGCAGCGTGAATAAGTTGCCAGGTGTGTTCGTCAAGAAGATCACCGTCAGTCCCGATCCCAAGTTTGGCAATCCAACAATGTTCGCCGTAATCGAGGCCACCAACGTGAAGAACGCTCCCGAGAAGAATCCGTACACGACCGAGAACGCCGTCAACACTGCTTGCGATTGCGCAAACATCCAGATGAAACAGCTGCCGCCTGCAGCGAGAAACCCGAACGCGGCCACAGGGATGGCACCCAAGCGATCGCCCGCGAATCCGATCACGATACGTCCGACGGCATTGGCAGCGGACATGATCGCCAACAATTGTCCTCCCTGTACATTCGGGTCGAGTCCGATGATGTCCTTGGCATACGAGGGCACATACGTAAAGGGCACCACATATGCGAATCCGAACAGCGCCGCCGCCAGAAACCAGAGCATGAATCCGAGGTCCTTCATGATCGCAAGATTCATGACCTCCTTCTTGGGTGCGACTGTTGGACCTGCTAATTGTCTGGGCGCACGCATGACTAGCGCCGCAAAGGCCGTGCACACAAAGTGGAAGATGGCATAGATCCTCAGAGTCCAGTAGATGTCCACTGCATTGATCAAGGCGGGGATGATGAATCCGAGAGCAAGGCCTCCGATACCGGCGCCGCAGAAGCAGATTCCCATGGCCAGTCCGCGATGCTTGTCGTACCAGAGAGGCGGGATGGCGGTGGCAGCGAGGTTAAGAAGCGAGGCGCCGATGCCAAACATGATGCCTTGGGTGAGATACAGCTGCCAGAGTTGGGTACACCATGAGGCAAGGAGAAGACCGAGGGATCCCACGATACACCCAGACCAGAGGACGATTTTGTGCCCAAACCGGTTCATGACGGGACCAGCAATGATGGTGAAGCCGAACTGGAAGCCGGAGGCAAGCGAGCCGACGAAGGAGATGCTGGACTGGGATTGGCCTTTGGCGCCGTAGATGTCATTGTACTTTGCCTGGAAGATGCCGTAGACGGAGACGTAGCCGATTGCAGCCAGGATGACCTACAGACACAACGTTATCGTTGACAGAGATATGAAGGTTAGTGTGAGGTCCGACAGGGAATGGGTTTAGATAGCACAACAACGTGGAGATAAGGGCTGATCGGGAGGACAACAAAAGCCACGACTGGGGTAACAGGCGCTGTACCGCAGAGGGCAGCGGCTAAATGGAGATGGTGGGGAATGGCAAAGAAAGGAAGGAGATTCGGTCCGGGGTACGAAGGTTCTTTCTCAGATCGGATCTCCGCGCAGGGTGAGACCAGAATAGGATAAGGCGAATGTGTTGCTCCGTCTCGGTCATTCAGGTCGAGGCCATGACATCGACGGAGGGGTATGTGCAATTTGCGGGTGTGGACTGGTCCCGAAAGACGAGCGAGTCTTGCGATCGCCAAGAAGGAGCTGGGGGAGGAGAAGACAAAGGGCGGGCAGGGCGTAGAAAGGAATAAGAGAGCAGCTGTGCCAGAAAGCAGCCCTCGCACAGCCACTGTGCAACAGATCGTCGTTACACAAAATACGAAGGCAAACAGAACACTTACAAGAAACCCCCCAAAGACAACGAGGTATCCTCGGAAGCCAGACTCCATGACCACATCCTCGCCAAACGTCGCATTCATCGAGGGATGTCTGCTCAGGTTATGCATGGACAGGACAACACCATTGCCTGGGTTTGCAGTTTCGAAGGAGGATCGAGTGGAGGATCGTCGGTTGTGGCCATGGGACTGTGCGGTATGGGCAGGAGGCTTCTTCTCGGAAACGGTCGTTCTGCTGCTGTTGCGTTTGTGGTCATAGTGTGAAGAGGGCCGTTTGCTGCCGAGGGGATTGTCGATCTCGAACATTGCGACGATAATATGGATAGGGCTGCTGTAGGGAGATCGGGTTGAGAGTGAAAAGACTGCAGGTCCAGATACGAGGATGGGGATGTCGGTGGATAGAAGGAGGAGATGAGTGGGGTCTTTGGAGATTAGGCGCCAGCAGGATCGAGTGTCTGTCGAGCTGGACGACTGCTCCGAAGGAAGGATGAGAGGGAGAGAGAAGAAGGAAACAAAAAAAAAAAAAAGATACGGCGGAACTCTTTCATTTCTTTTCCAACCAATCGGACCCGGCCTGCCGCTGCCTTACATAGAAAGCCCTTTTTTGTACCTTCTGCACTTTCCTCCGCTGTCCCGCTGTCCCGCTGGTTGACAGGGTGCTCCCTGAAGGGAGCCTGCAAAAAACACTCGGGCACTCAATCGCCTATCAACACTAGGCGATGCATTAGATGGATGCTGTTGTCGGTGCAAGTGACATGCACACGTACCTCTGATGCGCTCACACACTCGATTGCGCAAGCCATCCAGACGAGACGTGCCTGCATTTGGCGCCTGCTCAGTTGGATACAGGACGCAATTCAGCGTGGTGGATGGTAATATTCGCCAGACAGGCGCGCACGGTGGGTGGCAGCGATAATCTAAACACCTTAGCTAGCTCTTTCTAGTCATCGTCGTGCGAACGCGCATTGCCCAGCTAAAGCGGTCAATACGAGTGGACGCTTTGCTTTCCAATGGCATGAGTGGTCCCCCTATGTCCTTTCGCTCTAGGAATGAATCTTTTCTCCAGGAACGTATTTTGGGTCCCAGGAATCGCCCACATCACATCGTGTCCTTCCCCATTCCGAGCCTCACACAGACCACCTTTCTTGATTACCATCGATCATGGTCTAAATAAACGTTCATCGTTATACTTCTACAGGGCTACAGGGGTTAACAGCTCTATCCTGTGCCGTCGCTAGGGGCCCCTTTACTGTTTTCGCTTCACTACCACCGCTAGTTACACAATAACTCAAGACGAGTGGAGAAAAAAAAAAAAAAAAAAAAAAAGAGAACTCCTCGGGTGAGGATGGATAGGAAGATGGAATATAAGACCCCGTTATTTTTCACATCATCCGCGTCGACAAAAAAGAAATTTCGGATGTAACTGCCCTCTTTTCTGTCCTCAACAGCAAACGGTGTCTTGTCTCACTCGAACACGACCAGGCTCGAAGATCATCCGTCGCCATCATCTACCCCGCCTACGCGAATCTACATCCTAGTCCAGGGCATATAAAATCCCACCCCCATCTCCACAGAGCCCTCCACCCCCACCCTCTTTCCCTTTCATCCCTATCCTTCCCCCCGCTTATCCAACGATCCACCATTGCGTCCTTACATTCGCGTTTTCTGGCTCCCCGAAGCAGCTATTGTACTCCCTCTTAAGTCTACGTCTGCCTTACTTTACGCGTCAAAGTGCTCTATTCCTCCTCCCTCCCCCGTCTGCCCGCGCATTGCCGCCATGTCCACTTCTCCCTCACACGCCCTCCCCCTCTGGTCCGCCGTCACCCTCGCCTGCCTCGCTCTTCTCTCGCTCTCCATCCTCCCCACCACCTCCGCCGCGCCCGCGAAACACACCACGGCACCCAAGGACCTCATCAACGCCATGTCCATCTCCGAATCCTCCCCGCTCCCACTCCAGCTCCAAATCGAGGCCCGTGTCGCCGGCGCGCAGAAACTGGCCTACCTACCGACGACCGGTCCGAGCATGGATTTTTACTATCTCAACTACCGTCCGACCTACCGCGCCGGCGAGAGCACGATCGACTTTTGGATGTTGACGCCTGAAGGCTCAAAGGCACCCAGGTCCGGATCGCTGGAACTCTATGACGAATTCGGAAGGGTCCGTCTGGCGATTTTAGCCCCGGAGGGGACCGAGATCCCTCAGGCGATCGCGAACAAGCATGAGCCTTTCCTCTGGAAGAGCTGGAAGGTCCCAAGGACACTCCAGTCTGACTTTGATTTCTCGGAAAAGTTCAGGATCATCCTCAGGACCTCGGAGGCTCAAGAATCTGTTGCTTCGGTCGTGGCCACGAACGAGAAACGATGGGATTCGGATGATACGCTGGTAGACTTTTTGTTGGTCCGGAACAAGAACAAGAACAAGAACAAGAACAAGAATGAGGGCGACACCAACGCCAACGCCAACGACAAAGACAACGACAGCGGTAACGACCTCGCCGCGACGAAAGATCCGAAAGTAGTCCAAGACCGCCAGTTCCGGATCAAGGGCTTGAAGGCCACTCCGGGCGGGAAACCCAACCCTGCAAAGATGAACGTGAACAGCGTCGCGGTTCAGACCACGACAGCCTTACTCATGCACACGAATAGTGTTCACAGTTATAACAACCATAACGACCCTAGCCGCCACAACACCAACGCCAACCCGGACTTGGACGCCGGCAAGTTTGCTCATGGTCAGACTAGCAAGGCCGCTACCTACCCCAAGAGCTCCGACAAGCCCTTGTCCGGTGCTGCTTTCCCTTCACACAGACTTGTTCCTGCGATGACCTTGTTGGTCGTCTGCCTCAGTGCCCTTGCCTCGCTATGCTAACAGAAAAGGGTGGGGGCGAGAGCGTTCATATAACCATTATTCACTATATCCCTCCCTCAGTTGTACTTTTATTTTTGAAGATATCATTCTTTTTTAGCTTTGCTCGCATATTCATATCTTTGCATTTTTATCGCCATAGCGAAAGAATTAATAAAAAAAATTTAATTTTTTTTTTGGAGGCAACACGCGTCCTCACGCGCCTTGACGCGCATATACCAAGGAAAAAAGTTTATTATTTGGGCACGGGCCCACATTTTGTGTGTAGACTATGGAAACAAGGATAGAGACATGAATGGGGATGAAGAATTATGGAAGAGTAAACATGCAGAGATATAAAGGAAATAAAAGTAAAAAGTAAAAAGTAAAAAGTAAAAAGTAAAAAGTAAAAAGAAAAAAGAAAAAAGAAAAAAGAAAAAAGAAAAAAAAAAAAGAAAAGAAAAGAAAAGGGAAACCAAGGCCTTTGTTACCTTCGCAATGTATATATTTCACGAAGAAAGAAAAGAAAAAAAGTATTACGCGTAATTACGCGAAGAAAGAATGGTAGAAAATATAATCTTCCTCCCCTCCTCCCCTCTTCCTAAAAAACCTCCTCCCTAATCCTCCCTATTCAATCCAAATTCTTCCGCATTTTCTTCCGTCCCCCTCCAAGGGCTTCAAACTCCTTCAGCAGCTCAGCCGCAACCGCGGGGCGATCCAGCCATTCCTTCAGCTCTTGCGTCGTCCACCGCGTCTCTGCCTGTGCGGTCAAACATTTCAAAAGCAGCTCCCGCGACACCGGTCCCTCGACCTCGCGCTCCAGCTGGAACTTGATCTGTTCATCTCTCGATACATAGTACCGGATCTTCTTCAGATCATCCTCAATCGCCCCATTCCACGGTGATTTCCCACTGAACGTCCTCCAGATCAAAACCCCGAGTGAGTACACGTCCTCCGACCGTGGATCCACCGGCGGCAGGGCCTCGTGGTCATACTTGTTCCGAGGCAGTGTCAAAATCGACCTGTACAGCTTGTACCCGTGGTCTGGTGGCAGGACCACCAGTGGCAACAGTGAGAGCTCACTCTCGGGGATGTGCTCCTTCATGCTCCACCGTACCACCTCGTCGCGTTCCACAAAGATCGATTTGCCAAAATCAATCACTTTGATATGGGGCCGGGCCGACAGGTCCTCGAGGAGATCGTTAGGATCCTCATCCACCATGATATTCACCTCACTCAGGTCTCTATGTGCCAGGCCCGCGTTGTGGATACCGCACATTGCCGAGACCATGTCGCAGATGAGAGACAGTTTTTGACAGGGGGTAGGGTGGCGGCGTGCATTGGTGGCATACTGCTTGAGCGTGTAAGAGTACCTGAGAAATTGAAGTAAAAAAAAAAAGGAAAAAAAGCCTGTCAATAAAGCCACTCTCATGTCGAGCTGTGTAAAAAGATATATATGCTGACAACCAAAAGGAACCGCAAACTTACTTGGTCATGGACAGACCAACAAGGTGGTCCTCCTCATTGTAAAAGATCGCCTGGATCTGCCCCACCCCTTCGAGGTTCCTCAGCTTCAATAGACATGCCACCTCCCGGACGCGTTGGTCAAACGACTCTGCATCCATCTCCTTAAAGTTCTGCACCACAAGCCCATCCTCGCCGCGGACATGGTAGATCCTTTTGAACAGTCCATGTGCAGTGTCGACCGTCAGTGTTGGTTCAATATCGCTCCAGCGCTGATACGGCACCTTCTTTCGCTTGGCCACGACCTTGAGCTCCTGCAGCATCTTGCGTCCACGCTTGGAGATCTGCTCGCTCAGCATGATGCGGTCCGGTGCCGATAATGACTCCATATCCGAGCCTGATGAAGTCGGCGTAGTAGGAACCTGGCTTGACAATGCATAGACTCGTGCGGGCAGGAGTGGAGTCGATGGCATCGAGGCAGCAAGGGGATGTGATGGCGCGGCTCCAGAAATAGATGCTGTAGCAGACGCTGGTGCTGCGCGGTGAGGAATCTTTAGGGACGGTATCCGCATCTTCACCAGATACTGTCCATTAGATCCCTGGTCGTGAAGATCAACCCATGTAGCTGTCGATGTCCGCTCGCCTGTGCTGTTGTTTCCAGAGTTGTTCTTCTGTGCTGCTTTACCAGCTGATGTGGCAGTGGCAGCTGCGGTGGATGTGGTCGCAGGTGTGGTGATACCAAGTCCTAGCGCTCTGGTCGTCATGGGCGTCGCAGTTTGAGCTGCTGCGGTTGACGCCGCTGGGATCATAGACCGCTGCCCGGTCGCTACAGGCGCTTGTCCAGTCCTTCCGGCGCCAGGCAATAAAAGCCCAAGCGCGTCTGCAAACGCCCTTTGGTATTCAGGACTGATCTTTGAATCTGAAGAATAGGCCACGACCTCATGCCGCATCTTTGACAGGGTTCCCTTCTCAAACTTGGCGGGCACTTCCACATCAATATCCAGGGCCCTGACACACGCAACCGTGATCCACGCGTTCGGGCAGTCCAAATCACCGACGGTGATCATATCATACCTTTCTCCAATGGGCTTCCCAATAAGAACCTTGGCTGTCATCCGCACCATGCTGACCGAGCCACCGATCGCGCCTGTCGTTGGTCTACCACGCGTGCCTGGCGACGATTTCACACTCACAGGGCTGCTTGCTGCAGAGTTCGAGACTGTGTAGGGCTTGCCGACCTGGAGATCGCTGAGAAGAGCGATTCGGGCAAAGCGCTCATCCCTGCTTTTGGCCAGGATACTCCTGTTCTTGTTTATGTACATTCTTACGAAACGTGGATGTTCCGGCGAAAGTTGACCAATCTGTTCGTTCGCAATATCGAAGATCGGCTGGTGGAAACATGCAAATAGGTCCGTAGAGATATCGGTCATCTTGCGCTCCATCTCTCTCAACGTGTGGGCGCGGAAGAGATAAAGAGGCCTATTTTGTTTTATAAAGAACAGTACGAGGCAAGTCAGCATATCAGAATCTGTGTTGAAGAGGGAATAGGTGCGGAGCGAACAAAGATACCCACCCAGGTTCTGAAATCGAAAGCAGCTCAGGCCTAAACGCTTCTTGAGGCAGGGGCTCGTTCAACAGCAGTTTTGTACTAAAGACAAAGCAGTTGAAAAAAAAAAAAAAAATAGTCAGCTCTGTGTCAAGCATAGCGTTCACAGCACGAATCCAGCCACAGTAAAACCAAAGCGAGTCCTTACCCTTGCCGATAGCTGGTCAGGAGGTTGATGTACGCGTTCTGAAAAGACTGAGCCTCCTTGTAGATGCTATGGGTTGGCGAGTTAAAATAGGTGGCGTTCTGATAGATCCTTCGTAGGTCGCGCTCAAAGTCTTGCAAATCCGTGTATCCTTCCGTAACATCATTGGCTAAGAACTCTGCAGCCTTTGTCAGCGCCACCATCGAAGCTCCAGACCCATAGTCGGCACCGGCAAGATGCAATGTCTTCCACAACTTGTGCTCGATGGTTGTCAGATCCATGGGCTTCTTGATCACTTGGTGATAGTTGGCGACTGTCAGAGGCACTTTGTTGATGAAGTTCTTGCAGAAGGTGTTGCAGAGAAGCTGATTCAGGATGAGCATGCCAACACGGACAAGTTCAATCGGCTGCAAAGAGTCGTGATCCATATCCAATACTTCAGTAGCTCCTGAGGACGGGCTGAGTTGTTCTGGTATGGCCTGTGCGTTCATGGTGACAGAAACGGCGGGCGTGGGCGTATTAAATAGAGCGCCACTGCCAGCAGAGACGCCTCGCGTTACCCCATCTACAGGTCTCGCCTCGTGGGTGTGGTTTGTATTCTTTGATGAATCCACCGTTGGCGATGAAGCTGACGACGGCATGGTCGCGACGCTATCCACAGAAGGTACAGGTGACGGGAACTGCACCGGTGTCGAGTTTGGCGAGCTCGACCCTGCTTTTGACTGACTGCGGTGCTTCACGACCGTCTCGTCTACTCTACCTAGGCCATCAGCTGTTGCTACACCGGCAGGAGCGGTTGCCGGTGTTTGTGATGCCGAGCTGTTGTTGGTTGAGGGCGAGGATGCTGCGGAGGCAGAGACAGGGGTCTTGGCAGTGCGTATGGCCAGATTCGTGGCGTTGGCCAAATGTGGTGGTATGGGACCGACTGCCGATGGCTGCTTCCGCATAATCTTGATCCTTGGCCCTTCGCCTGGCACAGCTAAAGAGGTTCAGTAAAGAGGCGGCAGTGTGTTAGTCGCTTGTCATTGCCATTACCTTTGTCTGCGGAAAGAAGCTGACGTAAAAGGTAAGCGGACTCATGAACGAAGGCAAGCAGACAGCGCAAGCGGTTTAGTACCATAGGAGATGTAACTGTTGCCCCCTGAACTGTCCTCCATCATCATAGCACTGTGTGTCCTCTTGTTCGATGGCCTAGCGGGAGATGTCGATGTGGACTGGGAGCGGATGGCACCTCGCTTGCGAAAGGCCTCAGGGAGGTTGGGCAGGTCTCTCGGGATGCGGATCTTGAGTCCTGAGGAGAGCTTTGAGGTAGTGATAGGTATGCTCAAAGGCATTGCTGTCGTCTTTCCTTTTGAGTGTACTGTAGAACAAAGAGAAGGTAAGACAGTGCCCAATGGTGTAAATTGCCTGATCGAAGTGGCATGCAGAGGTCAAATGCTGGCTGAAAGCTTTAGAAGGAATAACGTTACCATGACTGAGTGGATGCCGGATAGTTGTCGGCAGATGTAGTTGACCGGGAACAGAGACTGCGCCGGGGTGTCTCTGCGGCGACATCCGAGCACCGAGCCAGCTGTCAGCTGGGTTTCTGGCTGGGGAGCCATCGTGGTTGGATGCCAAGGAACCTCTGGCCATCATCTCGTGCGAGCGCTCAGCACGTTTCCTGCGGTTGATAGAGTCGATGATAGCCTGCTGGGTACTCAGCAGGGGCTGCGGGGACAGGACCCCTTGTTCGTGAATGTCTGTCAGGTTGGCCAAGGTGTCCTTTGCGGAGACTGTAGCGGAGGTATCCAGGTTCAGATTGGCTGGTAGGGTCGCTTGGGAGGAGGTACCGGAGGCGCGGCTCAGTGTAGTTCTCAGAATCTTGGAAAGGAGAAAGAAAGAAAGAGAGAGAAAAAGAGCAGACACGCAATCGCAGATATCAGGATGAGTGGGATGTTCTCGCAATCCTCGAGCGGATATTATAAACGGGGATGAGATGTGATGAGAGAACCGCCAGCAACGAGCGAGAGGCGAGAGGGGACGGAGGAGAAGAAAGGATTTTGATGATGATGGCTCTACGACAGATACGATGTTGTTGAATGTGGATGTCCTCACAGAGCTGGATACAGTAATAATAATAATAATAATAATATGAAATGCAGGTCTTGTTGTTTGAGGGCAGACTCAGCAGATATAAGGCTACTGCTCCACAGCTGCAAACAGATACAGCCCCAAGAGACAGCAGAGGGAGGAAGGGAAATACCAAGATGGCAGGTTGAGGATTAAGTGATCGCCAAGCGAGATGAGTACCATGCACCGGGATCAGGGATCAGAAACAGGATTCGGATTAGGCACTTCCCACTGTACACTCCATGAGGGCAAGTGTTCTCCAGCAGATACAGTTTACACAGGCAGATATCCCCTTCGCCCCTCTTACCCCACACCCATCCTTCGACACAAAACACATCCCTGGGGCCCTTACTGGGGGACCATTGCAGATACTGATCGCAGGAGGCAATGCAGCGCGTTGCCTCCTGTGGGATAGACTGCCCAATTGCACAGAATGGTGTAATACACAGACGAATGACAGTTTACTATCAAGAAAGAGGAGGGTCGAGACTGAGGGAGCTACTGTGTGCTGGTCTAACAGCTGAAGAGCCATCGGAGCAGGCCTTTTCTCTCTTTTTTTTTCGATCGACACATCAGCAACACGCATAAAGATAGAACCGTAAAAAAAAGAGAGCCAAGGACACGCCCAGCATTCAACGCAACAACGACACACAGGGACGAGTAAAGCGACGGATACGATCGTCGATCGGCAAGATGTTGATACCAGTACCTGAGGGAAACCCTGAAGAATGAAAGGAATGCTGTAGATCAGATTGACAAAAAAACAAACAAAGCCAAAGATGCACAAAACACAGCCTTAGACAGCGTAGATGTCGGTATTCATCACGAAGACAACCCACTTCTACATCGATCCATTAAGCCTGGAGGCCCAATTGAGGATTTGATAGCAGTAGAAACAAATAGGCGCCTGCAGATCTCTCAGTACTCCAGCTTGCAAGGAGGTACTATTCTCTCTAGCCCTCGATAAATAGTAAATGAAGGTGATGATGGTGAAGGCTGCGTCTTCGGCTGCTTTTAACAATGGTCGCGATGGGTAGGCGTGAATGATTGATAGCCATCTATTCCCCCCCCTCCAATGGGCCGTATCTTAGTTCGGTCTGCCAAACAAAGAAAGAGAGAGAGAGAGAGATCCATCCATCCATTCCAGTGCTCAGGTTTACGGTATAGGACGAACTGGCACTGGGTTATATTTTGTTGCACACTGATCAAAGACGGGTCGGATGAGGACTAGAGCAGAGCTTGCATCCCTTCGAGGAGGATGAGCCTTACCTCAGTTGTGGATCAGACTTGGTTATGGACGGGTGATCCGCACGTTGATCGGGCGTAGGTTGATGAGGAGTAGGGGTCAGTTTGAATGGGGGTTGAGGGTGCGCAGGTAGGGTTCAACAGCAGAGCCGAATACTGTTTTCCCTACACGCTTCTGGTTATTTTTTTATTTTTTTTGCTGTCCTGTGCGTTGGATACAAAAAAGACTCCACGGTTTGGAATTGGCGGGAAACACCCAGTCCGAAACACCACTACTGCCGTTGTTACTGCACGCAGCATACTCCATTGCTGCTGCTGCCGCTGCTACCGGTGCGACAGCAGCAGTGGAACGAAGGGAGTGCCCACTCTCACCGTCCTTCCCCGGCACAGCCCCTCTACCTGCCCCTCAATGAACGGTCTCTGTCTCCAGGCAGGCACTATTTCACCATTCCGACGCGTCTTTTTCTTCATCCGGAAGATCGATCCTACACGCGCTGCATACTTTCTGATGCTCTAATGCATCGCGCAATTTATCCTGAGGCACCGAAGATCCCATCTTCATCTGCGGCGATAATCACCCAGAGACCATCACTTCTTAACACCGCCTTGGCTGCCTCGAGACAGGAATTGTCCGTCATCACCAATGCAGATCCCTCAGTATCGGGCATTTTACACTCCTATGGATCTTCAGCATCAGCTCACCGCTTCCGGATCCGGCCTCACTTTCGGTTCCAGCGCCACTCCGCCTCTCAATATAAAAGATCCATTCTCTCCAGTCCCTTTTCTTCCTTCCCCACCAGTTCTCAGCAATTCACAAGCGCCTTCAACTCAAGCCCTGCACAGCAACCGCACTCACCTTCCAAAACACAACCCAACACTCAAACCAACCCCACCTTCAACCATGGTTCAGCTCTCCATCAAGTTCGCTTCTGCCCTCGTCCTCGCAGCCTTCTCTGCCCAAGCCGCTCCCCTGGTTGCGCGTCAATGTGCCGGTGGTCAATGCGCGCAGAGCGCCAGCTCTGGTAACGTAGATCTTGCCTCGACCACCAACATTACCCCTGTGACCAATGTCACCCCTGTCACCCGCCTGCAGCCGTACGTTCACGCCTACGCCCCCATCGTTGAGTCTGACTGCTACCCTGGATCCTTCGGAGGCCTCGGAGGCCTTGCAGGTCAGGGTCTCCTCGGTACCCCTGCCTTCGGTACTGCTGGTCTCGGTGCCTCCGGTCTTCTCGGTACCCCTGCCTTCGGTGCTGCTGGCCTTGGCGCCTCCGGTCTTCTCGGTGCTCCCGGTCCCGGCGTGAGTCTCTTGCGCAACCGTTTCATGAAGCGTCAAGCTCCTCAGGCCCAGTCCCAGGCTCCGGATCAGGGCAACCTCCTCTTCAGTCAGTTCCAGTCCGGTGCTACCTGCTCAGCTCAGAATGGTCAGAGCTGCGATACCTCTGTGCCCGCTTCGACCGTCGATCTGGGATCTCAAGTCGCCATCCAGCCCACGACCCAAGTCCTTCCCTCGACTACCTACCAGAACCAGGTCCAATCGCTCGATACCAACATCCAGGCTACCCCTGCCCAATCCAACTCGCTGCCCCAGCAGAACGTGAACCTCGGCTCGAATGTCTCCATTCAGCCCACGACTCAGGTCTTGCCCCAGACTACCTACCAACCCACGGTCAACCAGCTCACAACCTCGGTCCAGGCTACTCCCCAGCAGGACCAGTCCCTGCCTCAATCGAGCGTCCAGCTTGGATCGCATGTCAGCATTACGCCCATGGTCCAGGTTCGCCCGATCACGACCTTCCAGCCCTCGATCCAGTCCTTGCCCTTCATCATCAACGCGGCCCCATGCTCCACCGTTGACCTTGCTCAGCCCGGAGGTGCAGCGCAGATGACCGGCATCTCCAACATGCAGCAGCAGCAGCAGGTTGGCGGTGACTTTGCCCAGGGTCAGCAGAACGCTCAGGGCAATATTGGCGCCCCCATTGCCCAGAGCCAGGTCCAAGCTGGCGCTGGGTGCGCGTAGACGCATACACTTTTCTTTTTTTTGAAATGGTCGTCTTGATCGCGTCTTCAGTTCGCGATTGACGCTGGATTGGTCAGTTACCGCGAGAGAAGCAGATGAACTCTAGTAGTAGCATTATGTTCTCATAGCATCTCGTGAATAAAAAAAAGAAAGAAGGAAAAAAAAAAAAAAGATGATTCTCTGACCCTTTAACCCACATTGCGACTTGAGCATGCGAGTTACTCAAGCACTCAGAGATACTCGGATCCTAATAATACCGGCCTGACTTATTTTTTTTAAAAATACCACCTTTTTTTGTCTTGGACTTTGTTCTAAAGACATACCCAGGGCAGTTTAGGTGCTCGAGAACCATATCGACAAAGTCGACAGAGTATAGGACTGAATGTTCCAGCCTTGATACTTTCCAGTCCTCTGCTGATAACGTCCCTGTCGAGCGGATCCTTTGCAAGGGGACGAAATTGTCTGCTGGGAGAGGAGGGGGAGGAGGAGGGGAGGGGGGATGCAGGACGCGTTCGTGCACGCTATCAGCGTCTAGACGCGAAGGGCGCGCTTCCAGCATCTGTCACCTGATAAAAGAAACTAATCTTTTTTTTTTGTGGCGGGCAAAGAGAAGCAGCTCTCAATTGCTTCTTTGGCTTCTCCTTCCTCCCTCACACCTTTCTTTCCTCTTTGCTCATCCCATCCCCACCACCGCTCTTTCATCTTTCACTCCTCCGCAGCTCTCCGTTGCCTTTCTTACCCTTTCTTTATTTTGTTTTCGCTCTCTTTCATATCTCTTTCATCCCTTTAACTGATTCTCACCCCAGAGCAGCATGACTACCCGCGTATACCTGGGTCATCTCGCAAGAGATGCCTCCGACAGAGACGTCGAGGGTCTCTTCAAGAACTACGGGCGGATCCGCGAGGTGACCCTGAAAAACGGGTTTGGATTCGTCGAATTCGCAGATGCAAAGGACGCGGAAGATGCTGTGCATGACTTTCATAGCAAGGAATTCATGGGCGAGAGGTAAAGAAAAAAAAAAAAAAAAAAAAAAAAAAACAAGAAAAAGGTCGCCACTTTATCTCGCCGACCCTGCTGGTCTTCCCAAACCATGTGGTTATCGAGACTCACCATGAGGCGTATTAACTTGGCCCTTTTTTTTAATATAAAAAAAAATCCCTTTCGATGAATATAGACTGGTCGTGGAACTTGCCCGGGGCGACCGCAGACGTGAAGGACGCAAGGATGACCGAGACGGAAGGTAACGTACGGGTGAACTATACCATCATTCTCTTGAAATGGACTATATAATACACCCTTATTGTCTGCGGACTGAAATAGGGCGCCTTTTTTTTTGTTTTTGTTTTTGTTTGGGTTGTTGTTCTTTGTGTTCGTTTGGTAGCAATTGTGCCTGAGAATGGTTAGTCCGGCATGCACACCTACAGTGGATGAGCATCACACAGAAGCAGATACCGGCTTTGTCAATCGAACCCTTCTTTTTTCAGTCACGTCTATCACACCATTTGGGACAAATGCACAACCACCGCCAACGTGCCGTAGGGTTATTAGCCCATTACACCACCTAACAATGCTCATTCTTTTCTTTTTTTGTTCACTTTTAGATTCGGTCCACCAGAGCGCACCGAGTTCCGTCTCATTGTCGAAAATTTGGCTCATGGCACCAGCTGGCAGGTACGATAACTCTTGGGTGAAAAATTATGGTGCTCCTCCTACTCCTTCCGCGACGGGACGCTCTCCTCTTCCTCTCACCTCCTCGACAAGGGCGGCTGTCTGTCGATGGAAGGACCCTCTCAAGCCATGTGGAACTGGAAAGGGGCATACATACGGGATCCACGGAACCCTCAATGTGATGAACCCCTCCCCGGACACTGCCTCTAGATGGGAGTCCCCTCCATTGGAATCAACTGGTGGACGAAGGTCTCAGCCTTGGTTTCTTTCCATACGGATGACCAGAATCAAGCAGATACTTTGCTTATTGCCCGCCCTCGCTACGATGCCATGAAAAAAAGAAAGAAAAAAGAAGCAGCTCGGCCAGCCTACGAGCGGCTGCTGTTCTTCATGAGCAATACCATGCCTGGCTTGCTGTGCGGCCACCCTCCCCTCCCCCCCTCCTGAGGAACGGAAACCTATGCCATGTCTTTTGCCGCGAAGTGTTTTGGAACCCTAAACAACCCCTTTGCCTCTCCCTCCGCGTATCTCTCCCTCTATGTGTGCGCCTGGCTTCTTTCTCTACGACCCTCTTGGTGGCTCTACGGATGGACCTTTGTTTGCGTTCTCGTTCCTCGATGCGATTGGTCCGTTTGACCCTGAACAGGATATCAAGGATTTGATGCGCAAGGCTGGTGAGGTTACATTTGCCGATCTGAGCAAGGAGCGCGATGATGAAGGGTAAGGTCTCAGATGGCCATGCTGTTACTGTTGCTGCTGTTGTTGCTGTTGTGCGTTTTTTTATGTTGAAGACATGATATTGACACTAAATACTCTTTTCTTTGGGGGCGGGACCTATCTTGTTGATTCCGATGATGATCAGAGTGGTTGAGTTCTCGTCTGAGAAGGACGTCCAGATGGCGCTCAAGAACTTGGATGGCGAGAACCTGAGAGGCAAACCCATCTCCCTTCGCTTGGTAAATTCGACTTGTCCATGCATGCTTCTTTCTTTGACCAAGAAGGCAAGACGTCTTCTAAAATGAGCTTTCAAACTTAATTATATTCATCCCCGCTATGCTCTTTTCCCCCCCCTTTTTTTTTTCTCGTTAGTTCGACCCTGCGCGCGACAGCATCCCTCGCGACATGGGCCGTGGACGCGATCGTGACCGTGATCGCGGCGAGTTCGGTCGCGAGCGCCGTGAGCGCGATCGATATGATGGACGTGAAGAACGTGAGCGCCGTGAACGCGATCGTCGTGGAAGGTCCCGCTCCCGTAGCCGTGACCGAAAGCGATCGCACAGCCGAGAGCGTCGTCGTTCGCGTAGCAGAGACCGTACTGGCCGGTCTGATCGTGACAGAGAGAGAGACCGTGGCGGTCGATCGGACAGGGATAGAGAGCGAGATCGCGGAGGCCGTCGACCATCGCGTAGCCCTGTCCGCAGCAAAAGTCCTGTGCGTCGACGCTCTCGCTCCATGAGCAGGGATTGAAAAAACGTGTAGCCGAACTGGGCGTAGCCGAACGGACATTGGGGACCTTGAAAAAAAAAAAAAAAAAAAAAATACCAGACCCACCGGATAGGATATCATTTGGGGAACATTGATAACCAAAAGAACATTGATACGATTTTAGTAACCATTATCTACTTTTCCTCCCCATAATTTGGGAGGGAGGATCATAGGAAATTTGAATAAAATGACATTGAACAATCGAACCAGGAAGATGTTGTCAAATTGAATGGGAAGCATGCTTCTTGATGATACAAGTACAGCAGCTCTCCCTTCCCCCGGACCTTGTGGGGAGTTTTTTTTTTATTACTCGGTTTCTTTGTCCACCATGATTCCATATCCTCTATTTTTTTTTCTTCTTCTTTTCCTGCTTAAAAATATGCTTGATGGCCATTCGCATGCCATCCTCACTTCACCTATGCCATGAAAGGGGAGGTAATAATAATAATAGCAAAAAAAAAGAAAAAAAGAAAAGTGGCGGTCCTGAGAAATACAGTTGGGATCGACATCGTCTATATTGTGCGCAAGGAAAGAACGGATCGGACATCTTCCGTGAAGCGAAGTGCGTCCAAGAAGGGAAGCAGATCCAGTAATGCCTCGTCATTAGGGTCATCGATCCAGCTGTCAATTGGGATGCCATTCTCTATTCATTAAAAACGAAGAGAAAGAGAAGACCCCCCCACTTTGATGTTAGTTGTTTCATGCGATATATAATAACCTCACCAAAAAAAGAAGAAAAAAATGTCCAAAGAGTTAGTTATACATGCGCATGTGCGTGCGTGCAATACCTTTGTTCAAGGAGTATGATACAGGAGAATTGTCGAGCAAACAGACCGAAGACAGGTCCGAGTCAATTACAGTCAAGTCCTTCAAGTAACTGCCATTGCGGAAGAAACATGCCTATTCCCGATGAGTGGAAGACAATCAAACAAAAGAAACAAAGAAACCATCAGCGAAAGCGACAGATGGTGGGAGAGGGGGAGAGTGAAGATGTTAAAACCCTCAATGTTTTCCTGGTTGTGTCTTTTGCATTCCAATGATTTCCTGTGGGGGAAGTCCTCGTTGTTTTTCTTTCTTTTTCTTTTCCTTCTTCGAATCATAAATGATGTTGCAACGTACCTGGCGAAAGTAACGCTTTTCAAAAAGTGTCCGATTCTGGTCCAGCCAGTCAATAACAGGATCTGCGTATTCCGCCATCGACGCCGTGAATATCACCAGCTTGTACCATTCCGCGACCTAGAAAAAAAAAGATAAAGAAAAAAAAAAAAAACGCATTTGTTTGCGACTTGTCAGTCAATGAAGCTATAGGATAGCAATTACTTTCATCACTCCTGATCCTGAAAAGCAAGTCGTCCTTGCTTCTTTCTTTCTTTCTTTCTTTGCTTTTTTTTCTTTTTTTCCTGTTTTCGTTACCTTTTTCAAAAAATAATCCACATGAGGCCGCTTATGTACATAATACAGACACGCATGCCGGTCCACGAGCACCTCGACCATATATCCCTGGGATCTCGAACCCCTCGAGGTCGAATGGATCAAGGTCTCATCCAGATCAAGCACCAGCGTCTTCTTCCGATGATGTCCCACCAGTCCTGACAACGGTCGGCTCATCGTCATCTTCTGACGCAGCCTCGTACTGTTCCTTCCGCGGACCATTCCCGTGGCCGTCATCGACATCGTTGCGGAATTATCGCCCGATCCGTCCTCTGCCATCGAGTCAGTCCCGTATCCAGAGTTTATCAAGGCCGAGGTCGCCGTCGTCAGTGAGGGTCGTGAAGAGAGTCCACTGCTCCGCCTTGAAGAAGAAGACGTCGGCGTCGAAGACTGTGCAATCTCTTCAAGATCCGAGCGGGACTTGAACCGAGACGATCGCCTCAACATCGAATTGCCATTGTTATTGTGGTTGTTGCTGTTGTCGTTGCCGCTGCCATAGCTGTTCCCTGTGCCCGTCATGACATCGTCCTTGTTGCTGTAATTATGGATGGTCGAGATCGGAAAAGTTCCAAGATGATTATCCAGGGTATACTGCTGCAGAAACTTTTCTCCCACTGCGCCCACACCTCCATGTCCCTGTTGAGTCTCTATTCCTGTTGCTATTCCCTTGGCGCCAATACCACTGCTACTATTGATACTATTGCTGCTGTTACTGTTACTGCTACTGTTACGACGTTGTCGTCGCCCGACAAGTTTCTGAAAAGTCGCAGTGGGCAGGACAAAGAGTTGGAGTACAAACAAGTAGGTCAGATAGATGTATTTCAAAACCAAGGACCGACAGAGGGCGACCGATAGGGACGAGGCTGGGGGCGTCGATTTCGGAAACGAGGCGGTTGCTCCACTGGTCGAAGGCATGGTATTGTCACTGATGTTGTTGCTGTTGTTCGTGTTGACATCTGCAGAGGAGGTGGTGGTGGTGGTTAGAGTATGACTCAGAGTGGTACCAAGATCACTGTTGCTAGCGTTGTTTTTGTTGTTGTTGTTGTTGATCCCGAAGGTCAAAGTATCTCCGGCAGAAAGTAAGCCGACGATTGACGAAGGCTGGTATTGTTGTTGTTGTTGTTGTTGTTGTTGACGTGCTAGTGGGATATCGGTAGGAGTACGCAGTGCTGGAGAGTGAGTGAGTGTTCGCTGGTCAGTGTCCTCGAGAGAGTGCTTGATGGGCTCGTGTGAGCCGAAGGAGTAGCCGGCAGGCGAGGGTAGGTTGGAGGGCGAGATCATTCGTCCAGGGCGAGGGGAAAGAGGGGCGCGAAGAAAAGAGCAGGGAAAAGGGGGGGGGGGGGGGGGGGGGGGGGGGGGGTGGTTTCTTGGACTGCACAGAGTGAAGGAGTGGTTCCCAATGGGGAGGGGGTGATGGTTAGTCCTTTGAGGCGGGAGGGGTGAAGACGGGTAAAAAGCGAGAAAGAAAGTGAAAGTGGAAGGGAAGGACGCACCAAGCGATGAAGAAAGAAAAGGAAAGGAAAGGGGGGGTACACACCCATACACACACACAATAGCGTGTATGAAAGGATGAAGGGGATGAAGGGGATGAAGGGGATGATGACAGGGGGTTTCTGTGTTCACACTTCAGGCGATGAAGGAGTAGGATGCTCATCCGCCGCTTCCTTTTCTGGCTGATGACCGATGACCTGACCCTCCTCTTCTTCCTCCTATTCGACTTTCCATTGGTTGGGCACCCACTATGGAGATCCTTCGTCCGTATCCATCTGACATTTCCCTTTGGCACCATAGCCTCGACACTTCCTTGGACGGGATTTAAGTTTGCAATATCTATTTTATTATGATTATGATTATTGGTCCAGCATGTGCCCATGCATCGCATCGCAATTATTCACATTGCTATTACAGGAACACCCCGCCGATCACAAGCGCTGCTGCTGCTCCAACAACCACCCGCATCATCCCCATGTCCTCCCGTTCGAACGACGATCCCGAAGACGGCACAGGAACCAGTCCCAGTCCATTGCATCTGTATCCATGTGAGTTCATATGTGCATAATTCCCTGCCATATTCTTCACCGGACAGTTGAACTCCAGGAAATTAGGACAGCTCTGCACCACATCGAAACACAGGTCGATACACGGCAGCACCTCGCCATAATCCCCCGGGTTCATCAACGAATTCTGCGAAAGTTGTGCAATTGCCCCCCTGGACGTGTTCGTGTTCCGTTCCACAATCACCGGCCCATTCGTCCTGTCGATCAGATACGGATTTTGTGCCGTATTGGGATCCGCCGTCGGTGCCACATATCCAAGGTTGTTCTCCGTGTCCATAACATCCTCCACATCCGTGCACCGGGGGATCGACACACTGCACAGCCATCGACGGTACGCCCGTGTACAGTCCGTGCAATTGCGGATCAACGAGTACTGCGACTTGGAGCAGTCGTATTGACCAAGCACCTTCTGGAAGTTGTCCATCAAATTACTCGTAAAGTCATCATAGAAATGCTTAATGTCCTGATGGACCGTCGAATTGGCCGCTCCTCCGCCTCCAGGTAGTGTCGACTGAGGCGTGATCGGGACCGCATACGCGACCTCCTGACAGAACTGGAGATCCGTGATCAGCACACAATTGTCGTGTCGCTTCGTCCTGAACACCGTCATCGCATAGATCTCCTCAGCTCCCGCCTGGTTCAGTACATCCGTAATAAAGAACGCCGTGTAGTTCGTGCCCGGTGTCAAGGCCTGGATCAATACCTGTCGCCGCTGTCCATACTCCTCAAATGTTGGCTCTGGAGGCAGGATCAGCGTGCCCATGGATCCGTCCAGATTGCTGGTCCTGTTCGTCTGCGTGACAATCATGTTGGCCTTGGTCAACGGCACCGGTTGGATGGCATCAATGGCACAGAGCGAGTGTGTGAGGCCCACGGGCAAGGACGTCGAGTTGATCAGGTAAACCTTGAATGTCGGGACCGCCGTAAAGTTGTGGGTCAAGAAACTGGCGCTCGTGCTGTCCGTGTCATCCAGCACCAATCCCTGCGAGTCCTGATATCGCTGAACATATCCTAACAGTGTCCAATTGAATTTTTGCTTATGTTAGATACTCGACTGCCTTTGAAAAATCCTTCAAGGCTGGCTGTCCTGTTTTTTCTTACCTTGGCTCGATGCACCCACCTCCACAGCCCAGTCTCCTGTCCAAGTACCCTGAAGAGAAGGTGCCTGCAGGCTGAAGAAAATCTCCTTGTCCGTGTAAGTGGTAAATTGGATCAGCCCCTCATTACTAGTCACCATCTGGGTCTTGGGATCCTGTCCTGGTCCTGGCAGTGGCTGGCTGGCTGAGGTCGACACATACATCACCAGGGGTGGGCATACATCAGCGCCCGACCGTGGAGCAGAGCAGGTTGACACTGAAATAAAAACCGCATAGGTTCCATTGGGAAGAGGCGAGGGCAATATAGGTGCGATTGTTCGTGTCGGTGCTGGTACCGCGGTTGAAGACGTCGGGACTGAGGACGATCCAGAGGAGGGCAATGAAGACGAGGAGGAAGAAGAAGAAATACCCGGTGCCTGTCGTTTTTGAAACGATGCAGCACCGGCACCCGGATGGAAGATGATACGCTCGAGCTGTCTCCTGACAGGGAGACTCTGGGACTGAGCAATTGCAAAGTGGTAGGTCTGCAATTGGCCCTGAGCGACCCTGTCTGCGACTACTTGTCCGTCCTGGAGTTCTCTGGTGCCTGGAGTAAGACTGATCGTAGGTGTGGGTGGAGGAGGAGATGGTATTGGCATTGGCGACGGGCCCGGTACTATGGATTTCGAGGTTGAGGTGGCGGGAGAAGTGGAGGAGGAAGGGACAGAGGAGGATGGTTGAGCTGCTGTCGATGGTATGAGGATGGTGAGGGCAAGTATGCAGAAAACGACTACCGAGGCGAGAAGCCGACAGGGTCTCTCACCCCTTTGGGCGTTGTGTAGCATAGCAATAAAAGTAGATGCAAAAAAAGCAAGGAAAAAAAGCGAGCTAACGATGAAAGGTATGGAGATGTAACTAGCGGTGTGGAGGCGAAGAAGAAGGGCTCGGAATGAGACGAGGGAGAAGGAGAGGATGCAGTGCGATGGATTGAAGGGCGCCTGATGCAGTAACGAAGGAGTGGGATTACAAAGGAAGAGTGGAGATGGAATGGAGGGAGGGCTACAAATTAAAAACACAAATAGATACATGTCAGGAACACACCAAACCGCCTTCGCAGCTTAATGTGTGCTGGTTTCTGTTCAATTGCTTGCTTGACATTTGAACATTTGATGTGTATCCCAATACGCTCGAACAAAATCCATACAACACCAAATCATAAGTTTGTAAGTTTGTCGGAGGAGTGTGCAAAGAAAAAAATAAATAAAAATAAACTCCTGGAAACAGGCAGCGCCCACTCATCGCACCGTTGGACCATCGCATGGGATCACTCGAAGCACCATCCGGCCAGAGACCCACTCGGAGGGCTGCCACCAAGGCTGCGCTCGCTATCAAGTCCGAGGCGCAGGAGGGCGACGACGATGCAGTCGACAATACCAGGACCCCACGCAGCGCCGACAGAGACTACAATGCCTTTGCAGAGATCATGTCCACCAGAGCCCCCACAGCCAACAAAGCGCCTGCAGCAGCTCCAAGATCTCGGGTCAAAAAAACCATCGAAAAGAAACCTTCGCCATCATCATCTCTTTCATCGACCGATGTAGACATCATTAACGCAGCTGTATCCTCAGAGCTGGTCCCAGATCTAGAAGACCTGGTTGCAGATGCAGCTCGAGTTCGGATATCAGGAAAGCACTCTCGAAGCTATCACCGATTCACAACTCTTAAATCCCAAAGGCGTGTCCATGATGATCTGATAGCCTGGTACGATATCCATCACCGCAAACTGCCCTGGCGTCGGGACTTTCATAATCCGACTCCTCCGACAGAAGAGGACGCACCGGGTCAACGGGCCTATGAGGTTTGGGTCTCGGAGATTATGTGTCAACAGACCCAGGTGGCGACCGTGATCCCGTACTACAACACATGGATGGCGAAATGGCCCACGATTACGGATCTGGCCGCAGCGGATCTGGAGGAGGTGAATAAGGTCTGGACAGGGCTTGGATACTACTCTCGTGCGTCTCGATTACATTCGGGAGCCCAGAAGGTCGTCAAGGATTTCAATGGCGTTCTTCCAAGGTGAGGAACTGTTTGATAATGAAGTGAATCCCACTCTCTCTTTCTCTCTTTTATATATATATATATAACGAACACCATGGACTGATGACTGAGATGAATCTTTGCCCCCGATCTAACTTTTTAGTGACCCTGTGATACTGGAGAAGGAGGTCCCAGGGATTGGAAGGTACACAGCTGGAGCCATTGTATCACATGCGTACAATGTACCTGCAGAACTAGTCGATGGGAATGTGATCCGTGTCCTGTCCCGGTTACGGGCCATCGGCGGCGATGTAAAGGGTCCGAAAGTCGTTGATCTGCATTGGTAAGTTGTTGTTGTTGTTGTCTTCCAAGACGTCCCAGAATTCCTATTATTCATTCGGACTAGACAGGAATAGTAATTGAATATTGCGATGGGGGGGGGGAATATATTATTATTATTATTTTTGGTCAAATAGGTTGATTGCAAAAGAACTGGTGCATCAGAATCGTCCAGGGTGTTTCAACCAGGCCTTGATGGAACTCGGTGCTAAAGTCTGTACTCCTCAGAACCCAAAGTGTGGCGAGTGTCCAGTACAGACAAGCTGCAGGGCATTTGCGGAGGTAATTATTTTTCAATACAGTCTCCCGTTTCTTTTTTTTTTTTTGTTTGCTGACATACGGTAGCATCATAGCAAAATCAAGAGGCTGATCTGGTTCCTTTTTTTTTTTGTGTTTCTAGGCAGTGGACCTCAAGAAGAGCCGGCAGGAGACCATTGGAGCGTCCCAGAAGAGGTCGATCCAACGAGAGGATGATGACTTGACTGATGAGTGCACATTATGTCTGCCAGAGACCGACGCAGAGGGAAAGGATCAAGGGCTGGTAACGCAATATCCCCGGAAAGCTGCCAAGAAGGCACCCAGGGATGAAGGTAATTCTACATGTGCGACTTGCACGATTTAGCTACTATTGCCTTGGAGATGTACTAACTCTCACTTTTGTTTTCATTTCAATAAGAATGTGCGGTATCCATATTGGAGCGCGTAAGAAGCGATAAAGAGTCAGGAGAGTCCAAGTCAGAGTTTTTGCTAGTCAAACGACCTGACAAGGGCCTCTTGGCCGGGATGTGGGAGTTTCCGACCGTGGAACAGGATCAATTGCAGACGGACCACAAGCAAACAGAGCTCTCCACCTACAGCCAACGCTCCGAATCCAGTCGCAGGTATCTGAGCGAGACCCTCAAACTAGACTGGATCAAGGACTGCAAAGACCTTCAAAGGCGGGACCTTGGGAGTGTCCAGCATCTGTTCTCGCATATCCGAAAGGTCTACCACGTAGAATGGGTCCTTGTCAAGGACGGAGAGGATGTGATCAGGGCAATCAAAGAGACGAACGAGAAGAAGAAAAGTCCAACAAGTCTGGAGACCCAATGGCTTACGGTCCAAGAACTGGAGACGGCTGCGATCCCCACGGGGATCAACAAGACCTTCCAGTTGCTCCAAAAGTACAAGACCGGTGCTGGCAAGAAGGACCTTGACGATGGCTCCGAAGGAAACAAGCGCAAAAAGACGGGAGGGCCTGAAGGAGGTTTAGGGAAGGACAGGAAGAAGGTTAAGAAGGAGGAGGGGCTTTCGGACATATCAAAGTTCTTCAAGACACCACCCTCCACAGGCGAATCGCCATTTTGTGCATCAAAGAAGGGGACGACCCCATTTGAAAGATAGAATAAAATAGGGCAATAAATTATGGCAAAGAAAAAAGATCTGCAAGCACACTTCACTTACACCTTCCCTTCGCGCTTCAGAATCACCACCATGGTAATCGACCGAGCATCCCAACAACGTCCAACCCCTAGTTCGCGAACCCTAGCCCTTAAAAACAAAGAACCGCCGAGTCTGAACCATCGCGTTTCTTTTTTTTTTTTAAATTCTCCATTCCAAATGTTCATAGCCCATCCTTGCACTTGAGATCAAGGCCTCGCTCGAGAACATCACCAACCTGGTCCCTGCTGATGCCGACCATACCTGGCACTTCAAGATCCAGTGCACAAAGTGCCGTGAGATCGATTCTAATTATATCACTATGAATGCCATCGTAAGAGAGAAAAAAAAAAAAAAGCACAGGGTTCAAATGCAAGATCGTATCTTATTCTATGATCGTCCAACTTTGCTGACATGGACTCTTTTTTTCTTTTTCTTTTTCTTATCTCCCTGGAACTTAGGAAAAGGCTGAGATGGGATCTGGACGTGGCGAGGCCAATCTGGTTATGAAGTGCAAATTCTGCAAGTGCGAGAGTTCTGCCGGTAAAGGCACCTTCAACCCCCCACTTTTCCTCTCTCTCTCCATTGAAACTACATCAATCCCCCCCACACACGCTCGAAATGACTTGAAGAATAACCCAGGAAACTCACCTCCGCGTTCCTTGACAACCCAATGTGCTAGATTTCGTCTCAAAGCCCGTGCCCTATACATTGGAGAAGAGCGAAAAATTCGCGCCCATCGTCACGATCGAATGCCGTGGATTGGAACTGGTCGGATTCGAGCCAAGGGACGGATGGAAGGCCGAGGGCGCAGAGTCAGGAACTGTGTTTGATGAGATCGATTTCACGGAGGGTGACTGGGGCGATTACGATGAGAAGGTATGGGGGGAGGTTCGAGAGTTTCTTTGGGAGAAGAAGAAGGAAATGAAAAGAAAAGCGCTGCTTGATACGCGTAACAGTTGTGAGCTGTAGGGAAGATGAGAGTCGATCGAGTAGATATTGACGTTGAATCTTTTTTTTTTCTTTATTGTTTTTTAGTCCGAGTTGCCCGTTGCCATCTCCAGCATCGAGGCCCGATTCGTCAAGACCAAGTAGAGAAAAAAAACACCTCCCTAGGAGTGCACCTGTTCGTTAATAAAGGAACCCAAGAGCTTGCGATACATTTCCGATGGGATGCACACTACACATAATCGCACATGAACGTTTGTGGCCTCAAACGGGCGATCCATGGTTCGCTGGATATATGATGGCCCACCCTTTTTTTGTGCCACATTTTGATGCGTCCCCCCCCCCTCTCCCTCCCCCTTTTGTAAAAACACGGTGGTATCCGTAGGCGGATATAACATGTATATATATCGCCACGCCACGACGCGACTTGATGGTAAAACACCCTCGTTCATAACATCGACTTTGGTGATATCTTCCGCATCAAAGTCACTGCCTCCCAATCGACCATCTCGACGGTAGTGCCTGCCTAAGCTCACTCCGTGCTCTGCAGCGCGTTCTACAAAACACTCTGCCCCTACCATTTCAACCATTCCTTGGGGGAAAAAACTATCCCGGACAATTTTGCGTCCTACATGGGGGGGGGAGGGTCATTTTTCCACATCAGGATCCGCTCCTACTAACCGAACTCTTTTCCCCTCAAATCCTTCCCCCCCCCGAATCCTCTGTCGATTATACCTTTGTCCCTCAAAACGCGAAACTAAAACTCTTGTTCTGAACACCCACACGCGTCTTTAGCGGGGATTGTCAACACAGGCAGCATCGATGAATGTTAGCGCTAGTCAACAAAAAAGAAAAACAGAAACATTCGTGCAGAGGGATCCAAGACCGTGTTTTTTGGGGGGGGGACACCTTTTGCCTGTTTTGAACAAAGAACGGGGTGGGGAGGTGGGCGCTTTGCTGCTGTTTATCCCCCCCGCTGACATTGATAAACGAACATTGACCCGGATTTTTTTTTTTATCTTTTTCAAAGAATCTATTTCTTTTATTGGTCGTGATGCTGGGGCATGGAGTGGGCATATATTTTGTTCTGCAGTGATGCACTGTCTTTTTTCTTTCTTTCTTTCTTTTTATGTAATCACACGAAGATGAGGGATGGGGAGAAGGATGACAAAGTAGTAAGGAGATCGACAAAAAAAAAAATAAAAAAAAGGGAAGAAAAAAGAGTAATTTAGAAGCGGTTCCAGGACATGTTGCCGCGGACGCGAGCATAATCGGGCAAGCACTCGATAGGACCAATGCCGACCATGGCGACCTCACGGTCCCAGAGGTACTGGGAAGCCACGCGGTGCACATCCGCAGCCGTGATCTTGTTGATCAGCTTCTCGACCTCCTGGGGCGAGGTGCGCTTGCCGGTCGTGACCAACTGGCGACCGATATCCTCAGCAATGGCGGTCGTTCCGTCCAAGGAAAGGAGAAGCGACGACTTGAGCTGCTGCTTGGCACGCTCGACCTCAGCGGTGGTGACCGAGGTGGTCAAGCGAGCCCACTCCTTCTGCGCAAAGTGGACCAAATCGTCCTGCTGATCCTTGTTCTCGGTGATGAAGTAGATTCCAAAGAGACCAGTGTCGGTGTACGAAGTGTTGAAGGACATGAACGAGTTCGCCAACTTGTACTTGTGGACAAGGCCCGAGAGTCTAGACGAGGCGTCAGCAGAGGCGCCGAGGGAGCGGTCCCAGGTACCGATGATCGACTGCATCACAAGCATGGTATAGTAGTCAGGCGAGGTCCAGCCGCAGCCCTCGACAGCGATAGCAATGTGGGCCTGGGGCATGAGGTCGTCCTGAAGACGGATCTCCGATCCAGTGAAGTTGGGAGGGAAGGAATAGGTCTTGCCCAAACCAGCGGGGTGGGGAGAGACGGGGAGCTTGTTGAAGTGCTGCTCAGCCAACTGGACCAAGGCATCGTGGTCGACACCACCGGCACCGACAAGGACCATGCGGTCAGCAGTGTAGTTGGTCTTGATGTAGTTGGCGAGGTCGTCGCGGGTCAATGACTTGATGTTCTCCTTGGGTCCCAAGATAGTGCGTCCGAGGGCCTCACCTAAAAAATCCGCAAGAAAACAAATGTCATGAAGTATGAGAAGATTGTGTAGAGATAACGATGGCGTCCGAGCTGCGTCGTTGTTTGAACAAGAAAACCGTACCCTGGAAGGCAGTGGCGTGCAAATGATCAAAGACGACCTCCTCCATCTGCTTGTCGACCTCCTGCTGCTCGCGAAGGATAACATCGCGCTCACGCTCGATGGCTTCGCCGTTCAAGGTCGAGTTCTGAAGGATGTCGGAGATGATTTCGACGGACTTTGAGATGTCAGTCTTGAGGGATTTGGCGTAGTAGACAGTCTGCTCGCGGGAGGTGTAGGCGTTCAAGTGGGCGCCCATGTTCTCAATCTGGATCTCGAGATCGTGCTGGCCACGGGTAGCGGTACCCTAATTGCACAACCAAGGGAAGAAAATGGTGGGAAACGCTATTGTTAGATTAGTTGATTCATGCGCACTTGATCCTGGTATAACCTGCCACCTGTCAATGGATCCCTGACGAAAATGAGGAAACGCGTTTTCCAATGACCTCTCCAAATATCCAGGGTTACGTTTCGGGCATTCCTAGAGACCTTGCCCTCAGGGGACAATCGCGTCGTCAATCTACGATGTGCTGCTGTTTCCATCTCCATGTAGATATCCTGTCCTGAAAGGTCGGACCCCAAATGCTGCAGCGTCGCGATCCGTGCTATGCGGTTCTTTACCTTAAAGGCCATATGCTCCAAAAAGTGGGCAGCGCCGTTGTTCTTGGCATTCTCAGCGCGGGAACCAGCATCAATGAAGACACCGACGGTAGCGGTCTGGGCCGAGGGGTTGGACTCTGTGGCGACAGTCAAGCCGTTCTTGAGCGCGGTAATACGGGTGCCAGAGACGTGGGTGGCAGCAGCAGTGGCAAGAGGACGAACAGCCTGAGGTGAACAAAAGAAACGCGAACAAAAGCATTAGCATCGCTACGCTTCGTATCCACTCTAGAAGCAGATAGATCGACTCGAATTTCGGCGCTTAATTCGGTGTGATGTTCCGAGTCAAATGCGTCCGCAAATCTTGAGTAAAAAAAAGTCGTGATAGCTGGCAAAGGCTGATTGCGCGCTGATCAGCACAATCTTGTTGATGGATGTTAAACGTTTCGCTCGCGGAAATCAGATCCGCTGCTGGAAGAAATTAGCTCGCGATCTGATCATGAACCCATGTTGTCGTGTCCTGTTTTCCTGTTTGCACGAATCCCGTAAGGTCCGGAACATATTCGTATGACGAGAGAGGCGTCTCACTTCGAACGGGGATGTATATGTTGTTGTTGATCGTTCGTCTTTACCTGGCGAGCCAGGCTGAAGCGGCCAGCCCTGAAGGCGGTGGACAGGAGAGCTGATGCCATGGTTGGGAAAGGGGTATGGGGGAAAAGGAAGCAGAGGGATGGATGGGTTTTTTGGTTGTTGGTGTCGAATCGCCGATCAATAGACTCTCCGGAGGGGGGTGCCACAGAGGCACGTACAGAGGGGGGGCTGATTAAGGGGACAGTGATTTTACGTGACAAAGGCTCGGAAAACCCTCGGGGCAAATCCGAAGAAGAGCACACACACACACGCACACATTCACGTTCGTCCATCCCCATCCTCCTGCCCTTACTTCCGCACCCCACCCCACTCCACTCCACCCTCACTCCATCCCCACAATGGCCCTCAGACTCACTGCCTCGCCCATCAGCCGCGCTGCCCCTGCTCTTCGCTTGGCCGCTGCCATGCGCTCGTCCTCGGGCGTGAACACCCGTGTTTACTTCCATGCCTGTAAATATACCACCTCGCCACTCCATACATATTCATCCCAAAGCATCTTCCTGGGCACGTCCGCAAGCTCGTCATCAGCACTCTCTGGGCACGATCTACATCCCGGTGGACCATTCATTCTCTCAACACGCGGAATGTCTGGCTTCCGAAGCGACAGCAGGATCTCACCGCGGAAAAGCACGCGAGTGTCCTTAATTTTATCTATAACCACGGAGGAAAATAATAACAACAACAAAGAGCACTACCTTGCAGCATCCGAAAGGGGCATATTGCGGGGATGGTGTCGCTATCGCTTTAAAGTAGCGATCGATGCTTGATCTGGAATGTCGCCGCTGAGATCCTGTCTCTGACTGGGACATCAGCAACCCTGCTTTGACTTGATTTACATTGGAATCCGACTTTGATTCGCTCTTCGGCAACCCAGAAATAGAGTCCCATAGGAACTTGCTGCCTGCTGTCCCCTCGTCATATGCACTTCTTGTCCAACACACCTTAATTTCTCTCACTTCCGCCCTGGATGCCCTGGTTACTCCCGATAACTGATGATCATTTTGCTACTGTGCCAACAACCTTCATCATAGCTCGCACTGCTGCTGCCACTGGCCAGACCTCTGGCGATGTCACTGATGTCTACAAGCCTGTCGTTTACAAGATCCCTGCCCCTAACCAGATGCACGGATCCTACCACTGGGACTTTGAGCGTCTGCTGTCGGTCGCGTTGGTCCCTCTGTTTGCTGCCTCGGCCATCAGTGGAGCCCACCCTATTACGGACGGTCTCTTGGGAGTTGTTGTGCCCATTCACGCCCACATTGGTTTCGATGCCATGGTGACTGACTACCTCCACCCCGGCAAGGTCGGCGTGCTTGGCAACAAGTCCATCAACTGGGCTCTTCGCGGCGCGACTGTGTTGGTCCTGGTCGGATGCTACCAGTTCAACACCTCGGATATTGGATTGACCGAGTTGGTCAAGAAGGCCTGGGAGGCATAAGCTGTTGAAGGAGAAGACGAAAAAAGCAGACAGAGAACGGATGAAATAATATATAAAAAAAAAAAAAAAAAAAAAAAAAAAAAAGCTATTGGGAGTTTTGTTCAAACATCACCATGATCATCTTGACAATTGTTTGGCTTCATATCAGTTTAGCTCTGTCTGGGTCGTGATTGACACTTGGATCTCTTTTGTCAATTCGCGTAAGACCGCTGGATTACATACGTCCTAGTGGGATACAGTTTTTTTTGGCTTTAGACATTCCGCTTTGCGAGGATCTAGTTTGCGGATACACAGAATGAGAACCAACGAATCCCTATCCTGCAAAACAAGTTTACCCATGAAGTCGTCCTTCCCTTTTTCCCTCTTCAAGCTCGAACAACAACCACAGGACATGACCAGGCCTGACCAGATACTTCCACGAAAGGCAGGAAATGGGATGGAGAACGAACACATTCCTCTTGCCTGTTTTCTTTTTCGACTCTCTGTCTCTCTAGACATTCTGGATATCTAGACAAGACAGTCTGCCTCCCTGCATTCTTCTATGGAAAGTGTCAATGAGTTTTTTGTTGCGGGGATTGTGTACAACAGCATACATCTTGACAAGCCCTTTGTCGATTAGTCTATAGAAAGAGGGGTTTTTTTCCTCTCCTCCTGACACACTGGAAATGCTGCACGGTGCACAGTGGTCGGGGTGATCAACCGGGATTGGGTGTTTTGTGCGCAGCTGTAGGCAAAGAGACAATCGCCAGACCGCTACTTTCTGCAGAGACGGGCAGAAGAGACGGGGGGGATGATGACTGGGAGGGCTGCATTGGTTGCGCTGACACGCACAAGGCCTCCTTACAGTATGGAGGAAGGTAGAAAAAAGAGAAAGTAGAAAAAAAAGGGTTTCTTTTCAAGACCCCGCCATTGCAATTGAGCGCTATTTGGTTTATCCTCCTCTCCGGTTGCGAATATATCCGAGGGAGCGTGTCTGCGACTGAATTGGGCTGGATATAGACTAGCAGCCGTCATATGTGCCTCTCTGCTTAGACAACGCTAGTCCCGCAATAGGGGACAGCTTGCATTTTCCATTTGGTCGGGTGTGGGTGCGGGTGCGGGTGCGTCATATTGGCTCGAGAGTACCGCCCGCATGTCTGCGCATGGCTGAAGTCAGTCCTTCGTTGGTCGAAGCCAGGGACCGCTCATTCACTGGATATATAAAGCGCTGTCCATCCCGCCTTTTTTTTCCTCTTTTCACCTCCCTCTCTCTCTTTCCATCTCTCTCTCTCTCTTTCCATCTCTCTCTCTCTCTCTCTCTCTCTCTCCCCGCTTCCTAATGTCCTGCTGCTGCCGCTGCTGCTCCTTATCTTCACTTAGCACAGCGCCGCTCCTCTCCTCCATACACCCTCTTTGCCGTCCTCACCGTCTTTCAAGGACAGACTCTCTCGCACATACCCCTCGCAGAGTGTGATATGCACATTGATCGTCCGCTTCTTATCTCTCTCTCTCCTCCAATCCATACCCGGCAAACAATTGCCTGCACACACCATGTCGACCACTACACCCCCATATCCCACCACCACCACCACGGCAGCACCCTCTGCTTCAAACTCAATAGCGCCGCCCAATTCCACCTCCACTTTCACCACCTATACCCCCACAACCGCTCTTCTGTCGCCCTCTGCTACACCTAGCAACAGCCACAACAACGGATCAGATGGATCGAATGGCTCCTTCAACAACCCGAACACCACTGGATTCAACGGCGGATTGCCTATCCAGTCGGTCTTCTACGTCATTGCCTTCCTTGGGCTGATGATGGCCATCTTCTATACCATCTATATCGCCCGCCGAAACCGTCGCCGTCGTCGTGCCGCCCGCGCCGCGAGGAATGACAATGATCCTGAGATGGGCGAGCGTAGGATCACAAGCACATGGCGCTCAGATGCCAACGATGAAGGCAAGTACCCATCCACATGGCCGTTTTTTATATGGCTGTCGGACCCGCTCTTCCATAGTTACATCATCCTATTCCTAGTCTCGGCCTATACTGTGTATCGCGTCTCACAAGAGAAGAGATATACAAATATGACGATGACGGTGGCTCTGGATCAAACTGTGAGCAATGTATCTGAATATATATATCCAGATCCTAACCGCTTCTTTTCTACAATGGATGGGACCCGAATAGCAAGCCCTCCCCAGTACATGTCGTACATGTTGGACCAGCCCGTCCTCGACCCAGAGTCCGTGGTCGTGTATCCGGACCCTGTCCACTTTGGAACCGCACAGCAGGGTCTGATCCAGCACATAGCTCTTCTGGGGCAGCATCAACAGGAGTGCGACCTTTCATCACAGGACAATGACTTGACCCGCCCCATCGTCACCACCACAACCACGACTACAACAACCACAACGTTGACCACGGCCCTGTCTCCTCCTCCACGCTCGTTCGCGCCGATTGTTTCCTCCGCAGCAGCGCAGCAGTCTTCTGCAGACAGGTGCGATGTTAATCAACTTATCACGGAAGAAGTCTCAACCCCAGCTGTCTCAACCCCACAAGACCCAGAGTCATCAACACCAACATCAACATCAACAACAACCTCGCCGACCTCGTCTGGACTTGCGTTCTTGGGCGGAAGACATCTATCGATTCTGCGTATGGGACTCACGAACTACAGCCGTGGTCATCACAACAGTAACCGCAATTCCCAGGTCTCCCATCGCACTAGTCGTTCTTCGCCACCGTCTTCCAGCAATCCATCTCCGACAGCCTCCAGATCTGCGTCCCCTCATCGCGGCAGCAACAGCAACAGCAACAGCAATCGGAACTCCGACGTCCCGACTGTTTCGTTCGCAAGGCCCGATTTGGACTCTAGTGCCAACCGCGACGACAACAGCAACAGCAGCAGCAGCAGCAGTGGTACTGGTAATGGCGAGAACAACCGCTTTTGTGAGAGCATTGTCAGCATCGACACTGTCGGCAGCAGCAGCGCGATGACGGAGCGGAGCGAGAGCAGCCGGTCGGGTTTGGTGATGCCTCCGGGACTATACCGCCACAGGAGTACGGGTCCACCACCGTATATCCCCCTGTCACCCGAGGCGGCCCCGCCACTGCCTCCGTCCTACAACGCGGTTGCGTCTGACATCTAAGTAATTTACGTCTTAGTAATTTATGGGATGACTCTTTTGTTAGCCCTTGTACCATATATTCTCCCATTGCATCTTTCTTGTATCTATCTACACTCTATCTTTTTTTTTTTCTTTTTTTTTTTTTTGCATGAATAAAATTGCATACGCCTACATTGACTAGGGCATAAGAAAAAGAAAAAGAAAAAGAAAAGAATAACAGCGGTTTTTTTGTGAGTGGTCAAAGGCAAAGGGGGTGGAAAGATAACTGGTATGTGTCCATGTGGACAACTTTAGATTTTATTCTCCGGAGAAACTCTATAGCCGGGTGTGGCAGGGTGGCAGGGCCTTTTTGGCCGAACTGTCCCCCCTCCCTATGGGACTCACTCTCTCACACAACATTGGAGGGTTTAGGTCCGCTATGTTGCGCGTATATCTTTTTTTTTTTTCGACTTTAAGCATCGCATTCATGCGCCGACCCGTGTAAAGCGCCCTTGGTGTACCTTTGTTTCTTTTTTCTTTTCTCTTTTTCTTTTTTCTTTTTTCTTTACCGGAGAGCTGTTTTACCCACGCAAAAGAAAACACACTCGTCGGTACACGGCATTACCCCCCTACCGGATCCCCCATTGTGTCCCGACGGACGCGTCTTTTTGGTTAGGCAGAGCCACTGAACTCTGAATGCGTGAGCTTTCTTCTACTGCTACTACTACTACTGCTACTACTACTGTTCTCCTTACAGTCGTGCTTCCCATTGCGCAAACCGCTCCGTTCTAGTTATTTGGTCAATGTTGTATATAATAGCACTACACGCACACTGCACCTGCACACACACACATACACACATACACCTCTATTAGCTAACATCCCAAGTGGTATGTTTGACTATAGAACCTCGCTTTGATAGCGGTGAACAGTCTGTCACAAGTATCGGGTCCCGAATGGGATGTGCAAATCTTGCGCCGCGCATGAACTCTTTCTACATAGACAACCAACCAACCAACCAAAAAAATAAAAATAAAAAAAACTATCCATCTGAATGAGAAGTTCTTCTCGCAGAAGCTTAAAGCAAACAAGCGTTTCCTCAGGAGTGAATATAGACTGCAGGTAGACAAGACAAAGACAAAGACCAAGCTGCCACTATTCTGGGCCCCCCATACGCGCTCACTTTGGCCTTCTTGTCGTTTCTTCGCAGAGTTCTCATAGACTAGTCGAGAAGCCAGGGGCAACGGACGCAGTATTTTCACATTAAAAAAAAAAAAAGTCCATAGATTCCTCTTTTGCTGAACTTCATCGTTTTTGCGATATAGAATGTTGGCTGCAGGATGCATGTGCTGTGTGAGAGAGAGAGTGCCTGTGGACATGAAAAGTGACGCCCATTCATTCCTCCATGTACTTGTACTTTGTTGCCCTTTTTGTGCTGCTCTGCGTCCTACTGGCGAGGGAACTCTTGGGAATGACTCAATTTAATGATGCGCAGGAGGAGGAGGAGGAGGAGGAGGAGGGAGGAAGCTCAAAGGCGTATTCAAGGGTCTACACAGCAATCAAATGAACCAGTGGTAGGTAGTGAAAAAAAAGGCACAAACGGTGATCGAAGGGAAATGTGTCAAGGGGGGCTCGTATATCCATGTAGAACAGAGTATTAAATAACAAACTACCACGGGGACCTGTTGGACATGTTCTGGGGGGGACCCTTGACGGCTGTTATTGGAGGAACGAGCGACCCATGCCTCTGTACAGCATAGAGCACGAACCGGACCCTCCCCGCCCTTCTGGACTAGAAAAGATATATGAAAAAAAAGACCTTCCTTCTGGCGCAGTTTCAACAACATCGGGGAATAGGGAGAGAAGAGATCTTTGACCCTCCCCCTTGCACCTGTATGGATTTAATCTTATCAGTAAATTAAGGGAGGAGAAGGATGTGGAGGAGGAGGGAGGGAGGAAGGGAAGCACGGAGCATTGGGTTTGAGAGATTACAAGGAAGAAGGTATCATGCAGCCATGGACCAAGCAATTAAACAGGCAATTTTGCATGAATACGATGCCATGTGGCACAGGCCATTCGAGTGTCCTCCTTTCCTTGACGAAATCGGTTCCTGAAGATGTTGCCCAGATCTATCCAAATGAAGGGAGAAAGGAGAGAACGAAAGGAGGCACCGGAAATAGAGCGGCCACAGCTCTTTTTAAGGACCTTTGTCCCATCTCCATGTTCTCTTTTACTTCCGCAGAGAGAACAGAACATGGGCTTTTGAAGACGGTATCCGGGAGGAAAGGCGGTGTCCAGGATGGGGTCCGGATCTCACAGGCGACTTGACAGCAGAGGGAAGGAAAGAAAAGAGCGGGGTTCAGGAGGCAGAATGGGCTGTAAAACCTGCACCGCATATGGCCATGAACATCCACCACGCCTTCATGGACGCAAGTAGTTGAAGTGTGCATCGCAAACAGGGCGTGCTGTGCACCCCTTCCGGGAACAGAACAGAACGATGTCCTCCCCCCCCCGACCGTTGAGCAGCTCCCTTCTTTCCTTCTTTCTTTCCATCCTTCTTTCAGCTCACACTCTCCGACGCCGTGTCCTTCTTCTTTCTCCTTCCCACTCCCACCCTTCCGGCCTTCTCCCCCTCTCATCATGGAAACACACACCCATACACACACACCCACTGCGACGACAACATCCTCTCCCACTCCCTCCACCATCTCCTCCTCTTCCTACCTCAACCTCGACTCTGGCATCTTCATCTACGCCATCCTCGTCATCGCCGTCCTCATCGCCGTCGTTTACTTTGGCCGCGTCTGCCTCGCCAAACGCCGCTACCGTCGCCGTGCCCTCAAAGACTCGGACTACGAAGGTAAAAAAAACCACCCAACCGTCCTTTACTCTATTTTTTCTTTATTAAGCTTGGTCTGTGTCTCATCTATGGTTATTAGTCCGTGTTCCTGGCGCATTAACTCTATCTCTCGAGAAACACTTCTCCCCTCTCCCCCTCTCCCCCCTCCCCCCTCCATCCCATGCATCATAGTCGGCCCACCCATGTACTTGCAACACCTCGACGACCTACAAGTCATCGACACACCACCGCCGCCTCGCGACCTCATCCACCCTCCTTCATCATCATCCGCCCCTTCTTCTGCTTCCGTAGGTCATTCTTCCACCCCAGAGACCTTCGACCCCGCCGCACCGGGTCCAGCACTGGTCCGTGGAGAGAACTTTTGTTTCGTCACCTCACTTCCTCACTCACACTCCAGGACTGAATCTGCAGCTTCTGGACCTGTCGCAACAGCCACCGTAGCAGCAGCAGCGCTCGTCACAGCAGCACCAATAACACCAGCACCAGTAAGGGCAGCGTCAGCGGCGGTGGCAGGGACAGTGACAGGGGGATTTGGAGAAGAGGAGCCGCAGCCCCCGGCGTACGAGGATCTATCTCCACGCGAGCCTCTGATCTTCAGGAGGGGATGATCTTGGGGGGGAGGGTTTTACCATGGGCCCTCTGCAAGCTGGTGCTTCAGAATTAGAAATGCATCCCCCATTAGGATGCTTGGCTTTTGAACAGCAGGTATACGCGCGCGCACTTGTTTTTGTGTCATACATCATAACGAAAAAAAAAAAAAAAAGAAAGGGTTGTTCGTCTTTTGGGCTTGAGAACATGTAGACTACTTCTATCGATCTTTCTATTCATCCATTCATGATGAAAAATAAAAACAAAGAGAAAAAAGAAGTACCAGATCCTTTTCATGCACATCCATCGATTGAAGAAACGATTCTTCACAGCAGCATTTCTCGCCTGCTCTTTATTATATAAATTATCGGATCGGATTAGTTGTTTTTCTTTTTCTTTTTTTTTTAAAGTCATTAGCTAGAATCGTGTATAAATGGTATGCGTTTTGGGAGGGGGGTTTCTGGAGGAAAGGAAAAGGAAAAAGGAACCCAGGTTCGAGGGAGCGATATATGAATAAATATAATAAAATAAAAATAAATAAACGTCCCTTATGAGTTATGCCAGCCCCATCCTTGGGTGCTATCACCTTGTTGGACGATCGGGCCCGAGATATTCCTCTGCAAGACCTCTCGTTCATGCTGTCGCTGCTGTTCCTTCTCCTTCTTGGCCCTATACTTCCTCACCACCACCATCGCGATCCCCACATACGCTGCCGTCGCCAACCCGACCACCGCACCGATCACCGGTCCATGACTCTTCCCCCCCGAGCCCGGCGTCACCGTCCCCGAATCGCCCGTCAACGGGTCCGCGATACTCGGATCCTGGGTTCCATCATCACCTCCGCTGCCGCTGCCGTTGCCGTTGCCACGGCTGCTGCCATTGCTGCCGCCACTGTTGCCGCCACTGCCGTTCGAGCCCGAGGTCGGGGGACGGTTACTGAGCGGATAAGTCGGGTCGAGGTACTGTCCAAAGGTATCGGCGCCGGGGATATGGAGCGAACTATCCCTGTCCTTGACCAAGGTCTCCAGGTTCGAATACTGAGTTCGAGGGATCGCGACAGTGACCAAAATCGCGTCCGCGACATTGGTCGACGTCACCAGCGCCCGCTTCCTCTTCGCCCCTTCTCCTCCTTTGCCGCTGACCTGGTTCTTGTTCATCATCGAGGACTGATCGGATCCATCCCGGATCGCCAGCACGAGGATCAAGCTCGAGTCCACTCCCAGGACCTGACTCAGCTGTGCAGGAATGAACGACACGAGCTGGGCGGCGAGGACACCATTGTTGATCACCTGATAGTACGATACATGCTCATATCGCAGATGTACGTTGAATGAGCCATCAGGAATGTCCGGGTGCAGGTTCGGGATCACCACGTCCGGAAGGGATGTGCCAGGCGAGGGAGTCGAGGTCGTCTGCGGGGCCGTGATCGGGACGATCGTGCTGGGGAGCCAGGGGGTCGTGCTCCGTGTGGATCGGGTGTGATGCGATGTGGTCGGACTATTCGTCGTGGTCGTCGTGATCGTTGCAGCCGCAGTAGTCGTAGTCGTAGTCGTAGTAATCGTAGTCGTGGTAGTGGTAGTAGTGGTGGTAGTAGCAGCAGTAGCAGTAGCAGTAGCAGTAGCAGTAGCAGTCGTGGTTGTGGGACTAGGGGTAGGGGTCGGGATGGACGTGGCAGTAAGATTCGTCGACCCAGTCGTCGCTATCGTCGGTCTCCGCCCAGAGCCCATCAGCGTGGTCGTCACCGTCACCGTCGTCGTCAAATTACCCGATAATACCGGCGTCGGTTCCACGGGAACAACGCTCAGGGTCAATGAAACCGACGCCTCTGTCGGGACAACCGGTGCCGGCTCGGTCGTCACCGTCGGCGTCAACTCTGGTGTCACTGCCGTCGTTGTCGTCTCAGTCGTGTGGGTGATGGTACCATGCGTAACTTCCGTCCGTGCACCTGTACCTGGTACTGTGATGGGTGTACGGAGAGTCGTCGTCACTGCCGCACTTGACGACGACGACGACGACGACGACAATGTGGCTATGGGAGCAGGCTTATGTGGTTCGTGAGACTCCTGCGTAGGAGTGGTACGGGTATGGGTATGAGTATGAGTGTGGGTACGGGCACGGGTATGGGTACGGGTACGGGTATGGGTATGATCAGGATCTGAGTGGGTATTGTGTGGTGATGTCGAATGAGTCTTCCTTGTGCGATGGCCCCTGGATTTCGTCGACAACTCTGGCTCCGGCTCCGAGGTATGCTTTGGCTTCGGCTTTGGCTTTGGCTTTGGGTCGGGTTTCGACTTTGGCGTTGGCGTTGGCGTTGGCGTTGGCTTTGATTTTGGCTTTGGCTTTGGCTTGGACTTGTGCGTAGGTGCTGGGGTTGAGGTCGGAGTGAGAGTCGAGGAGGAGGTGGTAGTGGAGGAGGAGGATGTTATCCTCTTCTTCTGTCCCATCTCTTCCTCATCGGGTGCTCCGGCCAGGGGGCCTGGCAGCGGCAGGTCTGCGCGGACGTTTGCATGGAGGACTGCGAGCGGAGATATCGCGTCTGCATTTGCCTACAGATAGTTCGTAGATGATACGCGAACAAAGCAGACAAAATTCACAGACGATATGAGTATACACGAATGTTTGTGATGCAAGCATCCTGGAGATATCTGCAGTCTCAAGGGGAGGAGGAGGGGATAAGGCGAGGAGTACAGGGCTGTGGGTGCGTGGAAATGGGTAGAGTGCGATGATAGGATAGGATGAAAAAGAATCCGCATGCTAATTGCACACATCTCTGCAACAACAAAGACAACGAGACGGCAGAAGAGAGACAGAGAAAAGAAAAGAGCTGAGAGCCGCGAGTGCAGAGATAGAGAGCGGAGCGGGAGAGGGAGATGAAGGGGTGTTTTGTCATCACTGCAAGCTGTTCTTTAGCTCCACTCTTTTGTTTGTCGCCGTGTGCTCTCAATCGGTCGACGCCCCAAACAGGAAGAGCGGACTGAGATTGATAATGGTCAATATATCAATAAAGCGACATGCGCATTCGAAAAGGAAGTGGGAGAGTGTGTATGCTGTGTATGTTTGTATATATATGTGTATGTGTTTGCGATAAGCAGGGTTGCGAGTGGCGGTATGGAATGGAATGGGAGTGGGGCGAGGGGGCCAAGGTGAGAGGCGGGGGGATGGAAAGTGTGCTCTACATGGCGGATTGAGTTGATGATTCGGATGGATACAGACCAAAGCAGAAATCCAGGACCCAATAGAAAATCATCTGTTTACATCATGTTGGCCATAAAAATAAACGGCGGTAATGGTCTGTTGTTTACGCCCACCACCACCACTGCGGTATCAACAGATGCATGTGGAAGAGGAGATGGACAAGGGCCATATCGTCAAGGCCAGGGTCATGAATATGCAGAGGGACTTGTGTTGCTGTTGCTGTTGCTGTTATTAAATATGCTTACCATCTGAGCGGGGTATTTGACGGCCGCAGCACTGGCCTCTGCGGCAACAACGGCAGCAGTATTAAACAGGGCCATGACTGCGCCGAGGCCGACCAGCAGTGGCACGATTGTCCAGGTACTGTTGGTACGGGTGTGCTTTGTAGACTGGATGCGCATGGTGAATGATCGAGTCTAGAAGCAGGGGAGGGTCCGTCGGTGTTCTTCGACTAGACTAAAAGTGCTCTAGTGAAGTTTTGTTGGTTTGTGGAGAATGAAAAAAGGAAAGGTGCTGTTGCTAACTCGTTGAGGGGCTGTTCGTAGTCGATGGTGTAGAACAGGAAAATTGTAACGCGTTAGTGCCCCTGGATCGGATTGTCGAAGGATGAGATTGTCGCGTAGTGTTCGAGAGAGAGGAAGGGAACGTACAGCGTGGCGAGTCGAGTGTCGTAACAGTGTATGCACAGCATTCAGGTTGTGTGAGATAACAGGAGGGTTCCCGAGGGAATGGAAGATGACGAGGGGGAATGAATGGGAGACAAGGGGAGGGAATGGAATGGAGCAGAATGGAATGGAAATGAAGGAAATGAAGGGGAGAGAGAGAGAGTGAGTGAGTGAAAGAGTGAAAGAGCGAAAGAGCGAAAGAGAAAAATCAGAAAGGGAAGAAGGATGGTCGCCCTGGGAATGGTAATTGGCTGTGTAGAAGTGTGCTGCAGGGGTATCGGTTGATGGAGTGCTGTGAGTGGCGGGGTGTCAGATAAGATACAGCGGAATGGGATGGAATGGAATGGAGACTCAGGAACCAGAGACCGTTAGGGTTTCAGGTGCAGGAGGAAGAGAGAAGAGAAGAGGAAGGATGGGAGGGGGATGGGACACCCGAAGAAAAGGTCCCCTTTTTCTTCAGTGAAGAACAAAAAGAGGGCGATGGAATGGAGGGTGCAATCGATGGAAGCGAAAGAAAGAAAGGAAGAAAGACGTTCAGCAAGAAGAGGAAGAGAGGTCATAACTCTCCGTGTCTCGCTCGCTCTTTTTTTTTTCTCCCTATCTCTTTCTTTCTTTCTTTCACTTTAAAACTGCTCTCTATTGTTAATGCTGTTAATATTATTGCTTTCCCTCCAACCAGACAGGCATCATTTTCCTTCTCAGTCATGGCCCATAATGATGAGAGCCGAAAAATAAAATAAAATAAAACAACAAACAACAACATAAACTCATAACATATGGTTTATCGAAAAGGAGGTTGTAAGCATGTATGGAAGGATACAAACGTGGGGGAGGAGCAGATGGGATCAGGTGGAGAAGGTGCAGGTGTATGCGAATGCCACTTCCGACAAAGCAGAAGTAAAAAAGATTTGGTCGACTATCAATCCCTTCCTAAACTCCATTGCTCAAGTGGCTATCCTTCCTAATCCTCCACCTGTGCACACTTCCCTGCCCTTTTTACCATATGTTAGTCTGCCGTAGACTATCGTTGCATGCATCTCAACCATTCGACCCTTCATCGCGTCTTTTTTTTATGTCCTTGTACAACAACACGGAGGATACACAGTGAGGCGTAACTCTTCCCCCCCCCTTCCTCCTGCTCCTCAAGAGTGACAAAGTGACTCTAAAGAGAAAAAAACACACCGCACAAAAAGAGTGCTGCACTCCGTCCCACTCACTGTTTAATCAAGGAACGGAGAAACACATGCGACAGACTTCCGCCTTTTTTTTTTCTCTTTCGTTCATGTTTACGCCCAACTTGTCCTAGTTAGACCCTTCAGCCTTCTTTATCGCATGTGAAGTGGAGAATCGAGAGCATACAAACACCATATCCATATCCAATCATTTTACCTCCTGTTTTAACTTTTAACTTCTTCTTGGGCAGAGGCGCAAAAATACAGTCGAAACCCAAAAACAATTTTCTTTTCCCAGAAAGACATCTTTCTCTTACTGCCTAGTAGGCATCTTTTTTTTTTTTTTTTTTTTTTTTTTTTGGAGCGGATGCGTTTTGCCCTTATGAGTGGTATGTGAAAGGAAGAATACAATGCGTAATTCCCAGAGTAGATGTACTTGTACGCGTGATCGATCTCTCGAATTGTTTATAGTAATGCATAGACTAAGAGCGCCCTTCCTTCCTTTTTTTTTTTTTTTTTTTTTTTTACGCCATGTATGGGCATATATGTTTACAAGTTAGCATGCGTGTGGATGCGCGTGCGTGTGCGTGCTCTTGCAGCAAGTTGTAGAATCCAGTCCTTAGACTACCATTGGACCAAATTCCTCCCTTTAACCAAGAACATGGATAGACATAATAGATAGAGTACCATGTTTGTTACTGTATAGACATTCAAGTACAGGCATGTATTTATACCCATTTATATGCTTTTCTTTACATTTATTGCCAGTAGCATAACTCCCCCCCTTTTTTTTTTATCTTTTCTGTGTATGGCCACTACCTCGCCTCCTTCTCGGAGGATCATCGTTTACATCGTCATGGTTGCTTTGTAGATTGTGTTCTAATAGGCACTGAGGCAAGATAAAACCACTGCGCGGACAAAGCGCGCGCACTGAGTGGCGGACCGGGAAAATGAAAGAACGCGTTCGGGGGTATTTTTACGCTCCTTCTCCCCCCTTGAACTTAAACAGCTGCTGTGCTCCGATGTAAAACCTCTTCAAGGGGGGGAGATTCTTAAACAAATGCTGTGCAAAGGGCTATGCATCCCTCGGACATTTCGCATTGCCATGGAGGAAGGGGAGGGGAAGGGGGATTTATCTTTTAATCTACGGCCGTGCCCAGCATGTCCTGATGGTCGTTGTAGACAACGTGTTGTCGCGAATAAAAACGTGTCTTCATATTATAGACAACGAGTAGTGTCGCGAACTCAAAAAAATACCATGCTGGCATTGAGCCATGTCACTCTATACAGCTTCGCTTGCAGTAGGCTAGCAGGGAACCGCGCAGTAGAACAGGAACTACAATCAATCGGCTGACCATTTCACCATCCTACGCTTCCTTCCTCTTTTACACAATCAACCGCTCGTGGAAGATATTCTTTGACTGGTCGTCATGGATAAGGAAAGGTAGACCTGGAGATAAGTGCATGATGAGAGAGAGTTCTGATAACAGAGTGAAAGGGGAGGCCTGAGAGCAGCACTCGAATAAGAAAACCGAGAAGCTGGAGGGGTGGCTACGGACGATGTGTGAAGAAAAAGAAGAGAGGGTAGGGAAGCAAACCGGCCGGTGGTTCCCAAATGCCCAGGAATAAGAAGTCCGTTTCTGTCACCTCTTTCGATTGATCAAATGCCTCACCCCTGGGGGAGGGTTCACCGAATTAATCTCACTTGCAAATAGCGCATTCTCGTTTATTCAGAATAAGCACGTCCTCTTGATGAACCTATGCCTTGGTCGAGATCAAGCCCTTCAACATATCAAACGAGTTACCGTCCGGCTGCAGCCTGTACTCCTCGCCCTCCACATCCCGACCCTGCTCATCCACCGCAACCGTCCGCAAAAGCCCATAGTCCAGCGTGATTCCTTGGATCCTGACCTTCCGATGGGGTGTCATCGTCGTCAGCGTCACAAACGCGTTCGAGTGCAGCCATCGCCTGTAATAGGTATGTTCCAGCTGTGCAAACCCAGTGCCGTTTCCGTGCAAGAACAGCCCATACATCTCTTCCAGCTTGACCAGGATATGCGCCAGGAGCGTCTCCTGTGTAAATAGACCGAGGTTCTTGCCGGTGACCTTGTTGTGGTATCGGATAATATGATTGATCGACGTCGTCGGGTTCGGGTTCGTCGTGTTCACTCCGCATCCTATACACCATTCATTCGTGAACAGAGACGTGAGCAATTTTTTTTTATCATAGCATCACTTTTTTTTTTTTTTTTTTTTTTTTGCTCCACGCATTATCTTCATAGAACTATTGCCATGAATTGGTTCTTGCTTACCAATGACCAACAAGAACTCGGATCCACTAAAGTTCGAATTCACCAGCACACCTCCGATCTTGACCATCTTCGGCCCCGCCTGCTCCTGTCCTCCCTCCAGAGGTGCGTCCGCGTAAATATCATTCGGCCACTTGAGTCGCAACGGCACATCCTCATACCCGGGCAACGAGCACACACTCTCGACAACGGCAAGCGCGACCAAGTACTGAACAAACACCGCGGACGCATGCCGAGCCTGAACCGGATGGCGCAGCACCATCGAGAACTGAAGACATCCCGGAGGCGAGATCCAAGAGTTTCGTCCGCGTCCCCGTCCGGCAACCTGCGTCGTCGCATTGCACACGAATCCGTTGGGAAGATGTTGACAGAACGCAAAGTTCTTGTCCAGCATCGTCTGGGTTGACGAAACTACTTGGCCATACATCAGCCAGTTCCCGAAATGAAGGTCCTTGGATGGTGGGCGGATATGCTGCAGGTGACGGAAGAAATCGCCCATGGCAAAGTGGGGCGTCTGCGTGGGTGAGGGTACATCATCGGGGCAGAGGACAAGGTTCTTGATGATCTTTTCCTCGCTCTCACCCTCGGCCGTCTCAGAGAGCGTAGATGTGTGCACAGGAACGGATTGCTGAGGAGAGGCAATCAACTGGAAGGTATCGTTCGGTTCCTTAATCAATCCCTCTGCTGTCACAAGCGATCTCAACGAACGTGTCAATTCGGCGGTGTATGAAGGGTGCAATGACGCCAGATAGAGTGGTGTCACATCCGGGATTCCCTGGATCGCTCCAGGAGGCAACTCTGGGTTAACAGCGTCATCCTCGACAGGTGCGGTCTGGGGAGCAGTAGTCGAGATATTGGGGTGCGTCAACTTGATCCCCAGCTTCATGATCAGGCTCCTGAGTAGCGAAACTCGTTCCCGGTCCTTCTCCAGTAGCCGGCTCACGACATTCGGCAACGGTCCGTACTCTGGGTTCGCCGCATCCAGATGCGCAGCATCATACTCTGGGTGTACACCCGTCAACAACGCGAGTCCCTGTCCAACCTGACAAGCAACCATAGCCGCTTTGCGTGTCGAGTCGCCCCCCTCGTTGCTGTCGTCGTCGTACCATGCCAAGACTTCGGTTCCGGGATACCTTTCCGCATCCACAAAGAACCCTCCGCCATTAAAATAGACCCTCGTCCTCTCAGCTAGTCCATCCTTTGCTGCTGCTGCTTCTGTACCTGCACCAAGCGCCTCCTTATTCACCCGAACCTCGACCGCAATCGCGCCCTGCTCCGAGTCATACACAAAGCCCGGATATACAACTCCACGGCACTCGCCTCCAAAGAACTTCAATTCGCGATTGCCCTGAACTTCGAGCGGTGTGCCGACCTCAAAGACAATCCGATCCGATGCGAAATAGGCCCCTGCACAGATACCCCAGAACTTCCCTCCGGCTCGAACATATTCCTGGATCTTCTCAATGACAGGTCCATGTAGGTCGCGGGTGTAGGGGATATCACGTCCACCGGGGATGACGAGCAAGGCCGTGGATTCTTCCCAGGGCTCGGTCGCGAGACCCTTGGAGTCGATTTTCATAACATCGTAGTGCTGGCCGACCAGGGAACGTAGTGAGCGGACCGTGTGGGCGAGAGAGGTCCTTGAGGTGCCCTCGCCAGAGTAGACAAGGATGTTCATGGTTTTGATGGAATGAGAAGAGAGAGAGAGAATGGTGGAGCGATGCAATGGAGACGATCACTGAAAGACGATTTAAGGTTTATGACCCAGACAGGGGCGAGGAGTCAGAGAGTCAGGGTCACACACACACGCAGCCATCTTTGCCAGACTTTGATCGAAAGCGCTACCAAGCAAAGGGTATCATTAGCCGCTGCTTCCTAGGCTTGAAGAGCGCAATTCTGAATGCATCCATAGCATTTTCGGCCTCGCAAATCCTGCCCACGCTCAGTATGCGGTGCTTTTGAAAGATGGACCCTTCTCCTTTAGAACATTGGTCTGGTCTACTGCCTCTTTTTTTTTTTAAAAAAAGCGATGCCAATTGATTGGTAAGAAGTGCAAGCACCGTATAAGTATTGTCGAGAAGAGATGCTTTCTGTGAGACCCATCAAGACAACGTCGATGCCCGATTTGACGAAGGAGCCATCCGTGTTCCCTGCCGCCCACAAATGAAGCGACTAGTGCTGTTGAAAGAGTACATCCACTAGGTTACTTGGAAACCAGTGACAGCCTCTTCATTTCAGCGAGAACGGTGCGACCAAGCCCAAAGACTCTATCCCAAAAGAAGCTGTACGGCGAACTCTTTGGAGAGATAACGAAGGTGGCAAGAAAGGTAGCTTTCGATTCGGAGCTGGCTATGAGAGTGACATACATGCTCGACGGCGAAATCACAGGGTCACAGGGCATGGCGGCGGTATTTACGACATGTAGGATCCGATTAAGGTCAGCGGCAAAGGGAGGCTCAGGGATAAGCGAATCAAAAGTAGTGTTGAGCTGAAAAAGAGGAAAAGACAGAGAGCAAAGTGAAGACGTCTTCAGAGGAAAACCTCCAAGAAGTCTCAAGGGAGTAGGGATGCACAATGAAGATGATACCAGATGGCAGAAAAGAGTAGAACAAATAATAGTCTTTGATAAACGCATAGAGAAAAGGCGTGTCAAACGATAGGAACAAGTGCGCCGATAGATTGACAGACAAACAACGTGTACCAGCTGTGCTATAAGCACTGGCAGATGCGTGTTGAAAACTATCTGACGCGTAAAGATGGAGGCTATGGCACTAGAAGTGCTGCAACGATGTATACGGCCGACAAGGACCGGTCGACGAATAGACTAAGGCAGGGTTTTTTCTCAGTTGGCGAGGCATAGAGATGGTATGGGACCATTGCAGTCTGCTCTTTATTGAATTCCCCAAACTGAACCCTGGGCCCAACAGGAGCTGAAAGGCGGGTCCCGGAGACCGAATTATGACGGTCGGGGACTGTAGAGTAGGAGGCACCGTGTTTCTTACACCTCTTTTATTTCCATTGCTCAGGTGTTGGGTAATCACTTTGCTGGAGATATGGCGCCCACTAGGGCCGTCGCCTAATACAGGATCTCCGATACCATTCGCAATCGATACGCGCGTCTTGAAAAAGCCGGTGAAACATCAGCACAGCAATTTTGGGCCAGTTCAAGGGGCTGTGTTTGCTTACAAACTGATCTTTATTTCTAAAGCAGACAGTACCTTATAAAGCGGTTCCCATCTGCACCACATTAAGGGTGCTCTTCTCCACTCGCACGTACCACATAGGACAATATAGTGTGGTGCTCTCAGCTGCGCGTCGATGTGCTTTATTAGTCTGAAGGTGTGCTATTTCATCGACCTAAGGACGCGTCTAGAACCCTCACAGCGCTCTCTCTCTCTCTCTCTCTCTCTCTATATATATATATATATATATATATATATATATATACTCGGTCCCATAAACTTTTGCACTGCAGAGCTCGACTCGACATCCTCCCAGGCGAGCATATGAAGCATGCGTAGTTGAGGGCTCGTTTGTTGCCGGCATATGGGTTTTTGCAATAAGATAAGGTTTTACCAGTGGAAATATTTTAACCGCCCCGCCAGGACGGGTATTTTATTAGGTATTAGGTGCCCTGGCGGGTTATCGAATCGTACGCGTCTTGTTAAGCTAAATTCTATACGTATGGCAAATATAGCACAGGTTCGATTATGGGGCCCGAAGGGCCCCGTGGCTCTCGTTCTGTTGAAGGACTGACCCTACACGACAAAGACCCTTCTCTCTCTCCTGCTTGTTGTCTTTGGAGACCGATCACGTCCTTGTAGCACGAAAAATGGGCGAAGCCGAGCATACTATGGCGAAATGTGTCGTGAATATCACTCAGGTTGATTGTCTAGAAATTCTGTTGACCTCGCGCTCTCTATTTCTTTCAGCCTGGCCTGCGCCAACATTCTTGCGGAATTGAAGTGTCTCCCATCGACTTTGAGCTGAGGGTCGTATGGTTCCGCAAAATGGTACTTGCTGAGTACGAATGATGGTGGAGTTGATGCGACAGGGGAATGCCTATTTGAAGATGGTGTCAATGGAAGCAAGCACGAAGGAGCCGGTGAAGGTGGCAGAGATGGCCACCTCAAAGAAGCTGGGCTTGCGGCTGTTTCAGCAACAGGAAAGGCTGACGGCATCGGCGGTGGTGACAAGAGCCAAGATGATGGGGAGTAGTATGATTTTCGTGAGCGTTGGATCGTTTTACTTGAGTTCTCGGTCTGATGCCTAACCGTGTTCAGTCCTTCACTCTCGATCTTAACAGGCTCCAGCTCTTGAATCTCGACCTTGGCCTCGTTCAGTCTCCCGGTCTCAGTCTTGACTATACTCAGCTCCTCGACTTCGGCTTTGATCTTGACTTTGGCTCGAGAAAGCACCGCCGCTGCGGTCGTCTTAGCTGGTTCTGGCGATTCTGCCTTGATATCGTCCATCCGCTCAAGAGGAGGTCGACCTCGTTTGCGCTTTGTGCCATCTAACGCTGCCTTGCCCTCTGCTGGGGCTGACCTTCGGAATATCGAAGGGGTGATTGGTACCAAAAACGAACAGCCTCTGCCGACGTTGCTGCTCCCATTGCAGCGTTTGTTTTTCTTACTGGGAGGCGGTTGAGTGTCGTTGGTTTGGGCGAGTACTGCTGTTCCCACTGGCGTGGGTGTTACATCTGGCTGGACGTCGCTAGCGGGTGCTGTGATGGTATTGAGCGTAGACGTGATGTTTGCTGTGAATGTACTATCTGCCACATATTGTGTAGCAGGAAGGCTGGAGGTGTAAAGAGTAGGCGAGAAGGAAAGTGCTGGGTCGACCAAAGGGTAATAGGGTGATGGATAAGAGAAAGGGGATGTGATGGGCGATCCTACTGTCGATACTGCTGTCGGTACATCAGTCGCAGGAGCTGCAACCGCTGCCGAGGCACATGCGGTGTCTATGAGGAATGTACCGTCTGTCTCATTGGGTATGATAGAGAGATCGAGGCCGAAAGGAGTGGAAGGGCCAGGAGCGATGTTTGAAGCCTGAAGGAATGGGAGCGCCAAGCTGGCTGGTGAAGAAAGAGACGATGGATAAAAGAAGGAAGCTGCGAGCGAGGGGACAAATAATGCGGCTGAAGGCGTCTCGGGGAGGATATCGCTTAGGGCAGAGAAATAAGGGTTGTTACCAACCTCAAATTCACGGCTGTCGTTATTGGGTGCGTACGCTAGGGTCTGGCAAAAACTATTGGTTGCAATCGAATGCGCACACAAGGCCCACACAGGGTCCAGAGGTTGTGCCCACGCTCGATTCAGTTGGCTCTCTTTATGGTCAAGATGCAGGCAGTCGTGGGACATAGACATTGAAGATCCTTGTGGAGGGGATATTGTTTGCCAGGATGGTCCGAAATCGATCGCAGCAAGAAGTGAGCGGCAGGAAAGATGGCCAGTGTGTCCGATCAGTCTATTATCGGGTGCAGAATCATATACAAAGGTCGAAATAGACGGAGATGAGATCTCGCTCGCGGTAATCGAAGACAAGAGAGGGTCGGCGGCGGGGGTGTAACCATAGGCCCATGTCCCTGGTACCTGAATGATCTTGCGTGGCGCATCACTGATATGTTTGTTATAGTCGAAATCAATGGCTGTGGTGTGGATGTCAGGGTTGGTAGAGCTGGTATTGCCGGCAGGAGGGACTGAGTCTGACCAAAAATCCATTTCTCGGAGAAAATCATCGACCTCCAGTTCGCGACAGATAGGTTGGGCCACAGCGTCGATCTGCTCGTCAAAGCTAGCCATGTCTGATGTGTTGGCTTGCTAGGATTCGCGTGTTTTTCTGATCAGAAGAAGAAGAAAAGTGCGGAGAAGATGATGGCAGTTCGAATAAGGGGGCCGGCAACGCGAGGAACGAGGGGGTTGGTGCTGGAAATGAAGAGGCAACTGCTGCTTTTAAGGAATCGAGAATATGCTTCGCCTTTTTTTTCTCGAGATTAAATACGCACAATTGTATCCTCATTCCTTTGGCCCTTAGGCGTTCTACCGTACGTGAGGCAGGGAGAACGAACCTGAATGAATTGAAATAATTTGCTAAAAAAGGAAGTTAAAAGAGCGACCGGAACCTTGCATAAATGTTGTATGGCCAACAAAACCTCAATAAACCGCCCTTCCCTCCACCCGTACCAGCGACCTCAGTAAACCATCCGATCAACTAAGAAAACGACGCCACCTATCAAGCCATCCGTCCGCTCCCAGCAAAAATCGTTTTCATTACAAGAAAAAGAGAAGTCCATCAATTCTGTCATGGGTCTACGGGCAAAGGACATCGATATCTCGCTTGCCGCCGTTGGGAGTTGATCGTATTTTTTTTTTCCAGATTGAGCAATACGGTTCACTCCATGAACCTCGAAATGTGGTTGCGTACAGTCTAAACCTCCGATTGAGCACTTGGATCGAGATTAATGGACTACCTGCAGGAAGTGTCCTCCACACCAACCCCCACCAACCCCCACCTCGCCAACCCCCCCTTCCCCCCTTCATGTTCATTGCCCCCATCAGAGCATCGCACATAAGCAGTCAGTATGACTCGAACACAATATGAGCAACGATGGAAGGAGCGCCTCCGAGCAGCGCTTATCACAGAAACCATGTTCCCAGAACATTCCAAGCAGCAGTTTCGTTAGCTTTTACTTGCGCGGGAGCAGCCTGGCTCTTGCTATTTCCAGGGACCAGGGCAACGTGGTGGATGAGCTGTTGTGTGGGGTTTCTCTCTCCTTCAACTGTCGCTACATTGATCAGCCCCTTCATTACAACATGGAAAGATGCGATGTTCTTGATCAGTTGGAAAGCTTTAACGAGAGGGAATGTGGGCCCTTTATGAGGATGACGCGTGCAAGCTTTTTAAAGCTTGTGCGGCTCGTTTTTCATCAAGAATCAAAGCTACAGGGACCAAGCGGAGGCTGCAGTCCAATTGACTGTCACGCTCGATCGGTCTGGGTTACCATGGTAACGGAACGGGCTCCATCTGGCTTGGCACTAGGAGTGAAGGATCGTGCCACAACTGCTTCAAGCATGATTTTGAGGCTATTCTCTCTTTGGAGGATAAGTTTTTACCTTGGTCAACTCCTGCTCAGCGACGTGAGCACTCAAATTTAATGGCGGGAAAAGGGTTTGCAGGCTGTGCTGGGTTTGTGGATGGAACAACGATCCCTCTTGACCAACGTCCTGATCATTTTGGGGGCTTCTTCTCTGGTTACTCAGGAAGGGTCTTTGTCGGAGGTTTTTTTTGCGAGTCTGATGCATGGCTTCACCAAGCACAGTGCTTTTCTTCTGGAAAATATCTCGGAAATTCGGCTTACCCTTTCTCCACGGTCACTGTGCCATCTTTCAAGAAGTTTTCTGATCTTACTCAAAATCAAAAGGGCTTTAACAGCTGCATTGTTCATATTTGGGCATGCAATGAGCATTGCATTGGGATGCTCAAACGCCGATTCATGACCCTCTACGAACCACCTGTCTGGATAAGTGCAAAATCATACGAGGCTGATATGGACCGGGCACCGGACTGAATTATTGCGTATGCGATACTCTTCACTTTTTTGATTGATGAAAGGGGGGGTCCTGTCTCCACAGGCATGCAGGCGTATGCATATGGCCGATGACGATGCTGCGGACAACAGTCCAGTGCAGCAAGCACTGGGGCACCAGCTGTTAGGACAGCAGTTCTGAGAAGACCGCATGGCAAGTGCACTTCGGGCGGACGGAGTTCCCACACCATGCAGTAACAAAATAAAGCAAGTGATATTACATTTATTTTGATGCCTGTTGCTGGCTATATGATACAATACGCAAAGACCTTCGAAGAGGCGTCTTCGGAGTGAGAGTTGATGCTAGGACTAGTGGAGTTTGAGTGTCGAAAAGGACGCCGAAGTTTTATTGATTTCATCTGCGGAGGAGCGTTTGCATCGAGCCTCCAAGAACTGGGACATGACCATCAACCGTAGCTGCTCATTCCTGGCCTCTGCTAGTCTTCTTGCCTCCTTCATCAGGTCCAGTCCTAAAGCCACGGCATCCTTATCAACTGTAAGTTCCGAGTGGCAACATTGCTCAGGAGCATGATCAGTGTCATCGCCCCATGACCAGAAGTGGAGGCATCACTAATTGCCGAGATGTCATCGCGTGCTCTCTTGCTGCGCTGTGGTTTCAATGTTGCTGCAGCTGTTCCGCTGAGCTCATGCACGAGCTCGTAGAGCTGGAAGGTCTTGAAGGTAGCGTTACGCATGACCAGGTTGGTTGCATCATCAATGTCGATGTCGGATGAGGTTGTTGATCGCGGGATCGAGCGCGCGCGACAATGTCTTGCTCCCGTTCGCTACAAAGATTCAAATCAACTTGTATTGACTAAAACCCTTTTCTCTTACTCAAAAGGCCCAGTGGCCCAGTGTAGAATATTGAAGTATACCTGTGTGTCTGTCTGTGACTGCTGTTCCTGAATCAGCTCGATGCTCTCCTCAGTCAGTGGAAGGCGGCTGTTGATGTTGCTGACCTGAGGCTGACAGTGCGCGTCTGTGATGATTGCCACGCCGTTTGTAGCCTCAGAGGAACCTCGTGTATTTACTGCTGATGCGTTATTGCTGGATTCCTCAAAGGCGCTGTGTGTGATTTTTTACTTTTGTGCTGGTAGACTGGTCGGCGTTACCCGAGAAAGATGATGGGGTATGATGTTGGGCCGCTTTTGCATAAGGGCGGCCATTGCTCCTCCGAGACTTGAATGAAGCAACCCTCAGTTTCGTTGGGGCAGTGGGGCAGTGGTGGTTGGAGGAAAGGATGTTGTTGAGCTCATGGCATGTGGTGAGGGTATGGTGTGGGTGAGGGTGTTGGTAGGACTGGTATAGTCGAGGATGAGAGTGTAGCTGAAGAAGGAAGAAGTAAAGAGCGGAGGAAAATCTTTGCCCCTTGAAAAAGGGCAAGAGAGACACGCGTGGCGAATATTTATTTCTGTGCGAGCGAGGGACTCAGGAACGACACACGGGCGTGGAGTATCTTGCTCGTTTCCTGTGAGGCTGCCTTCAGTTCCATCAGCTCGTTGGCATGCTCCTCCTGCTTTTCTGCCTGGCGTTTCATCTGCTCCACGAGACTTTGAATCATTTTAGTCTACTCTGTGCTGGACTCAAGCGTCTCCTGACGCCTAGCCTTGAGGCCAAACAGCCGCATCTTAGCTTCCCGCTCGCTTGCAATCTCGTCCAAGATTCGCTTGTCCGAGTTTGACCTCACAGCAGCAAAGTTCTCCAATAAATGAGCGAAGGGAGTGAACCACTCCGAGCCAGACCCCACTAGTGTGTCATCCTCAGCTGGCTCCGGAGGAGGATGCGAGTTAGCCTTAGTCGCCTCTCGCACCCCTCTTCGCTGCCCGATCGGTACGCGTCGTTTTTACAGTAAGCTTAATTCGATTAGAGTTCTTACTGACGCGTAGAAACTTTATTAAGCAACGTATCCACAAATAGTATTTTTACATAATATAGTGCTGCCACACCACAACGCGCTGGAGTCTCTTGTGCGCGGTCATTCAAAGTGGTCAGATCTATGGGATGGGACTATTTATGATACGGGACCATGGCTTCGCGGTTGTGAGTCTTGCTCGACAGCAGCCTACTGTACGCGACTGGAGCCTTTTGTACAAAAGTTCTTTCAGCAGGGTTACTGTCAAGCAACCATAGGACTTCTGTTGAATTTACTAGGCAGCTGATCTTCTGCCCCTTCAAACATCTCTCTCTCCCATCGTACTATGAATGCCAAAATGCACTTTTTCCAATATACCGAGCCCCGAGAAGATGACGGCAAATCGCAGAGCACCAAACCCAGTACCGCGTTCATCAAGGACTGGCACAGTTTAAGTGTCTTCTATAACGGACGACTGATCACCATTCCACACTCAAAGAACAACGACTGGTGATCCGTGTGAGTCTGCAGCAAAGGCACATATTGTTCACTGGGGCTACCATGAAAAGCGGTACGAACTCATGTTGCCCAGATCGACGCTGGATCACACGCCGGCTAACAGGAACGGGCCTGTTAGGACCATCACCATTGTTCTCTGAAATATCTCACGAATCTATCAGTCCACGCTGACTGATAGTGATACAAAAATGCTCTTCCCCTCGCCATCATCTACAAAGAACAGTAAAAAAAAAATCACTCCAACGGTGTGCGCCCTTTCTACTCCTTCTCTCTTTTGCCTTGACTCCATGGACAGAAGAAGAATAAGAAGAAATAATCCTTATTCTCTGCATTTTCGAGTATCTACTTGTCTACTTCCTCTTTTACCAACTCTTTCTCTTTTCTACAGAAATTGTCAAGGTATAACTTCCAACCATGGGTGCGCTTATCAAACTTGCCCCTCCTCTTATCACCGATCGCGTCTCCGCACCCCTTGTGCTCGACTTTCTCCAGAAAAATCTCCAAAAGGCCCAAAAACAAGTCGAAGACCTTCAAGAGCTGAACAACGATCTCAAGGACGAACTTGCCGAGCTCCATACGGCCGCATTCCGATCGAAGAGTGAGGATGAGGATGAGGATGAGGATGAGGACGAGGATGAGGATGACGAGGACAGCGATGGCAGTATCGAACGTCTGACCAGTGACGAGGACACCGCCACTGAGACTGAGAGTGAAGACGATACTGATGTCGTGAGAAGAATTACAAAGAAATGTGTAGGCAAGGAGGAAGGTACCAGCAAGGACAAGGACAAGAACAAAGACAAGAACAAAGACAAGAACAAAGACAAGAACAAAGACAAGAACAAAGACAAGAACAAAGACAAGAACAAAGTCAAGAACAAAGACAAGAACAAAGTCAAGGACAAAGACAAGAAAGGAAAGAGCAAGACAATGCCGGCGAAGGAGGGTGGTCGCAAACATGGTCATCACCAGAATGACCTCAAGACAGGACCTGTATTTCATCTGAGGGTGCTGACGAAGGAAGGGTCTGCATTTGAGGCCAAGATCGAACAGCGGCTGTTGCGTCGGTACCCGAAGATGATTATCTATACCGACCAACAGCCCAAGATCGTCTTCAAGGAGGAGTCGGCTGAGTCTTTTGCGGCCTTCCTGGAAAGAAAAAGATCCAATATAAATTGAATTACTACTACCCTCCACCTTTTCCCATTTCAAAAAGGATAGTTCCCCAAGACATTCAGTCTCTTTGCACTTGTTTTTTTTGCATCAAAGGTCAATGAAATACATACGCGTCTCTTCTCCAATACAACTTTTTTTTCTCTGCTGACTGCGGCATTGTTCATTGTTCACTGTTCGTTGCTTTATGAATTTGCTACAAGTGCGTATGATTTTTTTTCCTTTACCTATGGAATAACATGGTATGATTAGATGGTTTTGTAAAGGATGATGGGAGTAATGCAAACAGTGAAGAATAGAAAAGAGAATGGAAAGAATGGAGCGGAGGGTATAGTCGTTGCGAGGAAACTGAATAACAAACCGAAGTAAAAAAAAAAAAAAAAAAAAAAAAAAAAAAATACTGTACATCACAAAGAAGGTGCGTCTAGATAAAAAGATAAAAAAAAATGATAGTAAGATAGAAAAAGATGTTGTCCGAGCTCTACATAAGAACATCTTAGGGTGACATTGGCCCTTCATTACGGTCCCTTCGCATGCCACCAGGACTCAGAGACGGCGGTCCCTGGTATCCCATAGGGGTCGAAAGAGGTCCCGCGCCTGGTCCTACGCCTGGGGAGGGCATCGGGATAGCCATCGGGGTATGGTTCGGTCCCACCGGCATACCGCTCGGTGACATTGGCATGCCGTTCTGTCCCATCGGCATACCATTCGGCGACATTGGCATACCATTAGGTCCCATCGGCATACCGTTCGGTCCCATTGCCATAGGGGGTCTCATATTTGGCGATCCAGCACCCCAGCCATTCATTGGCGGTTGTTGCTGCATATACGGCGACGGCTGCCGCTGAGGGAGCATACCAGGGCTATTAGGATTCATCGGACTGCCCATCATCATCGGTCGAGGAGGGTTTCCAGCCAAGGGCGGGGTCATCACTTGCCGTCCGTTGTAATCATAGTGATACTGCTGAGGTCCCAACTCGCCGGGCGTGAGCTCGGTCCTGGAATCGACTCCGTCCATGGCGTAAAGACTGGGGGTGCCAGCCAAGCTGCGCATATAGGGCGATCCATGAGCACGTTGTCTCTCCGCACGCTCGATGCGCTTCGCCTGACGCACACGGGCCTTCTCATAATCGTCCCAGCGCTTGAGTGGGACCCTGGAGGAATCGAACGTGCCGTCTGCGTTTCCATGGGCCTCGCCCTTGGCCTCACCAGCGACCTTGCGGGTCTCACCCCAGGAAAAGTCGTCGAAATGCCAGTACGCGTACAGGGGGAGGATAAAGTTCCAGACAGGGAGGGCGAGCAGGTAGACGAACATCCAGGCGACGTAGATTAGCTTGCGGGTCGTGAGCAGAATCAGCATGGCGGGCATAGTCAACACAAAGACGAGCAGGATCAGGGGTGCAGCCTGGGCCAGGGTGGTGATCTCGATCAAGGACAGGTTCACGATCAGGACCACAGTCAGGATCATGGCCACGGGCAGGACAACGGTACCGATCAACTCCATAAGAATGACGAACTGCATCGAGAAACAGAAAGTTCCACACAGATTGCGGACGAGGACCAGTTCCAGCAAATTGTGGATCGTTGAATTGATCCAGCGACGTCTTTGGGAGAGCAACACATTGAACTCATCTGGAACCACGGTCTTGCAGATAGCCTGGGGCATGAACATCATCTTGCGGTTGGGGAAATTGCGGAGCATGAGCGTCGTCAGGAAACGATCCTCTCCCAAGAGCAACAGGTTCTTTTGGTGAAGCGTCTCAACAATGTTTTGCGAGTATTCCTGAACGATCTCGGGTTTGGTGATAATCGGGACCCAGTCATCTCCCTTACGGGCCTTGAGTCGGTACATGCAGAAGCACCCAGGCAGACAGGTCACACCTCCAAAGACGGACTCGAACCCCTTTCCGAGATGATGAGAGATATAGTACTCAAAGACCTGAATCGCAGTAACCCACGACTGACGCTTGTTGGCAATCTTGGTCTCGCCGCAGAGTCCCATAATCAGAGGGTCGTTATTCATGCAGTTCATCAGCAGACGCAGTGAGCTCGGGTAGACCTTCGTATCCGCATCCACCATCAACACAATCTCAAACTTGTCCGGGGTAACCTGCATCAAATGCTGGATCTTTCGGAAGAGTTCATAGTCCAGGGGGGTCATGCGATCGTTGTATGTCACGCGCGAGAAAAAGTTCATCAGGATCAGTTGTGAGTCGCGCTTGCCACGGTTTCCGGCCTTGGGCTTATCCATCTCAGCCTCGTTTCCGCACTTGACGACCAACACCGTAGGCACACGCTTGTTCTTCCAGCGGAAATATCCTGCATAGACTTTGGCGCGGTTGTGCTGTTTCGATCCAGCGGCGACGGCAATGTACGACTGGGGTGTTGGGTCCGAATCGAAGGTTGGGTCGAGTTCCATCAGACTGGAGCAAATCTCGGGTGTGGAACGGTCGTTTCCAGATCCAGTGATGATTCCATCGCAAATGATGAAGAGCAACTTCTTGTTGTCGGGATACTCTGTCGCTGCCAAGGACTCGATCGTTGTCCGAAGCGAGGACTCTCCCTCAGAGTAGCAGGTGACGAGCAAGACCGTGTGCAGTTCCTGAACGCTCAATCCATCGCTTCCTGCGGTGGTTGAGCGTGAAAGACTCTTTCCTGGTCCTGAACCAACGATGGTAGTTCCGGACGACGCTGCGGAGGAGCTGCTTTGGACCTTGGACTTTAATGGTGGTTTCGACAACTTCGCGGACAGGAACCAGTCAAAGATGATGGCCATAGCAAAGCGTGACATGACGATTCCCAGGACGACCGTCAGCGACACATACATGAACAAATCCGAGGCGAAGCATCCAGGCGTGGACTTGTCGATGAATCCAGCGCCAAACTTCTCGACGAGGCAGGACGCCGAGTCCTTGAGAGAGTCACGTCTGAAAAACAGCTTCGTGGCATCCTTACCTCCCTCGGGCATGGGCATATCACGGACCGTGCGCAAGACTGTGTCGAGCTCGTCGTCGGGGACCGGGGTCTTGTAGAAGGCAAAGTACTGGTCGAGATTGAGCACGTTGCCGTCAATGACCATATAGTTGAGCAGCTCTGGCATCGCCATCTGATTCCAGTCGTATCCGGCCTTTTTGTCAGGGACCTGTCTGAGACGGAATCGGGAGAGCAGTTGATCGGGAGTAGCTGTGATGTTGTTGGGGCATCCTCTTGGGGGAAGACAGTTGTTGAAATTGGCGGCTGCGCTTGTTAGGTCGGTGCAGCTAGGGGTGTTCTTTTGAAAGAGGTTGCTGACATCTTGTCCGGGTGTAAGATCGTCCATCTCGAAGCCCTGTGGGAAGGTGGTGCCCCTTTGTGTGAAGTCATAGATGTATCCATTGATTCCATACAGGCCTACGGACATGAGCGGCACAAGAAGAGCAAGATGTGTTAGGTTATGGGTCCCTGCAGATGCGAAACTGCCCACGCGACAGATGCGCATGCAGGCGCAATCGATTGTTAGGCCTCTCAGCCCCTAGGGCGCATTAATTTTAAAGAAAGAGAGCAGGGTGGGTGGGGGGGAAGAAAGATTGGGTACAATTTGAGTGTGCGTGTCTCACGCATGTGTGTCATAAATGTGTGGGCTGCTGGGGTGAGAGTTGTTATATATTTAGAGGACGGAAAGGGGAGCAGATTGATCGAGTGCTAATTTCGGACTTTGGACCGAGCGCTGCAAGATGCGTTCGGTCCTGTTCGGCGCGTCTTTGGAGTGCTTTTGGCTACCTGAGCGCCAGGACAGGCAATGGTGCTAGTTGCAATATCCTTTCATTACCGAGGTTTACATGCGTTCATTGGATTGATTGATCTCGGAGGGTTTGTTTGTTGTTGTGTAGATGTGTATGTGTGTGTGTGGGGCGCACCAAAACAAAGAGCGAATAGCGCCGATTCTTATTCTCTTTTCTCCTTGCTGGCAGCTGATAGTTTCATGGACGTACTACATTAACAGAATGTACATGTGCAAAGTGCAATGTACACCCATGGTCGTTGTGGTCTCGCACTCCATCCCCTATTCTCTTCTCCTCCACCCTCTCGATCGTTGTATAACGAAAATGAATCTCTCAAATGGTTTTTTTTATGGTTCCTTGGTGTCCAGCTGTATTGTTGGCGAGGTGAGGTGCCATAAAATCGTTGAAAAAACATTTTAGATCCTCACCTTGTGATTGTCCGTCTCCGTACCGCACAAAGGTCGCTGCGCCCTGTCTCTGCGAACTGGGGCAGAGCAGGAACGAGAAGCCGACGGTCAAGAAGGCGACCATGCCACCGATCATCATGATGATCACGCACAATGTCACCTTCTCCCGCCAAGCCTGCTGGACCTGCTTATCGGGCATACCACACATCCTCAGGAACGGTGGCAGGGCCCAGCAGGTCATGATCCTTGAACAGATCACCCAGCATGATGCTGGCTCGTCCTCTTTACGCTTTTTGAACATCGTCTCCGGGTTATGGAATCGTTCGGGCCGTGAGAGGGTCTTGCCACGGCTGAGCGTGGCCCCACGGCGGATCGTACCACCGGATCTTGCTAGGCCACCATCGCCCTGACCAGGCACAGATCGAGCATCTGCTCCATTAGGTCCCGCAGTCATTCTGCTGTTGGGTTATTGGTGAATGTTGTTGGAATGTTCGATTGCTGGGTGGGTATGTGGGTGTAGAGTGGTGCGTTATTCTTTTTTTGCCGTTGACGTTGATGTTGCGGGGTTTTGCGTGATCAAGGGATGAGTGGAGGGTCGTATCAAGGCTTGTCGTTGCTTTGTGTGTGCCTGGAGTAAAGAGAGGAAGAGAGGAAGAGAGGAAGAGAGGAAGAGAGAAAGAGAGAAAGAGAGAAAGAGGTAAAGAAAGGTAAGGAAGGAGGGGGAGCAAAGGCTGAAGGGACGGGAAAAGCTGGCGGGTTGGGCTGAGTGTGAGAAGTGGAGTCAAAAATAGAGTGTGTGTGTATGCATGGATTCACTGCTGCTGCTGGTAATGGTGCCTGAACAAGGAAGAAATGGTATGTTAGCAGGGCGTGGGCAAGAGAAACGAATTGTGGTTAGATGTATGCAGCAGGGTGAATCCTGGGATGAATTGAAGGAAAGAGAGAAGAGAAGAGAAAAAAAAGAGGAAAGAGGAGAGAGGAGAAGAAAGATAACAAAAGAGCACTAAAGTCTTCAGGAACGGCAGTGTCACAATACAAAACAGGATTTATTCACCATCAAGTACAAGTATTAAATGAGTGAGTAGTCTAGTGTACTTTTTTTCTTTTTTTGGCCCAATTGGAAGTCAACAGGTCCGAGTCCAGTACCTGCAGGCGCTTGGACATGAAGTCATGAACCCTCCCTCAAACATTCCAAACCAGCCAATCAGCAAAGGAAAAGGATCGCACATCGCATTCTCGATCAGCCTGGCTTGCGCTTTGGTTCCTGATGAGTAAACCAGGCCGGATCAGAAGACGGAGGGACGAAGGCGATCAAGTGTGTTCACCATGGAATTCAGAATATGTATTATTGGCCCTTGTTCCTTTTGTTGTGCACACTCTCATTGGATCGAGCCAATCAAAGGCAGATCAATGCCACCAATCCTCCCCCTGCTGCCAACCTGCGCTTGCCTGCCAATTGACACCACACCCTCTGCATCCTTTTTCATTCTCGACTTTTTTTGAAAAGGAGAGGCGATCTATCGAGAATAACGATCGATCTTTATAAGTTTCCGCTGCTCAACACACCACATGGCCACACTGGAGTAAATCAGACAACTTATTTTGCAGCCTGTTCTTGCTGGAAAATTGGGCGCTGGATGTCGTCGATCTTACTATATTAATAGAATTTAAAGAGCGGGGGCGCCCAAGCCAAAAGTTCGAATTTTTGAGTTGCATGGCCCATCCCTTGTTTTTTTTTAAATGTCTTCTTCAGTCAGGGTGCGCGTGAATTCCCAAACGAGAAAACGAGAGAGCCCCGAAAAAAATAACACGATCGTCGAGAATAACAATGTGGCTCGCACGTACAAAAGGTGGAGATACCATAAAATGGGATCTTGCATTTTGCATGGACCCGTTTTATTTGAGCTCCATATGGGAGCAGCAGCTCGCTGTGCGAACATGTGCACTCGGCAGGACACACCATCTAACAACCCTGGATAGGAGAGGATGGTGCTGCTAGACTACTGCTACTCCTGATGGTGATAGTGATGATAATAATTATGATGATGATGATGATGATAACGATGAGTTCTTAAAATTAACTTTGCTGTTAATGCGCTCAGCCGTTTACCCACCAACCCGGGACCCTGACTCGCTTAGCGTGGGACCGAACCCAATTGAACTGAATCCATTTAATTATGCGATTGGTACATGTTTCGTGTCAGATAAGGGCCACACCTCCAGATCAACTCCCTACAGTACGCCATCTGCCATGTTATGTGTACGTACTGAAGACCACTTCATGGTCGGCCTATCAGTTTGCCAGCTCGCCAGTAAAAGCAACTTACAGGACAACCAGCAGAGTGGGGACTTCAAAGATACAACATATATGTACAAAAGTAAGGATTCCAGAGCGTGCTGGAACCAGGAATCACTCTTGTCACCCGCCCCTCTACTCTTTTAATTATTGTTATTATTTTTTTCACTCCCAGCGCCATCATCATCCAGAGACATCGCCCCGCCTCCTGGCCGTTTCTAGATTCCGCTGTTTAGACACGACGCGTCTCCTATATAACATTTTTTTTCCCCTTTCCTATGGTCCATGCATGCGACATCCTGCTACTTTGACAAGAACCAGGACTCCCTTTTCTATTTATTCAACCATGCCCCTACATGCAGTACTGGCTAGGGGAAGAGAACATGAGCTTGAAATGCGAGAGGCGTCATTTCCGCGTTGGAGTATGTTTGGGGGACTGTTTGGGGGGTGAACAGGGGAGAACGTGGTTGCCGAAAAAGACGCGCACCGTCCAATCCGGTAGTATTGAGAAAGTTTTTCCTTTTATATTACGCATATAAAGATCATGCAGGAAGTAATGATAGCGATAGTCATATTGCAGGATCTATCGGAGAGACAGGGAGGGGGGCCGCTGGTACCCCCCCCCCCCTTCCTTTTTTTTTTGGTCCATAGCTGTCCTCGGTAAATCTCCACCAGAACAAAAGCTGGGTCTTCAGGGGCCATTTGATCATCTTTGCCGTCATGCAGAGACCATAATCAAGCCTAAAGGACGTTCAGATTCGATGGAATATATGGGCTATAAGCAATGCAAATACTTGATGCATTACTCCAATGGAGGGTGAACTCCATCCACGATCATTTTTCTATATCTTGTATCTTGTATCTTTTAAAACGGAGATCGAAGAAAGCCATATTCATACATCATGCAGTAATAAAGAACCCGGTTGCCGAGTTCATCATCGTCCATTTTCTTCATCCTGTGCAAGCTCCCCTTGCTTCTTATTTATGCATCCCTACAGTCCCGCCAAAAAATAAAATAAAATGCTTCTCAAGAGGAGAAATTATGAATAGATGGGAAAGCTCGTGGTGGTTTATTTCCGGTATATGAAAAAGTAGGCAAAGAAGAACATAAACAAGCAGAACGAGACCATATAACACATGTATCGTCCATTCTGGGTCGATGCCATGACTTTGAGTCGCGTATATGTCGTATTGAGCAATCCTCCTGTCCGCCCGAAATCTTGATCCTATTGAACATTTCGACAAGGAAAAAAAAAGAAAAAAAGAAAAAGAAAACCAAAAAGTAAGTGGATAGTATAATAATAATCCCTCCCCTTTTTCTCTTTCTCTCTCTTTCTCTCTCTTTCTCTCTCTTTCTCTCTCTTTCTCTCTCTTTCTCTCTCTTTCTCTCTCTCTCTTTTTCTTTCTTTCTCCTCTTGACTCAAGAACTTTCGGACTCGAAAACGTCCGGTGAAGATATTCATAGCCTGAAGGGAAGCGTCCATACCATTTCGCCCAGAAACACGGTCGACTCGCGCACTTCGTTCCCGATATCCATTGTGATCTAAAAACAACATGAAGAAACAAACCGCTTTTCCATCAGTATCCTGAAGTGAATCCAGAGAAAAAAGTAAAAAAAAAGAAAGTACATCAAGGCCTTTCTCGATTCGTCCCATTTGCTGTTTGCTGTTTCGAACCATGCATAAAACAGACTTGTTGCACACCTTTTTGAGCATGGCAACTTTTGAATGCAAGCCAGAGATCTCATCATCGTTCTGGCTCTCGAGCGAGAGCATCTCTCGGTCGGTCATCCGTGTTGGGTCATAGGGTGTACTGCGTCCTGAAGATGATGGCGGACTGTGCTCGCCAAACAGCTGAGTCCTCTGCCAGGTATTCTGTTGCCTATGGGGGGGGGGGGGGGTTTTCCAATGCAGAGGGACGAATTCAAACTCTGTCAGTTCTACGGTTTGGGTCATTCGCTTAATTCCATGCAAAGGGTTGATGACTTGACAGAGACAGACTCAGTCGGACCGAGTGATGTGCGCTACCTTTGCCTTGTACTGTGCATGGTTGGGGATGATTAGATTAGAGGAGGGCTATATATTGAGTTCGTCCGAGTGTTGATGTGGAGAAGGATGGCCAGCCTTTTTTCACTTTCTCACTTGGACCTACCAAATCGATCCACGGGTTGGGACAGGCACGCTTAAGGGTAAACGGGAGTTCAGGAACAGGCCCAAGGGTTCCCCCCCCCCACACTCGAGCCCCGAACCGCAGTGCTGTTGCAGTACATATGTGCCTTTCCCCCCCAGTTGACGATCCCACACTATCATGTCCAGTGTCAGTTGCACAATGGTTACTATGTTCTTTAATGATAAATGAAAAAAGGTCCTTCCTGCAATAAAGTCCCTTTGACAATCGAATTATCTACCTCCTCCTTAACGCAACCCTCTCAAGAACACCCCTGTTTTACCATGGGCTGTCGCTAGGCTTGTCCGCCATGTACGTATCCAAATCATTATCCAAAAAACTCGCCGCCGTCTGCTGGTTCTTCATCATATATTCACTCAATTCCGAATCCAGATTCTCCGCATTCAACGGCGCCGCCTTCACCGTCTTTGCCCCCTTACCCTTCTTCGTCTTGCCCTGTATTGCCGCCGCCGCCTTTGCCGCTACTGCTGCAACCCCACTAGCATTGTTCTTCCCAGCCTTCACCGCCTTACCCGCCTTCCCGACCTTCACAGCCTTGGCCCCTTGCTTCTGTTTCTGTTGAGCCGCCGCCGCCACCGTCCGTGCTGGTGCTGCAGGAGCCGGCGCTGCCTGCTTCTTCTTTGCGAGTCTTGTTCCGAGCACCAAGGCCTTATGCCGACTTGCCTGCGTGCCCCTATTATTACTGGTCGCCGCAACGGCCGTCGCGGCCTTCGCACCAACACCTGCACCACGTCCCCGACGAGCAGGTCCACCGCCGACTGACGCCTCAGGGTTCAAGAGGAAGACATCCGAAACGCCTGTACCACGCTCCTGCATCGCTCTCGCCAACCCGGCGCGTGTGTGAATACCCGCTCCTACGCCTGCTCCTGATCCTGCTCTGTTGCCTCGGTTGTCCGTGCTGATACGTTGGCCCTGTCCTGTGGGGTGTGATCCAGTCCTGGTGCCGAGGCCGAGGCCCTGGCCGCCTCCACGTCCGGCGCGTCCGTTTCCACCAGACGATGATGATGACGATGATGATACTGCAGTTGGCTGGTTGACGACCATGATCCCCGTACTCTTGTTCTGGGAGAGTTTTTGGAACCTATAATTCGTGCATGATCCCATGTCAGAAGCCGTCCATGTATATCGTATGGCGCACGCGATCAATAAACAACACAAAAAAACCCCCTCTCCTCTCCTCCATGGCTCCATGGCGGACAAAGTAAGTCTCTCTCAACAAAAAAAAAAAAAAAAAAAAAGGACGTCTTCTGAGAAACATCCGGAGAGGATATGGTTCTTTTCTGCTCAGAATAAACAAACATTGCTGTTGTTTTTTCCATCAGAACTTGCCTTGTGCTCAGGGATCCTCCTGGACTACTGCGTCCGCTTGGGGTGGATCCGGCGAGGTAAAGAATCTGACCCTGCTGCTTTCCCGCCATTGCTGATTGCTGTTGCTGATTGCTGCTGCTTTTGTTGTTGCTGCTGTTGTTGTTGCTGATCCTTTTGTCAGTCCGAAAAAAAGGGAAGGGAGCAGAGGGAGTAAGAGATGAAGGAGGGAGGGGGACTTTGAGAGGTGAGTAATACAAGGGCGGCGAATCAAACAAAGTGTATGTGATAAGCAAGCAAATCATTGTGCTACACGGCGTCCATTGTCGACCTCGCCTCTCCTCCCCCTCCAGCTATAGTGCCCCTTAAAGGACCTTTCTTTCAATCTTTCACTTGCATGAAGCAAAGCGCCGCCGTTGAGTAAAAAAATATATATTTATGATTACGATAGCATGTCCCGTTTTTATTGTTAAAATCGATATAGATATCCATGTGCATGATCCGCGGGAGGAGGGCCTCCTTCCTGTTCGCAAACGAGCTCTGGACGAAAGAAGACGAGAAAGGGAGAGAGAGAGAGAGAGAGAGAGAGAGAGAGAGAGAGAGAGAGAGAGAGAGAGAGAGAAAAATGGTATTATGGCCAATTCGGTGGGCGAGGTGGGGCGGTGGAGGCGTGGGAGGGAGGATGGGGGTGGCGAGGAGGCGCCGAACTTTTTACTCGGTCGGCTTCTGTTGTTGAATCCTCCTTCTTTCAAAAGTGAACGAGTCGCCTCTTCTTTTTTTTTTTTTTTTTTTCTTTTTTTTTTTCTTTTTTTTTTTATCCGCAAAACACCTTGGCCTTGCCAACGACCGCTCCGTTCGTGTCAACAAAGCAAGGCATCACGCACACCTTGACCTTGCCACCTTCTTTGCTCTTGTGTGCCGGTACCATCCGCTCGGAATCGAACTCCGTCTCATTCGGTATCACCTCAGCTTTGATCTCGGCTTTCTGGCTCCTCATCGTCAAGCTGAGCGCAATGGCCTTTGTCACCAAATCCAGGACCTATACAAAGAAAAAAAAATCGTTAGTTCTAGTCGATCTGCTGCCGTTCAATAATAATAATAATAATAATAATAATAATAATAAAAGTCAAATTTGCATCGGCATCGTGTCGAATCCATAGTCTCTCAATCAACACACCTTCTGGTGTCCTGTCCAATTGTTGTAAAGACGCTCCAGCTTGATCTCGAACCCCTTGGCGATCCGCGTAGCTTCCTGGGTCGCATATGTCTGCGCACACGGTGCATTGGCCGACAAGAAGCACAGCTGTTGTCGGAATCGGACCGCCTGCTCCTGAAAATTGTTGTCGAGCATCCATTGGTAGATCGCACCGTATTCCCTCCCAAGCTCGAAACCGACGTAGAACGGTGGTCCGTTGAACACTTCCTCGAGCAGTGTGTCCATGATGTACTTCTCCAAGAACATGTTGAGGATATACGGTTGAGTGTTCCCAAACTTGTACTTCTTCTTCACTAGCATCTGGGCCTCCTCCGTATTCAGGTTCACGGCACGATCGCCGGAAGATGACTTTGTGAGCTGCAGAATCGCAGCCTGGAGCATCCAGACCCGCTTCTCGATCGTCGAGTGATCGTCGTCCGTGGCTCGAATCTGGCGAACGTCGTTGAGGTACTGGGATCGCAGGTCGTCCATCTCCTTATCGCGCTTATGAACAAGCTCCTGAAGCACCAGACGGTCCTGTGTCACCTGGGTCAAGGACGTGTGCAGCTCCCGGTTCTCTTGCGATTTTTGCGTGAGCGTCTGTCGAAGCTGGTTGATCTTGGCCTGTGAGGTCTCTTGCGACTTTTTCCAGCTCATGACCTCGTCCTGCAACTTTCGTACGTCGGCTGGGAGTAGCAATTCGCCAGAGTTGTTGTTGCTGTTATTGATGCTGTTGGTGCTATTGTTGCTGTTATTGCTATTGTTGCTGTTCAGGTTGCCTGCAGCATTGCTGCTGTTGTTCATGTTCATATTCATACTGTTCATGCTATTGTTCATGTTGTTGCTATTGTTGATATTACCATTGCTGCTGCTGTTGTCCATGCCATTGTGATAGTTATTGTTGCCAAGACCCGACAGGTTTAGGGTTGCGCTCGTCAACGCGTTCATGCTATTGTTGTTGACATCATATCCGCCAGCGTTGTTCATGTCGTATCCCCCTGGATTGAGATTATTGTAGCTGTTGCTATTATTGTTCTGTCCATAATAGCCTTCCTGTCCATTTCCTGCGCCCATACCATCACCCTGCTGATGCTGGTGCTGCGGTTGCAGGTGTTGTTGATGATCGTTCTCCACGCCGTATCCTCCGTCATAACCGCCGTTCTCCATCCCCCCGCTATATCCTTGGTTGTACGAATCGTTCTGCTGCTGCTGTTGCTGATAGGGGTACTGAATAGGCTGCGAGGTCAACAAGGAATCGGTGCCATAGGAGCCCTGTGGCATCTGTTGCATTTGCTGCATATGCTGCATGCCTTGGATGCCATTGTTAATGGACAGGCTGTCGCCATCCCGTGATGGTGCATGCAATTGCTGCTGGTAAGGCTGTTGCTGCGGGTATTGTTGTTGTTGCTGCTGTTGATTTTGCTGCTGTTGCTGAGACATGTAATATTGCTGCTGCTGCTGCAAGGGGTCCATGTTGTTATTTCTTGGGCTGTTGCCAGAGCCGGGAGGGTTATTGGGATTGACGTTGGAAATGTTGCTGATATTACTACCATTGTTCATGGTCATAGTGAATCCACCCTGTCCTTGCCCTTGTCCCTGAGCCTGACCCTGAGCCTGACCCTGAGCCTGGGCCTGCCCTTGACCGGGTTGTTGCTGCTGCTGGCCACCTAACTTGAGTGGCACGGCTGTGCCATTGACGGACGAGCTTCGGTTCGCACGGTTCGGGGAGGTTGGAGGAGGAGGAGGCTGGTCCTCCGGCTTCTTCTTAGCCTTGAACAGATGCATATTTTCGTCGATATTAATTTCGCACGCCGAGTGAGAGGGTTAAGTAAGGGAGACAAAGGGAAGTGGGGTGTGATAAATTGGGCTGCTGCAGGAATATAGCTTTTTTTTTTTTTTTTTGTGCTTTGTCGACTGTGGACACGAAGGGGAAGGGGGAGGAAAGGGAAGGTGGGTGGAGTAAGGGCCGTTGGATGAATGGATGGCGATGACAAGAAAGAGATGATGGAGAGCACAATATGAAAATGAAGGAAAAAAAAAAAAAAAAAAAAACAAGAGCAAGAGCAAGAGCTATCTAATAGTTAGTGGAGTTGAAAACGAGGGCGAATAGCCAGGATAGGATGAAAAAAAAAAGGTACACCACAATCGGGTAAAAATAAAAGAGTTCGCGTGCTGACAACGATGGACCTGCACCGCCTTCGATATACTTTTTCTTCTTCGTCCCTTTGATTGCCAAATGTATCCGCGAACTGCTATCTCATTTCATTTTCTTCATATTGTGGGGTACAGCCCAAGAAAAAAAAATCAGGTTAACCTTCAATTGAGGCAAGAGAGAAAGTGGGGGCGCGAGCGTGAGTGAAAAAGAGCATTGAGCGAGACTGAGCCAGAAACGAGGTTCCGAAGGAGACCATCCCGAACACATTCGTCCCTTAGTAAGGAAAGGAATGCCTTGAGCAAGGACAAAAGGAGTCCATGACAGAAAACATCAAAAGAAGCGCGTCCGTTCCTGGACTTGACGCGACGTATCACCGCCTTGTGGCCCAAGAAAACCATGGATCGATTATTTTTTATAACTCAATCCACTGTTTATCCTCCCTCGTCTTGCCTCATCCTGCCTTATCTCGCTTGTCCTGCCATGTCTTGTGTGGACTACTGCGCTGTGTAACGGATATTCGGTTCTGTCCCTCTGTACTCCCTCTGCGCGGTAAACCCCTGTTTTGTGTCCACTGCCTGTCTCTGTGCTCTGTTTTTCTGAATATCAATGGCGGTGCAAGGGCGTATCGTTCATGTGAGAATCCTGTTCGTTTTGGCTTTTCCTATTTTCGAACCTTTTTTTCTTCTTTAGCTTGACTTTGGTCCAGAATCCATGGTCTAAGGCTCAATAGCACTTTCTAGCATTCGTTTGGAATAATGTACACGATAGATGTTTAATGGAGACAGGAAGAAGAAGAACAAGACGAGAACAAGGAACAGGATCTAGCAAACAAATAAAAAGGCGTGGTTTGTTCTACAAGAAAATTAAAATAACAAAGGACAGATGTCTAATGTATGAACGTGGGTGTTCATGCCGAGCTATTGCTTTAGAGAGGCCAGCTCCGTCCAGAGAGTTCCCGCTCCTGCTCCCTCTCCATCTCCATCATCTCCTCCCATTTGAGCTCGTTCCTCCAGTCCAAGGTCGTCATTCCCACATCTGTCCCCGTCAGCCCTCCAAGTCTCTTGAGCAATTCCAGGTGATCGAGATTCCACCCTGCCTCCTCTTCCTCGTCACTGTCTCTCTCGTGGTCGAGGCTCGATCTGGGTCTCAATTGAGGGTTCTGCTCAGTCAACGATGCAAGCCCCTGCAGTAGCTTCTCCTTCTGTTGCTTCTGCCGTGCGACTCTGTTTCTGTACAGTTCCAGCGCTCGTGCATAGTCTCCATGTCCTTGCTCTGGTTTCAGTTCCGGGCCGAATCCTGCCAAAATCAGCTGCTCCGTCATCTCGTTCGGTTCTACAAAGCCAACAACAGGCTCAACAGTATCCTGAGGCCGCCGCAGAGATCGGCGCGCTTGTCTAGTTGGAACGATAGCATCGCTTTCAATATCCTCGTCCGGCATATCATCGTCAATGACCACATCCAGGATCTCACGATCGTATGTCTCAATCATCTCGCGTGTCTTGGACTTGGCAGATCTGGCTTGTGCCGGAGATTCCAATTTCGCTCGAGCGGACGAGGGTGGAGTCCACTTGCCAGTCATCCGATCCAGGCACCACAGGGCCTTGATCGACTGCCCTCGTATCACATAACCACGAATCAGCAAGTTCCAGGTATCGACATTGGGCGTAATTCCTCCCTTCTGCATCCTGTTGACAAGCGTCTCGGCGGCAGGCATGGTTACGTGTAGCACTGTGTGCTCCAAAATGTGGTTGTAAGTAACCACGTCGGGTTTGATCTTATGTGAGGCCAGCCATTGGATCATGTGCTCGGATTCGTGCTCCAGGCCTAGGGCCATGTATCCGCCAATCATCCTGTTCACCAAATCCAGCGTCCGCTGCTCCTCCGGGACCTTCTCGAACCAGTAACGGGCCTTGCGCATTTGGCCCACGCTCTCCTGTCGAAGACGGAATTCGTGGTTGAGACTTTCGCTACTAGGGACTGAGGACGATGTCGGCGCCCTTGAGTCAGAAGGCGCAAGCGTCCTCGAAGTTCCTGAACGCGATTGCGATTGAGCAATGGCTTGCATAGCAGATGATGAAACCTTATTCCGCTGACTTTGGTCGATCCAACCCTGAATCAGGGTCGAAAATGGTATCTTGCTGATAGGCACGTTCGGATTCGATACGAGCTCGGACACGAATTGGTCTGCTTGTGCTAATCGGTCCTGTTCTGTCCATCGCGCACAAAGAGCATCCAAAATTCCAGAAGAAGATGAGGTTGGCGAAGTCGGTGTGGCAAACGATTCCTCCTCCACAGGACGGGGTTCTTGTCGGCCAAATAGGAGGTTCCGCAGCTCCTTGGTCGATGGGCTTTGATCCACGTGCCCAGGAAATGCCTCCTCCATCCTGACCATACATTCTTGCAGTGATCCTAATGCGCCTCGCGAGGCATAACCCTCGTATAGAACGTCGAAAGTCTGCAGATTGGGCGTGATGTTCGACTGTATCATTCTTTGAACCATATCTTCGGCATCCTGCATTTCTCCGTGCAAGGTCGACCACCTAAGCATCAAGTTGATGGTGTCAAGCTTAGGCTGAGCCCCCCGTTGCGAGCCGGCCCAAAGTACTGCCTCTGCTTCTTTTGGTTGACGCGTCTGAAGATATCCCGAGACCATGTGGTGCATCAAATCCTCCAGTATAGGTTCGTCCTGCCATGACCCGCCTGACGACACTAATTGGTCAAACCAGTTTCGTGCTCTAGCCATCTCCTGCTGATCTGTAAGCGCTTTAATGACTTGGACAGCCTCCGCATCGGTTCTCAGGCGGCCAAGATCCGAAACCTGCTGTAGTGCCTCCTCCAGTTGCTCATACTTGCGGCTTTGAATCCATGCTATGCATCGCTGGCTCCACCCTGGCCTCTTTACAAACTCAAGATTGTCCATTCCAAATTCGTCCTCCATTTCCTGTGTCTTGTTGACTTCGCAGATCGCAGGTGGACCGCAGTCTCCTTTGCGCAGGGTGCCTATGTCATAGAAACCATCCAACAAAATTCGGCCCAATGCCCTGTCTGTCTCAAGTCCCGAGGCGCCAATCCGACCGAGACAACTCAAGGCCTTATCCTTCTGTCCTGTAGCAATATATCCGCGAATCAATGCCTTGTAGGTGAAAAGGTTCAAAAAAATGCCGCGCTCGATCATGTCCCGCACCAATTCTTCTGCCACCTCCATGCCTATGTTCTTGGCCGCATGTTCCACGATCGGGTTGAAAACAATAGCCGTTGGCTTGACTCCACATCTTGCCATAATCCGAATGACCTCCTGTGCCTTATGTTGCAGACCCATCCTGAGGTATCCGGCCACCATGCTACTCGTCAGCAAATCTGTCATCTCGTGCTTAGGGATTCGATCAAACCAGTATCTGGCCCGTTCCATCTCTCCGCACTCGGCCAGTGCCTCAATCACCAGGCAAAGAGGTGCTGAGTTGGGTGACATGGGTGACCGATGCTTTAGACGTGCAGGATCCTGTGCTGATTCCGACATGTCTACGAAGTAATATGGCTTTTCCTCCAGTTGATAGTCGTGCGAGATCTCAGGCCTCATAAAGACCTGCGCAGCCAATGCCTCCGCACGATCCAAGTCTCCTTGCTCAATCCAGCCACGACAAATTCCACGCCATGCATATCCAGTTGGTTTGATCCCCAGTTTCTGCATTGCGTGAATAGCAACTCGAGCTCGTCGGTATTGCTTCAGCCAGATCAACCCTCGTATCATCTGAGTCCATATCCTCGCCCTGGGCAGTTCCATATACACTAATGTCGAAGGTGAGGCTTTCAGCTGCCGAGCTGACTCTTTCAAAAAATTCCTGAACTGACGGATAACCGCGCGGAGAGTTGTTGCAGATGGATATGCGGTTCTTGTAGCGCCCAACAGAAAGCTCGAGTAGTCTAGCGCCGTCTTGTTGGGTAAAGCCTTGAGTTCCTGCTCTGCCAGAATGGGGAATCTCTTAGCAAGGTAATACAAAGGCTGGGATCCAAGAACAGCTGGCAGTGGCGGGAATACCAGTTGAGATGTGGCAGTCGTCGATACGTTGCCGATTGACGAAGGAGAAGGTTTTGTTGATGGTAAAGTCGTGTTGAATTTGGACGCTTCTAGAGTAACTGGCAGAGGTAGCGGTCCATAAAGGTGTTTTGATTTCGATTTCTTTAGAGGCAGTATTGGTGTCTGTGGAAATTGCCACGGTGACAGCTCAGATGATGCTCTTGTTGGTGTAGACTCCAAAGACGCATTCCTTGCGACCGTTGACTCTGTTGACGAAATCTGCTTTAAGGTCGCTGAGGTAAAAAGTTTTTGCTGAGAAGATCGGCCGGTAGGCATTGACGGGTGCATAGATGGTTTTGAATGATGCCGCGGAAATTGTGTGATATGCGCTGAGGTATCCAGGCGTAGTAGCGGGGTGATTATGGAGGTGGAATATGGTCGTGCTGAAGACGACCTCAGATTAGCCGCTGTCCATGATCCCAACGTCCTTCTAAGGCAGTGTGATAGCGACGCGATCCTGATCCTGCCTGTGGGAATCGTGCACTTGAAATAAGGCGCGCTATGCATCTCTGCCGCTGGAAATGCTGCTGAAGCTCTATTTGAAGTCGGTAGCCATCCGCGTTGTACAGTATGACGTCTAGTATTCGATCCGCTCGATTGGCCGCCTCGAACTATGATCGAAATATATAGAGAGAAAGATCAGGTCGTCTTCTTGGACACACAATAGATTTTCTGATATAGTACAGAATATCGAGGACATGCAGGAGAACATACCTCGAGGGTGCAACGGGGGTATACAGCTCTTGGCGATCAGTCTAGAACTCATGACCTTTGGACCATCACTCTGCCGCTGGCTTTGAATGGAATAGGCTGAAGCCGATGTGATAGGCTTGAGTGGATTTTAGTACAGCAGAGTGAGTGGAGGTTCCAGGCAACTGAAGGGGGAATCAGGAGGATGTGCCGGCGAGGATGTAGCAAGAGAGTGAGGAGGGGGGGTGATGAACGACGCTGACTCTGCTCTCGCCGTTCGTTCCTGATCACTCCTCTTTTAGGCAAAAACAGGCAAACACAAACGATGTGTGGCTTGTTATTCCTAAATCGCGATTTTGATAGGAAACGCGTCGATGGAGACAGACAGACGCGACTGCACAGCAACGACGACTGCAGTTCGACGTGCGATGCGCTGCGAGTATCGGTCTGCTTGTATGCAGCCTTGGAATAAATGCCCAAAGATCCAGTTACTGATCTCGGTGGACTAGAGCTGATGATGTGGTCCATAACAAAATAACTAATCGCCTTTTTCTTTTGCTCAAAGTATCCACTTTCTTGTCTTTACTCTCTTCGTTTCCTTCATTGCCTGCTTGGCTAGAATGTGCAGGGCATAAATACATGGTCTCCAGCACTGGCTATCTGAAAATCAATTCTCCTCCCCTCACCCTCTATAACCCCTTTCATCGTCTCGCTTTCCTTTTGGCGAACTTGCTTCTTTACCCGCGAAACAAAACGACTACGACATGGCTGCCGAGAACCATTCCGATATCCTGGAATGGATACAGGAGCAAATCAAGCTGCACGAGTCCGATCAAGACCATACATACCTACATCGGTTCCAGTATATCCATGAGGCCTTCAAGCGACTACAAAAGTTCCTTGACGAGAATACCGCGGAAGAGGCACCTGATGAGCGCAAAGAGATTCTGGAGCTGAGGGCTTCTGTGTATAAGGGTCTCATCGAGATCACCAAGGGTTTCGAAAGAAACTACCCTTGGGATCAAGAGGAGTGGTATGAGATGCGGGAGGTCATTCATGAGACCATGGTCTCCTTTTGCTTCTGCACAAGATACATGTACCGTTCTTGAGGAACAGATCAGTCTACAATGACGACCTGTCGACGGTAGAATGCTTTGTTGCTTGAAAATGAATAAAAAAAAAAAGGTTAAATAAATAAAAGAACTAAATCGTCCATGGTAAATCGAACGTTCATTAGGACAGGATTGAAGAGGACTTGAATGATGCTCAATAGCTGAGTAGCAACGAGTTCTGCTTAAAAGCGATGTATTCACGCTGTGTTTTTGCTCTCGAAGAAAGTGATATGCATTATGTTTTCTGACGACCACAGCTTGTAAAGTAATAAAATATATAAAAAAAAGTGGTATGTAGAAAATATACTCACACTGTGAATTTGCGAATAAAAGAGCGCTTCTACTTCGCATGGTATACTCAACTCGACTGAAAGCACTGACAATGATTGCTATAACCCCTCCCCTCCCTCCTCCTCCTCCTCCTGCTCCTCAGAAAATAACAGCCAGTTCTGCAACAACGACCGACAATGCTACAAAGATGACGACGGGCATCACACCCATATTCCATCTCAGGAACCCCCAGAACCCAACGCCCGCGTTCTTGTTCCTCAATACTGAATCCCACATCAACCCCGCCAACGAACTGATCAAGGTCGTGCATGCACCCAAGTTGCTTCCTACGATCAGCGCGAACAAGCATCCCTTGACGACCTCCGGGGTCGCTAAAGGTGAATTGACAAATTCCGGGTGCTGTAGGATGCGAGCAACCAGAATCGTCATGGGCACGTTGTTAAAGATGTTGCACAGCAGGACCGAGATGAAGCCAATGGCGTAGGTCGCGGCAATGTAATTCGGAACCAGGTGTGTAGCCCAGGAGGCAAAGATTCCAATCCAACCGGTGTGCGAAAGACCCTCGACCAGGATGAACATGCTGAAGGTGAAGGGCAGAATTGCCCAGGGCATACGGATCGCGATTGCATGGAGGAGAGGGAGTCGTCGCTCGAATGCACCTGAGAACTTCTGGATCGCATTGGGATGGTGCTCCGTGCTGTTGCTGTCGTTAGCAGTAGGCGCGATGACGGCGTGGTCGTTATTGAGCAATCCAGAAACGTTGTTCGACTCTGTTGTAACCTTTACACTGTCTGAAGAACGCGCTTTCTCCAGTTCCGGCCTACCAGCAGTGTCGGCGATGGCGCTATTTGCTCCTAAATGCGTCGATGATCCATCACTGCTCTTATCCGACCCTGTGATGGTTGTCTGGAATACCGGCAATCCTTGCTCTAAACGACTTTCCGTTCCCCCTTCTGCCTTCTTTGAGATAACGTTCAATTCTTTTGCACCACCATCCTCCAGGGTCAGAGTCATTGTGTGGAGTCCCTTGAACTTTCCCTGCCAGTCGTACCACATATCTCTAGCCAGGGTTAGTAGGGCAAAAGGCCCCGTAACAATCCAGACGGATACATGTGCAAATGATGTCCCGATCAGACAGATCAGCGAGCATGCCAGAACAGATAGGCCAAAAACTGCGCCCCAAGGATCGATAAGGCAGGATCGAGGATCGATGTTTGGGGACTGGAGACGGGAAGGAATGTATTGCTCGCCTCGAAAGTTGAGCCGGAGCATGACATAACAGGCAGCTATGGACGCAAAGCAGGGAAGGAGCATCCATGCGCTGTATTCGAGGAATGAGATTTTGTAGGCTTGACAGGCGACCACGTTTGTCAAGTTTCCGATATACAGGGCCATGGAGGCTACGAAATCGACAACATACGTTCGTATCCTGGGTTAGAATATGGTTCTAATAGAGAAACAACATACATAGCGTTATCGAGCGTGCATCTTTACCGATATTGGCGGTTTGAATCTCGGCCATGAGAAAGGCTACCGGAGTGACAAGATTGACAGCATGGGAATAGTAGACGAGGAAGGGCGTCATAGTCAGGACGACGACATCGTTACTGGTAAGGCCTGCCATCACTGTCGAGAGCAGGAAGAAGGAGAGGAAGATCCGTTGGCCGCCGCCACCTCCACGCTTTGAGATCCAGAAGGCGGCGTACTGGAACACGCCGGTCATGTCCAGACTGATGCAAATGTATGCCTGAGAAGAAGATTAGGGTTGGAGTCAAACGAGGACAAGGAAGACAAGGTAGAAAAAGCATGTCTGTGAGTATAAAGCGTTGCCTGATCAGAAACCAAATGCACTTTGGCGTACTGGGTCAGATCGGAGGGGATGCATGTATACATACCAGCGAGAAAAAGAGAATCATGACCGCATAAGGCTCCACTCCACTGTCTGGGGCTCCGACAATGCCGTCCCTGACGCTGTCCCCGCCGATGGACAGGGTCGCCAGGAGGAAGAGTACTCCTATAACGGGTGCGGTCGCAATGTTCAGCTCGATCGAATATGGAAACCTCAAGGTCCTCGACTGCTTGTTGGTCTCTTTTAGGTCCTGATCATGCTGAGTCTTCTGTGCTGAGGTGAGTGTGGGGATGGGGAGTGGGAGACGGATGGGATGGATAACGATGATAATGACGACCATGAAGGTGATGACCACCAGCCAGCTATGGACGTCTAGCACTGTGGACATGATGAGTGCGAAATTGAGTGAGGAAATGAGAAGGCGTCAAAGGTAGATCCTGCGCTAGGGCAAGTGATGAAGCTGTGTCAATTTGAGGTGGTTCGTCTTGGAAGCGATGTGAGAGAGGGCGGAAGAGGAAGAGGAGATGGGTGGGAAGGAGGAAAAAAAGAAGAGGGTTGGGCAAGGGGAGGAGGATCGGGAAGTGGGGGGAGGGGGCAGCCATCGTTTATGTTGATATCGATGTCATCCAGTGTATGGTTCCATAGGATCTGACCTTGTTTTTTTTTGTGTGTGTAACCTAAAATAAAGCAAAACACGAAGACGAAACTCCGAAGCGTGCTTTAAGGTACACTATTTCCTTTTATGGCAATCAATGTACCCCGTCCTCAGCTATACCGGTAGGGTACATCTTTTTTTTTTATTTATTATTACGCCGCTAGATCTGTAAGAAAAAAAATGGAACACACCTCAGCTCCCTTTCTCCCCCTTACCTTCTTCCTTATCTTCTTGCTCTCCACCACGACCTGGACTCTTTGTCCTCGGTAGCCTTCATGGTCCTCATTGTTCCGTTCCCCCGTACTTCACTGTACTCAATCCCTAGTCTATAACACCCCCTCTCTTCCTCCCATTCGCTCTCGGAGGCTCTTCCGAGCAACGCCTTCTGGCAACTCAAACATCAACGTGTACCACCATGATCGGCAAGCGCAAGTGTAGGAGTAAAAGACGAGAAGGAGTTGAGAGGGTTGACCACAAGGGTATAAAGAGTCATTGCTAATGTGAGAATCGAGGAGTGTACCACTTCCCGCTGTCCTGCTTCCTCGCATCCGCTACCATTTACAGCCCGAGCTCGCGAAGCCTATCCAAGGTAATAAAAAAAAGTCCCGCTTCAGTTCAGGGCACGACAATCTTCCCACCATCGTTCCTTTCATATAACCATTGCTAACCTCTATATTGCTGCCGGTCCGACCGCTCTAACTCTAGTCCGCTTCTCTATTAGTCCCCTGAGGTTTTTAGTGAACGAAAACCGGTTTTCTCTGTTTTTTTTTTCTCTACGCCGAGGACAAGGACATACAACGTGTGGTAGGTCCTGCCATTCAAACTCACAAAAAGATTGTTACCAATACACGGAAGGGAACTTTGACCTGACCCCTTCTCGGATCGAATCAATTACAGCTAGTCTATAGCCATGACCGACATTATGTTCGCGTGTGTGCATAATGCAGGACGTTCGCAGATGGCTGCAGCGTTCTTCAACAAGCACAAGACCCAAGAATCCATCAAAGGACTGTCCGCAGGAACCAACCCAGCGTCTGAGGTCCATGGAGTTGTTCGAGAGATCATGTTGGAGGTCGGCATTGACCTTTCCAACGTCCAACCCGTCAAGTTGACACCGGAGCTCGCCAGAACCGTCAGCACGATTGTCACGATGGGCTGTGGCGAGACTTGTCCCTATGTGCCTGGTGTCAACATTATTGACTGGATAATCGTCGACCCGAAAAACAAATCCGTCAAAGAGGCCCGAGAGATTAGAGACGAGATCGAGAATCGAATCAAGATGTTTATTGCAGAGAACAACTATTAAGGTTGTCCTGGTTGATAAATAAAAAAAAACTCAGCTACAGCTTCCATTATTATTCATCACTGCAACTTTTCAGCCTGAGAGAGTAAGCAGCCGTTTTTCAACTTTTCTTCTCTCTCGCTATATCTGTCTGTGAGGAATTCTGTCTGGGGCCTCAAGAGAAGCGTGAACTTGAACAGCTCTTCCGCAACATCGACAACACGCTGGCGCAGATCACTCGGCTTCATTCGATCATCTTCATTGAACTCTGTCCAGGCCTTGGGTACGGACGACTGGTTCGGAATCGTAAACATGCGCATCCACCTCCCCAGGATTCGGAGCGTGTTGACAGTGTTGAAACTTTGCGAGCCGCCGGACACCTGCGCAATCGCCAGTGTCCTGCCTTGCGTTGGCCTGACCGAGCCTAGAGACAATGGGATCCAGTCGATTTGGTTCTTGAAGGCAGCTGTGACATTGCCGTGCTGCTCAGGAGACACCCAGACGTGTGCGTGGGACCACTGGCTGAGCTCACGCAGCTCTTGGACCTTGGGATGATTCTCGGACACGCCGTCCTTGACTGGGAGGCCCGTAGGGTCAAACACGCGGACATCAGCACCCAATCGGTCAAGGATCCTGGCGAATTCGTACGCGAGCAGACGGGAGAAGGATCGCTCTCGCAAGGAGCCATAGAGAACTAAGACGTTGATCGGGGCATGGTTCTTTCCGTACTCTTGGAGCGCAGAAAGGTTGAGATTGGCGACCCAATCGTCCGCGGCGTTCTTGAGAGCACGATATGGTTTATAGCGCAGCATGATAGGAGATAATGATGGTGATAGAGTGAAGAGAAGAAGAAGAGAAGATGATGATGAGAAATGGAAACAGTGAGAGGAAACGAAGGAGAGGATGGTGGGAGACATGGCAGCTTATATATGCTCTATCTAAACTTTAAAGGGGAATAATACCACCTTTTAGTGAATGATGGTTACATCGAGCGAAGGTGGACCTTTCGAGTACCGCATGGGTTCAGGAACGCCGACCAGTCTTTAAGCGAAGTGTCCATCGAATCGAAGTGGTTCCATCTTTTCTTCTTTTTCAGTCGGTCCGCTTATGACCAAACTAGCAGAATAGTGTATTCGAAAGGTGAGTGCTTCATGGATATCAAAAGAGAAATCAGTAGTCCCGGAAGGGAACCTCGTGCGTGGAGAAGGATCTTTGGGCTTCTATCCCACACAATGAACTGCCATCCTTGGGCAAACCCCAATGTAAAAACAAGGCCTTTCGGTGCAAGGTTGAGTGAAGCCTCGCATCGCTTCGACAGACCAGTGACAAAATAATTAATGGCAAAACTGAATTAGGTCTCCATGAGCTCTATTGCGCAGCTAGGAATTTTTACATGGGTTTAATTCAGGTGCCTCGAGATCTCTGTGACCCTGAACGCTATAGTAAACACAGGAATACACGCCAAAAAAAAAACTAACTTTATTATCCTGATTCTGCATCGCTTGGTGTGAACAGCTCCCTGACTGAGTTGAGTCCTCATATGTCGATCATTCCTGGGATTTTTTTTCAAAATAAATGTAAAACAACGATCTAGCGCACCTTCGACAGGAAGCATGAAGAGATGACTCTGAATAATGAATTGGTACAACAGCAACACCCTCGCCTTTATTATTATCGTCGTATTTCTATGGCACTACTTCCAAAGACATAAAACCACCATCTGCCGTTCTCCAACCTCAATCCTTACAATGTATTCTTGCCTCAGATCTCCTTAACATAATTGCCTACGTATGAGTCGAGTCAAAAAATAAACGATATCTGTCAGCCCAAAGAGTCTCTTCACCCTGCACCAGAACAAATAGCAAGAGAACAACGGACATGGACAAAGATTCTTACCTGGGAAAACACCCTGTTTACCGTTCAACTTGCCGGTCCACCAGTCATCCGTGTTCGCAGTCCGCTCCACAAGCTCGATCCGGTCGTCCTGTTTGAAGCTCAAGTCGCCCTCCTGCTGTGCATCGTAATCGTAAAGCGCGACTACCATTTTGACATTCAACCTCTTGGGTGGAGGAGGTGGTGGGGGCTTCTTATTAGCGAGGGACGATTTCCCGGCCTGGAATGCCGTACTCGCAGCTGAAGCTGCTATGGCTCCTGCGACTCCTGTACTGAATGGACTAACGTGGATATGCACATTGGGTCCACCTCGCGGAGCTGCAGGAGCTGGAGCGACAGCAGCAGGTTGCGGTGCTGAATAGGCTGGTGGTGGCGATGCGTCCTGAGTCGACTTGGCTTGCCATGGCCTTGGTGTAGGGGCGGTCGCGCCGGCTGCTTGCCATGGTTTAGGTGCTGATGCTGGAGGCGCTGGTGCTGTGGGTGCTGCAGTACGAGATGTGCCCGCAGTAGCTGGTTGCCATGACTTTGGAGCCGTTTGGGGTGCTGACGCCTGGTGCTGCTGCCACGGCTTGGCTGTTGTTGCCGCCTGCCAAGGCTTTGTTGCTGGGGGTGCTGGGGGTGAATGGGACTTTGCTTCTCCCACAGATGCGCTTGAGCCTCCATACGACCTTGGGGTCCCATAGGCGCTTCCTGTAGGGCTGGTTTCAGGAGATGGTCTGCCGTATTTGCTGGCATAGGCTGTAATCCAAAAGTGAGATCAACATTAGCAGCTCATACATAAGATGATGCAGTTATAGGCGAGGTGGCATCAAAGAGAAAATTCCTTACAAGTTGTAATGGCCCGTTTGGTAATAATTTCAACCCCCTCCAGAGTGGGCGCAATGTCGCCCTTGCGAGCCTCGTATCCTTGAATGATGTCCATGGTTAAGTCGTAATATCCACTTCTGGAGAGAGGGTCGATGCGATCCAGAAGAATATTGTAAATGCGGAGCTGCAGGAAAAAAAACGAGTAGAAGACGGGTTCCATCAGCTGCGTTCGCAGCCAAAAGTAGCCAGGTAGTTCTTCCTTCAACAAGTTGTTCAACCCTTCATAATCCGCTGTCGCAACTTCCAATTGAGATTCGAGCTAACAAGATCAAGAAAGAAAGAAAAAGTAAGTATCGCGAAGTAAAAAGGATCGTCCCAAAAGGTGCTAGTGGTTGAACCAGAGCCGTACCTTGAAGATCTGCTTTTCGTCGCTCAGCGTTCTCTCCTTTTTATCCTGGAGTTTTTTCAACGAGATCCTGAAGCGATCATAGTCAACCAACTTGTGGTCACGCTTAACGATAGTCTTCCGGATCATCTTCATCAGGTTCTGCATTTCTGTCAACGGAGTCACGACTGAGGCCTCCAGTTTGTCCTGTACAGCGAATATAGATAAAATTGCAGGTCAGGGACCCATTGATACTCCTGAAATATGTATGTTTCTTTAGGAGGCATGGAAGAAAGACGTACCACCTCAGGTAAGAGAATATCCCTGATCTCCCGCATGACCGCTTGGAAATCGTCTACGGCCTGAACAGACTCTGGTGCGGTCTGGATACGGCGTGGGGTGACCTCGCCAATCGGCTCGCCCAGAGATGGGTCATAGATCTCTGCGAGGACGATGCCGAATTCCGCCTGATGATTAAGGAGTGCTAACACACGATACAGAGCAATCGCAAAAGGCTGTGAGCGGGAGATGAATTCATTAAGAACGTACAGGAAGCAGTTGACGAGAGCAGGACTCTGTTGCCGTACCTGTAACACTGTCGCGGTATTTGCACACATCGCCTAAGAGAGTAGCTGTTGTCTTTTCACAGGCTGTGAACTTGTCGTTCATGTCCTTGAACTCATAGTCGGTTGTTGCTAGTGAGAGATATCAGAACTGGATGTGAATACACAGACCCAATGGACTAAAGAAACCAGGTGGGCTGTGCCGCCTGATATAATTCTATTTTCTTCCTCTGGCATTCGAGAGCAGGAGAGGAGAATACGTACAATCGCGGATACCGGTCTTTGTGGACAAGGTATGAGGAAGTCGGGAAACTGCCTTAGTGAGTCCCTTCCTGTTGATTGAAACGGCAACAAAAGAAAGAGAGGAAGGCCAAGAGTCAGGACCGACTGAACAGTTGATAACTACTGTGCCCCACTCCTTCGAGAAGTGCGCCAGAAACTAAAAATTAAGAGGAGAGGACAAGGACGAACCAGCTCATGTCGACGGGGTCTGCAAAAGGATTAGATGGAGGAGTAAGGAAGTTGGCAGGGGAGGGGAAGAGGCTGTAGGTGGAGTTGGGCCGTCAATGGGAGTTCGAGAGGATGGAATCAAAGGGATGAGGAGGCAGATGTGGGGAGGCCTTGTTGGTGATAGACTCGCCCGCAGTCTCTCCCCTCGAGTCACGTCACTCACACGGGCTTGAACGCGTTCTTTTTTCCGCACTGCTCCACCTCCAGAGAGCATCTGGAATCCATGGCTGCAGGTCCTTTGGGTTCCTTGGGCGCCTTCCTTTGCCACTGTTCTCAGAGGGCAGCTGCAGATACCATATATGGTATTTGCCAATCGAGGCTGACGCTCAATTACCCACAAGCAAACTGCAGTATGAGTCAATTGGGAATGACGGTCTGTTGCCATCGCTGATGAATTTCATTGTTCTTTGCCACTATCTCCCCTTCCTTCAACTCTTATTCTCCTTCCATCCATCATTCCTCCCTCCATCATCCCTTTCTTCAATTCTTGCTCCCATTTGCCGTCATCTCCTTCCCGGTCTCTTGAGTATCTGATTCTCTTTTCTTAATATGTCGTCGCTTTCTAGTTCCATTGCTCCTATCGCGTCTGTGAGGGTGAGATCGGCAGCCATCTTGGCTGTCTATCAATACGGGTGCGGACTTTCAGCCTCTGTCCAGGAGTTCTCTGCGCCTGGTTACGTTCATTGTCGCTCATCTGATGCCTCACAAGATCCGGGCAGAGAAGGGAACTGCTTTTTTCGTTGTTGCTTGTTCCTGGCATATTAACCTTAATTTATTTTGAGGTTGGCTTTGTTAGGATGAAGTCGTTTAAAGAGTTTGTTATTTCAGATCTCCACGGGCATCCCACCTTCGAGAAGATGTATAGCTGCTTTACAGCATATATCGGTCGCGAACGTCGCTTTGAAAACAATGCAGCACAGACATATGCACTCGACATGGATCGATGTCGAGAGGAGTTCAATGAACTGTTATTGCAGGAGACAAAGAGTTTGTTGCGTGTATCGGCAGGCACCATTATAAATACAACCATACTGGATCATACTGTCCGTAAGAGCAAGCATCTATTGCGATGACAAAAAATGCGTTGTTTCAGGAGTGTTTGATCATGTGTTTACTGTCTACTTGTCTCCAGCTGAATAGATAGTTTGCAAGGTCTAGACAATGCAGTGCGGAACAGTAAGGCTTCAATGAAAATGATGACTTGAATGAGGATATAGATGTGTTCCTAGTATTTTCATTTGTACCCTTTTGGATTCATAGATTCTCCGGCGCCAATGCTCTCTGCCGACTGTGAGACGAGAACCCACCCAACCATCGACGTGTCTCAACCTACTCGTCGCCACAGAGTTTCTCTTTGAGTCCGAGGAGCCCCACAGTACGGCAAATGCCGCTCAAGAACGTTTTTCTCGTTGATGATAACCCAGAGGAGTTGCCTGCATTGAAAGAGAATAAAAGACAGCAAGGAGGTGTGTTGAATGCCGGCTGCGTTTTGCAAAATCCTGTGCATTGGATCACAGGTGCTGACTATTCTTTCCAATGATAGATATAGCACATTTCTCTGTTCTCAATCAACCAACTACTTGGCGATTTGGAGGAGTCGATCTTTTGTCAAAGTTTACGGAGTTCAGAAGTCTAAACCAAGGGCCGTTCGCTCTGGCTCGGGACGGGATTGCTGATCTCTCATTGGGCTCGACGTTTCTAAGGTTCCTGTCGCCAACTGAAGTAAAGCTCGCGACGGAAACCATTTTCCCTTGCAGCACGGCCGACACGGTATGGCCTACGTTTGATGGCGTTTGCTCCCGAGTCTTTGGTTCGAATGGATCATATGACGACGTCGCGCGGGCTCTGAAAACTGAAGATATTGAAGAACCCGTTGTCGCTTATTTTCAGGGAATTATCTATTCCTAATAAGTTTTAACAGCTCCCTGAAGTGGTTATGCTCACTGTAACAGTCAATATGAGATTTTTAATTCGCATTTTTATATTAGTTCGCACTACTTTGCTTTCCATGATCAGATTCCAAAGGATGTAAATGAACGCGGAGGCTTTGGCGATTTTACTTGGTCATTCATCCGGGGAGCTCTGACCTTGGTCAGGATCGAATCTCGGCATTTCGAAAGCCCGGTGACAGGAATCAAGGACCGAAAAAACTTTGGCCGAGATCCTCTTGTGGACGCCGAAGAGCAAGCGCATATGGCAGATGGAGTTGCTTTCGTTAGGACACATCAACTTTATCTGGCCGAGGCAACACTTGTTTATGACGGGAAAGCCGAGAAGAGGTGCAAGGATGTGTTCAAACTGACGCGTGATATGAGGGACTCTTGGATCGCACAGGTGAGGTCTATTAGTCGTGATGCCATACCTCCTCGAGGGTTGACTGTCTTTGGCTCGACATCGTTTGAAGACCAGAACAAGTTTTACGCTATGGATTTCTCAGGCACTTTTTGACTGAATCAAGTTCACTCTATGGTTGTGCCTTTGCGGAAAGCGCAGTTCGCTCAAAAAATGCAGTCTTGTGTGAACAGCTGCTTGCAGTTTGCTCTTTTGATAATGGGTGAGTTGGAGAGGAGAAATGACGTGAGAGAAAGCACTCCCAAGGAGCGTGTGGATTTGTTTTTGGCTTGCGACTCTATTGCACTAACGAGGAGCACTCCCGTGAAAGAGACAAAAAAAAGAAGGGCCAGTTGGTTGTTGCCGTTTAAGTAACAGAACGCGTCAAAGATTTCATCTCTGAGGTCCACATATCCGGCGCGCACTATAACTCCACATGTCCTGAGGGCATTATACTACTGAAGTCGCGTGACCTTCGATAACTCCTAGCGCGATCTGACCATGATGCCAAACAGCCATTGGGATACTTTCTTCTGGCCTGCCTACTAAGATGACTGTTACAAACCATATTCAGGACCATAGCTATATAAGACCAGTAATAAAACTGATAGGAGCCTCAGTAATAAACACATCTTGAAAACCACCTTGATCCTGACCGAGACTCTCTTGACTCTTCCACAACCTTGGCTTTGTTACACCTACATACTTCATGTGCTTTCTATTGCAGAGTCGCATTTTGGCAATACGATACATTTCTGGTCTGAGTCTGGATATGAGGAGAGCCAGAATGTATCTACATGTACACATGGCCGGAGGTTCATGCAGCTCAAGATAAAACCGAATAAAGCCATATTTTGTTCTCATTGTCCTTTGAAAAGAAGCATTGATTGTGGAGTACGAACGTTTGACGAAGTACTGATTAAGATTGTCGCAGGTGCTTAACAAAAGAGATGCGTTCTTTAATGCTTCATAGAGATCCCTAACGCATGTGGAAGGCCAGCGCGAGAATTAATCGGAAAAAGCCGCTCCATACACCAATGGTGGTAGTAACAGTATGTTTCATGCGTCCCGCATTCAACAGATCGACCTTGACACAGAGATTTATTCGGTGCCAAATAGTAGGTGTCCAGCTTTTTGCGGCTCCTGTCAATGAGGTCCCATGGTGTGTCATTGTGCGCTCGGATACCGACAGCATCTCCGAAAGCGCTTCTGGCTGCCTCAAGTGCAGCATTTTCCAGAATGGGTTCCGAGTGGACGCTGAAAAGCTTGCAGCGACAGGATCTGCAGAGGCGAATCACGCTTTGGCATTGCTCTCGATCCGGTTCGATGTTTCTGTTATTAGGTTTTGCTGGATCGACTGTGTCTGGCCACTCCAGGACCGGAAGAGGTATGGCGCCGAAGTCTTGAAGATTCCATAGAGGCCTTGAAAAGGTTGAACAACCCTCACAGATGTGGTAGCTGAGAGCAAATATGTATTGCATGTAGGTCTTGTAGAGTGGAGTGCCAGGAAGACGGCGGAATAGATTTAGCAATCCTGTACCAGCCAGCCGCATATAATAGGAGTGCCAAACTTTCAAGCTCGCAACCAGCTCATAGAGCGACCGACTGGCCCGAGAAAGGCGAGAAAGTTGAGAGGGATAGAGATAGGAGCAGATTTTTTCCCATACTTCTGCTGGTACACGCTTGTCGACGCAGAGTTGTTGTCTCGCTACTTGAAGCTGCTGCAACCAGTCTGTCAATGTTAGTTCACAACAGGACGACTCCGTTTCTGGGTAGCTCATGGATTGCGTGGGTAGCAAAAGTGAGAAAACATATGCTGGTTCAATAAAAGATAGAGAAACGAAAGAGAAATGAAAGAGAAGACAGAGAAACGAAAGAGAGGATAGAGAAACGAAAGAGAATTATGCGCATGGAAATAGAGTGTTACTGTTTATATGAGTACCCCACCCCATCCAAGACTGAACAGATGGCCGCAGAGGACGCACTGAGTGGCCCAGGGGCGGGTTCTTGTCGTCCTCCCATATCAAACCAGGAGTACATGCAGAACAAAGAACAAACGCGTCCAATGAGGACAGTCCTCTTTGCAATTATAGAGCGGGCGTTTTGCTCGCGTCAATTGCTCCAATGGCCCGTTCGAAGAAATTGCTCGTCCTATAAGAGTCTTCTGCGCGTCCTTACTCATTCCTTTCCTCATCAACCCATCCACTCTCACACCCGCAACACCCCTCTCTTTCCCACTCTCTACCCCCAGTAACGTCCTACAATCCTCAACATGACTCAGGTAAGGGCGCGTTCTGTTCTCGCAACGAGCAGTACGAGTCAAAGCGCCGTTGCAAATTCTGCGCAGTGGATCTCCAGAGTCCCTTACCCGACTACTCCTTCTTCGCTCCTTAGATCAAGGTCGGCGACACCCTCCCCAGTGTTTCTCTCAAGTACTGGTAAGTGCTTTCAACTTCTTTGCTGTGTCTTAATGGTAACTCGCTGCATATCCTGCTCAGTAATTGACCATAATTACTTGTTATTTTTTTCTTTTGCTTGATTCGATCTACACATAAAAGCCCCTACGATCCCGCCCTGGAGCATGCCTGCGGAGTCCCCCAAAACCTGGATCTGAGCTCCTTCAAGGGCAAGAAGGTCGTCATCTTTGGTGTCCCTGGTGCATTCACTCCCACCTGCAACAACCAGCACTTGCCTGAGTAAGTCTTCAATTCCATATCTTTGCGTTTTTTTGCTGACCATGGGAAAAAATCATTACGATAAGGAAGTTTGCCCGCCTCCAATGTGTACTTTAATGTTTCTTTTTACTCACGGTCAAATTCTTCGCTCTAAACGTCTACAGGTTCTATCAGAAGTATGATGAATTCACCAAGAAGGGCGTTGATCAGATCATTTGCCTTGCCACCACCGATGCCTTGTAAGTTTCAAGAGTTTTTTCTTTTTTTTTCTTTTTTTTTCTGGTACAAAGTCATCTCGCCCGCGTTCCTATCAGAAAATTGTATGGGGCAAGATCTCTATTTTCTTTGCTCACCAATCTCTGTCGTGACTTGATCTGTCATACACATACACACAATAGCGTCATGGACGCTTGGGGCAAGTGGACCAAGACGGGCGACAAGATCATCCTTGCTGCCGACGGCAACGGCGACTTTGTTACCGCGACTGGGCTCACCCAGGGTAAGTCGTCAGGCTCGATTCATCCATATTTGGACTCGATTAGAGAACAACAGGACCGCATTGATTGACCGATCTTTATATATATATATATCCTATAGACCTCAGCAAGCTCGGCATGGGTGCTGTTCGCTCCAAGCGCTTTGCCCTCGTTGCTGACGATTTGAAGGTCACCTATGTCGGCGTCGAGACTGGGTAAGTTATAAGTTCATACATATATCTTCACGACGGTTGAATGGAGATTTTTTGCCGCGCAAGGTGCTGACCGTTTCTGTTGTCTTTGACTTCTCTCTCAATCTTATTCAGTCCCGGTGTCTCCGTCTCTGGTGCCGACGCTGTTCTCGCCCACTTGTAAATACTCTAACTGTGCGGTCACCTCTTCAGTCTTCGCTGCCAAGCAGGCGGAACTCTCATTGTTCTGGATCAAATAGCTGTCACTTTTACCATACATTAGGGAGGAGAAATAAAGATAGATATCTTTAAGCATCTGAGCCCCACAATAGAATCCCATTGACAAAGTAAAACGACCAAGGTCGAGCAGACATCTATCTATTAGTTCTTTTAATCTCCTTCTAACGATTGTAAAAGCTTCCTAGTTCTTGCACCACCTTGCGAACCTCATCCACAATGGTCATGGGCTGCTGTGAGGGCGTGTTCGACGGTTCCTGCTGTCCTTGTACGCCCTCCAGTGAGGCTGGCACAGATGGCGAGGCCATTGAATTGCCCGCCAGGGGTGAGTGTGTCTGTGAATAGACAGGATCGCCTCCATTTGCGCCAGGAAGCACATTTGCCATTTCCAGGCCCTCCATGAACATGGTGCTATCGTTCGTTGGCCGAGGACTCAACACAAATAGATTGTTTGTACCGCTGCTGCTGAGTCCCATAATACCGTTGACTCCGACCGAGACGCTTGAACCGACTCCGGAACCTATGCTTCCAACTCCCATGCCTAGAGACCCTATCCCGTACCCGCCGCTACCCGCCACCTGAAGTCCAAACCCTGTAGCAATGTTGGGCCTGCCCCATGCATGACACCACTCCTCAAACGGCAATGGTAGCTCCAGTCCTGCAGATCGGACTGCGAGATAAATAGTGCCCATGGCCAAAGCGCGGCTCGAAGAGTTGAGTGCAATAGTGGATGAACAAAGGGCGTCGATGCAGAACGTCGTCGAGATCTGAACGAGCGCTGACAGTGTTGGGTGGATTCCCGTGTGCGGCGTCGCCAACGAGACGGGTAAGACCGAAGACGATGCTGAGGTTCCGTGCTTATTAGGTGAAGTAGAGTTCGACGATTTGACTGGTGGTCCTGGTAGAAAGACATCAAAATTAGAGGCATTCGGATATAGATGTGCTGCCTCTTCGTCTGTCGGGCTGAAAACCATGCCCATTCCTTTGTATATCCGGAGCACATCGCTGAAGGGAAGAGGCACATCCAAGTCAAACTGAAGGATCCGAAGAAGCATCAGCTCTGTTGTCAAAAGCGAGTCGCGAATGTGCCAATATGTGGCAACTGTGGGCGGGGGTGCTGTTAGATTTGTAGGTTGCGATGGCTGACTGCATGATCCAGACGATGGCGCTGTTTCCTGGACCGACACTTCTTTTTCACCCGGTTTGATCGAAAGCGAGAGCACAGGTTGGCTGGGGTTCATGACCCGGTATGTAACGTTGACGAGATCGCGAACCTTGCGGCTCACCTCTGTGCATTTGCATGCCAGGTGCAGACATGCCGTTGCAAAGAGCTAAGAGAGATTGTATGCGAGAAACATGATCACGACGTCAGAGAAGCGGGTTCATCATACGGGTAAACCCCATGTGCTTGACCCATCCTGAAGGGTGCGGCAGGAGATTCAGATCGACATACATATTCATCCGCCTTGGTAGCCTCATTGTCGCGATCGCCTCGTTTGTGGGCTTGGTGCAAGTAAGCGCGATATTTATGGTAATAGATGAGAGCTGATCCCGTTGTCGTTGGGGGGCTAAAAGAGACATTGACAAAAGAAAATTGCAAATAAGCGCTTGATTATCGCACCATATTCGTCAATTTGGATACCATGGGGGGTGAGAGCATGCTCTTACAGTTGTAAAATTTCTGCGGCGATACGCATCAACTCAATGGCGTGCATCGATTTCTGTCCCTTCGAATTCTGACTCTTATGAGCCCCCAGTGACGACCCTGAGACAGGGGTGGGCGGTGAAGTCGTCCTCGGCTGTGATTGTGATACAGCACCGCTAGCATTGGAGCTTGATCCGCCTACGCTCTTGCGATGATAACTACCGCCATTACCTCCTGATTGTCCATCCAGTGCTGCTGCTGGCTTTGGTGGACCAGACTGTTGTCCCGCATCCTTTTCTGCAATGTTCTCTGCTGCTTTTTCTGCCGCGTTACCTGCTGTGTTTGCTGCTGTCGAAGGGGCGCTTCCAAAAATGATATTGGCGAGATCCGGACCGGGCATTGGGACCTCTTGTGGCTGTGATGGCAGGGGCAGGGCCGGCACTGTTGCCTGAACAATACTAACGATCTGCTCCAGTGCATTCAGCGATGGCTGCATTTCTGGGGCCACTGCAGGCGATTCAGCCTCAGGATCCTTGGGTCGATTGATTCTTACTATCTTGTTGGGTCTTGGTGGTGGATTCGATTGTTCTTGTTGTTGCCGTTCCAATAGCCGCTTTTGCTGAATTTGGTGGTATGCGTCCATGGTAATCGAAACAGGGCCCGTCCCTGGCGGTTTTTTGAATTCAGCTGTGGTTGCTATTGTGGAAACTGATGATGTTGGGACAATGGTGGGTTCTTTCATGGTGGTATCCTTTGCTGATCCTTTTTCGCTCTGTTGATTGTTGCTGTTGCCCGACGAGCTGCTGTTCATGATCACGATCAGGAATGGTGTCGATCAATCCTTCTTTTTTTTTTTTTTTTAGTCTCTTGGAGCTCGGCCGGCAGATCCGTGTATGCTTGGTAGTCGCGGCAATTGATGAGGTCGAGAATAAAGGTAGCTTGCCCCGTACCAGAAGATACGAAAGCGGAACCCAAAAGGCGGTCGTGGAAACAAGAGCAGTTGCTCCACATATCCCTAATTGACAGATTCATGGTCAATTAGAGGTCACAATGCTTGGTTTGGCATGCAGCACACAGCTTCGCCGTTGACTTAGGCAGTTCACTTCTATCATGACTCTATACATTACTTGAGTATGCAATTAAACCTCCATGATCGAAACGAGACTGCTAGAGGTCAATCGATGGACTAATAATCATCAGCTATGCTTTATTTACAATCAAGGATCAGGTTTCCCCACTTGTCCTTTGGCGATATGCAGTACCGCGTCGATCAACTGCCAAATATGGTGCATTCTGGTATCGTGGATCCGTCATGTTGTAATAGTTGCACCACGACACCACGACAGGACCGCGACAGACGACTTTGAACTCAATCCATCGCTCAGGAAAAAAAAAGATGAACAGCCCTGTGAACGCTACTCCCGTGTCCAGTGCAGCTGACAGGATTAGCGTATACTTCCTCCACCATCCTTTATGGTATTGAAATATGTAGAGTCCGAAGTGTAAGCAGTCAGACCCTAGTCCTGAAGATGAAGGCAACCAACCATCAAGTATGCCTGTGAATATTTCCACGCGGCGTCGCGGAACTGGACCCAATGTCCGGTTGCGCCGCCAATCTTTATTGTCTGCAGGTGAGGAAGAGACTTCATTGACTTTATAAGCTTCATAGGCTCTTTGATTCCTCATCCTCCTGTGCTCTGCCGCGCCCTGAATTCCTGGTCGCGTTGCCTCATAAGCCCGACATTGTCAATTCTGTCACCTGCGAACAGCTTCATAATATAAGCGATGTTATAGTCCTGCAGTAGACCTCCCGATTCAGGATACGTGAGCGTAGGCAGCCAGAAAATGGAATATTTGACTACTCTCTCTCTCTCTTCACCGCTGTGTAACACTCCATGGTTTGGGATTTCCGTCATGCAGTATCTCCGTAACACGGAACGAGAATCTTCACAATTTATTAGATCTACAAGCAGAAATTAGCACCAGTCGCCACGACGATCCACTCCACAGATCACGCGTCCAAATATCTATCTATCCACGCTGTAAACTGTGTCTTCTTTTCTGCCGTGATATAGTGACAATTCTTGAGGTTCAACAGCTTCATCCTGACACCCGTATGCCTCTGGCGATTCGATGAATCCTGCCCCTCCTCCTCCACAGTCATTGAAGACTCGGGAGAAAGACGACCTTTCATCATAAGAATGTGCTGGTCCATAATATTTGTCCCCATAAGACTGAGCTCCTCCAGAGCAGGAAGGTCAATCGTGTCCAGAATCTTGAACCACTCCAGCACTCCAAGGCTGATATACTCCAAGCGGATGCATGTCAAAAGCGGCGATGTCTTTGGCGCGCTCCACTGACGGTAGCTCAGACTCGACAGCTGCGTTTCAGACGATGGTGATGGTGTTGTCGCAAGAAAAGGGCTATACGTGCTGGAAGGGTACAGGTAGGAGGCGTAGCCCAAGGGAAAGAATGCTTTAACATCCTCGGCCAACTGGCCCAAAACCTCTGACAGCGACGCAGATGAATATAACGGCAACGCCACCTCTGTATTCGGGACGGCCATCATCCGCTCCAAGTGCTTCAACAGATGTAGGAACGTAATCGCGTCGAGATGTCGCATCGTTGGCATTGTGAAGTGGAATTGCTGCAACTTGGGAAACGGCACTTGGCACGTCCGCTCCATCACCCGCATTTCCCGGTTAGCCTCACTTCGGAAATGCAAGCTAGTGATCTTGGAGGATACATCTCTGATCCAACCCGCCCAACTAAAGTGCGCGATTGTATCCATGCTCCAGTGATCTCGAACGACTACCGATAGCTCCTCCAGGCAAGGACTGGAATCCACAATCACGGAGGTGAGGCGCTTTAAGTACTCCGGTACAATACTCGCGTATGAAATACGAAGCCGCTCCAGTCTAGACTCACCACTGCTGTACTGCTCCAGATTCTTGCGAAAAAGGTCAGCGCTTAGAGTAGTGGCGGGGGGTGGTGAGAAAGAATACCCTCCATTGCCTTCAATGTCGCATTCCACCAGTGCCCATCCAAATTCGTTCAACAGCTCCTGTAATTCAGGTCCGAGTGTGGACTGCCACGACTTGAGCTTAAGAGACATGGATGCGGGGTCCTTCAGGTCGCTGCTCGTCAGCGTGCAACAACCGTACACCAGCACCAGAGATCGTAGCGGAGGATCCCATTTCTCTCTTGCTTGGATCCGGTACGTATCTTGAACGAACTCATAGACAGTGCGAAACAGAGCTGGTTGGCATGAGAGGCGAAGCTCGCTCAGCTGTGGCTGAGTCGTGAGCAGGGTTCTCAGAAGTCTGCCATCGTTCCCTATATCGTGGTGTGCATACGGCTGTGGACTGTGCCCTAGGAGGCGGGGTTCGCTCATTGGGAGCTTACGTGTTATGTTCACAGTGTCGAAGACCACGAGTTTCCGAAGGACTGCATATGTGTACACAAAATCTGGAAGTTGTACAAGTTCAGAGCACATGTCCATGGATACGGGTCGTCCGCGGTCGTACTCGACAAGGACATTGAGATTCGTGCTCACCGTCAACTCCAGCCTCCTGAACTGACTCTGTCGGAGGACATCCAAGGCATCGAGAGTCTCCTGAACCGACACGAATGCCTCCTGAATCACGGCGCAGCCCAGCTTGAGCTCTTGTAGTTTTGGGCAGTTTTGGAACACTGCTGCCAGGAAGTTTCCTTGACTACTGCTGCTGTAATGGCCTACATAGCTAAACGAGCGCAGATGGCTGGTCCAGTGGAGCGCGCTGGCTCTAGCTAGGAACCCGTCCAATTCTCCGAGTGTAAACGAGCGAAGACTCGGCAGCGCCATGATCTGTTGCAGGATCGGATCAGCACGCTTGCTCTTGCCAAGGAAGTTGATTTTGGAGCCGCTCCTGGAGCTGTGGAGCGTAAGGGAGACGATACCAGCGTTCTGTTTGAGGGCGCTGTAGAGGTTCAAAAAGTCTCTTTGAGACATCGACCAGGGAAGATGGATCCTGAGCTCCTTGATACATTTCAGCTGGGAAAGCTCTCCATAGAAACACTGTGCAAAAGCGCTGTTGACGAGTTTGATGTAAAGGGATCCCTTTCTGTAGTTGTAGATGGCTTGGTTCATGGAGACGTAGCTATGAAGCACCTCTGCTGCTACAATACGCTCTACGGCCCCATAATGCATGGCGCAAACCCATTTCGCGTGTCCTTGGCCATCGACAACCCTGTACAGCCCGGCAGCTGTGCCCGTAGAGTAGGAGGCGCTGTAATCCTCGTTCCTCAAGTATGTCGCCACCGCCTCCTGGTCTTGCACTCTTAGCGATGCACCGCTAGCACGGGGACTTGATCGAGTCGGTGTTACTTTGTCTCCGTTATGCTGCAGAACCTTGCGGATGATAGCAATCGCTCGAAAGACCGCAACCTCGATGCCATCAGCCATGACAGGTAAATGCACGATCTCCTGCTCTGTCCCCAAATTCTTTAGCTCTGGAACCTCATATCCTGCTGAGGAGACTCCATATCGAAACATCTGAAGCAGCGCCAACATATGCTGACCGTACTTGGCGAGGAATCCATATGTGCTGTCGATTTCATAACCGGGGTGTCCGGCCAGGTGGATCCTGTGCTCGTCCGCCTTGCCGAGTCTGCCATCTTGCGACATCCCTCGAGTGTGCTCTCCGCAGTCGCACAAGAAATAGAGACACACTTTGTTACCGTACAGGTCGTCAGGGTCCCAGTCTGCGGCGTTCTTGGGCAAGATAATGAAGAGCCGTGGTGTGGACGATTCGTACAGTTCAACAGTCTCAGAGAGGATGTCATCTAGCGTGGTTTTCAGATCGGTCAACTCGTTGGGGGTAATATCCTCAGTGTCAAAGATGCGCTCGCGGAGCTCTGAAGAAATGGGCTGCGGACGATGGCGCTGACTATGGGAGAGTGGAGATGCCGCCCCTGCCGCCGCCTCTGCTGTTGCTGCTGTGGCCTCAATTGTCGCGGTGGCGGTATCAGCGATAACGGATGCCATGTCTCCCAAGCCTTGACTTGGTGCTAGGGGGACTGCGAAAGGTGGTGGCCGAACTGAAACCGAGTATTCTGGCGCAGGGATACGGTCGAGCGCTGGATACAGTGGGGCTGGGCTGTCATGGCTATTGATGATGATTGAGGTGTTCATTGTTATCTGTTCTTGAGCCGGGAGGCTCCTCAGAGCTAACAGCGAGGTCGAAGACCCTTGAGTTTCGGAAAGCACAGCCTCCAAAACTACGCCTGGCTGATACTCGACTCGCAAGGGCAGCACTCTAATCAGAGATGATGAGATGCTGTGTCTGATTAACACCTTCGACCCGAGACTGTGGTTAACACATATATTATTGTCCAGGATGAAATGTACCTATTACCATCATGGTCGACCATGAAACCAATAGCTCGCCTTCCAACCTGCAGTCTAACGGTCTCTGGAAATACATCCTGCACGTCCGCAAGCAGTACAAACGGTCGGTCCCCTATAGTCGGTGCGCCTGACAGGACCCTGATCTCGACCGTGGTCTCGCCGTACCTGACCTCCTGCCAGCAATCAGTAACCTGCAATCCGGACATGAAAGCGCGAGTGAAAGGGCTCCAGTAAAAGAAAAAATTGTGCGATAATGCTTTTGGATGAGAAGATGAACAAAAGATCAGTAAGCACGATGATGTGGGTAGAGAAAGTTCAAAGGGAGAAAGAAAAAAATGCGTTTTATATGAAGTTGTACAAATTGATGGTGCAGGACGAACTTCGCCCCGGAAACGGCAAAGTGGGGGTCATGCACCAATGCTTTTTATGCACGCATGGTTTTTCGACCCATCGAAACCTCCTCAAGCGCACAGCCACACTGAAAGACCTTCAGTCTAGATGCATCAATCCAATCCTTTCTACTGTATGGTTTTCACGCACGTTGCGAAAAAAAAAAAAATCACACATGCATTCGTCATGGTAACTCCTACAGTTCTTCACCAATCGCTGTATCGAACCTTGTTCTTTTTACACAACTTTGAGTATCAACAAACAACCGCGTATATGCAACAAACAACCGCGTATATGCAACAAAAATAGTCAGAGGTCGCGACGGGTACATGATGAAACAGGTGCTTTGTTTCAACGTTCATTAGCATCAACAAACTGAGGCGAGACGGCATTATCTACAATGAATGGAAGGCAGAACGGGAAAGGGCTATTTCCCTGTCGACCAGATGTCGATAGTCGGAAGGGTGCATTAAAGGGGTATGATATAAACAGGACACGTCTGAACGTGGGACTATGGACATGAAGATTGAGGGAGGAACATTACAAGCATTATGCCTACGAAGGCGTCATATACAAGGATGGAGAGAGAGAGAGTGGAGAGAGAGAGAGTGGAGAGAGTCATGGTGATGGTGTCGCCAAAAGATCGTTAAAAGGTCGTTAAAAAATACTCAAAGCGTACATCGCAGCGTCACTTTGTGGTTCTTGGATGCCTGTATCGCCCTATGCAGATCCTCATCCGTCTTCAAGGCCATGCCCAGATCTGACATGTGGTGAAGCGATCCTGAAGAGCAGGAGGCAGGACCTGACACGGGCGACGTCGGTGTCGATGGTGTCACAGGCGTGTTCAAAGTCGACGACGACGTCGATGTTGACGAGGGCATCACCCAAACTAGATCAAACTCCCCCGGCAGCTGGATATTCGACTTCATCAGCTTCGTCTCCACCCGTGTCCTCAGTTCCTGAAGAGTCAGCACAAAGCTCTTGTCCTCCAACACCTGCAATGCTATAATCGTGTCTGCATCGATCACAACCTTAAACGTCGTGGCAACTGTGGAGGACGTGGCGATAGAAGGCTGTTGGACAGGGAACATGTTTGCGAGCGTGGGGACTGTGAGACTTGATTTTCGGCGCTGCTGTTGCGAGCTGGCGTTCTTCAAGATCCCGACGGGCTGTTTGGACGACATGGAAGGCGAATGAAGACTGGTAGTCGATTCACGGCGCGGTGAGCGCTTCTTGGCAGCGCCGGCCCTTGAGCCGTCGACTGACTGAGCAAAAATGGATGAAGATGAAGATCCGACTTCAGAGATAATGGGCAAGAAGCCGCCCGGTGCAGAGACAGAGTGCGTCATTCCAGACTTGGATCCCTTCTTTCTTCCTGAAGACGGTGAACCCATGGCATCTGAAGAGCTAATCGTCGTCGTCGATCTGTTCCTGGTCGCCGGAGCCGGAGTCAGATCAGGCGCAGTCCGATCCACTTTTGCACTGCTACCATTGATGCTACCCTGAGTCGTAGTCATAGGGGCCATCATCGCGTGCGACTTCTCCTTCTTGTGCAAAGATCCCCCTAGCTCCACAAGGACAAGTGCCGAAGCTGCTGAAGACGAAAAGGCTGGGAAAGACTGTTGACTGAACGACGAAGATTGCACTCCCGAGACCTTGACCAGCGAGTGGAGATGCGTGTTCGCCTCCGCGTTCGGGTTCGTACGGTTCCATGGAGCGATCAGAACGGCAGGTGTTGAAGAAACTGACATGGATCTGGCGCTGGACCTGTTACCGCTCACTATATGGCCATTCGAATTGCTGCCATTCCTATTTCCAGACACCGGAGAGATCGCATTGTTGGACCCAGACGTATTCGATGGCGACATGCTATCACTTCCCCAGTAATTCAGGCTGGAGATAGCGGACATGGTTTTTGAGTGCGTCATCGTCAGCTTTCGTGGACGGTCCTCTAGTTCACGTGTAGTCGGTGTCGTCGCCATTGCGCTCTCACCGACAACAGTCTGCGGGCTGGAGAATGCCGATGCGTTGCCATTGCTGGTGCCTTCAGGTGTCGTAGGGCTAATTGGGGAATTGGGCGAGTTGGCAGTACTTGTGTTGCTAGTAACGGACGGGATCCTGTTCCAAGGCGGGATCACATTCTTTGATGACAGCGGCTGCATCGTGACTTCAGGGCGGAATACAATGGTCTTGGAGCGCTTCATAATCCTTGATTTTGCTGATTTTGCTGAGCTGGGCATGCGAAGCAAAGACGCGCTGTTTCCTGTGCTTGGTGAAATCGCGCTGGTCGCAGAACTGGGCCCAGATTTGGTTCCTAATGCTGTTGATTGGTCAGCCTGGTTCGTCTGGGCGTCCTGAGAGGCCTGGCTGTCTTGTGTTTGCTGCTGCTTTTGCGAGCGTGAAGAAGTGGAGCGTGATGAATTGGAGCGTCGGAGAGACTTGAACTTCTTTATCGTGCGTGTCGAAATGTCCTTGCTAGTCTCCGGCTCTGAACCCACTGCTGTCGTACTGCTACTTGTGGGTTTACTGATATCAACCATAGTGACAGCGCCGGGTTCGGTAGGAGAAGCCATCTCGGAGTCCACATCGTGCACTATGGACGGGTGCTGTGTTCCTGAGAGCTGTGTCAGTGGAAAGGATGTCCACTCCGAGCCCAGGGGACGATCCGTTTTGAGGGTAGATAACAAGGCAGAGGAAGGTTGATATGTGGAGGGATTTTGAATAGTCATGATCGTTTTCGCGTCAGGGGCATGGGCAATAGATGTGGTGGAAGTGAAAGAAGAAGATGAACAAGTCGAACTCTTTCTTGAAATACTGTTTTGCTCATTAGGCAGATTAGTGATGGGAGTAGGAGAAGAAGCAGGACATTGAACCGTTGGTGTGGATCGGACCTTGTCGGCCGGCGATGTAGTTGACAAAGTCCTTGACAAAGCCCTTGTCAAAGCCGTTGACGCCCTGCTTTCCTGATTCTCGTCCTGGCTCTCCTCCTTGATCGCCCGCTCCTGAATGCTCTCGCGCGCTCGGACGACCGTTAGAGAGGGCTCGATAGATGCATTGAGTTTAATCGAGATGGGCTGTACAGTGGCAATCGAATTTAGCGCCAAGGGGTCTCGGTCCTCATGTCGAAGACGTATCTCCATGTCGGTCTTCCAAATCCCAAAAAACTCGGCCACAAGGCGCGAATTTGAGATAGTTGGCCCGAGAATAAAGAGATTCTGCAGGTATCGGTCGAGCTCAGCTTTGCGTTGGAGGCACACGGCCTTGGTTACAAATAGCACCAAACTCGACTTGAGACGCGGAAGGCTGGCTGCGGATAAGGCATTAGCTTGGCCATTAGCAGCCATGGCATGGGTGCGCTTGCTTGGACTTCCAGCCGTTGAAAGCGTGGCCCTTTCCATAGGAGCGGATGAACCCGAGGCAGAGGACGAGTTATCCTACGATGGTTGCATGAGCCGTTATATTACAAAGAGACTCGGGTCGTTAGGAGGCAATGTACAAGGTAAAATCGGCCAAACAGTGCAATTGCAGCTGCAGAGGTGCCGACGCCAATGCCATTGACCGCAGACAACAAAAAATAAGGGGAGGATGACATGAAAATATAATTAAAGGAGTTATAGGAAATAATAAAAAAACCAATCGCACGCGCAAATATGTCCAGGATGGTCGATATGGAGGATGCTCAGTATGTTATGCGAGCCTCTCTTTGTTTGCATTCTTTTTTTTTTTTTTCTTTTTTTAAGGATCGCTTGCCAATTCGTTTCATCCGCATCGTAAGGAACGACCTAGACACAGCATAGCAACAACGAAAGAAAGGATGCAATGGAAGAAACAAGCACGGTACGGCACATCAAACTGGGCCTTCCTGGACGAATCAAGTGCACGCATCGCCATTCCCTCAGAACACCATATAAATCTCGATAGAATCAAAATGTCCACTTCACACCTTTCATGAAACACAAAAACCCTCAGTGTCCAGCGATTGTCGAGTTCGGCTCGTATTAGCCGGATATACCTCAACAGCAAACAACAGGATCCGAAGGAGCATCCTTATCCACATATCCAAAAAAAAAAGAAAAAAAAAAGAAAAGAAAAGAAAGCACCTAAAGACGTCCTTCCAAATAGATTTGTATATACTCCAAACTTCCAATGTCGTCTTGTTTGATAGGCACGCTCACAGACACAGAATTAACTTTCATGAATTGCTCTAAGACCCTTTTTGGATCTCATTTCCCCGGACAAATTTCCTTGCCTTCCTTCCCTTTCTACTATTCTTTTTCTCTCTCTCATGTACACAGCCATGTAAACAGATAAAGGTGGCAAAAAGAAGAGTTGGGGGATTGGAGGGAGGGAGGGAGGGGGGGTACCCTACTTGTTCGCTAATTACAGATCCGATCGCGGGGGAGGTGCGAACAACAAAAACAAAAAATAAACGCGCGTTCACTCACAGGAGTCGTAGTACCGGCACAAAACGGAGAATCCTTAGAATCCTGTCCAGGTCCAGGTCCGGGTCCGGGTCCGGGTCCGGGCCCCTTCGACGCCGCCAGGTTCGGGAACTCCTCCTCGAGCTGATCCGCAAAGTCCGCGACATCCTCATAACTTCGATAGATTTTATAGGCCTTTCGAGGAATCGACGTGTTCCTCTCACCGGTTCTGGCTCCTGATCCGCCATCGGTCTTCTTTGGGGTCATGGCCAGGATCTTCAGATCGCAGGGACGGACCTGAATCGTGTACCATGCTTTCTGGTCCGACGTCCGTCTTTCGATCCCCACTACTGATGCGCTCATCACGGGCGGTGCCAGTTTCACACCAGAGTAAAATGCTGTAGTCGAGGTCGTGGTCAAAGATGTCGAGATATTCATATTCATCATGGGTCTGTGAGTTGTGTCAGATTCGCTTGGCCTTCTAGTTCCGCTGACGATCGAACGGACTGTGAGGCCACTGTTATTGTCGCTGTGGTTGTCTGTGCTGAGGGATCTTGTAGAGTACGGACGAGCATTTGGGTCGATAGCTACAGTAGTCCTAATGGTGGAGGAATTGAAATTGGTTCTTTCATGATGTTTGCAATTACTGCTCAAAGAATGAGGCTTCTGTGCTTGGTTCTCTATGGTGGATTGATGGTGGCCATCGCAGTGGATGCTATGTTCAAAATGATTGCGCTGTTGCATTGGTTGAGGTTCACAATGGCGGCACTGGCTGTCGTTGACCTTAGATAATGGAATACGGTGGCATCTTTGGGCGGTGGTGAGATCCCGGTGATGGTCAGACAGGCGCCTATGAGTCAACCCTGGCCCCGATTGACCGGTCGTTGAAGGCATGGTGGTGAGGCGCTGTATCCGTTTTTAGCACTATGCCTTCAGCTGAGACTGATGAAGGGGTATATGTACAGGGATTATATTACAGTGATCCCCTAGGAAAAATAATAATAATTGTCGCGACGTGTTATTCGTGTGTACTACTCAAGTGTGATGTGGTTGATAGACTGAGAGTGGGAGAGAGAAAAAGACGTCTTTTTTTGCAAATGAGAGCTGTTGCTGGAATGAGGACTTACAGGCAGTCGCAAGGGTGGAATGAGCGTGTGTGATGATTCTTACAATGAGGAAAAAGTGAATGCGAACTTGAAAGTAAGTGTTTAGTGCTGGTTTTTTTCAGTGGAGTTGTATGCATGGAATATATTTGTCCTTTTGGAAGCGGCGGGTGTTATATACGAATGAGTGGCAGAACCGGCATGAACTGGAACAGACGGGAAATGAATGAATTGCAGTTGAATGAGAAATGAAAGCCCATCGGACTAGAATCCATCCATCCCAATGACAGCATCAGGACATTGCAGACGAACCGACAACAAGGACAGGACCAGACAAGCGTGGGGGAATACAAACACTCAATTGAGTTAGTTAGTCCATTGTAAAAGGGTCGTCTTTTTGAATAGCCCATCTGAAGCCCCAACAGACCATGACACAATGTGTGTTGACAAACAACATCCACGCGTGCCACTTTTGTAAGCTGCAGTCTTTTTTTTTTTTGGTCGCTGTTTTTCTTTACCATCGCATGTTTATGGAAACAGCATACTGACAACCTCCGAATTAGAGACCAGTAAGCTTTTTCCTGCGTGTCTGCGTGCCTGCGTGCCTGCGCACGAGCCTTTTGTAGAGAAACTTTAAATGAGGCGCCATCGCATGACCGTATATTCGGGCTCATAGATTGAACGTAGTCCACATGCTCATACAATAAAAACAACAACAGCGCAGCACTCGTGCACTCGCAACAAAAAAAAAAAAAAAAAAAAAAACAATGCTTATGCGCTTCCAAAGCACGAGATGATGCTTGCTTACATTAGACAACCCATGCATGTGCATCCCTCCCTACATCAGATAGTCGTAATCCAATTCGGAAAATCAGAATTCTTGTCTAGTCTTGCCACCCCCAAGTAAAGGATGTTTGTTCGATCGTCGTTCTCATGAGCTGTCCATAACAAAAACCACAGTGCTGGAAAAACAGAGACGCGGCTTTTGTCCCCCTGCCAATTTTTGCATGTGGATTCCATCTTGTTGCATAATCCGTTAAAAAGCAACCACTACCCTCTCCCTCGTTTTTTTTTTTAGTCCTTTCCTTCACTTTTTTCTTGTTCTTCGCGCTCCTAGTTGTCCGTGGTGTGTGAACAATGCATACCATACGATCGCCATAAAGGCCGATGTAAACGAAAGCGAGGAAGAGATAACGCTGTCACTTGCAGGGTTTATCTGAAATGCCTTTTTCCCCATCATTCCAATCGATCCAGACTGGTCTTTAACAATCAAAGGCAGGGCAGATGGCGATCCTCTTCTTATCATAGCATGCATCCGTCCCTCTAGTAGATAGCCCCCCCAACCAACCAACCAACCAACCAACCAACCAACCAACCAACCAACCAACCAACCAACCAACCAACGGGTGCTCCTATTCACTTCCTTATCATGAGACGAACGGGAATTGTAGAGCGGACTACAATGCATATGAAGTGACAAAAAAAAAAGGCCCGCGCTAGAGAAAATCGCCCTGTATTGAAAACCACTCGCATTTCTTTAATAAGCAGTATAAGGACTGTAACTGAACCTCCGCCTGTTGTTCAGAATCCATTGCCGACAATGTCCTTTCGACAGCTCTGGATGCAGAAGCTGCCAGCGCATTACTTCCTCGAGGTCGTACTGTACAGTTGGGCTTAATCTGTTGCCGAGTATAGACGCTAGTTCAGTTGCCTATGAGGTGAGCGGAGGGAGATAACAGTAGGATATCAATAATATATCGTGGGCAGTCTTGGTTCCACAGCGTTATCTTCATTAGAAATATAAAAAAAAAATACCGCTTTACAATAGCAGTGCTACTTACTTCAAAAAGAGGCCTCCACTCACAGCAGTGCTCAACCCCATACGATTCTGCTTTTGCCAGAAAACTGTTGTACTTTGCAATCGCGCCTTTTGCCTCTTCATCTATGCGATACAATTTCGTGAGAAATAAAAAAAATAACAATTAACAATTACATTTAAATTTTCCGCTGGAGGAGTCTTCTGTCTTTATCGTACTTCACAATGCGTACTTACCTAGGATACCCTGCTTGAGCTGCTCATACTTTGGAAGCAACTCAACACCAAGCGCCATGAGGATCCTGCATGGCCACGTCCTTGCGGCATATGGAACAAACCCAATATCCCGGATCATCATGCCGATTGTCGCCCACTCCTTGCTTCGCTGCTCCTCATCCGATGGGATATCCATTGAGATCGAGCGCACAGTCTCCTGTACTTCATCGATACACCTCAGGATCTTGGCTACATGCTGCACTTGAATACTCCGGGGTCGGAGATTATTCTTGTTGATCCACGTAGGCACATATACGTCCTTTCCGTTGACAGTCGCTATCATATCGCGGTATGGATACAGCAACGATGCCATGAACATGTTTCGTTTTAGACGCTCAGGTCGAGTCTCTTCTTTTCTGGGAGCGATCAACGGGATATTCTCTGGTGGCTCTGTTTTGACCATCGGGCACAAATGACTCGTCGTCCCAAGACCACGTATCCGTTCCAGCAGGAGTTCCTGAATAACATCCTTCTTTGGCGAAAACGCGGTATGATCGAAATTATCCTCGCTCGCCACTGTTGAATTGATCCTCAAAATACATTCCATGATCCACATCAGCTTGTACGCATCCTCAACATCGCGTCTCTCGCCACGCACGGCCGAGATGCCCTTGACAAGGATGCTGGGCTCTGGCACCGGAAAGACCAGGTCGTATAGGTCCAGCTCACGCAGCAATCGAACTGCGGTACTCCTGCTTGGGCCACCACCATCCAACATCTTCTCGATTTCATTTCCAATACGTTCTTTAGAGATCTTGGTCCCGAGTGCTTCCCTTATCCTTGGATCGAGGATGGCGTTCCGGACGTCCTCTGCGATCTGGAACTGAAATTTCGCTGCGAAGCGGATGCATCGCAAGACACGAAGTGGATCCTGCCAAAATGTTTCGTACGCCCTGAGAGGAGTCCTGATGATTCCATCCCGAAGATCCTTCAGCCCTCTTCCAGTGTAATCCTCAACAGATTTGGTACGGATGTTGTAGAAGAGTGCGTTGATAGTAAAGTCCCGATGGTGTGCATCCTCTTCCGGTGACCCGAATACCTATAATAGATGCCATAATGAAGGGGTTAGTTAGCAAATCGATCGAGAGTGTAGTCAGAACTATGCAGGGTAAACAGACAGGAGTACTTACGATTTCATTAGAGAACCTATCTGGATCAACATAGGTTTCGGATCGAAGGTTTGCAAAGTCGATCGGCACGCCAAGCATACCCATGGTAGCCGTTTCTAGATGTTTACCCTTTGCCGGGTTGACACTAATCCTTGTGATCATTCTTTGAGAGTGTCCATTCGACTCCATGTATTTCGCGACGAGTTGGGCGAAATCGTAGCCTATCATCGAGTCCACCCCAATGTCGATATCCGTGCAAGAAAGACCTAGAAGCTACAGATTATTATTATTATTATTTTATGGAATGATGGTTAATAGTTGAATAAATCGCTTCCATCTTCCCGCGCAATGGAGCAGGACACATTCGTCTTCATAAGGCATACCTTGTCGCGCACCCATCCACCAGCGATACGAAGCTCAATGCGTTTGCCTGTCTTGGACTCATACTCCCTAGCGACATTATTCAGTATCCGGCAGACCTTGTTCTCCCTCGTTCCTAGCTGAATGGCCATGGGTCTCCATTTTGGCGGTGTACCCCTCACCGAACCCTTTTCGTCGGCTACGTCCGCAGTGAGATCTGTTGCACTCCCGCTCTCTGGCGTCGTCGTCACAGTACTGAATTGCCGGCTGAAAAACGCGCTTTCTATATAGTCTCCAGACCGGATTCCCGCAGTGGTGATGCCAGCGGCGTTCAATGGGTCGCATTTAGCGCGGGACCCCCATAAGGGTGGTCCTCCTGGGAGGGCTCCAGATTGCTTCGCAGATGAGGCTGAATTCGTGCGAAAGAGACGCGTGTAGGATGCGATACGGGTTGCTTTGGTATATATTGGTGTGTGAAGCAATCGGTATCTGGGGCCGAGGCTATGTCGCAAGTACCCGGCTGCGGTAAAGGAGATGGAGGGTGTCAGTAGCGAGGAGGACAGGGTTGAAGTTTTGGTGCAGGGTGCTCTCATTCAAAAAATAGCGCGCAGTTGATCTGACGATGAGAAAGAATCAAAGTTGTTGATGCAGCAAGGATGGGGGCCAGTCGTTTTGAGGGTGTGATGAGGACGATGTGTGCGATTCAAGGCTGGGGAGTCCAACAGAGTCAATCGGACAATCTAGATATGCTTTTGATTAGCGCCACCAAATGTGCGTGGAACAAAAGAAACGCTGCTGTGCCTGAGAAAAGTGCTGCTGCATCATCCTTTAAGGCCCATCGGCTAATTTGAACAATGTCGGGGAATCTCGAGGATGGACGATCGTTCAGACATGGCCATGTCAAAGATGAAATGCGCAAAGTCTAATGTGATTTTGCAGGCATCATTTCTGTTGATAGCAACTGCTCGTTTTTATTTGACAAGGGATTTGGATACATACAATGTTTCTTTACAGCTTGGCACCATACATTGAGGTGGCGACCTATTTTAGTCATGAACAAGAGGTGTTAGAACAATCTTTGAAATACACAAGAAAAACACGCAAAGGAACCATGTATATCGCAGTTACCTTGATAGACTGACGCATGCCCAAGTCCAACATGATTTCCTCGGAGCCTCCGGGAATAGCATAAGCGCGCACTTCACGGTAAATACGCTCGACCTTCTCACCCTGACCACCGCGTGTGTAAGCCAGACCTCCAAAGATCTGAGAGGCCTCGCGAGCACAATATTCGAGTGTCTGTGTAGCCTGTGCCTTGAGCAGTGCAATGGGTCCACCGAGCTTGATCATCTGCAGATCCTCGGGCATGGTGATGGTCTGGAAGATCACATTCTCCGTCCAAGCATGGGTTGCCTCGATCTGACGCGCCATGTGGGCCAACTTGTTGCGCAGGACGGGATGGTTGACGAGCTTGACGCCAAAGGTCTTGCGCTTGCTTCCGTACTTGATGGCCTCCTCCAGACAGACACGGGCAAGACGGTTAGCCTGGATGACGATTCCCATGCGCTCGTGGTTGAAGTTGTTCATGATGTACTTGAATCCACGGTTCTCCTTGCCGACAATGTTGGCGCGGGGGACCTTGACATCCTCAAAGTTGATGTAGGCCGTTCCAGAGGACCAGACACCAGAGCACTTCATCTGACGCGTGCTGACTCCGGGCATGTCACGCTCAATGACCAGCAAACTGACACCGCCCATACCCTCGCCTCCGGTGCGGACAGCAGTCGTGAAGTAGTCGGCAAAGGTTCCGTTGGTGATCCATTTCTTCTCACCGTTGACAATAAATCCATCGCCGTGCTCGTTGGCAACACAGGTCAAGTTGGCGACATCCGAACCAGCAGCGGGCTCAGTAATAGCCAAGCAGATCGTCTTACGTCCAGCCAAGACCTCAGGAACGATGCGGTTCTTGAGCTCCTCGCTGGCATACTTGATAATGGGAGGAAGACCGATTCCGAGACCACCGAGAATGCCCCAGAGGACACCACCAGAGCCGCAGCGGGAGAGCTCGTCAAAGATGATAAAGCCGTGGAAGGCATCAAACTCTTGTGGGGGAACGATAGCGTTATCGCCGCCGCGGAAGAGAGTGGTCTGCTCGATATCGAAATAGTCCGTGGGCAGATGACCATTGCCGGCGACAGCAGCAAGGATACCCATCTCGGCGCACTTCTTGAACAGGAACATGGGCACCTGCTTGGCCTCGTCCCACTCGTGAGTAAAGGGCATGATATCGGTGTCAACAAACTTGCGGACGTATCTCCGGAGGCGACGATGCGAGTCTTTGTAGTAGGGACTGCCCCACTGCTGGTACCTGTTTTTTGTTCGATGCAAAGGATGGATTAGCCGGTGGACTTTACTGGTGCTTCAAGCCAACATCGTACTGGGCAGCAATGGACGTACCAGGATGGATCACCAAAGGGAATCATCTCACCAAACTGGAACTCGTCGTCCTCAGCACCGGATTCAGGGACGACTTGGGCACCCTCCTTGGGTGGCTCACCAATGCTTCCAATGCAGAGAGCGCCATACTTTTCGAGAACGCCTGAATTATTTTGCATTAACAGGTTGTATTGTTGAAGAGGGGGGGTTAGCACATGCATCATTTATAGATCATTTTTATCGTCCTGCAAATGTTTGCTTCAAATAAAGATCATGTAAGAGCCATACCTGGGTTGTGGAAGGCATCGAACTGCTTGGTAGCATCGGTACCGGCATTCTTGAGAATGATTTTCTACAACATGTGTAGGGGGAGGAGAGGGGTCATGATTCAGACGGGCGCTCAGAATTTCCGTTCCTTCCTATTTAAGGTCCTTTCTCCACACTTTTCTCTCGGCGATTGCAAAAACTCCGCCAGAGAACAAAAAAAAAAAAAAAGTCCGGGGTCGAGTGCAACTGCAATCGCGTTGCCACCTCAACGCTCATTCCACTTTTTTTTTTTCCTTCCTTTCTTCCTCGATAGTTGCAAAAGGATCAGCTTTTCAAAGGTACCTTTCCACCGGGATGGTCGTTCAAGAAGTTGGACACGTCATAGACCTTGTCGTGGATGATGACCCAGCAGTCGTTCTAAACAGCAACAACAAAGGAGAAAAAAAAAACGCGAGCAACGGCGTACAAAGCAAAGACACGCGTTAGGAAGATCGCAACTTTTTGGCGCATGCGTGATGTTTTCGGATGCACAAAGCAACGGATGAGCACGGTACCTCGGAGTTGTGGGAAGCGACCTGGCTAACAGAGTAGTATCCGGACATCTTCTGGGAATAGTATGCGTGCAGCTGTTGAGGAATATGAAGAGGGGAGGGAGTAGGGGCAGAGCGAGTACGGGAAAAGTGTCTAAGAGGAGGAAAAGAAAGAAAGAAAGGGAAAAAAGAAAAGGGGCTCTGGCATATAAAGGACTGAGGATATGGGTGTGTGGAGAGTGCGTCCGGGGAGGCGACAAATAAGGACATCGTCTGGATCGATCGCACCAGGGCTGCCCACGATGTCTCGGAGGAGCAGCAGGAGCTCTGATCGAGAGAACGCAGACACCGGGGACGGGCGCCACCCTCTCCATCCATCCAATGTCCATCCAGTATCCATCCTGTATCCATCCATTGCCATTTCCCTCGCCATCGCATCCATGGGCTGCGTTTGTTCATATCCCGAGTGCACGTCTGTGGCCTCCTCCTCCACCCCGCTTGGTCCAGCCACGTCCTCAAGGTTTTCTAATCTCCCCCTCCTCCCCCTTTAATGCTCTCATTCCATCTATCCTCAATCCTGCGTACTTTCTCCACTCGATTCGACTCCACTCGACGACTCTCAGCGTGCTTCCGTGGTTGGGGGTTGTTTGTGTGTATTTGTATCTGTGTGTATTTGTGTGTGTGTGTGTGTGTGTGTGTGTGTAAGAGAGCGTAGATACGGCATAGTGCCGTTGCTGTTGCTGTTGCTGGTTGCACAGAGAAGGGCCCGATATCATATGAAAACGAGCCTTTTGTATTTGTTGTCTCACTCCCAGGAAGCATATGCTTGGCTGGCCCATCTTGCATTTCTGGCGGAAATATGAACCCAAGTCAGGCGCACCAAAGATGGGCTGACATCAACCCAGAAGACGCACTAGGGGGAGGCGCTTTCCCGTGCCCCTCCTCCTAAACCCGCACCATCTGAATCGAATCTCAGGGGGGTCCCTGTCCATTTCCCCCCACTCGTAAACCTCTTTTTGCTGCACTAGGAGACCGGAAATCCCGAGCTCGGTTCTCACGGGGGGTTCGGAGATGCCGAACGTCTGGACGCATGGGCCTGGATAAAACGCTCTTTAATGCAGTGCTCCATGGATCCCCTAAGTCTGCACTCAGCGCATCGCGCACTCGCTGATGGACGCTGATGGAGCAAAATCTATCTCAGTAACACGCAGAGGACAAAGGCCGGATCCTGGCGTGTTCGGATTTATTTGTTGTAGTTGTCCACGGACAAGGCACAAAAAGTCCGTTGTGTTTGTTGACACCCATCCCCGAGTGCAGCATTGGCTGCACCCATTGGCGCACACAATTGAGAGCAGCGATCGATTTGTGGAGATGACTCGTGTTCCTTGGCTGATATGCTAGACTGTTAGGCTACATACACGCTACCATTACCCTCAAGTGCACAGTAAACAAACGCGATCTACTTGTACAGCTTATGTATGGCCATCTACGCACGCCATATAGACTCTGCCTTTTTTTCTTGTCCGTCCGCCCTTTGTAGTGGTCACTTCATATCCCAATAACGCCTTTTACTTTTTTTCAATATGGTGTTTGTGTCTCCTTTGCTGACCTTGACCGAACAATAACACCTACAGCCAATCGGCAGCGGGGAAAACACCATTCCTGTCCTCCGCAGTTTTCTACTACTAGGACCATCCACTTATCGTCAGAACACAAGATGCAAGTCTCAAGAAGAACAAGCGGGACTTTATTTGCAGATTCATTCCAAGGACATCAACAGACTGACAGATACATCCTGAACCCGTCAAAAAGCCTTCTATTCGAACACTTCCATGCCATGCATGCCCTTGATCGCACGCACCAGTATCACTTCTTTGACAGGGATTTCAAACGAAAATCGCGTATCCTTCATGTTTGCAAGAAAGGACTTGAGCTTGTCCTTCTTCATACTAGTCTCATACACCTTGTACGTTTCCTCGTCCCTGATGCCGTCGACGATGATACGGAACTCGAGCTTGATTCCCTTGGCGCCACCGGCCTGACGGACACAGTCGTTTAATTTGGACATCAGGACCAAGTCTTCATCCAAGACAACGCCTCTTTGCATCACATAGTACATTCTGAAATCATAATCAGCCTTCAAGGTATCAATAAACGCATGGGTGCGGACCCTGGTGATCTCCTCATGTGGGTGTAGAAGGTATGGAACATCCATCAACACGGCAGGTCGGCCTCGGACTGAGATCCACGCCTCCGAGACCTCGTCGATCGGTCCATCCTTGAATTTCTCGCCAAAAGGAAAGTCTCCACCGATTAGCTCAATCAAAGAATTCTCCAAGAGGAGGGACCTACCGATGAACATCACAGCGAGCGTGCGCATATCCTTCGACTGCTTGTTTTGCCCCAGTAGCTTGAGCTTCATGGCTTTGATCATGATGGCTGGTGTGGTGGAAGAAACGAATGGGATAATTGAAAGTGAAGCGGCGTAGGAAGGAAAGGAAAGGAAAGAAGGGAAGGGAAGGAAAGAGTGTTGTGAATGGCCGTTTGCTAACAAGCTAGTATTTATACTACTTTGCCTGCTTTTTTCTATTCTGGAGAGATCCATAGTGGTTGCGCCTTTCCAACAACAGCGACATGAAGCCTTTCCGTGGCATTCAGGCTTTTTTTTTTCCCAGTTCGTAACGCATCGTTTGAATACAAGCAACGCTTTTGTCGGCCTTGAACGGCGAGTGCCAACTTTGACAATTGAGTGCAGGACAGTGTGGTGTATTCATTTTTGCAACGAGAGACAACGCTTATAATGGGTGGACCGTGCTGTTACTTAGGAACAGTGGAGCTTAATTTTTACAGAAAAGATGGTCTGAAAAAAAAAAGAACGACAACGACGACGACGACTTTTATTGAAGATCTTTGCAGGAACACAGCATCATGTCTCTATGAAAAATCCCGACAGTTTCAGCCACGCCTAATTAGTCTTGTCAGACCCGCACCAACAATACGCCGTCGACCTTGATCTCAGAACAAACCCCCTTGGTCTTCATCGACGCGAAGAAGGACCTGAAATTATCCCTCACAAAGTTCTCTTCGTACATCCTGTACATCCTGTCATCCTCAATTTGGTCGACTATAACCCTAAACTCGGTCTTGGCTCCATCAGCACCAGCTTGCCTAATGCACATTTCTATCTTGGACATCGAAACTAGATCCTCAGCTCTCAAGCCTTCGTCACAGGCTTGAGCGAAGAAACTGACCTTGTAGTCATACCCTTTCTTCAGGGCCTTCATGAGCGCATTAGCATCCTTCTCAGACCAGCCTCCATCGGACTTGAATAGACCTGGGATGTCGATTAGCACCGCAGGTTTTCCATTCAGAGTGATCCTGGCCATGGTGGTCCCCTCAGAGTCGCTCTCCAAGAACTCGACTCCAGAGGAAAAGTCACGAGCTGCCTGCGGGAGAAGAGTACTCTCTCCGCTGCCAGGGTTGCCAAAAAACATCACAGCGACCATGCGCTCCTCGGTGTTGAGACTCTGCTCTGCCATGGCTTGAAATGAAAAAAAAAAAAAAAAAAAAAAAAAAAAAAATGCTGATGTACGAAGAATTGATCTGCTAAGAAGCTGTGTTGGGAGAACTGGGCGTAGAAAAGAAGTAGTAATGATAGTGTTCTTTCGCACGAGCGGTGGTATTTATACAGCGAGAAATGGTGCTGGGCATATATATCCTTTTCAGTTGATGCGCTTTTTACAAGCCTTGCTTTTTTTAACTATTTGTGTGCCTCAGGAACGACTACGAGAAAGTGTTAACAATGACTTACCCTACACCCAAGCAGCTTTTACAATTTCAAAGGATTTTTTTCGATAACGCTCCTTTCCATTGCCTGCAATTCCATGCTACAGAAACAGTGGTAGTTTGATATATACACCTTCATGCTTTATTTAAATTCCCTCCCCCTTTTTTTTTACTTCTCCAAAAGGGCGATAAGTCCCAGCTCCTTCCTGACCTGATCGCCAGTATGGATCTTGGGGTACTTGGCTGCACGGGCCTCCTCCGTATCGAAGACACCCTCCAATGGACGCAGCACATTATCGGACGCAATGTGCAAGAAGAAGGTCGACGAGATTCTCCACAGGGGGCGGTCGTTCGTCTTGTTCTCGATCGCACGCACTGTGGCCTCGTTCACGACCACCTCGTGGTATCCAGCCTGCACCACACCGCCCGTCAACCACTCCAACTGCTTTCCAGCTTGGACCTGTCAATCAAAATATTTGAACGCGTGAGTCTGTTGGTCCCATACAATTGGTCCATAGGATGCGTTTAAGAATAAAAAGAGGAGACGAGATATTTACCAACAAGCAACCGTCAGGAACGCGGACTGCCAACTTCTCGGACTCGTTGCGGGGCCAGATGTTCAAGCCAGGGTAACGCGACTTGCCATGAATGGTCCTAAATATCCCGCGTAAACACCATATTAGTATTTTTTTTTTTAATATCAAGCAAACCCCATCTGCACCTCATTGTTATACAGAAACAGTGCGCACGGTACTCACAAAAAGTTGAGATCGTAATGGAATCCAGCAAGGACTGTGCCGACCTTGTTGTACTTGTTCAGATCACTGGCCGTGGGTGCCAACAAATGAGGACCGTACTTGGCCATATCCACAAATGTCTTTCTGGGCAGTTCGAATCCGACCGCGATCATCTCTGCTAGACCCAACACAGCCCTATGGAGAGTGCTGCCCCATGCGTCCATTGTCGTAGGCCACACATCCTTGAAAGCTATATATATTGAACAAAAAAAGAGAAGGGGAAAGATCGAAAGCTTAGTATATGGTTTTTTTTCTAGCGAACCGTGACAATTAGGGTTCGAAAAGCCATCCAGTTAAAAAACGGCAGAAAAATAACCTTCAGGAACAACAGGCTCGGCGTTGAGGCGAGGGAACTGTGTGCTTGGGGGTTGCTCGCCCACGCGCCAGAAAAAGCGCCACTTGGGATCTGGGCCGTCGAACTTCAAGGGTCTGTTGGCCTCTGGGATCTACCGGGACCGAAAGAAGGTATTGGTAAGCGTGCTTAATAATCTATTTACATGTCGCAAAGAAAGATACTTTTTCTTTCTGCCTGACAACAACTTACATGATCGATAATATCAACGCAGTGAGGGTCCTTGTGGCACTTGGGGTCCTCAGTCAGCTCGGGGGTGACTCCGACCTATAAAGCAGTACGGGGGAATTATCAACCCACATGGACAAAGACGAGGCTCCGGGTCAGACGGTGCTCCAAATCGCCCTTTGAAATCAATTGAAAAAGGTAGCCACACGTGAAATGCTCAAGTGAATACGGTACCTGGTAGCCGTACTCGGGCCTGGCGTCCTTCAGTTTGACATCGAAGGGCTGGTTGAAATAGTCCTCCATCATGTCGATAAAGTCATTGTTCTCCTTCTCTGTTTGAGAGGGGGAGGGGAAACGCGGGGCAGTGGTCAGGATAAGCCGTATTGATTCCACTACGGCCAATTGCCCTGAAAAGGAAGAGTCAAAACCGTACCTGTCACGCGGGGATCCTTGACGATCAAAGCGCCATAGTCGCGGATTGCATCGGCAGCCTACAAAGGAGGAGGACAGGACAATGGCCATGCTATTAGTAAACCACGATCGTTGTTCAGAAGAGAGAAAAAAGCATTGTAGAGGGGCGTCCGAAAGCCTTTTTTTTTTTTTTTTTTTTTTTTTCCTTGAACCACCACAATACCCTATTCGGACCCTTCCCACGGGCGGACAACGAAATAAACAATGATTTACCTTCTTGCACTCTGCAATGGCCTCCGCGGAATCGGGGTTCTCGAGGTAGAGGCCGAGGTCGACGATGGGCAGGAGATCAGTTGTAGCTTGGGGCTCGAGTTGGACCATGGTTGTTTTTGTTGCTTTGTTGAAATGAGGTGGGGTGAGGTGAGGTGAAGTGAGGTGATGAGAAAGAAAGATGGAATCAGCCTCGGCAATTGTGAAGAAAAAAGAAATAGTGCCAAAGGAGGAGCGGCGGGGCGGCAAAAAGAAAACAATTGCGACCAAGCACGACCGACTGACTGACCGACTGGCCGTCAGGGCTAAGGACGCCAAGTGCACTTTGCCAATGGAGACAGGAAGCACAAACACAACCCAGTCTCAGCCAAAGGAGAGGAAATGCGGGGCAAGACCCGTAACGGCATATGGATTTCCTTTGCAGAACACACCCCGTCTGGCTCCACTTTTTTTCCATTTATGCACACTCGCATGGTTACACAAAAAATAAATGGCAGCGGGTAAAACGGCTGATGGGAAAGTTACTCTCAGGCACCCAGAAATAAAGTTGCTTGTTTCTTTCGGCCCTTCTGCGGGGTGGTACCACCGAGGCACCAATGGCTCTGTGCACATCTCCTGTCGGACCTTACAGCGTCCCCGCAATCTCATTCAGTGCTCGTGCGACCCTGCCGACCATCTCCAAGATCGTTCCACGCTTTCCTGCGGTCGCCTTCTTGCCTGCCAAGGCATCCCCATCATCCTCCGCCGACAACCTGGCTCCGAAACGCTGCTGGAACTTGTCCGGATGGAATTTGAGTTGCTCGCGTCTCAGCAGCTGTCTCCTCACATCCGGCTGTTCCTTCGTCGTCCCTGCGAACAGGAAATCAAACAGCGATATCCCGGTCCTCGCATCGAACTCGATTGCCGCCTTGGACGTCTGCGGACCAAACTCGGACGTTCCCCTCAACGGCGGCCAGGGTATCGTCTCCATCTTCAACATCGCCTTCGCCTGATCGCCCTCCATCAGCATCCTCCGCCCTTGCTCATATGTCGCTCGCGCTCTTTCGACCATCGCCTGCTTCTTCACTGGCGCTTCATTCCCAGCCCTCTTGCGTCTCTCTTCCTCTGCTCTCTTCTTGCGCCTCTCCTCCTCAACTATCTTGCGCTTCTCTTCCTCAGCCTTCACGCGTGCGTTTATGGCCGCATTTATTTGCCACTCGAGCGTCTGTATCTTTTCCCACCCTTTCTGCAGCGCTTCATTCCGAAGCTGTAACCGGCTCATTACCTCCGCAGGGTCCTCCCCCGGCCCAATAGCGCCCCTTTGCACCTCCTTGACGCACCTTTTAAACTCTGCCATTTCCTTTATATGCTTCTCAACCTGATGTAGCCATTTGTCCGTCATATAGTGCTCTTGCTGTCGCTGCTGCTGCCTATGTTCCTGATGCCTCTCACTGCCTTTCATCATGTCCTCCCAAGCCTGCCTCCACTTCTCTTGCTCTTCACGTGGCTGCTGCTGCTGCCACCTCTCGTGTTCCTTTGCACAATACTTCTGCCACCTCCCTTGTCCCTTTGCCCAATACTTCTGCTCTCGACGCCTATAGTCGCTGAGGCGCTCCATCGACTCCTTCAGCTGCTTCGTCTTCAGCTCCTTCTGTGCGGAAGCCCGCCTGGCCCGCTCTGCGTCCTCCTGATTTTGATGGGCCGTCATTTTCTCGTGACCAGGCGCGTCGCCGCAGTTCGAGCTAGCGTTGATACTGGCCTTGGTGTCGGCACCGTCTTTGGCACTGTCTTTGGCATTGGCGCTGGCACCGGTTTTGGCATTAGAACTGGTACTAGTACTGGTGCCTGCGTTGACACTGGCATGGGAGGTGGTATCGGTCTTGTTCGCGGTCTTGCTTTCGACGTTGGTGCTGGTACTGGTATTGGTGCTGGTACTGGCATTGGTACTGGTGCCGACACTATTCCTACTACGCAACAGCTCTGCTGGTCGAATGCCAGGTCTGGACGTTCGCTTACGATAAGCACAATACTCCTTCCATGCGAGAGTCCCTCTCAATTGACAGGGCAGTGACCTGTGCAAGAACGCCGATGACGATAACGGTGTCGGTGACGCGGCAGGAGTGACCGTGGGAATGGGCGTGGACGTTGCTGCGGTCGTCTGGGCATATTCGTGCCGACTTCGTTTGCTAGCACGCTGTGCGTTGCTGAGCCGCTTTATGAAGTTTGTGAAGCTTTCCTCTGCCCCGGCCTCGAAAATCGGGCCCTGGCTCTGACTCGGGTCCTGAGGTAGACGCGGCGGGGACGGCGGTGATGGGTTGTTGTTGTTGTTGCTGTTGCTGTTGCTGTTGCTGTTGCTGCCATCGCGAAGGTCCTCAGAGAGTTTTCGTTTCTTGGACGAGGAGGATGAGAGAGGAATTGCTCCAATGTCCTTGGACAGGAGTGGTGCTGGGTTCGCTGTCGCGTTCTCCATAATTGTGTCCCAGTGTGCTGCTGCTGAAAAAAAGCGTAGGAAAGTTTGCTCTAGGTTTTTTCCCAGAACGCGGTTGCTTGTCTCCGCTCGGGGTTCGTGTTGTAGCACACATATCCTGTGGAGGCTTATGTTATTATCTCCTGGGCTGGTCTCTTTTTTTTCTTTTTTTCCCCCCCAAAGCGCTCAACACATCGCACAGTAGCAACAAACAAAACAACAGACGGACAGACAGACAGACACAAGGAGCGATGCCAAAGGTCAAAGCAAACAAGAGCCGTGTGCACCATAAGGCCGTCGGGAACAAGGATGCTCTCGCTGCCGTCACCACCGCCGCCTCAGCCGTGGCTTCGAAACCAGTCGTCGCAGCAGGTTCCGAGTCGATGCAACAGATGAAGGACCAGTTCGGACTTGAGTTCGAGGAGGATAGGATCGATAAGAAGGATAAACGAAAGCTCAGGCACGACAAATGGATCTCCAGTAAGTCTTTCTTTTTTTTTTTATCAGCTCAACCCTCCGAAGCAGAGCCCCCTCCCTATCCCTCTTCTTTGAACCAACTATTTGTTTTCAAAGGTAGGACAGGATCTGTGGGACTGACGCTTCCCGTCTTTTATTTTTATGATGAAAATGAATAGAACTGGAAGCGACGTATAATCCTCAGAAGAAGAAAAAGAAATCCGCCCAACAAAGCCAGACCCTCTCTGTGGATTTCGGATCCTTCCATGATGTCCTCTCCACCATAGATCCGATCCAATCCCAAGCAGGAACTACAGCACTATCATCATCAGCAGCAGCAGCAGCTTTGGCTTCGTCAAAGTCAGGATCGAAATTCAAGAATTCAGGAAAAGCAGCACCAGTACCGGTATCGGCAGCGAACCCATCGTTCACTATCAATGCGGATTCCTCAAAGCCCTTGCAGTCCAAGAAGGCCAAGAAGAAGGCTGCGTAAGTTTTTTTTTTATTCTTTTACTCTTTTACTCTTTTATTCTTTTATTCTTTTATTCTTTTATTCTTTTATTCTTTTATTCTTTTATTCTTTTATTCTTTTATTCTTTTATTCTTTTATTCTTTTATTCTTTTATTCTTTTATTCTTTTATTCTTCGTAAAAACACGTCGATCGAATTTGATCCGCATATCTTTTTCTTTTTCTTTTTTTTTTTGTTCCCCACTAACCAGTAGCGTTTTTCAACGTGATTATCCTCGCGAACACCTACTTATACTTATATACACATAATTAGAATGCAAGAGATCCTGAGGTTCCAGAACGTGTTGGCCCACCCAGCATTCAAGAGTAACCCCATGTTGACGATCCAGCAACACGTCAAGAATACCATGGAGATGGCACCCCCAGAACCGACCGCCATAACAACAGGAGGAGGACCTGAACTTATGGAGGATTAATTAAGATAGATGGAGAGACATGACATTTTTTTTTTTTTTTTTTCTTGCATTCCCCTCCCCCCTCCCCCCTTGTAACAATAAAAATACTACGGCATCATCTCATTTGCATCTCATGTATCAAGTCTTCTAGTTATATATAAATCGCATTTTGCTTTCCCTCCCTCCTATATTACGGACCCATGGTTACAAGGCGACAAATCTTCCCTTTTTTTGGTTTTCAACATAGCCATTGCGAAAGAGACACGAGAAAGAAAAGTCTTCTTTGATTGAGCGGATGAAAACGCGCCGTTTATATGGAAAAGTAACTTTCTTCTATGGTCTATGGGACGGAAACAAACAAAGAAGTTGATGTGGGTTGAAGGGAGCGAGGAGAGGAGTTACGGGGGAGAAAATGCACTTGGGGAAAAAGAAGTCTGTTATGTAAAAAAAAAACGGAGGAGGAGATTTGTAATAATACTATAGAAATAAAACAAAAAACAACACACAGGGGAAGAAGGGAGAGAGGAAACACCCATTCTTTTTTTTTTTTTACAGACGGTCCAAGAAGCGGTCCAGGGGAGGGATCTCCTCCTTAAGACCCTTGCGCTTACGGATCGACAAGATCTTCTCCATCAACTTGGGGTCCTCGTTCGAGACACCGTTCATCAACTGCCAGTGATCAAAGACCAACTGGGGGAAGGCCTGACCACCGGTGGCCTGACGAAGATCGGCAGTGAATCCGAAGGACTCGGCAACGGGCAAGTGAGCCTTGACGATGTACATGGGAGTACCGGGGCGCTGCTCCTCACCAATGGTGTGGCCACGACGCTTGTTCAGGACACCGTAGATACCGCCCATGGCCTGCTCAGGGCAGGTGATCTCGACCAGGTAGACGGGCTCCATCAAACCGGGCTGGGCAACGTAGGCAGCAGCGTAGATGGCGCTACGGCAGGCGGGGATGATCTGTCCACCTCCACGATGGATAGCATCGGCGTGGAGGACGACATCCAAGATGTTGAAGCGGCATCCGCGCATGTGCTCCTCAGCAAAGACACCCTCGCGAGTGGCCCACTGGAAGGCGGCAACGCAGGAATCCTTGATTTCGTTCAAGTAGGCGACTCCCTTGGTCAAGTCAACCATCAAGTTGGCGCCGTTGGCATCGGGACCGAAGCACCAAATCTTACGGGCCTCCTGGTTGTCCCACTCGAACTCATCCGACAGGATACGGGCACGGGCCTTAAACTCATCACGGGGACCAACCTTGCCGTTCTCGATGGCGAGCGAAAGCTCCTCACCGAGAGGGGAGGCCTTCATGAAGATACGGTTGTGCTTGTTGGGGGACTTGGCAAGGGCCGTGACGGAGGACTCGGCCTGGATGGTCTCCTTGTACTGGACGACGGGGTCAGACTTGCGGATAGGGACCTGGGCGTGATCCTCCTCGAGATCCTTCAAGCAAATCTCGAGATGGAGCTCTCCGGAACCGGCAACGATGTGCTCTCCCGTATCGGAGGTGTAGCAGAGGACGCAAGGATCGGACTTGGACAGACGCTTGAGACCCTCGACCAACTTTGGCAGATCCGAGGCCTGCTTGCACTCGACGGCGACCTGGACGACGGGCGAGACAGAGAACCTCATGACCTTGAGGTTGTGGGCGGTATCGGAGGTGGTGATGGTACCGGACTTGAGCAAGAACTGATCAACACCGACCAAACCGACAATGTTACCGGCAGGGCAGTCCTCAATGGGCTCGACATAGCGACCCATCATGAGAACGATACGCTGAACAGACTTGATGAACAAGTCGGTCTTGCTGCCGACCTGGTAGTTGGGGCCCTGGATGCGGACCTTGAGACCAGCACGGACGGTACCGGAGAAGACACGACCGAAGGCGTAGAAGCGACCCTTGTCGGTGGTGGGGACCATCTTGGAGACGTACAACATGAGGGGACCGTTGGGGTCGCAGGCACCGATGCTCTTGGCGCACTCATCGTCCTGGGGACCCTCGTACAAGTTCTCGACACGGTACTTCTGGGCGGTGACGGGCGAGGGCAAGTGGATGACAATCATCTCCAAGAGAGCCTCACCGGCGGGCAAGAACTTCTTCATAACGGTCTTGAGGAGCAACTTGCCCTCCATCTCCTTCTCGTCGTTCTTGAGGGTGATTTCAAGCTTCTCCAACATGCTGAAGGCGGCCTCCTTCTTGAAGTTCATGATCGAGTCAAAGAGCTTGAAAATGGGGTCCAAGATGAACATGTTGAAGGCACGCTCGAGGGGCTTGCCGTTGGCATCGGTGTTCTTGGTGGTCCACTTCTTGGTGGCGGGGTTGAAGTAGTTCTCGCCCCACAGCTTGTCCATCATCTTCTGACGGTCAACGCCGAACTTCTTGGCGTAGCGGACAGCGAACTGACGGATGGTGAAGGCCCATCCGTGAAGACCCGAGGCGAAAGCGACGGTTCCCTGCTCGGGGTAGACCTGGACATCACCGAGGACCTTGTCGTTGTAGGTGGCAATGATGACGTTGACGGACTCGATGGTGCGCTGGAAGGAGGTGTAGAGATCCTCCTTGGTGACCTGCAACTCGAGAAGGGCACGATCGACCTTGTTGATGACAACAACGGGCTTGATGCGCTCACCCAAAGCCTGACGCAAGACGGTCTCGGTCTGGACACAGACACCGTCAACGCAGTCGACGACGACGAGGGCACCGTCGGTGACACGAAGAGCAGCGGTAACCTCGGACGAGAAGTCAACGTGCCCGGGGGAATCGATCAAGTTGATCAAGAAAGCGGTACCTGAGAAAGGACGCGAAAGGAAAGAAGCCAGAATTAGCTACTTGTTTCTCGCCCCACCTTTTACGCGTTATCGAATGCCTGCATGGTACAAAATGGCTTACCATCGGACTTCTGCTTGATATCGGGGAGATCCTCCTCGGTCATCTCGAAGAACAGGGAGATGGCAGTGGACTTGATGGTAATACCACGCTCCTGCTCGTCCTGGCGGGTATCCATGAAACGGGCATCACCGGCACGGGCCGCCGAGATAATACCGGCCTTGGTGACCAGGGAGTCGGTAAGGGTGGACTTTCCGTGATCGACGTGGGCGATGACGGACATGTTACGAACGTTCGTAACCTTGTCCATCTGTTACATTCCAAAACCATTTCCGCACAGACAGTAGAGAAAACCGTTAGCGATCCGTCCGCAGCATTCCCCCCTCTTCACCCTCGCACATATTCAAAACACAGGTCAACTGCGCCCCCCTCCCCCCCTCTGTCCACTGGAGGGAAACCATGCCAGCGACGATAACGAGAGAGTCTTACGACAGACTCGTTTTCCTGGCTGGCTGGCTGGCTGGCTGTTGCTGGTCTTTTGCTGGTTCGTGGGGTCTGGTCAGGATCAAGTCCAGATCAGTCCATCGTTTGTTCTTTCCAACGGGGAGAAGAAACAAAAGAATGGCCTGATCTGGGATCTGTATTTCCGTAAACAGCACACAAAAAACAACAACGCGCAAAATTTTTTTCCTCTCCTTTTTTTCCCCCCTCCTTCAATTCACGTCAAAGTGTAATAAACCTACCAAGGCGCGGATTTGGTCGATAGTGAAGTTAACCATTTTCTTTCAACTTTCTGCGACGGGGTAAGGGATCGTTGGAAGAGAAGTGACCGGTAGGAGGGAGGGTTTTGTCGAGTTGGGAAGGTGAGGGGAAAAGAGAAAAAAAAAAAAAAAAAAGAGAGAAAAGAGAAAAAGAGGCGGTTAGTATCTGGATCGTTTTATAGACGTTGACTGCGTAATAGAAAAACTAAAAAAAAAAAAAATGAATATCCTGTCCTCCCCATCTCGGAGACAGAAAAAAAAAACTAAGCAGCTACTGCTCTATTAGAAGTCGAAAGAGAAGGGTTATTACAGAAAACCCCCCCCCCCCCCCTCTTCCTCCCCGAGCGAGGATCCAAGAGGACTCAATGGACGCGAAAAATAAAATAAAATAAAAAGAGGGCACAGTTCTCAAAAGAGCAAACTGCAAAGTGAATGCTGCTGCGGTGCAGTGCGTTGTAAAATGTCTTACTGGCAAGTTGCACAGAAGAGGACAAAAAACGGAGGAGGTGTAACCGACCCTTGCATGTGCAAAATACACGCCCACAGACACACAGCCTGGTCCCCGAAAGGGACGACCTGTTGTGCCTGCTTGTTTAGCTGGAACAGGAGCAGGAGCAGGAGCAGGAGCAGGAACAGGAACAGGAACGAAAAAAGGGCACATGGCTACTGAAATCCAGGCACCCTCTTCAGGACCTGCCTGTCAGGTACCAGGCTTGTTTGTGGAACTGAATGTGATCTGCATTGCAGGGCAGGGCGGGCCAGGGGAGGGGGCCAGTAATAAAAAAGGGGAGAAGGTGATATAGTCGAAAAGCGTGTGCGCACTGATAGCAAAATTTTTGATACACAAAAAAGGGTGTGTAAGTGGAACAGATCAGAAATGAGGTGAATGAATCCACTACAGTCGAGAGAAAGGGATAGATGGGCACAATGGACCGATCGGATAGATGGATGGATGGATGGATGGATGCATAAGCGACTGGGACTGAACGGATGAGATGGGATGGATGGGGGAGGCACTACACTGTATATATGACCCAGCTACTGAGGGTGTTACATACGATCTTCGTGAATGGGAAAGGATGGTTCACAAAACAACCGAGAGTGCCTCTTGTAATATTTTTTTTTCCGCGTCCCCCCTCTCTCTCTCGCTATCTGTGGTGGCTTTTATCGGACTGGGATCCCCCGCCAGGAGTCCACTTGGTCGTGGTTGGTCAGTTGGACGAGAGAAGAGGCGAGTTTGGGGACTTTTTTCATAGTCCGATGGTGATGATGACAGCAAAGAAGATGAGAGCGACAAAGCACGAACAGGTGAATATGAGAACCTTGTTTTTTGGCCTTGACTGGTCTATTGCAGGCCAGTATGCGTGTGCGTGTGTGTGTGTGTGTATGTGGTGTCTTCATGTGCGATCGCGATAGGAACGCTCACTCTGATAGTGTACACCTCCTGGGGAGAAGGGTGAAAAAACGTGCCTGGAATGATGGCGCGTAAATGATTTAAGATTTTTGCATGGATGAAAACAACTTGCAGCTGCAGTGATAGTCAGAGGACAGGACACCACTGAACTGATCCATGCGCTGTGGACGCAGTCAGATACCTCTCTGGGATTGAGTTTAAAAGGGCGAATTTGAATGCTTGGGGCAAAGGTGCTTTGTTAAAGGGACGAGGAGAACCACAGCTGTGGAGAAATTACGCGGGAACCCGTCGCTTGCCAGTTGTCATCACTATTTTGCCTTGGGGTTCTGGTTGCAGCCGAAATACGACAATGACAATTTTTTTTATTGCTACCAATCCGATGAGATCTGGACCCTGTGTCCATTCTGCGAATGTGTCCTTGTGCGTATTCGTTCCTGTCGCGTACAAGAATACACGGATACACGCATTCGATAACCCAGGAGGGGAGGAAAAGAGATCGCCCTTCAAGAAATAATGACGATATACAATCTTGTGAACGTGTTGACACATGGGGTATACGAATATGTGGATTCAGTAGAAGAAATATTGGCTTGAGGATCACGTAAAACTATGCACGCGTTCCGCTTTGTTGGCCCCTGGACTATCAGATTAAACTGCAAAAGGGGCGGTCTGCTTTTTTTTTTTTTTTTTTTTTTCGCAGGAACCAAACAGAAGAAAAGAATGGCCAGGCGCATGCAAGGCAATCAACCGTATCTGTTCTTCGCTTATCGCCTCCCTTCTAGTGGTGCAAATCCACGATATGCTTCTGAAAATATATATTGTTAAATACCGATATGGTGAGACAATGCGTATTTGTTTATTACGTTGTGGATATATGTTACAGGTTTACAACAGCATGTGGAGTACAAACTGATCATTATTAAACGCCCCAAATGATGGAATGGAAAAAAGGAAAAGAAAAAAAAAAAGGTACTTGTACTGCATGAATGTTGAATGTATATGTTGGATCTGTCTAGCGCGATTCCAGCCTGTTATTATTTACACATTATAGGACTCGTCCTTTGTTCGTCTGAGCAGAGGTCCGACGGGCAGGAGAATATGACTGTTGGAGGGTAACCAGAGCGCGGCGGCACCGTTGTAGAAGGCCATCAAGGCCGTCAACATGCCAAAGACCGAGCCAATGCGCTTTGGGTAGTCGCCCTCGCCGTGGTGTGCCAAATCATTGCTCGCCATGAAGACCAGGTGAATGTCCAAGAAGACGAACATAAGGATGGTGGTGATGGTCGATTTCGTCGTGCCGATGGTCAAGATGATGGCGAGGAAGGCCCAAATGAGGACAAAGATACCGTGGGCGTTTTGGTAGACATCCGTTCCATATTCGAGATAGGACTCCTTGACTCCTGCGTTGGGGAAAAACATGTAGCCGTACGCGGCCCAGTAGGCACCAAAGGACGAGAAAGCTGTGGCCTCGAAGGTGTTGCCGACCTTCATGGACCACATGCCAGCGAGGATCTGGACAACACCTCCGTACCACAGCGCAAAGCCCATGAGAAAACTTCCACCGCCGCCTGGAGGGACACCTGCGCCGATGTTGTATATATTTGCGATCACTACAAAGCACAAACGAGGAATCAAGTAAGTACAGGCGTTCCTTCGTCATTGAGAGTCATTCCATTTTTCTTTGAGGCAGGGCAGAGGTAGCTTACGGGTGGTGACAGCGAAGGCGAAGAGGCCGAGTGGACCTGGATTACCGTTGGCTGGCTGGATGATACGCACAGCTGCCATCTGTTGGTTGTCTGCCATTGTTGTAGAAAGGTGTGCTGCGGCGATAGTGGGGAGTATGTGTGTGTGAGTGAGAGAGTGTGTGTGTGTTAAAGAAGTAGGATATGAAGGAGTGATATGAGTGGTATATATGACGAGGATGATAGATGAGGATGAAGGGAGAGTAGAAGTAAGGGCCGGTGACTGGGCCAAGAGCTTGGGGTATTTATTTCAGTTTGATCGCATGGGGGATGGATGAGAAGTAAGGGTGGGGAGGAGGGTGTTCTTCTTGCCGCTGGAGGGGTATCTTTCCCAAGACCCGAGTGTTCATCGTCGCTATCATGAAGACGTAGTTGAGAATATAAACAGCGCGAGACAAACAAAACAAACAAACAAACAAGCAAGCAAGCAGGCAAGCGCCCAAGCGACCGTGCAAGCGACGCAGAGGCTCCCCCTCTTGTCGATCCGCAGAGGAAGGGGAAGAGTCTAAGGCTGGGTAGACTACTTCTTTTTCCTTCTTTTCCTTTTCTGTTTTTCTGTTTTTCTCTTCTGGCTGGTGGAATGTTTCGGGCTGGAAATAAAAATAACATCCACGCAATCCCACCACGCCTAGAGAGACCAAAAAGAAACAGCACGATGACAATCCTGCCCGGAAACCGAATTCCCAATTAGAGCACTGCGATTGGCCTTCTTGATTCACAAATGGCCGAGGAGATAGCAGATCTGGGGGCCATTTATCAGCATCTTGTAACCAACCGAATGTCGCCCAGGCAGCACCCGATCCTTGGATCTGCAAGAGAACAATGGAAGGAGGGGAGGGGCAGGCTGTTGTGTTGTGTTTAGGCTACAGAACCTAGTCTAGAACGATCGATATCAATGATGCGTGGATGCTGCCTGCCTGCAGCGCATGCGGCATGCATGCAGGGAACAATCCAATAGCCCTCTAGACGGGGTCTATTTTTCTTGCTGGTCCCATTGGTGCAGCGGCCGGGTTGCCAACTGCAGCCATTTTTGGGGAGGGACAATGGACTCCGCCCAAAAAAAAAATGTTTGATTGCGGATCTTTTCCCCTTTGCCCCGTCGTGTCCAATGCAACCCATCCCGGGCCATTTTGTTGCAGAGATAGACTCGAACATCCTATCGCCATTAAGGTCTCGTGCATCCCTCGACTTAGCCCTCCGATGGTGTGCCATCTATGGACCACCGCCAACCATGCCCGATTGGGGGAGGGGAGAGGAGAGGAAGGGTCTGCCCTTGAGCAGCGATGGATAGGCAGTCCACCATCGCCACATCTCCCTCGCGGGCCCTGTTGCCTGTTAGTACCATGTATTCTTCACGCTATAGCACAGACCCATAGGCCCATAGACCCGTAGACCCATAGACCCATAGACCCACACGCATTAAAGCACCCATGCATCACCACCTCCCTTTTTTTTCTTCTTCTTCCTGCCTTTCCAAAGACGTTATTTCCTTTTCATTTCTCCATGAGGGAAAGTATCCCCGGCAAAGTCCCCCTGTTGACAGAACTGCAAGCACCATCCAACATCCAAAACGCAAACGCGCTCTCTCGGAAAATAGACATAAAAAATGAGCAAAAGCTCTGTGGACTCGGTCGAGATCCTGGTGCCGACCACACTTTTCCCTCCTCGGAATAGCTCACACCAGTCTCAATCGCTCACTCACCGCTCATCCCACTTTTTCACTTTTTTCCGGAATCGCATCTCATCAGATCTCTCATCTCGCTCTCTCCCTTCCTTCCTTCCTTCCTTCTGTGCTCATTCCACTCCTCTCATCCAACCCTCCTCCCCTCAACCATCGCCGCCCCACCAGAAGAGATCTCAAACCCCCAATGCCCCCCTTCCCCGAGCTAGGAGCGCGGCACCTCGCCGGCTTCCTTCTCTGTATACTCTCTATTCAGCTCATCCTTCGCTTCCACGAACCGCTCCAATCCACCTTACTCTCCAGCCCTGGACAGCAACAAAAACAACAGCAACAGCAACAGCAACAGCAACAGCAACAGCAACAGCAACAGCAACAGCAACAGCAACAGCAACAGCAACAGCAACAGCAACAGCAACAGCAACAGCAACAACAGCAATATGAGCAATATGAGCAACCATCCTATAATGAAAGCCTACACCACCGTCCAAATGTCCCATTGTCCCTTCACCAACTTGAGATCCTCGATGAACTCGTAGCAACCATCGGTTATCGGGAAGCTTTCCGGACCTTTCGTGATGCAGGACTCACAGATATCCACGGGACATCATCCATTAGAAATCCCGGGGATGCGAAATTGGTACGTGATCAGATCGAGTGCTGGACACGGCATGGTGAATGGGTCCGTGAGGACGGGATCGAGATCGAGACCGAGACCAAAACCGAGGCCGAAACCGGCACAGGAAGAAGCGCCTGGGCGGCGAGGAAGCATTTGGGAAATCCAAGTTTTGTCAATGTCTGCGATGCTCGGTTCAAGAAGACGCTGGATCAAAACGCCAGCTATGGGGGTTTCGGAGAATTCGACCAGATACATCAACGGTGGAACGTGAGGGAGGCTGTCAAGTATCGATGGGTACCTGATGAGAGCATCTGTGGACCAGGAACAGGAACAGAAGCAGGGACAGTGCCAGGGCCAGGGCCATGGCCAGGAACACAATCACCTCCAGGACCCCCACGACCTCCAGGACAGGCAGAAACGAACGGGGCGACGACCGTGACGGCCTTCAGGAACGAGACCTCGATCTACCAACGCTTCAACGTCTCTCAGTTTTGTTCTTCTCTCTACGAACGTAACGTCCTGGTAGTCGGCGACGTGACCCAGCACCAAATCCACGACTCAATCCTCAGCGCCGTTGGAAACCCCGTTCCCTGTACCGGTGAATTAGGATGTGTCGATTCGAAAGCTTCAAACCCGATCTGTGTAAACTCAACCCTGAGCTTTGTCCGAAACGATCTCCTCTCGGTCCCCACTGCCTTAAACAATGGCGACTCCACCACCACCATCATCAACAACAGCAACAACAACAACAACAACAACAGCGATGACAACGATTTCTCAAGTGGCGTATTGGTTGAACAACCATGGGCCACAGAGGAGATGTTTCAAAAGTACAGGATCGTGGTATTAAATAAGGGACTGATCTGGAGGACGGATGTTGCGTTCTTGACACGCTTGGTGTCTACGATCAAGTATGTCTGGAAGTGGTATCCGAATGTGATGTTCATCTATCGGGCCACGCATCCACTATCAGATTGTACAGTGTTGAAGGAACAGAGGGAGGATGAGGCCATCGCAGGACCCGATGGAAAATCCGTGGTACCCGGGACCAAGGTGCAGAGACCACTGGAGAAGGCGCTTAATCGGGCTTGGGAAGATACAAAGATGACAATTCGTCGGCCGACGTTGGCAGATGTGCAGAGACAGAATCGGTTAGCAAAGCTAGTTGTCGAGAATGCGGGGGGGATCTTCTTGGATACAGAGGAGATGTTTGCGAGGAGACCCGATGGACGGGTCGGGGACGGGGGTGATTGTGCGAGGTTCTGTGCACCGGGGCCTATAGATGTGTATGCGGAGCTGTTGTACAATGCCTTGAGGATCCTTCCTGGTCCTCTCCCGGACGATGAAATACCACCACCAACCATATAGGTGTAGAGAAAAAAAAAAAAAAAAAAAAAAAACATAAATGAATAGATAAATAAAGGTCATATTTAGTAAGTACACTGCCATTTTTTTCATCCCGGCCAGACCATTCATCTTTTTTAAAGCGTTTCTCTTTGATGGTATATAACACATGTGTAATTCTAAAGATGTATGGTAGCTATGAAACTGCAACAGGAACGGAAACAGAGTCCATGGGCATGGACCCCAAGATCCCCGTTGTTGTTGTCGACACCATGTGCGTGGACGCGTCGCTCTGAGGCATGGTGGGTTCTATGTGCTGCCGCTCTGTCCACATAGCGCCATCCTCCGCTTGCTCCTCCGGGGACTCTGGTCCCTCCACCACTATGACAATTCCGGAATTCTCAGTCTCGGCCTCTTCGCTCGTATCGTCACCCGTCTCTTCTGGTTCCTGCTGCTGCTCCGGCGCTTGATGAATCCCCAGACCCACACCTCCGAGACGACTACGTTCCAACAATTCGAGCTGTTGCTGAAGGTTCACAACCTGTCCAGATCCCTCCGCTCGACTGTTGCTGCTGCTCTCTTCACCGCTCACTCTCAGATCCTGTTGCTGCTGCTGTTGCTGTTGCTGGACGACATTCTTCCTCAACAGCGCGACCTGCATCCTCTGGATCAACAACTTGGAGGACTCTCCAAATGTCGACGCCCTGGTCCTCACACCCGGACGCCTCTGTCTCTGTCTCTGTCCTTGTCCCTGACGGCCTTCTTCCATAATACTGCTGCTACTCGCGCCGTCCTGGGATACAAACGTGGGTGTGTGATACGATGGCTGGGAGTGCGATCGGTCTTGTAACCGTATCGCTTCGTATTGCGCCTGCACCTGTATCCGTGCTGTTTCTGGATCCTGCAATGAGAGCCGAGAATGTGACATGGACGATAACGAAGCAGCGTAGAGCGCTCGACCGCGTTGATGTTCCTCCAGATGAAGCTGATGCGGGATATCCGGGGAGAACTCGAGCGAGTACCGTGGTGTCGGCGGCAACTCTCCTTCTCCTCCAACTTGGGCCCCGTGAGGCTGGTACGGTTGACTCGAGGAGATCGTATGGGCGCGTGTGCGGACATGGTGTCCAAAGTAATCGTCCGGAGCGCCCCGCCCCGCTGCCGACATGGGCGAAAGCATCATCGTCTGAGCATCCGATGCAGAGTGAGAGTGATGATGGCTGTAACGAGGATGTGTGAGCGGCGATCGATCAACAACTCTGTTGGGGACGTCGTACGAGGGCGGAGCCGGCAGTCGGGCGAGGTTCAGGGTCTCCTGGTCGAGAATCCGAGGTGAGGGCGCCGTCCTGATCGAGGAGGGCGTGATCGAATGAGAGGACGAGGCGAGTACTGCAGGACTGGGTAGACCTGGTGATGTTTGAAAGCTCAGTTGAGTCGCCAATGGTTCTTCCTGTGGTCCTGATGCTAGTGATGATGCCCGTTCGGTACTGATCCCTGCTGAAGATGTCTCGGTGTTCTCGGTGGGGTTTTCTACAGAGGCTGTGATAGGGAATGGGAAGGAGGAATAGGTGCGTTGGTGATGCGGAGAGGAGGGCACGAGTGGGTCCTCGTCCGGGGAGATGTAATGGTGACCGCTGTCCTCGGAGGGCGAGTGAACAAGGATCGGCCGCACGGGTGGGACGACATCCGGGGGCAGCTCATGCTCGTAGATGCAGACGGGGTCCAGCGCATGGTCCACATAGAACGGAGGCAGGTTGCTATCTGCTCACATAACATGCAAGATAAAGAGCGTATTAGACAACATGTTACACAACACAAACCCGTCAAGACGCCAGAAGAAAAAAAAAGAAAGAAGAAAAAAAAAAAAAAGAGGAATGAGACTCATGTGCTTACCGACGACTTGCTGCATCCGTTGGTGAATCACTTGCTCTTGTACCCGGACCTCCTTCATGTCCCTGCGGTGCTTGCCGTAGAGGATCCCGACGCAGGTGCCGAGCAGGAGAAGCACTCCGGCGACAATGCCAACGTATACTCCAGCCTGTGAGCCCATGTTGTTATCGTAGAGGAGGAGGGGAGTAGGTGTGTTAGTGGGGTCTTGGCTTGGGAAGGCTGTCTCAGAGAGGGGTGAGGTGGGGAAAGGAGGGTATCAATTAGGGCGGAGGGAAGGAATGGGTGAGGGTTGGCAACAGTCGAGAATGTAATGGAGCCGGAGGAAGGAACAACAAAAGCGAGTCGAGTCGAGTCGAGTCGAGTGAGAGAGAGAGAGAGTGAGAGAGAGTGAGTGAGTGGCCGGGCTGTTTGTTCCCCCCCGCCCGCCTCGGCCGTTTATGATAGTTTCAATTTAGTTTGCGATGGGTTTAGTGCACACGATTATTTATGGGAATCAGGGACGAGTGGGTGAGCCAGAGACCGGTTCCACCGTATCTGATTCGAGGCGGGAGGGAGACGGGCGGTTGCATGCTGCCGCCTGAGTGGTGTCTGACTTGGGGCGATCTAGTCCCCGTAGTCCGCTACTACTTCGATAGTGTGCTTGTGTAATAGACTGTGTTATTCGCTATTAGAGTAGAGTCATTATTCCGTATGCATGGATGAATGTATGGATGGAATTCTGGAATAGCAAGCTCGAGTAGGGGCATCCCCCAGCGGTCCAATCGGGACCAGACCCTTCGAGCCAATTGAGGGGCACAAGCGGCGGAGAGCCTTGGGAACCAGGCCGTGCAGCGTCAGCGTCAGCGTCAGCGTCGGCATGTCCAGTCATACAACATGCCATGCATATGTAAGGGCCTCATTGAGGGGTAGAGGAGACACACCGACACACACACAGCACACATCTGCTGCTCACCGCCTGCTCCACTCCTCTACAAAGCGCGCCTCCAAGCCCTACAACAGAAACCGCCGTGGACTGCAGACACCGCAACAGGAAACAGGAAACAGGAAACAGGATACAACGCATACCAAGGAGGACCATAGCTAAGCACTCGATCGCTGACATCACATCACATCACATCACATACGACCAATACACAAGCATGACATCGCAGCATCTCATTCCACCGTTGGTAACGATCTGTCATGAGGGAAAGACGACTTGTGCCTGGGGCCCCCAGTACAAGGGTTTTTTTGTTACCGAACCTGACCAAGCGTTTACGCAAATACATGATTGATTCGACACTAGAATTTCGGCATGATCGAGGAGGATCTCTATCGGTCAGGACAACCCAACGAACTCAACTTTCCATTCCTCGAAAAACTCGGTCTCAAAACCGTCGTCTGGCTCGCACCCGAAGAACCCAACCAGCGCTTGTAAGAGATCTCGCCTTCGTACACTTTAGCAATAACGCTTCCTCAACCGAGTGATAATCTTCATGACGATCCTAACAGAGCACCGAGGGGGTTTTTTTTTACTTGACGGAATCGAATGGTAGCCTTGATTTTATCGATGATCAGGATATTCACCTGTACCACCTCGGAGTGGTATCGTCTATGAACGCATGGGACCCCATCACAGAGGAAGTCGTCCTGGAAGCCTCGGAATTGATCCTCACCCCAAAGAACTACCCCATGATCGTCATGTGTAATCTTGGACGGCATCGCACAGGTACATATACATATACATATACCTTCTTCTTTCAATCTCCTCGCTAGTCTAGTTAGTGCTTCGCAGTTGTCTGGCAATTGATTTTTTTTTTTCTTGTCAACCTCGATATAGGGACGATTGTGGGATGTCTACGGAAACTACAGCGCTGGAATTTGACATCAATCTTTGAGGAATACAGACGGTACGCGGGACCTAAAGTCCGGGTGCTAAACGAGCAGTTTATTGAGCTGTTCGATACAGATCTGGTACGCGTACCGATTGATCACCCCAAATGGTTGTAAAAAAAAGCACGAAAAATCCAACCCCCCGTCGGTCAACATGGGTCTTGAGGGCCGTTGCTCGGGATGATGCACGGGTAACTAGAAAGGAGACATCCCTGGGCACCAGTGTCTGCTGGTACCGTATAAGAACTCTTACACATTTTTTTGGCTCCGCAATGGGTTCACGCACAATAAACCCACAGCAAACCAGGGGGGGGGGGGGGAAAAAAGACACTTTTTTGAATACGATTGAAGATATGAGACTGGAGATCAAGGTTCGCCGTTGCAATCTTCTAAGCAGAGCCATACTCCGGCCTCATCTCACAATTCCTCCATTCTGTCGAGATCTCATTCTCCATGAGCAACCCAGCCGTGGCTCTATGGCTTCAAGAGATCGCCGCCGCGAAAGCCAAGGCCCAAGCCAAAACCACCCCGGCGACTGACACAGCAACAAAGGCCCAGCAGCAGGAGCAACCACCTCACGGAACCTCCGAGGACACAACACCTACGACCACGCCCACGATCACGACCAAACATGCTCAGCCAACATACGGGATCATCTCATCCTACAACCTACGAACACGAAAAAAGCAGCTCCACTTGGTCTTGCCTCCAGAACCGATCAAGCCCGGACCGGGCGAATGCTGCGGGAACGACTGTGTACCCTGTGTGAATACGCTCTACTGGGAGGACATGGTCGCCTACCGAGAGCGCGTCAAGAAGTTGAGAGCACAGTATGAGGATGCCTGTCGTGCGCTCGAATCCGGAAACGATCTCGACGGATGCGCTGGCTCCACAGGAGTGGAAGGCGACGATCACCGAAAAGATCGCGAGGAAGAAAATGAGGACGGAGGACTGAGTATTCGATCGTATCGAGCATTCAAGATCCTCAGGAAGACTCTCCTCACCGACAACACACTCCTCATCGTCTGCGATCTCCCGTACCCTTCACCACCACCATCCAAGACGATCACGGCCTCAATTCAAGACGGACAACACGATCATTATCTTGAACATCGTGCTCGGGGGAGTGGAAACCCGATAAACAGTATGTTCCATATCCTGATCCGCTTCCAGCACGGGGACCAGTTCCTGACCAAGGCCTTCACACCCATCGATCTGTCCCACTCTTCCTTAGCCGACACTGGTACTGGTACTGGCATCCATAACAACAAGATGGCATTCATGGTGAAGTTGTACCCATCTCCGCATCTGACCTCTGAGCTGTTCCGGGCCTTGACGGTCTACGACCCCAAAAGCGAAGACCCCGATCAGCGAGGGGTCTTGTACTTGCGTGGACCTATTCTCACAACCCAAGATCGACGCCAGAACCGCGACCAGGAGTTGGTCATGGAGGCACAGGCAAGGGCAGAGGCACAGGCAGAGGCAGAGGCAGAGGCAGAGGCAGAAGCAGAGGCAGAGGCAGAGGCGAAGGCGAAGGCGAAGGCAAAGGCAAAGGCAAAGGGGCGAGAAAGGATTGTGATGATTGCAGCAGGATCGGGGATTACGCCCATGTACCAGGTGCTCAGAGCTGTGCATCACCAACAACAGCAAGATCACCACCATCAGGAACAGGAGCAAGCGCAGCGGGGAGAGGAAGCCACAGAGACAGAGACAGAACTAGATCTGATTTATTGTAACAGGACATCGGATGAGATCTGGTTACGCCAAGAACTGGAGGAGTTCTCTTTCCACTCAGACAGGGACGACCATTCCAGGCCAACAATAGCAACGGCAACGACGACTACAGAGATTCAGGAGAGAAGACAGTTGATCAGGAAGAGAAGAGTCCGTATCCAACATGTGTTGTCCTCTTCTACAGCGCATCATCATCACTATCATCATCATCATGATAGTGAAGATACAGCCGATCGACCTGGGTTGGGACGGACCCATACAGGAAGTCGGATCACGCTGGAGCTGGTACGGGATGTACTGCTACAAGGACGCCTAAACGATGCACAGGATAACGATAACAATAACGATGCCGACGGCGGACCCAATCCAGACGCGAGGACGGATCCAATTGAAAGGGAGTACCTACGGATTCTGGTCTGTGGACCTCCTTCCTTTAATGAAGATGTCTCCAAAATGTTGAATCAACTCGGATACCGAGATTCAGAGACGTGTGAAGTACATATCTTGGAATAAAAAAAAAAAAACAACAGCTAGCCAAAAACGACTTTCGGGCCTTTTTTTTTTTTTTTTTTTTTTTTTTTTTTTTTTCTTTAGGATGAAATGATAGATAGCGTCGAGCTAGTCTATGGTATATTGTCTAGGAGGGTCTCAAAGACGTTTTTTTTTTTTTTTTTTTTTTTCTATGCTAAAAGAGGAAGGAGGGAAAAAATAAAACAAAAAACAAAATCTATAGGTTGCAAAAACAATTGAACGCGAACAACAAACAACAGCAAATAACAATATATATATATATAAAAAAACCATCATAGAGATGGATAGTATACATGGATACAAGCTAGGACGATATAAATACAACGAAACAAAGAAAGGAAAAATCACAAAGAGAAATGAAAACGAAAACAAACTCCACCATCACTAATACTGGCAAGGATACTCAAGTCTCTAGACATGAACCTGGGCATGGGACTCTTGGACCTCGGACTCTGTCCAAGAATGTTTCTCCTCTGGCGGCGACAGCAATTGCGGGCGCTGCATCTTGACATCCTGGTCCATCCCCGGTACAGGCACAGACGCGTCAGCGGCTGCAGTGCTGGCAGAGGCACTGCAGGGGCTGATAGGCGAATGCATTTGCTCCATTCGCTGCACTGGCTGCATCGCTGCGAGGTTCTGCTGCTGGTGCTGGTGCTGCTGTTGCAGTTGTTGCTGCTGTTGCTGAAGGTGAAGGAGCAGTAGTTGTTGGTGCTGGTATTGCTGCTGGTGCTGTTGCTGGTGCTGGTGCTGCTGGGTGACACGCGCCATATGGCGGTCTCTGAACCGGAGGAGTGCATTTCCGATGCGCTGCAGCTCATCGACCTTGACGTTCAACTCAAACTTGCTCGTGAACAGGAACTCGAGCTCGAGCTGGTTCAGTTCCGGAAGGCTGAGTCCTCCGACCTAGAAGTTGTCATGAACAAAAAAAAAAAAAAAAAGATATAAATGGGTATGCGGTGAGTGGCTAGCGTACACTTTATAGTATATATTTATATATCCGGGTGAGCTGTTCAGCCGTAGAGGAGGTAATATGCAAGTGATAGGTAGAAAGAACGCCATGCGTAAATGTAAAAGAAAAAAAAGGGGGGAGGAGGAGAAGGAGGAAGGGAGGCGAGGGGAAAAGGGAATACTAGAGGAATGGGGAGGGGGGGTGCAAAAGATAAGGTCTCCTGGCATGTACTGGACATACACATGCGACGCGTATATACACCCCCCACGATGTTGCTGCGATGGGCGTTTGTGGCACGATAAGATTAGATGCAATTCTTTAAACTTTTCATGGGTGCACACATCTCTCTGTGTTCTTTGCCGTCCATGTCCATGCACTCGTTCTTTGTGTACGTCCATAACCGATAAGTAGATCTTTTATGAAGGGACACAAGAAACCCAACAACGTGGACCAGTCATTGACCAAGCAAAAAGCCGAAAGATAAAAAAAAAAATGCTCTGAAGACATGTAGGGATATTTGACGACAGCCAGGGGGTACGACGGATGGGAGCATTTAATGTAATTTTTACCTTGGCATAGCGAGCGTTGGAATAAAACAAGTCAGAGGTGAATTTGCCAGCGACCATCAGGCACGTAATCAATAGTCGATGGATGTTGAAGCTGTTGATCCGGAACCCATTGTAGGACGGCATCCCTTCTGGTGCAGGCGAACAAGCAGGCGTTGAAACAGGAGTCGAAATGGAGGAGGAAGGAGAGCACGATGATGATGATGACGATGATGACGGTGATGATGTTGTCGACCGGACTCTCTTGACCTGCTCAGCCCGCTCCTCTTTATCCTCTCTGCCACGTTTCGAGATCATTGGAAGGCCATTGTCGGAGTTGTTCTTCGGTGATGATGATGCCATACTGGAGATTTCATTTGCTGCAGAGAAGGAAGCCGATGCTGAGGAGACAGTAACGGGGGCAGACACGGACGTCGCTGTTGTTGTTGAGGACAACTTCCCGCTTAAGTGCAGATGCACTCCCTCCAACCCACCAATCCTATCCAAATACACCAACACGTTCAGGAGCACCTCGTTCGTGAAGGGGATGTATTGCAGGATCCTCGTCAGGTAGGCCTCGACTGAGATGCGGGGCACGGCTCTTGAATGGAACAATGTGATGGGGTCGCACAGGGGATTGTATCGACTGTCGTTCTTGTGGAGAAGGAGAGAGAGCAATGTGGAGACAATCGTCAGAGTATCCTTAACAGGGTGATTAATCACGTCGAACAGAGCAGAGACTGGTTCAGCTGCAGCGAGGTTCTGTTGCTGAGACATTGTTGGCGAGATTGAAGAACATGAGGAAGCAAAGGGAGTCATGGCGGTGCTGGGTGTGCAGTCCTGAGTAGAGGTGATTTCGGAAGACTGTTCTGGTGTTGGAGGGGGAGAGGGTGTGGTGGTATCTGCGGATGGTGCTGAGGAAGTAATGGCAGAGAGCGATGAAGAGGAAGTGGTGGTGGGGTTCTTTGCGTCAGGAGAGGTCGAAGGAGGGGTGTGGCAGGAAGACATGGCAAGGACAGATCTGTTGAAGAAAGCGCCCTTTTTCTGTAATGTCTTTGTGGGCGAGTGGACAAGCAAGTGGTATGCCAAAAGGAGGGAACGTGTGCGAGAGAGAAAGAAAAGGCGAAGCGAGAGGGAGAGCGAGAGGCAAAGAGAGGCAAAGAGAGAGAAGGCGACGAGAGAGTGGAGAGAAGAGGTGTTCACCCTGGCGAATGAATGAATAGAACCAAAATACATTTTCAAACATAACCCACAGACAATCGCCGATCGACTGCACGTTCTGCCTGTCGAACAGTCGTTCTCGGCCACTGGGCTATTCGGAGAGTGCACCTGCCAACATGCTGTGGCCAAACTAAGGCCAAAGGGGACGGCAAAGACGAAAAGGTGCACATGCGTTCTTTTCCTCACTCTAGACAAGACTGAGCAACCTCCACGGTTTCCATAAATGTGTGACACTCCAGCCTGGTCTAGCCAGTCAGATCCCAGGGATCGGGAACGTGCCCCAATTGCTCGTGGAGAGAGGAAATGCGAGAATGTCTTTTTATTGGTCGAAGACTCTGTTCCTGAAAATGCCTTCAAGCGGAAATTAAAACTTTTTTTTTTATCATCGCTCCCCTGGTTCTCACTTTTTCGTTGAAGTTAGACATGGAACATCGACATTCAAACGAGGATCTTTGCAAGCCCGTTGACGGGCAGCGCAAAAAAAATAACGCGGCTGCGAAGCACAACAGGACGCGCTGCCATAGTCACACTTCAGTCGATTCATGCGAGATTCCGAGTGGTAAAACAAACCAAGGGTACACTTGGCGATGCATTTGCATACCCTCCCCCCTGGGGTCCATCAGAATTACTGCAGCAGTTAAATCAGAATGCGCGCTGTTAGTCGACGACCTGCAATGGAGACTGTCCAGATACACGTATCTCGTGAACAATATGAGTCTGAACTAAGACTCTAGACATTCGGTGCCATGGATTTGTCCACGTATTCGCCATCAGACAGGTTGCACGTCTCGTTCTTTCCCTTTCTCTCTCTCTCTCTTTTTTTTTTTTTTTTTTTTTTTTTTTTTTTTTTTAGTTGCACTTGGGCAAAGTCTCGGTATGCTCTCAAGAGGTCGCTCATGCATTGATTCGCTAATCATGCAGCCAATGACATGTTGTGATGAGGCATTCCTCACTTCCTAAGCTATCGTTTCCTCAGTTCTGTTGTTGTCCGATTCACTCCTCACTTTCGACACGCAAGTTGCTCGTAACGCACATGTGGTCCTCGAAATGTTCAATCGCCGATTTGTTGCTTGGATTTAAAGACGCTTAGTAACTGTGTGTGTATGGCCACAACAGTAGCCTATGAGGTCTAACCAAGTGGTCATGATGCTATTCGCTGGATAAACAGCGGCCTTGCTTTTTTTATTTTATTTTTTTTCCCTAGTACTAAGTGATCATTTATGGATGTATACTTTTGGCGCTGCGAATTATTATCGCAGCGTTATTCATCTGTGTCCCAGTTGGTTCTGTACATTCTCTGTGGAGCGGAGTACCAGAAGTACCTTGGCTCCAGCCCAAAAAAAAAAAAAAAAAAAAAAAAAAAAAAAGCAAGAAAGAAAGGGAACAATGGATGAACCGCATTGTAGGAACGATCGATGCAACTTGACACCGAGTGTGAAAGTTTCTAGTATCATGTCTCTCCCATTGGCCACGAATCGAAATGAGACGCGAGCCACTTCCATCCCTTCAATCGAGCTGTTCATGCTTAACCTATTGGGGATGTATTCAGCATAGGGATAGGGCGAGACACGAGAGTGAAGAAACAGGCGATCTGCCTACCAACGCTTGGGCCCAATTTCTAGGAACACACGAGAGGTCTCTGTTGATGTTGCCGTTTTGCTTCCCACGCTTGGTGGAACAATACACTTTTTTTGTCCTACGATCCATATCAAGAGACGCATACCTAAGACTATTGTCTTTGTGCAAAATGTGACAGATACTAAAACGGCTTTATGCACTTGAATCGTTTGAAGCAAAGTCCTCGTCTGGACATTTGGTGAAGCTACGTGGGAATGCTCGTTGCTGTTCGGGAGTCGTGGTAGAACCGCCATCGATCCTACCAGTTCGCGTGCCCAATAAGCCATCATATGACTACAGTTTTCTAAATGTTTACCGGTTTTAGCTGTCATCTAGAGGAAAAAAAAAAAAAAAAAAAAAAGAGTAGACTAGAAATGGAGTACTGTCCATCCGAATATGCAGCAGCATTGTTAGAAGAAAGCTGTCGTCCGAGGAAGGGGATGAATGGGGGGAGGGGGGGAATGAAGTGAAGGGCTCAATGAGTATTTAATGAAACCAAAAAAAAAAGGAAAAAAAAATTACTCGGCTGACATAGAAGCGGCCAGCAAAGGATACCTATCCGCGACGGCGCCATGTTTTCATGCCAGAGAAAACATCTGCGAGCTGCCACTTGGCATTTTGAATTTATGTCTCGAGTTTCCAAAAGAAGCCATGTCAAAGCAGGCCATCCCATTGATCTTTTGTGCTTTTTGGGATGGTTCGTTCATAGACGCGACAAATGACCCGCGTGTAGCGCATGAATATGCGTGGGCCACGCGAGGTTTCTTGTAGAGGCCACTAGAGTTTTTGGGCGCATTCCAAAGGATTGTTCTGTAATAAGTTCCGACGGATGCTCTTCTCGCTCAGACACTTTGTGTTTAATTCGTGTTACAAAAAAAAAATGGCGCCCTATTTCCGGGAATTGGTGGGATGTTGGTGTGTGTATATACAACTTCATATAAAATCACTCCACTTGCTGAGCAAGATGCAAACAACGAGGAGTGCGGTAGATACATACCATATGGTATGATGAGGTGAGATGAGGTGAGATGAGACGAGGTAAACATACGAATGGTATCGCGCTGTATGTAGATGCAGGGGATCGACAGAGGATGCTCTCGCGTGCCAGTTAAATCAGGTTCGCAGTGCTGCTTTATTTTATCTTATTTGCTGTAAGTGGTGGGATAACCTGGGATTGGTCGAATTTCGCTATTTTTACGCACTATGGGTTATATTTTCAGGGGAAGGTCCAAACATAGACCAAGCTCGCGTCAGAAATGAATCTTATTACGGTGGGTATACAATCTGGGTCCTTGTATCATTATATCAAGACGTAAGAGATCCTTTTCCTCGTGGTGGTCTTTGTGTTCTTATTACTTTGACTAGTGCGGGTTTAGCACCGGAGCAAGGTGCCAAGGAGAAAAACGAAAAGGGGGACAGAGACAGGGAAAATTGGTGCTATTGCCGAAGAATGAGAATAAGCGAGCTGGGCTGAGAGCAAAAAGAAGAAAAAAATCATTAAAGGACTCATGGCTCAGGTGGACCTATAGTGGGAGTGGGTAGAGATGGTTCATCGATATTGTGCCCTGATTGAAATGATTTATGATCCCAGGGCACCAGCATGGGCGGACCAAACTCTAGTCGCAATTGGAACCGGAAGCGCAATTGATGCTGTCTCTGAGCCGTTGTTTTAGGCGCGTAGTAACCCTTCATCGGATTATCAGCCCTGGGCAGACAAAGGTTAGTCCACCGCGCCTTCTTTCCTCCTTTTTCTTGCCAACGGACTTATGTATGTGGGAAAAAGAACCGAGCGAACGAGAGAGAGAGAGGGAGAGAGAAAGGGAGAGGGAAAGAGAGAGAGAGAGAGAGAGGATAGGATAGGAGAGTAGGATATGGTATGAGGCGATAGTCTAATGATATGCGAGAATATATTTATCGCGAACCAATTTACCAAACTGCAACCTTATTGTTGAGAGCCTTTTGGTTTTTTGACTTGGCTCTGTTGCAATCCTATGCAGATGCACATCCAAATTACAAATATACTTGCTGTTGTATTGTTGTGCTTGCTGCACACGCTGCTAGGATCAGCGAGTAAGGACTAAAGAATGAACCCTCTCAGCGCGGATGAAAAGCGAGAGGAGCCCTTGCCTTGCCTGCTGGTACTGAGTGCACACTGCACAAACAGGTCAGCCTAGCCTCCCTCCCCACCCCTCCCTCCATCCTCCCATCCTTCATCCCTCATCCTCCCATCCTCTCATCCTTTTATCCTTTCATCCTCTCATCCCGCCCTCTATTGGCCCTAACCCTTTCCTTCTTCTCATCACCCTTGCTTTCCTCATCTCTTTATTGCTCTCTCTTTCTTTCCTTTGTTCTTTCTTGTTTCGCCATCACAGTCTTCTACCCCGTTCTACACATCGTCCATCACACTCTTTCTTTCTTTTTTTTTTTTTGCAGGTTCAGAAAAGAAAAGAAAAACCCTCGAGTGTTCTTGACGATTAATTCCGGTTTCAACGCTACCATTGAGAAACCCGGAGGCGGATACAACTCTGTAGGTTTCAGGCCCCTCAGGGGTAAACCAACTCCCGCTGCCGGGATCCATTTTTTAAGGGTTTTGTTGTTTCTACTCGATTGACAATGATCTGTACATAGTACTAACCATTGCCCGTCTCTCTTCCATCCTTGTCGCTTATTGTTTGGTGGTCCTTTTGTTTCTGCAGATCAGGCTGAAAAAAAAAAAAAAAAAAAAAAAAACCACCATCTTTACAAGACAAAAAAAACAGACCGGTTACACAGCACGATCGAGTCCAAACACACCCACCACTCCTTCCTGAGAAAACAACAACAAGCAAGTCGTGTCCATGGCCAGCACCGCCGAAGGCAACAGTAGGCACAACTACCACCAACAACAGCAGCAACAACAGCAGCAGCAGCGATATGGCTCCAGCAGTCAACCTCAGTCATATACCCTTTACTCCGACCCTTCTCCTCAGCCGCAGCCGCAGTCGCAGTCGCGTGTGAAGCACCAACACGACCGTCCCCACCAGCAACAACAGCAGCAGCAGCGCTCACATGGAGACTTGACACCCCAATCATCCTTCTCTTCCACGTCTTCACACCATCGGGACCAACACAACGCCCCAGGAACTGTCTCCCGAGGCGATAGTGGAAGTAGCGGCGTCACCAAGCCCAAGCAAAGTCAGCTCAGTTATCTTCGCTCGCCAGCTCCTTCTGTGTTAACCTCTGGGGCTGCTCCGCCTTCACCCATCTCGCCTTCGACTCCTTCGCCAATCGAGTCTATGACTTCGATCTTGAATATCACACGGTTAGATGAACCTATTCGGGATCGAGTCAGCATCCAAAGCTATGATCAGACAAGTTATCAGCAACCGAGGAAGAAGCCTTCCAGCCCTGGCGGCCATCAACAGCCACAGCAGGCTCAGCAGAGACAGCAGCAATTGCAGCGAGTGGATGACGAGTATGGAAACCGAGGCCCACTCAAGCAGTCGGGGTCCAATGGCTCGGCACGATCGATGGGATCCCAGGGCCGAAATGAACAGGCGGGATATGGTGGCAATGAACTGAAGCAGTCAGCATCCTCGGCCTCCGGACACTCTATGAACTCGGCACATTCCCGTGACCACCATCATCCAAATGGACCATTGAGACAGTCCCCTTCTGCAGGCTCTGCATACTCGGCTCATTCTCAGGGTAGCAGCGCCAGTCCTCGTCATAAGCATGTAGAGCTCAAGGCATCTGGGTCGTCCGCTTCTGCGGCCTCGATCGGTTCTCCACGAAGCCAGCATCAGCAACTGTATTCCAGCCACAGCAGCGGCTCCAATGCTTCCAGCTCTTCTAGACGACAGCAGCAGCAAGCCAACCAGGAAGTATCACCCTCACCACCTTCGCCGCTCTCGTATCTCCCCGAGCAAGATGATGATAAGGACCAAGATCGTGAACACGACAGCGAGAAGCATAGACAGCAGGCTATGCAGTACCAACAGCAGCTCCAGCAGAAGCCTCCTTCAACACATGGTGATGATGATAGTGATGATTCAGATTCTGGATCAATGTTGTCTTACAGACGTTCGATTTCGAGACTGTCCATGTCATACAAACGCACTCAGAATGGTGCACCCAACATCGGTTTGTTTGCACCTGGTCAGAGACCAGCGATGCTGAATTCGGCTGGTTATTCGGCTGGTTTGAGCAGTTCACAGAAGATGATTCAGGAGCAGAGGGAGGAGAGACTTCGTCAGCAAAAGATGCAACAGGGTCAGCAGGAGCAAGGAGGATATGGTGGACCAATATCACCAATTGACCAACACACGCGACAGGAAGAAGGCCGATCGATGGTGATGCGTCAGAATCAGGGTAACCATCCTTATCAAGCAGGGGGATCATCAGGACCGCAGATCCCGGAGAGAAGCACTTCCGCGGACAGTTATACTGGTGGCAACGGCAGCAGCAGCAGCGGTCGATCGCGACAACAGCAATATCCCGGATCTGGTGGACGTAGTAATCCGTCTTCACCAAGCATAGCTACTCGACAGATCAATGGCCAGCAGCATCCACAGCATTCACAACATTCACAGCATACACAGCATTCACAGCATTCACAGCAACAGCGACCTAGCCATGAGCAGCGCTCGCGGCCTGACCGATTGAACGTTTCGTCGAATGATTATCAGGATGACAACAGCAATATCACAGGAGGCCCACGCTCGCGCTCGCCTGGTCCCGCGGCCCCACCAGCACGCGGCCCTGGTTCTTCTTTGCCAGGATCTTCAGCACCAGGAGGATCAGGAGGATCTGGGGGAGGAGCTGGAATCTACCGTCAAAATGGATACCCCGGTGGATTCAACGCCTCTTCATCTTCACTCCCTCTTCCAAATTCCTCAGCTCCATCAATACGTTCTGCAACACCTACAGGCGGACCTGGGCTGAACCCTCATCCTGCACACCACCTTGCCTCTGGAGGATACGTTCGTCCTGAGGAAGCCATGGGCCCCTCGAACCCGATGCCCGAGAAGGCTGAGGACTTTGTCCGTCAGGGAATCGAGTACCATGAGGTTGGAGATATCGGAAAGGCGACAACTTTCTTCCGGACTGCCGCAGAGCTGGGCGACCCTGTAGGGATGCTGATGTACGGGTTGAGTGTACGGCACGGATGGGGCTGTCCGGCGAATCGACAGCTCGCATTCCAGTATCTTCAAAAGAGTGCAGAACATGCGGTTGGGGATCTCAAGTCGAGGGATTCGTTTGCGAGCACGGCGGCCAAGGGTGAGTTGGTGCTGGCGATCTATGAGCTCGGAATCTGTTTCCGACATGGATGGGGAGCTGACAAGAACAAAAAGACTGCGGCCTATTACTTTGAGATCGCAGCGAACTTGGTAAGTGAAGCATCATATCCTTGCAGGCACGAAAAGCGAATTTTTTTTTTTATAAATTGGCCGGTCTTCTAACTGTTTTTCTTTCTTTTTCTTCGTTGACAGGGCGATCCCGACGCACAGAACGATCTGGCATGGTGCTATTACCATGGTGTGGGCGTCAAGAAGGACATGTACAAGGCCGCAAAGTACTACCGCCTGGCTGCGGCTCAGGGGTTGAACACTGTAGGCAATTCATGGATCTGGAAGGACAAGTATGGAGGCATGCCTACAAGTCCAACAGCCGAGAAGTTTTAAGTGATACCTCTCCCCATCTCCCTCTCCTTGTCCTTTTCTTTCTCGGTCTTCAGGAAGAAGCAAGCGTTTTTTTGTTATTTTCTTTTATTTCATAATCAGATACGGAAATCGCTGAAAAATAAAAAAAGAAAAAAAAAGCGTTGAAGGGCAACGGCATTAATCAATGACTTTAGTTTTTAGGAAATGGGTCTTTTGAGCGTTGATTGGTTTTTTTTCTAGGTGAATATTTAATGGGCTGAGAGCTATGACAACACAAAAAGGTGAGCAAGCTACATGAAAGGTAAGGAAAACGAAATGCTGGGAAAATGATGCTTTGAAAATAAGAAGAAAAAAAGCAGGAGAGCAGAGGATGAAAAATAACTATCATACATGAGATGTGAGTGCGTGTTCGTTTGTGCGTGGGTGCATGCCCATGGTGGGATGTCGAATAGCGAAGAAGAGTTGTTTCACAGAAATGAAAAAAGAAAAAGAAAAAAAAAAAAGAAAAAAAAAAAGAGAAGAAAAGGCGAGAGCATAAGCCGGAGGTGATGGGGGTATCAGGTACAAAACACTAAAAAAGGCCAAGGTCAGGAAGGGCGCAGGTCTCCAGAACACGGAGCTAAGGCATCGCGCGCGCACAAGACGCTAGAGAGGGAGTTCCACAGAAGAGGACGGTACAGCCGCAACTCCTGCGTCGTCATCTTCCTCGTCTCCGTCCAAATCCCCCTCGTCTTCCTCCCCCTCTCCATACTTGACATCGTCATCATCGTCCACCTCCACATCTCCATATCCCATCGATTTCTTCTCCGCCCCAGTTTTCAGGGACGACGATACTCCAGACAGATCATCCTTCCTGGCTGCCGCTGCTACTGCCGCCGCCGCCGCTGCCGACAAAAGGTTCGAACCTTTGGTACCCAACACAGAACTTGACGGCGGTAGCGATGCTCCATCGGCGCCAAGAACAATGACATGTGAGATCGAATTGCGTGTTCCGTTCACCAGAGCCGCCGTGCTTGAGCGCTCCTCCTTCGGCTGCTTCTTGAACAGCTTGGTCATGTAATCCTTGACAAACCGCCGGATCTTGTTCTTTATCACCGTCGTGACCTCCGTCAGCTCTCCCGCCTTGAAAGTCTTTGATCGCATCTCCTTGTCAGCAATCAAGTGTGTAATCTATATGAAAGAGAGTCAATATCGGTCTTTAGAAAAATCCGTGATCCATAATATCGTCTTGGGTCGACAGCGATAGACATGGATACTTACCCTGCGTGCGTGTTTCTTGAATGCTTCACTGGATCCCAGCTTAAACTTGTACTTGGCCATGTTTTTGACAACATTGGCGGAGATCTAATAAACAAAGCGAGCCGAGTCAGATTAGAAAGTGTCCAACTAAATGAATAGCACCTAGTTTCGATGGGGTAAAGCGTCTGTGTAGCACTTACAGCAGCCTTTAGGTCCTTCTCGTTCATGGCTTTCAGAGGCTTGCCGTTGTGTCGAGCCATCGATGGTGAGTGCATGGTCCCGGTTCGGTTGCTCGGCGAATCCACATCATGAACACTGGCACCCGCGCTACCGATGCCATTGGCGAGGTTCTTTTGTTTCTGTTTATCATATGCTCGTCCAATGACCTCCTGCAGCTGCTCCTGCGTGAATCCATCAATGTTAACCGGCTTTGGAGGCTCAGGCGTGGCTACCCTGGCCACATGAGTTTGCTGCGGCTGGTGATGATATGTGTGAGGCTGCGAGTAATGGGAAGCAGGTGCTTGGGGGATCGACTCTGAGGCGGATGCAGTGGCCGCAGGTGGTTCCATTCTTGGAGGATCCCATTGTGTCGCCCGTGTAATTTCATTATAATAGTAAATCCGGCCCTCAGAGTCGCTGGCTTTAGCCCAGTTGGGAGGTAACTCGGCCGGAGGTGGATGGTTGGATGGTGATAGATACGTACGCGTGGATGGGTTGCGGTGGTCATAGCGGGATTTGGGGTAGTGGGGATAGCTGGAGGACGAATGACGGTAGTAATGAGAATGATGATAGCCACTTCCACCGTGGCTGCCGTAACGCGGATGAGGATAGTCACCATGGCCACTACTGCTCCTGTAATGGTAATCGCCTACATGCTGAGATGATGAAGGGCCACTGCTCCCAGAAGGACCGACAGCCTGAGCAGAATGCTCTATTGACGGTGCAGCGGGGCTAGAGTCCTGCTGATCTCCTGACAAAGAGTAGTTCCGCAGAAGCGTGGATGCCAATGGCGCCGCCGGACTGCTGATCCTGGAGATGATGACTGGGGGTGAGCTGACAGCCTTTTCCTCGGCAACAGTTCCACCAATATTTGCAGTCGAAGGTGCAGGGGTTCTTTGATCTGGCACATCGGTGTGCTGGGCTCCTGATTCTGAAGTTGCCACTTTTGCGATGTCGGCCTGTACTTGGCTGATTTCCAGTGGTTGAAGAACATGTTCTTTGGATGGCGTTGTTGAGCGGGATTTGTCTCCACCCCAGCTATCTTGACGAGTCGACGAGGAGGGCGACCTTTCGCGGTGTGCAAGAGCCCCTGGTGATAGTTCACGGTCCCTGGGTCTTGGAGAAGGCGGTGGATGCGCATAAGGATCGCGGTCTCGATAATCGCGAGGATCTCTGTAGTCACGATCGCGATCGTCTCTTAAGTCCCTAGGGTCCCTGGGGTCACGCATATCCCTCATATCACGGTGATCTCTGTGGCTCCTGTAATCCCGCTCGTAGTCTCGCTCGCGATAGTAGTCGTAATAGCGATCTCGTTCCCGATCTCGTTCACTACGGTAATGTTCATAGCGTCCACGATCGTACCCACCCTTGGGCATACCATACGAGTCAATGCGGCCAAAGTCCGAACGATAACCGGCATCTCCTGAGCGACCATAAGATCCCTCTCTGTTATGCGGGTCGTGCCGTCCATAGTCCATACGACCATAACCATTGTCGCGACTGTCGCGACCGTCGCGTCCGTAGGCATCTCCCATCCTTGCATAAGGGTCCGATGCGCGCTGAGGATCTGATCGCGGACCGTATTCCACAGAATCGTAAGGATAGGTGTGATATCTTGTTGGATCGTGTGGGATAGTGGCGGAATCTATGTCCTCTAGTGGCGTCTGAACTGTATTATTCTCAAACTTGCTTCGTTTCTCCATGCCGGCAGGTGTAGAGGCACGATCTTCATCTTCGTACTGTCGTTTGCATAATCCCTCGGCAGATCCTGATCCATTCGATTCTACAGGCGACATGAAACTGGATGGCTCATCGATTGGTGTACTAACGGCATCCGTGGAAGCAGCTGCAGCCTTAAAAAGTTCCATATAAAAAAATAAAATAAAAAAAGCAGAGTCAAGATCAGTATGAAGGTTGGTGACAAGAAAGAACATATCGCTACAGACCATAGAGTCAACTTACCACTTTCTTGGCTTTTGGAATTCTATAACTTGGCTTCAATTCTTTCCACTGAGTCAAGACAGCCTGTGCCATGTCCTTGGACGGACACTCTGCTCCATCAGCAACCTCTTGAATAGCTTCCTCGATCTGGGAGTCCTCGATGGCGTTCCTGGATAGCAGCGGGATGTTGGGCAAGACGAACATGATACCCATGACAATATCCGGCTCATCCTTGTAGTGTCGCAGCCACGCCTTGAGAATAACAAGACCGTGCAAGACCAGAAAACGCCGCAGACAGGCCCGTTCGGTTGTTGCCATCAGTTTCGCGAGTAGGCGCTTGCTCTTTTGGACCTTAGGCTTCATGAACATAATGCGCGCCAGTTTTTCCATCAGGATTGGGTCTTCAATGCCACGAGTCATCTTTCGCTGCTCATACTCGACCTCATAATCGCCATCGTTGCCTTTCTCCTTCTTTGGATGCCGGAGACTGATCTGGTTTTCGAGGTCGATTTCATCTTCATCCTCCACTTCATCCAGGTTGTTGTAGTTATCGAGCCTGGTGGCAGACGACCTCTTGTTACCGCCGATGAAGCCAGTGCAGTTTGGTTCACCACAATAGCATTTTTGGGCCTCGGCGCTATAGAATAAGATCACATTACAGTGGAATCGCCCGGTCAGAATACGATGCGTGGTTCAACGAAAACAAAATATGACCGCAATAAGGTATCCAGTGATCTCTCTTACCCATAACGTTCAAATTGATAGTCAAAGGTAAGCTCCTCGCCTTCGGCCACGCGCTTAATGGTGAAAATACCAATCCTGAGTTTGGAGCCGACAACCCACTTTTCCAAATGACAGTTGGGGTTGCAAGAGTGGTTGATGAAGCGCGCAAGACATCCTCTTTTTGTGGCATCGATGACCTCGTCAGATTGGAGGGACATGAAGTAGAAGTGCTCTACGCCAGCCATAGAATATTCCCGTGTCCGTTTCACAAAACTGGAATGAGGTAATACCTCGCCGATATATTCCATCACAAACATCCCTCTATAAGATAAACAAGAGACCGAAGAACAAGATGGGTAAATACACCTGAGGACGGTGTCTTTGTGCTCATATCATAGTGTATCACGAAGGACATGTTAACATACGCTGCGAGTCCCTCCATAGCCCGGAGACCATAGCCCTTCTTGTCGGTCTTGACAACGTCCACCTGCGCGTTTTGCTTTGTTTGAAACCTATGGAAAAGAAGAGAATCCAGGTTAGCGTCATGGCTTGGCAAAAAATAAAAGAGCACTAGCGCACTCGAAGCTCTGAGGAATATTGCTGCTCACGTAATACTTTTCAAAAGTGTTTTGGAAACAAAGTGTTTTGGAAACAACAGCATACGAGTCCTTGGTACATCTCCAATAACATATGAAAGGGTGGCAACGTACCTCCTGTTTAGACAATAAGAACCGCATGGACAGTCATCCTCTATACACTCCACAAGCAGGTTTCGGTTGATGCAGTCGGGTCCACAAGCCTTCCACCTTGGATCTCGATCTAGGAATGGGATATCAGTCCGTGCGAAAGCAGCAGATATTCGTCAGTATCCATATGCAGCTATATAATGAAGCGTTTCTTTCCAGTTCCTCTTCCTCGAAACATTCTTGTCCATGCACTCACGAGGATTATATTTGCATTGACAAGGTAGACAGTCGTCTACCGGCGAATTTCCTGTATTGCTTCCCCGATAGATGTTGTGCTCGATCTGCTGGTATGAACTTTGGGCCTCTTCCAAGGCTGACGGCAGGTGCTTGATTGGGGGTGGCCCGATTGGTGGCGGTGGAGGCGGCGGTAATGGAAGCGTACTCCTATCTGTACGTTCTCTCCGCGCGTCTTGGTCATTGTCATCGTCATCATCATCGACGCGAATCTCCTCCTCGTCAGAGTCATAGGTTTTGGCATGACCACTATGGCCATTCGTGTAGTCGCCAGTCCCACCTAAGGTTCGACCTCCATTTTGGTTGGTCAACTCTTCGAAGCCAGCATCGAACTCATCCCTGAGCTTCTGTTGGTACTGCCTCTTGGACTCATTTTTGACGATCTGATCTGACTTCTGATCCTCCTTATCAAAGTCGAACAACCGAGACAATGGGATGGGACTCGATATCTCAAGTTTTTCCATCTTTTCGATCTTTGGAGAGCCTGCCGAGGCAAGGGATGGTGACGCTGCCGCATCAGTCTGTTTTGGGATTCCTGCGTCAGTGAACGGTGCCTTGAGTGATCCTAGTGAAGCATATAATTCTAAATCATTCGTTCGTGATGACATATGCTGCTGTTAGTCGAGTGATGGTCACTTGGCAAACGAGATTTGAAGGGCCCTGCATATAAAGAATATTCTGGATGGTGCTCCGAGTCGTTACCTGGGACGTCTTGCTTCAGTTGTGGAATAATGCTACTGAATCCAGTTTCCTTGGCATGTTCAATCGTCATGACGGCGTCGCTTATTGAAGAAGACGGCGAGGTAGAGCTCGAGGTGCTTGCGGACGAGGGTCCTGTAGAACTGTCAACGGATCCTGCTGCAAGTCGCTGGGTCACCCTGCCACTCTCCATGACAGAGTCATCCTGCTGCAAACTGGGCAACATGTGATATATAGTAATGCGGTGCGGACGTATACGATAGATGCTGGCTCAGGCAAGAATCAGAAGGGTTGGAAGGTATTGTGGGGTCGGTCCTATGACAACATGAGTAGATTGATATAGAAAGCCAAAAATACCACCACGGTTAGTTTTGCCAAACTGCCCTGCAATGCCCGCTTAGACGAAAGTTTCTTTGACGCCCAAAGTATTTCAAGGTCCTGAGAAGCCGATTATTACGCTGACATCGGGACGCCATCAAGGTCAAAGTGAAGGTAGCCATCCTTGAGCGCATCCATGTAAGAAGTCCAAGGAGAATCACAGGCATCCAGAACTCTGATGTTTTTACTTGATTTTGATCGCAGCGTTGGGTAGTGGCAGAAGTGAGAATGGTCTTCCGTGCTGAGTAATTACGGAGGACACTGGATCCAGCGCTGTCGGTGCCTCCTTTCAAGCCGAGGGTGTCCCGAGATTTATCCGTTAGATGTCAATGTCGATTCCGATGGTTGTGCACACCTGTAAAGTTGATTCCCGTTCTACTTTTCTGACAAGCAGACATCGAGGACCTGGTGGGGATGATTTCAAGGGCAATACGAGATTTGCGTTTTTTTTTTTTTTTTTTTTTTTTTTTTTTTTTTTTTTTGATGCAGCGTTGGATGAGGATGACACATCAGATATTGGCATTGTGTAGCTGATACTTACTTTGGAATAATTGAATGAGGGCCGACGAAAGGAGAGTCCAATGACTTGACGGTTGCTTGCTAATGTTGTTGTCGCTGTTGTTGTCGCTGTTGTTGTTGTTGCTGTTGAATATGTGCTCGAGTAGTTATCTCGCCTTGGTAGGGAGAGGGAGAAAGAGAGAGAAGTGAATGAGGGAGTGCGATGCAAATAATAAACAGTAATAGTAAAAATGAGCGTATGTGTTTGTTGTAGCGAATGATAATAAATAAAACTATGATAATATACAAGAGGGCACAGGAGAGAGTAGGCGAGAAAGGAAGAAGTGGGTCTGGAAGAAGGGGTCGAATAACAAGAAAGCTATATGCGGCCTATAGCCTGGAAGAAAAGTGCAGCTTGCTGCGCTTGGGGTAGAGAAGGGTAGGGAAGAAATATTTCTTCGTCAGGGAAAAGTAAAAGAAGGGAGCAGGGACTGTATGATGAAAGGATGATGGGCAACCCTGATGATCGCGATCAAACAAAGATGACAGTGCAGAAAGAACCTTTACAGCGCATAGAAAGGACCGACCCCCAGTTTACTGGCCCCACACCTTCTTTGTCTCTCCTTTGCCACCATTTTTTTTTTACTCTGTTTTGAATTGTAGACCTGTCTTCAGATCCCGTGTGACGCGCATTCGAGCCTCTCTGGCTGGACTCCAAAGGGCCTCTGCGCACCCACCCACGGCGGTTGTTGATTGAAGTTCATTTATTTCCAAAAGAAGGGGCCACAAACAGCCGATGCGCTGCCTCATCCTAATATGGTCTGACTGCAGCTGGGGTGCTGAGTTCATCGCCTAGTCCTAAAACAGGCGTCGCCTTAATGTCCACCAAACTGCTGCTGTCCCCCAAAGGATGCGCCCGGTGGGCTCGACTGCTGAGCACCCTGCTGGGATGGCATGCCAGCATTGGCGCCCATGTAGTTCTGTTGCGGGTATCCTCCGTACTGGAACTGGCTGTTGCCCTGCTGCAACCCGGTGCTACTTCCATATCCTTGTTGCTGCTGGCCATAGCCCTGGCCATATCCTGGCTGACCACCGGCGCCCTGACCACCATAGGGTACGTTGCCCATCGCTCCATAGCCGCCGCCAAATGCTAAAGATTGAAAAGAGGTTTGGGTAGTCGGGTCAGTCAAGCTCGTAACCATCTTGCCTTATTTGGGTGTTGCTATTGATATTTTTTCCCGCCAAATTTTGGGTCCTGTATCTTGTTGCTACATAAACAGCAGCTCATTCATTTGGTCGGGGGAATAAAAAAAACTTACAGTTTGGCCCACCAAATCCGCCATAGCCGCCGCCATAGCCGCCACCGCCGTAGCGGCCACCAGTACTCCTGAATGATCCATTCCTATGCAGTTTGAGTCAGTTATACATGTATCTGTCAACAATTGCTGTTTTCTCCAAATGATAATGAGGTTGCACAGGAATCATGCACTTACCCGTAGCCGCCGCGGCCAACGTTAGGATCGCCGCGGACGGGTGCGCCATTGGGACCTGTCACGTTAGCGGCTTGCATTCCCTTGGGACCCTGGACAAGATCATACTCGACCTATGCCGTATCAAAAGAGCACATGTCAGCAATGGTCGCATGAACTCTTTCGCATGAACTCTTTCGCATGATAGATCAAATCGTTTCATATGCTCATACCTCTTCACCCTTTTCAATCGCAACAAAAGTAACGACATAGGCGTGGAAACGATGGGTGTATAAGTTGATTAGTGCCTCAGCATAAGACTACCATACCAACTAGAGATAGGATCCCGTAGAGAGCGACGCAGTACTAATTGATACAAAGTATAAAGATTCATTCGGATCTCAAAAGGAGAAGTAATACCTCTGCAAGACTCTTAAATCCTCCATCGTTGTGGATGGCGGTGTGATGAACAAAGACTACAAATTTCGTCCAGCAGCACATAGACCATATGACAGAGTGCGCAGCGTTGCACCAACAGAGGTATAAAGAGAGATAGAACGAGAGAGAGAGGTAGAAAGAAGGCGGTATTTGATCAGCACAGATTTACAGACATTGATATACAGCGCATATGGCAGTGAAAGCGATATTGCAATAGGAGAAATGGGACATAAAGGGCGCTGCATGAGTATCTGAATATCGAATAGTGCCACTCATATGTTCATATGTGGTATTGACGATGGAGAAAATGCGGCCGTCTCATGCGAACCACACTCAATTCTGTAGGCTATAAGGATAAGTCTCATCCGATATTGCCAGGGCACAGCCCTTCGCCGGTAGATGAGATCTCGCAGCAGCAACACTATAGCGCGCTGAAAGAGGACCTGAAGCACACAAAACAAGACTCCCATTAAAGTTCTTCTTCTCCTCAGCATGCTAAACGAGGGCCGTTTGTCCAAACTGGCATTCATGATATCCTTATTCACGTATGAAGCCATGTTATACGTTAGGGCAAGAGACCATAAACACCACGGGACGACTATGACGCACACCTCAGATTCCGAGATTCAGCGCGATAACCACCAGGCTGAAGAAAGAAACACAAAAGGCATATTGCGGCAGATGTCAATAAAGACTCTCTGCGCGATCAAGCACTGTAAAGGCGATGTAGAGTGTCGCAACTGCCAAGGATTGTCCTTTAGACAGAATTACGTATACCCTTCCAAATGAATAAAGACCCCACGATGCAGGTGTGAAATCAGAGGCCTCAAGAGGGTTGGTAGAAAAAAGGAAGGCGAAACAAAGGGCACGCTCCCGACTTACTTTCATCAAGAGGAGCGGCATCAGTGCTTTCAGAAGGATAGATGAATCCAAAGCCTTTCTGGCTATTGAAAAACTTGACCTTGCCGGCCCTTCTGACTGTGTTAACGGACATGATTCAGACCAAAGATAACGGGAAAGAGCTGTAGAAGGCAAGAAGGTAAAAAATGATGGTCCAATGCAGCTAAAGGTCGTTGTGTGGTGTGGCAGAAAAGACAATTGATCCAAAGGAAGTAAGGGACAGAAAGCGATCGAGTGTTGAATGAGGAATGAGAACAACGGGGTGTGCCAAAGAACAAAAGAAGGCAGGGAGGATGAGGCGACATCCAGTCACACATTTCCTGGGCTTCTTTTTTTGGCACTCTGGTACTCCTTACAAACAACTCCGCGCGAAATGGCTGGACAGATAGTTTATTGGTTTTTCCTACGTCTGTCCTTCTTGATTCTTCAATTGACACGCGGTGCACTTCGATAACTGATCATGTTGCCTTGGCAATCTTGATCTGGAAGGTGCAGGCCGGTAGGGACGATGGTTCTGCTACAACATTGCACACAATGCCCAGGTTGGAAAGAATTCCTCGCAGGATGCCACACGGGAACCAGAGATACTATGATTAATAAGAGGTAGGTTACATGTGAAAAGTCCGGTTAAATAATTGCATCGGCGGATGGTTTGTGAACGAAAGATAGCAAGTTCGCCTTACTGGTGTTACACGTTTTATGGACTCTGCAGAGTTTGGGTCGTGAGCCATCCTGCTGAACCAGCGGAAGTTGCTGTCCTGAAGAACATATACTCCCTACGCGAGGATCAAGGCGCCACCGTTAGTGAAGGCCATATCTCCCTGTGCCAAAGTGACATTGAAGAATATTGATCCCTTCATTGACGCGTACCCTATGGTTCGTCTTCAAGTTGTCAATCTGCTTCTTGAAGAGAAACATCCAGACCTCTTTGCACACAAACTTGATGACTTCCAAGTTATCTGTGAACCTCATCCTGTCCTTGCTGATTCTAGAGTTGGAAAGTAACAGTCGACATATATATAATCCTGTATTAGCATATCCGTTGCCTTGCAAGCATAATTACTAGTGAACACGATGCATCTGACCGTGATATCATGTCGCTTGCCTTTCAATCAACCGCTCACCCACGCGGAAACCGATCATTTCCAGCTTATAGAACACTGCTTCCATGGCCTCGTCTCCTTCTGAATAGTCCTTGGGTCCACCTGCAGCATCATTGGGGTTGCCATATGAAGGGTCGCTGTCAGAGCCGAGTTTGAGCGAGTCGTCCTTGACGGTCCTGATCATGGCTTCGACCATCTCTGTTGTCAAGAACTCGAATATGGATTCGTTCACCAGCTTGGGTGGTGTTTGATTGGTAGCCATGATGGGTATGATGCTTATTTGTGGTTTGAATCCTGTTCTGTCGAGTTCCTGCTGTAGATGAGGAACTGGTGCTTCGGCATTCTGCTCGTACTGCACGTGCGGAAGGTGCAACACCAAAAAAAAGAACGTGGTCACACAAAAGGGCAAGCGAGACAAGACAAAAAAAAAAAAGAGAGATGAGACCTTCGTGCTCAACTTTTCAACCCCCTCTACCAACTCACACTCTTCCATCCGTCTATCCAAAGTACGCGCAACTCATCTAAAAACTATAGCACTTGCTACGCTTCCACCGAGAAAAATCCAACCATGTCTGAACAGCATCAATCCGGCGATGAATTAGACGACTACAAGGAGCAGGATCGTTTCTTGCCCATTGCAAATGTCGCCAGAATTATGAAGAAGGCGCTTCCCGACAACGCAAAGATTGCAAAGGAAGCCAAGGAGACTGTGCAAGAATGTGTATCCGAGTTCATCTCCTTCATCACCAGTGAAGGTAAACAGCATTAGCTTCAAAGCGTAGCAGCAACAATTCCTAGAGAGCTCATACTTTGAAACACAGTATATAGTATCATTCCTTGCATCTAACCAAACGATTCTTACCTTTGCACTCTCTTCAATTCAATCGCTAGCAAGCGATAGATGTCAGCTCGAGAAGCGTAAAACGATCAATGGCGAGGATATTCTTTGGGCAATGCAATCTCTTGGTTTTGAGAACTATGCCGAGGCTCTGAAGATTTACTTGGCAAAGTACAGAGAAGTATGTGTGTGCATGGACCACAATGGCCTTCCTTCTTTGAACAAGTGGATATTCAAGAAGCCACGTTACAGTTTCCACTTTGGGCACAATTGCTGACATGTTCTTATTCTCGTTATTAACAGACGACAAAGATCGAACGACAGGCTGCAACGCTAAAAGACAAGGATGGCGAGGAGGATGTCAAGAATATTGATGACGCTGCTCTGTACCATCAGCAGGACGTCAATACAGGATACTACCAACAGCAGAACGGCGACTACTCCAACCTCCACCAGTAAAGAGCAGCTGAATTGGGCTCAGCACCATATCATGACCGAGTCTTCAAGCTAGACGGCATCTCATCTCACCATCTGTAAAATATGTATTCATTTTTATCCCATTCACCCTTATCGTAATCATACAGCAAGCATATAATAAACAAAAAAAAACATGTTCTCATCATCAAGGAAACGACGGTACAAAAAAAACTCTGTGCAGGGATAACTATGCACACGCACATCAAGCGTCCGTTCGTTCGCTTTATTTGTCTCCAATGTAGCCAGCCAGTGAATTATCTTCAGCATCCTAGGAACGACAGGGCTTTGTCCAGAGAGTCGGCAGCAGTCTTCATGCTCTTGATCTGCTTCTCTGTCCAGCTATCCCTCGGTAGATCGCGCAACCACCATGGCGCGATATTGGCTTGCAAATGGTAGAGCACGACCTTATACTCTTGATTGTCTTTGCCGTACTGAAGAATACCATATCTCTCCTTCAGAATCCGCAAAAAGTACTCCAACAGCTCCTTTTGATCGCTTGTCATTTGCTGCAACTTATTCTGTTCGCCTTCATCATATGGATCTTCTGAGCGCGCAAACAGCCATTCGAAACCAGCACACCACTCCTGTTCGGATGGGAACCCTCCAGCGAACTCGAAGTCATGAAGACCCGTGATCTTGGTTCCGATCACCAGCATGTTCCTGGCCTCGAAATCGCCATGGAGGAACGAAATCGGATTATCCACTTTGGCTCTTTTGAGCAGTGTACCCTTTTCTCCAAATCTCTTCTCGAGCTCCCCTGTCTTGACCTTTTCAACCAATGCTTCGATCCGTGGCAAATATGGAAGGGTCTCAATGAATCTGTCCTTGCTCTGGAGCATGTATGTTGTCTCCTGCTTGATGTTTCCAGCCACAAACTCCCCCCAGCTCGAGAATGGCCCTCCACCGCTTTCCATCAAGGGGCCCACAGTCGCTTCGCCGCTTGGTGCTTCCACAAAGTTGCCAATGGCTTTCAGATTGATGGAGCGGAGGCGTGAAAAAATCTCGGAAACCTGATCGACAACCTTCTTCTTCTCGTCCTGTGACAAGTCTTCCCAGACAGAGTCGAGCGGCACACCGGGCAATCGGTCCATGATGATATAGTCGTGTGGGATGATTCGACTGCTCTCGTCCAGATGGATCTTGGACTCCTGGATGCTGGTGCCGATAAATGCGGGGACTTGGGCGATATCGTCCAAAGCGCTTCGGGCCATTTCGAGCGCCATGGCCTCATTTGTGATCTTTTTATGGTCCCAGAAGCGACCTCCAAGGCGTATTACATACTCAGTGGCATCGGTGCAACGCGCCAAGTAGACGCGATTGTTGTAGCCGCGTTTGAAGTACGAGAGCTCTTTCAGTTGCTTGCCGGGGATGTGGAAGTTGAGCAGGCGCTGAGCATTGGCGAATGTCAGATAGATACCCTTACGAGGGCCTTGGTCTTCGGTATAGATCTTGGAGACTAGGGTCGCCTCGTCCGCGGTTGGAGGGATGATAATGGTGTCGGTCGGCATTTTTAGCGCTGCAAAAGGTCGATGGTCCAAGGAGCTTTAAATACAAGTCAAATGCAACAATGAGTTTAGGTTTGATCCATCCGCTCCATTTCCCGCAGTTGTCAACATGATTGTCGTACGCACAGATGAGATGCTGGATAAGTCCAAGGGAGAACTTCAAAAAAACACCCCCAACACTCAACACATCAACTTTTATATGTACTTTCCCGCTTCTTTTCTCTTTCTTTATTCGGCATAGTTACCTATCTATCCCTATCCACGGCTTCTGTCTCGGGATCCTTGTGTTGTCTCTTCCTTCTCGTTGCGCCTGAATACGCCACCAATTTCAAATAAAATGAACTCTCTGTGCCTGAAAGAGCAGAGGGGGAAGGGCTATCATCATGTGGTCATTAGGAATGGAAGAGCATTTTGGCATTGCCCTCTGCATAGCCATTGAGACAGAATAGCAACCGCACTTGCTCTGGAAATAGGCTAACAGGGTCTTTTTTTTTTTTTTTTGCGGCTCATGCGTATCAAGGTACATGTACTTTACACGGAAAAAAAAGAAAAAAGAACTCAGCTTAGTGCACATGTTTCTCATTCCTTGCTGCTTATTTTTTCTTTCATCTTCTTTCTTGCCCAGTACCCTATTGCTTTTGGCCATATCAAAAACCACTAACTATTCATCACTCCACAGTCCTACGACTGAAGAAAGGTAAAGGAAGAAGAAAGACACAAGGAAGCTGCTGCTAGACGACGAAGAACCCCAGATGCACTTGTCGCCAGTTGCCCCATTCAGGAATCCCATCCGCGCGAGTCGTCTTTCGAATGAGAGATGACAGGACTTCCTCCCCTTTTTTTTATTCTTCCCTCCGTCCCTATATAGCACACCAGTCCCCAGAAGAAGGTTAAGAACGCCTTCCACCGCCCCTTTCCTCGCCACACTCAGCCGGACTTCATCGTCCTCATCTCTCTTTCCTTCCTTCCATCATCTCTTTTCTTCATCCGCACCATAACAGACTCTGCATTGTGTAAGGCGACGATGATAGCTCCCTACCTTGATCAACATACAGCACACCTCGACAGCGTGGCAATAACTGAGACCGTTCTTGCCTGTCATATGCCGTGCTCGAAATCCAGGCACACTTAACTTGCACGTCCAGTGTCTAACATCGCCTTCTCGACTTAATCGATCCCATAGGAGTGCTCTTTAGGACGGAACGAGCAGCATCTATACCCAAACCCACCCAAAGCGGATAGCTCTACAGCCACAAAGGGAAGCGAAGAGCGAGTCAGAGCACACACACTGTGACATAGACTAGGCGGCGCCCTTTCCCTGCACCATGTCCAACAATATCAAGGTTGTCTGTCGATTCCGTCCTCAGAATTCTATTGAAATCAGAGAGGGCGGTCAACCAATCATCACATTTGATGACAATGGTCAATCCGTTAAAGTCGATGTAAGTCCCATCTCTTTTTCTACTTTCATGAGAGAATCGTCTAGTCGAAGCAGTAACCATTGGAGAAAGAGGGACATACCCAGTGGGCTTTGTTGAAAGGAACGCTCTTTTCTTTCAGGCATGGCATATGAAAACACTTTAATATACGTGCGTTTTTATTATCGTTGCGTTTTGGAGTCATTTTATGCGCATGCCGCCTCCCGTGTGATTGTTGGGGAGGATACTGAGCGTGAGGATAAGGCGGCATGCGGGAGTGCATTGACAACCATGCTGGCGAAGCGTGTCTAATTGAGATATGAGGTTGAAACTCGGCATGATGCCATTTTTTTTTTGGCATGTGCAAACAACAGTGGGAAACATAGGTCTGTTTAGTAGACAAGCCAAACTATATCTCATCTCACGGATGCACTCACACAAATAAACGTGCACATCCTTTGCGCACGCGGCGAAAGAGGAGGGAGACATCGAGAAGGGACTTTTTCAAGGGGATATGAACAAGCACCAGACGCATTGGCTGCGGAGAATGGCGGCAGTCAGTTGCCAGTCTGATTCCAGCACCATTTATTAACCATTTTTTTTGCTATGGTAACCACGGAAACTATAGAGCAAAGATTACCCAGGGACGTTCACATTCGACCGCGTCTTTCCCTCAGACTCCAAACAAAAGGATGTCTTCGATTATTCAATCAGCACAATCGTCGATGGTAAGCGGAATAACACCGATCCAGCTTTTTTTTTTTTTTTTTTTTTTTTTTTTTCGATATGTGGATGCCATATGTCCATAGTCTAACGAAATCCTCTTTTGCGACTAGACGTCATCAATGGATACAATGGTACCGTGTTTGCCTACGGTCAGACTGGATCCGGAAAGACATTCACAATGATGGTATGTCTCTACAGTTTGAAAGTGCTGGTCAAGAGCCAACTAAATGAAATATGGGCACTAAAATCGAGATACATTGACCGGTTGTGTAGGGACCCTCCATCGACGACGAAGACACCAAGGGTATTATTCCCCGTATCGTTGACCAGATTTTTGCAAGCATCCTTGCATCTCCCTCAACAATGGAGTACACCGTCAAAGTCTCATATATGGAAATTTACATGGAGAAAATTCGCGATCTTTTGAATCGTAAGTTCATTGCTTTCGTTATCCTATGGTAAGTATCTTCTATATCTGTCGATAGGTCGCTAATAGTTGTTTTCGTCGTTTTTTCAATCCGAATAGCCGTTAACGATAATCTGCCGATTCACGAGGAGAAGAACAGAGGAGTTTACGTTAAAGGACTGTTTGAAGTCTATGTCAGCTCCATTGCTGAGATCCATGAGGTCATGCGTCGCGGAGGCAACAGCAGAATGGTCGCATATACCAGTAAGTTGAACCTGCCACTGTGAATATGCATTTCTGGTGTGAAGCCTATGCATTTCGTCCTCTAATCACCCTCATCTTTCTTCTTTCTTTGAACAACAGACATGAACGCAGAGAGTTCTCGGTCGCATTCCATTTTCGTTGTCACTATTTCGCAAAAGAACTTAGTGGATGGAAGCGTCAAGAGCGGAAAGCTTTACCTCGTCGATTTGGCTGGTTCAGAAAAGGTTGGCAAGACAGGAGCCTCGGGTCAGACATTGGAGGAGGCCAAGAAGATCAACAAGTCTCTGTCAGCCTTGGGAATGGTCATTAACGCCTTGACCGATGGAAAGGTGTGTTTCTTGTGGATCTCACACACATTACCCGTACAGTCGAAAAATACCGTTTCTTAACATATTTTTTTATCATTCCGCATTGTATAGTCGACACACATCCCATACCGTGACAGTAAATTGACAAGAATCTTGCAAGAGTCCTTGGGAGGAAACTCGAGGACAACCCTGATTATCAACTGCTCGCCCTCTTCCTACAACGATGCCGAGACAGTTGGTACACTACGTTTTGGTACGAGAGCCAAGAGCATCAAGAACAAGGCCAAGATCAACCAGGAACTTAGCGCTGCAGAACTCAAGCAGCTTCTTAAGAAGGCCAAAACGGAAGCTATTACATTTACTCAGTACATCGCCGCATTAGAGGGAGAAGTCGTTATTTGGCGTCAGGGCGGAACTGTTCTGAAGGCCGACTGGGCCAGCATGGAGAAGATTCAGGCCGGCGGAGGAGTCACTCCGCTCTCAAGTCTACCCGGACATATGGCCCAGCAGGATACATCTCGACCCTCGACTCCTGCTGTCGTCTTGGATTTGGATGAAAGGGAGGAGTTCTTAAAGCGTGAGAACGATCTGACGGATCAGATTGCGGAGAAGGAGGCCGAGTTGCTTAACAGGCAACAGCTTTTGGATTCGATGAAGGAAGAGCTCAGCTTCCTTAAGGAGCAGGATTCATCAAGCGCCGTCCATGAACTCAGCGAACTTAAATTGCAGCTTGAGAAGGTTTCATACGAGAATAAGGAAGGCGCAATCACCGTCGACAGTCTGCGCGAGGTCAATCAGGAGCTCTCCAAGGAGCTGGAAGAGCTCAAGAAGACACTCATGGAGATGCGTCTTGCCCAGAAGGACTCTAGCGAGGGTGACAAGGAGAAGAAGAAGATGGAGAAGATGGCGCAGATGATGGCTGACCTTGATCCGTCTGGCGAGATGTCCGCGAAAGAGGCACAACTGCGCGAGACGCTCTTCAAGTTTGAATCGCCACAAGGTCTCACCCCCGAGGAGACGATTGCGATCCGCAAGGAGATTGCACAGTCGCGGTCTAAGATTGAGCAATATGAGCAGACTATCGCTGATCTCAACAACGAAAATACCGCCTTGACCGTGAAGAGGGATACCTTGGAAATGCGCCTACAGGCAGCCGAGCTGGAGTATGAGGAGTTGCTGGACAAGACCATTGCGGACGAGGAGGCCAATTCGTCGATCGATGTCTTGGAGACGATCTCGGAGCTGCGAAACAAGGTTGAGGCACAGTATGCGGCCAAGAGGGACCAGGCACAGCAGGAGATTGATACGCTCAAGCAGGAGCTCCTCCGTCGCAATGAGGATATTCAGAGGTTGAGCATCAATGTCACAGAACTCAGACGTGGTAACGAGGAACTCAAGGAGCAGATCGAGCGCCAGAACAACCACACTAGCAGCGGTCTCTGGGAGGGCAAGGACATGACTGAGCGTGAGCGGGATATGGAGCGCATCCGCAAGACCATGGCCCAGCAGCTTGCCGATTTCGACGTGATGAAGAAGGCCCTGATGCGTGACCTTCAGAACCGTTGCGAGAAGGTCGTTGAACTCGAGATCTCTTTGGATGAGACGCGGGAACAGTACAATAACGTGCTCCGTAACAGCAATAACAAGGCCCAACAGAAGAAGATGGCATTCCTTGAGCGCAACCTTGAGCAGCTTACCTTGGTCCAAAAGCAGTTGGTGGAGCAAAACTCGGCACTCAAGAAGGAGGTTGCTATCTCTGAACGCAAATTGGTGGCCCGCAACGAGCGCATCCAGAGCTTGGAAAGTCTTTTGCAGGATGCCCAGGAGAAGCTGACGACTCAGAACCACAAGTACGTGTCAAGCATATTTGAACGATGAACAACTATTCCGTATGTGAATCAAATTTGTTTCCTTACATTCTTTTATTGCTTTCTTTTATTATACTAGATTCGAGACTCAGCTTCAGGCCGTCCGCGAGCGCCTCGAACAAGCACGATGTATGTCTTCGTTTGCATTTTCTTGATCGCATGGAAAGCGCTATCATGTTAGATACTAACCATAAGTCTCACTGTGTCTTCATTAGCCCAAAAATCGGCTGCCAACGCCATGAACTTCAACTTTCCAAGGATCGCCAAGCCCCTTCGCGGAGGTGCCCCGACTATCGACAGCAAGTAGGTCCAACTATCACTGTGGATAAATATGTTACTATCCTTGCCCTCTATCTTTTCGTGACTAACAGGACTTGTTCTTCTCGTTTCCTATTTGATAGCGTCCCTGCAGAGGAGAACTACTCGCCCGGCTCGCCAAAGGGACAGGTGCCGGACCGCAGGACCAGCTGGCTTGGCGGATGGAGGAACGGCGTATAGCTCTGGTCATCCCTTGCCACATATTTTGTTTATCTCCCATACATTCAAATAAACTCTTCCCCAGCCCTGGGGCCCTCGTTAACTACGTCGGCAAAAGGTGTCGTCATAGAATTTTCTTCGACTCGAGCCGCCAGCTCAATGCAGCTCAACGCCGCAGCCTTCATTTTCCGTCCAAAGTCCTGCTTTTTGAGCGGAACCAGAAACGTGTCAAACTGAAAGAGCCGGAAAACTCCTTTAAAATCCAACTGCCAAAGTTTGGATTCGTCCTTATACAGTCGAACCTCGAATATCCGAACAATTCACAGCCAAAATCGTTCGGATAAAAATTAGGTTTAAATGAATTGATTTATTTAGAAACTCGCCATTTGTTTGGCCATTCGTTTGGAGTCATGCAACTGAGGAAAGCTAGGCGAGTCAGCCGTTTGTTCGTCCTTGCATTTAGGGAGCGCTTGGAAGAGGGAGTATATATTTTCTGCGAGTTTCTAAATAAATCAATTCATTCAAACCTAATTTTTATCCGAACGATTTTGGCTGTGAATTGTTCGGATATTCGAGGTTCGACTGTACACGACAGGGGATGGATTCGCGGCATGTGGCTCTCAGCTGGCTGATCCGTGAATCCCGCATTGCCCTCACCAGTTTGTACTCGTCCTCCTTCAGCTTCTCAGCCTTGGATTGGTGCCACTATTGACGAGGTGTTTCTGTCCGGGACAAGATCAGAGTCATCGAGTTACCTTTCAAGTTTGGCAATAGAAAGCAAGGAAAGGTGAGCAAGCAAGGTGCCTGTAAATTCTCTTAGTGCATATTCATTATTTCCGCACGCGAGAAAACAATAAAACCCAACGCTATTTCGAGCCAATCAATGATTACCCGGGGCCCTGGGTGGCGTCTTTTTTTTTTTTTTTGTAGATATAAAAAAATATAAATTGTTTGCGAAAAATTTTTCTTCTCAACTCCACTCCCACCATCCATCTCCCTTCTCCAATTCATACCTATTGCTCTCCCTTACATCCACTGGTCACACCGCCCACTTATAGCAAGTATCTTTTATTGTGCCTCCCATGGTTTGCTGCTTATTAAAGACTGAAATGTACACTGGATTTGCCTACGATCTATATGATGAATTTTATGTTTGCTGTTGCCTACATCTTCCCCTGACTCCCCTCAAACACACACACACACATACACCGGGGTCTATTCAATCGGCTGCGCGATATCAATGCGCAGTTGTATGGGAAAAATCCCGAAGAAAGTAAAAAAGCGAGGGACTTACTATCCCTTGCGCACCATGCTCTTGCAGCTGCTCCTCTCAGAAGAGGGTGGGTGTTGCCGTTGTCGCCCTGTTTTCGAGGCAGGGTACGATCATAAGAGACGTGCGAAATCTCTTCGCCTTTTTTTTTTATGAACCAAGTTAAACAGAAAAAAAAATTATATTGAAATAAAGAATGAAGAATATCAAAAACAATTGCCTTTTGCTTGTTGTTTTTTTATGCGTGCCGGGTGTGCAGTTCGCGAGAGATCGACATCCGCATACAGGGATACCTTCTGATTCGACCTCGACAGGGCTGTAGAGCGCATTTCCGGCGTCGAGGACCCAGTGAACAGAAGTCTACCGTACATCCGTGCTGTGAATGTTCCACAGACGCCACACACACACTTTCTCGCTCATTTTGCAACGGCATAGTTGTGAAACATTTGGTCGCGATGCAATGCTAATGTTGAGCATAGATCGGACGCGTTTTCGAACTGCCTACATCGCGTTTCTTGAGCACGGCTTTGATTTTTATGGATTCCTTTTTACAACGTCTCTCTTTTCCGTGATTGGCCTAGTCTAGACGCGTGGAGAGACATATAATGAGATTGCTACTTTGACACAAGCAGCCCCAAATCCACGAACGAGCAAGTCTAATGTACATTTAAGATTGTCGTGCGAAGATGTCTCTGCTCAGCATCTTCGCACTGCGCTAGACGAATGCAGATTTTAGTGAATGCTGTTGCCTATCACGAAAGTGTTAGACAATACGCTGAAAAGAAACGGCACACATGAGCCTATGCGTGGCCTCTACCCCCTTGGATGCAATCCACGCAGGAAACAAGATAAAAGATCTTCATGCGATCTGTCGGTAGAACAGAGGCTTGCATCTACCATCGGTCTGCAAAGCTCACAGCTATATAACGAGCCACAGGTGCCCGATCGGCATTCTCCACTCCAAACTCATCCTCAATATTTCTGTCCACCACTCAAGTGATCTCCTTCAAGCCCTCGATTTTTACGCATACAACAATGCATTCTTTATCACCGGTGGTACCGGGCTCATCGACAAGACTTTACTCGAAAAAGTTGTAGAGTTCATTCAGTGATCAGCCACGCGATCAGCCATTCAGCCAATAGGACAAAGCTTTGTAAAGAATCTACCTGTTGATGCGATCCTCGGCCAAGTCGCCGCTAAGCACTCGGATCGAAGAAGAGATATTTGGAAACCACATTTGTGAGACGCTGCGATTCCAGATCCCGAACGAAGAGCAATTCCGACAGCAGGTGATAAACAGGGTCATGCCTATTCAAGGAAACATTGTTCAGGAGAGACAAGAAATCTCGGACAAGGATCACGAGATGATTCATGATACGACATTCTTGGTGAACTGTGCTGCATCTGTGAACTTCGAGGGCTCCCTGCGAATTGTTCTTTCGGTAAGCAGAAAGAGTTACTCCAAGTTTGACAGTTATCGTATCCTTCCATTGCCCATTCCGACCGCGAGTGTTGTCACGCTTCGTCGGTGAAATACTTATTTCTGCTTATCTGAATACCCATAGGTCCTTACAGCCCTTCGAGGCGGTTACGCGGATGCATAATCTGAAGGTATTTGTCCATGTTTGCGCCTCATATGTGAACGCACACATCAAGAACGTGCACATCAAGGAGTAGATTCATTCATTTCCGTTTGGGGTCCCAAGAAGATCTTTCACGCGATGAACCAAATGTCGGACGACGAGATCAATTTGTTCAAGCGCACGATCGTTCTCAAGACCAACCCGACCACGTACTCGTTTACAAAGTCACTGGTGGAGCACTTGATCCAGAGTCGATACCAGCCAATGAGCTTGCCGATCATCACTGTACGCCCGCCTGGCGTCGCTGGCGCTCTCGAGGAACCAGTGCCCGGATGGAGTGAGGGCTTGGGAGCCACTTTGGGTATCATGGCCAATTGCGGCCTCGGGCATGTGCAAGAGTGGGCTGCAGATGAGCTATGACACAGTCCACATTCGGATAGAGACCGAAAATCGGTCTTCATCCGAATTTTTTATCAATAAATATATGTCACCTCAATGATATCTCCCCTTCTAGTTCCTCTTCAAGTGCCATCATGTCGTCCAGTAGATCAAGCCCCATTTCTCACGGCTTTGACAACACTGCGACTAAGCGGTTGCGTGGGGACACCGGATGCTAATACATGTCTCCTATGAGAAATCATGGAGCGATACAAGTTCATAGCGTCCTTCAGACCCTGCATCACTAGCCCGTACGGCTCTTCATAAACGCTTGATTCTTGCGATGAGCTCACGTTTGGCGGCAGCTCCGTCTCATGTGTGCCAGACCGACGTTTCATGACTCGTTGGGGAGTTCTGCTCGTGACAGCCTCATTGCTTAGCGGTAAAAGAATAATCCGTGTCGGAGAAGTCATCGTCTTCATCCTTGTCGTCCTCGCCGACTAGTCGTACACTCCCGGGAGGTAGAAAGAACGTTTTGAATTTCTCGTCAGTCGAGACAGTCTTGATGTCGTCCATGAGGTCACATGTAGGGCCTTTGCCCATACACCACTTTAGGTACGCGAGCACAGCAAAGTCTTTCTGTTTCTTGATGGCTTCTGCACGATCAGGGTACAATTCCATTATCTCTTACTTGAACTATTTCACCTCTTTGTCGTCGTTGTCGAGATTGTCGGCCGTTCGTAAGAGATCCTTCATTTCTGGAGGTATAGTAAGAATGTGGGCAAAATAGTAGCGTCCCAAGCAGAACTAAGGCGTGGCCACAGTAGATTGTCAGGGATTGGCTTGCCAGGTTCAGCCTCTGATCGCCATTTGGATACAACATGAATCATATCCCGACTATATTTCACTTTGAATGAGCGAATGATCCCTGCATCCAAAGGCTGAGAATCTGAGGTCGCTTTTGGTGGTAGTCGAATGATATCAATATTCTTGAGAGCAAGGTCGTCGGCATTGCCGTGTCCTGGTGCGTTGTCGATCACCAAAACAATATGTCGCCCCTCCATAGCAGCATCGAGTCCCTCAAGCTATCTGTCGGATAGGATACGGTTCATGTATCCTTTATCACTGTAATGGGTTTTCAGTTGTGCCTCTGTATCCTTATCCAGGCCTCTAGGACGGCATTTAGCTAAAACGAGGCCAAAAAACACAACGAAAGGGTTGTGTTAAATTCTACTGGCTTGTCAGTGCTGCATTTGGAGGTACGCTTAAGTTTGCACGCCTTACACATCACAAATGACATACGTTTATCCGATCCATCAGCGTTGCAGCACAGCAGGATGGATACCCTGGAGGCTTTATCAAGCTTTCGGGTATGGATCACACCATTTGACAAAGCCCTGTTCGACAAGCTCTTGAGATACAGGCCGATTTCATCACAGTTGTAAATATCTGCCGGTTTGTAATTGAAAGTAGCGCCGCAATTGCCTTGAACTTAGGACCGTTCCCGACCATATCCACGTCGCCTTCCTCGCCATGTCCTGACTTCATGCGAATGGCATTGTTTCTCTTGAAGTCCGTGAACCAACCACCAGAGAATTCGATCGGCTCTGGCGCCATGGATGGGTCCAAAAAGGTCATCTAAATATGCCTGCACGGCTATTTCCCTTAATCGGCTGTCGTTCACAAGGACCTCTATATAAGATTTTAGTAAGGTACACATAACCTACCGGCATTGCAGTAACGGTAAATGATAGGCATAAACACTTTTGATAATCTCGATCTGAAATTGAAGGAAAATTACTCCTCCATGGGTAATCTTTGTTATCTTCATTGCATTCTTAGGGCAACCTTATGAAGAATGTCTTCTGCTTCATGGAACGTGCGAGTGGCTTCCCTAGGTCCAAAGCTGTATTTTTCTCATCTCCCGACGGAGGCTGCTGAACGTTTTGGATCCCGTTGTCGTGCGGCAAGCACATCCTTGATAAACTCCGCCTTTAAACCTAACGGAATACCTTTACGTTGCTTCTTACTGGCAGCTTCTCCAGCCATGGAAGTTGTCACGGTATTTTTCATCTTGGATTTAGTTGCTGGGCGTTTCTTCGCAGGAGGTTTGACCGATGTTGTAACTGTTGTTATTGTGGTGGTTGTGGTGGTTTTCGGTGGAGGCTTCACGTTGGCTTTGGGCTTTGTCACTGGGTCCTTGGTCGCCTTCGATGTCGTCGCCTTGGCGTTAATATTTATAGGTTCAGTATTTGGTATAGTGGAGTCGAGGAGGAGTATGGGGATGGAGTTGGGGACACATTCAGCACTCAGGCACCATGGCGTACTAAGGTTTACATGCATTTATTGACAATTCTTTTGTCGCTTTGCGCTCAAGGATCTGCGGAGTATCCCTGGCCCCGAGTAGCGTTTTCTTGTATTTCTCTCCCTCCTGAGCTTCTTCGGGAACCCATACTCGGAAGCGCTGATGAAACTCGCTCGCAGCATAGAAATCGAATCATTGCATTAATCGTCTGAGACTCGTTTCAGTACTGTTCAAACCAACACACGACTTTCCTAATGATGACCGTAGTATAGAAACTGGCGCCGATTTGGCATTACTGGAGTAATGGGTTTTGAAAGAGGGACTCTGTAGCTTACTGCAGCGGTCATGAGTATGAAATTGCACAGGAATTATGTGTGCATCAATGTCTGCGTGGAGACTAGGAAGAATTGCGTATTTGGGGATCCAATCCTTGTTTTTATGGTCCATTCCTGGACAATCTCCAGAGCGTAAGTGATGATAACACTTTTCGCCGCATCTAAACCCTTCATCCATCCTGGCACTGAAGTCGGTCGCATAATCATTGTCATCAGGCTCATGGGAAAAGCCCTTTCACTTGCGACGTTTTCTAATTGTGGCTAGGGTTGCCTTTGTATTTAGCTATGGGTAAATAAGAGGTGTTTGTTAGTGAATGTTACTGAAAACGAGAATTACCTGAGTGCTGGGAAAGTTAACTACAACGTGTATTGGACGCGGTTTTCAAAGTACTGTTGAAGCGTACAGAGGTGGCGCGGTGTAGAAACACTTCCACGTCTTCATGTATCATCTCAAGTCAAAGTCAGTGAGCCCCAAGCCGATCCACCCAAGGACCTCGTCCTCGATACAATTCTGAGGAGACGTCTTGAATAAGGCTCCTACCAACAAATAGGTACTTTTGCAATGAATTCTTTTGAGTGCAGTACGTATATCATGATCTGGACATCAACGCATCGGTCTCCGCGGTCCTTGGCCTAAGACTATGACCGGAGAATATTTTTCAAGAGGACATTACCAACATTATTGCGCGTATGGCGCTTCAGTGCTGGCAGCAGACCGAGAGAGTGAGAGTTTGACATCATGGAGGGCATAGAAATCCTGTCAAGATAGGCCTAAATAAACGAACGTAGACTTTTGCCGATGGATCACATAAGATCACAGTAGACAACCGACCTAGCATAGGTACTATTTAAACTGGTTCCCATGAGCCTGCGATGGTTGTTATAATTGTTATTCAAGACGATCAGTGATATTTTATTGTAATAAATAAAATAGAGGGTAAAGGGTATATCTTGCGGTTTTGCGGTTCTAGACGCGCACGTTCATACTCATAAATCCTTCTAGGAGACTACGGTCAAACCATTTCATCATCTCGTGGATTATTAGAACCATCATAGGGGCGCGCCCACAGCATCGAATGTGGCGAACGCGAAGATGACGATGACATTCCGTCCTCCTCCTCCGAAAGCGATGGATCCCGCAGATCGCTAGGGTTGTCCCGTCGGACCTTAAAGTACAACCCGTCTCCGAGCATTGGCTGTGGCCAGAGCCACAGTAGCGGATTCTTCCCTAGTACTTCTTGAAAATTTGCAAGAACACCTCGGTGGTATGGGCATTTCACCTAATATAGAGTAGATATGCAGCACAGGAATGCATTAGTGCGATACTAAGGTACATCAATTAAATTTAACGACATAGTGGCGACTTACATCTCTGATCTTGCCGCGCCGGATCATAGTAAGCACACGATCCTTTTCCCAACTTTCAATCGTTGTTGTATTGCTGGAGATGCACCAGATGTGGTATGTTGCCAGGATACTGATGCCGAATAGGACCGTGCCATCGAGACATAGATCCACAATGATAAGGAGAATCTGCTCTTGTGTTGGCGCACTTTGACGATTCTATTTTAGTTGAAGTTCATGCAGACAGGCAGTGCATTAGCATAAAAAATAAATAAAGTCTCATATCCAAAGACCAACCATATTGTAGGCACATACGATGCCTAGTTGCTCGTTCTCATATGCTTCCAAGCACCGAAGAATAATAAGGGCGGCGCACATGAAAGTTGAGATCGTAGTCCAGATAATGAATCGCACAAAATGGCCGTAGTTGAAATATCCAACGCAATTCCGGATCCAAGGACAATGATGATCCATCTTGAGAATGCACCTCTTGCACGTCCTGCAATGATGCGTCCGCGCGGGTTTGTATGTATCGCAAGTGCGGCAGTAACGTGGAGTATGAGTTGTCCGCTTGTACTCGACACCCGATCCATCCATTGGTGGGTTCTATGAGCAGAGAATCAGACAGCAGTAGAGTTGAGATGGAGTAATGGGCATAGATCAGACGAGTTTCGGCGGGCAACAGCTCTTTTTTCCTTTGATGATGATGTGCTCTTACCCAATTCAGCGGAGGCGAACCTGGGTCGGTCACCATGGCCAGATAATAGTTCCAACAAAGCATGACCAGTGAAAAGTTGAACGGGACTAAGTACAGTAGTGCCTGGACATTGAGGTTACTCCACATGGTTGACAGGTATCCGAGAGCGAGTCCTTCACCACTGTTTTTCATGTCATAGTCCATGGCATTGGTTATAGAGTCCAGAGACTCAATTGAATTCAAAGAGGGTGCAGAGGTTGGCAACGGCCCAAAGAGCCAGGGCCAGAAGATGAAGACTTGAGATGAGATGCTGATGAAGGCAAAGATTAGCCACGCCAAGCAGGCGATCCACCGGTCGTTACCACCCATCCTGTCTTTGATGCTTCTTCAGCACTGTCCGTTGTTGCTGTGTATTGTCGGCTTTCTTTGTGTACTTGCGGTGTTCAGCGATCACTCTTTCTTCTCTTCACACATCGTCTTGACTCGCGCCCCCCCCCCCTTTGGTCAGGGACAGCATCGTGACGACTCCATCCAATCGCGTACGAAGCACGTACGAAATTTCATTTCCAATGCTGAACGAATAAAATGATATTCCAACCGTCCAGTTGGACCAATACAGTTTATCCAGCTATCCAGCTATCCAGCTATCCAGCTATCAGTGCTCTGGGACATGTCAAAGACGATGGCAAGCGTGATATTGATCATTTCGTTGAAACAAACACCAAAAAAAAAAAGTCACCCACCGCCAAGATGAACAAGGGATTACGCGACACGAGGACCCTGACGGGTATACGGCATATTACAAACTTGATTTTTTGTGCCATGTTCGTTGAGGATAAACATCGCTCCTTTGATCAAGGAAGTATGAATTAACATCAAAGGAATTATCCTGTTCATGGTTATCTTGTGAAATGTACATATACTCCACTGCTCTTTTGTCCTAGAATTTCTCCGGTACATTCGATCGATTTAAGTGTTCTGCAAGCCGAACCTTATGAAGGAGGGTAGACCCTGAGTCTGGACAGCCATTGTTGCCAGCAGCCATTTCGACATTTTAGCCGCCTGTTTCAGCGTTTATCCCTGGTACGGCAGCGTATTTGCTTTATTTTTATTTTATGGGTCTCAAATATGGGCTGTACCGAGTTGACAATCTAGAAAGAGGCATCATGAATTCATCCGTTGCAGAGACAAAACAACAACACCAACACCAACACCAACATGGAGTAACAATGTGTAGACTGCAGAGTAGCGTGCGCAATAAAGCCAAGAGAATTCACCGCGCCATCTGCACCCTCATCACGGCCTGTCTGTGCTCTCGTGAATAAATAAAGCACAAAGCTATAAAAGCAAGCAGCTCACAACCCAAAAACGGAAGCTGCTGCCCCTCTGATGAAACTTCTTCCTTATTCCTTATTCCTCGGACCCCTGCTACTCGTGTGTCCTTTCTTTTTCTTTACCTTCTTCTTCTTTTTCTCTTCACACATCCTCCCCCCGCCATTCGTAGCTTATTTTCAGCGTCTACTTCTTGCCGCCATTCGATCCTCAGCCTATTCATGAATTGATTTTCACTGCTCCTTTGATCTACTCCCTCCTCTCCCTTCTCAGTCTCCCACTCTACCCAAAGATGACCCCCAATAATACTTTTTCGCTCCGCCAGTCAATCCAACATCTCTTTCGACGGCAATGCAAACACAGTACCAAAACACTGGCCCTCGCCCTGCTAGTCCTCTTCATCACTCTCAACCTCCTTGTATATATGAACTTCTCATGGCTCTTTCTACCATCAGTCCTGGACCCGGAGCTACCTGTGGAGAGGCGGGAAACCAGCTCGATGACCCGTCCACCACAGCATTTCTTTTCATCGGCACCGGATTGGATGGACGAATGGCTTCGATACCAGTGGCTCGATCCCTCTTTAAACGAAGCAGTAGGCGCAGACCTAACAATCGATATCGTCTACACTTGGGTTAATGGCTCCGATCCAAAACTCCAGGCGTTGAAAGAACACTATCAGGACATCTCACCTCTCTTTCAAATGTACCGTGCAGGCGCGGGCCGAGGAATGGGTGTTGGAGGGGGCAGCGTCATCCGCGGAACAGGAACTACCAAGGACCAGACTGCGAACCGGTTCAGGGATATGGACGAACTCAAGTACTCTGTACGGTCGGTGGCCGAGTATGCAAAAGACATGTTTAAGAAGATCCATATTCTAACGACTACCGTGGATGGCGAGTCGGATGAGGTCCAAGTGCCGTCGTGGCTCGACATGGACACGTCCAAGGAGGTGATTCAACTAGTGCCGCATCGTGCGATCTTCGGGAACGTATCTGTGCTGCCATCGTTCAGCAGTTTGTCGATCGAGAGTCAGATCCATCATATTCCTAACCTCACGGACGTTGTAAGTGTGTACCTGTGCTGTTGTATTGCTTTTTATATCGTGTGCTCTAGCCCGTCCTCTTTTTACCCGTGTATGGTTTTTTTTTGTCCATCTGACAAAAAAAGGAGCATTTTGATTTTTATAGTTCCTCACTTGAGGTCTAATTATGGTTTCTTAAGTGAAGTTCATCCGCGGAGGATGGGCCTAACTGCACGCAGCACATGCATGTGCTTCACAAATAACAAACAAGGCTAAGCGGAATGTGCATTGTCCGTTTTCTTACCGTTTCGTCTCCTCTTATGCTTACATCATGCTGTAGTTCATGTACCTGAACGACGATGTCTTTCTGGGCACTCCCACGACCGCTGCCACCGTCTGGACTCCCCTCTACGGGTTCGTCTTCCACATGGAGCCAACCTTGCTCGTGCCACCGACCCTCCTTGACTTTCCAGCAAACTCGATCGTCTTTGGCGAATGGAACTCGCTCCAGTACTCCAACTATCTCCTCTCCAGGCAATTTGGCCCCCGCCATCGCTCCTATCTTGCCCATGTTCCTCATGTGCTCAGCACACCAATCCTACAAGAGATGCAAGATATGTGGCCTGAGGAGTTTGCCGAAACTAGCTCACATCGCTTCCGAGGAGAGGGACAGGCCATGGATGTGCATGTGTCGTTCTTCATGGCCCATTACGTAATGGAGCGCTTGCGTGAGTCCCAACTGAGCTCGTTCTGGTTTTATCGACTGGATGCGAACCAAGATGGTGTCCTCGACTGGAGCGAGCGCCAGCAGTTCATCGAGCGCGTTGAGAAATGGAACAAGGCCGAGCAAGACCTTCTTCAGCACTACCCACCTTCGCCATATTCCAGAAATTTTTCCAGTTACACCCAGAACAGTGATGCTCGTCTCCGGCAACTGGGCTTCTCGTCCCCGAGCCCATCTATCTACCGCTTGTCAGGACAGGATGGATACCCCTTTATGCTAAAGTATGCCAACACAACATCGAGCCCCAACAACTGGCAGTCAACGCCCTATCTGCCGTACGAGGAGGTCGGACTCAGGAACTGCCATTTGGATGTCAAATTTTGTCTTAGCCCACTCTTCTTGGACAGCACAATACCTGAAATTGACAACATCACATCCGCAAAAATCTTTGAGCGCCTGGCGTTCTCAGAATTCCACTGCGGCGACTGTCTGCTCCACATGCTTCGCCAGACAGCGACTGAGCCAGGGCTGGCAGGGGAGATCATGCCTCTAGACAGGACCTCGGATGCCTACAAAACTGTGAGCTCTGACCTGTCAAAGTACAACTACGTGATCGCGACCTCGACATACTCGTTTATCCAACTCCAGGAGCCTTATACATCACAGAGGGATCTGAACAAGATCCTAACCAACAAGGCTTCGGAAGCATTCTTCTGCATCAATGACAACGTGGGTGACAGCCCTAGGGTCGAAAGCGCCGTTCGTCAGGTGTTCAAGCAGTTCCTCGACGAGCGATTCTCGACGCCTTCACCATGGGAGAAACCATAACAAATATGACAACAATACACATCCTCATATCGAACAACTAAACAACTTGTACAGTAGCATCATTCGTTCCACAATAATAAAAGTCGCCAGAGCGCATAAACACACCTCCTACCACTGTCGTGTATGTTAACGTTTTAATGTACTCGGTATGAAGAAATAACTATCCATTAACGAGAGCGTGATCTGGATTGACTGCCCTTTCTCATACGCATCCTCTTGCGCTGCTCCATAAAGTCTTTCGAAACTTCAATCGTATTGGCCCCAGACAGCTTGTTGCCGCCGCCTGATCTTCTTCCCCTCCCTCCTCCTCCGCCTCCTCCTCCTCCTCCTCCTCCTCCGCCGCCGCCGCCGCCGCCGCTAGCTCGAGCAGGTGATTTTGAAGTCGTTCTCTTTCGTCCCTGTTGGCCTTTAGAGTCAGACCCACCGCCCCGAGCATTATTACTGCTGTCATTCTTGTCGCGGTTCCGCTTGGACGGTGATCTGCTCCGTGATCGTGCTCTGTTTCCGCCTCGTCCAATGCGACTGTTGGAAGGACTGCGATCCCGATCCCTGTCTGCATTCGCCTGGCTTCGATTGTTGGATCGTCCGTGTGCACCTGAGCTGGCATGATCCTTTCCGTCCTTCTGTTGACCAGACCGGGTGCGACTATCAGATCGACTCCGTCCAGCGCGATGGTCGCTTCTAGTCCTGCTATGCGACTGGCTGCGTTCTCGGCGAGCGTTCCCACTTCTGTCACGATCATTCGAACGGCTACGGGCCCTGGTGTTGTTATCATGCGGGCGCTGACTGCTCGATCGACTGAGCTTCCTGCCATGGGTGTCTCTGATACGGCTTTGGCTTCTTGAAGGGCTCTGATGGCTGGTCGAGTCATCTGCCTTGTTCTTCGATGGACTTGCCGAACGGTCCCTGCGTCGACCCCGGCCATAATATGTATCCCGATCCCTGGATAGCCTGGAATTTTCGACTGGCGAGCGCAACTTATCATCATCCTTGGCTTTGTCTTTCGCACTGGTGTCCGCTGCTGCATCAACTGCAGGCTTGTCGATCTTTTTCCCCTCTTCAGCCGAATGCTCCTTCGATAGTTTCGTTGCCTCGTGGTGTTCCTCTTTCGAATGACGTTCACTCCTGGAATGGTCTCCGTCTATCCTTCCAGAGATAGCGTCATCCTTCTTGCGTTCGATTGCCATCTCCACATCCCCATTAGCATCCTTGATGTCCTTGCTATTCTCGTGGTCCTTGCTATTCTCTTGGTCCTTGCTGTCCTTCTTACTCTTGGGGTTCTCGACATCAAGCGAGCGCTTTTCCGACTGATGCGGAGTTTCTCCTCGGGCCTGTCTCTTTGCTGGCGAATGACTGCGAGAGCGAGAACGTGAGCGAGAACGAAGCGGAGATTTGGATCTCTTCCTACTGTTACCCTGTCGGGATGGTGTTCGTTGTCTAGAGCGACGTGTTGCTGGGCTTTTGGATCTAGATCGTCGCCGTGAACGTGTCGGCGACCTCGACCTCGATCGCGAAAGAGGAGACCGTGATCGTGATCCGCCTCGACGGGACGTCCTCCTAGAGTACCGGTCGTTATCTCGGTCACGCGCTCGGTCTCTGCTTCTGTCCCTACTCTTGTCTCGACTCCTGTCTCTGCTCCTATCGCGACTTCTGTCCCTGCTCCTATCCCTGCTCCTATCCCTGCTTCTATCTCGACTTCTGTCCCTGCTCCTGCCTCGACTCCGATCTCGTGCCCTATTTCGGTCCCGTACAATGTCTCGAGCGCGCTCACTACCATCGTAATGATCCAAGTCATCTCTGGGTCGATTTCGACGTTTGTTCTTGTTCTTTTTCTTCTTCTTTTTCCGCTCAGTGTTTCCTTTATTGGCGCCTTCCACGTTCTCAATGCCCTCCGTATCAAGAACGATCTCGTTAATGTTGTCCAAATTAGCGTTGCCATTAATTGATGTCGGATTCGTGAGTGCGGACACATCATTCGACATCCTGGGTTCCATGATTGGCTATCAAGTGTAAATGAAAATTATTAACAGCCGAAAATGTAACCTATTGCGAACCCACTCTTCCTTCAAAGCCTTGTCCGTTCATCTTACATTGAGACGATGATCTTCTTCCTGCGCCATGGTCGTTTCCAGATACTGGCGTGCCGAGATATTTGACGGGTCCAGCGCCAATGCAGCACGAAAGTCCATGACAGCATTCCTCCACTTCCTCATATTAGCAAATCTAGCTCAGTAAACCATTAAGAGCCATTGTGAGATAGAAATGCTTCATTCAATTCAAGCAATCCTTGTAGTCCGCTTTTAATCAGAGCATGCAGTCTAAACTTACGTGCATCCTCTAGCGATATAGGCCTCTAAGCACTTTGAATCGATCTGAATTGCCTGGCTGTACGCCTTGATCGCATTATCCAGCTGGCCTTTCTGAGCGTGGTCAATTCCTGTAGCAAAACTAGCATATTCACAATAAGAAATACAAACCGTTAGTAAGCCATCCCAGAGGTACAATACCTGAATATGAAGCAATCCAGTTTTCATCCCCATTGGGACATAATTACCTGTCCATCGCCCAATTCCTATTCTGTTCATCCCGTAGATCCAAATACGTTTCCTTTCGATGCAAGGGTGTAGCAGATTTGGGATCGCCTTCATTTGAACCAGGTCTATCAAGAGGTATAAAGCGGTGGTCATGATCAGGAAGCCGATTGTGAGGAGCACCCGTCCGATCCCGTTACAGATCCCGTATGTAGTACCCGAATAAGTTACCTTTCGCACTTGACCCATGGCACTTTGAGCAAGCTGTCATCCAATTTCGGACTGATCCCAAAGACCCTCATCCAACGAGCTGTCCAGAACGGGTTGTTGGAGGCGACTTCATCCTGCATCAGATTTTGTCGCCATATTTTCGTCTCCTGCTGCGTCAACGATGTAGCCGGGGCGAATTTGTAGTCTAAAGGTCAATCCCATTGAGATGCAGGCAACCGGTCAATAAAACGGTTCCTGGAAGACATCAACCGCCGAAACATCCTAATTGTCCCTGTGCTACTCACTTTGCCGCCCTGGAACTGAGGTCGCTCGAACGATGTATTTTATCTTGCGAGCATACTTCTCCGAGCGTACGAAATGCTTGACGACGCCTTCTAGTGCAGGGTCGATATTTGAGAGCGCAGGGATGGCAGAGTGGTGTTGTTGGTAAGGGTGACTCATGCTATGGGTAGGGGAGTCGAGTGGGTGTCGACTGGTACTGGATCTCTTTCGGCTAGCGGCTGCAGAGGCCGAAGTCGTAGATGAGGATGCGGGCGTTGATGCTGCAGGTTGGGCAGCAGCTGTTCCTGCCGAGAGCGGCTCCATGACGCGATACGGTGCCTTTGATGGTGATGCGATGCGAGGCGGTCAAAAGAGTGGACGAGACGATCGGATTGTTCAACCCCCCACAAACGAGTTCAATTGAACCGCAGGGAGGTGGCTTAGTGTCTCCCCTTGAAAAGTCGCTCAAAACTGTCCCTCCCACGGCAACACTCACCCCAGCCGAGCATAAAGTGTCCACTATCGTCGATAACCAGACGGCGTAACCTGTACACCCAGGCACGCTCAGCTACACCAAACATGGATATCGACCTGTCAGAGCAGCGGGATTTGCTGGACGCTTTGGAAGCAAGGACCTTTGTATACCTGCAATCGTTCATCAAGATGACCCACCCTCTGCGACAGACACGCATCGAGGCAAAGGACCTGGAGTTGCAGTGGACTCGACTCTGTCGTACGTTTTATACGTTCAAATGTATCAATCGTTCAATTTTAATTATGCTGAAAAAAGATGGCGTGCAACTTATTCCTACGTCCTATATGCGTGTGTTCCTTTACAGGAGGAAAGCAACAGGCGTTGGATCATGATTTTTACTTTGTTGAGAAGCACCATATTATCGAATACGGTCTGGAGAACGGTTTCGTGGTGCGTCTCGATCTCGCGACATTCGCCCATGAAGTCTTTACCCCAACTTTAGACCTGAAACGCTGCAAGCGGGCGTTTGAGGGCTTTATCGAGCTATTCCTCATCGGGAAGGAACCGTTGGTCGATCCCAAGAACGCGCCTCAGAAAGCGATATTCATTCAACTCGTTGCCATTGTAGGTGTGATGATCGCTTGCCATCATACATTGCATATCAACCGTTGGAATAAAACCGCTGATCGAAAAATCTTTCCCGTCTCTACCCCGATTTGTTTGTTCTATAGATCCTAGCTTTACAAGTGAGGCAAAGTCTATCCTCTTCCAGAAAGGTGTCTCAGAGGAGCATCGAGGCTGCATGCAATACGAAGAACATCCCAGAAATCACGAAGCTAACAAAGATGAACTTGGTATGGAGTTCAAAACTACTTTTAATTTTTAATTACCACGTCGTCCGTCAACTGCGTGTGATCATTTTGAGAACTAACCCGTATTTTGTATGCTTGTGTGGGTCCTTCTGTGTAGACCCCAATGTTTGAGCTCGCGACTCGTGTGGCCAACGATGAAAAGCAGCGCCTGGACCTGTTCGGCGACACTCTCAAACAGATTAAGGAACAGATTCATTTGAAGATGAAGCCATTGGCGCCGATCGCGAATAAGGAGCTTGCGCGAGAGCAACAGGAAGCCCGGGAAAAGGACATCGCGGCACTATATAAAAACCAGTTGGACGGCGACCAAGGCGAACACAATCACGCTCCTTGGCTTCCATTGGAAGATCCACAAGATGAAGGGGAGAAGGATGGGACGGATGTCGCCCAGAAGGATGTTGTTCAGAAAGATATTAACCAAAAGGAAGTCGGTCAGAAGGATGTCAATCATAAGAATGTCGCTCAAAAGGACATCGCTCAGGAGGCCTCCGAGCAGGATACAGCAAATTCAGGAAAAGCCAGTGGTAGAAAGATGGATAAAGCGCAGGCGCACACCCCATCGTCCCGAACCCCATTGAGCCGGGCGGCAAAGGATTCACGTAAAGAGACGACTACATCATCAAAGCCATCGTCGGATCGGACAACTAGAACTGCAGATAAGGAGGTCGTCACCACACGCTCGAACTCATCACCAAGCAATATGACAAAAGAAACAATCAGAAATGCCACCACAACGCCATCAAAGGCATCATCGAACGATACGACAAAGGACGCGGACAAAGAGACCCCCGTTACCTTGACAAGGAAACGACCGTCATTAGACCGGGCGGCTAAGGACAATGTAAAGAGAGCTAGGTCAGGAGAAGCAGCTTCGGACTCCGACTTCGACCTGGGTGATGATCTACCAGCACCAGTGTCAGAGAATATCGAGCATGACCTCATCGATGATTCCATAGAACCATCTGAGGTGTCCGACTCGGTAAATAAACAGCGCATTACGGACGAGGCTTCTACGGGAACCGATGCAGCAGCAGCACCTACTGCAACCCCGACTGGCTCAACAGACATACACGTCCGGAAGAAGACCCGACATTGGTCACACGCAGAAGAGGAGCGGCTACAGGAACTGGTGCCTCAATTTCTTTATAAGGAGGGAGAGGCCAAGAATAAGAAGAGGACCATCAAGTGGGCCAAGCTGAAGGCCCACGATCAAGCGTATGGAGACATCCTCAAGCACCGGACTCAGATCATGCTGAAGGACAAATACCGCGACTTGACAGACGGTGGCCAGCATCGAAAGTTCGTCAGTGAGTTATACCGCAAGCAACGGGATGTCAGCAAAACGCAAGAAACGGAGTAATAAGGCACTAGGACTACATGACACGTAGCGTATATGTCCTGCCTCTAGTTGCCATCTATAATTCTCCTCTCATAAATAATAAAGCCCTCGAATTCAGGAACTTCTGAAGTCCTGCCCTTCCAATGACACCTGATTTCAACATCAAGAATCGTTCATGGACAACAACAAAGCGGCCACATCACTGACATCGAGAAATGACCTGGCCTCACAGCTAGCGTCATTCGACTCGATTCTTGCCCTGGCGTCCGAGTTCAACCTCTCTTCATCACAGCCTGAACACCACACGTTGGTGCCACCAACTTTGCGGCCGAAATCCATCACTACCGCACAGTTGATATTCGATACTGAGGCCATTCAAGAACAGCTTGCAGAGGTATACACAGCAAGTCACCATGATTTGTGATGACACTACGCTTTTCTTCTTTTTCTCTATTGTTGACAGGCTATGAATACCCTAGATAGAGAGACAATTGCGGACGGTGCACAAGTTACGGCTCGGCGGTGATATTGACGTCCCTAGCTTTGGTAAAAGGACACCTGGCTCTGCTCTTTACGATGATGTGAACAAGGCGCGCTCCATAATTGCTTTGCTCTACGTAAAAATAACGCCCTTTTTTTTTTTTTTCCTTAGATGACCGGATACAATATCTGAACGAATTCATCAATCAACTCGCGCTCCTGCAAAAAAATCGCGCCCAACTCGTCCACAAACTAAGCCAACCACGCGTTGGTGACTATATCCTGATGGACCACGCGTACCACAAGGATTTCGTAGGACTCTTCCAAAGGATCCAGGAGGAAATCCCAAGGATGCAGCAGAACCTGGATGCCATGGCCTGGAGAGACGAATCCTTGGGATCGACCAGGGAGTTGGATCAAGTGGTAGGAAATGAATAGAGCACATCAAATCAAGGAAAAAGGAAAGTGCCTATTCTTTATTCTTTTGTTTTTATTTTATTTTTAACACTCTTCGCTGCTTGTTGTGTATTCGATAGAAGACATGTTTAGATGAACTGACGGAGCTTTCGCAGCGTCAGTCCGAGATCGCAGATGCGTCTCAGAAACTGCAGACGAACCTCATCAATGTCCTTCAGCATTACAAAAAACTGTGAAATAATAACAATAAAGAAAACCAGAGCGTTTATTCTTGATGCTACAACGTGCTAATTAGAAGTAAAGAGAGTTTATTTACAAAAGTGGTGGAAAGTACATAGAATGTAGCTGATATAGGACGCGTATTACAGGGCCATCATCAACGACGCAACCATGGCCAATCCCATAACCGTATAACCCATAGTCTGAGCGCCATTGTGAATCATAGCCTTAGCTTCGCTCTTGCTCATCGACAGACCCTGTTCGTTCTTCGTATCCTGCGCCGTTGATCCATTGTAATCAGCTGCACCATTGCCCGGCGTAGTGATCCCTGGTTTCGTGGCCAGGCTGGTATGATTGCCTGCACCGCCATTGGCCTTCTGATCCGTCAAAGAACCCTTCTGGTAAGGGCTAGCATCGTTCAAACACCTATCCAGACTCATGGGCCTCAAACCACGGTTCATGCCCATGGGGATGATCTGCTTCGAAAGGTAAATCGTGCCGTCTGTCAAGTCGTGCTCCAGTGTTACGGGACCACCGGGACCACCAGTCGAGGACCTGATCAGCTCGCGGTTGTCGAGTGCGTTCTCGAAGGTTTGCATGATCTCGTCCGGCTGGATCTGGTTCATGGCAACGCGCCAGTCGTTGGTGTCCCAACCTAGGGTCCAAATCACGGTTACGTATCCCATCTGGCGCAAGATTTCGCGTACACGATTGTCGACATCGCCTATTGAATATACATATTTAAAAAAAAAAGTGGTTAATGGATAACTATAATCGCGCGTCGTTTAGATGAAGATAAAGGTTGGAGACTTACCATAGGGAGGGCGTATATACTTCACCGTCAGGCCAGTGGCATCACGGATGATCTTTTCGGACCAACGAACCTCGGCGACGATTTGCTCGTTGGTCAAGGTAGTCAAGCCAGCATGCGACCAAGCTAATACAGAAAGGAGGAAAGCAATCGGCTTTAGATCGAGAAAATAAGCAATATGCTCGTGGTATCAGACCGGTGAATAATATAGTAACATACTGTGCATAGCAATGTGATGGCCCTGCGCAACCTGCTCCCTCAGAATATCAGGGTACTCAAGCACTCTACTCCCGACAATAAAAAAAGTCGCGCTGATCTTATTCGAGTTCAAGTACTTCATCATCTCCCTACTCGCCACGCTTGGTCCGTCATCATATGTCAGTCCCCAGTCGCTCTGGTTAGGACATGTCACCACATCCGAGGGCTGAACACACCCGTCACAAGACCACCAGCACGATCGCTTGTCGACCTCATCATCCGGCGGGCAGTTCGGAAAATGAGGCGAGTCTGGAAGTCCTCCTGCGACAGGAATCTGAGGGACCTTTGACCAGTCGATTTCGGACACCCACTGCTTGACCTGTGGGTGACTTACATCCGGGATTGTATCCTTGGGGGGGTAAAGATCGCCATTCATTTGGTTCTTCTGATCGTTCGATTGCACGCTGATGGTCGCGCCATCGTCGGACGTAAGCTCCTGGCGCCAAAGATCGGTCTTCGCAGTGCGGATGATGCCATGGTAGTTTCGGTGGTGGCTGTCTCCTGGACGCCTGAGGAGCTCCATAGCTTCCTCGGTGGTCGCGACCGAAGGGTTTGCGCCCACGACAGCCTGGACGAAGACGGGGGTTGTGAGCGCAAGGAATGCGACGAGGATTAGATGATGATGAGTGAGCAGAGGGAACCGAGTATCCTCCCGGGAGGGCAGCGAGAATTGAACCATGCTGATGTTTCTTCAAGAAAATCCTGGGATTGAATGATAAGAAAGATGAAGCGCGTTGAATAGGCTAAGTGGATTGATTGTGCACAAAGACTGAAGTAAAACGAGAGCGAGAGGAATAAGAGCGACAAAAAATGATACAAATCTAGGTCCTTTATAAGGTGCCTTTCTATGTAAACCCCGCCTCCACCACCTCGCGAGAGTGTCGGCTGTGCGTTGTGGTCTTGGCTGATGACTGCAATGATCTACGAATGTCTGCTGGTCTAATTTACAATGTAAATCCAAATCGGAATACTTCCACTGTTTCGCATTCTAACGCGTATGGTGTGCATTCTAAATATTCTTTCGTCGACGATAGTAATACCTGAGGGGAAAAAAGGGTCTTCTTTTAGGGTATCAAGTATTTTTAACACGCGCTGTTGTTGTAGACATCAAGCTGTGGGTATAATACGCAGCATCGAGGAATAGTTTATTATGGGGTTTCTAGCTTAAATGAAATAATACATGCGATACACGCGACTTTTTTTTGTGCCATGAGGGCAAGTACGGAGACCATAATGAACAACAAAAAATAAACGGATAAAGTGCATAGCAGGAGGAAAATAAAAAGCGAAATTTGTACAGTGGCCAAAAAAAGAAGAAAAGAACGGCGCGGTGTGAAAAAAGACTGGATGGAAGCAAAGGAGGAACTCAGACAAGCGGGCATTGGCTGAGTTTCAAGGTAATCAGCGAGTCAACCAATCGTTCGCGGTCAGACGCTTGGTCAGGGCTTATTCTTGTTCAACGCGTCGATCACTGTAGCAGTCTTGTGTGGGCGGCATTCCCCTTGGCAATAATGAAAAAAGGCCTCAAATGCATCACGCTTGTCGTAAGAGAGAGTGACCCCGGCGGACCATGGGAGAGAGGAGCTTGATCCGTATCCCGCCTTTCTCCAAGGCAGAACGAGGGGCGAATCAGGTTCGAGGGTTACAATGTGTGCTCTCATTTTTTTTCCCCCACAAGTAAACCGAGCTTGCTCTCCGCGCTGACCATGTTCCGCAAGGAAAGAGAGCAACGAGAGTCGACCGAAAGGAGATTTTTTTGGAGAAAACTCTATTGTTAGAGTCCCGGGTCCAACAGTTCAGGAACTGTTGTTGTCAGAAATGAAAGGAAATAAAAAAAGAAAAAAAAAAAAAGAGAGAGAACGCGCTGTGTGTTTATAACGGACTTTTTCCTATGCCGTAAAACGGTAAGAGTAGCAGCAGAGAACATGGATAGAAGATGGAAGGACTATGGACAATGGTTATATGTATTATTGGAGCTGTGTGTCTGAGGCACTGCGATAGTTTGTGTGGAAGATCGTGCTGGCGTGAAAAAAGAAATGTCAAAGGGGATTGGGGTTCCTCGGGACCATCCAAGTTATTTATTGATCCTGCGGCGGACCAGAGGGCGAGATAGGTCGGAGTGCGTTCAGAGTCGCATAGAACAGCGGGTATTGTGCAGCTGCTGAACCGGGCAATGGGTTGCTGAGGTGTATTGCTGGCGGTGCCGTGGACGACTGTTGCTGCTGGAGGTGATGGCTCAGTGCTGAGGATCCGTTCCCGCCAGGGGAGAGGTAGAGCGAGCCAGGCGGGTTCGGGTTGGAGGTGCAGTGGGCATAGATGTTGGGTATACTTGTCCGCTGCTTGCGAACGAAGGGTGGCATCTGATAGTTGTCGTGAAGAGACGAGACCGAGGATGCTGCCGCTGGCAGCAGAGCGCCGTTCGGGTCTGTCATGCTGAAGCTTGAGGATGATGCGGACGACGAAGAGGAGGACGCTGAAGAGGAGATGAGGTCTGAGGAGCGACACTCTGCAGAGCAGTAGGTTGCACCGCTGGAGGTGCGTTTGTCGCAGACCAGGCACCAGTCGCAGTCGACACCGTCCATGGCCTTGTCAAGGTGAGCTTTTTATAAGAAAGTGGCTATCAAAAGTCGGGACGCTGTGCTCGATCTTTCAAGTCGAGGAACCAGACGAGGAATAAGTAATGAAAAAAGAAGAGTGTAGAGGAAGAATGCAAGTGTACGAGGGAAAGTGTGTGGGGAAGATGGTGCGATGCTACGGTTGTGTTCAGCGGAGTTTGTGTTGAGAGGACGTCCTTCCGAAATTGAGCGCAAACAAGAAGAGGATACTGTGGCGGCGGGAGGGCTATTCTCGGGAAGGGATGAAGAAAAGAGAAGAAAAAGAAGAAAAAGAAGAAAAAGAAGAAAAAGAAGAAGGGTGTGATGGAATGTAGAATGCCTTGGAGTGAGATGAAGGAATGAGGGCGTGCTGTAGTGGCAGTGGTGAGTGCGGTGTATGGCGGGATGAGCAAACCTCTAAATGTATTATTATGGGCGGGATGGGAGGGGCGTGAGTCACTTGCAGTGTCTTTTGTCCTGCTGAGCAAGGTGCATGTTTGGAAATGAAAGCGCGCGCTAGGCCCGCCATGACTCTCTTGCATCTGAGCATTTGGAACCAGGCAAATTGTCCAATGGCTCTGGTCCAATGTGCCTGAGCGATAATTTCTTTCTATTGCCTCCCGCCTCTCTACCCTTCCGCGTCTTTTCTGGGCCCGTAGTGGACTCGAAACAGCTGTCTACACCAGCAACTTGGCAGGTCTGACTGATAGGACAGACATTTTGCCCAGCACAAGCACAAGGAAATAAAATAAAGGAGACACACGGGCTGCAAGAAATCCAAGTGGACGTTTCGATGATAAGAACTGAGGAACAACTCAGCTGCTGTCAATCACATCGACTATGAAAAGGCGAGCAATCTCCGAACATGCCAATTGCACCTCGCCTACCATGCGAACCTGAATGAAGAAACTGCCTGAGAAAAAAGCACTACAGGTGCCGTTCTTCTCATGTATCTGTTTTCTTTCTGTTTTCTATCGCATTCCAGCTTTCACGCCGGTGGTTGAAATAGGTTGGCGAACAATAAAAGAGCGTCTTTAAACACGAGGAAAACATACGGCGAACTAACCCGCCCTGTCTGTCATCTTTTTAGCGGCGAACTGGCTACATGTTTTAGCCAGCCCACACAAAGACACAGACCCTCCTCCGCAAAGGCATTCGAATCCCAGGAGGCTGCTGCTGCCGCTAAAAAAAAGTTTCTGGTTTCTTCTCCCAGGGCCTACGACATTCAGTGTAGCGATCACACGACTTCAAAAAAGAAAGCCAACCCATGATCCACACTCTCTTACTTAATACTGAGGGATTGAGATCGCAAATGATCTAAACACACCTCCTCCATACACACACATAACCCGTTGACGTGAGAAAACCCAGATAGGTCTGCATTGGGACCCCTTGCGCTTTTTGCATAATCAGTCGCACAAGCATCAAGGAAACAAAGAGCAAACAAAGCGAACGCGTTCAAGGGTACAACATTATAGGCAAAACACTCGTTCAAAGATGAACAGCATACAGGGCTGTTGTTGTCCCGAGGCTTCAACGGCACAGGCAACCCATTAAAAAAAATGGTGTAGCAGTCTTTTGCAGGCTTGCCCCCTCCCTCTATGGTCGATTTGCGGATCCTGTCTGCCCTTCAATGCGTCCAGCGAAATAGAGCGCGCCATATTTCGCCACCAATTTTTTTTTATTATTATTTCCTTCTCGCGACGCGTCTTGCCACCAATTTGTCCCCAAACTTGCACATCGCCCCTGTCTTCAAGGCGCTCTGATCCCTCTTAACCATGCCATTCGCACGCTACCTAGAAGGAACAGCCTACATCCTTTACGCACCTCCCTTCGCGCCCGAGAGGACTAATGACGCAACGAATGACAGCACGGCAAATGATCACCAGCATCAACATCAACATCACTGTCAAAACCATGAGCACCACCGGAATGGTGATTCAGACGATCCACAGCCGCACTTCTGGGTAGTCTTCAGGCCCGATAGCGAAACCCCCATAACTTCCGGTCAATCCAACCATCAACAAATCCAACATCACCAAGGATCAGATAAAGAGTCGAACTCACGGTTATTCGTCCTCAAAGGTACTCCGCACCCATGGGGTAGTTACCCCGAAGACGTGTCTGAGCCCCACGGATGTATCCCTCCACACCTCTACTACCATGTCACCATATCCGAACATCACCATCATTATCATCATCATCATCAAGACAACGACAAAACAGCTGCGGAATGGACGCTACCGTATGTACACAGGATCGGCGATGGGAAGGACGACGCAGGTGGACTCACCACCTGTTACAAACTTCTTGAAGATCTGGAGGACGCGGATGACTTTGGCTATTTCATCCAACAAATCCTTGAGCGATCAGGGTCCTATTCTAAAGAGCCTCTGTCACCATTGCGTTCATCACCAACTACGGAAACAACGACACCGGCGGCAGAGCTTTCATCCGCTCCTAGTCTTTATGCCTGCACAGAGCTCTTGATCTCAGAAAAACGGACGCCGGAGGTGATAGAGCAGCAGTTCTTTTCTTGGATCAAGAGTGGCGACAGGAACAACAGCGATGAGGCATTACCCAGAGTATTGAGCGAACTCTTGAGCGATATTGCAGGCATTACGAGCACAACGGAACCATCAAGACCCCGTTCATCTTTCATAGTCAAGTCTGATCTCAAGCTTATTTTACCTCATCGCATTCCCGGACGAAAATAAAGGAATGTGCAAATGTTTTAGCAATATATTGGCGTTATGGCTTCAGTATTTAGTTCTTTTTGATCAATGCAATGGGCGCTTGAATTAATGATGACAAATTTAACAGACGATGTCCTCCATGATTATCCTCGCTTCTCAAGGTCTAGCGCCCCGACTCTCTCTTGAACCTTTGTCACCTCGTTGTCGTCTTTGACATTCCTCGTATCAATTTCCAGATTACTCTGGCTCTGAGGCGCACTGTCGACCGAGGAGGTTTTCACAAGTTTTGGTTCACTAGGGTTCGCCAGGTGAACGACCTCCATCTCCACGGGCACTGACTCCGGCTCATGTGCTGAGAAAAGATCCGCAGATGACAAAGACGAGGCAGGGGTCGATGGCGGTTCAACAGCAGTGGAAGATATTGAATTTGCGCTGCTGCTGTCCGAGGAAAGTAATGGTGCTGAGGACACCGTGGAAGTTGACGAATCCTTGTCTTCCTCTCCCAAAGTTCCCTTGATAACGGGCGTTTCCTGAACTTCGGGTGCAAGAGCAACAGGCTGCAGGTCCAGGCTGTTAGAACCTCTCGCTGATACCTCAGTATAGGGCATCTGGATTTGTTGGACATCCTGCGTCAAGACATTGCCTTCAACTTCATTCACAGCAGCAGGGCTTGAGGTTGAAGATGACGAGACAAGCACCGTGATTTCGCTCGGTTCGCCATGGTCATGGGTATCCTGTTTGTCTGTTGTAGTTGCGGCGCTATTTGCGGTAGTGAGCGGTGGCGTGGTGCTTGTTGGGTGTTGAGTCGCAGGGATAGCAACAGCGGATCCCTTCGTATCCTGTCTAGATTCTTCCGGTGCTGTGCCGACATCCGGTAAAGCGGTAGCAATGTCCTTCTCATTACTCTCCTCATCAGGAGGAGGAGCCATCTTCATACCGGCTGAATCACTCTGCGATCTCTCAGATGACTCCGTCAAATTCGCACTGAGCTGTGTCGCTGAACTTTGCTCGGCTGTCTTATTCTCAGCAATCATGTTTGGCCACTGCGAACAATATAGAAACGATATTGTCATATTAGAGTCAAGCGATGCTTTGACGAGAATAAAACAGGATGTAAAGAGATATACTTACAGGTGCATTCCAGGTCTCTTCATCGACGCCCTCCTCGTCGTCGCTGTCAAAGACCATACCATGGCTGGTTCCGAACGGATCGCCCATAACATCGGGGGCTCCGGTGCGGCGCATATCAAATTCGTTTTCGGCACCATACTCTCCGATCCAGTTGCCGTCCTCGTCATCCTCGTCCTCATCGGACGATCCAAACTTGTCAGGCAGATTGTTGGTAATCTGCTGGCAGAGATATCGTGCAAACTATTATCAAAGGAAGAGAAGGTGTCTTGTGAGCAACCGCTGTATCTTGACAACCACCCAAGAGTTTTAGTATAGCGATGGCAATGTTGTAGACCTACCTGATCACTGGCAACATCGCCTTCATGGCCAGTACCACTGCCACCACCCAAGAAGTCATTTCCACTGCCGTATTCATCATCGTTGTCATCCATATAGTCATCATCATTCCCGTCATCAAGGCCAGACTTGTGACTCTCAATCACGTTAGGACGAGTGCCTCCTAGGACTTGTGCGTCGCGCTCCTTGGTTTCCTTGAGGATTTTTGAGACGTAGTTCCACCAATCCTCCAAATCGATGTACTCGTACAAAGTGGGAAACAGAGTCGTTTGCGAGTACAGCTCTAGCAGCTTGACGGTCTCGTCCGCGATATAAGTCAAGTGTCCCATGTATCCAAGACGAACACCCTTTGGTTGAGCACTATTAGATAATTGATATGACGTTCAGAGATAAGTAACTATTGTAATAGCGCTTGACTACTCGCATCAACTAGGACAATGTGACTCACCATTCGTAGTCATTGAGCCGCTGGGCATCGGTGATTCGCTTAGTGAGCTGGCCATCTTTGAAGATCGAGATTGTAAGCCTCCTATTCCATCCTTCTGTGATGTCCACGTCCGATTTTGGTGGTATGTAACTTCCATCAACATCTGGTCGTCCAATATCACCCATGGGTCGATGAAACACCTGGTGTACCATGTCATAAACCACGGTGTGCAAGAAGTTGTTCCAGGGAAACTGGAAAAACAAGTCGAAACAGGTCGGAATGATGCGATAATCCACGAACTGAAGCTTCAAGAAATCGCCCACTGGAATCAACACGTCGTCCTGGGTATGGTTGGTCGTGAGCGCGGCGATGGTCGAACTAGTTAGGGTTGCTGTCGCAGGCCGAAGTGGCGGTGAGGCCATGGGCGTTGCCAGATCTCCATTTGTGGCTGCCAAGTCATTGCCAGATGATCCTGTTAGTGTGGAAGTGCCGTTTTGAGTCTCAGCGGACATGCGACCACGGTTCTGTTCGACTTTGCCGTTCTCCTTCTCATCCGTATCGACCATCTTTCCATTCAATCCCTCCGTAGGCTCCTGTGCCACACAGTTGATTGAAACGGTCGGGACCTTGACAGTTCCATCAGGCGAAACAGAAATGATAGGCCTCGAGTTCAACACAGCCATATTGGAACAATGAAGCAATTCTGCAAACAGCTCGCAGATTTTCAATCTCTCAAAACCAAGAGGTGTTTGTTTTCCGATTGAGGTGTCAATCGGCCCCGTCTATAATGCAGGAATATAATAGTTTGTCAGTCAAGAAAGTCTGCAAGTGGACATAATCTAGCAAGCATCTGATGATGTTTCGTTGGAGGGCACTTACAACTGACCGCGGTACATTGAGCAAGTTCTTGAAGTCTTCAATCCTTGAGGCCAAGACCTTGAGCAAGTCACTGAGATCCACTGCTTCGCGCACAGGCTCTGTAGAACCTGGAGGAAGGGGCTCGACGTCATAATCACTAGTGCATAAAAGAGCATGTTGAAGAACTGGATGGTCAGCAACATTCTGAATCCTGCTGCGTATACTAACTGATGATCGAATGCTATGCAACGCACCTGTTGTTTCTCCGGATGAGCTCGATGAAGATGGTAACACCGCTGATAAGGGTGGAAGAAGAATAAGGTGCATCCCTGTCGAGCATAAATCCAACGAGCTGAGAAACGAGTACCTCGCTTTTCAGCTCGTCAATCAGCACGTTGGTTCCAATTGAAGGCTGCTCAGGATGTGAGGACTGTGAAATGGCGATAATATCCAGCAGGACTTGCGAAGCAATCGAATGCACCTATTTCAGTTCGATCATGTAGCGCAATTGTTAGGTACTTTTAACAACGAAGATATGTGTAGCTGCTTTCCGTGATACGCCATGCAATTGCATTCGTACCTCTGTATCAAAGTTGGGGTCCAATCGATTCACGAGCCATGGCATGAGCCCTTGTTCGCTTAACCACTATTGTTGTTTCAATCGCATAGAGTTTATAGCAGTGTGCGTGTTAATTAACACGTTGACCTCAAATATAGTGCGAGCCGTCTCCAGCTCCAAGAGTCCGATTGTACTTTTCGCGCACCTGAACAGTTCCTTTGCCCTCGGGTGATTCCTCCATACTGATAATTTTGAGCAGTAGATCCATGATTGCAGATGTGGACATGTGAAGCAATAGTTTTGGTACCACCTCAGGTTGCGACTTGATGAATTCCAGCATCTACGTGGTAGCAATGTAGAATCGAAAGGTCAGATAACTTCAATGACCGACACTTACAAGTTTGGAAAAAAATTCCTCCATTTGCTTTCTGGTAATTACCTCGCTCGTCTTCTTCATCAAAAACACGCCAATGACTTTGGCAAAGTAGCTGGCCTGGACCGGGTTCAAGGGAGGGGGTCGATCCAGAAACTCCCAAAACTTGACAAGTATATCAATGTTGGATAGAGCCGATTCAAAAATCCCCCAGACCTCGCAGGCAATGACTTCGCAGGCAATAAAAGGGTATCTATCGACAAACCGGACAAGGGAAGAGAAAAAAAAAAGGGGGTGGGGGTGGAAGGCGCGGTAGGATTGTTAAAAGCACGGTCTTGTTTATCACTAATTATCAATGCAGTGGTTTTCTGCATTGGTCCTCTTTCGGGCAGCAACCGTGAAGAAAGGGAGTGCCTCTGTTTCCCGTTAAAGGCGTCGCGCCCCTTGTTTATCCTCTTCCAGGAGCGAGTCTTCCCTTAACATGTTCATTAGAGTTGATCGCCGTCATTCCTTGTATCATCATGATTCCATCCTGCCTTTTCTCCTGACATCTTTCCAATGGTTAAATGGCTCCCAGATACCATCCTGAAGGTCCTTTCTGATCCATGAGAGTCGCATTACCGTTGGTTTCCTGTCATCGCCACAATAGAAGATAATACACGTTATGTGTCCCACATGAAAATTGAGTATTTATCCCCCAAAGATGCCCTTACTTGAACCGTGCACGATCTTCAAGGTCATCGCTCGTGATATAACTCAGCAGCTGTTGAAGGACCTTCGGGTCACGCAGGCTGATAGAAAGCAGATTGCAAACCACAAACAGGAAAACAAAAGTTAGATAAAAACACTGCCCATGATATCAAACTGCAGCCCAGTTGATGTGATTCTTGTCCCGCTTGTCCCTCGCTCGATCCAATGAGGTCGTAGTTAAATGGAGGTGCCACTTAGCAATGCTGCTGATGTTGATTTCACGGAGACAAGCAGCTGCGCTTTTTGCATTGACCACGGCACACTTCTGCAATATGAGCAAGCATCCTGCTTCGTCCCTCTTCCCAGAAAGAGCGAAAAGAACGATATCGACAGACGAGCCAAAGGAAAGGTGCGAAGCGTGAGGAGAGGCAGGAGGGCACTTACTATTCAATGAGTTTTGGGTTCTGTGCCTTGCACTCCTGGATCAGGTCATCTTGCTCGAGCAGTTCCTCGAGCGAGACATTGCCGCTCTCGAGCAGATGGTCGATTACTGAGGCATTCTGATGTCCAAATCGCCAGTACATGATCAAGTGGGTCTAGGCACTCGTTGCGACTTGGTGTTGATAGACAGGCGTGAGGGCTGAGAGGGACCAAGCGAGAGAGGGACGAATAAAATAAGAATAATGAATAAGAATGGAATCTGAATGAGCAAGAAAGGAAGGGATGAGGGGTGATGAGGGTGAGGGAAGGAAGGAAGAGGCGAAGAAGAGGATAGCTGAAAGTAGACCTAACTGACAACAAGTGAGACCTCCCAACTCTTAAAAATATATTATTATGATAGCATTAGGGTATAGCAACACCCACCCATCGACATCTTTCTCGCTCTCTTTCTCGCGTGCAACTATCCGAATATGGATGAATGAACAATGTATACATGGCGGTGCAAGCAGGCCATAATGGTAATAGCCTGCTCCAGCCCGATACCTCCACATGTAATAGTTTCTTTATTGGTGCACCTCTACTCCCGCGACTCACCGCCTTCCCACACCTCCACGTCATGGGCGCGCCATAATTTTTTTTAGTATTTCAGCAGCGAGTCGCGTGCAGTTTGTGTCGACACCATCGCTTTTCAGCCTAACCTTGATTATATACCGTCCATTGGCGCCAACATCGGACGCGTCGAGTTTGAGGACCTCCTTTTCCAAGTTGTTACCTAGACCCCTTCACCATGCCTAGGAGTAGACTGTCCCACAAGCCTGACAGCGAAACGCTACTCAAACGCGTCAGAGTGGACCACATGTGCCTGAGAGTAGTATGCTATCGCGTCGCCGCTCAAAAAAGGCGCGGCCGGTGCAAGGTTGTTATCTTTGTTTGGATACGAGTTCAAAGTTCTACAATCAGTCCAGGCACAACGCCTTTAGCGAGAAAAGCTCGCTTTTTGCACATCTTTTTTCCTTCACGCCTTATCCTCACTGTATATGCATTTTTGATTCGTGATTTATTTCGTAAATTCAAGTCATCTTAGAGGTGATAAGGCGGACATGAAGGCCGTGTGTTGACTAAAAGCCGTTACATTACACTTATACATCCATTTCTCTCCATAGGAATCCCTGGCAACGACTAAGCGCAGGGCTTTCGATGAAATATACAGGGCTCGCAGCTCGTGTCGTGGCTGAAGGAAAAGCCACGGTGTCTGGAAGGAGTTCGTCATCGAAGACGCATACTAATTTAGTTATCGAGCGTTGAGGCGTCCAACAGGCGATATTCGCAGCATGTGTACGATGTTCAGGAATCACGTAGTGTTTGTAGGCCACTGTACAATGCAAATTCTTGGAGATTGATCTTTCACGGCCAGAGCTTTCAACCCAAGGCATGACCGGAAGCCAAGGGAAAAATCCCATTTAACGCGTTCAGAGATCTTTCGGACGATCTCGAGAAGCTACACAACAAATTTGAAAATGCTTTCATGACGAAAGATGTATACTTGGACGTTCATCGAGATGTCAACTAGTAAAGACTTGGTTCTATATGGACAGTCTAACCAATGGTCAACCGCTTCTTTTGACCTTGTGGGATTAATCTCCGACATGGGAAGTTATGCAGCAGCGCTCATGGACGTCCACACACGAGGCTATAGCTAGTATGGAATCAAAACGAAATGAAAGAAGCTTTAAGCACAAGGGCCTCAATACACAAATATAATTTTTTTTTTTATCGACACCTTATGAGTGGCAATTGGGGTAATTGAAGACCCTCAGTGGCTGCCTCTTCTGCGATTTCATCATAACTAGCATTCAAAGCCGTCAGGGACTCTTTGCCACTGTTGCAGCTTTTAGCATTGGATGATGCCATCGCCCTTTTTATTTTTTTAAGGTTGCGGGACAACGTTGGGCGCAGCACCGAACAATATATAGCAAGTTGACCTTCATGGACCAGCATAACAGGCTCCTCCTTGAATCCCATGCCCTACTGCCAACAAAGATCATCATTCCTCTCACTCGTCCAGCAACAAACGACAAATTCAACTGAACAATCGTTTTATTGCTGTTATTAGTCCATTTCAGCGATTGTTATAGACTCTCGCGTCCGCATGGGTTCCAGTTCGCGTTCTAAGGCCTCTATACTCTGCAGTGCAATCGAAGGGTCTTGTAGGTGTAGCCCTACATATTGTCTCAGCTGAAATACTAGCCTTTGAGCGTCCTGGAAAGATTGAGCTGAAGTAGGACCACCAAGGACCACCTCTGAGGGTGGGGTGTGGTCCAGTAAAGATGTCTCGCTACATGGTTGTGAGAGGAGGACTTGGCTATGCAGCATTGGCGACGACGGCAAAGACGAAGATGTCGGAAGGGTATGCTGGAAAGGGTTCGTGGGCGGCGATATGGGTATAGAGTGAAGGAAATCCAGATGGGGGGTCGTTGATGACGGAGGCATGGATGAAATCTGGGTTGAAGGCTGGAGAGACGTCATAAGCGACTGATTATGGGGTTGCTGTTGGGAATTGTGTACTTGCGGTGGGGGCTGATAAGGATGTCTCCGATGGCGCCGACAATCCAATGTATCTTCGTTTGAAGGCCTCTTCTGCCGCCGTTGCTGTGGATGTTGTTGTGGAGGCGGTTGCTGCTGTAATGAACGTTGATCTGCAGTTGATACTGAAGAAGATTCTAGCGACGACCCATCTTCGACTCCATTCATAGTTGATGTCAAAGAATCGCGCGACCTCAGTAACTGTTGTATTGAGTCGTGTGCGCTATTGATGTTGGAAGGTACTGCAATCGATGGTCTCACTTCAACGGACGAAATAGTATCCTGGTCCAGGATATTCCCAATAGAGGTGCTCGGACTTGGCGCTGGCGACATTGGACTGAGTGAGGAAGACGGGAGTTTGCTGGGGATCGTGCTCGAATTGTCTGATGAAGACAACTCATCGGTCTGTGAACGAGTGCTGGCACGGCTCGATTTGAGACCATACCGCGCCTTGAACCGTGATAGCCATCCTGGACAAAACACGGTATCGTCAATATTCATCTCTTTCGCAATCCTTTTCGCCTCCCGCATCAATACTGGGCCAGTGATCGCCTCCATTAACATCTCCGATGCCGCTGCTTCGGATCCAAAACTGCCATCAGGCGCTCCCACACTCCCTGGGAACTGGCGTATTATGTTCGCTTGCTGTTGGTGCAATTGCTGCTGTGACTTGACCCACTGATAGATGGCCATCTCCAGTTTAGGATGTCGAACAGGTCTATTCCGGACACGTGTGGACTCAATTCCTGGTATTGATAGGCCTCGAGCAAGGGTCTCTGCACTCGTTTTGAGAGAATGCGATATAGTGGGTTGGCTGATCGAAAACGAATACTTTGCCTTGAACCAGGCGGCCAGCTCTGCTTGTTTCATGCCTGGACATTCTTGCTTCTTCAAACACAGCTGGTATCGCTGCTCATGGGTGATGCCTTTGATCGTCCGTGGACAATTCGTCGACATGGCTATATGTGTCCATCCAAATGATGAGCTATACTCATTTTCTGGCATCTCGTTCTTTGCGAGAAGGATGATTAAGGGTCAAAACCTTATTTGACATTATTATGCCTTGCGATGCTGTGGAGTGCTCTTCCTCTTTCTTTGATCAATTTTCAACAATGGTACTCATTTAAGGGAGTGGATGTATCAATCATAATCATGGCTCGAGGCACCCATCCATCGGTCGACATATCCATTGCATTCAATACAACGGTGCTGCATCATCATCGACATTCGACATCCAACACCACGCCCAACACTTATCAGCGATGACAAGAATCTCTTGTTTACTGATGACGCTCGATTTGAAGCGAGGAGTCAAAGGATCAGTAACAGAAGCTAAGGGGAAGCTATGCCGGATTTTATTCACCACTCTGCAATCAAAATACAAAGAAGCAGTTTGCTGGAGATCTGAATCTGATGATGTGTGCGAGATCATCAAAACTCTTTTGCGCCGATCCGTATTTAACGCTACAATCGAACTTGAGCCATTACAAGGAGTACGCCGACGACACTGAACGCAACATGGACTGCTCGTTAGGAAAGAGGGACAGCGGACTTTTCAAGGCGCACACCTATTACTTAATCAGTGTCTTGAGAAAGAGGTGTGATCTCTAACATCCATCTCGCCACCAACCACTTTTCATCACTCCAGGATAAGACCCCTGTCAAGCACGCCAAAGTCACCAAGGTTCTCGGTCGTACCGGCTCCCGCGGTGGTGTCACCCAGGTCAAGGTCGAGTTGCAGGAGGATCCCTCCAACCCCAGCTCTATCCGCAACGTTATCCGTAACGTCAAGGGTCCCGTCCGTGAGGGTATGTGTCTAATTTGCTCTTTCTGCTATGCTGACTCGTGGCAGGGCATGACCTTTGAGGCTTTATTGGAATATATATTTTGAATTCGACTCGTTATCGTGGATCGCCGATTTCAGCAGCATTTACAACGCTCAGCTATGGCGTGGTGGCAATCGTGTTCGGGACCGCTGTCACGCCATGGAATATTATCGTTTTCGGGATCGACGTACATCGCTAGATCGGCATCTTTCTCCTCAACAAGACCTCTGTTTCATCAGGATAATTTAGGTTGAGTGCTATCCGGGCTGACACATTTCATGGAGTTTGTTTCAGGACACCGGCCTTCGGCTACACATCCAATAGCACAATGATCTCATCTAATCATCTGCCTTTGTTACTCTCCACTATTTTCATTTAGGCGATATCCTCTGCCTTATGGAGTCCGAGCGTGAGGCCCGTCGTCTCCGTTAAAAAAAAAGACCGTCTAGTTCTTTTTTAAACACTCGATTTAAAAGCGACTCTACGCAGGAATAAAGCGATCATCTCGTCCAAATTCGTCGTCATTTCGGACAGACAGTCCATTTGCTGAACCAACATGCGCCGATTTGAAAAAGTGTTGAATATACTTAACCACAGGAAAGTAGCATGGAAACACAAATCATGTGCCTTTGTCCATTTTTTATTGCTTCTCAGCGGTAAATGAACTTCACACGGGTGTCGGAGGCGAGGATTTCGTCCATTTGTCTTACACTGCAGCCAAACATTGTGCATAGTTCATCATAATGGTGCCCGCCATTCAATAGCCTCTCGAAGGAGTAACAGAGAAAAGACGATCAGCGGTCATGAAGACGTACGTGCTCGAGCCTGTATGAGATGATCAAATTTCTTCGCTTACTTTTTGAGAGCTGGGGGTATTGCGACAGAAGCTGCAGGATGCTCATTTGAGTGGTGGTTTTGATAATGCAGGCCCTGGTTATTTGGTGCCATAGAATCACCGTACGTTTTCTTTACGGAGGCCATTGTTGATGGTGTTCCAGGTCTGCTTGTGATAGCGGTCGCATTGCCTGCTGTGGCTGAAGGCGTTGACACTGCAACTGCTGAGGCCGGACTAGTTGCGGATGTTTCTATTGACTTAGAATTGGATGATGCGGAGTTGATGCCCAATGCGCTTGCTGGGTCGTGGTAGTCCAAGATAGGATACTTGTGCACCCTATACAGGAATCCTTTGATAACACCGAACGAGATAAATCGTCTAGGATGAGAGAAAACCATCCCTTTGGTTTAGTCGAAAGGCCTATTTAGCTTTTCAAAAAGCGCCTCCTACGTGTAGTTCTGAGGGTAGTTACCGGACATCAATGTTGTAGTCTGCAATTTGATTCTGCTCAATCCAGTCCTGTAACACAACGCCGTATTGCAGTGAACAATAAAGCGAAAAGATCTTTGCGAATGAGGGGGCGTGCATATCTATAAGGCATAAGACGAAGCTAACAATTTAGACTTTAATAATTTAAACAACACTTCAGACATAACAAAGGCGGTTATCGGCGCATTACCTGGCAATGTCACATAAGAGACGCACTCGTTCTGCAGAGCCACATCTTCCGTCAAACGCATCATCTCCAGCTTGACGGCGTAGATGTTCTTAAATTGGAATAAGTCCACCATGATGATGCATCCGTAATACCTAAAGCATGCGGACAAAAAAAAAAGTCTAGTTCACGTTACTCAACTAACAAACGATAGCCACATATGCACAGAGATTAAATTCAAACGCTGCTGCACATACAGGAGATGTTGCATGCACATTCTTGCCAAGGCGGTTTCTACGTCGGCATACTCTGCGATTCGCTTCACAGAGTTAACGCCGTTTATATACACTGTGATCCGCTGCATTGTCATATCCCAATTGACGTCCGCGAGCGCCTCCAGATTGACAGTGGAGATTGGAACCTGGTAATCGTATACCGGCGCTGGATTTGGATATGTCGGAAATAATTTCAAGTTGATTGTGTTTGCAGAATCTAGATACAGGAAAATCATAATGATAACGCAAATAAGATAGAGCCATTGATATTCAAGGGGTTGTACGTCATGCCAGGCTACAGGCTTACCGATAGGGATTTGACATTCACAATAGCTGTTAAGGTCCTCGATCAATTGCTCGATCAGGTTCTGCATCCCGCTCCCGTCGGCTTGCTCTTCCGCAAGCAGAGACGACGGTGATGGCATGCCCTTCTGTGCTGTCGTCGCAGATGAAACTCCGTTTGCAGCGCTAGTGGCACTATTCGAGTTGGATACTGAATATAGTTTTGATTGTGGAAAAGGCGACGATGATGGTGGCGCCGTCAAGACCAATGTGATGCTGCTGTTGGTTATGGACGGTGGCGAGGAGACGATTCCATTGGAAGTGATCGTGCTTGTTCCCTGCTGTGTCGTTTGTGGAACTGGTATAGGTGAAGCCGATTCCATAGGCACTGAGAGGCCACTGGAGGTTAAAAAAGAGGAAGACAGCGAGGTGCCATTGATAGTTTGCGGTTGTCCTAGTGCTGTGGTGGTTCCGTTTGCATCTGTGCTAGAAAAGCTGGCAGCCGATTCTGTTACCATTTCCAGGATGCCATTGCCGCTGTTACCGTTGTTTGATTGGATCAGCTCGGTCATGGAGGTTCCAACTGCCGCGGCTTTACCTGACGCAACGTTAGCCGCATGGAAGCTATTTGCAGTTGAAGCGACTGTTGCCGGTGTCGAAGGAGCGATTGCTGGGAGAGTCGCGTTCACCAATGATCCACTGCCCATCATCGCTAGTCGTGTTTGTCGACTCAAGAACTCACTCTCCTTCTCCAACGCCTTCAAGACGCGAGCCATTTTCCTGACAACGGGCTCGTAGGAGGATGTCTCGGCGTCCTTATCAAAGACAAACGCCAAGTTAAACATGAGCGCATTCCGCTGAAACTTCTTGTGCTCGAGGTTGACGGGAAATCCAATGACCTTGCAAGTCGGGGTCGAAATGGTAACGAGCTTTGAGCACAGCTCGACCTTGGGAATAAGGTACTCGGAGATGGAGTCGAAGTCAACAAGAGGCGAAGACTTTGAAAGGATCGATCCCTCTGGTACCTCGTAGAGCACCTTTGGCCCTTGAATAGGGTGGAAGGTGCAGTAAAAGATTGAGAGTAGTCGAGGGAACCCCATAGTGTCCTGATGCGCGATTAACCTGGCGACCAGGTTGGATGCATCATGGTATAAGGAAGTGTTAATAGATCGATCCATGCACGTGACGAAGCATGTACACGCCGTAGATCTACCCTCCGTCATCTCCGACGTTGGGATCGCGTGAATCGGACTACGACTAGCTAAAAAAGAATGAAGGGAAATAAGGCATCATTTATTGAGCAGGTCTCTTAGTTGATGCACTAAAGCCTTGGAGGAGGCCACTGCTTCTTATTCATCAGTTCGACAATCGTGCGCCCATTGTTACAGAGCTCTTGCTCTGCATCCTCAAAGTCTCTCTTCCTCTGCTCCTTCCGCCGGTGTCTTTCTTCCTCCTCCCTCCTGGCCCTCTCGTATTCGAGTTGGGTGTAAACTTTTGGGTTAAGCACTGCTAGTTGGTCTCTGAGCGAGTCTTGCTCGAAGATGCCCGTGTCATTGTTGTTGCGCATGTTATCATTGTTGATGTTGTCGTTGGAACCATCGTTGAAGTCGACTGTCCGGTCCTCGATGATATCGGCCGACACAGACGGGCGAAGAAAGCGACTGAGCCAAAGGTCATGAAACACACGCTCAGCAAGAAAAATGTGCTTGCACGGAAGGGGTTCACGCTTGGTGAAGTCGAGGCATGAACATGAGAGGAGTTGCCCGGATCTGGCGATGACAACAAGGATATAATACCTGTCTGGAGTGTCGGGGTCAAATGACTGAATGGAGATCTACACAAGAAGGGGAAGTTAAAGTATACCCCACTGTAAGTAACATTTGGCTAAGGCAGGCGAACTTGGAACGGTGCTCGAACGCAAAATGGTTGGTGAAGCCATACCCGTAAGCGTCCATCATCGCAGGGCTGGTCTCTGTTGTAATCAATCTTGCGTTGTGCCTCGTCGAACGAAACCTTGTCTGCTTTCTGTTTCCTCTCCACGTCCCCCTTTCTCCAGGGTATGGGTTGGAAGCCTCTCTTGCTCTTGAGATATGCGAATCGAAACTCTCTATCTACTCGATCCTGCAGCAAATAAACAAGCCGATCGACACGGAGATTCCGATCGCGACCAAGATGATCGCCCTTCAAACGAGCATGCCACGACTCTATCCAATTGTTGGTCGTGACAACTTGTCCATCCTAATGAAAAATAAGAAGAAATAAATGAAACAGATATATGAGTCAACCGGTGGTAGTCGTGATGATTGACATGGAAAGAAATTGAGGTGCACTTCACCTCCCTGTGAAATAACGCCCATTTCTCCAGTCTTCCCTCCTTATTGAACCAGTTCTTCTGAATATAATCGATCACTGACGATGCGCCCGAATAAAGCTCTTTGAACTTGGCCCAGAGTGTCTGCTGCAACTCGGGTGATCTGGCTCTGCGAACCTCGTTCAAAAGGGGCCGCATCTGCTTCCTCCGTTCTTCCTGTGTGAATGAATGCAACACTGGTACTATGTTAGGTCATCCAGAATATTGTTCAAGCATGCCGCATGGCATCAGGCCATAAGAGGGAAGAAGATACCTACCGAGAACTTGACCAACTGTTTCTCCCAGAGCTGACCGACATGAAAATCGCAAAAGTGGATCCTTGCTTCAGGAAAAACAGTCCCAATGGCATGAGACTCGGCCTCGGCACAGTCCACCATGAATGCATCCGTTTTCAAACCACATTCGTTCTTTAGCCAGTCCAACCACCGAATGATGGGATATCTAATGTGTGCAAAGGTGCAAAAGTAAAGACATGTTCAGTCAACTGCATGAAAGAATGACGCGCCACAACGGGCATGATACAGAAACAAAGTAAATACATACCGGGATTCGGACTTGCACGCCATGAAGGCGACAGGGATTCCTTGATGGACGTCCTTGTCCTTGACGAGTAGCGTGATCAAGTACACTGAGTTGTAAATCTTGCTGCCCTCTTCGATCGGCGTGATGTCCTTTGCCGTCTTGTGAGTCGAGTCCATGCAGTAGATAGTGGTGTTTTCGGGAATGACCTGGAACGACGAAGGAAAAGGCCATGGTGAGTAATCTCGCATGACTGAGGAGGAGCCAGTGTGTATACTCAATGTAGAGCATGTATCACATTACTTTCAACTGAAATTTTGTACACCACCCATACGCGAATCCTGTCAATGTTGCATCCTCAACAAACATGGTCTTTCCACCCTTATCCTCTATCTCTCTGAACCAAAGCTTGACGCTCTTGACAACATCCTTGTCCTTCTGATAATCCATCCTTTTTTTTCTGTAGAGTGCTTGTCGAACATGGTCGGTGTTGATAAATAGGCTGCCAGACACAACTCCTTTGGAACGACCATCGGCCGCATCCTCCATCTACATGGTATGAACAAAGGCATCAGATGTAGAAGTTAGCAAAAGAATGAGCTGTTTAACCTGTGTCTGGAAACAGGACACAAGTTAACTCTCTTATCGCTTGCAGGCTCTGTTCATCGGGTATGACCCTGCTCGACAGAGAGCACCAATCATGACCCTCATCCACCATACACCGAATCCACTCGCGCTCGTTCCGAGCAAGAGGCAGTTGTGCGCGATCATCACCATTATTGTGCTTCCACGTGTACCTAACTACCACTTTGCCCTCCTCCCCAACGGGCTGTGCCATGAAGATCTGTGCCATGCAGCATTGACCCACTGACTCGCGCGGGAGAGAAACAATCTTTTCCTTGCGGTGGCGACGGCAGGCAAACGTGAGTCTCCAGGAGTACATGGCCCTTGTGCCTGCAACCTGTTCACACGTTTTGAATGGAAGTGGGGATTCCGGATCATCTTTCTGACTGTAGAAGATGGAGTACTGATTTGGCCTATGTACCCACAGGCCAGTTTGCCGCTCTCCCGCCCACCATGTGCGAAACTCGTCGCATGTAAGAATAAATTCCTTGGTGTTGGGGTCGTTGGTTGAGAATTGCTGAGATTTGTTGTTGATCTTGGGGTCGTACTTGCGGTCGACGATCACCACGTCCTTCAACTTGAGAACAGACATTAGATGGAGCAGATGACAGATGATATGAATTAGCTTTTTTTTTTGGTCGCGTCGAGCACGTGACTCATAAAGTAAAAGGACCACCTCAAACGCGCGATTTAGTCCTTGTTTCCACATCATCCTCTTCTTGCCCCTTTGATCACAATGGGCGTCAAGAACGCTTGGCCTTTTGTGCGCAAGAAGGGCAATGTTCCTGATGCCCAGCCCAAAGTCTCGCCCGTCTCACCCGAGTCCAAGATCCGCATTGACGTCTGCTCCACTCACAACACCCTCATCCGGCACCTGTACGGCAGCACCACCGACCTCAACACAGCGCATCTCAAGTTGGAGTCGTATCTCAAGAAGATTGGCGACAAAGCGCGAGTGCGGTACTACATCGACGGCGAGCCAGCAGTGGAGAAGAAGCAAACGCATGCGGACCGCCACCAACGTTGACAGCATGCTCTCGTCAAGGCCGCCACCGCCATCACCAAGCTGGAGAGCCGCCTTGTCACCAAAGAGCGCATCCGCAAGCACCACATTGTTGATGCCTACAAGAACCTCCGTCAAGCATTCCATTGGCGCCTCGAACATCGCAGCTCTTTTATCGAGTACATGAGCAACGAGGGCTATGACATTGTCCTTTGTCCAACTGAGGCCGATGTGCTTATTGCCAGCGAGTGCCAGCCCAAAGACGCAGTCGTGTCCTGCGATAGCGACTTCCTTTTCTACAAGAACATTCCTACCGTTTGGCGGCCAGTGGGACCATACAAAGCCAGGCAGTTTGTGCCGTACGAGAAGGGTGCCTTGCTCGGGGACCTCGGTCTGTCAACGACGCAGCTGACCGCTCTGGCTATCCTCAGCGGAAACGCCTATATCAACAACATTCCTTATTTGGCGATCAACACCAATGCAAAACTTATCAAGGAGGTGAGCGACAAAGTATATTGCCGGCATCACTTTCCTCCTATCAATCACGATTATTGCGCCCGTATCACTGAACTCGATTACTCTCCTCTTTTTCCTCTCTCTCTCTCTTTCCCTTTACAGACGAGCGCAGCATCGTGCAACAATACCTCGCTCATCCTCGCGTCATACGGCAGATAAACAAGGAGGACGGAGACTGGACCAAGCACTCGTATGCCAGTGCATTCAAGGTGTTTATCGACATGAAGCAAGTCAAGGCTGAGTCTTCACCGTCAACTGCCATTGGTAGCGGCGCCGGCCACTCCGATGCTTCGGTCACGCCTCCGTCGTACGAGTTGCTCCAGGAACGAATGATGATCTTCATGCGCGCCTTCAATGTCTCTAAAACAGAAGCCTACAAGGCCCGAGTCGCGAAAAGGTTTGAATCTTCCCTCCCCTATTTCACCAGGTCAAAATTGCAACTGAGAGAAGAAAGCTGAGGATATACCTTCACCGACCGTGCTCACTCTCCCCAACTCACACACCCCTTTCTCGCTTGTTGTCGATAGAGCCACGGCCACAAGTGCTGGATTGGACTCAAACGCAGAGCCAAAGCCGGTCAATCCCTTTGACACGCTGGACAAGCCGGACCCTGACAGGAGCCACCAGTATCGCCCGCGCTACAGTCCCGAAGTCCGATTTGAGCCGTCCAAGGAGCAACCAGCACCAGCCATCTCGACACAGTACAAGCTCAAGCCTTGGAAGGAGCCACCGGAGAAGCCAAGTCTACCAGAACCAACGAAGAAGAAACCTACGGCTGCAATCAAGACCGAGATCAACGACGACAACCGCTTTGGACGCAAGGAGATGATGGATGCCTTGTCGTTCGAGCACCCAACAGTCACTTTGGACCTTGATCGCCTATCCAGCAACGTCCACGGCGCTGTCGAGGACGACCTTATCGCCAAGACCATCGTCGAATGCATTCGTGGTGCAGTCCGGGTGGCATGGGAGACCAAGAAGCGATGCCAGATGCTCATTGGCCTGTATCTGGAGGACCTCTTCTATCCTTCATCTTCACCTGGTGCCCCTCGCCCTGCAGTGCCCGTGACTGCCATAAGCAAGGACGACCAAGGTATTCTCGACAGCCTATGCCCTCGGCTCTCGTCCAAGGAGATGAACGGCGGCGGTGACGATGTCGGCCCTGCTGGGGACGGTCAAGACGATGGATCCAATGCGCCCTTCATCCGCTCTTTCCTCTGCTTCCTGTACTCGGGTAACCTGCCTGACAAGAGTAAGATCGGTTCAGCTGTCAACACCTTCATTGGTCGTCTACAGGAGATGGGGCATCTGGAGAAGTCACAAGGGGCCAAAGCAGACACGCTCAAGAGTGTCAAGGATTACACGCCGACTTTTGTGGTTCGATCCGTCGCATCACAGCTGTCGGCCGAGCTGAAGAGGCATTACAAGCACGGAGCCAAAAAGTTGTCGGAAAAGGTAATGCACCGTATTCGTCATTTCTTACTTTTTTTTTCATTCTTGTCATCGATGTGGACAACAAAATCGAATTGAATCGCTCGTTTTCTATGTATTACCATAGGTTCAAACGATGATCAAGAAGGGACAATTGGAAAGCGATCGAAAAGTATATTTGACATCCCAGGAACCAGCGATCCAGGTTTTTGTGCGAGCGAATGCAACAACCGGCCGGCCCTGGCGTCTTTCGCCCCTGTCGTCGGAGGAGCATGGGTATATGACATTCACCGAGATCGAGCTGGCGGCCTTTCTGCACATGAGGGACGAGCTGCACCCTATCCTCAAGAAGCTCATTGGCTGCACGGACCAACAGCGGCAGCTCACCCAGGCGGAGCTGACGCAAGACTGGCTCTCATTCCAGGCGCCGGGCGTGTTGATCCAGCGCCTCATTACCCCCATCGACCCAAGGACCCCTGATGGCGATCGCCTGCGTGGGCGACAGAAGAAGGATGCTGGTATCGTGGCAGCCGTCAAGGTTGTCGAGCCTGACGAGATGCGTGCCCATATCAACACACTCCGCTGTGACGGTTTCGATCCCCGAAATTACCAGGAAAAGGGCTATTTCTTGCGCGGCTCGATCAAGACGAATGGCTATGGCTTGCAGCTTCTCGCACACAAGGTCCGCGAGCTGAACTCAGTCAAGTTCAAGCGGCACAAGACCGATGTTTTGCCAGATCGTCTGCTCACCACCACCGCCGGCACGAATGACTATTTGACCGAGGTGCACAATGTCTTCAAGTCCGCGGCCGATGTTGAGCGCCTCCTTGGCTGCACCCTGACGACATTGACAAGGCGTCATACTTGGGCCTCGACCTAGGCCAAGCGTTCGTTGTCGGAGCGTACGGCCATATGCCAAAGGACAAGAGCCCCAAGATTGGCAAGCGACGCCGCCACCGGCAGCAAAAAAAGCGCGGCAGCCGAGGCCATCGCAAAAGAGGTAGCGGCAAGGGCAAGAAGAAGAAGGTCTGTCAAGACCGAGGCGAGCGGCATATCAACTTGGCAGTCAAGCAGAAAGCTGTCGCGCAACCCACTCACAGACATAGGACTTGGATGAATCGGCAGAAGGGCGCCGACTTGAAGATACACTCCAGCCCGTCGACCACCAACACCGAGTCAACAGCACCATCAACGGTCAACCAGCCCTCAACCAGCAGCACGGAGGCAGCAACAACCGAGTCTCTCTCTATCTGCACGATTGAGTCGTCACTCCCACCCCTCCGCGGTTCCGCCGCCGACTTCGCTGCTCACGTGCAGGGACGTAAGATGCACGAGGTCCATCTGGACAAGTTTTACAACGGCCGCCGATTCAGGTCCAAGAAGTTCAAGCGGATGTCGCAGCAGGCTAGGCAGCGCGAGTTCGAATGCCTGGCAGACTCGCTCCTACGGATGATCGGCGGCTCCATTGGCGAGAAGAAGAAGGAGGAGGACAAGGTTGTGATTGGGATCGGCATGGGGCGATTCACCTCCAGTTCGGGATTATCGTCCTTGCATGGGACGTTCGAGGCTTACTTCATCCAGAAGGTAACTATTCGTCTGTTTATTGTGGGCTATTTGCAGTGCTCCAATCTAGCTACTGTTGCTAACTGACATATCCCTCGCGCTCTCTGTTATTCCATCGCGTAGGCGCGGTCGCTCGGATATCTCGTTGTTGGCGTGCACGAGTATTACACCTCAAAGAAGTGCCCAAAGTGCGAGCAGTTTGTCAGCCAGACCGAGAGCATTCGCCGCCTCAACTGCTCCCATTGCAAAAAGTATATGCACCGCGACGTGATGGCAGGACATAATATCGTCAACATTCTGCGCGGCCATGTCGAGCAGCAGCAGCGACCACTTTATCTGCATCCGGTCGACAAGGACGGCCACCACCCCTGGCTGGAGCTACTCAAGGACGCCCCAGATTCGTTGCAGCAAGCAAGCAGCAATGGTTGTCGTACTAGTCGTGCAGGTCGTGCTGGTTGCAAGCGCCAGGCAGAGGGGGATGGCGATGCCAAGGAGACCGGTGGCAAGCGCACCAAAACAACCATGGCCAAGCAAAAGGCAGCGACCACCAAGAACAAGGCGACCACCAAGAACAAGGCGACCACCAAGAACAAGGCGGCAGCGGCCAAGTAATTGGCAGGTCGATAGCTAGACTAGCTTTTTTTCACTTCGAGGTGCTCGCAAGCACCCTTGTCTACCTTCGGGTGGATTTAGATAGCTGCGCAGGCCGATGATTTCACCTTTTCGGTGACGTCATCGTAGTCCGTTGCGCGGATGTCCCGACGTTGAGCGAACCATTGTTTACCAGATCAACGATCAGCACTCAAACCGACACACATCTAACATCAACACCACACAGCAACAACAACATGTCTGACTTTGGAAGCTACGGCGGCAGCTCTATGGTGCGTGCTTCAGAAACTGTTTCTGTTCTATGTTGTTTCTGTTCTATCCGAATTCGCCAGTCGATTGGCAGGTTCAGCGGATCTTGTCAGGAATACGATCGGAAGCAGCCGCATACTTGATCTCGGACTTATGTACTAATGCAAGGCAATCATTCGTTCTTTTATCGACTCTGCATTCAATGGCCGAACGTTATCAGGAGGCCAAGAAGCAGCAGGTTATGGACCAGGTTCGCAGCGAACTTGCCCTTGCCAACGCTCAGGAGTTGATCAACGTACGTATTCGGATGCATTCTCTGCAGACTATGCGGAACGAACTTTAGCACAAACATAGTATGCAAGGACAGGGGATCTCACCTTCATCTGGGGACGGTTCGATGTTTACTTTTAATAGAAAATCAATGAGAAGTGCTTCGCCAAGTGCGTCCCAAAGCCCGGTCCTAAGCTGAGCGGTGGAGAACAGGTGCGTATCTTGCGAGTGTCTCTTGATAAATGCATCTTTTGTATGACCATGAGCTGACCAATTGCATTGTATAAAACGCTTCCTCACCTGCCGACTCCTTCTTGAACGCGCCCAATTATTACAACCATAACGACGACTAAAACGCGACAACTACTCCAATTGAACTATAACGACTATAACAACCACGACTACTGCATCAATTATAATAACTGCATCAACTGCACCAATTGCAATAACTGTACAACGACCACAACGACTGCAACAATAACGTTATTTACTGCTCTACAATGTACCTGCGGATACATTGGGGTCGTTGTTAACTGCAACATTCGACGCTTACATCCAAACAGGACTGTCTTTCCAAATGCATGGATCGCTACATGGAGGCATGGAACATCGTCTCTAGGACCTATATCAACAGAGTCCAGCGCGAGTCGCAGAACATGGGAGGTGCCGGTGGTCTTTAAATACACTTGGCTTTGTCAAATCTGTTTTCATTTCTACTATACTGCCAAATTTTTGTCTCCACCACGTCTTTTCATATTTTTTTCTTGGAAGCAGAAAGTAGTAACAATAGACCAACGTATTTTGTACCACATCGCAATAAAGCCGAACGGACTGCCTATAAACTTTCAACACAGCAGTACGTGATAATGTTGCACAAACGGCACAAAAGGCACAACGGACAGCGGATTGCCAAATTCAATCGATCGCTTTGAAATGACGCCTCTCCATTAGTCTAGTGTTCGAATCGGCCTTATATTGACCCTTGCTATCGATTTAGTGGCACATGAGGACTGGATAATTGGCCTTCGTTGGCCTGGGAGGCCTGGGCGACCTGAGGAATGCAATTGGTCTGTAAAGGAGCATCATGGTGCGGAACAAGGTTGAGAAAGAGAAGCTTTTGTGCAATGAGCACTTCAATGCATAGAATCGATGTACTTCTTCTTACTGCAACTCGCTGCAACTCTTTTTCATCCTCGACCCATCCCGAAAGGTTGACAGCCGAGAATTTGTTTATTTGTTTGATCGTTTCTTAGAGATGAAGTACGAAATATGGGGCCTTTTTCGAAAGGGGCACCAAAATAGGGCGGTTGGCAATTGAATTTGCGGTCAGGCACAGTAGACTCTTTTTTCTTTTTACGCGACCCGACCAAAGAATGCAGAAAAAAATGGGCTCCCATCGTAATACGCCTCGGCCTCATCCGCTTATCGCTCTTTGCTTCTTTCGCATCCTTGCTCATTCATATTTTATCCATGAGGATGTGAGAAAATATGAGAATATGAAAGCCAGCTCGTTGCTGGCACATGCAATTGATGCGGTTTACTATGATTTCTATGGTTACTATATTTCTTATAATTCCTTGCATTTCGATAGACCATGCGAACCTGGTGAGAACACAAGAGACCATAGAGACCATGGTGATGGAAAAGACTTTATATTTATAAAGTTGACCACCATTGGCACCACCGCTGCCACTCCCGAGCTGTGGATGCATCCTCCCTACTTTGACCCCGTTCACCCGCAAAAGCTGCATTCTTCTTCCCGAGGACGGGACAATTTACTTGTATGCTTTTCTTTTCTCTTTCTTAATCAAATTCCTTTGCAACATTCATTCCTTCCTTTCCAACCTACGTGCCTGTCTTTATTGCGTTGATTGCCTTTATTCCCCGTTGCGCCATCGTCCTCTCTCTTGCGCACTCGCCTCGTCTGTGGAACCAAGTCTCTTCATCATAGCAACACTTCCCTTCATACTCATTATAATTAACAATCAACAATGGCATGTCCAGCGGGATTCACATTCGATACATTCTCCCACAAGGGCTCCTTCGCCGCCTGTACAGAGACGCTTCAGCCTGGCGAGCGAGTCATGTTCTATGACAACGATATTGTCTGGAGCACTAAACATTTCCCTGCCAGTCGCCTGGAGCCTCTCCGACAAGTGGGAGACGTCCTTGCGGACAACGCGCTGGAGGCCTTGAAAATCAAACCAGGACAAGACGCTTACAGTGCCCTGCTTGAATACACATCTCGCCCTGAAAGCGAGCAAAAGAGTCCTGCGCCCAGACTACTCATGGAACAGCTGATGACTGTTCCTGAGTGGGTTAACTGGGAACAGGTGCGTAGGGGACAACAGGTTTACTGGTGAGTGATTATCCTCTTATCCTGTACCTTTATGTCTATGCAGTCAATCCAGCTGTCTGCATGCATTCTTCCCGACCTGTGAGCCTTGTACCTTCCATTTGACCCTAACTTTTTTTTTTCTTTTTTTTTCACACTCTTCCCGTTCTCCCGTAAACAGGCGCTACTGTCTATTCATCTCTCATGCACTCCTTCACTTCTCGCTGACTGGCGGTTTTGCGATTCCCAAGGTTACTAAGGTCCTCAACTCGACAGGCTACCTCTTCGGCAAGAGGACCAAGGAACGTGTCTACGAGACATCCCAGTTCGTGGTCGATGTCGCCCATTCCCTCGAGTACCTCCAGCCCGGTACTGGTGTGGGTTGGGCTGCCATTATCCAGGTTCGCTTCCTTCATGCGGGAGTCCGCGCTCGACTTTCGCGCATGAGTCGAGCCCATTCCAAATACTATAATATTGAAGAGCACGGCGTACCCATTAACCAAGAAGACATGCTCGGAACCCTGTTCTCGTTCTCCAACACCATGTGGAGGGTGATGGAGCTCAAGATGGGCGTCAGCATGACATACCAAGAGCGTGAGGACTTTATGCATCTATGGCGCTATGTCGGCTACATGCTGGGTGTCGACGATGTCTTGGGCGCCACCCGTAGCCCTGAACTGGCCGACGCGTGCCTCGAATCGATCTTCCTACATCTGGTCACTCCAGACGAGGAGAGCGGCCGCATTTGCACAACATTCCTCAAAAATATGTCCCCAGAGCCCGTCACCTGGAGCAAAGCGATCACAGCCATCGGGGTCCCAGACCCATTCAAGATTCACATGGCGCTGGCTGAACGGTTGTTGGGGGTCGATTTCTGGAGAGTAACCGGTCTGCCATCCATGACGCGGCGTTACCGGTACGTAACCAAGGCCATCATGTTCCTCCTCCTGCTCGACCTCTGGCTAATCACGAAGGTGCCAGGGTGGTTCGGCGTCCGGAACTCCATGATCCGAAAGGCGCAGGCATGGTGGATTGCGATGTATATTGGCAAAAAACGCTCGAAGTTTGTACTGAAGGTGATGCCGAAGGAGTCGCCGCAGGATTGGAGCGATGCCTCAAGCAATCAAGTAGTCAGCAAATCTACGGAAAAATCGCTCGTTCGTGGACGCGTTTGGCCCATGGTACTGACAGCTGGCTCTGCAGCGATCGGTATGACATTCCTGAGGCGGAGCGGTCGCTCTCGCGCTCGGATGCTTCGCTTCATCTAATTCAGTACATAGTATTCATTCGCAATTGTAATAAAAAAAAGGTCCTGCGAAAACTGGTCAACCAGCCAATCAGTCGCATTACTCATTTCAAACTTTCGTCAGGCTGAGCTGGGACCGTGCTCAGCCTAAGAGAACCGTAGTGTCTATCTTCCATCATTTTCTATACGGCTACACTTTTTTCTTTTTTTTTTCTTTTTTCGCTGCCTTTTGGTACCAACTGCTATCACTGGCAAGCACTTGAAGGATAGATCGAGGTACAAGGGCTGCTGAATATACTTCACGATCAACAATGCCACACAACACCAAGCATTACGACACCCTCGGCGTATCGCCTACTGCTACCGAAACCGAAATCAAAAAGGTAGCAAAAGGTGATCTCAGGAATGAATCTTCATTCTAAATGCAAAAAAAAAAAAAACTTTGAGCCAAGAATGAATTAGCTATCAATTTCTAACCCTCAGGGCCTTGGACAATGCAGGCTTACAGGAAACTAGCCATCAAGTACCATCCGGACAAGAATCCTGATGCCGGGGACAAGTTCAAAGACATCAGGTACCTTTTAGCTGAACGTTAAAGTGCTGCCTGTAATCTAGAAATTTCTACTGAGCGGCAATCTTACGGCTCCTCCTTGTGCATAATAGTCATGCCTATGAAATACTAAGCGATCCAGAAAAACGAGAGTCGTACGACCGATATGGCGACGAAGACCCTTTAGACGTAGCTGGATGGGGTGCCGCCATGGACCCAACGGATGTGTTTGCGCAATTGTTCGGTGATGTTGCTGGTTCCTTTGGAAATCCAATGAATAATAAGCGACCGCGCAAGGGCGAAGATCTGATTCACAAGTACAGTCTCTCTCTGGAGGAACTCTACATTGGGAAGAAGGTCAAATTCTCGCTGCAAAAGAATGTCATCTGTAGACAATGCCAAGGGTAAAATCCTCGTATCGTCGAGTACACGATTGAAAGGCGCCTTGGTCAGTCAAACTAATGAATCGATTCGAATTTCTATACTTACAACTAAATAGCAAGGGCGGTAAACCGGGGTCCGTCAAGAGATGTAGTGCCTGCAATGGCCTCGGTACCAAAGTCGCCACTCGCCAGATGGGACCAGGAGTGATAACGCAGACGCAAAGTACCTGCGCTTCATGTAGGCTGTCTAGGGTCTCTCACTTTTTTTTTTTTTTTTTTTTTTTTAAGTAACCTTAACGCTTATTTCTTGCATAGGTAACGGTGATGGCGAGGCTATACGCGATAAGGATCGCTGCAAGCAATGCAAGGGCGCTAAAGTTGTCAATGAGAAGAAGGCGATGGAGATCTTTATTGAGAAGGGTATGCGACACGGCGAAGAGATCATTATACGGGGTGCAGCTGACGAACAACCCAGCATCGAGTCTGGCGATGTTGTGCTGGTTCTGCAGCAGAGGCCCCATCCTGTTTTCGAGCGTCAAGGATCTGATTTGTTCTGTAAAGTCAGGATCAGCCTCGCCGAAGCTCTCTGCGGATTCTCAAAGATTCTGCTGACCCATCTCGACGGCCGCGGCATTCATGTTGAACAACCTGCTGGGCAAGTTATCAAACCAGGAGATACCAAGCGCATCACTGGAGAAGGAATGCCGCATCGCAAGCAGCCAGTTGACAAGGGTGACCTCTACATCGCCTTCGATATTGAATTCCCGGAAAGCAACTGGTTGACGCCTGAAAAGTTGAAGGTGTGCTTTTGATCCCATGGCTGTTTTTGTCTCTCAAAGCACGACACTGACTTTCTTTATTATACGCTTCTTTTTTGCTCTATACCAAAGCACCTTGAGCCACTGCTACCCGATCGCGGTGAAGCACCTGCGGTGCCCGAGCTTGTTGACCATTACGAACTCTCTGATGCCAGTATGAAGGACTTTGGCGCTAGGCAATCCCACGCTGGCAATGCATACGACTCAGACAACGAATCCGAGGTTTAATACGGCCCGCAAGAAGGAGTACAGTGCGCGCAATCATGAAAGTCCTATAGCTATTTGCATGAATGATATACAATCCCATGCCTCCGCGATGAAATAAAAGCGACTACGTCACATGTCTGGTCTCGACCTCGACCACAACTTCATCTCCCCTCAGTCGTTCCACCGTGCTGGATGCACTCGTGCCCAGCATCGCATCGCCCCTCATCATATTCTTTCCCGTATAGTACATCGCTTTTGTAAAGTATCATTCGCTTTTTCATCGTCGGCCACCCTCTTCCACATATACACATCATGACTGGAACCCCTCCTGGTAAAAAAAAAAAAAAAAAAAACTCAATACCTCGTACTTCGCGTATATTGTGCATCGCCTCTTTTTGAAAAGGATGGGTAAATCATCAAAGTAATCAGTAAGTGTACCCTTCTTCATAACCAACGAACATAGCTGGCTGGGAGAGCCTGAACGAACGGCAGACGAGTTTGCTCATGGAACAACGGAGGGAGATTGACAATGCAGAAGCAGGTATGCCCACAAACACGCCCGTCGGGTCCAAGATCATATCACCATTGTTCTGGTTTGGTGACAAGGCCGTGAATATCAGACACACTTACATGAATGCCCTTCCTTCCCTTCGTCCATAGGCATTCTGAATAATGCTCAATCACTCCTCGGCCCCGACACTGTCAATTCGCTCTCAGGACTCGTCAACCCACAAACTCTCGCCGTTTTTCGCGATCAGGACCGATGGAAGAAGCTTTCTCGAGCAGGATCTCAATCAGCCTCGGTACCTATCAATAACGATGTCTTGAAGATATCGACTTCGTGGACAGGAATCCGATCGCAGCTGGATGCCGAGGGTATGCTTACTTTCCCACGGGTACACCCAATAGAATAGCGCAGACGATCCACAGCGAGTAGTACTTATACTTTACCGTCATCTCCTGCTTCCCAACCAACTTAGAACATTGCGAGCTTTCGGAAAAGGTTTCCCAGTCGAAATCAAAGACACCGACCGCTTCACGTTTGGAATATAAGGAGATGAGGACTTATGGTGGAATGCCCATGTCGGACGACTTGGTGGTGGTTACATGCACCAGCTGCGATAAACCCATGATCCCGAGCGCGTACAAGGAACATCGAGGTGAATATCTTTCGAGAAAGTTAGCTGCTTGTTGTCTGCTTTGTTCTTTTCCGGCATATCATTTAATTTTCTGTGCTTCGGACCTACAGCAAAATGCAAGGCCCAGTTGGCTGAAGCATCAGCCGAGTCACCTTTGGTGATTCGAACAGATATCCAGGACAAGAAGGCAGATACATCCAGAATAAAGAAGAGGAAAGAGTCTACGACTATGGAAGGTAATTAAGACTGATCAAGTTCATTAGTTGACATATGATTATACCTGCATGCGATGGAGATCAACTGACAAGCGTTTGTGTTGGAATAAAGAACCTGAGACGCCATTATCAACAGTCGAAATGTCACCGCCACCCACTCCTGAGAAGAAGCCTCACGAAAAGAAACAAAAGGTTGCGAAGCCGCCAAAGGTCAAGCCTCCTGGTCGAATTAAGGGCCCATTGGACCTGGACAAACAGTGTGGTGTGGTTATGATCCCTGGTGGACCTCCCTGCGCTCGCTCACTGACCTGTAAAAGTCATTCTATGTCCTCAAAGCGAGCAGTGGAGGGTCGTTCTCGGCCATATGACGTATTGCTTGGAATGTATCAAAAGAAACCTGTACCAGGTACGTTTCCATTGTACTTGCTTTCGTGTGAGATGAGGCATCCTTCTGGCCGGAATATTAATTTTGCTTTCTTACTCAAATAGTCAAAGACGAAAAGGCCAACCGAGACTCTGAGGTTCCTCTTGCCGAAAAGGAGGATGTTAACGTGGATTCAGATGAGGAATATAACGATCTACTAGATGCAGTTAGGAGTTACGAACCACAACCCTTGGCTACGCGCCCGACGACATATATTCGCAGACGTAACAAATGCCACAGGATCCGGGAGCTGCTCATGGATGCACTCAAAGGACCATGCAGGCCGATTCTTCCAGGCGGATCGGCGCACGAACAATCATCAATGCACCTTTGAATTTAAATTGGTTTTTTCATGCCTGCTTTTTCGCTATTTTGTCTTTTGTGCATGACGATCGTCTTGGTCTTTTTGCTTCCTTATTCTCACTCTTGTAAAATCCTGTACTTCTAATTGATCGCGAATAAACTGAGCTGAAGAGCGCACGCCGATTTCCCTCCAAATATTCCTTTCTTGAAGCAATGATGACAGGGGCCAAATCATGCTCTTTGAAAGCCAGAACATGGACTAAACGACGCATGTATTCCTGCAACATCTCTGAGTATGCCAAAGCGTAGATCTTGAAGTTCATTAGACTCTTTTCCGAGAATAGTCAAAGCCATATATTTGTTGGGTCTGTAGAAAGATGAAAAGGGGCGAAATACCTAAGGTAATCCGCTTCCTGCTGTATCCTGAAGTACAAAACGGCTCATGTTCTCAGTCTGGTTTGCCTCCTAGTAAACTTCTCTCCCATGGCTTTTTTAGCATACTTATTTTTTTTTTCTAGGAGGTGGAGCGCAGACAGTTCATGAACAGATCGTAAGAATATGAATATGTGTAAATGGGAGGGATATTACGCTTATTGACAGGCCCAGTGACAGGAATAATATCTCCTGGGATCAAAGACGGAAAAGTGAGCGCTGATTGGGACCAAGGGCACTTTTCGTCTTTTACTTGTTAAGTTGAGCAGGGAGAGCGGCCATCCACGCTTTTTATTTCCTCAACGACCTGCACCCCGTCTGCGCACCTTTTCTCTTCTTCGTGGATATTCTCATCACGAATCGTGATTCCTCCGAACATGCAGGTCTTGCCTCGTATCCTTTTTTTTTTTGTTTGCGCCCATCAGTATATCGTTTAAAGGGGTAGACGATTCGCCCTGTGTGCTTTCCCAGCGGTAGTAAGTATTGCATAGTTCAGAGGTAATCAGCTAAGCGAATTTATATACATTAAAACATGGTGGCCGCACAGTCATGGTCTTTCGAGAGAACAAGTAAAAAAAAGAGTCGCTTCAATAATCAGCGTCGCAGATTTCTAGGGATTCTCAGCTCATAGTTGCCTGTATTCCTGCCTTTTTATGGATCACTTCAAGGCGCACAACCTACTGACGAGAGGAAGGGAGGCTCTCCGGTGTATGTGGCCTGTACATTGAGAACTGCTGTGCTTCTGTAAGAGATAAGCGAGTTGCCTGAGTGAACGAGTATAATGATTTTTTAGGAGGCAGAGGTAACAAGATGGACTGTAGGACGGAAGATTCAAGTTGAGCTGTCTATGTATTCATCCATGCGCGTGCAATCAGAGAGCGAGAGTTTGAAAGGGTTTGTGGATAATGAAAGCCGTCGTTGTGTTTCCTTACTGTAGTCCATTTAGTAGTGTCGATGTTTCCCATCATCTTCCATCCTCCTTGCGGCGAGTTCTCCTAATACTCTGTATCCAAGGTCAAAAAATGAGCAGCAAGGATCCTGTGGTGGATATGCTATCGTGGCATCGGATCTCATCGGACACTTTATTTTAAGTAGACCAGATATCACGCACGAGGATCTTGAATTGTTTCTTTTTTAAAGAAAAGAAAAAAAACTCCCTGTAGGAGTAGACCAAGTGTAATAATTGGAAGAGGCTCTTTCTTGTACGCGTCCAAATGGGATGGTGGTGCAGATGCAGATGTGGTCTGTGCGCAAAGGCATGTCTGCACTGCTGTGGTTTTTCATACATACTGTGCACATGTTTATCGACAATGCCCCAAATGGGCATATTGCGTGTATAGGCAAGTGTACGAGTATGCGCAAGTGTGAGCATTTTGCGCATGCGAAGGCCCACTCTGTCTCGTCCTGTCTTTTCTTTCTGTTTCTACTTTCCCTTCTTGTTTCTCCTTCTTTCCTCCTTCTTTTCTTCACCCCATCGCACAGGACTGTCATCCACGCCACCACTCTCTTGTCGCGCATACTTCTCCACTTCTCTCTCTCTCTTTATCTTATCCTTTCATTACTTTTTCCCTACTCCCTGCCTTCTTGTCTGTCTGCACTACTCGCATCGCTCGCTCGCTCAATCCAGCCATCCGTTCAGGTCAAACGCCTCAGTCAACTATATCCTCATATCATACAGTACAAGACACACGTTACACGTCGACATCGACTCTTAATAGCGCTGCACAATCGACGGCATCCAACCTCGTCAAGCACTTGCGTTGCGTCTTTGCCACCAGTCATTCTCTAATCTCTTCAAACTCGACATCCTCAAAGTCGTTCTCTACTTCACGTATCTCAAACGCGACGTCAGTAGCAAGCTCACCGGCACAGCACATGCCTGATCTACAGCGACATACTGTCGACCTCTCGGCATGGTCTTTTTCGGCGACGATGCAGTCAGACGATGCAGTATCCAAGCAGAAGCCAGATACCTCTGACGAGAGCATGAGCGAAGGATTTAGTAGAGGAGTACCAATGTCACAACTTCCACTCTATGCAAGCATCTGGGATCAGGTACGTGCAACCGGCTCACATTCAATGTACTTGGTCCTGCAGCGGAGATGGCAAAGGGACACACCGCTCATCACCGCTAGTCATCCTATGCAATGAAATCCTACGGCAACCATCCGGTATAGACCGATCCGATCTGTCCGCTCATTGTAGTTCAAAATGTGTGTCTGTTCAACTGGCAGGGATGAGAAATTAATGCAAACGCCAAACATCCCTACACTGTGAGCAACTTCCCCCCTGTGCCATCATTCTTTATATCCACACGCCTCTCTCTAATGCCAATCCTCCGCTCGCTCACTCACTTGTTCCATTTAACCACATACTCTTCTGAACGCTGCCGCGAATATTTTATATCTCTCACCTGTCTTTGAGTATGTTTCTCCGAAGTCTTGGCAGAAAAGATAACCAGCACGTCGCAGATGCCCACACCCCTATTGCTCGTTATAATTTTTGTTGTCAACCATCGTGGGCCCCTTTTTCATGAGATTATTAGAACGTTGCAAAGATGTCCTACTATAGGCGCTCCCTCTCTCCTTCGGTGGCGGATCCTTAAATATTTGAGATTAATACAATTAACATAACCTGCCGAACATTCTCTTTCGTGTTCAATATGCCTTCGTCTTAGCCTAACTCAGTCTCGATGCACAAGCAGTCCAAATCGCTTCAAATGGACTCTCTCCGTGACAACCCCATCTTACCAGTACCCGCCGCGGATATTGTCCAGGAGCGGTGTACTGGCCGCGATTTGTTGTACGATAAATTCAAGGATTCAGAGGAGCACAAAAGAGGAACAGGGCCCGTGCAGCCTCGGGATGAATCAATGACTACCTCGACGTTTTCGCCTATGATCTACGACGAGCTACTACGTTCCGCTTCCGAGGGCAGCTCTACCCCGTGGATCCCCTCCAACCAGCATCTGCCAGCAAAATTCCGCTCAAACGCGCAGCAGCTACCTCCACTATCCAGCTCTAGTCGCCATAACAGCCGTGTTCTTCCCAATCCTATCCAACCGCCAACGACCGCTATTGCCCAAAAAATGAACACTGACAAGCAGGGCTGTATGGACGAACGGCCTACTGAGGATGCCATCCGATATGGACGATCTGTACCCGGATATGACATTTGGACGAGTAAAAGTAAACATCAGATAGCGGGTGGTATATCGGCTGGCCAGCGCAGAAAGTCAGAGTCCGTGTTGCATGATATGGCTGCGATCAACCTCGATTTCTTGTCGGGGCAATCAATCTTCAAGACACCGCCCAACGGGCGGGTGCAGTCTTCAAGCCAGCAAAGCATTGTCAGTGCGAGTCAGCACTCGTCTTATAGATTCGTCGGAGAGAGCCTTCGCATCAATCAGCGATCGGATCCTTTATCGTCAGAGTATCGTCCGCTCTCACCGGTGGACCGAGGCGCCGAGACCACTGGAAGCGATTCACGGGCACCCGTCTCTCAGCTTCAGATCACACAAAGTGATATTCGTCCCCATTTCTCGAAACTGCACTTGTCGGAGCACACATCCACGGCTTATTGCAGCAGCAAAGACTCCTATGCGATCTGCGATCTCTGCGGTGTTCAGCAGGCGACTGTTCATATGGGCAACTGTGGGCACAGGTATAGTTTTTGCAATTTTAACAGTACATTTGACCAGCTCGCAATGGTTTCCGCTAACAACGGAATCAATGGACACGGTTAGGATGTGCAATGTATGTTATGGACACGAAAGGCACCAGGCAATGCGCCTCTTCCGGGATGCGTCGCCGCCTTGCCCCTTCTGCACGCACCTTGTGATACCAGCGAAGATACAAGGTAATTCGGAAATCCGTCTACCGGAGGTTGATTCCATCAAGCAACAGCGCCATCTCTCGTTGCCCCAACTTCCGCAGCAATACCGTGGCAGTCAACATGTGCAGCAGCAGAGGTACAATAACCAGTTGGCAGAACGAGCAGGACAGTTCGGCCAAGTATCTCTGCGTTCGCATAAAGCTTCCTATCAGCATCCCGCGCCAGGGTTACCGCTTTTGCACTCAACAGCGGTTGCACCAAATGGTCCTCGTCCTCGGCCGAACCAGCAATATCCACTATACATGGTCGGTCCCTCAGGAGTGAACGAATATGCGTCAAATTTCCAACCTATGGAAAACCATGGCCCTCAGCAAGATTCAAATATAGGACTTTTTAGCCAGCCTAATCATTCCTTGGGTACCTGGAGCGAAGACGGGGATTCTGAATATAGAATGCAGGAGTTGCCGCATTTACAGTATCAGCCGTTGCAGCAACATCACACACGTTTGCAGCAGCAGCGCAATAGCTACAATCACACATTTCAGGCACAGCATGGAGTGCACGGACGTCAGGCGTATTCGCATTATGGAGGATATGGCAGCGGTGGCAAAGGGATGAACTTAGATCTGTCCCCCGCCTCGTTCCCGTGCTTGCCGAATCTTCCACCGGCAGTTCCACCGGCAGTTCCACCAACAGTTGCGAGAACAGAAGCGATCCAGTGGGCCGTTGTGCGCGTTACTAATGTAAGGTAGTCTTTGGTTTGTTTAAGAGATGTAGAAGCTGACTGAACTCCAAGGTATCAAGTATCCAATCGTAACGTGTTTTTATCTTTACTTAAACGCAATGATAGATTCCATGGGACGTCTCGCTTCAGGACATGGTTACATTCTTCTCTGGAGTCCCCCATCCGCCAGAGCATTTGCTGTCCCAGAATGTGCACATCCTTATGGACCGGGGTTCAGGCAAGACCTTCAACTCTGCCTTCGTGGAGTTATCCATAACGCCTCACCAAGCTGAAATTGTTGCAAGCGCTCGCAACTTGAAGGTGCTGAAAGGAAGAATCGTGACGGTCAAGCTGTCGAATCAGGATGAACTCATGAGATCTGTCTTCCCGAAGTGGGTCGGACAGTTCGTTCATGGCGAGCCGTTTATTCCTGAAGAGCAGATGGAGTCGCACATAGATTCTTCCAGTGATCCTAGTATGTCCGTGAATGTATTGTCAGGGCCTATGTCCGCCGAGTGCACCGAGTCGGCTGCCGATGAGCGACACCACCATAATCTGTCATCTAGCAGTTCGAGGGAGTCGATCTCCACAGCCTACGGCCTTGCAAGCGCTGCGCCCACAGCGGCAAATACGCCACCATTTGTCACGCGAGAAGAGATCAACGCATTGCTGCTTGTTTGCCGCAACTACAAGGTACCTATGCGATGACATGGTTTGCATAGGCGAGGAACGGCATTTATCTTTATAATTCTTCTCTTGAAAACAGGGCTAACATCTACTCTCAAATTCTCCACTGACAATATCAAGCTGCATTTTTCTCGAAAATGCGCAGAGCGGCCGTTTGAAAATATTCTTTCAATCATGGCCAAATATCCATGGCATAAGCCCTACCGCGTCCTGCCACTTCATCGTGATCATATATTTGAGCTCCTCAAGCTTTCGATTGAATCCCTCAGGCTGCATCTTAGCAAAGAATACAATACAATCCATCCGACGCTTCTGAATCGCATGGTCCGCTCTGCTATCCTAACCCCTGCCTTTACCGAAAGACAAAAGGCCATGGTGCTGCACGTCGCAGGGCATCTATGTCCCGAGGATATTATCGGCTGGATGACGCCTCAAGCCTCAACCGATGTGGAGGCTGACTCGGTCGTGCAAAACGCGAGCGCGGACAAGAAGACGGAGTCAGAAACGGACATCGAACAGCAGGTTGAGAATCTAGACTTCTCTGGAGATTTGACCACAACAATCAGCGCGGGTTCAGAGTTGTGGTTAACAAGAGGCGGACAATTGGCGATGGCGCAGGAGCCGATTGATGCCTCCAAAAACAATCAAAGCGCTACTGCGGTCACTCCGCTGCTGGTGGGCAAGCAGCACGGCATGGTAAATGTTGTGATTGCTGTTGAGCAGAGAAGCCCTGAAGAGTCATCGAACGGACCTCACCGACAACCGAATATCCCTGCCACAACACCCGATATCTACACTCTGCAAGAGAATTCGAGATTCTGGAATGCCGGTCTTCCAAAGTTAAAGGCGTCTATGATGAGATCCAAGTCCTCATTGTCATCTGCCTCGTCGTATGCTTCGTCGTCTGATTCTTCCTTGCCGTCGACGCCAACTCATGAGTCCCTACCACCGCTGTCGCCAATGCTGTCTTCTGCAACCGTGCCGACTACAGCAGCCCCTGAAAGCGGCGAAAAAACTAAGAATGACACCATCGTGGACGCCATCAAGGTCATCACGCAATCGACGCCACGTCTGGCGAAACCATGCACGGTGAACCAGATGGGCGCCTCACTAGTCTCGAGGGCCAACAGCGCTATGGTCTTCCGCCAGTAGCAGCGCCGTGAGGTATATGAGGCACTCTAAGGGGGAAAAAAGTGGTGCTCGGCGCTTCGTAGCCCCATGCATGTACACTGTATCCCTTACATTACCATATTACCAACCTTCTCCTTTGCAGATTGCACTTACAGCTCGTTGGCTTTTCACCAGTTTCATGCACTATATATTGCTCCCTTTCTATCTTTAATGACCTACTGCGGGTTGCTTGCTCAATAGATACAAAGTGCACTAGAACCAAAGCGCCGACACCAATAATACACTGAAAATATAAATGCTTTGTCTCCTGGTGCCATGTAATTAAAGTGTATATCTGAAGTTTGGGTGATCGCCAGCTTCACTGAACTGTGCATCGGACATGAATTGAATATCAGTCAAGTCTGTAGCCAGTCTCTTGTCGCGTCTTTAATTCTCTCGCGCGAGCATAGTTCGAAGCAGAGTAGTGGTGAGAATCAAGAGCATTATACTGCCTGCCATCACAAGATGTCCGCGTTCCGCAGAAAAATTAAGAGATATAAGAATGCGGCGAAAGTACGAGGAGCCGATCTGGAGAGGGGACAGAGAGGAAGAGAGAAAAGAAAACTTACCAAAGCGAGGAGCATCATCAGCGCGGTAAACTTGGGTACCTGCCATGGAGGCCAAGCCTCCGAAGGAGACTCCCATGGCCAGGGCGGTGGCGCGCTTTGTATGTTCAATGAAATTGTTCGTCAGCCAGGAAGTCAAGACGACACCTGTGGGGACCATACCACAGAGCGCTAATGTTACGGCTAGGTATTTGACTAGGAAGGCCAAAGGAATTTGAAAAAAGTCAGTTCGAGCACAAGACCGAGTACAGAGTCTGAAGGTATCTGGAGCAGAGGCGAAAAAGACTCACGCCAAATCAACGACGAGAGCGCGAGCAGAAGGAATCCAAGGACGGCGATGGTCGGGACGAGGATGACAAACCAGCCACGAACATTAATGCGGTCTGACCACCAAGGAATCAGAAGTGAGATGACTGCAGTGACCAGGTAAGGCGGCGTTGTCAGTAGTTGAGCGGTCGTTCTAAAATGAAAATACGGGGCGGTGGTTCAATGTTTCGTAAAACAATATTGTACATTTTAGGGAACGTTGGATCCATAGATGCTTCCGAGCATGCGAATACGGACTTACGCCTTGAAACCTAACTCGAAAATGAGCGTCGGTAAGAACAAGGTCATGCCCGAATGCGCCAGATGCAGAAATATCTGGCACAAACAAATCAAATAGATCTTAACGTCCGTTAACGCGGCCTTTGTCTCCTTCCAGGATGCCTGGGGAGAAGGATGAATATTCGTGTCCATCAGCACCCGGTTTACTGCATAGATACGTTCCTCCGGTGTCAGAAACCTGACCTCTTCGGGTGAGGGGGTCAGGACAAGCCAGGTGAAGACGGCCAAGAGGACCGTCGGGATGGCTTCGAGAATGAAGATCCATTGCCAGCCTTTGACCCCTAGTTTCCCAGAGAGGTGCGAGATTCCAGCGGCGAGGAGGCCGCCGATTGCACCGGCGAGGATATTAAAACTGAGGAAGATGGCGATTCGGAAGGAATGCTCAGAGCGTTTGTAGAAGAGGGTGATATAAAAGAGTACACCTGGGACGAAGCCGGGTAGGATTAAGTGGAGCATAAGAAGTATACGCGGTTAGAAATGTCGCTGTAAGGAAGATGCATGCAAGCTGAGGCTGTAATAGTTACCTTCTGCTGCACCAAGAGTGAAACGTGCAATGATCAAGCCAGTGAAAGATGTCACCCAGGCGAGTACAAGACTAATACTTCCCCTTATAATGAAAACAAAGATCAACGCGTGTATTAGATGAAACAGTGAATGGACTTGGACAAACGGAACGGACTTCAGGCCTACTAGGCAACCATGAGGGTAGGAATCCAGATCCGAGGCCCAATGTGCACCAGAACCATGTTCGAGTGGATCTCGAAAATACAGTACCCCAGGAAGAACGCTGCCAGGGCGCTAGGTCGAGTGGGGTCATGTACGCGTACATCCAATCAGTCAGGCAACGCTTCGAGGCCATGATCAATTACAACAAGCGTCCGTTTAAAAGCAGAGCAGGCGGTCCGCTTCCGTTTACATATTATACTGTCCATCCGTTAACTTGATATCCTCTTCCAACCCAAATAACCTCGCATTACCAATGTTGACCCTGTCCAGGTATGAGAACAAGTACAAGATCCCGAGCAACGGCAACAGGATTCCAATCGAGCTTTTTCACAATCCTTCTCTCAAGCTCCGTGTCCGGTTGGAACACATAATCGCCTTTGTAAGGATAGCCGCTGTCTTGGTTCTTCTCGCTAGGGTCATCATACTCGCGCTCGTAAGATGGTTGGCCTAAGTAAGATTTGGTCCGATACATTTCTAAGGATCCACCGACCTTGTGGCTATTTCGTTGTTGAGTAGGAGCTGGAGCGGGGCGATCGTATGAGAAGTATCCCTCATTGGGGCCTCTGCTTCCACGGCTGGCCATGGCCTCGGTGCCGTATATCTCAGCCTTGTCGCCGCCTCTCCAACCCGAGATGTTGCTCTTGATGTTCCCCATATAATATTCCTCGAAAACAGGGCACAGGTCTCTATCAAAATAGTCATGACGACGAATCCAGTCGAATCGGTTTGGATAGCATTGAGGTATATTTTTGTGGCACGGAGATTACAGAGCTGGGAACGATGGCTGAATCGAGAGTCGAAGGAGAGGTGGAAGGGGTGATCGTAATGTTAACCTTGGCCGGTTTCGGAGCCTCCATTGTAATTAGTTTTTCTATGCGTGCTAAAAAGAAAGAAGTTTCAAGAATAATAGTGCTAGTTGTAAAGAGGAAAATAGAAGTTTGAAGGACCTAAATAAAAGGTAAAGGAAGGAGGATCGGATGGAAGAAGATATTCAACAATCAGATATATTCTTCTTTTTTGTTAAGTGTGCGTATGGAATAGAGGCGAGGGACTTATAGTACGACGGAGCTAAGTAATGAGAGCCAGTAAGTTGCTGTGCTCAGCTGCTGTCAATGCTCCTGCTGCTTTACTGCGCATATTATACAGATACATGATCTTTTTAGCATTACATCCCTCAATCAGACCAGGTTCTCCCTTTAGGATCTTTCTGAAAGATCCATTGATAAGTCATTCTTGCATTTGTGCTCCGTGTGTTACTACTGAGGTGGTGGTGGAAGATGAAACGACCGAAGTGTGGTTCCATCCAGCGCCAGGTACTGGGTATAATGCCCGTGTATTGGGTCGATGATGGTAGCACAAGAAATGTCGTGTACATGCTCATTGGCTGAGATGGCGCGTTGCTGAAACAGACACGCTAGCAGCTTGGTTAAAGCTCGGTGTGAACTGCGCGCTCTAAATGCGATACTCGCCCCTCGTTTTTTTAAGATTCGTATGGCACACACACCGAGTGCCTTCCGCTTCGTCCTTTTCGTCATTCGCTTTTACTCCATTCCTACCATTCTCTGTCTCATTCAACTCTCATCCCTCCCTCATTCCTCGCTCACTAACATTCGCACTGAGGCATTTCAGTGCTTTTTTTCTTTGTGAAACGTTTACGGTGAGTATGCGTGAATGGCTATCCATGGCCTTCTACTCCCCTGTGCCTCCGTAACTACTTCGCCATTTCTCAGACGGGGCCACCTGTGGATCATGTTTGTCTGCCCATAAATGGATTTGAATACCGATATCACGGCTGTAGGGCGAGGATCATTTGGGATTCTCCACTCTCTTTACGTCCTTTATGAAACACATCCGACGATCAAACCTGTTCCCCTGGAGCATGCAAGACACGACCAGACATTTGACAGGACAGTAATACCAATTGCACACCTTGGAACCAGTAGCGCCATGAACTTTTGCAACAGCCGATGGGGGTGCTGGCAGGACAATATGATGTTCACGCGGACTCGCTTGCTTAATCCTCCGTAGATCGTAACTGCGATCGTTGTTTTTTATGCTGCTGATGCATCTTGTGCCAAAAAGACGTTGAACGTATGAGCACTATATTTATCCCTCTGTGTGCATCCCTCCTTGTGGTTCGTGCGTCTCTTTGCTTCCCTTAAGGCTCCCTCGCGCCTTACCCTGTGTTAATTTTACTATTCTGGCACACTATTCTCTTCCTCGTAAACGGTTGATAAAGCCGGATTCATTCCTGGGGCAGGCATTGGCTACCGTTCATGGTTCTCGATTTGATATGGTCATCGTCCGCCTTTAGTAACCCGGCTCCAGTGGCGTGGATCATCCTCCGGGCCCCTCTTACTCTCCTCTGCGCATACTCTCCACCACGGTTCGTCGGCTCGTTTCCTCCCCCCTCTTTTCGCAACTCGAAATGTCGTTGTGGGGATTTGCCGCCCAGGCCTAATGCGTGAGGTCCTTCGCAAAAAGGCTGCATCCCTTGATTGTATCCCGCTCTTAATTGCGCCCTGAATATCTTGTTGTTACTCCCCTTTTTCCTTCATTGCCTCCATTATTGTCTCCTCTTTTTTTATTGAGGTGCTCGATATCCTGCTTTCGTATGCACACCCCTCCCCGACTCCTGGTATTTCTCTGCCTCAAATACTGTAAGTCGCGTTGTACCCCGCTTTATAATCGGCGCGCGGGTGCTTTGAGACAACTGGGACCTCCATATAGCATTTAGAGTCTTGCTCGCTCCTGCTATAGACGCTCTATCAGGCTAGAATAGGACGACGATACGGATTTATCTGATCGGATACACCTGTCATCTCTGAGGAAAAACTTTGCCCTTGCCCCTCATTCCTTGTGGGCCCTCCGAGGCTTGATATCGATGATTTGCTGACTTGAGGACTGACCACTGCATGCTGCTTGCGTGCATCATTTTTATTCATTTCCTTGACGAAATAGCATCTCATCTCCTTGCCTCCTCTCATCAGCGTTTTGGCCTTACACGCTCTCTAACCACGGTAGGTCTTGCAATTTGCCATTGCCTATCTTTATTACCCTTTTCCCTTTTCTTCTCCCCTTCGCAATCGACACAGATACACAGATGAGGAAAAAGGCGCTCGATCCTTCATTGTTTGGAGTTGTCCTCTATCCTTTATACAACCTATCCCAATTGTTTGATCGGGTATTTCATCGGTGGGACAAACCCAATTCGGGCTCCTGGCATATCTCCTTTGTGGTACAATTATGGCAGATGCACTTGTGCATGGTTGGCCAGTGCTTAGTATCCTGGTCCATCTAAGCGTTCATTCCCTTGCTGCACCTTTTTCTTATAACCACGGCAGACTTGACACCGTTCCTCTTTTCTTTATACGATTATTTCCGCTTTATTACTTAACCTAACCCGCTAAACTTTGTCACTGCTTTCTTACTTTCCCTTTGCTTTGCTTACCTCTTGTTCGTCCGTCTTATAATCAACGACCCCTGCTCATTTGCATCGTATCCCACATTTTTATCCGCCGTTTCTGGATCTTTGTCCACTTCCGAATTATTGGACCCTAACAACCGCACGGATTCCTTCAAAAATCAATGTTATCAAACAGAGCTCTCGCGTATCAGGACCCGAAAACCAAGACATCTAGCGACCAGAGAGGTTTTCAAAATAGTCCTGATCATTCTCTTGAACAACGCGATATCGCAGAAGCCCCTTCTTCTTCTCTCAAGGCATCCGGCTCAACAGCGTGTAGTCCTGCTGTGACAGAATCTATTGTCTCAAAACCGGTGCTCGCTACTCAGAACTCGTTCTTGACTACGACATCGAGTGCATCGTCCTTTCTGTCGTCAAAGCCTTTTACAACTTCAACGCCTTCTTCCGGCTCTTCTTCACCTTCACTCTCTGCACGCGCGTTCTCGACAGCATCGACAAAGAACACGTCTTCGTTCCAAAAGGCCGACTCTGTTCCTGCGACTCTAAATACATCGATAACGGCCGATACCATCAACAAGGCAGAGGTGCCAACGACAAGTTCATACGGCTCAAATAGTCCTAGAGAAACTGCTTTGACCAAAGACAATATCCCCACAAGTCCCACAGCTACACCTACCAATTCTACTTCAAACCAGAACCGTGGGTACCTCTCCACCATGTATAGCAGCAATAACGATAACAACAGCAATGGCGTCCTGCGCAGCCCTTCGGTCAGTAGCGCCAGTGGCAGCGGCAGCGGCAGTAATGATGCCTCAACTTCGATTTCGTCTGCGACGACAATCATAACCAATGTGGGTAGTATGACTGGAGGACTTGGAGGTTCCTCAGGAGTGTCGGACGTCAAGCTAAAGAGGTTTTTGGAACACAATCAGCGGCTCAAGGAACAGCTCGAGATGCGCCGCATCACCGTCTCGGAGGCGAGTCAAAGGTAAGGAAGAGAAATAGAGAGAAAAAAAAAGACAGGGTGCATTGTGAGCCGATATGCGTTTTTATCGCACCACTAGACCACTAGACGAGAAAAAACTGACGTAACTCACTTTTGTTCTTAACTCGATGATAGCTTGATCAAGTTTGTTACGAGCACCAAGGACTCCTTGATGCCGAATCAGTGGGGAAACGCATCTTCGGATCCCTTTTTGAAACAGTCTTCTGGATGCTGTACCGTTTCTTAAATCGGGCGTCCGTTTATTTTTCATAGGTCCCCTTTAGTATGCTACTGCTGCTGCTTCTTTTTTTTTTTTTTTTTTTCAACCATCTTAAAGTTACATAGTAATACTAGTTTGCAACAGAGGCAGAACTACAGGAGTATACGAAAATCCTGTGGACCAAGTCCTGTCAGGTTCCTCAGCCGCTAGCTGGCCGTGATGCGAGAGGAAATAACAAACCCCTCCCCCTCCCCCCCTCCCGTTTACATGCAGTCTTTAGACTGGACACGATAGCTGTTAGACATCCGATGGAAATTCTATCTATTTTTCAATCTTATTTTTTGTTCCGCAAATTGAGATGCGAATGTATGACACGAAGCGGAGCAAAAGTGTTCTAAGCAGCAAGTGACAGAATTACGTTTTGCATTTTTATTGTAAGCCGTTTGTGTTGTCTCCAATTGTCATCTCATGGGAAACTAAAGTGGTCATTAAAGCATTTTCTTCGTCTGATTTTTTCTCTCTGGGGAGGGGGGTTTTTTTTTTTTTGTCCGTAACGTCAACGACCAACGTCTCCATAGATCAATAAGCGAGGTGAAAAATGGAAGGGGTATGTACAGTGTAGTAGAGTTCATTAACGGGGGGGAGGAGGGGCAAAATGAAATGGTCGTATAAAAAAAAAAGAAGGATGCCTGGCAAGATTTGCGTCTGCCGGGTGATGATGAGCAAGAAAGGTATGGGATGCAGGAATATGAAAGAATACAATGAAAGAGAAAAGAAAAATACGCGCAGGCCATATGCAATCTGCGCGTTGCAAAGTCAAAGATATGCAGATTTTTAAGCGCGAGGCGGCGACAAAGTCACAATGAGGTCTCCAACATCCTCGACGTCAATCGATTCCGTCGCCTGGTGCAGCTCGCCCATCGCGCTCGCCATCTACGAAGTGCCATGGTAGATTTTAAAAAACATATTAGCAAAAGAAAAAAAATCATTCAACGATACTCGATCCAGATGCAAATATTGAGGAAGGAGACATACCCAGCCAACCGTTCGAGGATCCACGGTCTTCTCGGCCAACACCTCGCGCACTGATGGTGCCTTGACAGAATTACCCGACGATGTTGGCGAGTGCTCCTTGTTATTAGCCAGGTTTGCTGTACCCATAGCAGCCTCGAGCACACTATTCAAAGGCGGCATATCCGCGCCGGAGGATGCCTTGACAGAGGTCATACTGCACAATTTGCGAATGGTCTGTTGAGGAAGTTTGACTGTATTAAGGGCAGAAACATATTCGTTCGATCGATTCTGGGCCTCTTGTCGCTGCAACCTCTCGAGATGAAGTGTCGATGGAATGTCAATCAGGTTCCTAAAGTAAGGAGAAGAAGAAATGTCGAGAGCAAGGTTGGTTAGTGATCAGAGCACCATATAACGCTCCAGTTTCCTTTGAAACGAAAAGCACGTAAGCTCCCGTTTGGCTATTTATATGCGCTGTATGCGACGAACGGAGGTGGGCGAGAAAGGCAGGGCATTGGGCATAGGAATTACTCGGTCGACCCATATTGGCATCTTTTCACAAGGACAGTGCTTGTCATGTATGGAACTATATGAAGGCGATGAAGCACCAGTCATAGCGTAGATAAGGAGGTATAGGGTAGAACTAATTGGCCATTCTGCCGGCTAGGGCATAGAAAAGTAGTAGCGGGATACGTAGCTGGAAGAGTTGAACAATATGCAATTCAGCCATCGGTACATGTGGCGCAGGAAAGAGAGTTTGAGCGGAATGAAGATGTCTGTGCATACAATGCAGATAGGTATGAGGGTTGGGGTATGTTGGCGTGGGTTACAGACTCTGAAGAAGAATTCGACCGTTTGAGAGCATTGACTCTCAACCCCCAACGACTTGTCGCACTGGTGCACGCATACGTAGAGAAAACATGCAAGGCATGGCAAAATAGGGGGCGAGAAGGAAAGACGGTAAAGAGTACCACGCACTGCAGCGGAACGGGTCCTTGGTTCTACAAAAGAAGGCTTACCCTGCTGTTCTCTCAACAATCTTCTGGAGCGATTCGAGTTCTCGTACTTGGCTCTGCTCGCCATACGATGCAGGCACCATTCTGTTGGCTCTACATTTCCGAAAAAAGAGATGGGTTGACGTTAGCAGGGAGGGGTCTGCATCCATCCATCCATTCACCCGTTTATTGGGCGCTGAACAAACAGCGGTACGGAGTGTTGTGCGGGGGGCAGTTGCTTCTTTAGGTAGCTATAACCCCCTTCTGTATACCCACGCCTAGTCAACTGACGATGTCCACTGAATCTACTTCCTCCACTGAGGTGCAGGACCCGCAACCTTAGTTACCCCATTCAGATATTGTTGTGGACGTTGAGGACCTTGCGTCAGTTCTGAGCAAACAAAAGTACATATGAGGCTCAACAGAGAGCAAGTGCACAAATATGAACACACACACCATCTTCATCCCTATCGTAGGTCATTTAGATAGGCTTTTTTATGTTCTTCGAGAGCAGTGCCAAGACCAAGTGTTGGTACGCGCGACCGATGAGGTCCCACTGTTTACACGTCAAAAAAGTTGCTCATCCGCCAGTAATCAGCAAGAAGAGTTGCTATAACAACAGAATAAATATTTCCCGCCAAATGAGCGTGAAGATATTTTCTTGGTTTTCATGGTACGCATGTTTGCAAGGTTGCATTCATAAATCCCCCCTTTTGACCCAACCCAAAAAGGACAAGCAGGGCGTCGAGGCTCGAGCGGTGGCACATCTGCCCTTCTCTCGTAGCATCATCGCAACCATAGCAAAGTAACTTTGAAGACAATGATGTAGAATCTAGGACCACTGTAAGGAATGGTGTGTAAACCGCTGCGCCGATGATCATCTCACGGGCAGAAGAAAAATAAAAACATGAGAGCAACAAAAAGCGCGGTGAAACACCCTAGTTTCCTTCCTTTCTAACCTTCAGATATTTGGGTACGAAATGCATGATGGAGAGCGACGTCGATGGCATCGACCTCTAGGGATTGGATGGCTATCCCCCACAACCCATCATCCGCAATCTGATTGCATTTTTTTTTTGTATGTACCACATACACCTCTCCATGCGGTGCGCATGGGTACCCCAAGTCAGTCTCGCTTACCCCCACCCCCTCTGTTACATAGTAATATAAGCATTAACGTCGTATTAACGTACCCATAATGATTTCCTTGAATGCTCTCGTCCAAAAGACGTGCTCGCTCGTCCTAAAAGACATCAGATAATTCATACAAATGTTAAGAAGATCATCGAGGCGCATGTCAGAACAGGGGTATCAGATACAAAAGACAAGGGTGAGAATGATCAATTGGTTCAAGTGGGACGCTCAAATGAGACGAACGACGATCCCTCCTATATGATTTGCTGCTGGTATGTTCATGTCCCTGGGGCATTGAGATTATCGGTCTCAGGGCAAAAGTTCCCCCGTAAAGATGGGGGACAAAGGGTCCTCGAAAGTTGACTGAGTGTTTCCAATGCGGGTGGCAGCTGATGTTAGTGTGCGCACGCTAAAAAAATAAGTCATCCTGGGCATCTGCGTGCGTTCCTGAGCTGATGGATAAAAAGTGGAGTTGTAGTCTCGATATAGCAACTGAGATGAAGCTGATGAAGCTGAGAGGGCATGGGGATGTTGCGAAGCTCGCAATTGAAGGCGAAGGATGCTTGACTGGCAGCCTCATGGTGTGCAAAATGGAAGGGGAGGTTGCTGGGATGAGAGGGCATGGAGGATGGGCCGTACCTGTTCATGCTCGGCCTGTTTGCTTCCACAGCAACCCATTTGCAGGAAATGATTTTTTTTCGTGAGGATGGAGGACGGGTGAGGGAGGAAGGATCTGAATGCAGATGTAACGGAGACAGAAGGCAAGGGTGGAGAGAAGCGAAAGGAGGATGCGATGCACTGATGATTGCTCATGTAATCGCACGACAGCGCCAAAGCACACCTTCTTCCCCAAATGGAAGGCCCAAAGGAAGCCTCACTTTGCGTGAGAGAGTACTGCTACTGTTCACTCTGCGCTCCTTCAATTCAATTCCTTCTGCTGCTCCTCGCTGTCTTTTTTAATTACTAGAATTACTAGAGAGCACTCTTCGCGCAAAATGGGCAAGCCATAGATCACTCCACATACGGCCAGACTCGCATGCCCTCAACAAGCGTAGCAGACCTAGATTGCCCGCTTTTATCATCTCTCCAAGGCCCCATTGCTATCGCGGTGCCCATACTCTGTAATTATCCGTTGACCATAATCTACGCGTTCAATTCATGGAGCATACATTATGCACTGGATACTGGGCTGGGCCCTGAGCTGGGCGGAACGTTTGCGCTACTGAGCACGTGAGACGCATCCTCTCTTCTTGGTCGCAGAATCTCATTTCATAACCTCAAAACAGCTCGTCATGACAGATTCGGCCGAGGACAGGATCGAAGCAAGGTCAAGCGACATCGCCAACCGGTCTCCAGGAGTAATAGCAGTAGAGGATTCGGCCATCGCATGCGAGGATCAGCCAGCTGCTGCAGGCTCGGGCCCAAAGACTGGTATCCCCTCTAGTTCATCGAACGACAAGGAAGAAGGTGGTGCGGACGAACTTATAGAGACAGGTCAAACAGCTGGAACTGTTCAACGTGGATCCAAAAGACATAAGGAGTCAAAGCATGGCCATTACGGAGGCGAACAGCAGGCCAAGAAACAAAAGAAGCGTCTTGATCTAGTCGACATCGTAGATGACCTGAAGAGTGCAGAATATTATTTTGAGAACGGCAAGTGCACCATACCCAACATGCATTATAGTTACCAATTGGAACGTAGTGCCCGGTTCCAAGGGTGGACTTGCTCATGCTCACCCAGTCGATTGCTTTGTCAATACAGGTCTTCGGAAAATCAAGCCATATTTCTTCAAATACCAGACGTTTGCCAAGGGACGATGGCTAGGCCGCAAAGTAATCGATGTATTCAACATGGAGTTTCGGGATCGTGACAGCATCTTTTACGTATGTGAGATCGATCGTCATTATTTCAGGGATTTTCAACCCTAAGCTCATACAACGCAGTAGTTAATATCGGTCTCATTCTTTATCTCCTCTAGGAACGCGCTATCAGGGATGGACGTGTAAAGATTAATGGGGACACAGTGTCGACAGGTTATATCATCAAAAACAGCGATGTTGTCGCGCACGATATTCATCGGCACGAACCCCCTGTTGCCAACCTCCCCGTCAAAATCGTACGAGAAGATGACGGCGTGATCATTGTGGATAAGCCCAGCAGCGTGCCTGTTCATCCAAGTGGACGGTACCGACACAATACCATATTACACATCCTGATGAGGGAGCAAGGATATAAGGACCTCTACCGTATGTTTTAAACCCAAGAAGAATATTGGCACGCTTTATACAGGATTTGGCAACTCAGCATTGATCTTTTTACTATGGTTTTATAGCCGTCAATCGTTTGGATCGACTTACGTCTGGACTTATGATCATTGCCCTCTCGGTCAAGCGGGCACGTGAATTCGAATTAATGATGCAGCGGTGCGAGATCAAGAAGGAATATGTTTGCAAAGTCCTGGGACAGTTCCCGAGGTAAGTGAAAGAAATCGAGTAGTCTGTAGTGCTGGAAACGGCGATATGCTCATACCACTTCCTCTTGATTTTTAACAGCGGAATAACGGAGTGCCATGAGCCAATACATGTTGCATCATTCAAGCTAACGTTGAACACAGTCCATCCCGATGGCAAAGCCTGCTCAACCATCTTTGAGCTCCTGCGCTATGATCCCAAATCCAACACATCCATTGTACTCGCCCGACCTGTCACTGGCAGAACTCACCAGATCCGTGTTCATCTTCAATGGCTCGGATATCCAATCACCAATGATCCCCTATACCACAATCAAGATATCTGGGGAAGACTGGACGGAAAGGGCGGTATCACTGAGGAAACGGAAAAGGATCTGGTCAAGAAATTGCTTGAACGCGGAGAAATGGAGGATGAAGCCGATTTTGCGTTGGCGGCCTCGAATGTTGGCATGGTTCAGATGGACAGTGTACCGGGACACCCACAGCCTGAGTTTTGTAGGATCTGTGGGCTTCCTTCAAGAGCGGATCCGGAACCTGAAAAGAGGATCATGTATCTGCATGCATGGAAATATCAGGCAAAGGATTGGGCGTTTGAGACGGAGCTGCCGGAATGGGCCAAGGAGAGCCTGGGTTCTGACACAGCACCAGAAGGATCAAAAAGCCAAGCAAAAGATCCTGATGCACTTCAAACTTGAAAGGAATTACAACCTGCAATAAATAACATTTCTTATGCCCCAATAATTTGCAGTCATTATCAGGCTCATCCCGGCGAGAATAATTTATATGAAACATCATCTTTATTGGTCTCGCAAGATTGCACTATATCAGCTATGTATCGCACATACCTTTGGGCTGAACACTTCTAACAGTTGCTTAATGTATTTTGGTCTGGTGTTCATACCGTCGATCATTGATAGCACGATAAAATGACAAGTTGTGTAGACGGACTCTGACATCGTATGATTCTCACTGCCGCAAAGCAAAATACAGAGATAAAGAGGAGAAGGAATCCCGCCTTTTTATACATATATCTCAAGATTGAATTGCCAACAATTGAAAAACAGTCACTAATGTTCTTTTACATGCGAGAGAACTCTTTTCACTGGAGAACGGCTGTGAGCCGATTTTCCAGGTACTTCGAGTCTTCCCAGCATGATGGGTTCGTCTACATCGTTGGTTGGGTAAGAACCGAATTGAGCCGATGAAGAGTTTATTGAATAAGAGCACTCCCTCCTGTGGATTTCCAAGCAAAGTGCTGAGGCCTTGATGTTAGGGCGAAAGGAGATTTACTCGTCGACAACCTGGGTCTCGAGACCCTTGAAGGAGGTGACGGGAACGTACGAAACGTAGGTGTACAACTTCTCCTTGGCTTCCTCATCGTCGTTACGCTTGCGCGACAGGCGGACACGGATGCGGTGCTGGACGGTCTTGACACCCTTGGACCAGATCTGCTTGTTCAGGCTGGGGTCGATGCGGACATCGGAAGTGCCCATCTTAGATTGGGCAAAAGACTTGATGGCCTTGATAGCATGAGGAGCACGCTTCTTGAAGGATCTGGATATCGTAATAAAATTCAGGTATAGAGTGAGTACGGTTTGATCCGCAAAGAAAACGGAGCTGACTCCCGTATGCTGTTCCTTGCTCAATGGCGCTCCAGCATGTTGATCCTGCTGAAGATTATACAAGCGACGATACGCTGCTCGAGCTACAACTACGCCGAGCAACAGAGCGTTTCCGTGGTCCCACGACAGCTGCGCCGCATTCTTCACTCTACCAACTGTCCAATCAAAAACACGGTGCCCTGCGAGCCGCATTTTGACGGTGTCGCCCTTCGCTCGGTTGCTCGGTTGTATACCCTCATAGCGCCCTGAGTCAGACCCCCTGAGGACCGCTGGCTACCGAGCGAATCCTTGCAACAAGTATTTATTTGATGGATGGTGTATTACCTGCCGTGGACGTGCTTGTGCAAGTGAATAGTGTACTCGCGAGCGACAACGTCGTGGATGGTAGAACGCTTGGTACCCTTAGATTCCTTGGCCATTTCTAAAAAAAAGGATCAAAAAGACAAGTTGGAAGGTACTGATGAGCACTGGAACCAGATCTGTATCGTGGATTGAATAAATCCTGCTTGTTGTTGAGTCTGCTGTTCTTCGAAAACGCCTTCTCAGTATTCGGAAGATTAGATCCAGCGTAGTGCCGATTCATCAATAACATGACATCCAGTTGATAATAACTGGACACCCAATTGAGCGAAGGTTGAAGATACTGTTCCGATAGCGATCAACGAATATGTTGCTGGGTCTAAGATAGTCGAACTGGATGGATGGATAGGTCCTTGTCCCCGGATGTGTCAATCACTGGCTCATACTTGTAAAATAACGATGTGCGATAGAGAAAGAGCTCAGGAATGACGGTGCCGTTGTGAAGTACGCTAAACTATTAAATTAAGGGTCCTTGCGGCAAGCGACCTGAACAGAGCGAATTTGAAAGATCCAAAACCACTGAACGCGTTCCGCAATCGTTGTAAAAGCTATCGACCGCACGGACCGTGGATAAAAAAAACTACTATGTAATTTGGGTTACCAAGCTGTACTTAAATCCGCTGAACCAGTCGATGAGGGTGAAGAGGTATACAGGACGAGGCTTTATAAACGAAGATCCAAGGTTACCTCGATGCGCTTATTGGGACCCACATTTAACTATATTGCCGGTGCGAACTGATAGCTGAGGGTCACTGTAGTGGGAGCAGTATCCATTAGTAATCGGATAACAAACGACCCTCCAGCAAAGCCAAATCAAATCTTAAGCAAAGAATTGCAGTGCACGCTCTGTCGAAAGAGCTACAGTGTTGATCCTTGTAAGAACCTTCTACAGCAACGAATGAACGATTGCAAGTAAGCAACCTTTGATCAGCATACCTGCTCTCAGTTCTGCCAAATCAGTATAGATGATTTCGATAGTTTCAGATACCTTCGTTTTTATTCTGAGAAATAACCATGACTTACATCTAGGTTTTCGTTGACCGGTTTCTTGTAGTGAGCGGCAGTCGTCCGAGGTGGTCACTGAGGTCCAAAAACCGGCGCCAGATTCCCACGCCAAACGAGGAGCGCTTCACCCACGGTCGTGACAATTTCGTCGTTTCGCACCAGGAATAAAGCGAGGTCGTTGAATGGCCAACTGCTTTATTGGTTCTACGAGGAGTAGGAACGGGTTTCACATGGAGGGGCCGACCACCGAATCATGGAGCAAGTGAGCGTGAGAATGTACTATGGTCAAAGCGCTCTTGTTCCTCATGCATGTCTTTGCGTGATAACTGTAGGCCTGCTGTTCGGAACTCAAACAAAAGGTCATTCCGATGTAGAAACAACACATGAGGGCTAAACACGATCGATGATGGTATAATGGGCTCTTTATTATGTGAGGATAAATATTGGTAGTTGAATATAGACTATAATAAGCTGGTTCTCCTTCGCAGGTTATGACAAAGTCTTTAAATGAGAGCGGCAAAGGCACCAGTAAGGGCGGCCAAGGCTGCCATGACCTTAGGAGCAGCAAGGGCATCGGCAGAAGATGGTTTGGAGGTGGAGGTGGAGGTGGAGGTGGGTGAGGCAGTAGGAGTTGGGGCCAAGAAACCGGGCTCGGTGCCGTTCATGAGAGGGGGATTAGTAATGTTCTGGTTGGTGTAGCCAGTGGACTTGGCAACAACGTCAAAGACGTTGGCAACTGTGGCATTGGCATCCTGGCGGCCCAAATTTCCGAGGTCCCAGTTGGACTCGACGGTTGAAAGGAGCGAGTAATGGGTATAGAAGGTCGAGTCGGTGGTGTTCTTAAAGTTAGCAACAACATCTCCGAGGAGCATGGTCCAGACGCGGTTTTCGATCTTATAGGTCTCAGTTTCGTCAAAGGTGATGACGACCAAGGTGTTGTTGATGAAGGACTTGTTGCTGAGCAAGGGGGGCAAGAAGGAAGTCAACCACTTGGAGGCATCGGCAACGGTGGTGTTGTGTCCATCGTTGATCATGTTAGGAGTGTAGAAGGCGTAGTTGGGGATATTGCCGGCAGCGATATCGGTTTGGAGCTGGGTAGCAGGAACGACATTAGCGCAGCGGGTAGCGTTGGTGGCGATTGAGTCGTAGATGATGAAGGGGTTGTGCTTGCGGAAGTAGAGACCGTTGTTCTGAAAGTCTCTGTAGCAGGCAGTGGGGGCATCCTCCTGGTAGGCCTTCCAGGTGAGGTTCTTCTTCTCCAAGAGATCGACGATGGTGGTGTAGTTGGAGGGGATGGCGTAGAAAGCGTCGTCGTTCATGCCGAAGTAGTCGCCACCCGCGGCAGCGATGTAGTTAGGCTCGGAGGGGTGGGTAACGCCGTAGTATTTGTCCAAGAGAACACCCTGGGAAATGAAAGCCTGGAGAGCGGGATCCGAGGCGGCCAAGGTGTAATCCTGTTTGGTGATAAAAAAAAAAAAAGGCGGTTGTAACCAGTTAAGAAACTGATCGACCTACAGTTACAGCAATCAATATTAACGTGAACCTAGGATGGGTTGGTTGCTTACAGTGTTCTCGAGGAAGACGATGAAGATGTGGTCAAAGACCTTTCCCTTGATGGCAGTCTGGGCGGCGGCAGCAGCAACGAGGGCCAAGGAGACAATGGACTTGAACAACATGGTGCGGTTGGGGGGTATTCTTGTGTGTGGAGATGGAGATGAGAAGCAGAAGGGAAGTTCTGAAATGGTGCTTGGAGGATTCTTTCGAAGAAGAGGAGGAAGTCTTTATATGGTAGAAGCTGTCTTGATGCACCGTACGGAACCCGGAAAAAGCTTCCCAATTCGGAACAGGAGGGTACTGCCCTCTGCCAGTCAGGATACTGAAGAGAGACACATGGGTCGACAGGATAACCTTCATGCAGGCGCTTCACGGCAAAGTGGTATAGGATAGATGGTGGAGCAGAGTGGGGAAACCCCACCGTGTCTCCTTTGGTGCTCTCAATCCGGTTTTGGATAAGAAAGTCGAGCTGGACACAGAAAAAGGAAGCAAGGAGGACACCAGAGTTGATTTTCGACCCCCGCTGCAAAGCAAACAAGCAAACAAGGGCTCTTTCTATCTCTCTTTGTCTGCACATCAGCCGTAAGCGTCCATGGACTCACATGGATATCCCTTTAGCCAATCAAGAGTTGCTCTCACTCATTGAATGTTCTCTCGAGTAGGTTCACCTTGAAATGCTATTCGCTCGTTTCCTGGGCAAGGTACGCTTATCAGAGTCAGCGAGAGCCAGTCCGTGCCATCCGATCGAAAACGTTGTCTGCTCCTGCGACTCTTATTCACCAAGACTACCCGGTCCATACATGTACCCTATGTCCATGGCATGCTACCATGCTGTTACACAAATACTTCATCCCTTCCCTTTGGCGCAGATTACAGCGGAAGTGCTCCATATTTTGCCGTCGAGTGGATCCCGAGGTAGCCAATTGATTGCACCCCTCGGACCCATGCGGTTGTTGCTCCCTCTGTCGCTGGCAGGGAAAATACTTGCAATCGCCGAGCGCCCTGCAGTTTTGCCCAAGGTCGCGGTGGATTGTTTACTTTTCTATCAACAAGTCCAACTGGTCTAATTTATCCAAATGTGCTTGCCATTTGGAAAGAGATCAGCCCAGGAAAAGGAGTTAAAGTTGAAAGAGTTCCTACTCTCAGCCAGGCAATAAATGCAGTTGCAACGAAATCCTTTTTGGATAGTCTTTCTGCTGCTCAAAGCACGTTGTGCCAAAAGTTATAGCTATCTTTTATCCGGGATACTGTCAACGGTAACGTTCTTTTTATACCCTCTCATGCTTCGCGCCTGTTGTCTCCAGCCTTCATAAAAGACCTCTCTCCAAGCCAATATCTGACTATTGATTTTTTTCTGTCTCCTTTCAATCCTCTTCTCTTCTTCATCGAGCACCTTTCCCCTCTCCAGAGCAGACCAGCAACGACCCTCAGTTTCTTTCTACCCTCAGTTCCTCCGCCATCCGTTTATTACACCCTGCATCATCATCGTCCAGAGCAATAGCGCAACGTATCACCAATGGCTATGCAGCCGCGTCAGAAGCGAATGGTCCGTAGGGCTCTCATTTCAGTTGCAGTCCTAGCAGCCGTTGTGCTGGCATTAGCAATTGGTCTGGTCTATGGACTACGATCGAGAAATCACAACAACAACAACACATCCGACTTTGCAGAAACCTGGAACAGCCCTTCAGAATTCGTCCTCAGTAAAAACTTTTCTATCACCCACACACCCACGACTCGCACCTATGACTGGACCATTTCACAGCAAACAATTGCTCCTGATGGTCTCGAGCGACCCATGCTGTTGGTCAATGGTGAGATATAACGAACATTGCTGGCCCTGATTACTTCCATTTACTAACGAAAACTGAAAGCTAAAATCTAACACGCCTTTACCAACTTTCCCTAATACTAGGAATGTTCCCTGGTCCTCTGATCGAGGCTAACACTGGCGATAGAATTGTTGTCAAGGTCACTAACAACATGGTGAATGGCACTGCTATCCATTGGCATGGGATGTTCCAAAATGGTATGTAATAGGGACCAAACGAGTCGATACATGCCTTTATTGAGATCCATACCAACATCTCTCATCCGTATTCCCTCGCTAGGCACCAACTGGATGGACGGAACCATGGGTGTGACCCAGTGCGCTATTCCTCCGGGCCAAAGCTTTACCTACAACTTCACTGTCCCGAACCAGTGGGGTACGTACTGGTGGCATGCCCACTCTGCCTCGCAATATGTCGATGGTATTGTGGGACCGCTGATCATCCACAGCCCAGATGAACCCCACCTAGACGACTACCAAGAGGACATTATCATGATGATTAGCGACTACTATCACACCGATTCCGGATCCCTTGTTTCTTGGTACCTCAGTGTTGACAGCGAGGGCACTGAGCCTATCCCCGACAATGGTCTCATCAACGGTCGCCACTCCTGGGATTGTTCTTTGGATGCGCAGGCCCTCTTCCCCACTGACAGCAAGTGCACACCAGGCGCACCCATGTCTGTGTTTGAATTCATGGCCGGGACTACATATCGAGTCCGTATCATTAATACCGGTGCCTTTGCAGATTTCCAGTTCTCGATCGATAACCACACCTTGTCCGTGATTGAAGCCGATGGCGTCGATATGCAGCCCGTCATCGTCCAGCGCATCCCTATTCATGTTGCCCAACGCTATTCTGTCCTTGTGCACGCAAACCAATCCGTTGGAAACTACTGGGTCCGCGCCACTATGAACACCGAGTGCTTTAATGCTCCCAACCCAGCTTTGGACGAGCACATCAAGGCCATTATCCATTACGCTGGGGCACCCACTATTCAGCAAGCGGACTCGGTGGATTGGGGTGCTTCCGGTTGGTCTCCCACTTGTGTTGACTTAAGCTTGGAAATGCTGAAGCCCTACTTTGCCCAGCCTGCACCCAACGCAACTGTCCAGATCCATATTGCCACGTCCTTCCAAACCGTCCGCAGCGACCATGTCAACTTGGGCTACGTGAATGGTACATCCTGGACGCCGCTCATGAACGACACCACTCTTTACCAGGCTCAGAAGAGCATCACCGCATACGATGCCTCTCAATTGGTGGTGACCCTGAATTCGACCGGAGTTGTTGAGCTGGTTATTAACAACTATGACGAAGGCGCACATCCCTTCCATTTCCACGGCCACAATTTCTATGTTCTGGGCTGGGGTGGTGGCAACTATATCCCCGGTAAGTCGCCACTAGAGCTGACGAATCCGCTGAGGCGCGACACCAGTACGGTTCCTTCGTTTGGATACACCGTCATTCGTTTTGTAAACGACAATCCAGGTCTGTGGGCCCTTCACTGTCATATCGAATGGCATATGGAGGCAGGCCTCATGATGCAGATCGAGTCACTTCCTCAAGTGATCAAGACCTTTGAGATCCCTCCGGAAATGCCTGCTATGTGTGCTTTCAAGTCCAGCCCATAAAGAACTACCATTCAGTTTATACCATCAGTATTGTAATAAAACCTCTTGACATATAGAGGCGATAGCTTATCAAATATTCTCATGAAGATCTTGGATGCTTTATTCGTGTTGCCTTTATTGCCTTCATGGGATCTCTAGTGCAATGTGTGATAACTAATATGGTATCTTTATCTAAACAAATCTATGCGGACAAAATTGCAAAGGTATAAGAGACGTGGTGCACGAGTCATTTGGCTGTGCGGACGATTATCATGTATCCCGATACTTACGCAGATGGTTTGGGAGGTTCATATCCTTCTACTTTAGCTCCCTCCGGAATCTCAGTTGCATCGACAGGTCCGTTTTTCTTGATATGCCGCAAGACACCTATACATAGCATAGCAGTTTATTGAATGAGCGCCATAATAAATATATATATAAAAGGTCGAAGGTATGTGAAATAAAAACATCCAAAGATACTTTCAAGTGGCCATGCTTACCGTCCAGAATGAATGCGGTCAGACCCCAGATAGTGATCTGCTCCTGCTCAATGTTCCACACCCGATACTGGAATTTTGAATTCCTGAACGGGACCAGGGTTCCCTTTTTCGGGTTGATAAGATCCTGTATCGGCACCGTAAACACTCTGTCGACTTCACCTTTGTTGAAAACGATCGACTCGATGTCCTCAATGGGCTCCTTGATGAACCCTACGAAGGGGTGGACTTTCATGGTGCAGTCCTTGTTGGGCATCGGCGCATACTCTCCAAGAACCTCGATCTGATCCCGCGACACTGAAATCTCCTCTTCCATCTCGCGCAGTGCCGTGTCGAGGATATTCTTATCTGTCGGATCGCGTTTTCCTCCTGGGAAACTAAAAAAAAAAAAAAAAAAAAAAAAAAAAGAAAGCGTTCAGTGAAAAGTACTCCAGACTTTCTGTTCCTTGTATCCGATTTATGAGATGAATGTTACCTGACTTCTCCACGATGATTTCTCATGTTGTTGGCGCGGATAGTGAATAGGACACTCGGAACTCCTTTGTAAATGCAAAGCGGCTATTTCCAAGAACGAAATACCACGTCAGCGCCTGATCGTTCCTCGCTGTATCCGTTGTTCGATTGACATCCTGTTCGTACGTCCTACCATAAATACGCCGGCCTGGCGCACAGGATCTTCTTTACAAAACACAAAGTATGCGCTTGTATTCGCCTTTTCCTCAAGCCGTTTCTTGCAGTGATCCAAAAAGGCACGATCATACTGGATTGGATACTGAGAAGAGATAGCCGTTGCCCCTGCTGACGAGTAGTATCTCTTCTGGAACTCAGCTTTGTATCGCGTAGGGCGTTGGTGGCGGTGATGCCAGGGTGGCTCGGTCGAGGTAGTAGCAGAGATGTCCTGATAGATTGTCTGCGATCGGTTCACAAGGACAGACGAATGCCGCTGACAGGATCGCAATGAGAGCTGCAGCATGGGCCGAATGAGACTTCTGCTTCTGGAGATGATGCGTCCTGTTGATGGCATTTCGGGGTCGTAATGGCGATACGCGTGTATCCTTCACAAACAGTTGGCCGCGACGCTGCTCAAAATTACTGACCCAATCTCAACCCCCAACAGCAAGGACTGCCCAAGGCAATGTTTGCCGCGTGCCGTGCTCTCGAATATCGACGCGACTAGCCCTTCCTGTAGCGCGAGGGATATGAAATGGAATGGACGCCTTCTTCTCGGGCTCTGCTGTATTCCATGTCAAACCAGATTCGTCCTTCATCCAGAACTTCGGTAGATTCATGTTCAGGTGCGATATATCCTGCCACGAGTCGCATCCTCGAATACTTGGAATTCAAAATGTCGCTAGACTACATATTTTTCTTCTCTTTGTATGCCCTTAGAATTATCCCATGCATGATTTGAAGCACTTGATGACTAACCTTATGCGCCGTAGGAGTTGTGGGTCACAAAAACGGGGGCTGGCCTCTGCCACTGCCACTGCTCAACCTTCACAAAACATCTTCACTTCCGCCACCGATTAACACATCAATTCCTCGCCATGAAGGCCTCGACAATGTTTATTGCCGATCTAGCAGCTCTTGCTACCTCAGTATCTGTCCGAAGAACATGTTCCCGACGGCAAATCAGCCGAACCAGTGCTTGCAGACTCCTATCATATCCCTTAACGCGGGACGCGGCCGATACATACTTCTAATCAGCGAGGAAGCTGAAACATCCGAGAACAACGCGTGAAGAAAAGACCTCCTCTCGTAAGCCCAGGATATGGCTGCCGCTGCTGTTCCGTCCCTAGACGAGCAAAAGATTATCTTGGACACTCACAATGAAAAACACGCTCACCACTGAACCCCTCCGTCGACATGAAACGCGAAGACTGCTAGCTTGATGGTAACTGGATTCAACCATATGTGTTCAAGTACAGCGGAGGACCGGTATGTCTTTATTTATTTATTTATTTTTTTTTTTGGGGGGGGGGGTTATGAATTGGCCAGCATCCTCATGCCTCTTGAATCTTTTGCATGGCATGTAGTACGGAGAGAGCCTTGCAGCCGGATACAAGGACTTTAAATCCGCCATTAAAGCATGGTATGGCGAGATCAAGGCCTACGGCTCTTATTGTGGTCCATCATTTCAGCTGCTTACAGATAACTGATCTGGTTTACCGAGATCGTTTTACTCAAGTCGTGTAAAAGTCAATTAAGTCAATTGGTTGCGCTAAGAAAATGCGCTTGCACTGGAACATTTACATCTGCAACTACGACCCTCCAGGCAACATTCTGAACACCAATGATACGCCCTTCAGAAGCAGCATTTTACTTCCTTCGCCCTAGTCAATACACCGTTTTATGTCGTTCTCATTATACCCCTGTATGACTTGCTAATATACCCTTCCTCCTCAAAGTTTCGTGCACTGTGCACGAGGTTTCTAGGAGCCGCGTAACAAGAGGACTTTGCGTGCGCCTTTATTATTAAACGCTATGAGTAAATGTCCACGTACCCCTAGAGCGTAAAGACCCATCGCGCTCAGACCAATAACGCGTCAAAATTGTATTCATCTGGATCAACATAATCGATAGAACTACGCGTCAGAAATGGGCAGAAAATGGGTTGAGTACCATAGCTCTCATGTGCTGGGTCAATGGGCACCTTGTAGGTCAATTGAACAGCGAGGAATACCAATCAACTGCTATATCTGTAATCTGCGTCCACTTCACGGCCCTAGTCCTGCATAAACAAGCCCATACCAGAACTGGTGTGTAGCGATGTTTGGGCCGTTGTGCGCAGTCCTTGCTCTCGCTGTGCTTCGCCACTTCATTGCCTTCTGTTGCTCGGTCGCTATATTTAAATTTCTTTCATTGCGGGGGACTTCAGGTATTCCCGTGGCCTCATCAGGTTTTTTTGTTTACCCATTCGATCGTTGAGTCCCAGTATTTGCTACAGCACGTACAAGGACAAATTTATCCTTGGGCTTTGTCGCGCCCTCTTTTTTCCCCTTTTCCTTCGCGGCCGCGCGATCGCGTGCATGGCCCGTTTATTATTTATTTTTTAGTCGAGTCACTGATCCTCTCGGAATATTGTTTGGGGCAGGCTGAGCATGAGAGGCACTGCGAGTAGAATATAGAGCTAGTACGGGGGTGCCAAAAATGACCAATGGATGCTAGCAACTAAGGACCTCCACGCCCTGTGCCTTGCTGTGATGGCTCTGTTCATTGTTCGGATACATGTGTTTTGTTGTTTGTGTTCTATTTCTAAGCAACTTGTGAACTTGAGCGGGTGTACCATTTAGAGTGTCGATGTCCGCGCAAATTACTCACGTCGAGTGAGTGTGGCGATGCTTTTTGGACACAGGATCAAGGGGAGAACCAGTTACCTGACCCTTCATCTTTCTCGTGGCTCCTTAAAAATCTATTGTCGACGCTAGCTCGTCTCCATCCCGTAGAACTCAGGGCACTCTCTTTCCCCTGTACAAGCCATCTGAGGGCTTAGGAGGAGAGGATGTCGATCACTAAGCATGCATCTGAACCATAGTAATAGGACTAAACGACGCGGGTCCCGGCATATGAAGTGGTCAGGCAACATTTTCATGCATAGATACAGAATGAAACTTTCTACAGAGAGATGCAAGGATGGTTAATAAAGGAGGATGAGGCAGGGCAGGATGGACCTAAATAGTGCCCTGTGAACGTATGGACCCTTCAGTTACTTGGGATGCGGCCTTCCTTACTTTATCGTAAGAAGTCAAGAGAGATAACGCGTGATAAAAAAAGGTAGGGAAATGCAGAGAGCCATATAGTCCGTGTATGCGGTGCATCTAGAGATTGCAAAGGGGAGAGCAGCAGAAAAGTGAGTACTCTTGTTTAATATCCCGTGGCCACCACACAGCTTTATGCATTTATATAACAAGGCCAGGACGTAAGGGCTATGGACACATGCTGAAATACCCATTAGCCCTTCGGCATAGATATGCGGCACTTTTTTTACGTATTCCAGAGTTCCACAACCCTCTACCACAAAAAGGTTTATGATGGAGGAGGAGAAAGAGATATTATCCGAGCCGTGAAAAAAGAGTGAGGATGGACAGGACTCAGGCTCAGATGTCCTTGCAGATGGACCACGAATCAACTGCCGGAGTGCCGATAGCACAATTAGCTCCTTATTTTTCCATCCATTCACCTCTTCTCGAAGAACATGGATGTATGAATCACTACCAAGACTCTATTCGGAAGAGTTGTGCTTGACGCTCTTTTATTCAATTGTTCAATTGACCAAGGCAGAAGCAGACACTGATCCGTCGTTAGTATCTTACTGTCTTACTGTCTTTGCAGTTGCTCAGAAAAGTCATCCATTACGGGCTTGTTTGCCTCTGGATCTCCTCAAACCTGGCAATTTTTGTCTGGATCGCTGTCAAAAACCATGGCTACACGGGTTCTGCGCGCGGCACAAAGTCCACAGAGCATCATAGAGCCCATTCTCCATCTACGTGGTTCTCAAATAAAAGGAGGAAGAAGCCAAGGTCGTCCATTGTGCACACGACAACTAATGACCCTCGATGGGGCTATTTTTCGAGGCACTGGAGCTATGGTGTGCGGAAGGAGAGAGGGCCAACGTGCAGGCTCATAATAATCCGTGCAACAAACGCAGCTCTGGGATCCAGCTGCATTTCAAATCATGATCGGGGATCCCTTTGAAATTATCCGCCTGTCTCATGGCCTCGAATACCGCAGCGAAGGAAAAAAATATTTTTTTTACCTCTTAAATTGTCGCTCGTTTCTTGAAGCCTAAGACAAGCCAGCAGCAGAGATGCTATAGCACGACTCAGATTAGCAGAACTTTGCAAACGGGGGCAGGCGCCCTGTCGCCAGCCTGGAGGTATTTCAACGGTCCAAACCTCGGCGATGTCAAAACGGCCAGGACACCCTCCAAAGACAAGGCGCGCCAGTGACACTGGCTGCATGTTTTACAGGGTATACTCATGCGTGAACAAGGAACAGCGATGGACGTTCTTTGCAAAACTCAGCCTCTTGATAGCTGTCCCTTTGTGCATCTGAAATCGACTTGAAAGGGTGAGAACATCATTACGATAGCATTGGCGTGTCTCAATTGGGACGTGTATGCTGATGTCCTAATCCCTATGCTAATATCACGGCTGGCGGATACGGCACATCGCACCACATCCTCGCACCACACACCCGCCCTTAAATTGGCTGTTTGCAGCATTTTTTTTTTTGTCAATTGACGCGTTCTTTTGTTTTGATGTCAAATCAGTGAGGGAATCGCCTGTGGGCGTCCCCTCGTTTGATGAGCATTCAATCGTTGTAAAACGCGATTGAGTTGAATCGAATACGATTGAAAAAGGGGAGACGGAACAAAAAATGATTCAATTAGAATGAATGGGCGATTGCTCTCCAAAGGGATATATAAGAGAAGCAAATCCCATCCATTCCTTCCCTTCTTCCTTTCAATCCTTCTTTCTGCAACATCCTTAAGCGGTCCTTCTCTCTCTATCCGCATCAGCATCAGCATCAGCATCAGCACCAATAGCTTCCTCTTCTTCCTCTTCTTCCCTTCTTCCTCTTCTTCTTCTACTACCACTACGTCTACTTGGCATTCGACCCTTACTTTATCTTGAAAAGGACAGCACGCACTAAGCGCTATTACAGCAACAAAATAAATCAACGACATTCATTCGTCACTCCTAGTGAAGATCCCCTTCAATCTCCTTCTTCGGCACCACACCATTACATACTAGCCTAAATAACGTAAATACGTCCACTACGACATCTCATCCAAACGTCGTCCCCGCACAAACCACACCGCGCACTGACGTTCTCTGCCTCGGCCCCGAGTAGCCCGCACTCCAAGACCTTTAAAACCAAGGTTCAACCTGACCTCGATTCTCAACAAACCCAGCCGACAATGCTCAGTTCCTTACTACACTCTGTGTGCCATAGCAACAACCACAACAGCAGCAATAGCTCTTTGAAAGAGACAGTCTATTCTTCCCTCCTGTCTCAAGTCCTTCAACCACAACGACAACGACAACATCAACAGCAGCAGCAACAGCAACAGAGCACTCCTTCTTCATCCCCTCAGCAAATCAACACGTCCACGATCTCGCCTCCTCGCACAATCCCTTCTTCCACAATGTCGCTGCCAATATCAACCATCTCTCCTCCTGGCTCGCCACCCTCACCAGCCATGAGCATGGAAAGCATCCACGATTTTCAATTCGACACCGCCATGCAACTGGCGCGGCGCAAGATCAAGGTCATGATTGTCGACGACAACTCCATCAACCTTTCAATCCTCTCCAGGATGCTCAAAGTGCACTTTTCAGAGACCGTCGAACTTGTTGCAGTGATGACTTCGGGTCTTGATGCGCTCGACAGACTCAACCAGGAGCAGATTGATCTCATCCTCATGGACATCGACATGCCTGTCCTTACTGGTGTTGAGACAACAGTAGCCATCCGTCAAATAACTTCGGAGTACCCGATCCTGAAAGAGAACCAGAAAGTACCCATCATTGCAGTCACGACCAGCGACCACGCAGTTCAACGCGAGATGTACCAGCGGGTCGGCATGTGCGACTGTGTCAGCAAACCCATTTCACTCTCGAAGCTGCGCCTGGCAATTGAGAACGCGATAACTTTGATGGGTCACATTGCGCCTGGTTGAGCTGATAGGGATTTCGATCGTAGCGCTGTGCTCTACTTTCTACCCTTGCTACTTCTCTTCCGAGCGAGGCGAGAAGGCGCCTGTGTGATTATTCCACGCACAAGAACCTCGGCCCCTCTTTGCTGGCGGTCGGCCGTCCATCTCGGCACCAAGCCCGGACGTCTCGAGAATCCTGCCCCTGACTATTTCCCCTGGCTAGTATCCACGGCGGCAGGAAGGACATCTTTCCCCATCATTCTCATGATTTTGAGGCACCTCGTTTGTACATAGTTTGTCGTCGATCCATTCACGGCAAGATTTGTATATATTATCCTTCGTGAATATAACTATACCCATGAGAGCGTAATACGTTGCTCAGAATAAAAGACCAGTATGTAATCGTAAACTCTTCAATGTCTGTCTCTTTTCTGCTCTTGTACCTTAACGGGAGACTCATGTTGCTCTATCCTCAAATCGGGTAGCTCGATTGAAATAAATGGGAGTGTTCCTCGATTAAGATCTAGGTGATTTGCAGGAGGTTTTAGCCAGAGCGCAAAAGATACGTTCTCATGTAATGAACGGTGCGTTTGAAATATAAGGCTCGGTTGCCGGCAGTATTTTTCATCAGACGCCCTGTGTCGATTGCTTCTTATTCTTTTGTCCGACAATGATAGATGCAACCTTAACGAGGAGTGCACAACCACTCGTTGGGCATCATTCAGAAGTGTGTCATCGAAGAATGAACAATGAACAAGGTTTTCCAGAGTTGTGGAAATAAACGACAAACACATTCGTGAGGCAATTGCGACAATTGCACCAACACTTTAGTCCCGATCCAGATCCGGTTCATTCAGGGTGTTCCAAAGAGGGACAAAATGATCTGGGACTCAGTCCCGGTCCACATAAAAAGTCTTTTGGCGGAGAGATAGGAATCTCCTGCACGTCCCCACGTGTGAAAAAAAAAATTCACGAGTGCGGTCATAGCCATTGACGCAATTATCTCCGTCGTCATTTAGACATTTAGGGGGGAAGAAATTTGTGACTCTGCAATTCTGACAATGGTCCCAAGGATGACGAGTCCCATGCTACCAGTATCTTTGAGCTATGAGGTCTTTGCTTATCGCATTCGTGTACGCATTGAACGCTGTGCGACCCAAGACGGGCGAATAGTCCGGGGAAGCAATGCGCTGATGTCGATGGTGGCTGTTTCTTTTGGGTGATCCTGGCCAGGAACAACTTAAGGGGAGATGAGAGGGCTGAAATTACATCATTACACCTGGATTATCACAGTTTTGTTTACCGCAAATGGCTAGATCCGGAGCATAGACATTTGTCCTAAGAGGATGCGCTGTGACGTGAGTGAAAATAGGGACAACCGTGCACACCCTTCCAGCCATGTCATAAGTCCGTCTTAAGTCAATAAAAGGCGTTTTTCATTTTTCGCTCTTTTTGCTGCTTTGCTTTTTTTCATTGGTAGCAGCTGCTGGACCTTGTTCCTCTTGCTCCTTCCTGACTTGAAACAGTGGTAAAGTCATCTCCGTTACTGTGGTTCTGCGATTTATAGCCTTTTCACTCTTCTTATTGACCCATCGGACTAATCTACCTATTTACTCTCTTTGGGCTAGGGTATGTGCAGGTCTCGACACACAGGTGACTTGAAGTTGCAAAGGGGAGACGAAGTTGCAAAGGGGAGACGAAGCTGCACTCCACTAGCAACGACACATATCACACTTGCACTGGCTCCTGGACCACCCTCGACTCGAATAGTGAATCGCGTACAAATAATGGTATCTGTGTACTTTATTAAACCGCTGGCAACGTGGTAAACACCGTTTACTCGCACCTGATGCTCACGATGCCCGATCCTCTGCTCCATGAGTACCATAGGCGAGGGGATGTCAAAAAAAAAAAGTATTTATCTTCTGGACTGTAGACACTCGATTGCCCGACGCACTGTTCTCTATCTGCAGATACAAGAGAATTAGAATTGCACGTTCTCTCGTATTCATCTCATCCCAGTGCTGTCGTAAAGTTCCGGGGATCGATAAGATAACTCCTACTCCGCCAGCTCTGCGCCTTTTGCGGTGAAAAAACAAAGAAAAGTGGGTCTACTCCGTCTTTTATAGCCCATCTTCCTGTGGACTGCCAATAGGGGGTAAATACTCAAGCAAAAAAAGGTGACAAGAGAGGATTGCAGCGTGTTGCCTCCTCGTCGCCGGATAACAATGCCGAACGCAGCCCTGGCGTAGAATCTAGCGTGCAAGCCCAGTACCGTCTTGAAAGTCGTTAACCAAAACCTCAAGAGCACTCTTCCCAAAGATACATCCCAATGCTTCGGAATTGGTGCAGGTCAAAGGCAGGACTGTAGTGTATAGCAATGAGAATTGTGAATGATACAGGATCAGAGATATCAGCGGATTGATTTTTTTGGTGAGACATTGTCAACTACAGGAGTTTTGCTTAACAAAATAGCCACAATTGATAATGTCTCATCAAAAAAATCAATCCTCTGATATCTCTGCTCAGGGTAGCACTGTCTTGGTGAACGTTTTATTGGTACCTCGTCCCCTGGATTTTTCTTTAAGAATGGACCAATCACAATAAGCAGTGCCACCGCCACGAAGGAAAAGAAAGGCAGGCAGATATGCTGATTACAGCTCCGTGCAGGGAACCCTATTTCGCTCACAGGGCATGCACCAATCACGCTCGTCCGCTTGTTACTTTGATACAAATGTGAACTGGCGGGGTCAATTGAGTGGCGGGAGGACGTCAATTGATATTCGACATTCACGATAAGAGGAAACTGGCAACAATGCCACACATCCAGTAAACACTGACGCGTGTAAATATCACTGCGTCATTCAACGAAAGCAACCTGTGGCAGGTCTTTCTCTTTGCTTCCCTGCTTTGCTCTTCGCACTAGACCGATCGTCAATGCTTCATTTATTCGTATTGCCCAAGTCAGCCCCAAGGGAACTAATTCGGAGTAGGAGCGCCTTCTCTGAATCTGATAAACCAAAACGGCATAAATCTTCATGAGCCGTCCGCCAAAAATGTTTTCTACTTTGTACAGTCGAGCCAAGCTGGATCAATCTTTCTCCAATTACGATTATACTCAACAACAGAACTCCTGCTTGCGTTGTGTCCTCTTTGTCGGCGTTCTGAGCACTGTTCTTTTGTACATCACATACGAGGGTTGGACTTGTAACAAACACTCTTTTGCTGAAGTCAGCGTCAAAAAAACGAGCCATCAGCTGTGTATGCATGTGAGTACAAATGCATGTACGCCTATGGTCAACTGCTCATAGTCAAGTTGGATAGCAGCAATATGCTGTATCACTGTAGTGGCGATATCGACTTAATTCACCTAGGAACGTTAACTGGCTACCTTGTAGACCCTTGTGCTCCAATGATACAGATGTTAGTAAGAAGCACGCGTCAATTATGGCAACCTCGGACGCCACCGATTTTCTTTTCTTCTGCGCAACTCTAATTCCTCGAATCGCACTTGCCAATCCCCCATTTACCATTCACAATCTCGCCTGTCATTCCTATTACCTTGCGCTGGAGTTCCTTCTATATCCACCCTAAAAGAATAGTACAGCTCCTAAGGTAGTCACCATTACACTCCTTCGCATTTTCTGTACCGCCGCATACTCTGATAGAGACGTCTCCCCTGAGTGTAGACTGAGTAGTTCCTCTTCTGTCTCCAATGGCCTCCGCTGGTTATTTGCATATTGTGAAGGTGCACAATCGCTGTGGACATTATTCTTATTCCCTCGTCCGTCCTTCGTCTTTGCAATGATATCGCCACGTACAATTGGAAAAGTCTCCTGACTTGAAGAGCATTACTCACCATTGTTTTGCCGAATGCCTGAATATTAGAGTACGACGCCAATCGTCAAGCCGACAGATTGCACAGTTTCTCAACCTGTCCCTGGCCTTTCGCACGATGGCCACTGCTATAAAGCCCAAGAAGAAGAGGATACCCTCTCCCCTTGGCTGTGATCAATGCCGAAGAAGAAAGGTAGACCTCTTAGCGTCCAGTCTGCTACATCATTATCAGCTTTGGCTGAACTGAGAATAGGCAAAATGAGATCTCCATCTGCGGTGACAAAGGCAACAGCCCTGCTGAATCCACAACGCCTAATATTGCTAAATATACTAACCTCCTAGTCAATTGGTAGACTAAATGCGACCAGGCAAAACCGGCATGCGGACCGTGTCTTCATGCTGGGCTAATGGAGTGTACATTTTTGCTCGGAAAGCCGCCACCCCCGAAGCGTAAGAAGGCGCCCAAAGAAGTTGAGATTCTGGAAGCACGTCTGGAAACCATCGAGTCTGCGTATTCTGAGCGCCTCAGCCAAATGGAATCATTGCTAAATAAGGTCATGCCAGGGAGTGTGCAGGCACTAGATCTAGCCAAACTGGGTACTTCATCATCAATACCACACGCATCTACAGCTCAGGAAACAGCAGCAAGCAATCGTGGTCGTGGACGTCAAGGGGCAGCATCAACAAGCGATAGCGAATGGGTTGACATGGACTCCTTACAGGAGGGCATACAGTCGTCTGTACCCAATAGTGAACATCGTACACCAAGTACATCAGTGGTATACACGAGGGAATTTCGTCCACTACATCCATGCGCCCATATTGCAACATCGTAGTAATATCTAGCTGTTTTTGCGTTTCAATCTTGTGTAGGTTTTGGATTTATCGTCAGGAGCCGCATTATCGCCGAATCAACCGACGAATTCAAGCGGCGGGACACCAAAGCAGGCGGACATGAAGGCCGAAATGCATGAGGGTGGATTATTCTCACCGACTTCGCGAGTGCGTGGATCTGTTTGTGTTTTGTGTAGCTGGCTTTGATCGTGGACACTCAACTAACACTACCACCCGATTTGTAGGGTGTGATATTCACCAAATTACCCTCCTCGCCTATAGTACCATCAGCTATTTCTGGAGGGGATAATTTATCAATCGAGAGCGACGGCGACGACGACAGCGAACTTGGAGAGCTGGCTGCGACAATGGATAAGCTACGGCTGTTTGATGCATCCTACTATCTCGGCAAAGGCACAATGTTATTTACATCAACAGACCAGAACCAGTTTTGGGACGAAGAGATCTCGTTTGATGTGCACGATGCTCAGGATATCTGCGTTCCGCCAGAGGCATATGTTATGCCGCCAGTCGAAGTGATTGATACACTTATCGACATCTACTATTCAGTAAGATCCTAAAAGTTTTGCTGGAGTATGGTACATTTAGGAAACGAACGGTGGCACAGATTTAACAGTTATTTACTCGTTTTCATTATATTGCAGCACTACTATGGATTTCTGCCCATGATTCAAAAGACAACACTATTGCAGGCGCTAGAGGATCGATACGAACCGCAGAGCATTTTTCTACTGAACAGCGTCTTCATGGCGGCGGCATTGACTGCAGATTGCACTCATCCATCGTGCTACTCTAACCCGAGCGATCCCAAAACATTATCCACGCCATTTTTCGAACGAGCCAGGATGGTGCTGGACTATTGCATCGGTATTCCAAGAGTATCAACGGTACAGGGGCTTATCATGCTGTCACGATATCCAAAGATCTCTGGTCTAGGGCGCCACCTTGTCCAACAGGCGGTTCTCATGGCGTCCGATCTAGGGCTTCATCGGAAATGTGACCGCTGGATCCCCGATGAGCAAGTTCAGGAGACAAGAAAGAGAGTCTTTTGGTGCGTCTATGCTATCGATAACGCCACTGCCAGCATGACAGGAAGAAGACCTTTAATTGACGATAACGAGATCGATGTGCCAATGGTGGTGCCAACTGCATCGGAGGGCGAGATCGAGTACTCGAACACACTCTTCTTGGCCCACATATGCAAGCTGTGGCGTATCTTCAGGAATGTGAAGCAATACATCTTCAACGCTGTGGAAGTTCAGGATATGGTTCCGGGAAGTCTGCCTAGAAGCTATGAGCAGCAACTCATTCAATGGCAACTGCAATTACCAGCGGCTCTCCGATTCAGTTTTGATATCAAAGTCGGAGACCCAAGAGCCATGTACAATGCGCGCGGAGGTGAGTACAGACACGGAGCAGATTTTTTCAGGCGTTGCTTCGGGAGCAGCATCGGCATAATATTAACTGTTCCCTATTGTTCATTTCAGGTGTCGCCCAAATGCTGTACGAGTCTACTCTCATTCTTCTACACAAGCCCTATCTTTCATCATCCGAATGCATCAAACGCTCGCCCTATCGATCATCGGACATTTGTATGAAGGCTGCAACAAAAATTACGGACATAGCCAGGGTGCTTGTGAACACATACAGCAGGACATTCGAAGTCACCGGAGTGCCGGAGTACTCAATGACAAACGCCATTCGGATACAAGTCATGTACATGAAGTCTCCAGACCCAAATATCGCTGAGTCGTCGCAGGCCAACTTTGAATACCTGCTACGTTTCTTTCGGGAATTTTACGCGTCGCCTCGTGCCAATCTGGATGACCAAATGATCACCTGCGTTTTGACCTTCTTTGACGAGTTTGTGCATACGATCAAGGGCCTTAGCGACTCTTCAGTTCATATATGCGCGTGTGCGATCAAGAATCTCGCCATTGCTAAGCGATCAAAAATTGTACTTGGAAAGATATCTGCTGGAGGGCATAGGGGTCGCCAGATCCCCAAGGGCGGAGACGACAGAAATCTGAGCCGGCTGGTCAGGATTGGGCGAGAGGAGCGCGCGAAAGCCCGTGTGAACTCTATGACATCACCGTCGCTGATATCGCAGGATCTTGTTGGAGCGTACAGGAAGCGCCATAATCATATGTCGCATGACAGCCAACCACCGTTCAATCTCAGTCCAAACTTACAGTCAAGTCAGCAACAGCGTCCGGGGTCCTTGACGTCATCCCCATCAACTCCTTCAGTTTCGCAGGACGATGCAGGTATCTACAACCACCCAGGGAAGGTCCAGAAAGTGTCGCAGTACGTTGGGCCGTTCGGTGGACCTATGGTGATGGAGACCTTGAACCATCATCATACGTCGAACGCTATCCTTAACCAACCGCCGTCGAATAGCGCCATACCTCAAATTGGGAGCATTTCAGCGACCGCGGACGGGGTGTTCCAGGCTTTTAATCACCAAAAACAGCAGGAGCAACAGCAAGAACTACTTCCTCCACAGATAATGTCGCCTCAGCAAGCACTGCTCATGTCCATGCATCGTCTGCAACAACGACAACAGCAACAACAGCAACAACAGCAGCAACAGCAACAGCAACAGCAACATACACACGAACAGGTACAGCAACAAATGCTCGGCCAAACAAGTTTGCCCACGACTTCCAACAATGCACCGAGCCCTTCATTTTGGGACGACTTCACTGCAGCAGACAATGCGCAAGGTACACAGCAAATCAATGCTCAGAACATAAATTCTAGTATCTTTGGCGATGATCTGAGCACTACACATACTGGAGCAGGAGGAGGTTTAATGCACCTAAACAACGTGTATGGTATATCGACGACAGTGGTCTTTAGTCCATCACAGCAGCAGCAACAGCAATTGCTGCCGCAGCATCAATCTACGCAGGAGGCGGAGACGTTTATGCTGATGAGATTAGAGTCGAGCATAAGCGACGGCGAAAAGTGTGACGAGCTTAGTGCCGTCCAAATTCAGGCCATATTGGAGCAATCGCTAGCTGAAGATACCCACAACAATCCTAATATTCTCGTCAACAACTTCGCCTCGGCGTTCCAGCAACCGCAGTTAGCGCAGAACCAGCAGCTGAAGCTTGGTGCTGCTCCTGAGGAGTTGCGCCCGACCCATTGGCACGGCATCATGTGAGAAAAGAAGGGCCATGAAAAATCATGTAAAATAAATGAATACACTGGCTATCCGCCAGTCTAAAAAGCCACGGCGTAAATTTGGACGCGTTTCAGCTGTTGTTCTCTCGATTTCAGATTTCAGGACGCGTCTTGTTTTGTCTCAGCCTTTCCTGCAGCGCCTCCACCAATACCGTTTAGTCTCCACAGTACCAACTGTCCTACAACTCAAACAACATCAGGATTGCCTTTTCTATTCCGCCAATACTCACGGCGATGTTTTCCACGCCAACACCAGGTACAAGGGCAGGAAAAACCAACAGCTGCACCGCAGATGCTGCATCCGTCTCATCGCCACCAAAATGCTATCCCTAACATCCACTACCGTTCCCTTCCCTTCCCTTGTCCCCTTTTTAATTCTCAAATGTGCAACAAACGCTTCGAATGTAAAGCGTAAGTGAGATGCCGGACGCAATACTCTTCATCTACGTTCATTATTTTAAGATTCATTTTCCAATCCATTCGCTAACCTGGATCTCCTGTCTCGGCCCATTAGGTTATGGGCAGGCGGCTCGGAGCACGTCAAAGTATATGTTAGAGTACGGCCACCAAATGACCGTGAGCTGGCCTCAGAGGGATACACAGGCGGTAGTCAGGGATCCTCCACCACACCTACGATCCAGGTTCAGGAACCAAAGTGTGTTTTATAGCCGTACTTCATTCGCGTCTGCCGTCTGGATGCATACCCGGAGTGCCTTGCTAACCGTTCGCCCCATTATCGGTTGTAGTCGTGTTATTATAGGTGCGGGATCAAAATTGGATACGTTCACGTATGACTGCGTCGGAGGAGAATCCACAGTTCAGGAACAGGTCTTTAAGTACGTTTTTATTTATAAGGACATATCGCATTGCAGCAACGATGCCATCAGGTTGCACCGGCTCATTGAATTAACGCCAATATGCTACTTCACGACCTTACAGCGACGTAGGGAAGACGATTGTTGAGCAGTGCGTCAAGGGATACAATGGAGTACGCATGAGATTTGTTGGAGATGTCATGGAAGACATGGGCTGCTGGACTACGAGTAGAAACACTGACACAGACAACGACTTCTTACGCTCGATAGACAATTTTTGCGTACGGCCAAACGGGTAGCGGCAAAACATATACAATGCAGGGACCAACCTCCATGACAAGCATCGTGAACCATAAGGAGCGAGGCATCATTCCACGATGCTTAGAATATCGTATGTTATCGCGATACGACAAGCGAGTTCTATTTATGAAAAGCATAACTTTGTCCACATGGAGAAAAGTGCTCCACCTACTAACAATCTGCTATTGGTTATTGTATGTGCAGTATTCGAACTTATAGCACAGGAGGAACAGATGATAAGTTCTGTAAAGTATCTCTGCAAGGCGTCCTATATTGAAATGTAAGTTTGCATGTCAGAGAGTTTATACGATTGTCCGAACGGTTAGTTGCTGAGGCGCTGGCTAATTCCTGGTTTACTATTATTTAGCTACAACGAAAACATATACGACCTACTGGATAACTCGACCACAGCCCGAGCAACACGCGAGGACATCAAGAGGGGCGTTTATGTCGATGGTGTTACAGAGGAATCCATCCACAACCCAGAGGACGCATATAAAGTATGTGAGGACAGTGATCAATTCTGCTTCGGATCATTTTCATACTGAGCGCGACTTTGTTTTGACCCTTTCAACCTTTCCGTATCGTAATTTACTCTCAATACCAGCTGTTTGAACAAGGAGCCGTAAACCGACATACTAGCGCGACAGCCATGAATCGTGAGTCGAGTCGCTCTCACACTGTCCTGACGTTGACTATTCAATCTATGACGCTCGTTGACGGGATCAATCACATTCGAGAGTCAAGGTTCAACCTGGTAGACTTGGCTGGATCCGAGCGTCAGAAGCAAGCCAACACGGAGGGTATGCGGCTCAAGGAAGCAGGAAACATCAACAAGAGTCTTCTCTGTCTCGGCTCTGTCATCAACGCCCTCGGTGAGATCGCCAGTGGACATTCTCGACATGTGGTACGGTTGTTTTTTTTTTGACGCAATGGAGTAACCATCTTTCCATGGGCGGTTTATAAAGGAACGGTTTTGCTGACATGTCGGTTCATACGATGTATTCAATCGTTTCAGCACTACCGCGATAGCCGCTTGACGTTCTTGTTGAAGGATTCACTCGGAGGAAACTCCAACACGTTCATTGTGGCCAACGTATCTCCGTCAGCGCTCTGCTACCAAGAGAGTTTGAGTACACTTAGGTTTGCACAGCGTGCCAAAATGATTAGGAACAAGGTAACATTTCATTCATGGCCCAAAACACTGCCAAGTCTCCAAATAAGGGTTCGTCTTTTGTATTGACATGACCATATCCGTGAACGTATGATTGCGTCTAGGCTGTTGTGAACGAGGATATTCAAGGAAACGTGAATGAGCTCCGGGCGGAAATCCAGAGACTGAAGACGGAAGTAGGGTTAAAGCGGACAGCAGGCGAGGGTAGGCCATCCAAATGAATAAGGAGCACGATGTGGACAGCCGTGAGTGACCTTATTTTGGTCGTACTAATGCTTAAAATGTTTCTTTCGATAGTCGAAGATACCAGTGTGACTAACAAGCTGCTTCTGGAAACTCTTGTTAAGTTGCGGACTGAGCAAGAGGAGCACTTGGCGATGGCACAGAGAGCATACATGCTTGACGATGCCTGTAAAGCCAGAGAAAAGCAGATCCAATCGGCCCAATTAATCATCAAGTTCAAGGAGAGTGCCCTAGCCTCATACCGTAAAGGAGCAACTAACACTGCGCTGGAAGCAGAAAAAGGAGCTCTACAGGAGGAGATCGTACAGCTGAGAAAGCAATTGGACTTCCATCCAGGTATGTTGCCTTGCACTACTAGGATATGTATGATTGCGCGTCATTGCCAGCTTCTAATACATCTCGTCGACGATTTTATGTCCATCTGTGCTATTACATAGAGGTATTGAAGGTTAAGGCGGAAAACCTGAGTTTACGAGGTAACTGGACATTGTGGAGCGCTCAATCGATTTCTAGGATTTGTAACTACGTCGTTCGTGCATTAACAACAGCCGCCGTTTCTGAATCATAGAGCTGGTGCAAAAGTACGAGATATACCAGGCGGGTCTTGAGGAACTCGAAGAAATTAAGAAAAAAGACAAAGAATATCTTCACAACCTCGCGGTGAAGATGCTTGAGCTTGAGCAGGAGAACGAGTCCTTGCGATTGAATCTTGGCAGTGCCACACCGAGAAGCGCCATGGATACAGAGGAGATCGATTTTCCCAGGATTGAGGGTGTTGAAGATATAATGCAGGAGTCGCCTCCAAAGGTGCGGGACAACGACCGGCGGTTCTCGAGCGACATGAAATCCCTACTTCAACGTGTTACCAAGTCGAGACAGGCTGAATATCGACGATTGTCCGGCAACCTCGGAAATGCAGACCCCCCATTGGTGGAAGGCGTTGATCGCGAGCCTACACGAATGTCATTGTCTGAAAGAGCAACGCCCACCACACCTGTTGCAAGACTTGCCTACTACGAATCTCCTTCAGGCATCAATCTTTCAGAGAATATCTCAGCACAGTCGAACATGCACAGCGACGACACTGTGGAGATGACACTTTTGAAGCGCGACGTCGACCGTCTCAAGGACGAGAACGCTGTCTTGGTGGACGAGAAGGCCAATTTGGAGAAAGACTATGCAGATTCGCAGTTCCAACTCATCGTCATGGAGAAGTGTCTTGAGCAGGCCACCAATCAAGCGGAACAACTAGGTCGCGACTTACAGAGCAGCCGGCAGAGTCTCATGACCATGGAACAGGAAGCCGCCATAAAGATCATAGATCTGAATAAGGAAATGCAGGAACAAGTGGAGCTCATGGAGAGCATGCGTCAAGCATCAATTCATGTGGAAGAAGAGCTGAATCGACATCGGGAGAGCCATCGCGAAATTGAACAGCAGCTCAAGTCAACGACCAAAGATCTGGACGACTCACGACAGCGACTCATCGAGAACCAAAAGGAGTACGATCACCAAGTCGAGTACAACATGAAACGGATTAACGAATTCCAAGAAAAGGAATCCAGATGGGATGCCGCCAGAGCCAATCTTTTGGAGGCCAAGGACGAACTGGAGAAACAGCTTGAACATGAGAAGAGCCGGGTTATGAGTACTCGATCAGAGTTGGAGAAGGAGCATCGGAAGTTGTTGGAAGACTGCGAACAGTTGGGAGTGCAGAGGACTAAGCACGAGGAAATGCAGGCGTCGCTTCAGAAGGAGCTCGAAAACCTACGCAAGGCGATGGCCGATGCCGCTCAGAAACACGAGCTCAAGCTCCAGCAGGAACTTGATCTACGCGACGCCTCGTTGAAGGTAATGCTCGCCAACGCCGTGAATGTATGTTGTCGCCTTAATATATTAACGGCGCCCTTTCAATTTTATTTCTTAGACTGAGCAATCCCAGAAAGAGTCGTTGAAGGCTGAGTTGAAGACCGCTCAGGAAAGTCTTGAGGCACTCAGGAAAGAATTCGAAGCAGCCAACCAAGCACTAGAAGTCAAAACTCAGGAAGCCAGCCAGACACTCCAGGAGCGAGAGAGAAATCTCGAGGACCAGCTCAGGGCATTGGATGACAAACGGGTCAAGGATCTTGAGGAATGTGAGTCAAGGATCCTGTTACAAGGCGAGGAATCGATGCGCTCTCTCCGCCAGTCGCTTGTCGAGACCCATGAGCAAGAGATCCAACAACTCAACTCTGAGGTAGAGGAGCAGACGCGGTTGCTGGAGGAAGCACGGACGTCCCTCAAGCAGAGCATGAATAAGGCGGCGGAGGTACTCAATGCCAAGCAGAAGGCAGATGAGGAAATGAAGAAATTGATAGAGCAATACCAGGATTTGGACTGCAACACTGAGGCACTGAAGCAGGAAAAGAATCGCCTCGAGTCTACGATCGAATCTATGAGGTCCAGGTGTCAGAAACTGGAAACGACCCTGGGGGAGCAGAGGCAGGAACTGAACAAAACAGCGCTTCAGCTTCAGCAGGAACAGTGGGAGAAGGGGCGGATTGAAACAGCCAAGGGTGAGCTTCGCAACAAAGTCTCAGAAATGGCACTCAAGATTGGAGAGACCGAGCAAAGGCTCGAGCAGGCCCGAGACAATTACCGCATGCTGGAGATGGAGTATAGGACCACTCAGGACGAACTGGAACATCAATTGAGCAAGGTCAAGAGCGATCTTGCGGTCAAAACCAGCGAGAACATGCTAAACGAGGAATACAAGCGCAAGTTCCGGGAACTGCGAGCTCAATTTGCAGACCTCGGTTCGACCATCACGGAACGACAGCAACAGGGATTCCATGAGCGAGAGCTGAAGCGAACTATGGAACTGGAGAGGGTTCGCGAGGAGATGAGTCGAATTCAGACGAGGTCTGTGCAATTGGAGGCGAACCTGGCGCTGGCACAGGAGATGAATGAGCAGCTTTTGGAGGATGCCAAAGCAAACACCGTCAAGATTGCGGAAGAGATGGAGAAGCGCCTGAAGGAGGTGGAGATCCAGAGACAGAGCGCTGAACGTGAAGTTGAGCAGGCTCTCGAAACTGTGCAGCAAAAGACAGCCGAGTTGCAGGCCCTGGAGGAACAGGCGGTTTATCAAAAGGAAAAGATCCGGACGCTGGAGGAGGAGCTGGTTGAAGAGCAAACCAAGATTGAGCGGCTGGAGGGCACGCTTAGCGATGGCAAGGCACTGCAGAACGAACATGAGGCGACAGAGAAGGAGCTGCTCATCCAGGAAACCAAGCAGAAGCTAAAGGAAGAGCAGTTAATGGCACAGCGCCAGCTGTTGATCAAGATGAGGGAGGAGCAGGAGGCGCTCGTCCAGCAACAGTTTGCGAGACGCGACAAAACTCGGGCGCTTTTTGAGGGGCTCGCAACAGAGAACGGTAAGCTGATGGAGCAGGTCCGATTTCTTGGCACGGTCAATGAGAATATGATGAAGCACCAGAATCCAAAGCAGAAGCTACAGTACCATGTCAAGATCAAGCAGGAGAATAACGAACTCCGGATTGAGAATCAGCGGCTCATGTTCAAGGCGATCGAACTGGAGGAGAAACTGGGCAACAAGGAGAATGTTGAGTCATTGCGCAAGCAGGTCTGGGCGATGCATGGCAGCAGTCCCTACCAGCCGAGCTCACTGGATTTGAGCCTCGAAACTGAGTCAGTAGGAATGGATATGGTCAGGGGACTACACGACGAAATGCCGGTCCATCGCTCCCCATCACATTCGCCTGCGCTTTCATCCGAGGCATCGGCTGCATCCATTCCCGCAGAAACCTCCTCGACAGACGACCACATACGGACGGAAACGCGTACACGGAGTCAGACACCAACAACTGTTGCCGGTCAAAAGAGACGAGCCGACCTGAACGAGTTCTCTTCTACATCTGCGCTTGCTACAAGTCGAAAGAAGCAGGCGAGCCCTATTGTCAAGCCTACACTCGCTCCACAAAGAACCACATCGTCATCATCTTTGGCCTCCTCATCCAGTACAGGCACAGATGTGGGACCCGAGGTGCCATTAGGCCCGCGTGCAAGAGCCAAGGCAGCTGCTGATGCAGCTTTGGCTGCAGCCAAGTTTGGTCGCAAGCAGCCAACGCCATCCACTCGATTTACTTCCAAATCTACCAACCCAATTAGTAGAGTGACAAAAGGCTCTGTGCCCTTCTCTCGGGCGTCAAGTCATGACGAACTTCTGCGGGGCGCACGTTCGGGTGGAGCGGTGGCCAAGCCCAAGGTTGGCCCTTTCTCTACATTTTCTTCAACAACAAAGAATTTGGTGACACGGGCCACTACACCGACCGCTCCTCCGCCTATCGGCAGTGCGAGCGCTCAGCGTGCTCTTGCTCGTGAAGCACGCTTGGCAACAACAACGGCATCAGCACAGACAGCGACAATCACTAGAGCCTTGACACCAAGTGCAGCGCGCAAGGAGCCAGCAAACCAAACTACCAACCAGGCCAATGCACGAAGCGTTAGTCGGGAGCCCAAACAATGCAGCCCTGCCTCATCCCCCATATCGTCCACTAAACCAGCGTTTGCTGCTCCATCACGATCCCCTCCACAATCGCCTGTACCTTCCTCTCCTCCCCCAAAATCGACTGAAGCTTCTGTCGACACCAAAAAAGAAGAATGCTAGTGCTGTTGTGGCATAGCCGTCAACTTGATCTCTTGTTTCTGTGTTCTCATATATCTTCTTTTTTCGCATATCTGTACAACACTGTCTTTATACACCATTATATTAAAAAGTATACATTCATACAAAGCGTTTTCTGCTTCCATTTGCTTGTCTTTTTATTTTGAGAGGCCTGGTTCCGTGGAAACAATCGAATGTACAACGTGATATGAGATATAAAAAAAAAGCTTGCTGTACTTTACTCGGTATCCATGGCTTCACCCTGAGGCAAGTCCTCTCCTGCAGCAGTCGTCTCTGTTGTTGCGGTACCAGACTCTAATTGGTCAAGGTAGCCCTTGAGACGATCTCCCTCAATCAAATGCCAATCCTGTCCCTTGCCAACGACACCAATCGAGCAGTTGTTCAAGTTCAGCTCCTTGTCCTGCTGAAGTGTCTCATGCAGAGCATGAAGACCGTGCATGATCAGTGCGTCAACGTCCGCTGTTGTATCATTGTTGAATAGTTTGAATAGTGAAGGTCACTTGGTTATAAAGGTGTTGTAACGGTAGCAGTTCGGTGGGCAGCAGTATCATCATAAAGCAGACAGAAGTTCGGAAAAACAAGGACATACCTTCGCCAAAGTCCTTTGCAAACTTTTCCAGATATGTTTTTGCACTCTGGCTCTTGGCGCCAATGCTGATGCCATAGTATTCCAGGCAATTGGCATTGGGCACGCACTCGTACAGGTGAGGGCCGGTATCCTCGTCATAGCTTCCGACCAATAGCCCGACACCGTAGGGACGACGTCCATAGTTCTGGGTGTTGACCTGTGCCTCTAATGGATGTCATAGTAAAAGATTGTGTTGGTTATCGTGCAACTAAAGTGTTCTGGTGTCCATTGGGCGTTAGAACAAAACGTCCAACATACTGTCACCGATCAAAGATACAAGCCTGCTGCCGGGCATGGGGCGATCGTACATCATCTTGGACTTCATGCACTCTGTTCTCATGAAATTACTAATGTGGGTATGGAGTAGCAAGTACAAAAAAAAAAAAAAAAAAAAAAAAATGGTTAGTGATATTGATAACCACATACAAAAAAATGTCTGAAACTTCGTTGAGATGCATCTGATTCGGTTCAGTCCAATTCTGCCCCTGCCATTCCTTGCTATTTGATTGATATTGCCGTCCAATTATTGGTCAGTTGGTCATTCGTTCAGGGCTTACCTGAGGACACGGGCATCCGAGACGAGACCGGCAATAGCGATGCCGACATGGTTATCGATCCTGAACAACTTTTGCTGATGCGACGCCAATTCTCCCGAGGAACGCTAGTAGTAGAAGTTAAGATCCATGGTTCATGTAGGTTAGCTTCCATTTAGAGGCGCGTGTCCAGATCGCCCGTGTACGGGTACGGATCTCCTTGAATGTGGCCTTGCTATTACCTTCAAGGCCAGAAGGACGACATGGGTACTGGAGCGCAGGCCAACGGAGGCAGATCCCTGTTTGACGGCCTCAAGCGCGTATTCAATTTGATGGAGACGGCCCTGTGGTGACCAGGTCGAGATATCGTTATCGTATTGGTTTCGGAACTGGAATCGAAAGAGAGAAGTGGACGTGTCATTCCATGTTAGCCGACGTGTCAAAAGTATCCTCCTGTGGTTTGAGACGAATAGTGACAGTTTTCAGGATAAAAACGCGTACCATGGCTACTGTGATGTGATGGGGGGCAGGATGAAGTTATGAATGGAAAAAAAGGAAAAAAAAAGTAGCAAGCTATGAAAGTGAAGGAAGATGCACAGTGCAATGGAGACGAGCAAGTGGACATACGAAAGACTGAACGCGCGTTCGAGGGTAACAGTCACCAGGGCAAGGCGCGCGATCGCTGAGACCAGTGACGTCATCATCAACGGCGCTGTGCGCGCTGGCGCCAGACACGGCGGATATGTAGTAGCTGAGTAGAAGAACGTAATTGGATTCTTTTTACGCGTCAAACGAGGAGATTCCGGCACCTGTGGTATGCTTGATATGCTTGATATACTTGATATGCTTGATATACTTGATATGCTGTGTGCCTGGAAAAGACTCGCGGAAAAAATTGGTGGCAATATTGCCGTGTTTCTTTTGATTGTCAGCGTGCTTTGGGGTCAACAGTTTTGCGAGGCAACCCTCTCCTACGACGTGCCGCTATGAGCGATAATGCACATCGATCACCACAAAAACTGGCTCCTGGAGGAACCCCTTCTGGGGCATCACAGGCGCCGGAGACCCCAGGCTCCTCATCCTCATCCCCATCCTCATTTATGTCCAAGTTCTATACGCCCATGAACCCAACCTACATCCCACAGCCCCCTGCTCCCATTCCCATACCACGCTCCCAGCTCCCGTCGCAACCTCAACAGACACCATACACAACAGCACTGGCTAATCAAACCGCAGGGCCCTCGATAGGGGCAAACGCCGCTCTTCTACTAGCCAATTTGACCACAATCCCCGGCTTCCTCTCCGAGGCAGCCATTCAGGAGGCACGCCTAGAGTACTCCAAGAAACAGTCTATCACACCGTTTACAGCACCCGTTCTATCTTCGTATTCCCATGAGCATGCACCAAATCTGGTCTCGCAACCTTTTCAATCGCACCCTACTCAGTATCACCAGGTCCCAGTACAAGGATATCACTCAGATGCGCCGCTCCCACATCCGGATTCAAATCCTCAAACTGCATCAAGCGCCAACACTTCTTCTGATCGAAACGCATCGATTGGAGTCCTACTGAAGGAATTGCAGCAATCAGAATCTCCCTCTTCATCAAAGCCATTAGCGGCACCAACAAGTTCTCTTCCAACAACCATGCCGGCGCCAGCACCGTCTCTGCCAAAACCATTGCCTGAGCCTCAAACACCAGAGGATTATAGTAGCGGCAAGATCACACCACAGCTGCTTAAGCGGTTAGCTGCAATTTCTGAGAACGATGCCCAGCAAGGCGGCACTCTCTTGAATGAGATCAAAAGGTTAAAAGAGCGACAGGTATGGTTCTAGTCCTTTCGATGTTCAGGTTATTCGACGCTATTTTTTGATCCACTTAATGAAAGCTACATGTTTTACCATGGACACGATGCAATCTAGTTAAAGACAGAGAGGTCACTATTCGAGAGTCGACAGGCCGTGCTGGCAAGACAGAAACAAGAGCTCGTAAAGCTGCAGGCCAGGTACACGCACAACCCTTTGAATTTATAGTTATTTTTTGTGCGACCCTACTTGTGATGATTTACTAACATTGAACCAACTGCATTTAAATCTACATGCGTTTATGTTTTAGCGAAATCATGGGCGTGGATATTACCAGCCAGCTCCGAAAGATCAAGGCCGAACATCATGCGGAATTGAAGCAGTTCGACAAGAATGTGATCCGACAAATGGATAGGGAGATTGCGAATGCGCAGGGGGGCTTAGCAAAGGCAGGGGTACCGATGATGTTGCAAACGCAAGATCCGGTCATGATCGCAGCACAGATCAAGGTCTTGAGGTTGTTGGAGGACATGTTGCAGACTTGACGTAGAAGCGATAACGGGAATAGAAATAAAAAACAATAACCAAAAAGACAAGGCAGTGTTGTGCATGGAGAACTTCTGCAACACCTTTCCATCGAACTCTTACCCATATTCCCTCTTTAAAGCACTGCTTCCTAAACGTTTCCTCCATGATTCATTGCGTGCCAGGTCACTCCTTGCGCGGTTTACCGAACGCAAATTCATTTCGGTTGCTCTTCTTCACTTTTCAAGACCGTTGCCAGTCATGTCGTAATATCTTCGTCTGCAGCGAAGCCAAAGATGTTTTTCCTGAAGCATTTCAAACTTCTCTCGCGTGCTTTCGTGCTCGACTTGAGGCGTTTTTACGACCACAGTAGCCTGCTAATTCTGCATTCTGGTTGGTTTATGCTGTAGGCTTGGAAATATCAGAAGAGATGGCACGTTTAGGGCCCTACTTGTGCTTTATGTGAACAAGGATAGGATCATTAGTACCAATTTCGATTTTTTTACTGTATTTTTTTTTTTTTTTTTTTTTTTTTTTGGCGCGTCGCGTAACCGAACATGGGCTCTACTCATTTTTCATTATTCTTGACAGCAGCGTGCGACCTCTTTAACAGGGGACACTTTCCGATGACGATCGAATACTACCTGACCGGGTGTTTTGGCGATAACTAGTATGAAAAAAAATCCCCTGATCATCGTCTTCATTTGGAACCCGCCAATAGAGCAAGGTCGGTCCTAAGGTATTTCAAGCGGCAGGTTCTGGTGCCCTAGAATATAATGAAGGCAACGGCTATTGCTTCGAGAACAAAGTACGTAGTAGATTGGCTCTTGTATTGGTCGCTGTTGGAAATACTCTTGACTGAACTCTTGTCTCTTTCGCGCTGGTTTCCAGTTGATCTTGGCGGTTTTAAAACAGGTAGTGCGATCGACTACCTCGCCCACCAGAGATGCGGTCCCAAATTGACCGAGATCATCAAGGAATACCCCCTTGTGTGGAAGGTCATGGAGACAGACGATAACCGCTCAAGGCGGACCATGCCGCAAGCTTTCTGACAATACCAGAGGGTTTAACAAAGACAATACTTCTGCAGAGTGCTGTTGAATATTCTGCTCTGCGGTCCATCCATATTCAAATAAAATTTTGTTTTATTCAAGTGGCATGATGAGGTCCTATGTACAGACACCTGAGTGAAGGATTCGAGCTGTCGCTGGTAAGCTACTCAATCTTGCCCTCGGTCTTGAGCGCGTGGAAGAGTGCCAAGGCACTAAGCAGTTTAGCATCTGGTGCGACCTTGTACGCATCCTTGAGATCAACGAGGGACACAGTGATATTTTCGCCATGATCGCGTAGTCCTCCAAGTCGACCCTCGATTGCCTGCAGTTCGTTCCATTCCATGTCTACAAGGGCAATAAAAGACAATAAGTAACATGACAAGTACAGGTTGTTTATATGAGCAGATCGCTGTTAGATTGATTTAAGGAACATACCTCTACGACTGAAAAACAGCCTGAGGAACTCATCGCATCCTCCTGCAGAAGGGTACACGCCCCTCCAGTTTGACCCATACGCGAGCTGAGTCATGTCGATCAGCTTGTCGTGTTCAAGCGTGATGCCACACTCTTCTTTGAGTTCTTCTGCGCACTTTCCCTGTTTAGTATGAGAAAGAAATTACGTTAGAGTGATGCATTACAATGACCACCGGTATACTGGTCACAACAATGTCCAACAACTTACCACAAAGTCGCCGCTATCATCAATCATTCCTGCAGGAATCTCTGGGAAGTGAAAGGACGGGACAGCGAGTCTTGCTTGCTTTGTAAGAACCACATGTTCCGAGACGGCACCCGACGGTTGCTTGGATCTGAGAACTAAGAGGACAGCTACAGCCCCACCGCGCTGTACTCCCGTTCCAGGATCAAATAAAAACGGACCCAAAGCGTGTCAGTACCAGTCGATCCCAAGGACGAGCGCATTTAAGAGCTGATCAATTAGCATCCTTACCATGAAGACAAGTCCAGGCGGTTTTGCGCCCGACTCTGTCAACTCCGCATCGACTGCAATGTTGGCAAACCCAACTTTTTTCCCAAAGTAGTCGACATTGTTGACTTCAACCTTGTGGACCTTGACAGGGATCGCTGCCTGCTTGTTCGTGGATTTAGCGGATCCTTCTGTCTGACCTTGAGAAGATGACTGGGCTTCGAGCGCGGCTTCCTCCTTTCCAAGGCTCTTGGCCCAGTCCTGGAGGGGTTTGAAGTCGGAGACGTGCTGGAGATTGATTTTGTCCGAGGTGGCGACCAATGGAATCGATCGCGAACCGATTTTGAGGACGTGCTTGGCAGACATGACTGGAATGGAGGCGACAGGAATGATGAAAGTGAATGAGAATGGATGGGGACCAAGAATGAAGAAAGAGTGATGTAGCCGGTGAACACAAGCGCAGTGCAGCCTAATACGATGTAGTCTACGGAAATGCAGTCGCGTTTAAACCCTGTGGAGCCCCAACTACAGAGTCCTCCTCGCACAGCACATGGAACGCGTCGTGACTGAAATACAAAAAGCATATCAAATAGAGACATGTAAAGGCCCGCCGTCAATCAGCTTTCTTTCCTTTCCCATCCTCTTCTTGTCTACTTTCAACTTTTCTGCTATCTACTACTCATTTCTACTTCCTTCCCTTAAAGCCCCAACTACACCCAACCAGATCTTTCAGTCGCCATCAAGATCTTTGCGCCAATCTCTATTTCTAGACCCTCTATGGCAGACCAGCAACTGTGTAAGGAGAAAACAACTCAAGACCCTCCATCTTTGGAGACAGCAACACTAGTGAAAAAAGTGGAGATGCGTACTAATCCGATGCTTCTGCCTGCACTTGTTGTGCATCCCACACAGCGAAGGAAGACAAGAGTGCCTTGCATGCCATCCATAGTATCCACGTCCTTTCACAGGAACCGAACTCTCCTCTCCACTCCGCCACCACCTTTGAGGACCTGCACCTGTAAGCACCTAGGGTAGAGCCATAATTTTTTGCAAAGACACTATTTCATAATCTTTATAGATGGAAAGATTGTAATATCGATGGCTATTCTTCCATCTATCTTGATCACAGGAGTAAGGATCTCCTCAAAGGCATTTACAACTCTGGGTTCGCCAGACCTTCTAAGATCCAAGCCCATTCACTGCCTATGCTGTTGAAGAACCCACCCGAGCACTTGATCGCTCAAGCACAGTCAGGAACCGGCAAAACTGCTGCGTTTTCCTTGGCCATCTTGACTCGTCTCAATTACAGCGATCCCTCTACTCAGGTGAGTAGCCGCAGTCAGCCTGGCGCTCCGGAATGCATTGTTAAACTGATTGCCGTCTCTTTTTTTTTTATAACGTTCTATTAGGCGATCATTTTGGCACCATCGAGAGAGCTGGCACGTCAGATTGTCGAGGTCATGAAAAGGCTCGCAAAGTTCACCTCGGCCGTCATCACCCAGGTTGTCCCCGAAAGCGTATACCGCAAGGAGCCAATCGAGGGTCACGTCCTCGTTGGGACTCCCGGCAGGATGACTGACATGATCACGCGAAGGATTCCCGGAACAGAGGGTGGTCGCCATGCTAGAACGTTTATCAACGTGTCCAAGGTGGGGATGCTGATCCTCGACGAGGCTGATTGTATGCTGGATGCTCAGGGACTTGGAGATCAAAGCCTTCGGATCAAGAAGTGGGTTCTTTATAAAATTGGAAAACGTACTACTGTGCTTATGTGCATCATGCCTGATTCTCTTTTTTTTTTCTTTTTTTTTTTTCTAGATTTCTGCCGAATGATATCCAGCTGGTGTTCTTTTCGGCAACATGGGACGAGCATGTCATTAAATTTGCTGACCGATTTACGAGCGGATCTGCGAACCATATTCGCCTGCAGACCTATGAACTGACGTTGGAGTACGTGAAGCAGTTCTTTATCGACTGTGATGATGAGGAAGATCGATTCCGAGTCCTTATTGCGCTCTATGGGATCATGACCATTGCTCAGAGCATCATCTTTGTCGAGGTTTGGACTCTTTCTCTTGTGTTGCGCACGCGATTCTTTCGGAAAGGTTTCTTCTCGTTACTAACTTGGTCTCTTTTTCTTTCTCTCTTTCTTTTTTCATTGTTGTTGTTGCTGCCGCTATCGTTGTTGTAGAGGCGTGATGTCGCTGAGAGGATCGCACGTAGAATGATAGCAAGTGGTCACCAGGTATCCTTCCTGCATGGCGGCTTGATTCCGGAAGAGCGCGACATGGTCATGGACGCGTTCCGCATGGCACAAACCAAGGTCCTGGTCACCACCAACGTCCTTGCCCGTGGCATCGATATCGAGAGAGTTAATATGGTCATCAACTATGACCTGCCCAAGACGAGGACTGGAAAATCTGATCCTGTTACCTACCTTCACCGCATCGGTCGCACGGGTAGGTTTGGCCGCCTTGGTATCTCGGTGAACTTTGTTCATAATCCATCGAGCTTTATCGCGTTGGAGGACATCCAGGAGTATTTCCATAGCAGGATCGCTAGGGTTCCAACGGAACTGGAGCAAGGCGATAGAATGCTGAATGATGATGCAGAGCATGCGCGCTTGGAGAGAATGGAACGCTTCTTCAAGCTGGCAATGAAGGAATAAGAACATATCCGTGGAAGTCGAACGCGAATTCAAGTTGCACAGGAGTCGCTATTTGAAATATGAATCTGCCAGTCATGATGCCCACAGAGAGTAACTGATGTTTATTACGAGATTGGTATTTTGCGCATTGCACGTATTAAAAAATTAGTGGATGAGGAGCCAGTATAATGCAAAAGTGAAGAAAATATAAAGTTGATATGATGAATGAAACATCGCTTATTCGTCCGTATCCTTGATCTCGCCGGCCTGGTGAGCAAGGCTGTAGAACAACGAATCGGGGCGTTGTAGCAGCGTCGCAGGCGACTCGAACTCTGCAACGTGACCCTTCTCCAGGACCAAAATCTTGTCCGAGTCCATGACGGTCTTAATACGATGTGCGATCGTGAGAATGGTCCTGTCCTTGAATTCCTTGCGGATCGTCTTCTGGATCAGCTCGTCCGTCTCAACATCAACTGCAGCAGTAGCCTCGTCAAGGATCAGGATCTTGGTCTTGCGAAGTAACGCACGGGCCAGGCAGATTAAAGATCGCTGACCGACCGAGAAGTTGTCGCCGTTCTGTGAGACCTTGAACGACAATCCTCCAGCGAGCGACTGGATGTGTTCCTTCAAGTGAGCGCGCTCCAGCGCCTCCCAAAGATCTGCATCCTGCAGCTCGTCAAAGGGGTCCAAGTTTTCACGCACAGTGCCGACAAAGAGAGTAGGGTCCTGAGGAATGATGGCCAAGTGCTGACGGAGGTAGGTCAAGCCAACTGTTGAAATATCCACGCCGTCGATCCAGATCGATCCGCCATCCTCTTCCACATCCACTTTCTCCAAATCCGTAATCTGGTCCTTCTTTGTCGGGTCCGCATCCATATCAGCGCCATTATAGCTAGCCTTAGCCCAATGGCTGTTGGCTGCCTCGACAATACGGAATAAGGCGAGTGTGAGCGAGGATTTACCGGCACCAGTTCTGCCGACGATGCCGACCTTCTCTGCGGGCTCGACCGTGAACGAGATGTTCTTGATGACCAGGTCGAGCCCCTCGCGGTAACGGGTCGAGTAGTTCCTGAACTCGACACGACCAGCGTTAGGCCAGTTCTCGGGCAGATTAACGTCTGTCACAGTAGGGGCCTCAGGGTTCTTGTTAGCGTACTCATCCACACGCTCAACCGCCACCAATTGGTTCTGTCATAATCAGCGAAGGAGAAAATCAAGGTTAGTTTTTTGTATAAACATCATTGCAAGTGTATCCGGAAAACTGCATGAAAAAAAGACAGCTTACGTTAAGGTCGCAGTAGGATCGGACAAGCCAGGTGATATCTTGTGTCACGGAAAGCGCATACGAGAGAGCCAGACCGGCGTTGGCAGAAGACAATGTGTTTCTGCCCAAGACAACAAAAAGGGCTGCAGCGAGGACCACAACAGAGCCCAGACTTTCCAAACGGATCTGTAGCCATCTGTTAGCAATGATCCAAGAGAAGTACGCGTTGGTCGAGGAGTTCGTCTTGGTAGCATTGTCAGCGATGAAGCGCTCGCTGGCTGCCAACGCGCGAATTGTCGTCACTCCTGACAGGGTCTCGCTAAAGTGCTGATAGATCGGTGACTTGTTGACGGAGTCAATTCTCTTCAGGCTGCGGCTGGATCGGATGTAGTATCCCTGGACCAAGAGATAGACCACCACAAGTGGGGGAACGATAGCCAAGAAGATGGGCGTCGTAGTCGCAATGACAACGATTGTTCCGAGGACAGACATGCCGCACATGAAAATGTTGATGAAATTCCAGGGTGTCAGTTCATCCACCGAGAAGATATCGCTAGAAAATCTGTTTACGATTCTTCCGAGAGGCGTTGTGTCAAAGAAAGACATGGGCAAGCGGAGCATCTTTGTCAAGAGTCGTTCATGCAGGCGGACGGATGCCCTGATGGCCGCCTTAACCATCGCGACATAGGTGACGGTGACGTTCATGGCCATGAACGCGATGACCAGTGCGGCATAAACACCGAGGAACTTCCCAATACTGTTATCGCCAGTTCCCGCAACTGATGTCCAGTGCTTCAACCACAAGTTGGTTCCAATCTATTGTGTTACATCAACCAAACATGGATTAGTTCTATTTCATCAAAAAAAAAAAAAAAAAAAAAAAAAAAAAAAAAAAAAAGCGCATATTGCAATAGCCCAACCAGCAACAACTTTCTTACCTGAAGAGCCTGTCCACAAACGAAGAGAATGACGACGAACAAGGCCAACTTGTAAGAGGCTGCCTTGGCGTAGATCTTGTAGACGCCCCAAGCAACGCTTCCATGAACCATCTTCTCTTCAGCAATAAGCTCGGCCTTGTTGTCCTTCTTGACAGCTACAGTCTGGGTATCCTTATCGTCTCCGTTTTCAGTCGAGGCCTCAGTTGCGTCGTCGTCCTGTTCGCCATCCTCTCCGGTAGCCTTCTTCTCCTTGCGCTTCCTGCCCTCGTTGACAGAGTACTCTGTAATTAACTGGCTGAATGCACCCTTAGCCTGCATGAGAGTGTCATACTGTCCAACCTCGCTAATCTCACCATCCTTGAGAAGAACAATTTGGTCGGCCTGCTCCAAATGGTGGATAGCATGCGTAACCAAGATACGGGTCTTGTCCTTGAGAAGTCCATTGGGCCCGATCAAGTTCTGCCAAAGATGTTGGTCCACATGAGCATCGACAGCACTCAGAGGATCGTCCAAGAGATACACATCAGCATTCTCATAGGCAGCACGCGCCAAGGAGACGCGTTGCTTCTGACCGCCCGAAAGATTGATTCCACGCTCTCCGATTTCAGTCATATCGCCGGCAGGAAGCATCTCAATATCGGGCAAAAGACCGCATGCCATCACAATATGGTCGTAACGCTCCTGATTAAACTCGTTACCGAAGGTAATGTTCTCCCTTAAGGTCGCGTTGACGATCCAAGCAGTTTGCGCAACATAGGCCAGCCTTCCATAGACCCTGACTGTTCCCTGGCGCTTGTACATGTCTCCAATGATGGCGTTTAACAGCGACGTCTTCCCCTGTCCAACTCTTCCGACAACAGCGGTCAAGTTTCCACGGGCAATCATCAGGTTGATGTTGGTCAGCGTTGGCGAGTAATCCTTTTCGACAGGGACAGCCTTCTCGGGGATGGGTTTTCCAGCCTTGCGTGCCTCTTTCTCAAGCTGCTTCTGCTTCTTGGTCTCTACCTTCTCCCGAGCCAACTTTTCCTTCTCGGTTTCGACTTCAGGTCCTTCTGGCTCCCATGCAAAGACTCCGTCCTTGATCTCGATCAGAGGGATAGTCTTATCCTTGGGCAAGGCCTTGATGGACTCGGTGGTCGAACCTGCGATCTCCTCGGCAAGCAAGAACTTTTGGATGCGTCCCGTGGCAACTGTGACACCGATGGTCAAGGCAATGATATGGGACAGCATACCGATCGGGCGGTTCAACATTCCGAAGAGCGAGATGGAGACAAAAATTCTCTGAGGGTTGATGTCACCCCTGCTAAAGTTGGGACCTCCGACCGAGGCATAGACTGAAAATGAGACCAATGAGATAAGGAGTGGCATGGACTGGAACATGATCGACATGAAAGAAAAGACGGTTCCAATCCTGCGGAGTTGGGAAAGTTCGCGGTTCCTGAACACGCGCACACGCTCCATGAATGACTCTTCCCATCCGTATAATTTGATAATCTTGATTCCAGAGAGAACTATTCCAATGAGCAAAAAAAAAAATCGGCGTTAACAGCCCTAATCATAGTCAATGGTAAATCCGGTTATGCCCAGAGAATGCATTCGTTCACTTACTCTCGTTCATAAGACGAACACGGCCATCCATGCCCTCCAGCTTGCCTGCCTTCGCTTTAGTGAATAGACGGCCTGCAAATCCCTGAATAGGCATAAAGATAACAATAGTGGCCAATCCAACAAAGACAGACCATCCGATCTGCTGATACACTATAAGGTCATGCATGGAAAGGGTGCAAACACGTTAGATCAAGATCATTTTTCATCAGCAGGGTTCGTGTTATGAAAAACAGTTTGAAAACTTACAAAGCCAGAGAGCAATGGCAAGCTCGTACCTAAAAGACGCATTTCAGTCAATGCATTAAGGTGTTAGATATTAATTACCGTTTCTCATTACTAAACGTATAACAAAAATGGGACATGAGAGGACTTACGGAATACTGACGAACATGGGCAAGAAGTTGGTTGTCTCGGCCCATCGCTCAGCATCGACCGACATGTGGTTATTGATCTCTCCTGCTGTGCTCTTCTGCTTGGCAGCGCTTGTCAGCTTGAGCGACTTGCGGTAGATCATAGCGATCAAAGCTGTTCTGGCCTCAACTCCGATGTTCATGGACGCCTGGAAGTACTGAGCCATAAAGAACGAGTTGAGCAGCGATGCGAAGAACATGCCGAAGGCAAGAATGACACCCAGGCTGACAGGCTGTGGATTCTCGTTCCCTGGCGAGTATGATCCAATGAATCCTAAGAGTTGGTTCAGCAGCGTCGGAAGCACGTAGGTCAAAGTCGAGGCGGCGATACGGTAAACCATCACGGGTGCCCAGTCCCATCCATAGGCGGTCAAGATGGTCCAGAACAAGCTGGGCTTCTCGCCCTTGGCCTTAGCCTTGGCAATGTTCTTTTGCCACTTGTTGTTCAAAAGATCGTGACTGTATTCTATTCTCATCCTGCGAGGCATCATGCCGTCGATGTCTTTAGCTTGTAGAGGAGCCTTGTATCCAAGAGAGACGATAGGCTGAAGGAAATGGAAAGTGAGGCGGGAGAAGAGGTTGGCTTTCTCAAAGCGACTTGCACCACTCTTGATCTGGACCTGCGTGCGACCACGGGGCCAGGCCTCGAAGATGAATCCGACGATGTTGAGTCCGAAAAAGACGACGAAGGCCGTGAACTGATCCTGACCGGTTTGGTTCACCATTGACATGGTGCGGATGTTGATAGCGGAGGCGACCATGTTGAAGAGATAGAGGAAGAAGATCAAATCGCTGGATCGGATCTCCTGCTGATGCTGAAAGTAGTTCAGGACAATCGCTACACACTATGTTTGACGAGTCATTTGTGTTAAAAATCGGTTAGGTTATCATGCTCTTTCTGATATTCATGAGTTTGATCGCAGCGGCTAGCTTGTTATTCGGCGACCTACCCAAGCAAGAAGCATGCAGATGGTGCTGAACATGGTGGCGGGTGCATAATCGTCCTGCTTCAGGAGAGCTGCTCTGGCGATCAAGGCAGCTACACTGGCCAGCATGAAGAACTGCGTTGGCCAATAGATCAAGTTAGTGCGGCCCAGGTTATGTGGTTTGCCGTATCGCCACATGTAAAAGATGCGATAGGTCAAGGCGATCAAGGCGACAAGCGAGGGGAGGGCCAGGAGGATGGTGTTTTCGACACATGGTGTCAAATCCGGCCGCAGATGACTCGTTGGACCCTATGTGCATGAAGAGGAAAAATGAGCGAAGTGAGCGAGGTTGTATGGCTGTGAAACGTGTGTGGAGAATGGGGATGGGAAAGGGGAAGGGAGCACGTTGTTGATGTTGTATAGCAGAGTCTTGTGAATTGGTGGCGTAGGATAACTTACCCATCCCTCCTGGTCGTGGCAGAAGGCTTCAACGCCCATTGATGAAAAGCGAGAGAAGGATGGAGGGGTACAGAAAAGGCTGGCGGTAGTAGTGGTAGTGGTAGTGGCGGTGGCAGTGGTAGTGGTAGTAGTTGTTGGTGCTGTTGCCTGTCTGCTTCAATAGCTCGATGGCTCAAAGGATATATATATGTATAAAAAGACTGCAGCGATCGGAGCAGAGGGAAAGAACAAGAAGGAATGCGCGGCCCTGTGTTACGTTTTATACCCGGGAGGGGTCGATCGGACAAAATGGACCAAGGCCAGGGCTAACGCGAACCCAGAATCTTGTTCGTTGAGCGCAGAGCACCGAGACAGGCGATTAGAAATCAAACCATTGGTAGACCTTCTTTTCAATGTGCGTCTGTTTAAACTCCCCCGTTGTTTATTTTGAGCACACTCAGTTCCTCAGTTCTTGTTACACTCGCTACCACGCTTGGTTTTTTTCTTTATTTGGGATGGAATTACAGTGGCATCATCTGCCCTCATCATCACCACCAGCAACCAGGTTTGAGTGTGCCATTGAGCGTCTAAGGAAACAGTTTTCTTTTTCTTTTTCTTTTTCTTTCTTTTTTTTTCTCATGCCCCGCGCCATGGCGAAGGAGGCACAACAGATAGGGCTGTAACCCACGGCGTTCTTTCTAAAGGATTCACTCTGATGACAAATTAGAAAATAGGTTTTGGTTTGATCGCGGGCCTCGTATTCTTTGCATCCTCTCCACATTCGACTAGCGCAATCAACCTCCGGACGCCGATGCCGATACATAGATTGGCAGAGCAAAAAAAAAAGACAGGGGTGTGGAAAGTGAAAGCATATGAAAGGAAATGATAATAGATCCTGTACTACGGAGCCATGGCCACGCCGATGAGCTGATTTCACGATCATTGAGGTCAATGTCCTTTTTGGAGGCGTTCTTCATCAAACTCTGTAGCTCTACATCTCCGAACCTCCCTTTTACCACTCCCTGGACAAGATTGCCTCAAATCTGTATGCCCTCGTCCCACCTTACCCTGATCCCTTTTTTTTTTTGAATTGGATTTAGATTGAATTGCTCAACTGCGCTCTTTTCCGCTGCGCAATGTTAAATCAAAAGTTTTTTTCGCTGGCCGCGTAAGACGAACGTAGACAGAACGAAGGGGGCGGGTGGAACTTGCTCACCGCCGCTTTCTTTTATTCTATCGTTGCTCCACAACCGTGCGTGCCACGTCAGTTGTTTACGCAGTCATATTGCGTGTTCTTAGGCACAGCGGTCGCCTGAATCCAGCGCTTGAACAAAAAAAAAAAATCACACTGCATTCGGAGTGCTTCAGCAAAACATACAGTAAAAGATGGGAGATTTGCATTACATATTAAACATGCCGTTGTAAGATTCCCTTTTGAATTCGTCTTCACTAGTGAACTCAAGAGGTCTTATCCACGTAGCCACTGGGGACCCTCTATGGCACCACACGTGGCGCACTGTTACAAGGTTCGGGAACCAGTCATAGGGAGGGACATAATCGGCATATGTGTTCGTGAATCCCAGTTCCTCCAATCCATCCGATCCTATTCTCCTAAGCGTCTCAAGTACTGCGCTGTCTTGCTTGTAGCTCAAACCTTTTTGAGAAACTTAAGTGGCTGGGTGATGTAGTCAAAGTGATCGACTTCATATCCGTAAGGCAATCCATACCGCAGTGCGGGGCAGTGTTATCCTATGATCCTCATCAGCAATTCGCTTGCCTATTCTGGGAACGCCGGTAGCGATAGATCCTCCAGGAGTCGATAGTAGTGCTTCAGGAATGATTAAGGCACGGTGGATCAGATTCTTGAAATTATAGTCGCCGTCGCAGGTAAAATGAAACTTGTGGAGGCGCGCCAAGGGTTTCCATGGAAGAAGGATGAGGGTTGAGAGGTCAATCCGAGGAGGCATACGAGGGTCTGGGTCTGCGCTGGATCAAACAGTTTATCATCCGAGGAATCTCCGTCTTGGAAATTAACCATTTGGGGTCCCACGCATAGCCTCAGCTCGGTCAAATGCAAAAGCTTCTGCAACGCCGGGATGAATGTCGAAATGAAGGGACTGAGATGACGGTTTTTGAGATTATCAACTTCAAGGGACCTCAGCTGCTTCGGATTCCCAATTGCTGCAAGGTGCTCCGACACGCCACGAAAATCTTGGTGGAGCTGGTCGCAACCCAGGACTTCTACATATTCGTTGGCTGCTACCCATGAAAGCCGCTTGAGATTGATGCAGAGGGATTTTCCAGCAACCAGGTGTCGTCTCGGTGGAACGTCAACGATTCGAGACGATGGGAATGCTTGATGATCAGGGCGCGCGTGGGTGGCGATGGGCCAGGGGTGATTGGATATCCATAGGAGTCCACCAGACAAAGCGATCGCCACTCATTGGGCACAAAGAGGTCGTTCCAGTCCTTGCAGACTTTTTTGCAGTTGACGATATCATGCAAGCCAAGATAGTCGCAGATCGAGTCGACGATGAGAGGAATGCTGAAGGGTGAAGTGGAAGACATTGAGGATGAAATGATAAAGAAAATTGCTCCTTATAGGAATGTGTCCTGAGTAAGAGCGGACGAGGGCAGCTTGAGTCATAGAATACCACACATGAGAATGAGTTAGTAACTTGGTCTGGTCAAAGTATATTCCCCTGTGCTGGTGGACTAGATTAACCTATCAAATTAGACGAGTCCGACTATATGTAATAAACAGATCATCCATGGCGTTTTATTCCAGAAAGCACTCAAGAAGCCATCCTTGTCGCCTTCAATCTACCTTCTCCTATCAAACGTGGGCCCTGGATGCACTTTTCGTAGTATATCTAGTTCTCCCTACTTCTCTTTCCTCTATTTTTTATTTATTTAATGTACTTCTGCGAAGCACACGGTGCGACATTCATTAGCAACAACTCATCTAAAGCATCGTTGACGATACAAACCTTTTAAAAGTTCGCCCATAGTCCTGCCATTGCCATGATCTATAATAATACCTGCACAATCTTCATACCATGACAACCATTCATTAAAATTACTCCAACGCACCAATTTTTACATTGTAAGGGAGGAGGCGGTTGACAACCATGGAGGGGATGGGAAAGATATCCTTCTTATAACAAGGTGTTTTCAGCTTTTAACACACTGATGAGGTGTGGCAATTGTTGCGCAGGCCCTAGGGGCAGGCCCGCCATGCGTCGCGTGCTCATGGGGATTTATGTTAATAATAATAAAAAAAAAAAAAAGCCCTAGGGGCAGGCCCGGGGAATGTGACCTGTCTTTTGGCGACTGTGGATCGGTTCCGCTTTGGTGGTGAGGACTGCGATAGCAGAGTCAATTGACTCGAGAGACAAGTTGTTATAAAAAAAAAATAAAAAAAAAAAGCACCAATTTTTACATTGCTTTTTAATACTTTATTTATTTTTCTATCCTACACAAATACACGAAAGCTGAAGACAGAGATTTTTTTTATTATTATTATTAACATAAATCCCCATGAGCACGAGACGCATGGTTCGCAAAGGCCTTGAAGCCATAGATGCCTTCCATAAAGCTGAAGATAGAGATTTGCATCAGCTATACTGCCTCGGGCAACGGCTGCTCCACATAGCCCGCACAATGAACAGTCAAAAATAATAAGTAAGACGCGCTCGAAACCAACCGTGAAAAAAGAAAAATAAATAAATAAATAAAGCTGACATAGAAACTCTCGTTCTTACCGCTTTTATGGATGCTTAGATACATCTACAGCAAGCCCAAATGGTTTCCTTTTTTTTTTTTTTTTATTCAACATGGCCTCCGAGAGAGAACAATCAGTGCTGATTTCCTAGTGAATAGTCTCTGAGACTTGTGTCTATCTGGCCCTAAATCTTCTAGTGTGGCAGTCGCACCATCTCCAACAACTTCACTGTAACCTCCCTAAGCGTCCCGAGGTCTTTCTCCTGCGATCCGCTCGGCTAGCTGGCAGGCTCCTCACCTGCAAATCTGCCAAGACCATCTCTCCAATTGTAACCTGTACATCTGGGAGATGGTCTTGGTTTCTTGAGAGCACGGAATCCGTTCTACTGGCTTGCGAGCCGAATCCTCTACTATTGTAACATTTCCTCCTCCTCCTCGTCCCGTCTTTCCTCCACCTGAGGTCACTGGATGTGAGCTCAGATTAGCCTATTATAAAGTGGGCCTACTCACTTTTGAACTTATACCTGTAACCCCGGCAGGGGTAGCTAAGACGCATGCTGCCAGTGCAGTGGAATAACTTGTACACCCTGGTGTATAGCTGGGAAGTTCTGAACCAGCGCCTCTCGAAGTCCGGAGGCTAGCGCAAGGGCGAAATTTATTCTGAGCATTTTGTCAAGCGTTAAGGAAGGGGAAAGGAAACCCACAACGATTACATGGGGTAGTGCCACTCAATGTGGGGGTCGCCGGGGAAAGGAAACCCACATAACTGAAGTGGGGTAGTACGCCCGACTCATGCTCCAAATAAATTTCTATGCGTAGCACATATTACTGTGCTTTAACCAGGGCTCGAACCTGGTCCCTTCGCGTTACAAGGGAGGTGCCCTGACCAGTATGCTAACTGAGCCATCGGGCTAGAAGCCCAAATGGTTTCCTTTTTTTTTTTTTTTTTTTTTATTCAACATGGCCTCCGAGAGAGAACAATCAGTGCTGGTTTCCTAGTGAATAGTCTCTGAGACTTGTGTCTATCTGGCCCTAAATCTTCTAGTGTGGCAGTCGCACCATCTCCAACAACTTCACTGTAACCTCCCTAAGCGTCCCGAGGTCTTTCTCCTGCGATCCGCTCGGCTAGCTGGCAGGCTCCTCACCTGCTAATCTGCCAAGACCATCTCTCCAATTGTAACCTGTACATCTGGGAGATGGTCTTGGTTTCTTGAGAGCACGGAATCCGTTCTACTGGCTTGCGAGCCGAATCCTCTACTATTGTAACATTTCCTCCACCTCCTCGTCCCGTCTTTCCTCCACCTGAGGTCACTGGATGTGAGCTCAGATTAGCCTATTATAAAGTGGGCCTACTCACTTTTGAACTTATACCTGTAACCCCGGCAGGGGTAGCTAAGACGCATGCTGCCAGTGCAGTGGAATAACTTGTACACCCTGGTGTATAGCTGGGAAGTTCTGAACCAGCGCCTCTCGAAGTCCGGAGGCTAGCGCAAGGGCGAAATTTATTCTGAGCATTTT